GAACAGTTATTTTCGAACTAACGGGTACCCATTTACTGCTGGGTGAACAAGGTCATACTTCGAACAAACACACTTGCCCAAGGTGACACGTATGTAACATGTGCATCAGTGTGGGACTGGAGTCACGCTGCCGCTGCCGCTGTCACGTGGTCACCCATCTCACCTCTCTCCGAGACCAACGTTGCTGAAGTTGTGCAACCTACAATACATACTCGGATCAATGTCACATCATGGATTATCTCTGATCTCACCAGTAAAATCACAGAAGTAAAAGACGTGCGTTAGGATGTGTAGATTTTATTTTCAGGTGAACAGTTGCCTTTGCATGCGTTTGTGACGGGTGCCACCGGTGGGGCAGGATACGCGAACACCTGGTATTATCACTGTTTGATAGAGATTTATAAACACATGCTCATGATATAGTCGGAATCGTACAATCGACTCTGCTTTGTGCAGAGATTTCTATTGTATATGGAAAGGGCTTTGTCGCTTTATGTGTAAGCATAAACAACACCTATGACACATGCCTTCAGCTGTTTTGCATTCAATTACATTATTTTTTTTTTGTTTACTTTGATGAAAAAAAGAGGCTCCACCTCCTTAACACTTATCATGCAGAGTGCACGTAATAGTTGAGGGTGTATTTCAGGGAAAACACTCGTTCTGCAGTTGACAGTTCCTTTGCAAACACATGTGTACACCGCATGTGTCCGACGCGGCTCTCAGCAGTGAGTGAGTATGGTTTTACGCCGCTTTTAGCAATATTCCAGCAATATCACGGCGGGGAACACCAGAAATGGACTTCACACAATGTACCCATGTGGAGAGTCGAACCTGGGTGTACGGCGTCACAAGCGAACGCTTTAACCCACAGGCTACCTTACTGTTCCCTCTCTCATCATCCATCTACGAGTGTGTCTGTTTAGTGAACACACCAATATTTATGTACGATTCAAAACGTTATACAAATCATTCTGGGGGCACGGGTGGCCCAGTCATCTACGGCGCCTCGATTCGCTATGCAGGGTTGCGTCCCTTGGGCACGCTATAAACCTATGATTGTGGGTTCGAATCCCAGTTCGCCCCGATTATGTTTCTAGGTTTGTCAGCACCATACCCGTGTTCGTGGGTTTCACCGAAGTCATAAACGTCTGGCATAGAGGATTAAACACTGTGTTTGGTTATTACCGAAAAATCTATACACGAGTGATTAATCTGTCACGATTAGAACGAGGCTTTGCTGAAAAGTATGCGAAAAACATAAACAACTGAAAGCCTTGTAATGAGAGAATAATAAATAAAAATACATTTCTTATTTTGTCATATGTCCAGTTTATCATCCAAAGAAATGCTAAATAATTATCATTGGAATTAAGCTAGCTATGCATATTGGGGCTCTTTATCTGCTGTGATAATATAACAATTGCATTATTAAAGAAGTGGGTTTGTTCAGTAATCATGGTAAATAATAAATCTTTGGTTTAAAGAATATACTTGTGACAAACCTAATTCTACATGTCTTAATACTCTGTATTGTCTGTTAATTCTGAAAATAATTAACTGTGATATTGAGTTTCTACCTAAAACTAATAATATGAAATTAATTTTGAGATTTTCTCATCCTATCTAAAATACAAAATATATTTTAAGATGCATAAATGTACATCATTGTTGAAAAAAAATATATTGTTTTTGAAAAAAATACGTAATAAGGTTGATTGGTGCCCACCATCTTTATCTTCATCATTTTGTCTGCTCCATATTATAAATCAAAATAGTTAAGAAAAAATATAAATACATATATTACGTTCTGGAGCTTATTTAGATTTAGGCATGACTTAATACATTCAAGTTTAAACGGGGTAATGTTGTTTTTTCATAATGAGTTTCTTAATTGTCCTGAGATAGTATGTTTAAATAATTGAAGTCTTCATGTTTAAAAAATACCATATACTTATTGCCAAAATACATCAATTATATTGATCTGGATAAACTCCACCCGTTGAAAGGGGAAACAACTGCTGTGGTTGCAAAACATCTTGGTCGTGAGATGTACGGTCCGCCTGGCAAAGATTGATCGTTTCCAGATTAATCACGAGTGTGTAGATTTTTCGGTAACAACCGAACACAGTGGTTAATCCTCTTTTTCTCCCATAACAAGGTTTACAGTGGTTTATGTTTTTCACATAATCTAATTGGCTGCCTGGGAATGGAAAGCTGTGTCGCAATTTTAATCAGAGACCTTAAGTTATTCTAATGTGTAAACTTTCAGAACATGGTAAGTAAAGAAAATTCAAATTTATGGGTGACGAAGAAATGACCAACAAGAGGTCCTCTTATAACATTTTACCATAAACCTCATTTCTTTACATTAGCAATGTCTAATTTTAATTTTAATACTTTTTACAAAAAGAAATCACATTTGAACAGATCACTAAAATACATATTTATTATTATGTCTTGTTTTCATGAAGATAAAAAGAACAAAATGTTATTTTTAAATTACCTATTGTCAGTAAGTCTTAACTTCTAATCTGACAAAATAACAAAAGAATAAAGTTTGGAGGTAACTGTTGCAGTAAAATAACAACGTAAAATTACAAGGGTATTAAAATGCAAATATTTGTAGAACATAGTGGTTAATCCTCTATATATATCACTTCGGGCTTTCCTCCAACATTAAGCTGACACGCCGCGATATAACTGGAATACTGTTAAAAGCGGCGTTAAACCCAACTCACTCACTCACTCACTCAACAAAGCGTCATTCACCCGACAGGTATTCCTGACTCTACGGTTGGGATGTTCCATTCAAAAGGCCTGTCCTCATCTTGCCTACACCTCATATCGCCTACACTACTATCAAAACAAATTTATGGATGAGTGCACACCACACTTGTACCCTTATCCCTTAAGTAAAATGAACTCTTACAACAAGATAACAAAGAATGTAAATGACTTTTGATACTGTTATTTCATTTTGTATATGAGATCATCTTCACAATTTAAATGTTTTCACAACATCAAATATCATAAATACACATGTATTATCACAGCACTGTACATTTATCTTCACAACTCAAATGTTTTCACAACATCAAATATCATAAATACACATGTATTATCATAGCACTGTACATTTATATCCATCATCTTCATGTTTTATAACATTAGCACTACATCATTTGTTCAAAGGCCCATGTACTCAGGTCATTAATTCATATTAATGAATGAAATCATTACTTGGTTAATGGACAGTACCATTCTACACAACAGGGGTGTGACAGTAACCATTTGTATTTAGTGTAGGCCATATGAGGTGTAGGCGATATAAGGTGTAGGCCAGATGAGGGCAACCCATTCAAAAGTAGGGATGGCTCGTTTCGCTGGGTTCGCCGTGTACCGTACTCGTTGCTTCTTCCCGACTCACATGGTTATTGTGTTTACATCCCTTTGTGTGACCTGTTCATAAAATTAAAATTAGACATTGCTAATGTAAAGAAATGAGGTTTATGGTAAAATGTTAAAAGAGGACCTCTTGATGGTCATTTCTTCATCACCCATAAATTTGAGTTTTTCTTCACTTACTATGTTCTGAAAATTTACACATTAGTATAATTTAAGGTCTCTGATTAAAATAGCGACACAGCTTTCCACTCCCAGGCAGCCAATTAGATTATGTGAAAAACGTGAACCACTGTAAACCTTGTAATTGGAGAATAATAAATTAAAATACATTTCTTATTTTGTCATATGTCCAGTTTATCATCCCAAGAAATGCTAAATAATTATCATTAAAATCAAGCTAGCTATGCATACTGGGGCTCTTTATCTGTTATGATACTATAACAATTGCATTATTAAAGAAGTGTTTTTTTCAGTAATCATGGTAAATAATAAATCTTTGGTTTAAAGAATATACTTGTGACAAACCTAATTCTACATGTCTTAATACTCTGTATTGTCTGTTAATTCTGAAAATAATTAACTGTGATATTGAGTTTCTACCTAAAACTAGTAATATGAAATTATTTTGAGATTATTTCATCCTATCTAAAATACAAAATATATTTTAAGATGCATAAATGTACATCATTGTTGAAAATAAATAAATATTGTTTTTGAAAAAAATACGTAATAAGGTTGATTGGTGCCCACCATCTTTATCTTCATCATTTTGTCTGCTCCCTTAAATAAATCAAAATAGTTAAGAAAAAATATAAATACATATATCACTTTCTGGAGTTTATTTAGATTTAGGTATGACTTAATACATTCAAGTTTAAACGGGATAATGTTGTTTTTTCATAATGAGTTTCTTAATTGTCCTGAGACGGTATGTTTGAATAATTGAAGTCTTCATGTTTAAAAAATACCAAATAATTATAGGCCAAAATACATCATTTATATTGATCTGGATAATCTCCACCTGTTGAAAGGTGAAACAACTGCTGTGGTTGCAAGTGAGGGCAAGCCATTCAAAAGTAGGGGTGGCTCGTTTCGCAGGGCTCGCGTGTTGTCCTTGCTTCTTCCCGCCTCACATGGTCATTGTGTTTATATCCCTTTGTGTGTACAGCCCTATCGACAATCGTCCCTCGTGTTTTAGTCATTGACGTATAATCTGCCGTTTTTCACTCGGATCCTGTTCACATAAAAAAATATTATGTGCATTGATTTTGATAATAAATCAATTCTCCAATGCAGTCATTACGTCATGGCGTCATGGACTGTTTCTTTAGTTCTATATTCAAAGGAATTGGATCAAGCTAATAATACCCAGGTTTGACTTGTTATTCAGGTTTGGGCGTTGTGGTCACTGACAGTCAATCCCCAGGACCAGATGTGAAGTGGCCCGTCTCACATTCAAGTGGGTTACATAACACATATTTTAATGTCTGGTTTAAATAAGACAACAGGGAAGGTAGATTGCGCACGGAAAGGGGAGACAACTAATGGAGAGAGAAATCCGCGGAATGTGTTTTGGCTTTTCCACGTTCGTATCATTTCCACGTTCGTATATTTCCGAGAAAGCAGGTCACGTTACTGTGTACACCAATCAGCCGTCAACGAGGAAAGTCATGAACGCTACCCGGATATTTAATGACAGCTACCATTTGACATATATATCCACTGAGGCGTCCCCGTAACAATCTCGTCATCTCGCGTAAAACACGTGATCAAGGTGTGACAAGTTTACATTATTAACGTAAGGTGGACAGAGGGACGGCTTATCAAGCAACATGGCCTTCTTTCGACAGCTCCGGCTGCTTATGTGGAAGAATTTCCTTCTACAACGTAAAAAGATTTGTGTGACAGTCTTTGAAATTGTTTTACCTCTCCTGTTTGGAGTGATATTCTTCAGCATGAGATTTCTGGTAGATATCAGACATGAACCAGCACAATCATATTACACCAGAGACGTGGCTCGACGAGTGTCGTACTACTGGTATGGTGATGTGACGGTTCTGTTCACACCTAACAATACCCTCATCAATGGACTTATTACGGATATTAACGGAACACTCCACAACCATACCTCCACATATGCTTATTCAAGTAAGTTCATTTTCTGTATTTCCTCAGAGATAAAGGTCCTGTAACCACGTGCACGACCAACACAAAGGCGATCATGTGTAATAAGACAAAAGTAGTGACGATTAACTGAGCATGGTGATATTGATTGGACCCGTCTTCTATGTGTGTACTCGCCATACGCATGCCGTCTCTTATATACATACAAATACACCGTGATGAAATGTATACAATGCGGGGATGAAGCAGAAAACCACACAAGAAATAGATATCTGCGTTTCGCAATATTCTTCTTTCTAAGGGATGTTTCTGAAAGTCTCACTTTTATAACCTATACTGTTGTGAGAAACAATATGCGAGGTATTGATGTTAATGTTAGATGGTGAAGGGATAATGTAAAATAAGTAAAGTAACATATCCCCAATGTCAAAACGTAACTATCAGCGAATTATTATTTATACATTTTATCATATTTTAGAAGCACAACCTGTGACCTGCTCAGTTACAAATTTGCTTGTCCATATTTTTTAAATTGAACGGACCAGCTCTTTGCAAATGATGACAAAGTCACATCAATTATCTTAATGAGCTCTCTGTGTCCATCAATCAATTTACTGTATAAACTTGATGTTAATAAGTATATATACCTACCTATGTTGCTTAGCACTATCCATCACTTGCTTGATAAAGGTGTTAGGATCTACACCGAAACGTCGCACTTATTGTAATAAAGAAGTTGTTAGTCCATAGAACTTGTCTTACTTCATCACACCAACTTCTAAATGCCACTGAAAGAAGTTAAAGTCACAGTCAGTTGAACCGCTTAATATAAATACACGATTTGGGCTGCCTCGCATTGCTATACCACCGCGTAATATGCTCTGGTGCAGGGTTGAGAGTACACGCCCAAACAATCAGAATCCCCTCATCTCTCTGAATCATAATCATTCGGAAGCATTAAAGATGCCCATATTATCTGCTGACATTTTCAAAATAAATGTGTTCATCAACCCCACCTTAATTAATATATTATATAACATAGTCAAAAGCTCAACAGTCAATTAGTAACACAACGTTTCTGCTACAAAATTAATCCATTAAGTTGCCTTTAATGTTATCTTACTGAAAACCATAACAAATATTTTGTAATGTATTGAACACGTGAGGAGGCAACTATTATGTCTAATATTCACACGTATATATGTATGTGCATGTAGTTAAAGGCACAGGTAACTGTGATCTTGTTTATCGTGTTGTAACTTAAAACTTCACTCATATTTAGAAGATTTAAGTTTTTTGGGTTTTTAACTTTTTTATTTGTCTGAATATAATTATTGATAAAACAGTTAGATTTGTTTAGGAATTCAAATTTAAATTCAGCAATTTCAGTTATTTTATTACCCATTAGCGATGGACGGCGATGTTTGTGCGACTGTCTGTACATCCTCATTGGTATTGATACATCAAGCTGGGGCACCTGTCTCGAAAAGCGATAAGCAGTGTGCACAGTTAGAATGTTAATCAATATGTAAAGCGATGTCGTCCACATCATCACAATTTTAATAAGTTGTATGTTTTCAAGAAATGTATATGATCACAGTTGCTTTTTATTGTCTGAAATATTTGATGTTTCTAGTATCTAGAAATGAATGCGAAGCGTCCACTCAATGATTGCCGATTTTTGACGCAGGTATATTTTGACGTAGGTAAAATAAATGGTAGAAATAGCTATTATTTTGAAGGCGGTGGCTCCCGTGCGACCCAATACACATACTTTGGTGAAGTATTTTCTTCCGCATTCTCCAGCAAGCGTACATTTTCCGTATGAGGTCATTGTGACTGTAACACAAACACACAATGTCGAAAACGAAACCATTACGTACAGGGAACTCTATTTTCGATATATTATTTTTACTGACAATTTTTTAACCAATTTTTCTCTGAACACGTATTTCAAATGTAAGCATTACGTCATAGCCATTGTGCATATGTTAATTGAGTAGCTGAATACAAAAAAAGTCAACGCCAGAAATAGACCAGTCTCAGGGGCAACATTATGAGCTGATATGCGGTTCAGTGGTTGCAGACTGGAGTGTTTAACTGTCTGTAGATCAGGTCTCTTTCGGTTTGAACGACAAACATGGACTTTATAGTTATTAATGTATGAGAATGGCTTTCCACATTCTTCACATACATAACTCTCATTGCCATGTATAGTACGCCTATGTCTCATCAGACCCTTGGCGTAGGTAAATGACTTGTTACACAAATCACAACTGTACGATGGAGACGAGGTGGACTGTCCTTGAGCCAATACAGAAGAAGAAGAAGAAGAAGAAGAAGGAATTATTTTTTTACGTGTCACACACTGTACAACAATGACAGTAAAAACACACAAATTGTGTGTACAGTGTCCGGCCATTATGGCCTACGAGACACGCAGGACGTCACATACATATGAGTAAAAATGAGAAATATCACAGTACATACATATACATAATAATGAGTTATCAACAGTGCAAGGTCAAAAGTTGAAAGGAGAACATTCTGATACCAAGAAATAAAATACATTGAACTAAGTTGCTAGAGACGAAAGACACAGTTGTCTTCGCTGATACATGTGATGAGGAATACACCATCATTACTAGCTGTTTGTTGAGCCATCGTCGTCACAGCAGTTATTAGTTGAGGCCCATGCATCCAAGTTGTCAACAGATGTCACTGTGTTACTTGCTTACTTTCTTGCTTGTCATTCTATTTAATAAGAAAAAGAAAGAAAAACAACAACAGTTTTTGAGAGAATTACGTCACATGTGTATTTTGTACGCCTACAGAATAATTTGTATGATCGCATATATAAAAAAATACGTTATTATTATCTTACTTTCAAGTCGCGTAATGATGATTTTAATATAATATCAAATTAGTTCTGAAAGTAAATAAAATTAGTCAAATGTAGTACAAATCAGGTTAATGGTTAAACAATATATTGGTCTCCGTCTTGACCCAACGAGATTCACCAAAGTATTTATATCTGTTTCATGACTTTACATAGAATTATGAAAAAAAGAATTCTACAATGTTACCAACAATACAAAAAAATCATTTTAACCTTGAGATGTTACTAAGCTGCATTTTCCAAAACGAATCAAAGGAAGTGCTATTGAGAGACTTCATTCTAGGTCTTTTCACCGTTGAGAAATGTCAAAAAGAAATGACACAGCCTCAAGATCTGTCTCTTTATATAGCATGTAGAAGGGTCAGTTCAAACCGGTTACAAAGCTCACTGATTCAAATATAACCCAGGCAATCTTCTACATTTTCAAACGATTCAAACACATCTTACAATCATATATAGACACAGACCCCTTTTTTGATAGCAGCTTGTACAAACAAAGGCCTAAGTGGCGAAGCGTTTTTTAGCGTGGAATCGGGGCACCTGGTGCACAACACCCCTATTCCTATCATCATTAAATACCATACTATATTGTTTGAAGAGAAACGTTTAGTGTAGTAAATCCACACTCCAGTGTTAATTCATCAACTAAAAGTGACTTTCTGAACCTCTACCTCGTCTAATCTGGTTCCTGAATATTTTCGTCTAACTTATAACACTTTTACCTGGATATCCTTTCAATTATTAAACGGTTCATCCATATGAATATATCTACTTGCCAACATCCAACACCTAACCCATTACTGTTTATTGATTCATGATATAGCATTGGATGCATTGCATATACATTTTTACCATTCATACAGGTTTGCCTACGTTCAGAGGATTTTCATCGAGAAAAGATATGCTGGACTACTACAGTTACAATTCTAAACAAGTTGGCTTTGCTGTTGAATTTGATAACGTTGCAATGACAGACACGGTCCTACCCAAGACATTGCGATGTGCCATTCGTCCAAAAGGGGACAGATATGGTGGTTGGCACACCACAGAGTCCACTCCCTTCGTGGCTTCTAGTGTTCCAAGATCCCTTTACGGTCCAGGTAACTTGTTGGTATTATTACATTAGAGCTTTCGCTGTGATAGTCGAATGATAAAAAGGAAAGGACACAGTAAGACAATTTACAACAGATAAGCAGGCAACAATGTTTGTCTTTTTGTCAGTTTCCGCGGCAGTTAGCAAACGCCCAGCTGTATCAAAGTCAAGGTACGATGGAACACTGTCTTCCGAGAGACCAAGTTTGACAAACTATAAAGAAAAGGTGACCATCGGGGGCAATTGTTGAACACACTGTTGCAATACTATTGGGATATAAGTTAATACCATTGCAATGGTATTGTTATTGTTTCTATAAGAACTCCGGCATGGGATATAAACTGTTCTTGCATTATATAATGTGATGATTTGCCAAGTTCCGGAATCAGCAGGTTGCTTTAGTATTTGTTAGGGAGGAAGACCGGTACCTTTGAATTCTGTCTGATATGAACTTGTGAATGCAGTGTGTTAACTGCTAATATAAACGCAAATGGAAACTCCCCTCTGCATGTCAATATATATACTTCAGATTATCAAGACTTTCTGGGTGTCCAGCGTCTTTTGCATGAAGCCATCATCAAACATTTCAACCCAAACTCAACTCCTATACTGAACGAGCTTGAGGTTCAAATGCTGCGAATGCCATACCCGCCCTACATCGTTGACACTATGAATGCCCTGCTGCGGTACATGTTTCCGGTCTTACTGATGCTGAGCTTCATCCTGATGGCCATCCAGACAACGAAGGGAGTTGTTTATGAAAAGGAAAGAAAGCTGAAAGTAAGTCTTCAGGTTTTTTTTTAATGTCTTTTGGGGTAAACTGGTCGGGGCATCAAATGTGGAATGACCATTTGACCAACAGTTATTTAGTTCCCAATCAGCATTGGCATGTCACACATTGTAAAACGAATGGACGTGTGTGTCGCAATCTGATTGGTATCACGCAGTTCCAAGTCGGGTTCTAAGTCCTAGCACTTTCTGGACTTTTCACTTACATTCATGTGCTTTTACTCAGTACTAAATTTGAAAAACTTGCCATTCGTCGTTGCGAAATGGATATTCTATTCATGCTGTATTGAATTTATTACCGGGTTGTCATGGGTGCATTAGCTTTCAGTGTGGCGTTATATTGTTGCACAGCTGCTCGAGTAGAACTGATGAACTGACAAGTAACTTTTGTTTTTTACAAAAGAGAATGTCAGCGAATTACATATACATTAACACCAACGAGTTGGACAACACTTGATGTTTACCTCCCCATTAATTTTAAACCGTTTGACAGACAAAGATTCATAATCAATCCATGATCGTAGAATTCTAGGACACCAATGAACTCTTCTGGGGCAAATTGGGACAACTTACACGACTTGGATAGTTTTAACTGGAGAACATATTGGCATTCATCAAATGGCAATAGCAGATCTGTCATTGAAGTTAGCACAACATATCACAGTTTTACCCCGAGTGCTAAGTTTTCTTGTGGTAAACTTAAGGGAAGCCCGCTTATTATAATCTGAGATAATATATGCAAACGCAGTGTGTGCTAAGTAAGGGGCGTCGGGTAGCCTAGTGGTTAAAGCGTTCGCTCGTCACGCCGAAGACCCAGGTTCGATTCCCGACATGGGTACAATGTGTGAAGACCATTTCTGGTGTCCCTCGTCGCTATTACCCCTTTGATTAAACATGATCTTGTAGAACCTCGTTTGTTATATGAGCATTGGTTTACACATTTCACACATTCGACATACACTCTTCAAAACAAAGAGAAACGCACGGGTAGACTTTTAGTAAATTTATTTTACCTAATGAAATTGATATATTAAATTTAATATCATAGATACAAATACGGAATTTTGGAGCTCGATAGTCACATGTTGTCGTACAGAGGCATTGAAAACTGTTCATTGTCATGTCACATAAGGCTACAAGGTTGCATTGAAAACTGTTCATTGTCATATCACATAAGGCCACAAGGTTGCATTGAAAACTGTTCATTGTCATGCCACATAAGGCCCAAAGGTTGCATTGAAAACTGTTTATTGTCATGTCACATAAGGCCACAAGGTTGCATTGAAAACTGTTCATTGTCATGTCACATAAGGCCATAAGGTTGCATTGAAAACTGTTCATTGTCATGTCACATAAGGTCACAAGGTTGCGCAGTGGCAACCGGGCAGCAATCACGGCTCTGCACTGAATCTCCTCGGCACTGACTGGATAAGTGTACGAATTCTGTCGTGCGGAATTCTGCGCCATTCTGCTTGTAAAGCGTTGGTCAGTTGTGGGAGTGTCTGCGGCGTATTCTGAGGTTGACGTACACGTCGATCGAGTTCATCCCAGAGGTGTTCGATTGGGTTGAGATCTGGAGATCTCGACGGCCAGGGCAAGTAGTTGATGTTATCATTATGAAGTTAGTCTACCGTGACACGAGCTGTGTGCGGTGGAGCGTTGTCCTTTTAAGCAGCTCCCTCTGGCGGTCAAGAAGTTGAGGTTGAAGAATTTGATTGATGTAGGGATTTGCTGTCAGATTTCCCTGAACCACAACCAAGTCAGATCTCATGGTGTAGGATGACACTACCGCCACCGAAATTGTTGAATTCACGTACACCATGTGGGGCAAAACGGTCATTTTGACGACGGTAAACACGTTGTCTTCCATCTCGCTGGTGAAGAAGAAATCGTGATTCAATGCTAAATCACACTCGTCTCCAGTTTCTCAAATTCCAATTCTGTAAGGTATGGCACCAACGCAAGCGTCGCTGTCGATGGACCTGTTGCAAAGCAGGGACGATAACTGATCTTCTGGGTCGGATTCCAGTTTCGCGAAGATGGTTCCTGACAGCCTGGTCCGATATACCAGGGGTGGTAACTCTCGGTCGGTCGATTCTCGGACGGTCTGCAGTGGAACTGATCTGATCAAAGGCGGCAAATGGTGCTGTGGTGGACGTTGAAGTGGCGTGCAACAGAAGACTGCGATTCCCATCTTTTTCATACGTCCTATGGCGATGTTCCGATCGGTAGCGCTGAGTCTCGGCAAGTTTCGAACTTGAAAAATGTTGACAATTGAATGACAAATTAATGTCTTATCCTTGCCTTTTTATGACCACTACCACGCGTTACGAATGCCATAACTTGCACGTGCATATTGCTTTACTGTTTTCCTCCATGACATTTTTGAACAAGTGTGAAAACAATGCCGTTTAAAACAATGCAAATCGACAATGGCTGCGTTTTGACGTACTGTTTGTCGAATATCAGGCCACCAACAGTTTCCAATAAAATACATCCAATTTATATACCGGATTTACCGGATGTGTAGTCAGGTTCATTGAATTACACAGTACTTGTGCGTTTCATTTGTTGAAGAGTGTATTTGGGGAACTGAACTCGGATCTTTGGCGTATCAATTTAATGCTTTTACCATTAGGCTAGCCTATCGCCCCTTATGAGTTAAGACATGATCGGGGGCGGTCGGGTAGCCTAGTGGTTATAGCGTTCGCTCGTCACGCCGAAGACCCGGGTTCGATTCCCGACATGGGTACAATGTGTGAAGCCCATTTCTTGTGTCCCCCGCCGTGATATTGCTGGAATATTGCTAAAAGCGGCGTAAAACCATATTCACTCACTCACTCACTCACTAAGACTTGATCGCATATATTTTTTCCTCCGCAGGAATCCATGAAGCTGATGGGTTTGAGTGCTTCAGCTCACTGGACGTCTTTGTTTCTGACCAGCTTTATATATGTGTTGGTAATCATGGCCCTGTACGCTCTACTATGTGGAGTAAATGCAAGTGGAAAGGGGGCTGCTCTTGCCAAATCAGATCCCTCCCTGTTCTTTGTGTTCCTCCTCTGTTACGGCGTCTCCATCATCTCCTACTGCTTCATGATCAGCGTCTTCACTCAAAGGGGTAAATATGCATCATTACGTGACTTTAAGACCTGACATTGACGTACAATATGATATGACCCTGACCATCCATATTGTTTTAGATATTATAGTTAGAAATAATACTTAATGTAATATCTTCGAGATTGTATTGTGGTGTGACGATTGTATTCAATTTTTTTCAGTTTTGTATTTGTCATTCACAGAACGGTGTTCTCACAATTAACCTATCGCCGTCAGTTAATGCATATAGCAAATAGTGTCAAAAACCTTTCATAATTATAAGAAATCCTTTGCAATAAGCAGAGTCTATGGTACACACAAATAATCTCATCGTCCATTGGAAGCAAAATGACTATCAGAGAAAACGACGACAAATTCTGTAATATTGTACCTCACCTCAAACCTGTACCTCATCACAATCGTTTTTCAGGTCAACTTTCAGAACAATATATTTTCTATACAGAGCAATCCCGCATTAAGCAACTGGGAGGATAAGAAATATGGAAGATGAAATCATTTTCAAACTGTATGGAGCTAAACTGACAAATATAATGATCTGAGAAATACATAGTAGACACAAATTTATGGATGACATAGAGGATAAACCAATGTGTTCGGTTATTACCGAAAAATCTACACACGAGTGATTAAACTGTCACGATTAGAACGAGGCTTTGCCGAGTTCTAATTGTGGCAGATTAATCACGAGTGTTAATCCTTTTTCTCCCATAACAATAGAGCCATAAAAAGTCGAGCTCGTAGTTGAAGATTTCCCGTGTTTAGTAACCACTCGGGATTCCCCCAGCCTTGTTTTTGAATATGTTCAGTAAGACAACTGCACCGTAAACAGATATAAAGGATCTAGCTAAGACAACTCACACGAGTTTTCCGTGACAGGCAAGCCACTTGTTAGCATTCATGTTATTTTGTTTTTGTTAACTAAAAAGCTGATGGGAGCAACGTTTTGAGAATTAGTAATGTGATTTGATATTTGTTAATGGTTTTGGATTACTCGGCTAAAATAACTTTATTTGCATTCGTCTCGCCGTGACTATCATTCTCAATGCGCAACACTAAATAAACCAACCTTTTTAGTGTATGTAAATACGTTATTCGTTTATTTGTTCGCTAGAAACAAATGTTATAAACCCATTTAAGAGGAAATTAAATATTGTCTTATATATTGTGAAATATTGTTAACGAAAAACAAGGGCCAAAAGGAACTGTCAGCAGGATTGATTAGGCAAGATTCTGTAAATACCAACCCAGGCAACTGATCAGCTGATTGCATCTTCTCAAATCCATCAATGGATTGTAATATTTTTGGACGAATTTTCCTCTTTAAAACTGATTGTACAGTGAATAATTTCATATGTGAAATGATGATGATTTCATGCCATCTTTTGTTGTTGTTGTTTTGTTCCTGAACATGGTGAGCACATGTTTTTATTATATAAAAAAAACCTTATTCAGTGGACAATTTTTCTTTTGAACCTAATATTGAACATCATGACACCAAAAGAGTTACTAAATGAGTCATCTAATTTCCCCGTATTTGTGAATGACAAGAAACAATGTGAATTTGACACAATACGTTATTGTGTGTGAAACATAAATACATAGGATATATGTAAACAATAAATTATCATTTCAGTAGTTCTACAAATATTTGCATTTTAATACCCTTGTCATTTTACATTGTTATATTACTGCAACAGTTACCTCCAAACTTTATTCTTTTGTTATTTAATCAGATGAGAAGTTAAGACTTACTGATAATAGGTAATTTAAAATTAACATTTTCTTCCTTTTATCTTCATGAAAACAAGACATAATAATAAACATGTATTTCGTGACCTGTTCATATGTGATTTTTTTGTAAAAAGTATTAAATTAAAATTAGACATTGCTAATGTAAAGAAATGAGGTTTATGTTAAAATGTTAAAAGAGGACCTCTTGTTGGTCATTTCTTTATCACCCATAAATTTGAGTTTTTCGTTACTTACCATGTTCTGAAAATTTACACATTAGAATAATTTAAGGTCTCTGATTAAAATAGCGACACAGCTTTCCACTCCCAGGCAGCCAATTAGATTATGTGAAAAAAATAAACTACTGTAAACTTTGTAATGGGAGAATAATAAATAAAAATACATTTCTTATTTTGTCATATGTCCAGTTTATCATCCAAAGAAATGCTAAATAATTATCATTAGAATTAAGCTAGCTATGCATATTGGGGCTCTTTATCTGCTATGATAATATAACAATTGGTTTGAAGACTATACTTGAGACAAACCTAATTCTACATGTCTTAATGATGTAAGCTTTGTTTTTGGGTATTGTGACACAAAGTCTGTGCTTCTGTTAGGGATACCATCAATACTCAGTTATCATTGTGGACACCCAATCAACATAACCCTGTATTGTCTGTTAATTCTGAAAATAATTAACTGTGATATTGAGTTTCTACCTAAAACTTATAATATGAAATTAATTTTGAGATTATTTCATCCTATCAAAAATACAAGATATATTTTAAGATGCATAAATGTAAATCATTGTTGAAAAAAAAAGAATATTGTTTTTGAAGAAAATACCTGATAAGGTTGATTGGCGCCCACCATCTTATCTTCATTATTTTGTCTGCTCCCTATAATAAATCAAAATAGTTAAGAAAAGATATAAATACATATATTACTTTCTTGAGTTTATATAGATTTAGGTATGACTTAATGGTTCAAGTTTAAACGGGGTAATGTTTTTTTTCATAATGAGTTTCTTAATTGTCCTGAGATAGTATGTTTAGATAATTGAAGTCTTCATGTTTAAAAAACACCAAATAATTATAGGCCAAAATACATTAATTATATTGATCTGGATAAACTCCACCTGTTGAAAGGGGAAACAACTGCTGTGGTTGCAAAACATCTTGGTCGTGAGATGTACGGTCCGTCCGGCAAAGATTGATCGTTTGCTGCATTAAAATTGAGTATTGCTTCACATCCAAATTATCTGAGTGTTTATTTTCTTAAATTATGAAATTTAAGTCTCGATTATTTTAATATAACTATGAAAGATGTTTTTGAGCGATCGGCTCTAGATCAACACTTCGTTATAAGGTGACATTTCTTATGTGGTTGATAGTTTGTTTTTTTTAAATACCAAACAATATGGTTTGTTTCACTATTTCATCGGTATTTTTACATGAATTAATTAACTGTTTCATAAGCTTTGTTATTAGCCGTGAAAACGCCCAGTAAATAATGTACCGGAGTTGCTCACCTGGTCCCGTAATATCGATGCGGTATCTCGCTTCGGTTACCGTCTTCTCATTCTGCAACTGAATCTGGTACATTGGGAAGCCGAAATTCCACAAATTTTCTCTCGGTCACGAATTTTCGGAGATGGAAACTGTTACTACAGCTGGGGATTTCCTGTACTAGACGACCTCGGGTATCCCCATCCGAAAATAGTGCCGTCAATTATTTTTAGCCAGCCAATCAAAACGCGATGACACAACTTTCCACTTTCAGCCAGCCAATCAGATTGGGTGAAAAAATAAACCACTGCGAATAAACCACTGCTTGCGATTGACGATTAAGCCCTGTTATGGGAGAAATCTTCTTTAATACTGTAAAAAGGGATGTTTCGGTATAGATCCATATACGGATGTCAAGCAATACTGAATGAGGAACATGGTTCAGAAAATATATAGTTGGTGCAGGATTCACAGAAACAACAATTGCATACATGAGTGGGATAACATGAGTAAGTAACGACAACAGAAGGATTATACAGTAGTGAGTGAGTGAGTGAGATTGGTTTTACGCCGCTTTTAGCAATATTCCAGCAATATCACGGCGGGGGACACCAGAAATGGGCTTCACGCATTGTACCCATGTCGGGATTCGAACCCGGGTCTTCGGCGTGACGAGCGAACGCCTTAACCACTGGGCTACCCGACCGCCCCGATTATACAGTAACAACATGATGGAGAAAGAACACATATCCATTATGTTATCCATAAAATTGTGTCTACTTTGTCATCCGTCAACTTCTAAGTAATGCTTATCAAACGAGATATACCACACACCAGTGTGATTATACCTCCGGATATGTATGATGTCATATTATTGGAATAATACACATGTGGCAAATATGTCCTCTGATTGTTGATGGCTAGTTGTCCAACATATAGAACCAAGCAGAGTGTTTTGATACGTTCTTTTGAAATCATACATGCATCTAATGTTTCAATAGTTTTTTTAAATATTTTTAGACAATGGTCAAAGTATAAGTTGTCATGCGTACACATGGTCCATGCTTTCCTTATAATTCAGCAAACATCGGTGCGGCAATCAGCGGGATCGTGTTCTTCATATCCTACTGCCCGTACTTCTACCTGCAGATCACATACCAGACAATGTCCAGGCCAGCTAAACTGGCTTCCTGTCTCCTGTTCAATGTGGGAATGGCGTTTGGTGCAAATGTCATATCACTCTACGAAGGAGCTGGTGTGTTTCTTTGAACTTTCAAAACGCATGTGTAATAAGGATAAGCACTGATGAATTTCAATGCATCCATTATAAATTGCAAAATAGAGTTTCAATAATTCTTTATAAATTCGAAATTCTCTGAACCTCAGGGAAAATATTGTTGTTTATTTGTCTTAACTGCAGCCTGATATATTACATCTGAAAAGTATATTCAGCGTTTCTATAAGGATACATATTTTGACATGTTATTTACAATTTTATCTTCATGAAATGTAGGCTCGGGTGTGCAGTGGTCTAATTTTCATGAGCCCGCTACTGTGGATGACAACTTCTCCCTGCTGGACGCAATTTTGATGTTGCTAGGCGACACGGCAATCCACCTCCTCATCACCTGGTATATGGACAATGTCTGGCCAGGGGAGTTTGGTGTGCCGAAACCATTCCATTTCCCCTTCACCGTAAGTAATTGTTGTAGCATGTATACCAGTTCATTGTGACTCGTGAAGATCCGGGGTAGAATAGGCCTTCAGCAACCCATGCTTGCCGTAAAAGGCGACTATGATTGTCGTAAAAAGCGACTAACGGGATCGGGTGGTCAGGCTCGCCGACTTGGTTGACGCATGTCATCGTATCCCAATGGCGTGGATCGATGCTCATGTTGTCAATCACTGGATTATCTGGTCCAGACTCAATTATTTACAGACCGCCGTCATATAGCTGGAATATTGCTGAGTGCGGTGTCAAACAACAAACAAACAATGTTTTCAGTTGATCAGACTGTCACCTTATTTTACAAAGTAACAGTGAATAACCATCTCTGGAATATCAAAGGACAGGGTGAATTGGAGAAGTGCCAATCACGCGGGGGTAAAGGTTTGTAAAAAGGGGACGGCCTGTACTCAAAATACAAAACGACAAATGTTTACTTGCTTGTTTTGTATATGTCAACGTGATTAATACGCTCCCAAAGTGGGGAAGTTCACCCCTGCAAAACATGATTTTCTCATTTCATATTAGACGTCTTTCTAATAGTTCTTAATGCAAAATGAAAATGTTTAAATAAGTTTTGTATGTTTAATTTTGCATATTGGGCTGTAATGGTTTTGGACTTTGTAATGCCAGGCCTCTTATTGGTGTGGAACTAAGCAGAGAAATGCCGATTATTCAAGTAATCAGCACTTGGATGAGAAACACTTTGAGAAAGAACCAAGTGGCATGAAAACTGGAATATCCATCCTAAATCTCAAAAAGGTGAGAACATTGAATGATCATAATTATATGCTTGTTTTGGCATTATGCATTGGACTACTAGAAACTATTCTCAAATCTAAATTTATAATTGACAATGTGTTTATTGGTAAACCACATTGTACACACCATCTTTGACCTATTATTAATCATCTCAATGTGGAATGTCTTTAAGAGCAGAATATGTTATACTCATTCTCCATCAGTTTGCCTTATAAAACAGAGCTAGTTTTCTTAATTAAGATATCATTCTAAAACAACAACCAATGAACAATCAAGCAAATGTGTTCTTGCCACAAAGGTTTTCGGCTCTGGGTCTAAGAAGAAGGTAGCTGTGGACGGGATGAGTCTCAACATGTTCGAGGGTCAGATCTCTGTCCTCCTGGGTCACAACGGTGCTGGAAAAACTACAACTATGTCTGTTCTTACAGGTACATACAGTTCGCGACGGGTGCCACCGGTGGGATAGGATACGCGAACACTTGCTATCATCACAACTTGATAGTGATTCATAAACACATGCTTATGATTTTCTCAGAATCGTACAATCGCATCTCTGTTTTGCAGAGATTTTTCATGAATATGAAAAGTGTTTTACTTTAAAATTCAGCATCCATCACTTTAAATGTGCTTGCACATATATAGCGGGAAACATCATTGAGTTTTGATCACGTGGTTACAATACAGGCAAGAATCGACAGCCTGGTGACTGTAAACGGTTATGTTTAGCAGTGACCTTGGTCACTGGCCCTTTGAAATACTACATCTGCACGTATTTTACTTTCAGTTTGTGATGACAGTGTACGTTCGCTGCACGCACTGCTAAAGCCAGTTGCTTGCGGTCACCGATCCTCAGTCGATTGTAACCACGTCAGCGCAAAGAAAGTGGTCATTTCTTGAAAAGCGCACTTTGCAATTTTTGTCATTACTCTAAGCAATATCCCTTATCATCGGAAACGGTTATTTTCACCTTATAAGTATTAGTACACAAGCACCTATCTTTGTTAATTAATCATCGCAATATTTCGTGATTTTAAGTGGTGGGGACTATAGGACTTTATTATTAGGAGGCTACAGGTAAAATCTGTCTTGTAACTGCCGTCTGACTCGAAGTGCGAGCATCATCAAATGTGACGTGACAAGCAGGTGGCATCATGATATCCGAACATTGCCGACCAGTCGTGTATAGATTTATACAAGACGGCAACTGGATGACTTATGTCTTGATCTGGTAACAGTGATGATAACTTTTGTGAATCCATTCAAAGGTTTCATCCCTTCATCTGGAGGCACCGCCATTGTGAACGGTTACGACATCAACAACGACATCCAGAGTGTCCGGCAGAGTCTAGGTCTCTGTCCTCAACACAACATCCTGTTTGACAGCTTGACTGTCCAGGAACATCTCGAGTTCTTTGCCTGTGTAAGTTTCGTTTTTCTTATTTCATCTCCATGATCAGAATGCTGGACTAAATTTGTGAACACTGATTAAGCACTTGTTAAGTGTTATATATCATTATATATGTGCCCAGCAATGGTCGTTATATGTCATGGCGAGATGTGATAGTGGCCAAGTGATAGTTGCTTGATCATCTATGTTGATATTTCCCATGTGGACAGTGCACATCACCGGAAATATACCACTCCTTTTTGTGTGGATAGTCCTTACATACACGCATGGTTGATAACGTGGCCAGTTATATAACACTGAACTCAGTTTATTTAGGTGTTCTTTACCGTTTTGCAAATTTGTACAAGTTGTACCATTTTGTTGGAATAAGATCTCGATGATCACAAACACTGGTTTCATATTTTGCCCCTGAGTCTGTCGTACCAATGTTGCAAAACCAAATCAAGTAATCTTCTGTATACATCTCTATGTCGTCGAAACAAGGTGTAACAGATATTTTACTTTTGCAAACACCCGATCGTTTTTCGTTATTATTTTGGTAGATGAATTCATTTCATGACAGGACACTCTAGAAGGAAAACAAAAGTGAGCGAGTGGGATTTAAATCCGATTTGAACAGTATTTCAATATATTTCAGTAGAAGAATGACTGTAAACTCAAGACGTTTTCCAATTGGTAAAACCCACGAGTACAATAAAAGAAAGCAATAAAATGTAGAATGTCGTGTTGTAGTTGAAAGGTTGTCCGAGTAATGCTGTTCAATCTGAAGTTATCACCATGATAAATGAAGTTGGCTTGAGTCAGAAGAGATTCACCCAGTCTCAGCATCTATCTGGAGGACAGAAGAGGAAGCTTTCTGTTGGCATTGCTCTGATTGGAGGATCGAAGGTAGTCCATTCCCAGCTAATCAATATATTTTATCCTGATGAAAAATAATACAGTTATCAATGTCGCTATTTGCATTTGTATCATATCATTATTATTGTACAAATGATGCTGAAGAAAAGTATGATTTTAGATCGTGATCTTGGACGAACCGACTTCCGGCATGGATCCTGCGGCCAGGAGACAGACATGGGACATCCTTCAGAGGAACAGACAGGGCCGGACCATGCTGCTGACCACTCACTTCATGGACGAGGCTGACCTTCTGGGTGACCGAATCGCCATAATGACAGAAGGGGTGGTCAAGTGCTGTGGGACATCATACTTCCTAAAGAAACTCTATGGTACTACTGAGTTTTTATGCTTGTAAATTATGTATATATGTTCATGTCGAATCCTATGTTGCCTGAAACGATTTCACGTTACCTATTGTCTGTTATAGTTCTGTCATCTCATAATGTCTCTGGCTACATATCTGTATTCCAGGAGCTGGCTACCACCTGGTGATGGTGAAGGAACCCACCTGTCAGGTGCCGTCAGTGACCGCTGTTGTCCAGCGATACGTCCCTACAGCAGTCATGGAGAGTGAGATCAATGCTGAACTTTCCTACCTGTTGCCTGATGACCAGTCAGTCAACTTTGCTGCTCTCTTCACGGAGATTGAAATCCACAGGGGGAAGCTTGGCATATCCAGTTTTGGCGCAAGTGCAACCACTATGGAGGAAGTGTTTCTCAAGTAGGAAGTGTCATCTACTAGTATTTTAAAACATATATGGCGTTTGTGAAAGGAACAGGTACAATATGTCATCAATAAAGTGTCGTTCAAGTCACGATAAATAAGTTAGTCTTTTATGTCATGTCATTTTAAGACATTTTGTACTGCCGATATTGCTCAATTAGGCATACTGGTGATATGATTACAGGTATGTCATGACTGACACTAAAAACACATACCAGCACAAACATATCTGACAGTATCAATCTAAACATATTGAACATTGTATCTGTTTGATAGAGCTGGCGAGGAGGAGCAAAAGGAGGATGGAGATGTCAATGAAGACTACCCAACAGGATCAAGAAACAATTTGATATCTAACGGAACAAATGGTTGGACCAATGGCAATTATGAAATGAGAGAAGCGGGAACGGCAGATATATTAGGTCAATAACAGTTCAATAAAGCATGTGGTCATTTTATAGTTTCCCTGTCTAAACATTTACATCTGCATTCTTCAACTGAAATAATAACCACCCCACCCCCACTAACAATTCGCAGTCACGACCTACAAGTTCCCTAAGTCAACAAGTGGTTTGTTGAGCATTATTATGAAATAATTATCTCTAAAGCAACAAATAATTCATATCTTCATTATATTTCTTAAATTTCAGTCAATATGATACATATGGAACAGAGAGTATGCTTATATCTTATTGATTGTATTTTTTAAATGAGTCATTTATTTATTTCAGCATTCAATCGGGGTTTCACTAAAACCAGAGGAATAATGTTGGAGCTGTCTCGCTTCATAGGAATGTTTGTAAAGAAGGCTCTTCACACATGGAGGAATAGGACCATCACCATTGTCCAGCTTCTGTTGCCAGTACTTTTTGCTATTGCTGCTCTGGCAATCAGCAAGGTAGACCCAGGGGAAGTAGTCGAGGTTCCGTTACCTCTAGACTTGGCACCATTCAAAGGCACCTACGTCCCATATTTTTACGACCCAAACCAAAGAGGTCGAGAACAACTACCACAGCAATTTGCACAGGCATACCGTGATCAGTTTGCGGGAACTGAAAACATACCTGTGATGATAAATCTGTCGACATATGATGTGACAAGCTATTTCTTATCAAGAGCAAAAGAGCTTGGCATCGGTGGCTACAACAAGAAAGTGATCATTGGTGCACAGTTCAAATCTAGCAAAGAAGCAATTGGTATTTTTAATGGACAACCTTACCACGGCCAGCCAATAGCTTTGTCTTTCATGATGAACGCAATCCTCAAACATTTTACATCTCAGGATCATTCCATTACCACAATCAACAACCCTCTTCCTCTTGATGATAAAGAGACATCAGATGAAATAGAGGGACTTGCACTTACACTTGGCTTTTCTATTGCTTTTTGTCTCCTGTTTGGTATGGCCTTCCTAACTTCATCCTTCGTGTATTTCCTCATCAAGGAGAGACAGGTTGGCGCCAAACATCTTCAGATTGTTAGTGGAGTTGGACCATTTGTCTTCTGGTTGTCCAACCTGGCCTGGGACTACATCAACTACCTGATTCCATCCCTGTTGTTGCTGGTTGTGTTTGCAGGATTCCAGTCGCCAGCATATACAGAAGATGGGAGATTAGGCATCGTGTTCCTCGTCCTGCTTGTGTATGGTTTGGCAGTTCTGCCATTCATGTATGCTCTTCAGAATATGTTCAAGTCCCCTCCTACCGGGGTGGTTGTCATCATCATCTTGAATATTATCACAGGTGCGGTATTTAAGAAGGTACTTACAATAAGAAGAGATAGTGTCCATAAATGTATGAGTGAGAGTAATGGTGTTCCATTTTATCATTTTATGTTTTCTTTCTTCTTTCCAACAGGTCTTGCAACTCTGTTATCAGTATTTATGATGACCACCCTAGATAAGAAACCCGAGGCTAACATCGCAGATTGGGTATTTCTAGTAATTTTCCCTCATTACAATTTTGGGAAGTCCTACATGGATATGTACAGCAACTATTTATACCTTGACGGATGTATTAAGCAAAACTACACATCACTTTGTGCAACACCACGGAGAAATGGTTGCTGTAAAGGTTGGTTTCCACATCTTGTTTGTTTGTTTGTATGTCGTTTAACGCCACACGCAGCAATACTCCAACTATCTGACGGGCGTCTGTAAATATTTGGACCAGACAGTCCAGTGACTGACATCAGGAGCATCGATCCAAGCAATTGGGATACGGTGACATGAATCAACCAAGTCAGCAAGCCTGACCAACCGATACCATTAGTCGCCTCTTACTGTCAAGCATAGTAGCCTTTTACGACAAGCATGGGGTTCTGAAGACCTATCCTACCCCGGATCTTCACGGGTTGGTTTCCATATCTTCTTCTCTATGGACACAGGGGCGGTCGGGTAGCCTGGTGGTTAAAGCGTTCGCTCGTCACGCCGAAGACCCGGGTTCGAATGTGTGAAGCCCATTTCTGGTGTCCCCCGCCGTGATATTGCTGGAATATTGCTAAAAGCGGCGTAAAACCAATCTCTCTCACTCACTCTATGGACACACATCATGTGGTTCATAAACAACGAATGCTTTGTAGCAATATCATAAAGATACCCAAAGTTCATGGAATCGAATTGAATGTTCCATGTTACAACTGGACATTTGACGGATTTTTCTTCTTTTCAGGCATATAGGATTTGTTCATTTTCCTGTTGTTTTCTTGCAGATTCCTGTGGTGATTCCTGTTATCCATTCACTGAAAACTTCCTGGATTGGGACTCTCCGGGTGTCGGACGCTATGTTGTCTTCATGCTGTTCCAGGGTATAATGTATATGTCTGTGACACTGTTCATTGAGTATCAGATACCACAGAGAATCTGGTATGCCTTCAGACCACAGGAAACAGAAGTACCACAGCCCGGTGCACCGTCCTTCAGTCCAATGCAACAAGTTCCAGAGGATGGAGATGTTCTCCGTGAGAGGCAACGCATTGATGAATTTGCCATTGGAGCTGGGAACTCAGATGCACTAGTCCTGAAGGACGTTTACAAACGATACGGGAACTTCGTTGCTGTTGATCATCTGAGTGTGGGCATACCTGAGAAGGAGTGTTTTGGTCTCCTTGGACAAAACGGTGCAGGAAAGACAACCACTTTTAAAATGATAACTGGCGATGTGATGCTGACACATGGAAATGTTTTCTTGCGGTCCTTTAACATCAAGAATCACACGCAAAAGGTAATTGAAGTCTTTTATCAGGAATAGCGGAATGAATGAGTGTAATATGTTTTCCGCCACAATCAGCTATATTAAAAGGGAATCAAGTCTTCGCCAGGCAGCTCATCAGCAAGGGGGCATGTCGTTGATGGGCATGTCACACGATCACCCAGATGGTATGGTGCATGCATTCAATTCTCAGTCTGAAGGTCTTACGTCAATAGTATGCTTCTTAACCCCTGGTGCAGTGACTTAAAACAGTGGAAAAGTTAAATATAAACTTTATTTGTTCATATCGTTATGTCTGTTGAAACTATCGATATTGTAAATCAGCACTGATTTTGACATGCCATCAATATGTTGCAAGGCCATGGACAGTAGCGATGCATCTATAACGTGATTTATTTCTTCACCCATAGAAGTTATTGTCATATGTCGATTCCAAAATTCAAACAGTATGTTAACCAAGAAATCTGTATGTAAAAGAACTTAGTGTGAAACCAACAAACAGCCACAAAATGGTATGAATTAATAATAGCATTACAATATTAAGGTTTACAAATCAAAACAAATTATTGCAAACAGCAATTACAATATAGCAGTAGACAATAGGGTGGTGGTGCATTATTCAATGGTAATACATAATATGATGGCAGTGATCAGTATCAAATACAAACAAAAATACAGTGGTGATAGCGAGAGTCAGACTAATATATATTCACTCAGCGGCAACAGCGGTCAAGCTTCCGGGAGTGGCCGAGGCATGGATTCAGGGGTAATGAGTGAAAAGTGTGAGAGATACCTAAACACGCTCTTGTCCCATATATACCAACCTAGCCAGCTTCTGGAAGTTTCTACACAGTACCCTCACCAGTCAAGCGGCACTGGCACATTCCACATGTTTCTGTAGCATACTGTCACCCGCGGTATACCGGACCGGAAGTGTACACACCACACTATCATCTAAATATAACTTCCTGACGACTGATTACTCTAAGTAGTACTAAATTCTTGACGACTAATCACTGCCCAAATACAATGCAATGAGCGTCAACTGAATCATTTAAAAAAAACAATGTAATACAGTGTTTCAACAATAAAACACTCTGCCATATAACATTCTAAAGTATTGCATCACTTAAAAACATTATATTCTACTCATTAAATTAATGTCTCTGTTATACATTAACCCTGTGTCGAGTTCATTTATTCAATGACCTTCACTACTTTACTTCAGGTGCAGGAGAACATGGGCTACTGTCCCCAGTTTGATGCTCTGATTGACCAGATGACAGGACGAGAGACTCTCACCATGTACGCCAGACTCAAGGGAGTGCCGGAGAGCTGCATCAAAGGCGTTTGTGACAACCTTCTGGATATCATGATGCTCAGGCAGTATTCAGACAAAGCAACATCGGAGTACAGGTGAAGGGCTTTACATAAGTTTTGTATCAATTCCTTGAATTGCTGAAAAATATATTCCAGTTTGTATTCACGTGTTAACTTGTTCAACAGTACGTATGCATTTCTTTCATATTAGATGTATGTTAATTATATCTACAGTGGTGGTAACAAGCGTAAGCTGAGCACCGCCATCGCTCTGGTTGGAGACCCGGCCTTCATCATGCTGGATGAGCCGTCCACAGGGATGGACCCCAAGGCCAGGAGGCAGCTCTGGAACGTCCTGTCAAAGGTCCGGGAGTGCGGCAGGACCCTCGTGCTCACGTCTCACAGGTTAGTATAAGGTTGATCTTTAATCTAATAAATCTTTCTTTGTACGATAATTCTTGAAATTGCAGAAAAAAACTGAAAATGGCAATAAATAATACTAAATAGCACTAAATAATATCTGATCTTTTCAGCATGGAAGAATGTGACGCTCTTTGTACAAGAATTGCCATTATGGTGAATGGAAGATTCATGTGTCTTGGAACACCACAACATTTGAAGACCAAATTCGGCCAGGGCTACACACTGATAGCTCGGATGAAAACAGTTGAAACTCAACCAGGAGTATCAGATGAAAGAGCTCCTGCCCCAACAGAACCGCTGGTGAACTTCATCACATCATCCTATCCCAACACCCACGTGTTCGACGACCACCAGGGCTATGTTCACTTCCAAGTTCCTTACAACGCCGTCAGTCTCGCCCAGGTCTTCACACTGATGGAACAATCCAAGGTGCAGTTCTCTGTCGAGGACTATTCAGTTCACCAAACTACCCTTGAACAAGTGTTCCTCTCATTTACACGATGGCAGATTCCACCAAAGGAGGATAAAACAAGCCTTTGCAAAAGAATATGTTGCTGCTGTTGAGGGATTTTAGAATAAGTGTACCTATGAGGAATAACATCACAGTGGAAAAATGTTATCGTTACTATTGTTACAACACATCCGGTGTAGAGACTTGGTCATGTGATGCCTAAGTACTCAAGATCTGGTCCATGTCATCTAAATAATCATAAACCAAGCTGTAGGGTTTCTGATGCAGAAATGTTTTCCCTGGTATAGCTATTGACCATCACTTGTCATCATTCTATATATGCCGCCTTTAAAATGTCGTTAAACGATGGCATCAAATGTCAGGATAACAATTGTTCATGGATGTTGAGGACAGAATCTCTTTTATGATAAATGTGTTTAACGTCTAAATATATAATAATACTAATATGCTAATAGTCTATATACTAATACATTTCTAACATATTCTCTTAACACACGAATATGTCTCTGTATGTTTAGGCAGCGGGTCGAAGGGATGATCCCTTTTTAGTTACTATTAAGAAGCAGTATGCAATAACAACATATTCTGATTAATGTTGACATTGACATTTAAGAATAAGATCAGAGTTAGCAGAAAGAGTTGAAATAATGTTAAATAGATCATCTGAAAACAAAGATCTGAAAGTAAACAGGGAAAATATACTATTTTCAAACTTTAATGTTAAATGACGTCATCCCTCTCACAGCATCACAAAATAACATTGTCAACAACTGTTCTTCAATAAGAAACCAATTGTACATTCTAGTAAACTTATACGTAAACGTAAACCTATACAAAGTTAACTTCAGCTCCTTTCCCACAGTATAACTGTTCTTATATTATGTTGACATTAATGGACATATCATGTTGGCGATTCCTACACAGAACACTATGACATATTATGATGATTATTTTTTAACCTCCTTTTGATTTTTAATGGTTTTACCCGCTTCGCGAACAGCGTTTATCATAATATTAGTTTGCATGATTTGTTTATTAATTGCTGGTCATAAAAAAAACCCGTTCACATACGCCTGTTGACATCATCTTTGTCTCGTGTGAATTTTGAATGCTTTACTTGTTCCACCAGCAATTTTTATCACAGAGTTGAAAAGTCCACACACTCATAAATGCTGCTTGTTGCAAAATGATAATCTTGAAATCAGTTTAGATGTGTGAAGGAACATGCTCAATAAAAGAATTTTTTGCAATACTGTTTTGGAAGGATGTTTTCTTTTATGATTGTTTATCGAGATATGTCCACCTGTACTATCGATGCATCACGATAATAGTTTGTTATTTTACTGGAATAGGCTTCGTGAATTACACTCTTGGGCATTGTCTGCTCTTCCTCTGAGAACGAGGGGCGGTCGGGTAGCCTAGTGGTTAAAGCGTTCGCTCATTACGCAGAAGACCCGGGTTCGATTCCCGACATGGGTACAATGTGTGAAGCCAATTTCTGGTGTCCCCCGTCCTGATATTGCTGGAATATTGCTAAAAGCGACGTAAAACCATACTCACTCACTCACTCCTTTGAGAACAACAGGGTACCTGTGGAGAATCTGGGTTAAAATTGATCCCCAGTGGAGCTTGTTGCAAATGGACAACAATGGATTGCGCAATGAGCCTTTAGTTGTGGGCGTAGTGTTTAGCTTTATCACGCGCACTGACCTTGCAATAGTGTTCTTGGTATCATATTCAAAATTGAAGTTTGGAGACAGAGTGATTATCTCCCTTACCCGAATAGCTTATCGCGCGCTACTTTTACAATGTATCGTATGTTATTCAAGCAGCCAGCGAGAAAAAATCCAAGGAGGAATTCAGTTTAAGCATTTAACGCGTACTCAATCTTTGTGTACACTGCTATTGCAACTTACTGTTAAACACGATTAAATACCAGGCTTCTACAAAGTATGACTTTGTTCAATAAACAACAGATGTAAAACAACGGGTTTGATATGAGAACTTTGTAATTAGTTGTCTTCATACTCATTTGTATGGTGCTTGCTGTGCAAGTAGTTTCTTGTAGTAATGTATTATTGATACGTCAGTTTACGGTTTTACATGGTTCATTGTTTTGACTTTTTTTTTTAAATTCTGGCAGAGATAATGCACCCGTATATGTTCTTTCTTCTGGATACATAGGAAATAAACAGGTTGGTCTGTAGTCTGCAATTATTTTCCTCACAAATAGTACGATATATTCACGATGTTGGGTTGAACATAGTAACATTCTTCTTAATATACTTCAAATCTAAGCCGAAAGTAATCATAACACAAACCCAGTTAACCAAACGAAACCGTACACAATGATGAGTGAGTGAGTGAGTTGGGTTTAAGGCCGCTTTGAATAGTATCACGTCGTGTCAGCTTAATGCTGGAAGAAAGCCCGAAGCACCACTTTGGTGAAACCCACGAGCACGAATATGGTGCTGACAAACCTAGGATAATAATCGGGGCGAACGGGGATTCGAACACACTCTCACAGGTTTCTGGAGTGCCCAAGTGGCACAACCCTGCATAGCGATTGGCAGCACCTTCGGCGACTGGGCCAACCGTTCCCCCGTACACAACTGTAAAAGACCAACATACAACAAATACGTTTTAGATGAGATATGTATTGCATAACATTCAACGAAGAAACAGTGGCAATATTACACTGCTACAAACTACAAAATATATACACAGCAAGTATATTATATCAATTTCATTTTATAATAAGTGTATTATAATGATATGGAAACAATATGAAAATTGAGCAAAACTATGGTCATGTTGTACATACCAAGAATGTGTTTATAATTGTAGATGTGATAACATATCTGGGAATTTGTTTCTAGATAACTGTTGGTAAAAATATTAAGAATTGTTCCTTTTAACAGAGTGTACCAAATTCTATATCCTAATTGAGTGATTCTCTTTTTTGATTGTATTTTGTACAAGAGGGTGCATAGTATTTCTCATCTTCTGAGACATCACTTGTTTCACAGAGAGGTTGTTCCAGTGAGGTTGGTGTTTTTGTATATCTACCAGTTTCAATTTTTAGTTTGTGATGACTTAAACGAAGAGACATATGAGCTTTGTTTTTACAATATGTAATATGATAATCAATATTTATAGATGACTTGTCCAACAGTTCTTAATTTTCTATTGGATATAAGATAATCCCGTATGAATGCTTGAACATATTTTGACATTTGGACTGAAGTTTGTATTTGGATTCATTACATTTAATTGTGTTTACTATTTCCAAAAGTTGTTTTATTTAACCCAGCCAACATTTTGACAAGACAGATTGATATTTGCTTCCAAAGCATGTTTAAGAATGACATTTGTTGTGTTATCTATATAGGACTTCAAAAATAGGAATAATCAATTATTTTATATATTATTGGTACCAATAGTGGGTACATACCAAGTTCTGCCTGACAGGCCCAGTTATGTGTTTTCTTGTCTACTTCTACTAATGACTTTTACACTTGAAGCTGTAGTCTTCTGGAATGGGTATCAATATTGTTTAACATTGCAAAGTCTACACCCCAAACTTCACAATTGTATAAGTAACCTTCCACTAAATAAACACGACAAAACCCCTTCCATATTCATTAGGGGCGGTCTGGTAGCCTAGTGGTTAAAGCGTTCGCCCGTCACGCCGAAGACCCGGTTTCGATTCCCGACATGGGTACAATGTGTGAAGCCCATATCTGGTGTCCCCCGCCGTGATAGTGCTGGAATATTGCTAAAAGCGGCGTAAAACCATACTCACTCACTCACCCACATTCATAAGAGACGTCGACGAGCAAAAAAGCTAATAGCGGAGTGGATTGTCTGATTCCGACTACATGATGAACATATATAGATAAAAGTCCGTGATACAAATTAAGACCCGTGAAGATCGGGGTCAGAGGTGGTCAAGCATGCCTCTGTTAACACGTGATTATGCTTGTCGTAAGAAGCGACTAACGGAACCGGGTGGCCAGGCACGCTAACTTACTTGATGCATGCATCAATGCTCATGATTTCAATCACTGGTCCAGACTTGATTATTTACACTCTGCCGTCATATAAATGGAATATTGCTGAATGTTGCATTAAGGAACAAAAAAAAAGGATTATAAAAAGTAATTGTAAAAAAACTATCTTATTAATTTTAATCAATTGATGATTTAATGGAGTTGCAAGGTTCGTCACAATACATGTCTGAACACCACGTTAAGATTATCGGAGACAATTTAAATAGTTACATACGAATATCCACCCCTTTTAAATTTTACCGTACACTGTGTACGTATTCTCCTGTTTGGTGAAAAATCCATTAGAAGGCAAAAATGGGTATCGATGATTGACAGGCAACAGTATGGTAATGAGTTGCTGTTTAGAGATTCACACTTGTAAATACCACAACAGTTAGTATAGCCTATTTTTAGAAGAGGTTCAAGATAGTGGGGCGTATGTTTATGCATTGTGGAGTTATGTCCCTTTTGTAATTATATACACCTCTCGGCTGTCACGTGCAATACGTTTCAGCGATTATATACATCTGTCATCTTATGGACACTTTTTATCATCGTTATGGCAAACATTCCTGGAGTTGCGCCCCATTGCCCGCTTGGCGGCGCTGCGGTAGTTACGGTCCAACATTCATCGTTGTATCCGCGGGAATATATAAACTTCAGTCGACATTGACCCACTTGCTTTTCTGTAAACAGCCGGTAGTGCTTGAAGGCCTATTTCTATCATGAATTACGGAAGCTGGAAGTTGCCCAAACTGAAGACTGAGCTCAAAGCACGAGGTGCTCGAGTGTCAGGAAGAAAAATCGATCTGATAGAACGGTAAGTTTCTGATATTGCTGTTTCTCGGCTTTTCTTACTGAGCAGTTATTTTATAAGATTGTAACAGTAACTATTCCCCATTTTGTCACTTTACACAGTGCAATATTGGTATCATGGTCATTGGTAGAACATATGTTTAGTTTAGACAACTGAGATCGCTAAACAAATAACGTCAGCATCGACGCGATAATGCCGACAACATAAGTGCTTCAGTTTTCGTTCACGTAAACAACATGCCCCCGTTGCTAAGGACGCTTTGAGATGCACTGACAAGGGAAAGAGCGGTGACCACGGATCTTGTACGGAAGGTAAGTGTCAGTCACAATAATTTATTCTTCGAATTAATGACTCACTGGCAGTGTGCAAAATAGTACACCCTTTTACATGCGGTTGGGATAACTTCCGGTTTATAGATTCTATAATTATTTGGGCAATCATTCAATAATACATCGTTCTTCGATACGAATATACATAGTAAATTTAAGCAGAGATAGTATCTTGGAAGCGGTCTAAGGACTGCATCGCCAACTCACCAACCCCCACACAATCCATGTAACATTTTCTCCTATCTCCCCACCCCCCAATAAATGACAAGTCCCCAAAAATGTATCTTAAATAATCATAATGCCCCCGTCCCTTTCTTCGTTTCTATACACATATTTGGAATTGTGATTCATCTGTGGCCAAAACATGATGTAACAAAGCGTGAGGTAGGTACTGAAATATTTGTAAAACATTACAATTGCTTGAGCTCTGCACCATCCGATGGCTGAAGAAAGGCTGAGGGTTATCAAGTTCATCGTCCTTTACAGGGAGTGCCTTTTAGATTTTCATATAGTTTTATTTATTTTAGCAAGTGTGATGGGTTCACACATTTATTATTTCAACAGTGTGAAAGGTACACACATCTATTATTAAAGCCAGAAGTTTGAAAGGTTCACACATTTATTAGGGCTGAAACGATACATTGGTGCACTGGTGCATCAAGTTTTCATGCATGATACACAGTACTTTTTTACACTTGCTAAATTAAGTTTCTTACTACTTGTTTTATGACACCCAAGTGTCAGTCAAGTACTGCAAATATGATGTAATTAGCATTTCAAATTCACTACTAGAAATTTACTTTTGAACCTGCTCTGAAATATTTAGTCAAGAAGTTTCAACACAATTTGACAAAAAAAATGTGACCTAATGTACTGTGATGTGACCTCCCTGTATCGTTTCACCTAGAACATTTATTTCATCCTCAAGTGTGAAAGGTTCACACATTTTTTATTTCATCCACAGGTGTGAAAGGTTCACACATTTATTATTTCATCCACAGGTGTGAAAGGTTCACACATTTATTATTTCATCCACAGGTGTGAAAGGTTCACACATTTATTATTTCTTCACAAGTATGATGGGTCCATACTTTGATGTGCATAACAGCGTTTATATTTCTAATATTAAAATTAGATGTAATGAAGCTTTTGAATGGTAGTCTAACAGAGTAATCTTTAGACATCGGTTCGATTCCGGTCGAAGGCAAACACATCAAGAATCCTTATTCACTGCATGTATTTTTATTTTGTGACACAATGTCTTATTCTTGTGTTAAAATTAATATCCGTATTATTATATGTTGTTTGTTTTCTAACAAAAAAAATTATATACAATTACTATAGTGCAAGTAAAGATATTATTACTGTACAAAAGTCAAGTTTTAGTACTGATAACAATACAGAGATGGCTTAAGCTTCCTTACTGACAGAAATACTGATTTGTTGACTTTGGAGTTACAGGGATCTGTTCTTAAAATAATTGTACTTTTTGACAAAATGGAAACTAAGACATTTGTGTACTCCAAAAATAATTTAATAGTCCATATATTTTGCAGTGATTTTTTTCAATTAGGTTTTTTCTTTTACAGTTGTTTATTTCAAATGTTTTTCAGACTCGAGAGCTATGACCGAAACTGCAATTTTGGGAGAGAGCCAGAACTTGAAGCTGAGTTTGAAATGACACTGCCCCTAGTTGAAACTTATAGGGATGTAAATGGTGACAGTCATCTTCCTTTTTTAGCATATGAAGCTATAAATTATTACTTACAGCCTTTTCAGAAGAAACTTGGTTCAAGTTCAAAGAATCTGTACACCAGTAGGTTTTTGAAATTTTTCCGTTATTCAAAACCTAATAACATGTGTTTCCTGAAGTCTGAGTGCTGTGCTGAAATGAAGAAGCATGTGACTTACAAAGTCGATGTTGCAATTGATGACGATGGTTCTGTTGTGGAGGGGCAGTGTGAGTGTGCTGCAGGCCAGGGTCCATCAGGACATTGCAAACATATTTGTGCAGTGTTATATGCTATGCACAAGTTTTCAACAACTGGCGATGTTTTAACTGAAGAAACATGTACTCAAAGATTGCAAACATTTCATAAAAGTAAACCCTATAGGGGCAGTCCCATAAAGGCGACTGACCTTGATTTATGCAACAGTGAACTGAATGTTATATTTGACCCACGACCAGTTCAGTATCGCAAAGTGCCAAATTACCCTGACTTTTTCCGCAATGTTTGGTTGAACCACCCTAGTGTCAATACATTTCCAGTTGCTCAAATGTTTCCTCCAGCAAATCCATTTGCTGTTAATCATGATCATGATTATCTTAAGTTATCTTTAGCTGACCAATACCTGAAATCCCAGAATATATCAGAAATATCAGATATGGACAAAACCAACCTTGAAATAATAACCCATAAACAGTCAAAGAGCGAGGAATGGAAAACTGAACACACAAAGAGAATTTCTTTTTCCAATTTTGGGAAAATTTGTTTGGCAACAGACAAAACTGATTTTCATAAACTTGCTAGATCAATGACTAAGCCTTTCGAGGACATTCAAAGTCCACCACTTAGACATGGCAGAAAATATGAAAAGGTGGCAATAAAAGCTTTTGAAAAGTCAAGTGGTTTCAAAACCTCACCATGTGGCATGTTTGTGTCAGATGTTCATCCATTTCTCGCAGCTTCACCAGATTCACTTCTCGGTGATGATACTACCATTGAAGCGAAATGTCCATTTGCATCTAAAGACCGTCTAATCTCTGAGATAACTGTTCCCTATTTGAAGGTATCTGAGGGAAAACTTACCCTTGACAAAAGCAAGCCATATTTCTTTCAAGTGCAAGGGCAGCTCTACTGTACTGGTAGAAAACAGTGCATTTTTATTGTATACACGATGAAGGATTTGAAATATTTTACTGTATCCCGAGATGACCATTTCATTGAATCTATGGTTGAAAAACTTGTGGCATTTTATGACACCTTTTTCAAAAAGGCACTACTTGACAAATTCTATTTCAGAGATTATGACAGGTATTCCTGGTAAATTTCAGTTACTGCTGATACTCATGTGTCAATGGTCATCAGCCCTATAAACAAGAAAGACAGAATTGTAGTCTCAATGTTTAATGCTGAACATATTATATTCTGCATATACATGTATGGACATTCACAAACAAAAAGTTATGAAAAAACTTGCAGGGCTCCATTTAAGGATGATATTTCACCAGATGCATGTTGACGTGAAAAGAGTTGCATCAGACAAAACCAGGTTGAACTCTGGTCCCATACATTGATGCATTCACTTGTGTAAATAAATACAATCTCAGATGTTTATTAAGACATTTAGTACTTACTGTTACAGTACTATGTGACAATGGCAACCATCTCTTAATCACTCCAGTAGTTATAAGTTGGATAATCTAAAAATCACAACGTACACACTGGTCCCATACATGGATGCATTCACTAGTCTAAATAAATACAATCTCAGATGTCAGTTCGTACTTACTGTTACAGTACTATATGACCAGGCACCTCATTATCAACTACTTGAAAGAAAAAATGGTCTGTAAAAAAAAATAATCTAAATATGTATGTGAATCATTAATTGCCTGTTTTTAAATTTGATGTGATGCTATAATCAACTGACATCATTGCTGACTGGCTAGTATTGAGCACAACCACCAGTGGCTTAGTTAATGACATAAATCCTGCTGGGGTATCGTGCAGGAAGCAGAGGCACCGTAAGTCCCCATGATCCCCGGCGAGGTGGCCTAGCTTTGGTTTCTGATGGCCTATAACCTGTGTTTTAAAACTGTATAAATGATATTGTTAAATATACCTTTGCATTCATGAGTAAATTGTGTATATCAACTTGGTCTCGTCGCTATATGGCTGAAATAGTATTGATGTGACATTAACTTTTAACTCCTTTTGTGACAATGGCAACCATCTGTTAAGTACTCCAGTAGTTAATAGTTGGAAGATCTAAATATAGATGAAGCTACAGTGCAATACATAATCACAATTCAGTGTCCATACTCATAAATATCATCACTGCTTGAAGCATACTCCTTCAGCTCTATATCTGAGGAATTACAACTGTCATGTGATTATTATCTGCAGCTGAACTGTTTGAGGGAATGATAAAAAAACATTGTCATTGACTTCTTGCTTGTCATGATTGCCTTTTATAACATCTGAGAGAGCTGAAGCAACAGCACTAAGATGTGCCAAATATCTGGACAGGTCTAGCTGCTGCCAGTATCATATGAAGAATACACAGCCATGGGACACATTAGAATTTTGTCCTCATTACAGCCACAATGCACAAAGTAACAGATTTAAACATGGTCCTCCTAACTTAGGACAATTAATTACAATTTGTTTCTCAGTAAACATGTATCCATTGAAAATATAATGGATATATGATCCAGAAATATACACTTCAACTTATTCAGATTTTAAGTTCGTGAAATAAAAGCAACCAGTATTTGGGTTTAATCCAAATTGCTGCCATGGAAAACAGGAAAGGGCACCAGTTCAACTTGTGTTTGATACATGTGCCAAGTTTCATAATAACATATGAAACAGTTTCCGAATTATGCTCAGACAAGAAATGTGTCTCTCCCACTTTGTGGCAGGGGATAATGTAACAGTACGCACCAAACAATGTCAACATTCTTAAATTCATGTTACTGATGTCATAAATTTAAAACAAATTCAGTGAGTGAGTTGGGTTTAACACCACATTGAACAGGAAGTTGAGCATTACATTATCATAATCTCTGATACTAACACATTTATGTTTGTACCTTGACAAAAGAGTATGATTGATTGTGGCTGCACAAATGGTAAATTTGCTTCAAACTTGCTTTTTGACCACAGATTCCCATTCTAGTCTCAACATGATACATAATCGATAACATGTTACATTCAACTTTATCCTCATGAATATTTAGCAACAATTATCTTTAATCATGTAGCAAACGCAAATAACAGGCCTTTTTGAAAGAAATTAGAAACAAATCTCCATACTCTACGTCTGACTAACGTCCGACTGGAATGAAAGATATTTTTAATGATTTGCTAACCAATATGATTAGCAAGTAGAGGGAACAATGCACTTTTTGAAAGAACAAAGCATGAAGCAAACCGTGGTTATTTCTGTGGCTAATTTGGTTTCTGAACTGTTAAGAGGTTCAGTAAGTATTTTGAATGTTTTTGCCAGACCAATAATACGTTCAATGTGAACTCTTTTGCTTGATATTTTCCTATCATGCATAACAGTCTTGCCAGACATACGGTTTTTCTTTGAGAAGAATGTTGGCATATTAATGGTAACATCTTTTGATGCAAAAATATCTTGTACGTTGAAACCTTTATCGGCCATAATACCATCTCCTGGGTCACACATCACTGTCAAACCACTACGCTCTACTATTTGACGATCACTCGTGGAGCCACCATACGCAGGAGACACATACGACACAAGACCACCTGGTGTGGATCCAACAAGTATTTTGATAGTATTTCGATTTTTATACGTTGAGTAGGTAGACTGCTGAGCTATGGGGCGTTTTGGTTTCTGGATAGGGCATTCATTACCATCAATGATAATTCGTGTGGATGGAAATTTGGATTTGAAATCAGAAGGACAAAAATAGTGCACTAAGTCTCGTTCTGGCCAGTTATCAAGCTCACTCCACTGTCTATACATAAAATTTACCCAGGTGATCCATACATTTAATACAGTTTTCTCTGAAATTCCAAAATGAAGACCAAGTTCAAAGTTAGTCTTATGTCGGCGCAGTTTCATAAGTGTTAAAAGCAATTGATTTTCCACACTGATAGTCATACTGTCAACTTTGCTGTACAAATAATTTAGGTGATATGCACACGGACCCAAACTTGCAAGTACAAAGGTGAAGTCTGTATAGTTTGACAGTCCTGTATAAAACAAAATTGCTGCAGCATTAAACATAATACTTTGTATTGAAAGCATTGGAAATTTGTCTGTCTGAGCTGATGTACTTTCATATTCAACCTCTGCACTATCTGCAGAACAAATGTTTAAGTCGGTATTCATGTCATCAAACTCAACATTGTCAATTATTTCCTCCCCAGCTACCTTACTGATATCACATTCAATATCACAATCTGTATCCATTGCTTTAAATGTCCTCTTTTGACTCTCACGTCTTTCAATGCGGGATTTCCTTAAGCCTCCATCGGCCTCAAGTGCGTTGGCTGATGCAGTCCAGGGAAAGATTGATGGTACAGCATCTGGTTTTCTCTGTTTCCTCAGAGGTGTACACCCTGGGGAAAACAGCAGTAGATTATTATTTTCCAAACAGATATTGTGCAATCTTTTTACTACCAGTTGTGATATAGCTTTTTATGATTAGATTTAAGTTAATTTGCAGGGAAAGAAAAAATTTCTATGGGCACGATATGTTTTGTCACATTATGAACATAATAGTGATACACATCAATACATTAGAAAAGTAAACAAACATTTAAATTAAGGAAAATTATGATATAAATTAGCTGACAATTTTCGTAGATATAGTCTCAACATTACATACATATAATGCCTGATACAGAGAAGTGTCTTCAAGTTCAACACGTACACATGACACTGTTCTGACAAATACATATCAAAAGTGAACAAACATGAACCTGTATTCTTGAATCATCTGTGCCTCATCTCTGTGGAAAACAAGCACCTGCAGGAAAATGTAACATGATGCATTAACCCCCTGGATGCCATTTGGACATATATGTCCCTACACAAAACGCAGTTGCTGTGCCAGAGGGACATATATGTCCTTCTGAAACATCATGTTGAAAGAATTGAAATAAAATATTTTTGGATTACCCCAAGCCCATAGCAATTGCAACATCGCAAAAAGCAGTAAATTTCCAACACATCTGTGTCATTTTCACAACTCTACTGTCAATAAATAACGCATATGGAGTTAGTCAAATTCCCCTTGTTTACACTTTCGTTCAAATGTGCCGCCATTGAAATATTTTTCATTTCTAACAAATTGCACCGACTGATTGAAAATCCACATGCGAAGGAATGTTTGAAACCTTCATAAATATTTTGGTTAAAAGATTGAAAATGGTCAAATATCTACGCATCTATGTATTAATTAGCTAATGAAACCAACTAAATGCCCAGTTTATCGATGGTGAATGGAGTGTATATTATTTTTTTACAGTATTTGTTCAAGGCCTCGTACATCACATTCATATCAAAGCGTATTCAAAAACATTCATACAGTTATACATACCTACTGTCATCTGTAAAAAACAGTTTGTGTGAAAATGTGCCACTTCTCATATTCATACGTATACTTAGAAATTCCATTCATGCTTCCTGAACCTCAAATTCTGCAAAAACACAGAAAAGGTACCGCAACTTTTTAGCCGAAACTTAAAACAAAATGGCGACCGAAGTTGAAGGTCGCTTAGCGGTACTTTTCATGAGAGAAAAAAAGTCGAAAGCATGTCTCCCAGAAGAAACGAAAACGCACATGATAAACGTTGACACACCCTTTTGGGTCTGTGTTGTTCATGCTTTGTGACTGATTATATGTAAGTCACGTTTTCGTATGTTTAATGAGGCGTGTCAATTTATTAAAAGACGTTGAAAAGTAGGTTGGTAGCAACGGCACATAGGAATTTATGCAGTGTCGAATATATTTATAATTTATTGGTTATATAAGTATATAAACAAGAACTATTTGATGTTGAAGTATGAACGTGTAAATGTCAGTTAAAATTACTTGAATACCGGTCCCCGATGAATCTATATATTTATTATTAGTTCGTTTGTCTAAATATAAATAGCTAGCTCTTTGACAGTAGAATTCATTACTAAATTATTAATAATCTTTCGTTTAATGTAAGTATGTAAATTTTGTATTCATGCGGTTTGTTATTGTTAAATACCTTATTATTATTGCAAGACTAAGTTTTTTTATTTCACGAAAACAAATGAAGCTGTTACGGTTATCGACAGTATTTGGTTTCAATCATCCACCGTAACGGGGTTGGCAAGAGCGGCAAATTTCCGATTGTTCGTCTGGAACGAAATACCGTGACCCGCGACCTTTGACATGACACGTCACAGAGGTTACAGGTGCCCGAGTAAAACAAAACAAAGTTCGATGTTGAAATCACCAACAGTGTTAAATATGACATCCAATGTAAATATTTATACATTATATGCTTTAATCTTTATCTTCGTGCTTTGTTTATCGAATCAGCGCGATTAACACAAATCAAATTTTAAAAAACGTTCGCCTCCCGCCGAGAGCATGAATATTCATCGGGATAAAAATAGCCCCATGTGACAGACGACAACATTGCGATCGAAGCTGTCCTTCAACAAAGATCATGTCAGCGGTTGGTGTTGGAGACGACGATGATTTGGGGGAGTCGGACTTCGAGTCGGACATATCAGTCGATTCTCTCGATTCCGACTCCGAGTCCGACTCCCAGGAAGAGATAAGCGGTAAGTAACATTAATTCAGTTTCATTAATAATTGAGTAGGTGTACTGTCAGTGCCAAACCAATGGCGGGAATAGGAATTTGTTATGTTTTTGCAATTTTCGAAATTGTATGGCTAGATGTACTCTTGACAGTTGTGATGTTTCAAATGTTAAAAATATCTACCATACCATGATCGACATAGTAGAAACAGCCAACTTCCTTGTTAAGTATTTCATGAAATATGAATCTTAGAAATGATTTGAACATGTTGAAAGAAAGGCTCTCATGGTAGTGAAATTTTAACATGTCAATATGTGGCCTACACGTGCGTTTGCTAAAGTGCAGTAAGCAGTAATATTAATGGAAAAATGTCTTTGTTAAAAATTAAATTTATCTTGAAGGACACACTAGTTCACACTTTGGACCTGAAGCCATATTTTTAAAGGAGTATAATGTGTCAGTCCTCATAAATCTGAAAGGTCTTACTTATTTTGAAATATTAAAAATAAATGAATATGTGTCATACATTTTAAATGTAAATTGTTATTGATATATCATTGAGGATGTAGATTAATATTTATTATAACTTACTAAGGGGAAAGGGGAGTGGCATTGCACCAAGTGACTGTTGTCCTTGCGCCAATGGGTTGGGGGGTCAGCGCACTGAACAAATTTTCCCTCACCGGGCAGGTAGCCCGGAGCCGCGGAAGCTATGGCCAATTTTTTTATGAAAATTTACCATCATTGTAAAGCTTTTGATTTTAGTTCTAACCCTGAAAATGTTTGTGTCATGATTACACAACTGTTTCCCTGTGACTACTCAAGGAAGCCCTTCATTTGTCATTAATAAATTCATGTGGTGCACATAATGATATGATTATCCTAATCTTATCTTTATCTAGTAGTAATGAAGAATAAGTCTTTCAACATGTTCAATCTGTACTGAAACTAAAAAGGTCAAAGGGTATACATATTAATTAAAAGCAAAATATTAGTCTTGATGAAAATAAAGTTGCCACATGATTATTGATACTGTGTTGTAAAATATGCACTGGATCTACAGGGTCTGAAAAAGTTCCTTCAATAAACTAAATATATGTCTATAGGTCTATGTGTATATATATAATATATTTTTATTGAAATTTAAGATTGATAACAAACATAAAATACATTGGAGAAATGACAAACTTCCATGAAGCAATTTGCAAAATGGGAGTACATTCAAGGGAGAGGGACATTAACAAATCAAATTATCTCCCCTTGATCAATAAATTATAATAAAACATGAGTCAGCAGTTGGTGAGTTCCAGTTATGATAAGAAACATCCATGAAAATTTGCAAATGCAGCGATAGAAAAAAACATTTTAGTCCACCAGCGTTAGAAATTGGCACTAGTCCTGTAGTCCTCACCAAACTGCCCAATGGTAAAGGTATCCTAAGGACTAGTAGAAATTGGCCAATTTTAAGGTTTTGCTGTATGTTATCATCATGAGGACTAATGGACAAAACTTGTTAGTTTCTACCCCTGTCCACTAGTCCATATATTATAATGATAACGTAAAGCAAAACCCTATAATAAGGAATCCTTTCCCTTAGCACTGTTATATGTGATTGTTATTAATAAGAAACATTATTTCAAATTTCATTATTTCAAATTTCAGATCATGAGACTGAAGAAGAGGCAGGGGCCAAACCAATGGTCCGTGGCCCCTGGCTGCCCGTGCTGGACACGGACAGCTTTGACCTCGGCAACAGCATTGACTTTGCCGAGGAGTGCGGCCCTGTCAACCCTCCAGGTAACAGGAATTGATAAATAAACATATCATTAAGTGCATGAATTAATAATCAACATAGACAATGCCTGTCATCCAAAACTGAGTAAGGAATTGTTTCATATTATATTTCACAAGGTTAATTAGATGTTTAGTTATAAATGTGGATATAAGCTGTATGATATTGCGATTATCATTATATGTACATGTATGATGATATGTGTCAGCACGATTAATAATAATTCATGTGGTCATACATTATGATATATGTTTCAGATTACCATGCCCCTCCTATAAGCTATTTCGACCAGCAACTCAGAGGAGGGGATGGAGGTGTTGATTTGTTCGACCTGCTGGTCAGGGAGACAAACAGGTATGCTGAGCAGTACCTGCAGGGCCGCACTCTATCACCGCAGAGCAGGGCTCGGGCGTGGAGACCCGTTGACCGGGAAGAAATGCGGGCATTTCTTGGACTCTTGTTGGCCATGGGTGTCGTCAGGAAGCCAACCATCGCTTCCTACTGGAATGAGGGGGACAAGAACTGGCTGGCATCAACACCTTCCTTCGGGGGGATCATGCCGAGGAATCGCTTCCAAGTCATCATGCGGTTCCTCCACTGCAACGACAACTCTGTTGCAGTGCCCCGAGGGCAGCCAGATCATGACCCCCTCCACAAGATCAGGCCGGTTCTTGATCTTGTGAATGGATCAAACTCTCATGTGAGAAGACAGGGTCCACTGCTGGCAGTGCTCTTTTCAGACAGGAAGGTCTTCACAATCCTTTCTACCATGGGTAGTCCAAGGTAAATTCAAAATAGTAATATACTGCTCAATATCCTGTTCATTGTTCAGCAGCGTTAGAAACTAACAGTTTCAGTCCACTAGTCACATACTAATAACATAGAGCAAAACCCTTAAACATTGTTAAAGAAGGCACATTTCTAATAGTCCTTATAGGACTAGTGCCAATTTATAATGCTGTCAGTATGATTCCTACTCCAAGTGTCCATTTTCTTTCATACATGTTCGCTTTGATGAGTGTCAATTACTTTAAATTTTTCATAAAGATGAAAAGAATATAGAGATTCTATGTGCATGTTTCTGAAAAAATTAATATGAAATATTTTATTTACAGAATGGAGGATGGGCTTAACTCACGGGGCCGGTCTGTCACTCTCCCCTCAGTCGTTTGACTGTACAACACCCTAATGGGGGGAGTTGACCTTGGGGATCAACTCATTGGTGTCTATGATCCCCAAGTCCGCTCCGTGAAGCTGTGGAAGAAAGTTTTAATCAACTTTCTTCTCACAGCATCAGGTAAGAATTATTTTATTTATATGAAATTCAGAATAAAATAATTAGGTATCAAGGAATTTAGGAATAACTTATAATTCTAGACCTATGTCATTACTACCAACTATACAGTCATTATCCTGATAATATCAACCAATATGTAACAAATGGCATGAACTGAATACAATAACAGAATAATTTCGCATCTGGTACCACTTCCATTGTATTTTCATTGTACTGATTAATCAACGTGAACCTTATCTTCTGAACAGCTATTTCATAATGTTTGATTTTAATGTTTCATACTCATTTCATTTCAGTTAATGCCTATCAGACATTCTTGAACACCCATGGTAGAACGACCTCCCGTCTGGACTTCCACATGTCCCTTCTCCACTCACTCGTCGGGAACACTCAGGTGAAGAGGAGGACTGGCAGGCCCAGGACCCAGCCTCCTTCCCGACGACTGACTGGACGTCACTTCATAGAAGTGCTGCCTGAAGGGAAGAGGAAACAGTGTGTTCTCTGCAGAAAGAGACAGAGGGCCATCGATGGCTCTGCAGGAAAGGTCAGGACCTGGTGTCCTGACTGCCACATTGGCCTCTGTGCACGCTGTTTCCGTCAGTATCACACAGCTGATCACATTGAAGAGTGAAAGGCTGTGTGTACTGGCATATGATGGAACATGACTCATGTTCCATCATATCAACCCTTCAAGCAGTTTCCCCATCTGTGTGCTTCATTGTAAATAACTAGTGAGTGAGTAGGACTTCCCACTGCATCTGCAATATTCCAGCAACATTGCAGCGAATCTTTGTAAATACATGATAAATATATTGTATATATGTACTTATTGTAAATATTTCATATGTGTGTATATATATTAAAGGATGTTTTTGTGAAAGAGTATGACCTAACGCCGTATTTGCAATATAACAGCAACATCATGGCGATTTTATTGTAAATAGATCATTGTCTATTGTATATGATTATGTACTTATTGTAAAGAAGTGAGTTTGTTTTATGCCTCTTTTAGCAATATTCCCGCAAAAATATGGCAGTTTAAGGTACTTATGTTCATATTATGTTCTCTATTTATTGTACATGTAATTATTGTGTGTATGTAAGGATCTGTTTATGAGTAGGACTTCCCACTGCATCTGCAATATTCCAGCAACATTGCAGCGAATCTTTGTAAATAGATGATAAAATATATTGCAGCGAATCTTTGTAAATAGATGATAAAATATATTGTATATATGTACTTATTGTAAATATTTCATATGTGTGTATATATATTAAAGGATGTTTTTGTGAGAGAGTATGACCTAACGCCGTATTTGCAATATAACAGCAACATCATGGCGATTTTATTGTAAATAGATCATTGTCTATTGTATATGATTATGTACTTATTGTAAAGAAGTGAGTTTGTTTTATGCCTCTTTTAGCAATATTCCCGCAAAAATATGGCAGTTTAAGGTACATATGTTCATATTATGTTCTCTATTTATTGTACATGTAATTATTGTGTGTATGTAAGGATCTGTTTATGAGTAGGACTTCCCACTGCATCTGCAATATTCCAGCAACATCGCAGCGAATCTTTGTAAATAGATTGTATATATTGTATATTGGTACTTACTGTAAATACTCTATTTGTATATTTCAGGATATATCTGTGAGAGTATGACTCCATGCTGTATTTGCAATATAGCAGCAACATCACAGCGATTAATTGTAAATAGATTAAATTCCATTAATGATATATATTATATATATTTACTGTAAATAGAAAATGGATTTGTGTATATATAAAAGGACATGTTGGTGCGTGAGTATGATTCAACGCCACATTTACAATATTCCAGTTAATTCGTGGCGATTCATTGTATATGGATTATTGATCTTTTGTTCACAATTATGTACTTCATGTAAATAGAGTGAGTATGATTCATGCCGCTTTCAGCAGTATTCCAGCTAAGATGCGGCCTTTTTTTAAAACTTTATTGTACAAAGTTTATATATTATTCACATGTAAATACTGTCAATAAATATGTATAGATTGAGAGATTTGTACATTTGTCTTATATATCTCATTTAAACAGTTACACGATTTTTTACTGATGATACTTTTCAAAATATTAAATAAAGGACATTAAGGACAGTAAGTATAACAGTAAGGACCTTGGAATAAGAATTAATTTTCTAAAGTATTTCAAATTACAGCCATATGAAAGTGTGGTTGTTCCCCTGGAATATTAACAAAATATTCAAAAATGTTCACAGATTATTCATGTATGCATATGTAAGCATACATTTTAATTATTAATTGATATATGGAAATCGATTCTCCAATGTTATCATAACCAATGACTTACATACATCTACACAACTAAAGAAACTTTTTACTTCTAGTCCATATTATGATAAACCCTTAAAAATTGAAAATTTCTTCTTGTCTGTATTATACCTTAACTGTTGGTCAGTTTGGCAAGGACTATTGGACAATTGCCACGTCTTTGCCGTAACGTATTCTGATAAAGTTCGCTCAACAGACATAATGTTATCCATAAATTTTAGCGGTAAATGCCACGAGCAAGCGCGGACGTGAGAGAAGACAGCAAGCCGTGAACGTATTTGTTACGGCTTGCGCAAATCTGAAATGATGCCCGTTTTTTTCGAGCGGGTAACCTGTGCCTTTTGGTGTTTACAAATTCTTCATAGATTACCTTTTTTTCAAATTCGTCAAACAGTACCAGGAATACATGGTTTGATTTGTATTAAATGTCCGTTGAAATATACTTCGGATAATGGTATTCATAACAGCTAGTCTACCACATCGCCATGGAAATCATTCGTCAAAAAGTTCCCGAAAGAAAGATTAATTATCGAGATCAATTTTGATTATACTTTGAACATTTCATGACAAAAATCGCATATACATCCATCTGACTGTAATAAATGTTAGCTAATACAGTTCCTTTGGGTTTGTGATCAGTGGATCCATGTCTTTAATACTGCTTGGTGGTCACTCAGTGGCTGCTGATGTAAGCAGGGACGGAGATGGAAATCGGGAAAATATGACCAGATCGCAACGTTTGAATCTTTGATGAATCAATGCGTTTATCATCTCCAAATTACGACAGATTTCAGACCATCACTAGAACACTAAGGTTTGCTTACAGAATGATGTTCAAATGTACTTACTATCTCGGTTGCTGTCAAAGATGTTATAGTAAATCCAAAATCCCAAACACCGCTGAACACGGTCGACGACATTTTGAAATATTCAAAACTAAAGCTGTCGACAACACAAAAGGCATTTTCGTATTGTTTCTACTTCATGTGATTTTTTTTATTGTTTTGTGTTTGTATAATCGTTATTAGTTAAAAATGAAAATAAAACAACGTTATTAAGGATTCATAAAGATACGAGACTAACTCGTTCAATCGTCTGTATGCAAATTTTGTCGACGTGCAAATGGACATGTCCGCCATCGCCTGGTAGGAGTATTTACAGTGAACTGATTGACATGGGCCGTGAGGAATACCTTTCGGTGCAAGAAAAGTAAAAATATGCCATGCATAAGGGCATGTTCTTTGCAGATTACATGGTATGATTTTCTTACTAAAAAATGAATAATGACCGAAAAGAAAAATCATTTATTGCAATGAAGAAAACACAACACCGCGTATAAGTTTTAGTTTGAAATGCGATTTCGTTCTCTTCTTTCTAAAAGTACGTAATTTTGAATTTCATAGCTAAGGTTACACGTTACAATTTATATCAGCATGTAGGTAATAAACCACAGATTTTAGGGATAAGATTTTATTCCTTATTCATAAATAGTTTTTTCATTAATATGCTTTTTCCGACATGATATGCAAACGATAACGTTACAATTTCACTAATTTACAGACAAAATGGCGTCACACATATTTGAACAAATTCGTAATCGACGATTTCGCGGACGATTTTCCACCGAGATGTTTCATTTTCAACACGGTAATCGGGAAACAAACGGGCTTTCGCATAATGTTTTTGGTTTTTACATTGGTGGAGATTTACAACCTGACAAGACGCTCAAAGTATCCAGTGCGCAATGTCAACAAAACAGCCGCCATGGACATTTTGTAAAAAATCGCATATTCAATACGTTTGCCGAGCTATAAACTACTGTTAATAACGTTAATGCTTTACAATATTTACATAGACAGTTAGGGAAATGGTTGTGCTGTTATAGTGTGAAATTTGAAAATTGTGGGTTTTATCGTTGTTACGTTACGTCGTTTTTAGACGAAAGTGTGCAGTTTCCAGAACGTCACTCGCAAATAAACTCGGCACAGCGATAGTACACAGGCTATTTTTAGGTGGCAGCCAGAGGGTTAAAGGCAAAAACGTCAAATATGTGTTGACATTCCTGGTAATCATCAATTCAACAAATAAAAGAAGAAAACTAAGAAGGGTTATGGTCAAACATCAACAACTTCATAAACAGGAATATAATGGTGGTAAACAGGGTTTTACCGTAATTAACTGGGTATGCACTAGACCCCCAGTAATTGATTTCAAAGGCCCGTGCATGAAATATATGAGGGTCAAACCTAAACATCACCATGATCACTGACTGGCAAAAAAATGGCTACTATAGTAGGGCCTAAATGACACATTATTTCTATCTTGGTTTTAAAAAAACAATGAAATATACTCATAGGTTCACATGCAAACACACACAAACGTGATTACATTAGAATTAGCCAATACTCAAATTTACTCGCCTACTCTGACAGGAGGGAACTAAAATTATTGTGAAAAAAATCACACACTTCGAAGTTTTAAGAATCTGAACTCAATTTAACTCAATGACAAAATCAAACTATCTGTGAAAATAAGTGTGTCCCGCGGGACGGAACATATTCTATTTTGTCTGCGTCCATTCTTCACATTTCTGCATACTGGATACACATTTCTGAGTCACGTAAAACCCTCTTCGTAATTTCAATGCAAGAAAATATAACAAATATAATTGGCATGCACGTTAATTAAATCTGCCAACGAATAGAAACATAACAAGTTACCCAAATATCTTACCATAACTAGTTACAGCAATGAAATCAGACGGTCTGAAGTGGGAATGACACACAACACTGTGAGGTGACGGTTTCCACATCTTGCCTTGGTTTGATTCGTCGCTCCTCCGAATAGCAATCAACCATCGTTTCAGCAACAAAGGTTCTCTCGGAAACGACAAACCACCTCGATTGCAGCATCCCGGGACACAGCAGCACGTCGAAGGCATCGTAAATACTTCGTTGTAGTTGTTGGTCGTGCAAATATCTATGAAACGCGTAATATACCGGAAGTACGCGCAGGACCGTAGCGTTTGGCGCCATCTATTGGCGAAGTAGTAAAGGGGCATAACTGAGGAATGTTGGCCAAAGTTAAGGACTCAATTTCAAGAGGTCAGAGTTCATAGTATCCTTTGTGAAAGTAGGTCAAAACATCGTCACAGTCAACAGTTTCTTACAATACAACAGGTGACTCAACACTCGTGACATTTGTTCCGGGTACAGAAAGCTTCGTGATGCGCTGTCGTGTTTCTCACGTTGTATGGACCTGTTCAGGAAGTGGGATGTGTATACACTATTAGACCGCGTAATCTGAGCTATCTAACCACATGATCATTAGCACGACTATTACGAATACGCTTGTGACAGTGTACTTCGCCTGAGTAGCGTGTCTGTTTACCACATCGCCGACCAGGTAACGGCGACTTCTTTCAATATGGCCTTCTTTCGCCAGCTCCGGCTGCTTATGTGGAAGAATTCCCTTCTACAACGCAAAAAGATTTGTGTGACTGTTTTTGAGATTCTTCTACCTCTCCTTTTTGCGGGAATATTTTTCAGCATGAGATTTCTAGTTCCTATAGAACACGAACCGGCAAGTATCTACCCACCTTCGGTCGTGGCCCGAGGCTTCGACGATTTTTATGAGGGAACTCAGATATTGTACTGGCCTAACAATACACTCATCAATGGCTTGATGACTGACGTGAATGCTACTGTAATTAACAACACACATTATCAACGTAAGTACAGCCTGAAGTATTACCATGCTATTTCAACTGACAAAATTGGAACTATGTAATAAAAAATGAAAAATTCATGACTTTTGTCCTGATGGTGGATTATTGCTCAATGTATAAAACTGCTGACACAGTGGAATGCTATACGCAGGGATTAAATGTCAAGGAGACATTTAAGTATTCGAGTATTAAAAAAGTAACTTAAGCTGAAGGAAAAAAATACACCAGTGAGCATTTGACATTACCGATAGAAGGACGATATACCGTTAAGATTTACCTCCCTTGATTGTAATATTCAAATGTTCTAACACAGGGCAGTGCACTAATCAAGGGATTTGTGTATCGGCTTTGTAAAGTCAAGAAGCCATGACTCGTATTTCCTGTCATCCATGGAATGTCTTTTTCCTGTCGAGCAGTATATAGAGAATCTCACCCTCGTGTCTTTTGATATCAAATATATCAACACGAGTTGATAAAAGTGGAAAAATTCCGAGGCTTGCCGAGGATTTTTGCGACTTTTATCAACGAGTGTCGGCTGAGTCTGAGTGGGATATTCATGTTAAACTGCGGAATGGTATCTCAGTGACAAGCACTATAAATCGGCATTAGTCCGGACTAGTACAAGCAGCCACACACACAGGTGGTAGCATACCTAGCCCCGGGGGGCACGGGGGGCCCAGTCGTCTGAGGCGCCGCGGTTCGCTGTGCAGAGTTGCGTCCCTCGGGCACATCAGAAACATATGATTGTAGGTTCGAATCCCGGTTCACCCCGATTATGTTTCTAGGTTTGTCAGCACCATACCCGTGCTCGTGGGTTTCGTCGAAGTGGTAAACGTATGATGCCTGCATCACTTCGGGCTTTCCTCCCACATTGAGCTGACACGCCTTGATATAAATGGAATACTGTTAAAAGCGGCGTTAAACCCAACTCACTTACCAATCTCCGTGGTGTCTTTAGATCCACTATGTCATACTGAAGGGTGTTTGACGCCACAGGCAGTAATATTCAAGCTATATCACCGTCAGCGGTCGAATCTGGGCCAGGCATGAGCATGAGACTAACTGGGGACCTATTCTCCAGGAATCCCAATGGGCTTCATTCAACCATATACATATGTTACATAAACATTAAGGTGACGGTCTTGTTTCAGATACACATTCGTTCAAAGGGTTTTCCGCCAGAAAAGACATGTTGGAATACTTCAGCATGAATTCTAACAATATTCCCTTTGCTGTTGAGTTTGAGAACGTTGCAAAGACAGACACGGTTTTGCCCAGGGAAGTGCTGCTCGCCATACGCCCCATATCGTATGAATACGACAACTGGCACACAAGAGATACCTTCCCTTTCATGGATTCAGGAACACCACGTTACGCCGGCAATCCTGGTAAGTAGTTCGTCAAAATCTGTATTATTTGGTAAATTTAATTATTCCTGATGCAAAACTACTTATGAATTGGAGCTTTAGTTCTACATTCAATCACCCAGTGAATACTCATGGTTCGGGACATGGATGTGGCAAGACCCAGACATTGAACGGCAATACTACCGTCACACACAAAAGGTGACACAATGCCATAGGGCTACAAAACAACAACGCATCAACAAAATATTTTTTCCACGACACAAACAATGAACAAAAAAAAAGAGCACACGACATGACACGTCAAAGGGGAGGTGAAATGGGGATTTACGACGCGTTCAAGATTATTGAAATAATACAGCATCGTTCATGCACGTGTGTTTAGCTGCTTGTGCTAGTCCGAACGTATGTCGCTTTTATAGTGTTAGTCCGCTGTGATATCAGTGAGTGAGTGGGTTGTGTTTAACGCTGCTTTTAACAGTATTCCAGTTATATCACGGCGTGTCAGCTAATGTGGGAGGAAAGCCCGAAGTGATGCATGTCTCAGACGTTTACCACTTCGGTGAAACCCACGAGCACGGGTATGGTGCTGACAAACCTAGAAACCTAATCGGGGCGAACCGGGATTCGAACCCACAATCATAGGTTTCTGGCGTGCCCAAGGGACGCAACTCTGCACAGCGAATCGCGGCGCCTTAGACGACTGGGCCACCCGTGCCCCCTCGCTGTAACATCAAGTGGCAGTTTAACATGAATACCCCACTTAAACATTGTATTCTGACTCCGAGCCGGCCAGTTTATATTTTATCTTCTGAATTCCCAGCCCCAGGCGCGGGTAACAACAAATACATTTTAACGTCTTTGGCATGACGAGGCAAGGAGATCGAAACCACGACTTCCCGTTCGTGAACAATCCGGGGAAATAATGTGTAAAAATATTGTACCTTTGGTAAAACATATTGTATTACTTTGTAAATGTAATTTTTGATTATGTACATTTAACTTTGATATTAATTATTAATTGGAGCTTCAACTACGTGAATCTTCGAGGCACAGGATATGGATGTTGCATAACCCAGACATTTAACGGCAATACTACCGCCTCGCAAAACACGTGACACAAATCCACTACATCATTGTTCCAAACACATCAACGACGATGAACATTACACGTAACACGACACATAACACTTATAACATCGTGATTCACATCAAAGGTGAGGAGAGGCGGGTTTTAACGAAATGGCGTTCAAGTTTAATGCATTTATTTAGCGACGTGCATGTTTAACGCCGCACTCAGCAATATTACAGCTATATGATGGCGGACTATAAATAATCAAGTCTGGACCAGACAGCCAAGTGATTGAAACCCTGAGCATCGATCCACGCAGTTGGGGGAATACGATGACATACATCAACCAAGTCAGCGATCCTGAACCCCCGATCCCCTTAGTGCCTTTTGCGACAAACATGGGTTCCTGAAGACTTGCCTCCACACAACCTTCGCAATTAAAAGCAACAAAGCCACTTCCATTACCTTAATAATTCAAAAGAGTACAAACTACGATTACGACTGCATCATGAGCACGTTTAATTAGTAATGATCATACGTGTTCGCAAAAGGTTTAGCGTATCCTGCCCCGGTGGCATTCATCACAGACACATGCAAAGGCAAGTCAAATGTTCCCTTGAACACACGAACATACAGTAGGGTATTGCATCGCACGCATTGTGGCTACTGATGCGTCAAGTCCTCCACATGTTTACCTTAAAACACTTTAAAAGCCCTTTCTAGGCCTTCAATGCTGTCCCGCAAACAACTTTTGACGGTCTTTAAAATCATACCCAGTTTTTGAAACATACCACATTCCATCAACAGATGTATCCTTGTATTTTCCTTGTATCAAAATTCATGTTCCTATTTTCAGACTACACGAACTTCATGACTGTCCAGCTTCTTCTATATGAAGCTATCATCAAACAACTCACCCCAAACTCAACTGATGTAATCAAGCAGCTGAATGTTCAGCTGATGCAAATGCCATTCCCGCCCTATATCGATGACACCATGATTCAGCTGCTGCAGTACATGTTTCCGGTGTTGCTGATGCTGAGCTTCATCCTGATGGCAATCCAGACAACGAAGGGAGTTGTTTACGAGAAGGAAAGAAAACTGAAAGTAAGCTTACGACCGCAGTTTCTATGCTAAAAATCGGACATATATGGATAGAGCCTGAGTGAGTTAAACGTCACATTATTTCACATTATTAAACGGCATTATTTCAGCCATAGATAGATAATGAGTGAGTATGGTTTTACGCCGCTTTTAGCAATATTCCAGCAATATCACCACGGGCGACACCAGAAATGGGCTTCACACATTGTACCCATGTCGGGAATCGAACCCAGGTCTTCGGCGTGACGGGCGAATGCTTTAACCACTAGGCTACCCGACCACCCCCATAGATAGATAGATAGATAGATATATGGTTTATCATTGAATAAAACTAAAAGAAACCTAAGGAAGAGATTATATGGATGTCAACTTGTTTATTATGAGGAACACAACGTATCGGAGTATTTGCTTACTCCTTCATCAGGTGAAAATGATGTGTTCCTCATAATAAACAAGTTGACATCCATATATTTTCTTCCTTATGTGAATCACGTCTAAATGCCTTTCAAAGACCTAAAAGAAACCTAAGTTTAAGAACGATTTACTTCACGAGGAAAACGTCACGTGAGTCACAACTATTATAACTGGCTGTATTGGGGTCCAACGCCCCTTGATCAACAATTATAATCGGGAGAATCAAAGATTCATACCCAGCGGATCCTTTTACTTATTCAAATGTCAAGACTTGACTTCATCCATCTATGTCACTGCAGGCATCCACGAAACTGATGGACCAACACAATGAAGTAACACAATGATCGTGGATCTTTCACCAGTTTATCCAATTTCGAATATTAAAACTTGACCACATCATCTATTTCTCCACAGGAGTCCATGAAGCTGATGGGTCTGAGTGCTGCAGCTCACTGGACTTCTTGGTTCCTGACCATCTTTATATATGTGGTAATAGTCATGGTCCTGTACGCTCTGTTGTGTGGCATTAATGTCAGTGGAAATGGAGCCGCTCTGGCCAAATCAGATCCCTCCCTGTTCTTTGTGTTCCTCCTCTGTTACGGCGTCTCCATCATCTCCTACTGCTTCATGATCAGCGTCTTCACTCAAAGAGGTAAATGTGTTTCAGTAGTTATTGGTTATACGTTACGTTCAAAGTACAGGATCGTAGCGTTTGAATTACGTTTGTGTGAAGATAATTGTTTTACACAAATCAACTGTTGTAAATATAAATGTTCACTGGATATCTTCTTTTGTCCGTTTGTTGTTTAACGCCGCAATCCAGCTATATGACGGCGGTCTTAAAATAATCGTGTCTTTACCAGGCAATCCAATGACTGACATCATGAGCATGATCAATGCAATTGGGATTATTACATAAGATGACATGCATCAACCAAGGCAGAGAAGTCTGCCCGTTACGACAAACATGGGTTGTTGAAGACCAGTTCTAACCCGGATATTCATGGGCCGGATATCTTGATATAAAGATATAAATGTACCCTGAAAAAGCTCCTTAGAAAACTCTTAACAAATAATTTGACTGGTATGATTGTCACAAGAGGGCGTTTCAATTTCCTGCAAGGCATTGACGTGAACGTTTTGAATGAACGCGGAAATGTAATAAAACATACTAAATCTTTTTCTTCCTTATAATTCAGCAAATATCGGAGCAGCAATCAGCGGGATCGTGTTCTTCATATCCTATTGCCCGTACTTCTACCTGCAGATCACATACCAGACAATGTCCAGGCCAGCTAAACTGGCTTCCTGTCTCCTGTTTAATGTGGGAATGGCGTTTGGTGCAAATGTCATATCACTCTATGAAGGAGCTGGTAGTTATATTCCGATCTGGTTGAATATTTAAGAGGCACTATCTAATATCTCACACTGTTACACTACAAAAATATAAATATGTCATCGATGTGAATCTTAATTGAAAAGGTCTTATATCTGTCAGATAGTTTAACATACCATACATATAATATCTGACAGGGGCACATTCTGTGATCTGTCAAATTGCTTTCATACCGTGTTTTAAACCATCTTGACATATAGATTTCATTTCCTGCAGGTTCTGGTGCGCAGTGGTCTAATTTTCACGAACCTGCCACTATAGATGACAACCTCTCCTTGCTGGACACCATGTTGATGTTGCTAGGCGACACGGCAATCCACCTCCTCATCACCTGGTATATGGACAATGTGTGGCCAGGGGAGTTTGGTGTACCGAGACCACTCTATTTCCCTTTCACTGTAAGTACATGAAGCATTTCAAGCAACATACATCACTGTAGGAATGACCTACTTTATACTACTCTGAATCAATTCAAACAACCTGAGGCATGGTCACGATAAAAAAACGCCAGATAATCAGTCTCGATTATCTTCCACTGGGCGTTAACGGGTAACTGGCGGCGAATTAACACCGGGTGTTCACGAAAAGGGTCAGACTGTCCTGCCATACCGGTTACACCCGCCACTCGCACATCTGGTTTGTTTGTTGCGTGATGTCGCACACCAGTACTCCTGAAGTACGATGCCACTGAGGCATTACCAGTACAAACAACTAGCCCAACCGAAATCAATAGAACTTTGAGCAACTCTACCAAGTTTCATGCAACAGTTGTAATTTCGGGGATTGGACATCTTCCCGAGGCAAGGGAGGTAACTGACTATAAAAGTGCAGTTCCCACCCTTGCCGAACTAGGCTGGTATTATGGAGTTACATTTTGGCTGGACTAACGAGTCTATGCATAGTCCAATCAAAATCGCGCAACGAAATCGGAATCCGGTTCGTAAACTGTCGTGCAGATTTCGGTCGAGTGCGGGATTTGCAAAGCAAGTGCACCGCCAACTCGTTGTCAACAGATATTTTCCAAACCTTTTCATGTTTTTAATCAAGGTGCTCGCGTGATTTGATGTACTTCGCGATATAAGACCCCTTTTATAACGATATAGATCTTCGATCGATCAGATCGTCTTGACTGGGCGCCGCCATTTTGGTTGAAACAAATGCAAGTGATGGAATCGGATTGGTCCATAGGAGAGGCTGAGAAGGGACATAACCGGTAATAGTCACTGGGGGCGCTACGATCGAGCCCAGGAATTCAAGTCTAGTTCGGCAAAGGTGGAAACTGGACTTTTAAAGTCAGTTAACTCTCTTGCCTCGGGAGGATGGGGATTGAAAGGTCCTGTGGTATATATGTATATCCACCAGGAAATATGATGTATATCCACCAGGAAATATGACCATCTTATTACATATCTGAAAGCACCATCACAATATTGAGTGATCATACCTGAACACTGAGTTGAGAGACACCATTTGGTATCTCTAATACAGTAAACTACGGTTATAACGAACTCAAAGGGACTGCTAATTTTAGTTCGTAATAGCCGTAGTTCGTTATAAGCATATATACAGATTATATTCAACAAATGGCCTGACTGAAAACTAAGTTCGTTATATCGGTCAATTCGTTATAAGAGTGTTCGTTATAAACGTAGTATATTGTATATTCAAATATTATTTGTTGAACCAGAGAACATACTGGTGTGGAACAAAGCAGATAAAAGATGATTATTCGACTGTTGGACATTGGGATGAGAAGCACTTTGAGAAGGAACCAAGTGGATTGACCACTGGAATATCTATCAATAACCTAAAAAAGGTATGTATAAAAAGGACGGTGAAAGGTCGTACGGATTGATAACATTTGTTCTTGTGATATTAATATTACAATTTTCAAGACTGAACATGTATTCGATGTACACCGGAAACACATTCATCATATACCACCCCACCTATCCTATGTGGGCGATTGTGTAGTAGTTAAAGCTTTGCTCGTAACGCCGAAGACCCAGATTCCTTTCCCTACATGGGTACGATGTCTGAAGCCTATTTCTGGTCTTCCCCCGTCGCCGTATTGCTGCAATGGTGTTGAAGCGGCATAAAAACACACTCACACACGCACTCACTATTTTTCATGTGTTTTACCGTTGCTAAGTAACCACCAACCATCATGTTGATTGATATGCACCTGCTCTGTTACTTTGATGTCTTGAACTGTTTTACATTTATATGATATATTTCCTGGAAGGTTTTCGGCTCCGGGTCTAAGCAAAAGGTAGCTGTGGACGGGATGAGTCTCAACATGTTCGAGGGTCAGATCTCTGTTCTCCTGGGTCACAACGGCGCTGGAAAAACTACAACCATGTCTGTTCTGACAGGTACATTAAAGAAACTTGTTCATTGTGCTATGTAGCAAAGTTACACAGTGGTATATGAAATACATTCAACACTGCTAGCAACAGATTCATCACACACTCAATTGAGTAGGGTTTTTGTATATTAAGGTATTTTGTGGGATAACGGGCTGACCCTTTCATATTTAGGATTCTTTTAGAATTCAAGGATATATTGTCATAAAGGCCAAAAGACCCAAAGTACATACATGTTGAAGGTCACATGACTCACAACAACGCAGACCATTAGCAGCACACATGGTAAGATAAGATTGGTTTGTTCGTTATTTAACGCCACACTTAGCAATGATACAGCTATTACGTTTGTGTGAAGATAATTGTTTTACACAAATCAACTGTTGTAAATATAAATGTTCACTTGATATCTCTTTTGTCCGTTTGTTGTTTAACGCCGCAATCCAGCTATATGACGGCGGTCTGTAAATAATCTACACCAGACAATCTAGTGATTGATATCATGAGCATCAATCCACGCCATTGGAATACGATGACATGCATTAACCAAGTCAGCGAGCCTGACCACTAGTCGACTCTTACGACAAGCATAGTTGCCTTTTACGGCAAGCATGGGGGGTTACTGAAGACCTATTCTACCCGGGCCTTGAGTATATTAAGCTCACAGGTGATTTCTTATTTGAAATAAATGATAAGCATATGTTGCAATGTTCAAATTCATCTCATGTCACGGTTTAAAAATATGTTTACAAATATTTACTTATTTAGAGGACAACTGAAGATTCTGCGCCCTTCATTTTTAAGCAAATTACATAATGGACTCAATCATCTAAATTATCAGAGAAGTATTTCTTACGTATTTCAGGACACCAAGTATATTATTACCAATTTAAGTTTTAATAATGCAGTTCTATACTTAGAAATATTATTATAGTTCCCACGTCGAAAACGTGATTTAAATTGTGTATAAAATCATAAAGAGGGGTTCGAGACCATTGATTACTGCTAATCTTGAAAATTACAATCTCTAACTCGTTGTTTAAATAGCTGGTCTTGTTTTAGTTCTTGTAGCTGTGCGCCTGTTATCCGTGTTTGTGTTTGTACTTGTATTTTATATTGAGTTCAGTGGATTTTTTTTTAAAACATATCAGTTGTTTCAGGTAATAATGGAACATTGATTTTGCTGTCAAGAAATTATGTCTTGAAATTTCAGATAATACTTACATTCCTTGTGACCTCGTGTGAATTTAATATCTTATAAAATTGTGTTTATGTCGTCTGTGATTTCACGCTGGTATGGATACTTTATATTGCGTGAAATGTACACAAAACCTGTCCATGTAATCTGACAGGAAGGTTAAATATAGTATTATTTGGTAATCAATCCAAACCATTACCATTCCGCATTCGTATTAGGCATCACTTGGTGCATCCTCATTTCTTAACTGGAATAAGAAACAAAGTGACACTTTTATAATTTGAAGGTTTTATACCTGCTTCTGGAGGCACCGCCATTGTGAACGGTTACGACATTAACAACGACATCCAGAGTGTCCGACAGAGTCTAGGTCTCTGTCCTCAACACAACATCCTGTTTGACAGTCTGACCGTTCAGGAACATCTCGAGTTCTTTGCCTGTGTAAGTTTAAACTGTTTTCTGTCGGGGTATGACATGTGAGGTATTTTCAAAATACAAGGTCCGTTATGTTCAGTACTATTTATATGAAAATTGAACATGTACCGTTAAAGATATAAGAGATCGTATTCATTCTCGTGGAAAGATAACTGATGAATGTTGAAAGTTTTTTGGTTGGTTGAATATTTCAAACTTGGTGTTTTTTTAAGTGCTGGTTAGACATGATTAAATTATATTGGCAGAATGTCAGCACAGTGCATTTACTTTTATCCTTAGAATAGACATACATTATGATTGAACGAACGAGATTTTGTTCGTAGAAGAGGTATTATTGTGTAAACGAGACATCCAAGTCAACAGTCAACATTTATTGCACAATCTTTTTTATAGTTGAAAGGTTGTCCAAGTACCGATGTTAAAACCGAAGTTGACACTACCATCAATGAAGTTGGCCTGAGTTTAAAGAAACGCACCCAGTCTCAGCATCTATCTGGAGGGCAGAAGAGGAAGCTTTCTGTTGGCATTGCTCTGATTGGAGGCTCGAAGGTATGTCATCAAAAGCACACGCAAAGCTTCCTGTGTAAACGCATTTGTCTTTGTACCAAATTATTTATTGTGTATGATATATGATTATAGATCGTGATCTTAGACGAGCCTACTTCCGGTATGGATCCTGCAGCCAGGAGACAGACATGGGACATCTTCCAGAGGAACAGACAGGGCCGGACAATGCTGCTGACCACTCACTTCATGGACGAAGCTGACGTTCTCGGCGACCGCATCGCCATCATGGCAGAAGGGGTGGTCAAGTGCTGTGGGACATCGTACTTCCTGAAGAAACTCTATGGCATGTGATGTTCCAAAAAACTTTGCACATTATTCATGACAGCTTATACAAAATGTAACCTGACCTACCTGCAACATGTATCAGTACTTGAAAAAACACACCGTCTGTACAGTTGTTATAACGTTATGTCGGGTTACGTTTGTGATAGAACATAGAATTATTTTACTTATGACGTGTTTGTAATATACTACCACGTGTTTCCCAGCGCTGCAGAAAAACAAACTTTCTAAGGTGTCATTCCGTCGTTTCAGGAGCTGGCTACCACCTGGTGATGGTGAAGGAACCCACCTGTCAGGTGGCATCAGTGACGGCAGTTGTCCAGCAACACGTCCCTACAGCAGTCATGGAGAGTGAGATCAATGCTGAACTCTCCTACCTGCTGCCTGATGACCAGTCAGCCAAATTTGCTGCTCTCTTCACAGAAATTGAAAGTCGGGCAAAGGAACTGGGTATTACCAGTTTCGGTACATCCGCCACAACCATGGAAGAGGTGTTTCTAAAGTAAGTGACCAAGTGAATTTTGTTTAAGGCTGCAGTCAGCTTTTGTCTGCCTATGTTATTTTAAATAGTAAATATGTAAATAATAGTGTCGGTCAGACCTGTCGTTGACAGGACGATCAGCGTTCAACCAAGTAGGGTAAAACTCAATAAACTAAATAACACATTGCAAATATCCTACCATCATTATTAACTATGGGCATATTCTTGGGAAAAAAAGGAAGGATCACCTGTCATATTATTTTTGCTCTTCACTGTAATGGATATGAATATTTATGTCATACATAACAGCAGAGGTTATGTGTCTTAAAAACTTATATTTTATTAGTATACAAAGACATGTATAAATACAAGCTTTAATTTAAATTAGCTCAGTATGGAAAATATTTCACTGAATTTTCCTCTTTGATAGGGCTGGTGAAGAGGAGCAAGTTGAAGAGCAAGGTTATGACAACGACTCAGTGGGATCCACAGACAACTTGTTATGTAACGGCGGCTACAATCATCAAGCTACAGGGTTGGCGGGAATTTTAGGTATATAAATATACACTGTCGCATGTCAATATTCCAGCTATATGACGGAGGTCTGTAAATAATCGAGTCCGGAACAGACAATCCGGTGATTGATAGCATTAGCATAGATCCACAATCACCCAAGTCAGTGAGCCTGACCACCCGATCACGTTAGTCGTCTCTTACAAATATTAATGGAAGGACCATTAGATATTCGAGGGGGGGGGGGGGGGGGGTCCTTGGGGGATATCAAATTGGGGTGGGGATGATGGGAAGGGGCTGTGATTTCATATCGAGATTAGATTTATTTTCATCTGCAGCTACAAAATCAGATATTCTTTTTAATCTTTGAGCATACAGGGTTTTTTTTAACAAATACACCTGGGAACAATGTGGCAGGCATTGTGGAATTTTTGAATCCATACTTCATACAATTTATGATGTTGCGACTACACGAGACTTTGCAATGAAGGTAAATTTTACTTCACAAAATATCCCTTCATAGATAATGGATCTAGCTTTAATTCGTGTTTTATTGTTTTTCTAATGAAGAGAATGATTAACAGCTGATTGAATGAGGCTTACGTGGGATGAAAATTCAATTATGAAAACCAAATGCATAGGTAAATGACGCAGTAACTTACATGTTGTGATCAATAATACATATAATGCACATTTCAGAACATTTCCATCACCCTATGAACATTCTATTAAATAGTTGTCTCCCCTGAATACGATAAATAATCACTCGCATGTAATATTTTTTGTTGGTCCAGAATTCAATGAGGGGTTCATCAAAACCAAAGGTGTAATGTTGGAGCTGTCTCGCTTCAGAGGAATGTTTGTGAAGAAGGCTCTTCACACATGGAGGAATAGGACCATCACCATTGTCCAGCTTCTGTTGCCTGTCATATTTACTATTGTTGCTCTGGTTGTCGGCCAGATAAATTTTGGAAGAGAGGCTGACGTTCCACTGACTCTGGACTTGAAACCATTCAAAGGAACATTTGTCCCATATCTTGATGGTCCAACGACAGGAGACCTGGGATCGCTGCCACAGGAGTATGCCAAGGCATACAGTGATCAGTTCAGGGGAACTGTCAACAAAGTCGAGAAAGTTGATCTGTCAAAGTATCACAATGTAACAAATTATTTCTTAGCAAGAGCAAGAGACCTTGGCATCGGTGGATACAACAAGAAAATGATCATCGGAGCACAGTTTAAATCTAGCCAAGGCGTAATTGGTTTTTTTAATAGCCAGCCTTACCATGGTCAACCCATAGCTTTGTCTTTCATGATGAATGCAATACTCAAACATTTTACATCTCAGGATCATTCGATCACCACAATCAACAACCCACTTCCTTTTGATGCAAAGAGATCATCGGATGACATAGAGGGACTTGCAACTACACTTGGCTTTTCTATTGCTTTTTGTCTCCTGTTTGGTATGGCCTTCCTAACTTCATCCTTCGTGTACTTCCTCATCAAGGAGAGACTGGTTGGCGCCAAACATCTTCAGATTGTTAGTGGAGTTGGACCATTTGTCTTCTGGTTGTCCAACTTTGTCTGGGACTACATCAACTACCTGATTCCATCCCTGTTGCTGCTGGTTGTGTTTGCAGGATTCCAGTCGCCAGCATATACAGAAGATGGGAGATTAGGCATCGTGTTCCTCATCCTGCTTGTGTATGGTTTGGCAGTTCTGCCCTTCATGTATGCTCTTCAGAATATGTTCAAGTCCCCTCCTACCGGAATGGTTGTCATCATCATCTTGAATATCATCACAGGTAAACATGTTATTATATTGTATAGAAACCGTAAAGAAATGTTGCCCTTACAAAACATGTAGTGCATTAGCACTAGGCTTTAAGTATAATCTTATGTTGCTTCAAAGAAACCAAACGTCTCGACTGTATCAAACGGTCTTTTTTTAGATCTGTGGGCGTTATGTTTATTCATGTCTCTATCATTTTGTTTTCAACAGGCTTGGCAACACTTTTGACAGTATTCATGCTGACCATAGTGGAAAAGAAAGCAGAAGCTGATACTGCAGACTGGGTGTTTCTACTGATATTTCCTCACTACAACTTTGGCAAGTCCTACATGGACATGTACAGCAACTATTTGTACCTGGATAGTTGCACCAAGCAAAACTACACTTTCCTTTGTGTGACATCGCCAAGTAATCCATGTTGCATACACAACGGTGGGTTAATATAGTCATTCCATATTTGATATGCAAGATTTAGAAAGTGAGTTACAATTTACTGCTGCATTGGCATTTTTACTCTTTTAACAGACGAGGATAATTTGGTGAGTGAGGTGCTTGCTAGGCAGAAATACAGATAAAAGTGTAATTAAGAAAGGGCTTAATACAGATTATCGGAAAGCGCCAATAATGTTTTACCTATTCACAAGCTATAATTTCTATCAGGCCCTGGTGATAGAGGCCTACATTTTGTAAATAACAAATGTTTAAAATGTCAGAGTGTACTGTCTGCGCAATATGGAACATACAGAATAGTTGTTGTTGTTTTTGCAGGAACGTGTGGTGACTATTGCTATGAATTTACTGAAAACTTCCTCGATTGGGACTCTCCGGGAGTCGGACGCTATGTTGTCTTCATGCTGTTCCAGGCAGTGGTTTATATGTCTGTGACACTGTTCATTGAGTATCAGATACCGCAGAGAATCTGGTATGCCTTCAGACCACAGGAAACGGAAGAACCACAACCCGGTGCATCGTTCTTCAGTCCAATTCAACACGTTCCAGAGGATGGAGATGTTCTCAGTGAGAGGCAACGCATTGATGAATTACCCATTGGAATCGGGAACTCAGATGCACTGGTCCTGAAGGACGTTTACAAACGATACGGGAACTTCGTTGCTGTTGATCATCTGAGTGTGGGCATACCAGAGAAGGAGTGTTTTGGTCTCCTTGGACAAAACGGTGCAGGAAAGACAACCACATTTAAAATGATTACTGGAGATGTAATGCTGACACATGGAAATGTTTTCTTGCAGTCTTATGACATCAAGAATCATACACAAAAGGTAACAATGTTCTCAGTGTTTTGCATGCCATTGTGACGTTAATGACACCACTAATAAATCTGCCACTGACTTTGTATTATTTACACGCACGACACTCGTTATTGATGTTTACAAACAGACAAGGGATGGAGGAATGATTTTAGATAATAACTAGAATCTCACCCTCATGTCTACCAAGCTCAGATATATCAAGACTCGTTGATACATTGTAACATATGACAACTCAATGTCGATATGTTTGATCTCGTTTGACACGAGGATGAGATTCTATGTTCATACTGCAGTATATACCATTAGTGAATTGTGCTTTATGACGCTGTCAGCATCAGACCAGCTATATCACCGATGCCTGTAATCAAAATTGCCAATCCACTCATTAAAATGTTTTCTTGCGGCAGCATTTTGAAAGTATTCAAGAATCGAACTCAAAAGTTTGCACACTTCATAAGATACATTTTTAGTATACATGATGGTATACTTCTGACTAAATTATATGTTCACTTTTTACATTCGGGCAAAGAATCTGCTACATATGTTTCTCTTATTGATGACAGGTGCAGGAGAACATGGGCTACTGTCCCCAGTTTGATGCTCTGATTGACCAGATGACAGGAAGAGAGACTCTCACCATGTACGCCAGACTCAAGGGAGTGCCGGAGAGCTGCATCAAAGCCGTCTGTGACAACCTGCTGAATATCATGATGCTCAGGCAGTATTCAGACAAACCAACATCGGAGTACAGGTTGATTGCATTCAAACACATTATGTATATATCCAATCATCACTTGAGTCTTGTGAACAAACACTTCCGAAACACTTTGTAATAATTTATGAGATCATACTCAAGCCAAACATGTTGAAATTCTTTTATTTCTTAACTTGCTACCTTATGATATAACAAACGTTGTTTGATACAGTGGAGGCAACAAGCGTAAGCTGAGCACCGCTATCGCTCTGGTTGGAGACCCGGCCTTCATCATGCTGGATGAGCCGTCCACAGGGATGGACCCCAAGGCCAGGAGGCAGCTCTGGAACGTCCTGTCAAAGGTCCGGGAACGTGGTAGGACCCTCGTGCTCACGTCTCACAGGTTAGTGAAAAAGGTTTTAATTGATGTAAAGTTGCTGTAGACCTTAAAAGTTACCCTGCAATTAACATGGGTTCCTGACCTTTCAGCATGGAAGAATGTGACGCTCTTTGTACAAGAATTGCCATCATGGTGAATGGAAGATTTGTGTGTCTTGGAACACCACAACATTTGAAGACCAAATTCGGCCAGGGCTACACGCTGATAGCTAGGATGAAAACAGTTGAAACAGGAGTATCAGAAGAAAGGGCTCCCGCTTTAACTGAACCTCTGGTGAACTTCATCACAGCAACCTTTCCTGAAACCAAGGTGTTCGACGACCACCAGGGCTATGTTCACTTCCAAGTTCCTTACAACGCCGTCAGTCTCGCCCAGGTCTTCACGGTGATGGAACAATCCAAGGCGCAGTTCTCTGTCGAGGACTATTCAGTTCACCAAACTACCCTTGAACAAGTGTTCCTTTCATTTACACGTTCGCAAGTTCCACCAAAGGAGGATAAAACAAGCCGTTGCAAGAGACTATGCTGCTGCTGTTAAAAATATAATTATAGAGTATGGGGAATAACATCACAGTTGAGAAGTATTATCTGTTATATTATTACAACACATCCGGTGTAGAGACTTGGTCATGTGATGCCTAAGTACTCTAGATCATAGCTTAAATGTTTTCTCGTCCAGACATTTGTTTCCTGGTACAGAGAGTGACATATCAACATTCCATGGATGCCACCTATAAATTCCAATGTAGTTAAACGAAGGCATTTAATGTCAAGGTTTAACTCTTTTTTTTCACATTTGCATCAAAATGTATTACCTCATACATACATTACAGACATTCTGTCAGCATATGAATATGCCTCTTTGTATGTCGACATGACATGACATGTATGAGACAAAAGGGATGGTAATTTCTTTTCAGTTACTATTGTTATGAACTATTTAGAAACAATCTGTAATTATCACATATTCTCATTAAAGTTTCCAATGACAATTAAACATAAGATAAGTATCTAGAAGAAAGAAATGAAAAATATCAGATAATGCCATAAGAAAACAAACATTTGAAAGTAAACAGGGAAGTTTTATATTAAATGACTGTATCCCTCTCACAGCATCACAATATCACATTATTAATAAATGTTCTTGAATAAAAACCAATTTAGAAATTATATTTAGAAATTACAAGAAATGTAATCATGCAAAACTGTACTAGTCAACCACATTGTTGCCTACACTTCAGCTCCTGTTCTACACTGTAAATGTTCTTACTTAATGTTGAACCGCCTCCGTGGTCTAGAGGTAGAGCGTCCGCCCGGAGAGCGGAAGGTCCGGGGCTCGATCCCCGGCTGCGTCATACCAAAAGACGTTAAAAGATGGTACTTGTTGTTACCCTGTCTGGCGCTCGGCATTAAGGGGCTAAAACAAGGACTGGTCGGCTCGGAGTCAGTATACTGTGTCTGAGTGAGGTATTTTATGTTAAACTGCGGCATGGTATCTCAGTATGCTTGCACTATAAATCGGCATCAGTCCGGACTAGTACAAGCAGCCACACAAACGCGTACATGCACGTCGCTATGTAAATTGCAATAATCTTGGTCGCGACGTTAAACCCAATTTCACCTCACCTCACTTAATGTTGAGAAATAACTGTGTATGTCATGTTGGTGAGTCTAAAATGGGCAATATTCTTAAATATGTTACCATAATATAGTTTGATACAAATAATGCTTCTTCACAAACAACTTTTCTCAAAGTATTTATGAAGCAATCTATAATAAAAGTGTTGTTCGACTCTAGTTTTCGTTGATCACCTGTTCTCAAGGTTTGGGGACCCGTGAAGATCCGGGGTAAAATAGGTCTTCAGCAACCCATGCTTGCCGTAAAAGGCGACTTTGCTTGTCGTTAGAGGCGACTAACGGGATCGGGTGGTCAGGCTCGCTTACTTGTACATACATACATACATACATACATACATACATACATACATACATACATACATACATACATACATACATACATACATACATACATACATACATACATACATACATACATACATACATACATACATACATACATACATACATACATACATACATACATACATACATACATACATACATACATACATGCATGGGTTTCACCGAAGTGGTAAACGTCTAAGACCTGCATCACTTCGGGCTTTCCTCCCACATTAAGCTGACACGCCGCGATATAACTGGAATACTGTTAAAAGCGGCGTTAAACCGAACTCACTCACTCACTCACGGTATGGGTATACACCCATCTGTCTCAATAGATAACTGATGTGAGCAACAACGGAACTGTGCAATAGCATATCCGAATTTACTTGTTGTTATTGATATAAGGCTCAAAAGAAATTTGATTTTTGAACAATAAATAATGAAAGATCTGAGAACTACCCCACATCTCAGTATGCCAGACCTGTTGGTGGGTGACATTTAATCTACAAATAAATTCTGCTGTGAACGATTCCTGACTGTCAACTTTATGGTTTTCCCAAATAAATATATATTTTAAGGAGGGACTTAATCTTTGATGTCAAGTTGTTTTTTTCCATTGTTAAATGCCTGATATAACATTTCATTGGGTAAACATTGTTTTGGATACCGTGAACCTGGCGTTTATAACAATTCACAATAATATTTAATACAACTTTTAAACGCCACTATATAAAGTGGATATCTACCCCATTATCATCACATATCAAGCTGTATGGCATGTGGGTGTAACTGGACACCAGGTCCAGAGTTCTGTTCTATATCTCTTGCTAGATATCAATAAATCCTCTAAAAAGAAACGGGCTTAAAATGCACCTTTGTCGGACTCCGAGATTACTTAATATTACAGTAGGCGGATGGGATTAAATAGCCTTGATCGGTTCATTCGCAGGACGACGACCCCCTGTGTCGTATGAAAACAAACTAGCAAAAAGTGAGGTCGTCGTCCTGCGAATATTTTAATTCGCAGATCTAATTAAACAATGGGTATCGAGTATTTTAACAACTTGAGCAAGTAAAAACGTGGAATTGGATTTGAAACGAACGAAAGAAAGACAATTAGGGTGGAATATTGATTTATTTACAAATAATTTGAATGTATATGTACAAAATGACGTACATATAAGATTCACAAAAGTCATGGGCAATTAAGACAGTTTGAGAAGATGAGAGACTGAGTCAGCAAAGAAAGTTACGCTGACTTCATTCTTCAACCCCCTTGATCTTCCCATCCGCCGACTCATTAAGCAATAATCACTACACCTATAAACATATCCTGTTTAACTGGCTTCGTGTCCCATTGGCTTCCTCCTATCAATTCTCTGCCTATCATGTTGTTACAGTTTTATCCTTCTGTTGTCATCACTTACTGGTGTTATCCCACTCATGTATGCAATTGTTGTACCTGTTAATCCCTAACTGTGAATTCTCAACTACTACATATATTCTGTACAATGTTCCTCATTCAGTCTTGCTTGACAACGGTATAAGGATTTATACCGAAACGTCGCCTTAACAGTATTAAAGAAGTTGTTATCCATAAATTGGGTCTACTTTGTCATCCGTCAACTTCTAAGGAATACCTATCAAACAAAACGTTCAGTCACCTTTCGTGAAACACCATAATGCCAATTTTTAAGCACAATCCATTAGAGCCGACCGCTTTTGAGAAATCAACAAATAAAGTATACTTTCTGTGAAAGGTATCTCTGGATGATAGCCTATAAAGTAAACAAAATGTCAACGCAAGAGTGTCCACAACGACATCCCGCCTGACACTCTGACATTTTGACTCCAAGACTGTAATCTTTTGTTGATAATATGAGTATTTAGCTTACTAAAAACACTCAATATTGTTATACCTCTGCAATTTTAACTGGCAACCTGGTTTTTCCCCCTTTTTTATGAGAAATGTAACCAGCTGTCCAAGAATTTGGAAACAGTTGATTCAAACATACTGTTAATCAGGAATGTGAAAAAAGAACAATAATGTCAGACGAATGATTGAACATTTCTACAATTAGCTTATCATCACCCGCTGATTTTCTAGTTTTAAGACGTCATAACGACTTGTTCAATAGGAAAGTCTAAGATGGATTGTGTTACATCATCCCGACTTATACTATCAATCAATCTCATTAAAATCATATCTTAGTTCGCACTAGCGCAAAACAAAGATCTGAGGACATCCCATTAGGGGTCACGTCAGAACAACCTTTTATCCGACCAATCAGAGCGTCCCTTACCAGATCATGAAAGCGTCACTCGGAATGTGATTTCTAATCTAATCGGAATGTAGTTTCTAAACCTCGAAAACTTTAACAGGGGGTATTCCGAACGATAGTTACGGGCTTAACGACTACAATGGAATCAAGACCATCTATTAGCTATTCGAGAATGTTCTTTTGTTCAGGTTTCAAATTTTTAATCGAGAATTTGTCAAAATATGTTTCGAAGCGTAGTCGCCTGATTTTAATGAGATTGTATTATCAATACAATGTTCTTCGTCTGCAATTTCCTCGGATTCAGAATCAAGTAAAATCAAAGTACTCATAACTAGCTTCATACTAATACTAAGTTTATGTTTGACAGTACCTATTGATAGGCGTTTCAATGAACCAAAAATCTTTACTATCTACAAGTTCTTCAATATTTTACATTGAATATTATCCTGATAAATCTTCCTCTCCTCACGAAGTTTTTGTCTGTTTAACAGAATATAACCAGCTAATGATTGTTTATTTTGATGTAATCTAAATGCCTTCAATGATCTTAATTTCTCGCAACGGTAATAGTAACATTTATTATCAAACCAAGGTTCTTAAAGGAACACTAAATCTACTTCTTGTAATACAGCTTGCAGTAGAATACTTTATATAGCTAAATAACTGCGTCATACAGGGAATTCAAATATATTACTTCAGAACAAGTATCAAGTATGGATACAGAGGTGAGGTGAAATGGGGTTTAACGTCGCGTCCAAGATTATTGCACTTACATAGCGACGTGCATGTACGCGTTTGTGTGGCTGCTTGTACTAGTCCGGACTGATACCGATTTATAGTGCTAGCACACTGAGATACCATGCCGCAGTTTAACATGAATATCCCACTCGGACACAGTATACTGACTCCGAGCCGACCAGTCATTGTTTTAGCCCCTTGATGCCGAGCGCCAGACAGGGTAACAACAAGTACCATCTTTTAACGTCTTTTTGTATGACGCGGCCGGGGATCGAGCCCCGGACCTTCCGCTCTCCGGGCAGACGCTCTACCACTAGACCACGGAGGCGGTCTGGATACAGAGTCTACTAAGAGTAAAAAGTCTTCAAATAAACCTACCTTGTCCTCGCTCCACACAACACGGTAACTGTCACCTGGTTACCGTGCATCACAGACACAGGAAGTCACCTATCCAGACGTCAGTACCACAGCGTCCATTAAATATGAATAAATTCGAAATATTGCAAGTATTTAGTAATGGTTCCAATACTTGTTCACCATTTTATCACAGGAGGACCTTTTAACATTCATACTGTCACATAATGCTGAAAGATATTGTATTTTAAGTCGATGGGCATCATCATCATCATCATCATCAACCACACCAGCGATGATCCTGTTCGCCCGTTGAAATCTCCACTAAGTAGGATATGAAGATGCCCAAACTTTTGTATTAAATCTAGCAGTGTTTCAAGCAATGTATACCCTAAAAAAGAAAACGTAAAAGTGATTTTACTTTTAGATTTTATAGATCATATGAATTATCAAGAGATGGTAATCGATTGTTCAAAACTGTCACACATCACTGTCATTGACCCAGGTTCCATATGGCACACATGGAACAGTTGATTTTCAAGGTGAAGGTCATCTGTTCTCTATGACTTGATACTATGTCTTGGCACTATTGACGCCGCAGCCGAAGATGCAGGTCAGTCAAAATGACACTTCGAACTGGTAGTCTAGCGTTAGTGTGTTCCGGCGTCAGGCTCTCCCGTGATCGTGTTTTTGAGATTTTTTCATCTTAGTTTCAATTCCAGAAACATTCAGAAGATAAAATCTAGAGGACGTCTGCGCGTTTGTTCTGGCTCAGGTCCGTGGCCATACCCCAATGCACTGTTAGTCTCGTTGGGGTTGGTGGTGGTGTCTCTGTGTCACGGGCAGGCGGAAGGTGGATTCTGTCCCGGGCATGGGTAGGCGTTTTTCGTTTCGGATTCTTTTCTTTCACCAACTGTCCACTTTTACAATATCCTCTTTTATTGCTGAGTCGCAGGTTCTGTTGCACCTACATGTATCTCTGTGTTTAGTAAGGTCATAAGCAAGTTATTTTCAATAACATCTATTCGTTCAACAATTATAGCGTGAAGGCGAGGCGTAGTATTTGCTGATAATATATATGTCAATATGTATCTCATTCATACACCTGTTTAATTTCATGATATCCGCTTCGATGTTCTCATTCCTCTGGAGGGGCGGTCGGCTACAATGTGTGAAGCCTATTTCTGGTGTCCCCTGCCGTGATATTGATGGAAGATTGCTAACAGCGGCGTAAAATCAAACTCACTCACTCATTTCTCTGGAGGGGCGGTCGGCTACAATGTGTGAAGCCTATTTCTGGTGTCCCCTGCCGTGATATTGATGGAAGATTGCTAACAGCGGCGTAAAATCAAACTCACTCACTCATTTCTCTGGAGGGGCGGTCGGCTACAATGTGTGAAGCCTATTTCTGGTGTCCCCTGCCGTGATATTGATGGAAGATTGCTAACAGCGGCGTAAAATCAAACTCACTCACTCATTTCTCTGGAGGGGCGGTCGGCTAAAATGTGTGAAGCCTATTTCTGGTGTCCCCTGCCGTGATATTGATGGAAGATTGCTAACAGCGGCGTAAAATCAAACTCACTCACTCATTTCTCTGGAGGGGCGGTCGGCTACAATGTGTGAAGCCCATTTCTGGTGTCCCCTGCTGTGATATTGATGGAAGATTGCTAACAGCGGCGTAAAATCAAACTCACTCACTCATTTCTCTGGAGGGGCGGTCGGCTACAATGTGTGAAGCCTATTTCTGGTGTCCCCTGCCGTGATATTGATGGAAGATTGCTAACAGCGGCGTAAAATCAAACTCACTCACTCATTTCTCTGGACAGCTCATTTTTCATCGTTCGAAGTTCGATTAAAATATCATCTTTCCCTGAAAAGACATGTTGGATTTGGGTTTGGCTTGTAGTTATCGGTCCTGGGCTAAGCTCTATGTCCCTCGATAACAAGAACTGACAATGTGTGTGAGGCACAACTGCTCCCAGACTCAACTACAGCACAGGTTGTACAACAATCCGAAATATTCCGAAATTACAATTTCTTGGTTGGACTGATTTTTTTTATCCGTGCAAAGTTTGGTCAGGAAATATTGAACTGGTCTTTATATTATGCTCCGCAAACGCGACGGGCGGAAAGATGCACCGACTTCACCCATTCCAATGTACCAAATTTGTGGCGGGTGATTAGGATGTGTGTAATTGGGTAGTGGCGGTATTCAGAAGAAAATGTTCACAGCGTTAGTCACTATTAATGTTTATCAAAACACACAAAAATAACCCATCAACGATTCATATGTAGCACATAAGAAAATATTACAAAAACATATATCTGAGATTACCCCGTTCAAAGTTTCCTGTCATCCAAGGCGCCGCAATTCGCTTAAGCGCCAGAAGTCTATCCTCCACATGAAGTCTTAGATGATGCAATTCGCTCTGTAGAGTTGCGTCTCTTGGGCAAACATGAAACCTATGGTCGTGGGTTCGAATCCCAGTTCGCAACAATGCTGTTTCTTGGTTTTTCAGCGCCATACCCGTCTTCGTTGGTTTCACCAAAGTGGTAAACGTCTGAGACCTGCATCACTTCGGGCCTACCCCCTACATCAAGCTGACACGCCGTGATATAACTGGAATACTGTTCAAAGCAGCGATAAGCCTAACTCATTCACTCATGTTCCAATACTATCCAATAACTACAAATGCCGTGACCGCATTCCCGACCAGGTCGTTATCAGCAGAGGAGAGATAAGCGTGTCTACAGTTCGGCAACACACTGTGAGCAGCTATAACTCTGCAAATAGCTTGCGAAGGCGTTGTGACATGTGATTAATATGCATTTCGCAAGGGGTACATCGGTCGATCATATACACCAGTGAGCAATACACTGACCTCGACAAACAACAGAAACGACCATCCTCGTGGTGTATGGGATTCATATACCCAACAAACATATCCACTGAGCAGTCTTCATAGCCACGTTGCTAGGCGACCTTGCAATCTCGCCATCTCACGTAACACACGGGATCAAGGTGTGACATGTTTACATTAATGTAAGGTGGACAGAGGGACGGCTTATCAAGCAACATGGCCTTCTTTCGACAGCTCCGGCTGCTTATGTGGAAGAATTTCCTTCTAAAACGTAGAAAGATTTGTGTGACAGTCTTTGAAATTCTTTTACCTCTTCTGGTCGGAGTTATATTTTTCAGTATGAGATTTCTGGTAAAGATCGAACAAAAGACAGCGACGGTATATTCCCCTGATGAAGTGCTTCGACGATTGTCGTACTTTGGCAACAATGAGGTTCTGTTCACGCCTAACAATTCCCTCATCAATGGACTTGTTGCGAGTATTAACGAAACACTGAAACATCCACTGGGTAAGTTAATTTCCCATATTTCACGAAACGTAAACGCGATACTCGACTTACCTCACCTGCTTTCGAAAACCTGATTGGTTGGTAGTTTAGCGGGATACGAGGTACTCGAGGTCACGCCTTTTATCGGGGTTCTTTTCCTGTGGCTAGATAGCTTAATTCTGTTGTTGAGGGCATCACTTACCGGTATGAAGACGAATTTAAGTTATGAATATTTCATCTCTCGAAATGTCAGCACTGTTAACTTACGAAAATAGGCTGTGAGAGGATATAAGACAGAAAAAATAATGATAACTAATAAAAAATATAATAAAAATATTGTGTTATGTTTGCATTCACGGATTGATCCGTCGTCTAAGGTTGAACACAAAACAACCTGCCGAGAGTTCAGAAGTTATAACCAACAGTCTTCACCGTTGAAGAATTAGACCTAAATAAAATCTTCTTCTTAAAATGCTCCTACGGGGAATGTAGATGACGTATCTTGTGTAAGGAACACACAATTGAAAAATTGAAAATCGTTGAAATGGCATCGGTCAATCTCCGTCCCAATTAAGCAACTTGGAGTCCTCTTTAATTCGTGAGTGAGTGAGTGAGTTGGGTTTAACGCCGCTTTTAACAGTATTCCAGTTATATCACGGCGTGTCAGCTTAATGTGGGAGGAAAGCCCGAAGTGATGCAGGTCTCAGACGTTTATCACTTCGGTGAAACCCACGAACACGGGTATGGTGCTGACAAAACCTAGAAACATAATCGTGGCGAACCGGGATTCGAACCCACGATTATAGGTTTCTGGCGTGCTCAAGGGACGCAACTCTGCACAGCGAATCCTTAGACGACTGGGCCACCGTGCCCCCTCTTTAATTCGTGTGTGACATCTAAGACATCTAAGACAACAAGATTTGATAGATGAGCCTTGTTCATAGCTACTTTTTGTTTGGGGTACCTTTTCACAAATCCCTATCATCTTTTGTATTGACACTCCCTATCAATATTAATACCAAGCATATTGTTACACGCGTTTCTTAGTCATAAAAGTAACCACGCCCGTTTGTATGTAGAATATTGCGTAACTTATTTCACTATTTGACTAGTTCCGTTGCAGTATTGTGAAACTCGCATACCTTCACTGATAAGTACACCCCGATTACATTCCTATCGATCTCATGTTAGTGCTTACAGCCAGTCACACGATAGTGATAGACGGACGTTTTGGATATCTGTTGTAATTGTAGCTATGAAAGGTCCTGTGTCAACATTTGGCAAGACTATCGTACGTTGTCCCCAACCCTGTTAATCAGCTGTTGAGTAAACACAAACTCTACGTGAAGAGTACGTCCGATAGTCTTTCACAACATTGTGAGTCGTTCAATTTAGTGAGGGAGTTGGGTTTAACGCCGCTTTGACAGGAATTGTATCACGGCGAGTAAGTCGTATTACCAACGAGCACGGTAACAGTGCTTACGAACCAAAGATCATTATCTGGAATTCGATCATAGAATCCATACATATTGACGCCAGTCTGAACACCGAAATGTAGCGTTAGAAACTCGGTAACCCCCGCCGTCCCCGTTTGATTCAATATCTTCTTTAATATGATAATAGGAATTAATTGGTACTCACATTGTCAATCTGAAGCAGAAAACACTAACAATCAAACTGCGGTAGATAGGAATTCCCCATAGAGTGTTAACAGGACCCCATGGGGTCACCATCCCCTTCACAACTGATAGGCGATTTTCCAGCATTTATTGATATTGAAACCATATGCTTCAAGACGAATATAACTTTTACCGTACTCAATAGATAAACATTGATCGGACCAGACCAGTTGCGCATACTTTCTTAGACAACAAAAAGTAACGGTGATCATAAGTTTGTGTATTCAACTATTACCGTAATCAATAGGTAAATATTGATCGGACGTGCGTGCGTGTGTGTGTGTGTGTGTGTGTGTGTGTGCAACTGTGTGTGCGTGCGTGTGTGTGTCTGTCTCTCTGTGTATCTGTGTCTGTCTGTGTATCTGTGTGTGCATGCGTGCGTGTGTGTGTGTATGTAAAATCTCTGTATATTTATCCGAATAGTGGTGTACAAAAAGTGCCTTTCAAACTGCTTACGTTGCTGTTAATCACTAATCGGGAGGCATATTCCACCTTGTCTAAAGAAGAAATTGTGATATTCACGGACAAATCCAGGAATTTTTCTACATTTAAACAAATTACATTTTGAATTATCACAACATGATGAATAACAAGATGACAATGGATATTTGACATTGTATAAATAGTTGTTTCTATACGTATGGAATTTATTCAGACTTTTTTGCAAATGCTTTCAGTAAACTAACATTCTTACCAACTTAATAAAGAAACGAAATAAACATTATTTCTGCTTCAAAGTAAATCTATCATGTTTCTTGTTGACTATTGATTGTTTGTCTACGTTATATAATCGAAACATCCTTTCGAGGTGACATCATGCACGAAATGAGACTGTGGTGTTATTACAAATATAGCCGCACACATTATTCTTGTGGCGCTCAAAAGAGCAAGGCAGTTGAAATATTATATGCTTCTGAAGATGTGTTGTTCAGAGCGATCAGGGAATTCTGATTCTGGGATGTCGAATGATACCTAAAACGCATATTTAGTATGTACACAACAATATAGAACCAACAGAAAACTTAACAAATTGAATGAAAATCAAAGTGTATCACATGTGTTAAAGTTAAACTCTGTGTAATAATGTCTGAAGAGAAAATTAATTCATCAAATAAAGGTGAGCTATTGAACATCTGTCTTTGGTACTCTTTTTCCCGACTCCATCGTGATTTTTGCTTGTTATTTCTTATCTTTAATTGGGTTATCATTTTCATATTTATTTTACATTTTTACCATTCATACAGGCATGCCTACGTTCAAAGGTTTTTCATCGAGAAAAGACATGCTGGACTACTTCAGTGTTAATTTAAAAAGGTTTGCTGTTGAATTTAAGAACGTTGCAATGACAGAGATGATCCTGCCCAAGAAAGTGCGATTGGCCATTCGACCTAAAGGGAACGCTTATGGTGGTGGTTGGCACACCAGAGAGACCACACCCTTCGTGGCTACTACTGGACCAAGAGACGATTCCACTCCAGGTAACGCATTGGATTAATAATGTTAGTGAGTGAGTATTACGCCGCTTTTAGCAATAGTCCAGCCTTACACGGCTGGGAACACCAGAAATGGGCTTCACACATTGTACCCATGTCTGGAATCGAATCCGGGTCTTCGGCATGACGAGCGAACGCTTTAAACACTAGGCTACCCGAACGCCCCTGTAATAGCATTAGAACAGCTTGTCATCTAGCCTTCAAATTTTAGCTGATGTCTGAACACACGATGGAAATGGCAAAAAAAGATAATGCACCACAGGTCATGCAGCAAGGATAACGTCATCCATGGTATACTTTCAGCACAGTCGAAAGGCATGACGGGGCTCCTGTGCAAGGCGTCACAAATAACTAGATACTATTTGTTTCATTTCCAAAACAACAGATCGTAATCAGCAGCGAAAGAGTAAAAAGTAATGTTTGTCTGTCTTTTGGGTTACACAGTCAAATGGTGATGCTACTAAGTGTTTGCGAAAACGTAGTGATTCCTAAACACATGCTTATGATACAGTCGGAATCGTACAATGAACAATGTTTTTCAACAGAAATGCCAAATGGTTATGGAAGTGAGGTGAGGTGAGGTGAAATTGGGTTTAACGTCGCGTCCAAGATTATTGCACTTATATAGCGACGTGCATGCACGTGTATGTGTGTGTGTGGCTGCTTGTACTAGTCCGGACTGATGCCGATTTATAGTGCTAGCTCACTGAGATACCATGCCGCAGTTTAACATGAATACCCCACTCAGACACAGTATACTGACTCCGAGCCGACCAGTCCTTGTTTTAGCCCCTTAATGCCGAGCGCCAGACAGGGTAACAACAAGTACAATCTTTTAATGTCTTTTTGTATGACGCGGCCCGGGATCGAACCCTGGACCTTCCGCTCTCCGGGCGGACGCTGGTTATGGAAGTGATTTTGTCGGTTTTGTTTATTTGCTACAAAGGAACTGCAAAAGTATATCTTTAACTTTATCAGTACCACAGGTGCCCATGATGAAATAAATATATAAATCACCTTGATGCATTACACCACACAGAACAAAGCGCAGCAATGTGAAACAGATTTACATCAGGTACTGCGTGACACAACACCAGATACGCCCCAAGACACAGACCAGAACATCTTGCCAAAGACCGAGAATAACACATGATGCAAATCTAAACAACATGACAGAACCTATAACAACATGAGACAAACCAGAGAGCGACATGACAAAACCCAGAACATGACAGAAACCAGAGCAACATAGAACTGCCCAAAACAACATCATACAACCCAGACCAACTTGACACAACCCAGAACAACATAGAACTGCCCAAAACAACATCATACAACCCAGACCAACTTGACACAACCCAGAACAACATAGAACTGCCCAAAACAACATCATACAACCCAGACCAACTTGACACAACCCAGAACAACATAGAACTGCCCAAAACAACATCATACAACCCAGACCAACTTGACACAACCCAGAACAACATAGAACTGCCCAAAACAACATCATACAACCCAGAACAACTTGACACAACCCAGAACAACATAGAACTGCCCAAAACAACATCATACAACCCAGACCAACTTGACACAACCCAGAACAACATAGAACTGCCCAAAACAACATCATACAACCCAGAACAACTTGACACAACCCAGAACAACATGATAAATGTAATGTAATGTCGTAAGAGCGTATAACTTAATAATATGTTCCTCTTTTTATCTGTTTCAGACTATGAATACTTTGTGGCTCTCCAGCGCATGTTTCATGAAGCCATCATCAAACATTTTAACCCGAACTCAACTGCTATACTGCAAGACCTAAAGGTTCAAATGCTGCGAATGCCATACCCGCCCTACATCGTTGACACTATGAGTGCGATGCTGCAGTACGTGTTTCCGGTGTTGCTGATGCTGAGCTTCATCCTGATGGCCATCCAGACAACGAAGGGAGTTGTTTACGAGAAGGAAAAGAAACTGAAAGTAAGTCTTCAGGTTTTGTAATGACTCAAATGGCTGTTATTTTCCTCGCGGTTTCAAATATGGAGTGCACCTATATAGAGGAGTGCATCGCCTGTCAATCATGGATTTAGAATCAGACCAACTAATTTTCGTTCCTAATCAACAGCGAGATATCAGCACACAAAGCAACATGAATACACGTGTGTGCCACAAACCTCTTTTAGATTAATGGCAGGTGATCCTGTCCACAGCGCACAGGTCACAAATCAGGTGAATTTAAGCAACGTGGAGGTCTCGGATAGAAGTTGGATGGGTGTCTCCTCAAGTATGTGATTTTTTCGAAATGTACCTCTATTCACCCTGCAGCGAATGGGTACCCGGTAGGACGAGATGGTAATGTGGCGGTTAACCTTCTTCCGCCACATCCTGGGTAATATACTCACCAGGTAGCTGTTGAAGCTCAACGCAAAACACGAATGAAAGTAAACTTAAGCTGGGCTATTTGACAGACCTAGAGTCATAATTGGAGCAAATAGTGCATTTGAACCCACATTCACCGGTTCCTGCTATGGTAAAAGGATGGAACTCTGCAGAGCAAATTAACGTCCCTTAGACTGCTGGGCAGCTACACAAACCCCGATAATTCCCAGGTCTTTGGTGAGACAGAAAGGACATCACTCACACACGATCATTTACAACTTTGTCCCTCATGGGAGTAGAGTTTACCCCGCTTTTAGCAAACTTCAAGCCATATCACGACAGAGGGATACAATGAGATTCACATATTGTACAAATGTGGGGAATTGAATCTTAATGTTCTGTGTATCAAGTTAACGCTTCAACCGTCATTCCAGCCTACCACCCCCTTGAAAGTTAAAACTTGACTACATCCATTTCTTACTTCCCAGGAGTCCATGAAGCTGATGGGTCTGAGTGCTGCAGCTCACTGGACGTCTTGGTTCGTGACCAGTTTTCTATATGTGTTGGTCGTGGTGGCCCTGTACGTTCTGCTGTGTGGAGTAAATGCAAGTGGAAATGGGGCTGCTTTGGCTAAATCAGATCCCTCCCTGTTCTTTGTGTTCCTCCTCTGTTACGGCGTCTCCATCATCTCCTACTGCTTCATGATCAGCGTCTTCACTCAAAGGGGTAAATATGGATTATTTTAGACCTAGTATTGAAATACAATATGACAATACCATTTATTTACATATTATTTCCAATAGACTAATTTAATATCTATAAAATTTATCAGTGAGTGGCAATTGTATTTAAGTCGGGTGTTTTTCCGTCTCGCATTTGTCACAATTTACCTTACGCCGTTTGTTGATTGAACCACTTGATTGAACAATCAGCTGTGATATGGAATCTGTAATTTGATTTGACAACCTCAAACCTGTTCCTTTAAGGCGATTATCGAACTCGTTATTCATATCAACATTCAGGACAACCACACTTTTAGAATTATGTGTTACCCCCACAAAGCATTTGCCCATCAAATACATTATAAGACATTTCAAGTAACTGAAGGACATGAAAAATTGAAGGAAGATATTTTCAAAATATATCACAGATAAAAACATATTGAAATGCATTTGCCGATGTCACTCAAAGTGACGGCAACATCAATATCCACGTTAATGGCTCATGTCTTATTGAAATAATACACATATGGACGTATGGATGGTTGGTTAATGATCCCCTGATTGTTGATAATAGGCTCTTTGTCTTTAAAGTTCTTTAAAAAGGTCCTCTGAAACCATCCATTGCATTTATTACGATATTTCAGGTAATTTAGAACATCATCTTCTTATGGCTTTCTTAATATTTGCAGCAAACATCGGAGCAGCAGTCAGCGGGATCGTGTTCTTCATATCCTATTGCCCGTACTTCTACCTGCAGATCATATACCAGAACATGTCGAGGTCAGCTAAACTGGCTTCCTGTCTCCTGTTCAATGTGGGAATGGCGTTTGGTGCAAAGGTCATATCACTCTATGAAGGAGCTGGTATGTTTCTTTCATCCTTGAGTGAGTAAGTGAGTGAACAGGGTTTTAGGCCGCTTTTAGCAATATTCCAGCAATATCTTGGCGGGGGACACTAAAATGGATGGGCTTTACACATTGTACCCATATGGGGAATTGAACCCGAGCCATTGGCGTGACGACAGAAAGCTTTAACCACTAGGCTATCCCACTGCCCCTCACCCTGGAAAATTCAATTCCAATATAAGTATGGACAGGATAAACACTACTAAATATGAATGTACTGGATATAGGTTCTCATCTCCTTTAAAATGCAAATGGGGTTTAAAATTTGGTAAATTTGAAAATTGCTGCTGAACTTCAACGTAAATACTTTTTTTTCTTTGGCCCATAAAGTGCATCTGAAAAATGCTTTCAATGTCCCAATTCCCATAAATATTTCCATGTGTCTATGTTGAATATATAGGCTCGGGTGTGCAGTGGTCTAATTTTCATGAGCCTGCTACTGTGGATGACAACTTCTCCCTGCTGGACGCCATTTTGATGTTGCTAGGCGACACGGCAATCCACCTCCTCATCACCTGGTATATGGACAATGTTTGGCCAGGGGAGTTTGGTGTGCCGAAACCAATCTATTTCCCCTTCACCGTAAGTAATTGTTATAGCATGTACACAACACACGTGCTTGAAGAGATTCAAAGTTCACACCCTATTTTAGTGCAAAAATGAGAAAGTAATTGCGTTATTACGTATTTAATTATTTTTATGTTTTGCACATTTTGTAATGCTTTTGAACTGATTAATTAATTCTGATTACTTAAGATCTCTTATTAATTCATGTGAAGGTTTTGCATATTTAGTAATGAGTGAGTTAGGTTTAACGCCGCTTTAAACGGTACTCCAGTTATATCGCGGCGTGTCAGCTTAATGTGGGAGGAAAGCCCGAAGTGATGAAAGTCTTAGACGTTTACCACTTCGGTTAAACCCACGAGCACGGGTATGGTGCTGACAACCTAGAAGCATAACAGGGCCGAACCAGGATTCGAACCCACAATCATAGGTTTCTGGCGTGACCAAGGGACGCAACTCCGCACAGCGAATCGCTGCGCCTTAGACGACTGGTTTTTGAACTTTTGAACTGATTTATATCTCATCAATTCAAGTCACAACGTTAGTCACGTTTGCATGTGCACACTAATCTTTAATACCAGGGCTCTTACTGGTGTGGAACTAAACAGACTAATGCTGATTGTTCAAGTACTCAGCACTTGGATGAGAAGCACTTTGAGAGGGAACCAAGTGGTATGATGAATGGAATATCCATCCAAAATCTTAAAAAGGTGAGAAAATTGAATGCTTGTGAGAAAAACCCGTTTTATTGATTTTGAAATATAATATCAACATAAATTATCTCAAACCTGGGAAATCAGCAAAAACTAATATAAACATGTTAATCATAAAGATACTATGATTGATAATATACTCTAAGAAAAAAAGAAAAAAAGAAAAAAATGGCTGAAAAATTCAACCCTTGGTGGGTGTATTTCAAAGCATGATACGAAAAGATTTCTTCCGTAAAAGATGAAATTTCACATAATTAGAGCAACAAGGTTTGTCCAGATTTCATAACACACGGATGTCGTGCAGTTGGTCAGTGGTGACGTCAAGTTCAATATACGTCCCTGCTTAACCGTATTAGTCTCTGAATTTTGGCCTGGGGAGACCTTCTCCGTTCCTCCTGTAGTGTTCGAACCAGTTAATGAAGTGTTGCAGACTGTGGTTGACGCTGTCGTAGACGTCGACCGAGTTCATCCCAAAGATGCTCAAAGAATGTACATTTACGTTGTTGTTGGAGGGAAGGCTCCCGTGTGCGGCCTGACGATATCATTTTTGGAAAATCTCACATTGGACGTCAATTACAGGAAGGAAGCGTTGATGCAAAATTCGTCCAATGGCGCGGATTCAAGATCTGAACGTTTGTTCACCAAAGAACGCGTTGAAGGCGGTGATGTCGTTGACATACGGAGTCCAAATGAGGTCTCTTGGCTCTCAATCCAACCTTAGCGAAGGCGATTCCGTACAGTCAAGGCGGACATCCATCGTCGTCCTGGCACATTAGCAGCTGTGTGTTCGGCCGTGACAGTCCAATCACATAAATGAAGCACCCGGATGTACCAATCTCGGGCGGGTGAAGTGACTTGTGGTCGGCCGGAACGTGGACGGTCTCTGGTTGACCCAGAATGTTGCAATCGTACAATGAGACGTAAAATTGTTGTCTGCTCGACGTTTAGACGACGAGCAACTGATATCTGGGACTCCCCAGGTTGAAATGGGCCTTTGGCGATTTTGGATGTTGCAGAGACAAGTCAAATGGCACAATTTATAATACCAAATACTCATATCCGTATATGTACATGATCCATGGCGTATTTCAACAATTTTAGAGCAATTTTGGTTAAAGAAACAATATTCATTATAATGCAATCGGTTATGCGTTTCTTTTTGGGGGGAGTGAATACATCCATTGGTAATACACGTTCTACACACCCTCTCTGACGTTTTGTTAATTATCAAAGTGCAATGTCTTTCGAAGGTTTTCGGCTCCGGGTCTAAGCAAAAGGTAGCTGTGGACGGGATGAGTCTCAACATGTTCGAGGGTCAGATCTCTGTTCTCCTGGGTCACAACGGCGCTGGAAAAACTACAACTATGTCTGTCCTTACAGGTATAGCTACATATTCATACGTTTGTGTGTGTGTTTGTGTGTGTGTTGTTTGTTTGTTTGTGCGTGCGTGCGTGCGTGCGTGCGTGCTTGCTTGCTTGCTTGCGTGCGTGCGTGCGTGCGTGCGTGCGTGCGTGCGTGCGTGCTGATATGATTCATCACGAGCGTTTTTACGTATGGTTAATATCAATCAATCGTTTTTTGCCGAGTATTTCAACTATAAACGGCACAGTCTTGATATTTCACATATTAAACCACTAGAGTGGTTCTATCTCTTTATCATTTCGAACTTTTTCCCGTTTAGAAATATATGCAATTGTTGAAACATTACAGAAAATGATGTGTTGCGGTGCATATGTCCCAGAGCTGTGTAAAACAAAACAAATAACTCTATAACTTCTGTTTCGGAACATCCATTCTCCGTGTTCCATATGTTGCAGCGTAATTAAATAAATAACGTGTCATTCTGTTTGTATCTCACTATATCTGTGGTATAATTTCACAGTTTTAGTCATTTAGACAAAGTCGCGCTCTCAGTTTCGGAACGTCACACGTGCGGATAGTTCACAGTGGTTAATTTTAGTAATTGTTACTGTTACATTCCATGAACATCCGGGGGACTTGGGGGAATGTCAAGATTGTTGATCGTTTTCGGCAGTCGCATCGCCAAACAATAGGTAATTTGAGAGTGCTGACCGTAGTCTCCTTGCAATTTTATCATTATGCGTGGGCCATTAGTTTCAGGAACAAATCAAGCTTGGGTTTCAGACCACTGTGTTCATGTGTTGGATGGAATGCTTCCTTAAATTATTTTGGATATTTGTTTGTGCTGACGGGGATTTATGTTGCCGTAATTAGTCACAGAAGTGTCATTCTTTTAATCTGTTTTGTCCATGTTTGGTCATTCATCTATTGTCCAAGATGTGTACGCGCAGTATGATTTGCACGTCTTGTAACAGACTTTTCGAGGTAGCATAGTATCGCTGAATTTGTTATGAGATAACACATTGGTCAGACAAATGACAAAACATTGTGTTGGTAACATTTACATCACTTAATATGAAGCAGCTACTTTTTTCCGTTACAAATAATTGTATATTGTCAGGAGGAGTGTATGCCACATATACTTTAAACCTTCCCCTTGTGGAGTGTGAGTTACATATGTCACCCGCGGAGCTTTTACGAATGTTCGAGCTGAAAGGCTTGTACACCATGAGACCAGAGGTCGGTAGGAAAACACGGGCATTCAGCTCGTAAATCCCGTACGCTAGTGACACATGTAACCTCATTATAAGGTCGCAAGTTGCAGGATTTCTTTCTGCCTTAATATCTGCCTGTAACAATTAGATTTATCTTGCAACCACAATCGGACTCGAAGTGTGAAGAGCACCAAAGGTGACAAGCAAGTGACGTCATATCAATATGGAGTTGTATAAGGCAGCAACTGCCCAATCAGATTATGCTTTTTCTTACAAATTAATTATAATTTTTGTGTGACCGTTCAAGGTTTCATCCCTGCATCTGGAGGGACCGCCATTGTGAACGGTTACGACATCAACAACGACATCCAGAGTGTCCGGCAGAGTCTTGGTCTCTGTCCTCAACACAACATCCTGTTTGACAGCTTGACTGTCCAGGAACATCTGGAGTTCTTTGCAAGTGTAAGTTTCGTTTTTCTACATAAGACTACATGATCAGAATCCTGAACAATATGTGTCAATATTATGTTGTTGGTAAATTGATTTAAGCAATTGGGATACGTTGACATGCATCAGCCAAGACCACCCAATTTCATTAGTTGCCTCATTCGACAAGCATGGGTTGCAGAAGACCAATTCTAACGCAGATCTTCACGGAAGAATTAATGAGGTACTATGATATAGGGTGGTCAAAAGATACTGGGTCGATCATTTATGTATGTTTATGTTGATCAGCTTCTGATATGGCCAACTCAAGTCACCGGAAATATATATTCTAGCTATTGATTGTTTTGATATTAATCTTATGGTTGATCAAGAGGTCAGTCACACCATATAATGAACTTACTTATATCTGTTTCTGTCGTTGGGGGGAAAGGGACACGTTGCGTGTATTTATCTTCAATAGGTTGTTTTACTTAACCTTGTATAATTTTGTTAGATTATGTGGAGCATCTCGAATTTGAGATGTACCATTTATTTGCAAACACTTGCATATAACGCCGAATCGTCTTCCCAAAAATGTTTCTTTAGCTTTAGTGAGAAAATCTAGAAGTGAGTGAGTAGGGTTAAATCCGATTTGAATAGGATTGCTGTTGTATTATGGCTTATCAGCTTCATATGGAAGAAAGATCTTGTGTTTACCCATTAAAAAACTGTTGGCATGGGTATGGTACTTACAATTCAGAAAGGAAAGCAATACAAGTTCTGTTTTTGCAGTTGAAAGGTTGTCCGAGCAAGAATGTTCAATCTGATGTCACCACCATGATGAATGAGGTTGGCTTAAGTCTGAAGAGATTCACACAGTCTCAACATCTATCTGGAGGACAGAAGAGGAAGCTTTCTGTAGGCATTGCTTTGATTGGAGGATCGAAGGTATGAGGCCAATATATATCATTTCATACAAAATTGAAAAAATGCACTTTATCACTATACCATGATATATTTATGATAGAAATAGAACTATGTCTGATCAGAAAACACATTGCAGATCGTGATCTTAGACGAACCAACTTCCGGCATGGATCCTGCAGCCAGGAGACAGACATGGGACATCCTTCAGAGAAACAGACAGGGCCGGACAATGCTGCTGACCACTCACTTCATGGACGAAGCTGACCTTCTGGGTGACCGCATCGCCATCATGGCAGAAGGGGTGGTCAAGTGCTGTGGGACATCGTACTTCCTGAAGAAACTCTATGGCATGTGTTGTTACCAATAACTTATACATTTATGTTTGAAGATGTCATTTTCCACATTGTTCATAACAGCTGATAGAAAATGTAACCTGGCAATGCAACATGTGTCAGTACTTGGAAAAAAGCACCTTTTATACGTGATAGAATTATTTTAATCTTGAAAATAATTTTGACATGTTTTTTTATACTCTTGTGTTTCCCCAGAGCTGCAGAAAAGCAAAATTTGTAACGTGTCATTTGGGGACATTTCGACATTTCAGGTGCTGGCTACCACCTGGTGATGGTGAAGGAACCCACCTGTCAGGTGGCATCAGTGACGGCAGTTGTCCAGCAATACGTCCCTACAGCAGTCACGGAGAGTGAGATCAATGCTGAACTATCCTACTTGCTGCCTGATGATCAGTCAGCCAATTTTGCTGCCCTCTTCACGGAGATTGAAACCAAGAGGGGGGAGCTTGGCATATCCAGTTTTGGCGCAAGTGCAACTACTATGGAGGAAGTGTTCCTCAAGTGAGTAGTGTTTCTTATTTCAAAACCTATATTGAGTTCGTGGAAGGTACAAGTATAATCAATAAAGTTTCAGTTTACAAAGACAAAGTACCGTTAGTTTTCTGATGCCCTGTCATTTTAGGACAATGTTTAAATTTAAGTGCAACAATTTCATAAATATATTCAGGAATACAATAGTGTCAGGTTTACTCTACTAAGTACTCACATGCAGGCGATATGGTTACATTTATGCATTTTCTTTAAACTGTTTCTGCTCAAACATTATGAAACAATACCAAAATAAAAGTCTTCAAATTTGTATTTATTGGATAGAGCTGGAGAGCAGGAGCAAAAGGAGGATGGAGATGAAGATTACCCAACAGGATCAAGAAACAATTTGATATCTAACGGAACAAATAGTTGGAGCAATGAAATGAGAGAGATGATAACGGCTGATATATTAGGTACATACTTGTTCAACACAGCAAAAGTCAGTTTTACGTAAACTGTTTATGTTAATATGATAATTGTTAGTGTGATATTGTGACTTTTATCTGCATTTAACAACTGAAGTGGAACATACCACTCTATTTCTATCTAGGCATAGATTAGGGCTGCCAGTTGCCTGAGTCAATTGACAAGTGGTTTGTTTATCTGTAAAGCAATGTATAGTCCTTAGACAGCATCATTTTCATTACATTATGGTCATCAACATGTTCATATAATCAGTTTTGTTTATACATTTATGTATTTATTTCAGCATTCAATAAGGGTTTCACTAAAACCAGAGGAATAATGTTAGAGCTGTCTCGCTTTAGAGGATTGTTTGTAAAGAAGGCTCTTCACACATGGAGGAACAGGACCATCACCATTGTCCAGCTTTTGTTACCAGTACTTTTTACTGTTGCTGCTTTGATTGTAAGCGAGGCAGATCACGGAGAGGTAGTCGAGGTTCCGTTATCTCTAGACTTGACACCATTCAAAGGCACCTACGTCCCATATGAAGGTGGTCCAGAACAACTACCACAGCAACTTGCACAGGCATACCGTGATCAGTTTGCAGGAACTAAAAACAAACCTGAGGTGATAGATCTATCGACATATAATGTGACAAGCTATTTCTTATCAAGAGCAAACGAGCTTAGTATCGGTGCATACAACAAGAAAATGATCATCGGAGCACAGTTCAAATCTAGCAAAGAAGTAATGAGTATTTTTAATGGACAACCTTACCATAGCCAACCCATAGCTTTGTCTTTCATGATGAATGCAATACTCAAACATTTTACATCTCAGGATCATTCCATTACCACTATCAACAACCCTATTCCCCTTGAAGCCGCAGACAATTCAATTCAAACAATTTCCTCAGTATCTGCACTTGGCTTTTCTGTGGCCTATTGTATTGTCTTTGGCATGGCCTTCCTGGCTTCATCCTTCGTGTATTTCCTCATCAAGGAGAGACAGGTGGGCGCCAAACATCTTCAGATTGTTAGTGGAGTTGGACCATTTGTCTTCTGGTTGTCCAACCTGGCCTGGGACTACATCAACTACCTGATTCCATCCCTGCTGCTGCTGATTGTGTTTGCAGGATTCCAGTCGCCAGCATATACAGAAGATGGGAGATTAGGCATCGTGTTCCTCATCCTGCTTGTGTATGGTTTGGCAGTTCTGCCATTCATGTATGCTCTTCAGAATATGTTCAAGTCCCCTCCTACCGGGGTGGTTGTCATCATCATCTTGAATATTATTACAGGTGAGGTATTAAAAAATGTCCTAAAATTGAAAGACGAAAATTGCCATATACTTTTCAGCTGTACTGCGTAAAGCAATTATTGGTCGTAAATTGACAGCTTCTAAATAAAGCCATGGTATTGGTGAATGAGAGTAATTGGTTTTTATTTCAGTTGATTAATATTTCTCCCAACAGGACTTGCCACTCTTTTATCGGTATATATGCTGACCGTGTACAGAAAGACATCTGAGGCTAAAGCCACAGATTGGATGTTTCTCCTTATTTTTCCTCACTACAACTTTGGCAAGTCATTCATGGATATGTACACCAACTACATGTTCCTCGATGGATGTACAAAGCAAAACTACACCTATATGTGTGCTATATCACAGAGAGATCCTTGCTGTAAAGGTTGGTTTCTATAACTTTTATATATTTATAGATAAAGTCGTATATGATTCTGTAAAAGCTGAGTGTTTAGCTTTTTGTTTGCAACCGTCAGCAAATGTCCACGGAAATGGTATACCTCTTTCACTTCTAAACTTGACAGATTTTATTATTTTGTACATGACATCAGAGTTAAATGTTTTTTGCATTGTTTGGTAACAGACACTTGTGGGGACTACTGCTTTGAATTTACTGAAAACTTCCTGGATTGGGACTCTCCGGGTGTCGGACGCTATGTTGTCTTCATGCTGTTCCAGGCTATGGTGTATATGTCTGTGACACTGTTCATTGAGTATCAGATACCGCAGAGAATCTGGTATGCCTTCAGACCACAGGAAACAGAAATACCACAACCCGGTGCACCGTCCTTCGGTGCAATTCAACAAGTTCCAGAGGATGGAGATGTTCTCCGTGAGAGGCAACGCATTGATGAATTTGCCATTGGAGCTGGGAACTCAGATGCATTAGTCCTGAAGGACCTTTACAAACGATACGGGAACTTCGTTGCTGTTGATCATCTGAGTGTGGGCATACCTGAGAAGGAGTGCTTTGGTCTCCTTGGGCAAAACGGTGCAGGAAAGACAACAACTTTTAAAATGATGACTGGCGATGTGATGCTGACACGTGGAAATGTCTTCTTACAGTCCTTCGACATCAAGAATCACACCCAAAAGGTAATACACGTCTTTTTATCATGTAACACAGATTGGAATATGTATATTCTGCTGTACGCCACAGTCGGCTTTACTTACAAATATACGAGTCTTACATACTCAAGTGGGGGTGCAGACATGGCAGTCGGGGTGTCGACCATGGCACCACAGTTCCCAGAGATTCGTCGATTAGGAGAGAAACTCACCCATAACTCGGCCAGTGTTTAGGTTAATGAAGCCGAAACAGTGTCAGAGGGATAATAATTAGCTGAGGATTTTGATGTAAAATAAATGTGCGTTGAAACTACTTTTTTTCTAAATATTCATGATAGCAGCACATCTGTTCACTTTAAACAATATTTGACAGAAACAGATCCCAGTGTAGCTGTATATATTGACGATAGTACAGGTGGAAGACCACTGTCGCGTGTATATTCGTGAATTTATTACAAGATTCGCCCTAATTATGATCCTTGGTTTTACATGCTTGTAGGTTTCCTCACACTGGTAAACGTCTTATAACTCGCTCGCTGACTCACATACTCACTCACTCATTCATTCACTACAGTTACAAGAAAAGTATTGACAAAGATTCATGAGTACCTTCACGCGGAAGATAATCATAATTTGTTTTCATGTGTTCGGACTGTATTGAGTATTAGATGTTTCATTTTAACATAATTAAATGAGGTTTCAGTGTTAACATTTCTGGGCATCGAATATTTAATAAAAGAGTGTGACATAATCAAAAGCAATATCTGTTGAATGCAGAGTCTGTTGTACGATTCCGACTACATCATAAGCATGTGCTTATGAATCACTGCCGAATAATAATGGTACAAGGAGTTCGCGTAAAGGTTATCATACCCAGCCCACTGATGCCACTCATCACAAACACATGCCAGGGCATGTCAAGTGCTCACAAGAACAAACTCTGCCCTGATCCATATATCTTTCTGTTACATTTTAGATCCATGTGGGGATGTATTATTTAATTTCATATACCTCTTGATAACAGATGCAGGAGAACATGGGCTACTGTCCCCAGTTTGATGCTCTGATTGATCAGATGACTGGACGAGAGACTCTTACAATGTACGCCAAACTCAAGGGAGTGCCGGAAAACTACGTCAAAGGCGCTTGTGACAACCTGCTGGATATCATGATGCTCAGGCAATATTCAGACAAGCCAACATCGGAATACAGGTTGAGTTCATTCACACACATGATGAATATACCGAATCACCACTTTGAATTTTGTGAACGGATACCAGTACTTTCGGACACATTGTTGTGTTTATGAGATCTTACATAGGACATGTTACATATTGAAGTACTTTGGTTTCTCATGTTGCGGCCTTATCATATAAACATAAAATGGTTGATGATGTATCGTGTATATTCAGAACAAAATTGATGTACTTTCGTCTATTTCACAGTGGAGGTAACAAACGTAAGCTGAGCACTGCAATCGCTCTTGTTGGAGACCCGGCCATCATCATGCTGGATGAGCCGTCCACAGGGATGGACCCCAAGGCCAGGAGGCAGCTCTGGAACGTCCTGTCAAAGGTCCGGGAACGTGGTAGGACCCTCGTGCTCACGTCTCACAGGTTTGTAAAAACGATGCTTCAAACCAATTTAATGTAAAAAATCTGCTACAAAATTTATTGTATCCTATAAATTATACTACAACTAATTCGGATTTATGAATTTTCAGCATGGAAGAATGTGACGCTCTGTGTACGAGAATTGCCATCATGGTGAATGGGAGATTTGTGTGTCTTGGAACACCACAACATTTGAAGACCAAATTCGGCCAGGGCTACACGCTGATAGCTAGGATGAAAACAGTTGAAACAGGAGTATCAGAAGAAAGGGCTCCCGCTTTAACTGAACCTCTGGTGAACTTCATCACATCAACCTATCAAGAAACCAAGGTGTTCGACGACCATCAGGGCTACGTTCACTTCCAAGTTCCTTACAACGCCGTCAGTCTCGCCCAGGTCTTCACGGTGATGGAACAATCCAAGGCGCAGTTCTCTGTCGAGGACTATTCAGTTCACCAAACAACCCTTGAACAAGTGTTCCTCTCATTTACACGTTCGCAAGTTCCACCAAAGGAGGATAAAACAAGCATGCTAAAGAGAATATGCTGCTGTTTGCTGTTTAATAATGATTTTCACAAACAAATTGAATAATTTATGTTCAAAAATAACTGTCAGTGTCCGGTATATGTATATACACGCTCTATGATATTTATTGATAAATCGTTTTTATCGAGGTGTTTTATTGATAAGAAATGACATCAGACATTCATTAGAAGACGCGCTGCCTTGTTGAAGTTTTATAATAGAAGTAAATACATACTCATACCAATTAACAGTATTTCGGATAATAATTCGAAACCATCCACCACCGAAACGATAACAGACACTACATGTATACAAACCCTGCTCACAAACCCAACTCAAAATACCACACACACACCCACACACACACACACGCACACACACACGCACACACACACAGATAACTAAACAGAAAACACTCACACACACCCATCCTCCTCACTCACTCCCGTCCATCCAAAATACACCCTCACCCCTCTACCTCCGATCCACACAAACACGAAACATAAACACAAAATACACACCACATCCACTCACTCACCACAGCCCCATACCAAACACATCCACGCACCTACAAGATACCGTTCAAAAGAAAGACCTGTGATTTTATCCAAACAATGAATTGGCAAATAAATGTCTACAGTGGCGTAGTGTAGATTTAAGGACATCGAGCGACTTCGACATTTAGTATTGTTTTTCAGATTTGTCTGAATTCTCATAATGTGTTCAACATGACAAGGTCACTGGGCCTGATTTTTTTCTCACCTGTGTTGCTCATTTGGCAGGTAACTCGTCTTTTCGGTTACCTGAAAATCTCGATTTTTACCTGACAACGATGACGAGAAACATAACTGGGCCTAACTTAAAAACGAATCTGTATATCAAATGAATTGCATTTCATTATATCAATAAATTGCAAATGATTCCAAGGCTTTTAACTGGCTAACCAAGAAATCTTGTTTGCGTGGATAAATAGGCCACGCCAATCACCTGACAGCTGTTCCTGATTGGCTGATAATAGAATGGGCGGGGCTATTGTTGCATTACTGGGTTGAACGATGTCACTGATTTCGATCTTTGGCTACTGCTTTTTGGGGTCAGTGATTGAATAAGCAGCCCGTCAGTAAGATATTATTTTTTAGTTATTTATGCATAAGAATGAACTTCAACCTTCCTCTTGAAGTTGTTCCGCACTGTCCGATATCCTTCACAATCCTGGAATTTCGGTAACACAATTGGTCGTTTATGCGTTTTGATGACATTTTTTTGGTAACAAATATTTATGCTTCATAAATCTTCATGCTTTACAAATCGTATATGTGGTGATGTCTTTCATATATATATACTTTCATCACAGGATTGAACAGCTTGTAATTCTCTGTATTATCCTTTTGTTCAAGACAGGCGAGTAAATAACAAACAATCATGAAATACTCACATTCCTCACCAATAGCATGTTCTGTTGAGTGCAAGCCACAAGCCCCTGACCACAACAGCCGCCTGGCGCTTGTTTGAGTGAGAGAATATGGTTTTACGCCGCTTTTAGCAGCATCGGGGCGGGGGACACCAGGAATGGGCTTGTCACATTCGAACCCTTGTCTTCGGAGTGACGAGCGAACGTATTAACCACTAGGCTTCCCCCACCGCCCAGCCTGAAGAGTCAGAGACATTGAATCAAGAACTGATGATAAGATACTGGAAGCTGACGGGTACCTTCAGCCATCTCAGTCGGGCAGTCGTACTGTGAGGAGACTACTAGGAGCAGTGTCTATCACTAAATACATAGGGCTTTCCGGGTTTTTACGATGGAATTAGAAACAATATATGATAGATAACAAATTGAAAGAAACATGTTAGTCCGTATATATTTTATTGTTTGTGTACGTGTTTTATTGTTTGTGTATGTGTGTTTAGAATATAATAAACATTTTCTCTCTCTGAATTTTATTATATACATGTATTGTTAACTGTAGTAGATACCTATATCACTGTATCTCAGAACGCAGAACTTATTGCATCCACACATGTTATTGTTATATATAATTTCCTGCATATTCCTGCTTGAACAAGGACCTACCTGTGTGTTGTAATCGGTGCAACTGTGTGTCCACATGTGAAAACTCAGCTGGCTCACGTCACACGTCACATCTCCCATTAAGTCAGCTCTATTTCTCAAGCAGAATTTAATTTCTGTGGACATTTTGAATGAAGGGGAATTCAAACGAAATTCGTTTTATAATCATATTTAACAAACCTGCATGTATTTTACCAAATTCAAACACTTATACACCCTTTCTACATTTCGTTCCTTGGGCCCTAGACCATTCAACTCGCTCGCGAAGGTAGAAGGTCTTTTACGAATACATTTACAGTGTTCATGTAAATGTATAACTTTTAACTGTATATTATATAGTCATGAAAATCAATTTTCTCGTTCCTCCATAAAAAAACGTTTCCGCCACATGTGTTGATTAACACGGCTCTGGCGATAATGCAAACTAGACAGATGAAAAAACATTTAGTGCACTCTAAAACCATAAAGTTTCGACACTGACGAAGGTGATTTTGACTGTTGCACGTGTAACTTATTAATGAATTACAATCAGGTCATCACTATGGACTAACCAATCATGGACTTGGAATTTGATATCTTTGAGACCATTTATCTTAAATGGTTTCTCATTAGCACATGAATTAGTATTATGATACTTGTTGACACACCTTTATGTATTTGCAAATCAGAAAAACACGAGTTTTGATTAAATGAAACTTTGCTCGCTCATGGGCGAAATAGTATAATAACCCCACAAAGTAGTTGGATTAAGTTAAAATGAGTTGAATTATGTGTCGTGATACTTTTCGAAACACCTTTATATATTTCCAAAAGAAAAACATGAGTTTGAAGCAAAGAAAAATGTTCTCGCCCATAGGCCAAATATTTCAATAACGCCACAAGTTATTTGGATTAAGTTAAAATAAGTTGAATATTTACGATTATTTACAGACTCCCGTCATATAGCTGGAATGTTGCTGAGTGCGGCGTTAAACAACAAACAAAAAGACGAGGTCGATATCTCCAGTTTGTTCATCCTTGCAACACGCTATGAGCAGCTACAACATTGAAAATATACCGATTCGCAAAAGAAACGTCACCATGGATAGATATAGGAGAAACGTTATTTGTCCAAACACTGTAAACATACTTTAAGACATGATATTAAAAGGATGAAACTTGGCATCATCAAGGTTGAAATTAAAGTGTCAAATGTTCTTAAAGTGAAACACAACACTAGTCTCACTGGTATCATAAGTCAGTATCTCGTGTGTCCGCCATGTGCATTGATGACTGCCGTGCAACGTCGAAACATGGAATGGATGAGGTGGTTGATGAAGGCTATAGGCACATGAGCCCACACTCTGACGAACGCCTGACGCAGTTCACTTAAAAGCTTGCAGTTGTCGGCCTTGGTCGGACGTCATTCAGCAGTCTTTGAATCTCGTCCCACAGGTGCTCAATGTGATTTTAATCGGAACTGAGGGCAGGCCACTGCATGGTTCTGATGCCATTCTGATGGAAGAAGTCTCTTGTTGCTCTCGCAGTATGGGCACGGGCGTTATCATGCTGAAACACGTGGTTGCGGCGACGTGCCAAATGACGTATGGCGTCTGGTCTTAAGGCTTGATCAATGTACCGATCTGCTGTGACGCCATTGCCTCTCCCTGGACCGATGTTCTGGAAGACCACAGGGCTGACCCTCTGTGCAAGACCAATTCCACCCCACACCATAATGCTCGTACCACCCCATGAGAGTCTCTCTCAACAACACAAGCATCCGAATAACGTTCCGCACGGCGTAGCCAGACTCTCCCTCTCTCTGCCATCTGCTGTTGAGATACAGTGACGGCTCTCGTCTGAGAAGAGGACACTTCTCCACTGCTGGTGGCGTCAATGCTGGTGCTGTGTTGCCCACTGAAGACGGGCCCGGCGATGACGTGGTGTGAGAATGGGTCCTCGGCGTGGCCTGTGACAGTTGAGATGTCTGTTCGTCAATCGTCGACGCACGGTGTCCGCACTGGGTCGCTGGTGTGTCCCCATGGTCTGTCGAGCAGTTTCCGCAGCAGTAACAAAGGGCTAATCAAAGAGCTACTTGCCGGGCGGTTTGTCCAGCTTGCAATCGCCCAAGGGCTTGGTGACTCTGATTTCTTGTCAATCTTGGCATGTGGTAGCAATTCAATAATGAATGAATGTTATCCGATCTGGGTGGGTTTTTATAGGTCAAGAAATGGGGGAACGCATGTGCATTTCAATTTGCACGGAACTCACGTGCATCGGGTCACCATGGCCGTTGCCGTGATGCGTTTGGGCGATCGGTTGTATTGTCATCTGCTTGGGGTTTTTTATCATCAAATTTCATTTTTCCGGACAAGGTATTGTTAAATTTTAGAAACTTTCACAAAAATTACCCAGACATTTAAATGACAACTTGTCATGCAATGTTACTTGGGCTGACGTTTCTTTTGCGGTTCAGTATAGATTGATAAGGCGTTGTGTCATACCAGACGTGATTAATATGAATTTCGTAAGAGATAGATAGGTCAATCAAAGAAGCCCAGTGAGTAATATTAATATGGTCATATCTATAATCTAACCTCGACAAACAATTGAGTTGACTCCGTGTTGTGTATAGTATACGTGTATAGCCACGTGATGATTAGTTGCAAAGTGATCACGCTATCGCATCTTCTCGCGATAAAACATGTGATGAAGGTGAAACATGCTTAAATAAGGCGGACAGAGGGACGGCTAAGTTAATTTAATGTGACCTTCTTTCGACAGCTCCTGCTTGTTATGTGGAAGAATTTCCTTCTAAAACGTAGCAAGATTTGTGTGACAGTCTTTGAAATTCTTTTACCTCATCTGGTGGAGTGATATTTTTCAGTATAAGATTTCTGGTAAAGATGAAACAATAACCAGCGACGGTATATTCCACTATTGACGTGCCTCGACGATTGTCGTACTTTGAAGTCAATCTTCTAACAATACCCTCACCAATGGACTTATTACATGTATTAACGAAACACTCAACAACCATACCTTCACACGGTATAATTATCCAGGTAATTTGCCCTCTTTTCGACATCCTCTATATCTTCAGGGCTCGTCACATTTCAAGAAAGCTTCACTAACCCCCGCATCCATGCCCGTGGTTCTCGTGATCTCAAATTACCCGTCACTATAATATTAATACCAGGGAAGGTGGGGCAGTGTTAAAGCGCTAGCTCGTCACACCGAAGATTCGGGTTCGATTCCCCACAGGCGTAAAATGTTGTAAGCCCATTTCTAGGGTCAACCCTCCGTGATACTGCTGGATCATTGCTCAAAGTGGCGTAAAACCATACTAACGCATTCACTTATCAATAGGGCGGTCGGGCAGCCTAGTGGTCAAAGCGTTCGCTCGTCACGCCGAAGACCCGGGTTCGATTCCCGACATTGGTACAATGTGTGAAGCCCATTTCTGGTGTTCCCCGCCGTGATATTGCTGGAATATTGCTAAAAGCGGCGTAAAACCATACTCACTCATTCACTTATCAATATCAAAACCAACTTGATAGATTAACTTGTAGCAGAAAGTGAGTGAGTGAGTGAGTTTGATTTTACGCCGCTTTTAGCAATATTCCAGCAATATCACGGCGGGGGACACCAGAAATGGGCTTCACACATTGTACCCATGTCGGGAATCGAACCCGGGTCTTCGGCGTGACGAGCGAACGCTTTAACCACTAGGCTGCCCGACGGCCCCTGTAGCAGAAAGAATGTTTAGTATGTTTCTTGTTGACTATTGTTTGTTGGTCTTTGTTATATATAATAAAACTACCTGTCCACCTACTTAAATACAAATAAAAGTGTATTATTATAAAAAAAATTAAATAAAAAACCTGTATGATAATGTATTACGAAAAAACTCTAATTTATATTAGTATCTTCATTCAGCTGTTTTTCAAATGTATGAGCTACTGAACATCTACCTCATTGGTTCTCTGTTTCTTAAATCTGTCACGGAGATTGTTATTCTATCTTATGTACTATTAAACAGGATATCATTTTCAAAACAATTCACCCCTTTCAACATACATTATACTACGTTTATTACGAACACGCTTATAACGAACTTATATTTAAGTCCCGACCATTTGTTGTTTATATGCTGTTTATATGCTTATAACGAACCCTTGTTATTACGAACTAAAATTAGTGGTCACTTTGACTTCGTTATAACCGTAGTTTACTGTATAAGTATCGTGTCCAAAACTACAGTGGGCACTTGACCGTTTCTCAATTCATGATAAGGCATTGGATGCATTGCGTATACATTTCTACCATTCATGCAGGCAGCGTTACGTTCAGAGGATTTTCATCGAAAAAATATCATGCAGCACAACTTCAGTTCCAATTCTTAACGTGTCACCTTTCAATTTGAGATCGTTACACGGTCGTACCAAAGAAATTGCATTATGCCATTCGTCCTAATTATAAAGGCAACGCTTACGGTGGGGGTTGGCACACGACAGAGAACAGCCCCTTCGTGGCTACCTCAGGGCCAAGAGACGATTCCACTCCAGGTAACGAATTGAAAGTTTTATATCAGAAGAGTAAATTGAAATCGAACCTTCAAATCAAAGCGACCCGTTGAAATCCTGGGTAGAATAGGTCTCCAGCAACCCATGCTTGCCGTAAAACGCAACTGTGCTTGCCGTATAAGGCGACTATGCTTGTCGTAAAAGGCAACTGTGCTTGTCGTAAAAGGCAACTGTGCTTGTCGTAAAAGGCAACTGTGCTTGTCGTAAGAGGCGACTTACGAGATCGGGTGGTCAGGCTCGCTGACTTGGTTGATGCATGTCATCGTATCCCAATTGCGTGGATCGATGCTCATGTTGTCAATCACTGGATTGTCTGGTCCTGACTCTCGATTATTTACTAACCACAGTCATATAGCTGGAATATTGCTGAGTGTGGCGTTAAAGTAAAACATCAAATCAAAGCTGATCCATAACATAGGACACGGCTCCAGTCTAACGCTTGGTAACAAATAACAAAATAATATTTTTTTATTCACAAATAGAACATTATGGTGAGTAACAAGGCATTTAATAATTTTATTCTTTTGGTTTATACGGTAGTCACTATCAATGATAATGATACCAGACTTTGTCGTCTAGATACTTGTAGTTCTATGCAACACAGTTATTTTTTGACAATATGGATATTCTATTAATCGTGCATTCAGTTTAGGATAACCGGTTGTCATGGGTGCATTATTGACCAGCTATGACGTCATAGCATTTAAGAGTGGCGTCATATTGTCTTCAACATGCCACATTTGGCTTTCAAAGGGGGAGAGTGGGTCCGGACCCTCTGGACCCCCCTCCCGCTCTTGATCCGCCGCACACTGAGTTTACCCCTGAACTTTGGTACAATTCTTATCGTGGTCCCGCGTTCTATAAGGTAATCGTATGAACCCTTGCTGTTATCTTTCCAGATACATCACATACTATTGTTGCCACTCACACTCACACGGAGCACGCACACACGGAGGCACGCACCTACAAAAATCAGAACATATAAACACGGCTGGCCCAGTCGTCTAAGGCGCCTCGATTCTCTGTGCAGAGTTGCGTCCCTTGCGCCAGAAACCTATGATTGTAGGGTTCGAATCCCGGTTCGACCCGATTACGTTTCTAGGTTTGTCAGCACCATACCCGTTCTCGTGGGTTTCACCGAAGTGGTAAACGTCCTCCCACATTAAGCTGACACGCCGTGATATAAACCCACGAGCACGGGTTTGGTGCTGACAAACCTAGAAACATAATCGGGGCGAAGTCTGTGAAGAGAGTAAAACATTCAAAATAATACAGAAATGAATAAATAATAATGGGTAACAAACTATATTTTGAAAATTTATTTCAGAGGTATGTGTATTTGGCTACTAAGTAGATTCCACCAACATAATACAAACATTAATTTAACATAAAGTATGAACAGTTACACTGTGTGAAAGGCGGTGAGGTAAATTGAGTTTAACGTCGTTTAACGTCGTCCAAGATTATTGCACTTATATAACGACTTGCATGCAGGTATGTGTGTGTGTGCGCGTGCGTGCGTGTGTGTGGATGCTTGTCCGGACTAATGAGATACAATGACCCAGTTTAATAGGAATATCCCACTCAGACACTGAAAACCAACCCCAAGCCGACCATGCAGGGTAACAACAAGTACCATCTTTTAACGTCTTTTGGTATGACACGACCGAGGATCGGACCCCGGACCTTCCGTTCTCTGGGGGCACGCTCTACCACTAGTGGTCTTTGGTAAAGGAGCTGAATGCGAGGTTGACTTTGTATAATTTTACATTATTGCACCTCTTCCAGATCAATCTTCTTTTCCGGTTGGGTACTTATCGAAGGTCGTGGCTTAATTAGCACGGCCATCTAGGCCTGCAAGCTGATTGGATATAGAATATACACGATCGTGTAATTAGTTGCGGGGGACACCTGTGTTGTATAGATATAACACTGGTATGGATTCCATGTATGTCAACAGTATGGCCAGTGGGGGCGTGTCAAGTAACCTTGTTTTAAAGTGAATTATATAGTTTTATCATTGTAAGATAATCTCTTTTCAATAACAATTCCGCGATTTCATGTTAAAAGAGAACTCATTTTGTCATGTAATTATTTGACACAAATAATGTGAGGTGAGGTGAAATGGGGTTTAACGTCGCGTCCAAGATTATTGCACTTATATAGCGACGTGAATGCACGTATGTGTGTTTGTGTGGCTGCTTGTACTAGTCCGGGCTGATGCCGATTTATAGTGCTAGCTCACTGAGATACCATGCCGCAGTTTAGAGTATACTGACTCCGAGCCGACCAGTCCTTGTTTTATCCCCTTTATGCCCTGCGCCAGACAGGGTAACAACAAGTACCATCTTTTAACGTCTTTGGTATGACGCGGACCTTCCGCTCTCCGGATCCACTCATGCGAAGGGAAGTACAATGTACAAATGGCCAGTGTTTAATTGTGGATAGGAGAATGTCTTAGAGTTAGAAAGAGTAAAGAAGAGGTTGCTTTGCCGAGAACGTGTGCAGCAAACCATGACCGTTGACGGAGGCTTGCTTGCTAGGGTGCGAACGAGAGGGACGGCCTTGTGCGATCAAACGTGTAACTTTTGAAGTTACCCCCAACATGACCATACATGGAGCCTCTATATCTGCCTCTGCAGTATTTTTACTTCAACCTTTGAAATTGACAGACTGGACTGAAGTGCAAATAAACATTTTTAGATATTTTGAATACGATATTTGTATTAACATTGTTACGATCTATCCAATTCTGCATAGTTATATTTTTTCCATAAGACTTGCTCTTCAACATAAAATTCTGAAAACAAGACTCCCTTTGTTTTCTAATGAACTATCTAACTTTTTCAAATTTAGTAAATCGTTACGTTTTTTGTCGCCATTGGAAAACCTTAATCAGAAAAAAGATTCCTTCTTAATAGTTCAGAATAAAAGTAACTGAAAATCTCTTATCATCCCTTTCGACTCGCTACATAAGCATACACAGATATGTAATATACATGTATGCATGCGAATATATGTTTTGATACATATGTTAAAAAACAATATTACATTCTGGAAGGTTGTTTACCCTGATACCATCGTTTAACGACATTGGATTGTAAATATGGCACACATGGCATGATGATATGTTGTGATAATAGCTTAGGAATACATTTGTGTATCAGAAACCTTAAAGCTAAGATTTGGATTATTTGGAAAACCTGTATAAGATCTAGAGTACATAACCATTACTTGGCCATGTCTCTCATATTTGTCAACTGTGATGTTATTCACTATAATGTACAATTATTCTAAAATCCCTCAACAGCAGCAACATATTCTCTTGCAAAGGCTTGTTTTATCCTCCTTTGGTGGAATCTGCCATCGTGTAAATGAGAGGAACACTTGTTCCAGGGTTGTTTGGTGAACTGAATAGTCCTCGACAGAGAACTGCACCTTGGATTGTTCCATCACTGTGAAGACCTGGGCGAGACTGACGGCGTTGTAAGGAACTTGGAAGTGAACATAGCCCTGATGGTCGTCGAACACGTGGGTGTTGGGATAGGATGAAGTGATGAAGTTCACAAGTGGTTCTGTTGGAGCGGGAGCTCTTTCTTCTGATACTCCTGGTTGAGTTTCAACTGTTTTCATCCGAGCTATCAGTGTGTAGCCCTGGCCGAATTTGGTCTTCAAATGTTGTGGTGTTCCAAGACACACAAATCTTCCATTCACCATAATGGCAATTCTTGTACACAGAGCGTCACATTCTTCCATGCTGAAAAGGTTAGATTAAATTTAGTGCTGGTTGGTTATATTCAATGTGTCTTGCCATTTCAAGGATTGGGCGTCTCATTAGTATCGTGCAAAGAACTAAAATGTCATATATGTCAACATTATACTAACCTGTGAGACGTGAGCACGAGGGTCCTGCCGCACTCCCGGACCTTTGACAGGACGTTCCAGAGCTGCCTCCTGGCCTTGGGGTCCATCCCTGTGGACGGCTCATCCAGCATGATGAAGGCTGGGTCTCCAACCAGAGCGATGGCGGTGCTCAGCTTACGCTTGTTACCACCACTGTAGATATAATTGAAATACATCTAATATGAGTGAGTGAGTGAGTTGGGTTTAACGCCGCTTTTAACAGTATTCCAGTTTTACCGCGGCGTGTCAGCTTAATGTGGGAGGAAAGCCTGAAATGATGCAGGTCTCAGACGTTTACCGTGTCTACGAGCACGGGTATGGTACTGACAAACCTAGAAACATAATCGAGGCGAACCGGGATTCGAACCCACATTCATAGGTTTCTGTCGTAGCCAAGGGACGCAACTCTGCACAGTGAACCGCGGCGCCTTAGACGACTGGGCAACCCGTGCCCCCACACCAATATGAAAGAAATGCATACATACTATTAAACAAGTTAACACGTAAATACAAACAAGAATATTTTTTTCTTTTCAGCATTGTGAGGAATTTATCTGTAATTTATTTATGTTTGTTTGCTTGTTGTTTAACGCCGCACTTAGCAATAGTCCAGGCATACGACGGGGGACTGTAAATAATCGAGTCTGGAAACAACAATCGAGTGATCATCATGATCATCGATCCACGCGATTGGGATACGATGACATGCATCAACCAAGTCAGCGAGCCTGACCACCCGATGCCGTTATTCGCCTCTATCGACAACCATAGTCACCTTTTACAGCAAGCATGGGTTGCTGAAGACCTATTCTACCCCGGATCTTCACGGGTCAATTTATTTATGTAAATGCCCTTCACCTGTACTCCGATATTGGTTTGTCTGAATACTGCCTGAGCATCATGATATCCAGCAGGTTGTCACAGACTCCTTTGATGCGGCTCTCCGGCACTCCCTTGAGTCTGGCGTACATGGTGAGAGTCTCTCGTCCTGTCATCTGATCAATTAGGGCATCAAACTGGGGACAGTAGCCCATGTTCTCTTGCACCTGTGATCAAGTTGAATAAGTAATATTTTATGGGAAACATACACAGTGTCAATGTGTAAAAGACATTTTCGGAGTATTGAAGTGATTTATCATATACTAACATACATATAGTATCACAATCTTTTAATATAGCCCATTGTGGCATCAAACAACTTATTCTGCTATGTTCTTCCTGATAAAACAAAGACGTGAGTTACCTTTTGGGTGTGATTCTTGATGTCGAAAGACTGTAAGAAAACATTTCCACGTGTCAGCATGACGTCTCCAGTAATCATTTTAAATGTGGTTGTCTTTCCTGCACCGTTTTGTCCAAGGAGACCAAAACACTCCTTCTCTGGTATGCCCACACTCAGATGATCAACAGCAACGAAGTTCCCGTATCGTTTGTAAACGTCCTTCAGGACCAGTGCATCTGAGTTCCCGTCTCCAATGGGTAATTCATCAATGCGTTGCCTTTCACTGAGAACATCTCCATCCTCTGGAACGTGTTGAATTGGACTGAGGGACGATGCACCGGGCTGTGGTATTTCTGTTTCCTGTGGTCTAAAGGCATACCAGATTCTCTGTGGTATCTGATACTCAATGAACAGTGTCACAGACATATAAACCACTGCCTGGAACAGCATAAAGACAACATAGCGTCCCACTCCCGGGGAGTCCCAATCCAGGAAGTTTTCAGTGAATTGAAAACAGTAATCTCCACATGAATCTACAAAAATCAAACAATACGAAAATGAACAAATCATATACCTGATAAAATGAAAATGTGCCAAAAAACGCATTCGCTGTTTATGACTCACATATATGTCTATATAAAAGTAAATATGGAAACCAACCTTTACAGCATGGTTCTCCCCCTGTTGTTGTTGCACAAAGTGATGTGTAGTTTTTCTTAATACAGCTGTCAAGGGTTTGATAGTTGCTGTACATATCCATGTAGGACTTCCCAAAATTGTAGTGAGGGAAAACTAGTAGAAATATCCAGTCTGCGACTTTAGCCTCAGATGTCTTTTGTAGGGTGGTCAGCATAAATGCTGTTAAAAGAGTTGCAAGACCTGTTTGGAGAAAACAGAAAACTAAATAAAATTGGAAATAATTACTCTGGCTCCTATATGGGTTTTTACCAGTTACATTTAAACTTACCACCAAAAACATTTGAAAATCGCTCACAAAATATGGACAAGATAATTTCATTGCGTTAGTTTAGTACATACTTAAATACCGCACCTGTGATAATGTTCAAGATGATGATGACAACCATCCCGGTTGGAGGGGACTTGAACATATACTGGAGAGCATACATGAAGGGCAGAACTGCCAAACCATACACAAGCAGGATGAGGAACACGATGCCTAATCTCCCATCTTCTGTATATGCTGGCGACTGGAATCCTGCAAACACAACCAGCAGCAACAGGGATGGAATCAGGTAGTTGATGTAGTCCCAGACAAAGTTGGACAACCAGAAGACAAATGATCCAACCCCACTGACAGTCTGAAGATGTTTGGCGCCCACCAATCTCTCCTTGACAAGGAAATGGACGAATGATGACGTTAGGAAGGCCATGCCAAAGATAAGACAAAACGCCACAGAAAAGCCGAGTCCAGATACAACTGAAAGTGTGTTGCGTGATGTCTTTTTTGCATCAAGAGGAAGAGGGTTGTTGATAGTGGTAATGGAATGATCCTGAGATGTAAAATGTTTGAGGATTGCGTTCATCATGAAAGACAAAGCTATGGGCTGGCTGTGGTAAGGTTGTCCATTAAAAATACCAATTGCTTCTTTGCTAGATTTGAACTGGGTTCCAATTATCATTTTCTTGTTGTATCCACCAACACCAAGATCCTTTCCTCTTGATAAGAAATAGCTTGTCATATTATTTGTCGACATCATCTCAGGTTTGTTTTCAGATCCTGCAAATTGATCATGGTATGCCTGTGCAAGTGTCTGTGGTAGTGGTCCAGAACCTCCTTTATATGGGACGTAGGTGCCTTTGAATGGTGCCAAGTCTAGAGTTAATGGAACTTCGACTACTTCGCCTGGGTCTACCTTGCTGATTGCCAGAGCAGCAATAGCAAAAAGTACTGGCAACAGAAGCTGGACAATGGTGATGGTCCTATTCCTCAATGTGTGAAGAGCCTTCTTTACAAACAATCCTCTGAAGCGAGACAGCTCCAACATTATTCCTCTGGTTTTGGTGAATCCCTTATTGAATGCTGAAATAAACACATGACTAATTAACAAACAAATAAATAAATAAATAAATCACATTTTCTTTGTGTCGAATAGCAATAGTATTGAGGGCATGCGAAATAAAATTACACAATAAATGTGCACAATGAAAAACTAACTGATATTGACATATTGTAACATATTGATAACTTACATTATTAAATAATTATAATGATAATATGGATTATACGTATGTGGACGTATGGATAAAACAGAGCACTTTTAACCCACGTGTACGCCTCGATAGAATTTGAGTGATATTTTCCAATCCAGTAGAGAAATGAAAATCACATTTTTGATATGATATTCATGGTATCTTTTTGTTTTAAATCTATTTTTCAACAGTTAAACTTATACTATAAAAAATAAATGTTATATTAAACTGTTATTGACCTAATATATCTGCCGTCCCCGCCTCTCTCATTTCATAGTTGCCGTTGCTCAAGCCATTTGTTTCGTTAGATATCAAATTGTTTCTTGATCCTGTTGGGTAGTCTTCATTGACATCTCCATCCTTCTTTTGCTCCTCCTCGCCAGCTCTATCCAACAAATACAACATCCAATGTGTTTAGATTGATATTGCTGAAATTTGCTTAGGTACTGTATTAATCATTACCTACATGTTACCATACAATTGTATGACGCAGTTGCAATATTTAACAAATCAAAATGCCACGACATTTTAAAAAATATTTTATCGTCAATTTACAACAGATCATTTTAAACACATTTGTAAACTGATACTTTAATGATGGCAGTGTGTACATATTCCTTACATAAACTCGATACACTGTTTCAAAATAACTGACACCGCTCACTTGAGGAACACTTCCTCCATAGTGGTTGCACTTGCGCCAAAACTGGATATGCCAAGCTTCTCCCTCTGGGTTTCAATCTCCGTGAAGAGAGCAGCAAAGTTGGCTGACTGGTCATCAGGCAGCAAGTAGGAGAGTTCAGCATTGATCTCACTCTCCATGACTGCTGTAGGGACGTATTGCTGGACAACTGCCGTCACTGATGCCACCTGACAGGTTGGTCCCTTCACCATCACCAGGTGATAGCCAGCTCCTAGAAGACAAATATGTTGCCAGTGATGTTATGAGAAGTCAAAAGTAACACAGACAACAGACACCAGCTAACTTGAAATCGTTTCAGACAAGGTAGGATTTTACATAAACACAAACAGTGAACTCGAACACGGTTATCACGAACTGCCAGATATTACGAACTGGTCTTTTGGCCCCAGACATTTGCTATTTATATGCAGTATACATGGTCCATTTGAGTTCGTTATAACCAAAGTTTACTGTGTACATAATTACAAGCATAACAACTCAGTAGTACCATAGAGTTTCTTCAGGAAGTACGATGTCCCGCAGCACTTGACCACCCCTTCTGCCATGATGGCGATGCGGTCACCCAGAAGGTCAGCTTCGTCCATGAAGTGAGTGGTCAGCAGCATGGTCCGGCCCTGTCTGTTCCTCTGAAGGATGTCCCATGTCTGTCTCCTGGCTGCAGGATCCATACCGGAAGTCGGTTCGTCCAGGATCACGATCTGAATCGCACATTTGTATTAGAGACAAGTGGAATTAATACTATGTGGATTCTCAAAAGCTCAAAGGATTTGCTTGACTTTTTGCAATCTCAGAAAAAAAATAAGCGCCATTTTGTCAAAGCATTTGATTTTTCAACTTTGTACACCACTATCCCAAATGACAAACTTAATTCCTTGATCCATGGCGCTTTTGTTACAAAACGTGGTGGCCACAGATACAGTTACGAGGTTCAGGGCAATTTGTGAAAAATGAAAACAAAAGCCATCTGAAGTTAACTGAAAAAACAATGTGTGAAATGCCTGACTTCCTCGTTCATATAATCTACCGCAAATTTTGTGGTAAGGCATTTAGGAAAGGAATAGGTATCTCTCCATGTCAAGCAATATTCCAGCAGCTCCAGTTTTTGGTGTTTACATTTCACAATAGTCGGAATCGTACAATCGACTCTGATTCAAGCAGATATTTCTATTGCATATAAATAGGGTTTTGTCACTTTATTTAGTTTTTAATATGTACCACATTATTGATATGGCTAAATTGTAAATGGTGACATCGATAACCATATTGTTTTCTTCAGGATAAGATTTATTGATTAGCTAGTAATGGACTACCTTCGATCCTCCAATCAGAGCAATGCCTACAGAAAGCTTCCTCTTCTGTCCTCCAGAAAGATGCTGAGACTGAGTGAATCTCTTCAGACTCAAACCAACTTCATTCATCATGGTGGTAACATCAGATTGAACATTTTTGCTCGGACAACCTTTCAACTACAAAAACAGAACATTTCATTGTTTTTTTCTTGTTTTGTATACGCCATTCTTGAACTCGTGGATTTTACGAATCGGAAAATGTCTTGTGTTTGCGCTTGGATTTCCTTTCATGTTAAGTTGACAAGTCATGCTTCCACCGAAATATACTGTTATATCATTCACATGCATTAAATCGTTTTTCTTTTTGTTTTCCGTCTAGATTTTCCTGTCATGACATGGATTTGTCTACAAAGAAAATAAAGAAAAAAACACGGGTGTTTGCAAAAGAAACAAATGTGCATATCTATGCAAAGTTTCGGTACACAATGTCACGATGTCTCGCAATACAAAGAGAAAAACATTGGAGTTAGTTGTGTAAGATTGTAAGGACATACACATAGGCAAAAGAAAAATGACAAGCCAGTTTCTGTGATCCTTGAGATGTCCCACTCTAATTCTAACAAAATTGTACAAGTTTCAGTACTAAAAAATAAAATAGTAAAGAAGATCTTAGATAACCATTATTTGATAATAATATTTCCTCCAAACTTCTGAACCAAACATGAAGTAAGTTCAGTGTTTTGTAACTGGCCACTTATCAATTATATCTATTAGGTCATCCACAAACGAAAAGGAGTGATTTATTTCCTCTGTCATGAACTGTCTACATGGGAAAGATCAACATAGCTCATCAACCGACTATCACTGGGAGCCATATATAATGACATATAACACTTTATCAACTGTTCATTCAATGTTCACTCATATTGTCCAGGATTCTGATTGTGTAGAAAATCGAAACTTACACAGGCGAAGAACTCAAGATGTTCCTCAACAGTCAAGCTGTCAAACAGGATGTTGTGTTGCGGACAGAGACCTAGACTTTGCCGGACACTCTGGATGTCATTGCTGATGTTATAACCGTTCACAATGGCGGTCCCTCCAGATGCAGGGATGAAACCTTCGAATAAACACACAAGTGTTATCATTACTGTTACCAGATCAAGACATAAAGACCACACATGTGTCAACAGCAGGGTGTAAAGGATGCTACGAACTGAACGTTTACATACACCCCTAAACCCCCAGCCTCGTGGTGTGCGAGTCCATTCAGCTCGTAAAATGCCGTACCCCCGCTAGAGATACGTGTAATTCGAAATTCACTATCAACGGGAAGGTTTGACTAACGATTTCCTTTAGAAGTACATCTGGTATACAGCCGTAATAACACAATTCAAAGGAACATACCCGTATATACACAACGGGCATGAATACTTATTTTAAACCAGTGACTGTATATACCTGTAAGAACAGACATGGTTGTAGTTTTTCCAGCACCGTTGTGACCCAGGAGGACAGAGATCTGACCCTCGTACATGTTGAGACTCATCCCATCCACAGCTACCTTCTTCTTAGATCCAGAGCCGAAAATCTGCGAGGCAAGAATACATTTGGATACATTGTACATTGTTGGTTTGGGTTCATAATGGTGAACATTGTGTATTTGGGTACAGAATGGTGTGTTATATGAGGAAACTGATTCTCTTTTATTATGTAAACTGATGGAGTATAAGTAGAATATAGTTTATTGAATTAAAATACATTGCACCTTATGATGTTTAAGTTAAGGATGGTGTGTAGAATGCGGATTATTAATGAAGATATTATCAATTATGATCTTAGATTTGATAGTGTATAGTAGTCTGATGTTTCATAATGCAAAAGTAAGCATATTATTACAAGTATTCAATGTTCCTACCTTTTTGAGGTTTTGGATGGATATTCCAGTTTTCATACCACTTGGTTCCTTTTCAAAGTGTTTCTCATCCAAGTGCTGATTGCTTGAATAATCGGCATTACTCTGCTTAGTTCCACACCAGTAAGAAGCCTGGTATAACAAATGTTTGCGGATTTCTAAATGTAACTAACATTGTGTAATCCTATAAATTTGGTTGGTTCTTACACAGAAAATAGAATAATTAACTTTAATATGACATGAGATGGCATAAATATGACTCCATATTGAACACAATGGAGCGTTAAGGAAACTCAAATTGATGAAACATTTTGCTTAGAATGTACAATGTGTCAACTTTATAGGTTTACATCTTTACAACCTAACTTTGAATCTTTACACCATGTATGGCATAAAAGCCACCGGAAGTACTTACAGTGAAAGGGAAATAGAATGGTTTCGGCACACCAAACTCCCCTGGCCAAACATTGTCTATATACCAGGTGATGAGAAGGTGAATTGCTGTGTCGCCTAGCAACATCAAAATGGCATCCAGCAGGGAGAAGTTGTCATCCACAGTAGCGGGCTCATGAAAATTAGACCACTGCACACCCGAGCCTACACAATGTAAAGACCAAACATAAAACGTATTCCAAATAATATGCACGAGTATGTATTGCCGATAGAATATACTTTTCAGATGTAATATACTGGGTTGCATATTGTCCAAAGAAACAAACATACGAAGTCTATTTTGCAATTTCTAAGGGATGCGCTCAAATTCAGTATTACTTATCCTTGTCATACATGTATTTGGATGGTGAAAAGAAACACACCAGCTCCTTCGTAGAGTGTTATGACCTTTGCTCCAAACGCCATTCCCACATTAATCAGAAGACAGGAAGCCAGTTTAGCTGGCCTGGACATGTTCTGGTATATGATCTGCAGGTAGAAGTACGGGCAATAGGATATGAAGAACACGATCCCGCTGATTGCTGCTCCGATGTTTGCTGAAATGTAAAGAAATCATGAAAAATGTGTACGCATGACAACTCATACTATGCCCATTTCCTAAAAGCACCGGGTTCGTTTTTCAGACTTCGTTATTCGTTATTCGTTTTTCTCCTTTAATATATGACAGCAGGTTCGTCTTACATCATCATCCAAAAGCTGTTATTTAGAACCTTTGAATAACGAAAACCAAACCAGCACCTGGTTTCTTATTAAGTTCATGTCCAAGAAAATATATAAATAAATGGAAAAAAGAATCTGCTAGTTTTTATTTATGTACTTATTTACAATAGAGACTTAAATTGTGGGAAACCCCTTTGCAGAAGTAACCCTCATTAAATATTGACTGTATTTTAGGACAAATTTACAAATATAGGTATATTTAATTGTATAATGAGTGTGGCCTCTTCTCGTAGACCCTGCCACTGTATCCCTTTCTTCAACCACTCCACAGAAAAAAAACGTTTCTGGTCGAGGCCATCATCACACACAACAGAACAGAGTCTTACAATGTATCTATGTTTTCATGGATTATATGACTGGTCAGTTAATGGTAGTGACATATCACACAGATAGAGTAAGATGTCTTACTACTCTCTCTGATACTATGACATTAGATTCGTTTGGGTTTGTAACTTTGATCGTTGACTACGACCTGGAATGGATCCCATGATTGTATTTATCATAAAGGTGGCAAGTTAACCTCACGTTTGTTTGCAAAGTTCTAGACAACCACTTGCATAGTGCAGTAAACTTAGATTATAGTTCAGTAGAGTTCAAGACTTCAGTTAACATAAGTGTACATTGTCTGTATAGATACATTGCCATTTAGTATTAAAGCAGTCAAATGGATCAGTTTTGCATTGTGACGTATATAACTTTCTGTCCACAGCAAATTTACCTATAGAATGAACACAACTGCTATCTGACGAAATATTTTTTGTAGAAAATACTGTCTGGGTAACTCACTACATATAACTGTAATTAAAATTATCATACAAGATTGTAAGTGGTATTGTAACCCTTTCCTACAAATAAATTGAATACAGTTTGATCTATCCCCTTTTAGTTCGTTATTATTCACCCATAAACTGCCGGAAAGAATCCGACTGAACAGTGTTTTAACAAAAGATGAGTGGTGCTGTTTTGATTCCAGTTGCTGGACAGCACTTAGTAACTAAAAACTGCTTGAACATGAATTAGACTACCTCACATTTGTCACTTTGTTGGACATGAACTGAAAACTAAAATGCTGCAGTTTAATTTTTCGTTATTCAAAAGTACTGAAAAACTAAACAGCTTTTGGACGTTTTAGACGAACCTGCTGTCATATATTAAATGAGTTTCAGTGTATTTGTCCACATTACTGTAGTTGTTTAATATACAGCCTTTGAATAACGAACCCGGCGCTGGCTTGTTTTTCGTTATACGAAAAACGAATGACGAATAACGAACCCACTGTCAATACGGTATCTTATATTTGTTATACCAAGTCTGAATAACGAACCCGGTGCTGGTTTGTTTTTCGTTATTCGAAAAACGAATGACGAATAACGAACCCGCTGCTTACTTCAGGCCCCTTTGACATTTCACCGTTCATCAACAATAAGGATAGCATTAGCCACATGAGTATTAATCCAATAGCATCCTAAATTGCCGGAAATATTATTGATGTTTTCGACACTGAATTTATCAGCTTATCTAGATACACTTCGAATTGTATTTCTTCTTACATTCTGTGCATGACAACTGCCAAACGGAAGAACACACTTGAATACAATCGTCACACTTTCATAACATATTACAGATAGTAAGTTTAGTATTATGAAATCAATATGTCTAAAAGATTTACGTCAATGTCAGATCTAAAAGTCACGTAATAATTGACATTTACCCCTTTGAGCGAAGACGCTGATCATGAAGCAGTAGGAGATGATGGAGACGCCGTAACAGAGGAGGAACACAAAGAACAGGGAGGGATCTGATTTGGCCAGAGCAGCTCCATTTCCACTTGCATTAATGCCACACAACAGAGTATACAGCGCCATGATTACCAACACATATATAAAGCTGGTCAGAAACCAAGACGTCCAGTGAGCTGCAGCACTCAGACCCATCAGCTTCATGGACTCCTGCGGAGGAAGAAATAGATCAAGTCTTAACTTACAAATAGGCGGTTGGCTAGCCTCATGGTTGAATCATTAACTTGATACGCCGACGATCCGGGTTCAATTACCCACGTATGTGCAATGTGTGAACCCCTCCATTCATATCCCCCTGTCAGGATAGAGCTTGAATTTGGCTAAAAGCGGCGAAAAACTTTACTCCCATAACTGACAATGTTATGAAAGATCTTATTTATATTTAAAACTGTGAGTGAAATATATTGTGACAAACCACCGGCCGTGGGGTTATCGGGGTATGTGTTGTTGCCCAACAATCTAAATACATGTAATTCGCTATACAAAGTCGTATCCTGTGACCATACCAGGATCCGCTGACAGTGGACTTGTTTTTTTATTAAAGGGAAATAGTCAGGTTTTACGTAACTTTCTTTGTGTTTACGTTGGACGTACCTCCTAAGTAAGTCTTATACTGTTTAGCGCAAATCCTACCCAACTGACTCATTCACACACTAATTACACAATACCTAGGAATAACTGTGGTTGCATTATTATATACATATTATATTATTATATCCCCACATACACAATAAATTGAAAATCCATTTTGTCAAAATGTTGATTTTATATTTAAAGAGAAAGTAAAGGTGGTGCATAGAACTACAAGTATCTTGTCGAAAAAGTCCCTAAACTTAGAATCTGATTAAATAATTTATTTATTTTCAACCAATGACATATCGACACCCAAATCCATTCGTTTTAAAATGCCTAACATTTCATTGTTTATTGGGAACAAACATATTGTTGGCAGGCATATTGAGAGTACAAATATACATGTGATAACCGCTACCGTGAATCGTTTTCCCAAAATTTATTTATGACTTACTTTCAGTTTTCTTTCCTTCTCGTAAACAACTCCCTTTGTTGTCTGGATGGCCATCAGGATGAAGCTCAGCATCAGCAACACCGGAAACGTGTACTGCAGCAGCAGTGTCATGGTGTCATCGATGTAGGGCGGGTAGGGCATTCGCAGCATTTGAACCTTCAGGTCTTGCAGTATAGCGATTGAGTTCGGGTTGAAATGTTTGATGATGGCTTCATAAAATATACGCTGCAGAACCACAAAGTCCTCATAGTCTGAAATATATTGACATGCTGAAGGGTGTCTTAACAAGCTTTTAGAAGTTAACACATAGGATCGGGTAGGTGATTTTCCCTCTGTCTTCGTGCAAAATAATGCAAGAACAGTTCATATCATAGTACCGAGTACTTATAGAAACAATCAAAATACTGTTGCAATAGTATTTCTAATAGCCCAGTAATATAAAAACAGTGTTGTCACCCCTATTCTATGACGTCTAAATGGATGGTCAGACTTGGTCACTCGGTTGACAGTGTGTCATCGTACCCTAGCGCCGCTTTGATATAGCCGGACTATTGCTGAGTGCCGCGAAAAGGACAAACAAACAAATTGTATTCCAGGTCACTGACCGTCATGAAACAGTTATTATCTGGATACTTGTTATCTCACAGTGTAAAAGGGTCGCGTCGTGTCATGGCTTTGACTGTGCTATGAGTATACAATGCATGGCGTTATGAAACCTTTTTATTTTTCTACTTAGTCCTTTTTGTCATGAGGTATTAACATCATCTTTGAATTGAAAGTTCGCTTGAAGCTAAATGTCCAGTGCACAAATGCCAACTAGTTACTTGGATTGGATCCCTGGAGCTAAGGTCCGGGTTGGAATTGGTATTTTGCAACCCATCCGTGTCGTACTTGTAAGAGGCGACAAACGGATCAAGTATTAGAAGTCGCTGACTTGGCTGATGTATGTCATCCTATACCAATTGCATTGATTGATGCTCGCAACGTAAATCAATGGATTGGCTGGACCAAACCAGTATTTATTACAGATAGCCGTCATACAAGTGGTATATTTATGAGTGCGGCGTTAAACAACAAACAAACAAAAAACATACCTGGATCGGAACCACCTCTTGGTCCTGCACTAGCCACGAAGGGTGTGGTCTCCGTGGTGTGCCACGAACCCCCATATTGGTCCCCTTTGGGACGAATGGCACATCGCAATTTCTTGGGCATGACGGTGTCTGTCATTGCAACGTTTTCAAATTCAACAGCAAAGCCAACTTCTTCAGAATTGTAACTGAAGTAGTCCAGCATATCTTTTCTCGATGAAAATCCTTTGAACGTAGGCAAGCCTGTATGAATGGTAGAAATGTATATGCAATGAACCAATGCTATGCCTGATCTCAGAAAATTGTAATGGGTCGGGTGCTGATGTAATGGTTGTTAGATACTTTGAAAGGGATGAATCGTGTTATAATGCCATTGCTATCCTGGTAATAGGATATAAGTTCAAATATAAGATAAATAGGTAAAGAATATTTAGGATGCATTCAAGGAACCAGGGTAGGAGAGGTTCAGGAGCTCACTCTTAGTGGATGAATTAAACTTAGGTATGGATGTACCGAACCAGATTCTTTCCATGGAAACTGTACAGTATAATGTTAAACCTACAAGTATGATCACATTTGATTTCAATCGAAGATTATATTCAATTCAAAATACATGTATTGTTGTTATATACTGACGTGTCCATAATCAGAATCCCCTCATCTCTCTGCAGCATAATTATTCAGGAGCGACTAAAGATACAGTAGAACGCGGATATGAGGAACATGGACAGAGCAAACGAACGGATACAACAAACTGTTACAAAATCCCTGATTTATCTTCTCTTTATTTTTACATGCATGATTAGGGGCGGCCGGGTAGCCTTGTAATTAAAGCGTTCGTTCGTCACGCCGAAGACCCGGGTTCGATTCCCGACATGGGTACAATGTGTGAAGCCCATTTCTGGTGTCCCCCGTCGTGTTATTGCTGGAATATTGCTTAAAGCGGCGAAAAACCATACTCACTCACTAACTATATTTTCATATAAAACGTACGTTTATAACGAACTCTTTTCGGTGGACTAACGTATATAGCAAACTCATACATCTGATCCTTGACAAGCCCAAAGACAACTAATTAGTGTACACTGAACTGATAAACTGAACTCACTCAGAGTTAAGTGAAGATGTACATAAGTTATCTGTTGACATTTACGAGATAAATATGTTTATAGTTTTTTTCCACAATAACATCTGATCCCCACCTTAATTCGAATGACTGTTTTCAATAAGAATCAATAGTCAACAAGAAACACAACAATATTTTTTATCAATTTGGGTCTAATGTTAAGTTGCTGAGGTGCTTCGCAAATGTGTTTTAATGCATTCCAAACGTGTATAAACTACTATCATGTCTAATATTCACATGTAATCAAAGGCACAAGTAACTCTGATCTACATGTTTATAGCATTATAATAACTCAAAACTTCTTCCTTTTCAAAGATTAAGTGTATGGGGTTTTCGGTTGTCTGAATATGAATTTTGATTCGATTCCGTTTTGAATACAAATTCAGCAACTTCTTTCTATACTAGAAATATCAGGTTGTTTTCTACCACATTAGAGACGAACAGCACTTAGAAAGAGAAAGAAATGTTTTAGGTATGTTTTCCTTGTATAGCCCATTCTTACTGATACAAGCTACCCTGGCGCGGCTTGACAAGTGGTTGGCCGTGAACACAGTAAGAAGATGGATAAAATTGTGAACAGGTAACGTCAACACAATCACAAGTTTCCTAAACAGATTTCATTGGGTGTCAGAGACTAAATAGCGGTAGAAATCAGTGATGGCACCAGGTTTTCACGGAAAGGGTCAGCATGTCCTGCCCTACAGGTAGCACCCGCCACTCATACAATTTGCATAAAGTACATGTAAGTGTCTGTTGCCTAGCAGGGGCGGTCGGGTAGCCTAGTGGTTAAAGCGTTCGCTCGTCACGCCGAAGACCTGGGTTCGATTCCCGACATGGGTACAATGTGTGAAGCCCATTTCTGGTGTCCCCCGCCGTGAAATTGCTGGAATATTGCTAAAAACGGCGTAAAACCATACTCACTCACTCACTCACTCACTGTTGCCTAGCGCCGCACAGCTGTACTCCTGCCACACAACGGAGGCTTCTAACAACCCAGACATTTTATTGATCGATGGAACGGAAAGTTCAGTGACACGAAATCGTATTTACTGAGTTTCTTGAAACTGAAAACGATATCTGTGTGTGTGTGTGTGTGTGTGTGTGTGTGTGTGTGTGTGTGTGTGTGTGTGTGTGTGTGTGTGTGTGTGTGTGTGTGTGTGTGTGTGTGTGTGAACATACATTCATAAACATTGATAGTGCAGACTATATGTACAGTGTACAGTGCAGATTACATACAAGTCATACGCTTGTACATGTGTGTGTTTGTTTGTGTGTGTTTGTGTGTGTATGTGTGTGTAACTGAACATACATTCAGAAACATTGATAGTGCAGACTATATGTACAGTGTACAGTGCAGATTACATACAAGTCATACGCTTGTACATGTGTGTGTGTGTGTTTGTTTGTGTGTGTTTGTGTGTGTATGTGTGTGTAACTGAACATACATTCAGAAACATTGATAGTGCAGACTATATGTACAGTGTACAGTGCAGATTACATACAAGCCATACACCTGTACATATGTGTGTGTGTGTGTGTGTGTGTGTGTGTGTGTGTGTGTGTGTGTGTGTGTGTGTGTGTGTGTGTGTGTGTGTGTGTGTGTGTGTGTGTGTGTGTGTGTAACTGGACATACATTCATAAACATTGATAGTGCAGACTATATGTACTGTGTACAGTGCAGATTACATACAAGTCATACAACTGTACATATATATGTGTGTGGGTGTGTGTGGGGGGGAGGGGGGGTGTAACTGAACATACATTCAGAAACATTGATAGTGCGGACTATATGTACTGTACAGTGCAGATTACATACAAGCCATACACTTGTAAATGTGTGTGTGTGTGTGTGTACATGTGTGTGTGTGTACATGTGTGTGTGTGTACATGTGTGTGTGTGTGTATACATGTGTGTGTGTGTACATGTGTGTATGTGTGTGTACATGTGTGTGTGTACATGTGTGTGTGTGTACATGTGTGTGTACATGTGTGTGTACATGTGTGTGTGTACATGTGTGTGTGTGTGTGTACATGTGTGTGTGTGTACATGTGTGTGTACATGTGTGTGTGTGTGTGTACATGTGTGTGTGTGTGTGTGTGTACATGTGTGTGTACATGTGTGTGTGTGTACATGTGTGTATGTGTGTGTACATGTGTGTATACGTGTGGGGGGGAGTGTGTGTGTTGGGGTGGGCGGGTGTTAATATACATACATTTTAAAATATTGATTATACAGTTTATATATGTAAAGTGTACAGTACAGATTACACTCTAATGGAATGTACATAGGTAAGTATGTCACTTGGTAGTGCAGACTATATGTACTGTGTACAGTGCAGATTACATACAAGTATACAACTGTACATATATATGTGTGTGGGTGTGTGTGGGGGGGAGGGGGGGTGTAACTGAACATACATTCAGAAACATTGATAGTGCAGACTATATGTACTGTACAGTGCAGATTACATACAAGCCATACACTTGTAAATGTGTGTGTGTGTGTGTGTGTGTGTGTACATGTGTGTGTGTGTACATGTGTGTGTGTGTACATGTGTGTGTGTATACATGTGTGTGTGTGTACATGTGTGTATGTGTGTGTACATGTGTGTGTGTGTACATGTGTGTGTACATGTGTGTGTACATGTGTGTGTGTACATGTGTGTGTGTGTGTGTGTACATGTGTGTGTGTGTACATGTGTGTGTGTGTGTGTGTACATGTGTGTGTGTGTACATGTGTGTGTGTGTGTGTGTGTACATGTGTGTACATGTGTGTGTGTGTACATGTGTGTATGTGTGTGTACATGTGTGTATACGTGTGGGGGGAGTGTGTGTGTTGGGGTGGGCGGGTGTTAATATACATACATTTTAAAATATTGATTATACAGTTTATATATGTAAAGTGTACAGTACAGATTACACTCTAATGGAATGTACATAGGTAAGTATGTCACTTGGTAGTGCAGACTATATGTACTGTGTACAGTGCAGATTACATACAAGTCATACAACTGTACATATATATGTGTGTGGGTGTGTGTGGGGGGGAGGGGGGGTGTAACTGAACATACATTCAGAAACATTGATAGTGCAGACTATATGTACTGTACAGTGCAGATTACATACAAGCCATACACTTGTAAATGTGTGTGTGTGTGTGTGTGTACATGTGTGTGTGTGTACATGTGTGTGTGTGTACATGTGTGTGTGTGTGTACATGTGTGTATGTGTGTGTACATGTGTGTGTGTACATGTGTGTGTGTGTACATGTGTGTGTACATGTGTGTGTACATGTGTGTGTGTACATGTGTGTACATGTGTGTGTGTGTGTACATGTGTGTGTGTGTACATGTGTGTGTACATGTGTGTGTGTGTGTGTACATGTGTGTGTGTGTACATGTGTGTGTGTGTGTACATGTGTGTGTACATGTGTGTGTGTGTGTACATGTGTGTATACGTGTGGGGGGGGAGTGTGTGTGTTGGGGTGGGCGGGTGTTAATATACATACATTTTAAAATATTGATTATACAGTTTATATATGTAAAGTGTACAGTACAGATTACACTCTAATGGAATGTACATAGGTAAGTATGTCACTTGGTATGTTCCACCTGGTACGTAACTGTTATTGTATGCCAGGAGCAAAATACCGCAAGAGAAATTGATAAGTGCGTTGCGATATATACAAATGGATGTTTCTGAACGTCTTAAGTTTATAACTTATAGCTTGTGAGAAACAACATGATAGGTGTCAATAGTGAAAGGAAAGGAAAGGGCCAGTGTAACATACATCGCCTTTTACGGCAAGCGTGGGTTGTTGAAGACCTATTCTACCCCGGATCTTCACGTCGAAGGATAAATATATACTGATACATATATCAATATTCTGACTTGTGATTCGTAAGAATATTCTTTTTCTATCTCTTTTGGGATCTTTAGATCAAATTCCAAGCTTTGTATTTTATTGTTGTCATGAGTATTTGAGTCATTCATTCTATTTGCAATATTGTAGATATAGTTTCTATTTGGACATATGTGTGTTTAGACACGAAAAAACGGAATATGGATTCGTGATTATTAGTTCCTTAAGCAACCACATAAGTATCATATATTCATTAAAACGTGTATACGCAATAAACTTAAAACGAATACTAGTAATACAGCGTTTTTTTAAAGGACCATAATTGGAGTTGTGGCTTTGTGAGGCAATGACAAGGTGAAAGGTGAATGATTCGCGGGTCAATCAATTCAGCCATATAAGCAATATCATCATGTTCAATTAATCCCCATAATCAATATTGTTCAGTTATCAGCAGCACACACAGTATCTTAAACATAAATAAAAATAGAAAATGAACTTACCTGAATAATGATTAAACCTAAAGGTTTGGTTGATGAGTGTTTCGTTAATACCTGTAATCAGTCCAGTGATGAGGGTGTTGTTGGGTGTGAACAGAACAAGGTCATTGGAATAGTACGAAAATCGACGATTCACCGCCCTGGAGGAATACACCCTCGCTGGTTCATGAGTAACCGGTATCATAAATCTAAAGCTGAAGAATATCACTCCAAATAGTAGAGGTAAGAGAATTTCAAAGACTGTCACACAAATCTTTTTACGTTGTAGAAGGAAATTCTTCCACATAAGCAGCCGGAGCTGCGGAAAGAAGGCCATGTTGAACTTGCTGAGTCGCCCTCCTTCGACCTCACTGTGGACGCCGCTATATAAATGTTGAAATCCTGAACGCGACGTTGAAGAAACCTCACCCCACCTCACCTCCTCGTGGTAATGTACACATGCCACACCTGGATCACGTGACGGGATTGCAACATCCCATTTGGTCATCCACCGCGTGATAATGAAAACCCCTTTGTGGATACACACGTTAGTCGATTATATACATAGGATATTTTAAAAGGACAGCTGGCGGAAGATATTATTCTAGAGTTCTGCACATGTCTTATCGGTGACACCTGGTTGGTAACCTAAAAGCCTTGTGACCTGTTTTCTGGGTGGATGAAAGCGTTGGGACATTCCGACCATTGTTCTCTCCATCAGTGGTCTCCCCTTGCGCATTTAAGGTTTAGTCAGAGAAGTTGAGGAAGTTAAAAAGTTACTGATAGAATGCAGGAAACAAATCCAGCCCCAAATTCTCCTGTAAACCAATTCACTAACTACGGTTTCTGTTAAGGTGCAGGATACTGAATAGTGGTAAAGGAAGTGTCCGTGATATCGGACGATGTCTTTCAGACATGACTGAAAATGATATTGTGACAGAGTTGCACTCCCAAGGAGTTACTGCTGTCAAACGTTTGACAGCAAAATAGAATTATAAAGTCACCAAAACAAACACCTATCTGTGTACATTTTGTCATCAAATGCGTCCACACTCAATCAGAGCTGGTTATTGCAACTAAAGGGTGGATACATTTATCCCTTATCCCTTTAGGTGTAACTCTTGACAAAAGTATGGCCATGGATCGAAGTCGTGCCAAAAGCAAGAAAGTTCCCTTCATCGTGCCCAATACTGTTTTCATTCTTATACCTTAACCTGGCCATGATCATACCCACCCCTCCAATCACAGGCCAGTATCGCTTACTTTCAGTGTTTGTAAGACCATGGAAATTATAGATTAATGTGGTACTTAGAAACAAAAAATCTTATTACTAATATTCAATGTGAATTTCAAAAAAATAGAAGTACCACTGACCATTTGGTTATATTGGAAACATTTGTTAAAATGCTATTATTAATAAACAACACACTGTATCAATATTTTTCGATTTAGAAAAAGCGTATGATCTGACCGCGAACATGGAATTTAAAAGATCTTCATGAGATGAGATTGAGAGGCCGTTTGCCTAATTTCATATCACAGTTTTTAAAAGATAGACATTTCCAGGTATGTGTGGGATCCACCTTGTCGGATTTTTACTATCAAGATCACAGTGTCCCCTATCGTTAACCTTATTTAGTATAAAAATTAATAGTTTATCTAAGGTATTAAATGACTCTATTGATGGGGCATTATTTGTCGATGATTTTAATTTATCACGTCCAGGTAAAAACATTCACACGATTGAGAGACAGTTGCAGCTTTGTCTTAATCAAATTAATGATGGGTCAAAATGGAATGTCTTTTTAATTTTCTAAATTTCTTGTCGACAATATAAAACACATAGGGACCCAGACTTACATCAGGCGGTCACTCCAATTAACGTTGTAGAGGAAGCTAATTCTTTAGGAATCATTTTTTATCACCATCGAAGACACTAGATTTATTAAAAGTTGTTTCTAATTCCAAGTGAACGTTTTATTGGATTGTCTAATGTGGTGTCATCTAAATCTGTGTCTGTTAAACTCTGACGGAGGTCGTGGATGTTTATACATATTCTCGGCATACCTTTGATATATAACTTGGATCATAATCGGATGAATAGAGCACTGTAGAGCGCTTGGAATCCTCATATCGTAATACAAACTTCTTGGAGAAATGCAATACAATACGTTCACAAAGTTGCATGAATCTTCTGTAAAAGAATACAGTGATGGTATATGAGTGAACATACAATATGTTGTGCATCGAGGCTGTACAGAACAGAGCCACGCGACTCTTCCTTTGGGTGAGAAAATATACCCCAAATAATGCAGTCTGTGGGAACGTGGGTTGGATAACCTCCTCGGTCCCTCATTGGGGAGTGAGTGAGTGAGTTGGGTTTAACGCCGCTTCAACAGTTGTCCAGTTATATCACAGCATTTCAGCTTAATGTTGGAGGACACCACTTTGGTGAAACCCACGAGCACGGGTATGCATATGGTGCTGACAAACATAGAAACATAATCGGGTCGAAGAGGGATTCGAACCCTACAATCATAGGTTTGTGGCGCAAAGGTCGCAACTCTGCACAGAGAATCGAGGCGCCTCAGACGACTGGGACAGCCTTGTTTATATGTTCTGATTTTGATAGGTGTAGATATTTAAGTTTAGTACTAATTAATAAAATGCATTATTTTGATAATCTTACATTATTCTTCCCCGCCCTTAAGGCGGGGAAGTATACGGGAAACGTTAAATTTGTGGCATGTATGTCGACATGTTGGTTTATTTGAAATTTCAAGCCACGCATTTACGGAAACAAAACATACAAATCATGTGCGTCGAATGTTGATGCTATTCTTTTCGAGCAAAAAGAGATACTTCAAAATCGTCTTTATGTAGTTAATTGATGCATCTGACCGTTTCTGGTCATTAGCTGACATTATTAAACCATTCATGTGTAATCCGATGTCCTTTTTTCCTCAAGGACTAATTTTCTGATTTTTACGGTGTATACAAAAGAAGAACTGTGCTCCGGAGATCCCAAATAACAGCATAATAAAAATTATGTTCTGAATATGCTTATTCATGAACAACGACGACATCTCAATTTAAATGTAATATGGCTGAATTCCATATTCTACATACCACACTTTTGATTGTTTGGATGCTCTTGTTCACTGGAAATATTTGGAATAGTTATATTCCGTATTTCGAATTAACCCAGTCCCCCGTGTGTGTTTTTTAATCAGTGCACCGCACATAACCACATGTGAAACGTTTGGTAGCAAAGTCAAAGCAAAATCGGAGTAGTGTGTCAGCGAATTTGCATCAAGGCTGTAGTATTTTTCAACCGTTTAATGGAATTCAATGTACAGCCGTAGCTCTGGTCATTCATATATTTTGTGTCCCATAGCTCAAATCTATTTGCATCTGTACCGTGTTCCACTGACCTCGATAATCTGTTGGATGAAGGCACAGCTCTCTACAGCCACAAAGTTAACACCGAAGGCTATGAGGAGTATTTAGGTCATAATCAGTCCCCAGCAGCCACTGCCTCAAGCGATATTGTCTACATAACAGATCAGTTTTATGGCTCCGTCACAGGTGCTCCAAATATTGAAGCAGGTAAAACAAATTTCATAGAAGCATTTCAAAAAGCAATATTGATATCCCCGTCACTTTTGGTAACTTTTAATGATGTCTCCATTGCAATTTTTACGGATTTCGATTCGTATGCATTATTTGACTGTCATCAGCGGAATGGTCTTTGTCAGATTGATCCGAATGGAGAAGCGGTTTTACTTCTGTTTAGTAGTATGGATGAATTGTCATGTTACATCTTAACAGTATATATATATCAGGCTACTATGCTTGTCGTAAGAGGCGTCGATCCCAATTGCGAGGATCGATGCTCATGATATTAGGCACTGGATTGTCTGGTCCAGACTCGATTATTTACAGACCGCCGTCATATAGCTGGGATATTGCTGAGTGCGGCGTTAAACGACAAACCAATCAATCATCATCATATGAACTCAAACCAGTCATTGTTACAAGTAAACCACATTCCACAACAGTTACTGACACTGGATAAAAAACAGTACAGAGAAAAAAAACAAGTAACTCAACTCATCATGATCACAATTACTATTCTTTGAAAGAAAGAAATACACACAAAAAACTGACCAAAAAACGTAAAACAAGAGACGAGGAATCTCCGTTATTGATTAGTCCCGGTATTGAAATGTTCTCCAACTACGTGATAATATTTTGAGTATGTGCATCTGTGGTTGTGACAAAAAGACCTTATCTAGTATGACTTTTTTTGCCATATGGAGCCCTTAGTATTTTCATTTACATTAATATAACCAAGTGCTAAGTGTAAAAAGAATGTGATCTATTTTTTGAGTAAGTGCATCTGCCAATGTTGTTGGCAGTTTTGATACTATTTCCACATGTTTACATTTGTGCCAGAAATTGCTTCCGTTTCCTTCGATCTACTTTTTAAATAAAGACCCAGGTAAGAATAGGTCTTCAGCAACCTATGCTTGCCGTTAGAGGCGACGAACAGGATTGGGTAGTCAGGCTCGCCGATTTGGTCGATGCATGACATCATATTCCAATTGCGTAGTTCGATGCTCTTGGTGTCAATCACTGGATGATCTGGTCCAGACTGGATTATTTACAGACCTCCGTCATATGGCTGGAATAATGCTCAGTGCGGCGTTAAACAAGAAACTATTTTTAAATAGACCTACCCTATGCAAATGTATCAACAGTATTGCCCAATACTCAAAATAAATAATATTCTTTTCCACAACAGCGTTGTGTTATTTGTTGTTAATATAATTATGCTCCATCATGCCTTTCAGTAACATCATAATTATGCGTTTATGAGGCATCACATATGGCGGGGAACTTTGATGCTCTGCATCAATGTTTTCTTGTTCTAATTCAAGGGGCTTTCTTCCCCTGCTTTTGTGTTCCACGGTCAAAGGGAAGCTACTCTTCCTGGTTTAATAGTGCAAGGCACCTTATTAGTGTATTATTCAGTTTTTGTTCTTCATATGCACTAAACAAAGGGAAGTAATCCATGTCGCAGCTGAATTTAGTTGCTACATCCTCTTTTCATCCACACAACCACACCAGTAACACGCTCCAGATGCAGATTTGGCGGCAACTCTTATACCAGACACAGTTTGGAAGATTGTGGAAGAGAAGTAAACTGATTACTATTGACGGCTATGTCACACAATACGAGGAAGCAGGGAGCACTGACCAGTTTTTCACGCTTTTTCCTTATCTTTGGCCGGCACCGCCAGGACAACTTACAACATATAATGCATTGTTGTCCCTAAAAGGTTTGGCCCACTCTACACAGTGTCAGCACCTATCAGCGATAAGCTACCAACATAAACTCACAGGATTGCAAGATACCACAAGCAATTTTATGGTCTGAAAGATGTTGGAAGGATCCAAACGACTCAGGGTCATAGTGATGGCAGGGCTCAAATCATGTATTCCATATTGATTAAGATGCCTCAAGCTCTTAATGCTCTTTGCAGTTCTCCATATGAAGCTATGTTGTTTACAACTGCATTTGTTCTGGCCTTTTTCGGTTTCATAAGAGTTGGCGAGTTGATTTACACTGACCATCTTCATTTGGAAGGATCTCTTAAGATTTCAGATGTCACAGTCCAGAGGACATTTTTAGAAGTAACCGGGAGATCGTCAAAGACAGATCAGTTAGCAAGGGGTTGCACACTCCGCATCCAAGGTAATGCAAGTGAAATATGCCCACTAAAAACAATGAGTGAGTGAGTTGGGTTTAACGCCGCTTTTTACATTATTCCAGTTATATCGTGGCGTGTCAGCTTAATGTGGGAGGAAAGCCCGGAGTGATGCAGGTCTCAGACGTTTATCACTACGGTGAAACCCACGAGCACGGGTATGGTGCTGACAAACCAAGAAACATAATTGGGGCGAACCGGGATTCGAACCCACAATCATAGGTTTCTGGCGTGTCCAAGGGACGCAACTCTGCACAGCGAATCGCGGCGCCTTAGACGACTGGGCCACCCGTGCCCCCCTAAAAGCAATGAAGCAAGCCGGTTCAGTTTTTCTGTTTTACCATAGGAACTGTCAACCTTTAACAAGATACTAGTTTGCAGCTATGGTTTCCAAATGCATCAGATATATGGGACTCGACCCATGTATGTTCAAATCACCCTCGTTCCGCACTGGAGCAGCCACTACTGCCGCAGACATGGGCGTGCATCGGAGACAATACAGTTGTGGGGTCGATGGAAGTCTAAGGCGTACTCAACTTACATCAGACTCTAAACTTTGAATGCACAATCAATAACTTCAGGTAATTTAATATTTATAAATAATTACATCTTTCCGAAGTGGGAAATGGATTGTTTGTAAACACTTTACAACAGGCTTTTCAGCACTTCATGGCAGATACTGAAGTAAAAAGTAGGGTTTTTTTGGCTAATTAATCTCTTACACCATAACAGTAATCACAGTACAAGTATTGGAGGAGATGTGTAGGAACACTTTTGGGCTGAGAGTATTGATTTTGGTGTTTTGGGGGTCTTTGTTGCATACCCTCTAGGCCCTATTGTATAATGGTGGTTGTAGAGCCTACAGCAGACCCCCTATGCGCTTTTCCCTGGGGGATCCCATTATTTGGCTCCGTATGGTTTGTACCCTCGGAGCCGCGTTTGCTGTTCTGTCCGGGCACCTTCGGGTTGACAGTCAGCCGTGTTTAGCGTTTCCCAGCCCAGGAGTGTTCTCCAGTCCTTGTACTTTTCTGTATATAAACCTGAGGCCTTACATACAACTCAAGTCTCTGTGTTTTTCCTTGCAATGGTGCAGCATCTACTTCTGCAAAAGCATTATCCTAAAATAATTACACAAAGCGAGCGTGAGTGTGCGTGCGTGCGTGCGTGCGTGCGTGCGTGCGTGCGTGCCTTCGTGTGTGCGCGCGCGCGTGTGTTTGTTTGTGCCGGTGTCTTTGGGTATATTCCGATTTACAGACAGATTACAGGGAAATATTTCTCAGCCTGGGTCAAACCCTTTGAAAGCCAAATGTAGCATGTTGTAGACAATATGACGCCACTCTTAAATGGTATGACGTCATAGATGGTCAATAATGCACCCCTGACAACCCGGTTATCCTAAACTGAATACACGATTAATAGAATATCCATATTGTCAAGATGTAGAAATTAAGGACAAAATAAATGTGGTGCATAGAACTACAAGTATCTAGACGAGAAAGTCCCTGGACTTAAAATCTGATTTAATAATGTTTTTCCACCACTGAGATATCGGCACCCAAATCCATTTGTTTTAAAATACATGACATGTCATTGCTGATTGGGAACTAACACATTTGTAGTAGGCATATTGAAGAACAAATCTACATGTGACAACGTTTACCCAAAAGTCATTTGAAGACTTATTTTCAGTTTTCTTTCCTTCTCATAAACAACTCCCTTCGTTGTCTGGATGGCCATCAGGATGAAGCTCAGCATCAGTAACACCGGACACACGTACTGCGGCAGCAGTGTCATGGTGTCATCGATGTTGGGCGTGGATGGCATTTGCATCATTTGAACCTTCAGGTCTTGCAGTTGAGTTGGGGTTGAAATGTTTGATGATGGCTTCATAAAATATACGCTGGAGAACCATAAAGTCCTTATCGTCTGAAATATATTGACATTCTGAAGGTTGTCTTCATGGGGATTTAGAAGTTAACACATTGGATCGGGTGGGTTATTTATCCTTTGTTATCATTCAAAATAATGCAAGAACATTGTATATCATAGGGCGTAGTACTATCACAATACCATTGCAATAGTATTTACAAATATTGCAATAATATTAAAACAGTTTTGTTAACAATTGCCGTCGATTGTCACCCAACTCTACTACGTCTAAATGGATGGTCAGATTTGGTCACTCTATTGACAGTGTGCCATCGAACCCTAGCGCCGCTTTGACATGGCTGGACTATTGCCGACTGCCACGAAAAGAACAAACAAACAAATTGTGTTCCCAGCCATTGACCACCATGGTCTGTTCGTGATCGAAACAGTTATTATCTTGATATTTGTTATCCCTTAGTGTAAAGGTTTCGTGTCGTGCCATGGTTTTGTGCTATGAGTTTTTTCTTTGTCCTTTTTGTCATAACATCAGCTTAAATTGAAGGTTCGCTTGAAGCTATATGTCCAATACACAAATGCCAACTGGCTACCTAGATTGGACTCCTGGAGCTAAGGTCCGGGTTGGGATTGGTCTCTTGCAACCTTTAGGTGTAGTACTTGTAAGAGGCGACAAACGGGATCAAGTACTAGAAGTCAGGCTCGCTGATGCCTGTCATCCTATACCAATTCCGTTGATCGATGCCCGTGATGTAAATCAATGGACTGTCGGGACCAGATTAATATTTATTACAGATAGCCGTTATATACTGGAATATTCCTGCGTGCGGCGTTAAACAACAAACAAACAAAAGCATACCTGGTTTGTAACTGGTTCTTGGTCCTGCAGTAGCCACGAAGGGTGAGGTCTCCGTGGTGTGCCACCCATCCCCATACTGGTCCCCTTTGAGGAGATGGCACATCGCAGTGTCTTGGGTAGGACGGTGTCTGTCATTGCAACGTTATCAAATTCAACCGCATAGCCAACTTGTTTAGAATTGTGACTGTAGTAGTCCAGCATATCTTTTCTCGATGAAAATCCTCTGAACGTAGGCAAGCCTGTATGGATGGTAGAAATGTATTGAGTTCGGGTTGAAATGTTTGATGATGGCTTCATAAAATATACGCTGCAGAACCACAAAGTCCTCATAGTCTGAAATATATTGACATGCTGAAGGGTGTCTTAACAAGCTTTTAGAAGTTAACACATAGGATCGGGTAGGTGATTTTCCCTCTGTCTTCGTGCAAAATAATGCAAGAACAGTTCATATCATAGTACCGAGTACTTATAGAAACAATCAAAATACTGTTGCAATAGTATTTCTAATAGCCCAGTAATATAAAAACAGTGTTGTCACCCCTATTCTATGACGTCTAAATGGATGGTCAGACTTGGTCACTCGGTTGACAGTGTGTCATCGTACCCTAGCGCCGCTTTGATATAGCCGGACTATTGCTGAGTGCCGCGAAAAGGACAAACAAACAAATTGTATTCCAGGTCACTGACCGTCATGAAACAGTTATTATCTGGATACTTGTTATCCCACAGTGTAAAAGGGTCGCGTCGTGTCATGGCTTTGACTGTGCTATGAGTATACAATGCATGGCGTTATGAAACCTTTTTATTTTTCTACTTAGTCCTTTTTGTCATGAGGTATTAACATCATCTTTGAATTGAAAGTTCGCTTGAAGCTAAATGTCCAGTGCACAAATGCCAACTAGTTACTTGGATTGGATCCCTGGAGCTAAGGTCCGGGTTGGAATTGGTATTTTGCAACCCATCCGTGTCGTACTTGTAAGAGGCGACAAACGGATCAAGTATTAGAAGTCGCTGACTTGGCTGATGTATGTCATCCTATACCAATTGCATTGATTGATGCTCGCAACGTAAATCAATGGATTGGCTGGACCAAACCAGTATTTATTACAGATAGCCGTCATACAAGTGGTATATTTATGAGTGCGGCGTTAAACAACAAACAAACAAAAAACATACCTGGATCGGAACCACCTCTTGGTCCTGCACTAGCCACGAAGGGTGTGGTCTCCGTGGTGTGCCACGAACCCCCATATTGGTCCCCTTTGGGACGAATGGCACATCGCAATTTCTTGGGCATGACGGTGTCTGTCATTGCAACGTTTTCAAATTCAACAGCAAAGCCAACTTCTTCAGAATTGTAACTGAAGTAGTCCAGCATATCTTTTCTCGATGAAAATCCTTTGAACGTAGGCAAGCCTGTATGAATGGTAGAAATGTATATGCAATGAACCAATGCTATGCCTGATCTCAGAAAATTGTAATGGGTCGGGTGCTGATGTAATGGTTGTTAGATGCTTTGAAAGGGATGAATCGTGTTATAATGCCATTGCTATCCTGGTAATAGGATATAAGATCAAATATAAGATAAATAGGTATGGAATATTCAGGATGCGTTCCAGGAACTAGAGTAGGAGAGGTTCAGGAGCTCACTTTTAGTGGATGAATTAAACTTTCTGTAGAAACAGTGTAGTATAATGTTTAACTTTGACATGTATGATCACATTTGATTTTCAATCGAAGACTATATTCAATTCAAAATACATATATTGTTGTCATATACTGACGTGTCCACAATCAGAATCCCCTAATCTTTCTGCAGCATAATTGTTCCGAAGCAAATAGAGATAGATGCATTATCAGTTGACATTACGAGATAAATATGTTTCAATGTATTCCACACTTCCACACGTGTAGAAACTACAATTATGTCTAATATCCACATGTTATCGAATGCACAAGTAACTCTTGTTGATAGTAGTATGATAACTCAAAACTACTTCCTTTTCGAAGAATTAAGTGTATATTGAGTTTTCATTTGTCTGAACACGTATTTTCTTTCGTTCCAATTTGTGTATACAAATTCAACGATTGATTTCTTTATTAGAAATTTCAGGTTGCTTTCTACCATATTAGAGATGAACATGAATTAGAAAGAGAAAGAAATGACTTTCTTGTGTAACCCATTCTGAATAATAGAACATCAAGCTACCCTGGCGCGTCTTGACAGTGGTTGGCCGTGAACAGTTAGAAGATGGATCAAAAGGTGAACAGGTAACGACAACGCCACCAAATAACTAGTTTCCAAAACAGATTTCATTGAGTGTAAGAGACTAAATAGCGGTAGAAATCACTGAAAATCAGTGATGGCGCCAGATCTTTACGGAAAGGGTCAGCATGTCCTGACCTGCCAATAGCACCCGCCACTCATACAATTTGCATAAAATGTTAGTGTCTGTTGGCGGGCGCCAAACAGCACTACTCCTGCCACACAACGGAGGCCTCTAACAACCCAGACATTTTATTGATCGATGGAACAGTGCATTTTCTAAAGGGGAGCTCAAAAAGTATTACATTCACGTGTACCGGGGCATTATCCCTATAAATTAAAACAAGGTCATTTAAGCATCCAAGTGTAAACAGAAATATATGTTCTCAAAGGCAAGACTTAATTTAGTGTATTGGGATTGTTTTTAGGCCTTAAATGAAAAGTGCTTCTTAAGGGCTCGAAAACACAACGTGCGCCCAGAGAGCGGAAGGTCCGGGGTTCGATCCCCGCTGCGTCATACAAAAAAGACGTTAAAATATGGTACTTATTGCTGCCCTGTTTGGCGCTGGGCATAAAGGGGCTTATAATGACGGGTCGGGTCGGGGTCAGTATACTGTGTCTGAGTGGGGTATTCATGGTAAACTGCGGCATGGTATCTCAGTGAGCTAGCACTATAAATCGGCATCAGTCGGAACTAGTACAAGCAAACACACACACACGTGCATGCACGTCGCTATATAAGTTCAATAATCTTGGACGCGACGTTAAACCCCATTTCACCCCACCTCACCTCTGCCATGGGATATCTGCAACTTTGCATAAAACAATTTCGACCAGGGAGTCGGAGATGTTGCTTACGTAGATGGGTTGTCTACCCATTTCACCACAAACAGTTATCTCAGTTGTAAAACTGATCAAACTCGCTCACAATCCCCCTCACTAGGGTGCCGGTGTACAAAACAACCTTAGCGCTACGACTGTCGTAAGTCTATGTTAAGATGTGGGAGTTGCGATCACCTTAGCGCTAAGATCGCTTTGTACAACGGCGCCAAGGGTCCCGTTCCACACAGCGATCTTAGAACTAAGATGATCGTAAGTCCCATGCTTTAACATAGGTTTACAATCATCGTAGCGCTAAGATCGCTTTGAGGAACGGGGCCCTGATCCATAACAAACGACTGGCACAAGCATTCTGTCAAACACAATTAAAATGTTTCATATTAATTTGAATAGTATATAAATACATTTGATCAAAGCATTCATAGCTTTTTCAGCTTGTGCTGCAGAATACCTGGCCAAATCCCATGATAACTTCTGGGGTGATAAATATTCCCAAGTGCTTGAATGCCGATACAATTTCAAGTTTTTCACTTTTGAACCACCATTTTTAAGTTTGTTGGCAACTCCTCCTCTGCGAAATACAATGATCTTTGTTTTTGTCTAAACTTTCATAGTTAACGCTTCACTCAGTACTATTCCAGCTAGATAAGGGTGGTTTGTAAATATTCGGGACCAAACAATAACAAGTGATTGTCATTATGAGCATTGATCTACGCAATTAGGATACGATAACATGTAACAATCAAGTCGGCGACTTGAGCAACCCATGCTTGTCGTAAGAGGCGACAAGCGGGATCTGGTGATCAGGCTCGCTGACTTGGTTGATGCCCGTTGTATGAAAATATGACGCCAGACATAAGCATCTCTCCTTACTCAATGAATGACATGACATTTTATGAATGTTTGTACATTGACACACACACGTAACACACCCCCCCCCCCCCCCCCCCCTACACACACTCACACACACACACACACACACTGCTACACTCGTATACACACAAGCATGGGCGCACGCACGCACGCGAACGCACACATGCACATATGTAATATATAAGTGTATGTAATCTGCACTGTACATTTAACCTGCACGATCATTATTTATAGAAGTAACACAAACACATCTCTCTCCCATATTTCTTTCTCTTGATCGATCGATCTCGACAGGTACCCAGTCATGCAACCGCTCTCACAAAGAACGCAATTAATTTGCAGATTGTGCAACGGGAGACAACCGAGAACGTCGTGAATTGTAGCGCCAGCTTCCCCTGCGTTCCAAGGATATGGGTCGTACCATTTGTCCTGTATGAGATGTAGCACTGTACGTGAGCGGGTGTGTTGCATGGAGGCCAGAGCCAACGTACACCCATCGCTGTGAAAACTTCCTTCCACCAGTTCCGGCTTGCCAAACATCGTTACCGTGGCCATTAAACGGGAGCTGCCCGTTGTATGAAAATATGGCGCCAGACATAGCATCTCTCCTTACTCAATGAATGACATGACATTTTAACTTCGACACCAGGAAGCAGCAGGCAAAACAATATGGCTTTCTGTTTCCAACTGAGACTGCTGTTGTGGAAGAATTCCCTTCTACAACGAAGGAAGATCTGTGTGACCGTTTTTGAGATCATTGGACCTCTTTTGTTGGGATTAATCATTTTTGGTCTAAGATTCATTTTGCCTGTTAGAAATGTTTCCGCGAGTGTATATCACTATGACAGTCTGGGCCGAGTTCTCAGTTGGTATTCACGTAATGATGCAAAGGTGGTGTTGTATACACCCAACAGTACACTCATCAGTGGATTAATTTCTGGTGTGAATGACAGAATTAACAACCTGTCCTCAAACCCACGCTATCGTTTTTCTCGTCCACGTAAGTAGGCCCATAATCTTATGTTTTCAGTGCAGTATATTTCATGTGTTCATATCTAATGTTTTAAAACTGAACACACAACTATTCTGGAATGCTTATAGATGGACGAGATTGTATGGCAGTAATACAAGGGCTACCTATGGAATGGCAGTAATTACAGGTGCTATGGAATGGCAGTAGTTACAGGGGCTATGGAATGGCAGTAATTAAAGGGGCTATGAAATGGCAGTAATTACAGGGGCTATGGAATGGCAGTAATGAAAGGGGCTATTAGTCTGTCTTGCAGACCCTGCTACAAATATATATCAAATACAGCCCATGCAAGTCTATAATGTTTGGCAAGTCTACATCACTGCAGTATTATATTTTCATTAAGATAACTGAACAACTGTTTGTTTCTGTACGATATGTTCATTTCAGAGCCTAGATGTTAGTCTAAGGGGCTATGGAATGGCAGTAGTTACAGGGGCTATGGAATGGCAGTAATTACAGGGGCTATGGAATGGCAGTAATTAAAGGGGCTATGGAATGGCAGTAGTTACAGGGGCTATGGAATGGCAGTAGTTACAGGGGCTATGGAATGGCAGTAATTACAGGGGCTATGGAATGGCAGTAATAACAGGGGCTATAGAATGGCAGTAATTAAAGGGGCTATGGAATGGCAGTAATTACAGGGGCTATGGAATGGCAGTAATTAAAGGGGCTATGGAATGGCAGTAGTTAAAGGGGCTATGGAATGGCAGTAGTTACAGGGGCTATGGAATGGCAGTAGTTACAGGGGCTATGGAATGGCAGTAATTACAGGGGCTATGGTGTGGCAGTAGTTACAGGGGCTATGGAATGGCAGTAGTTACAGGGACTATGGAATGGCAGTAGTTACAGGGGCTATGGAATGGCAGTAATTAAAGGGGCTATGGAATGGCAGTAGTTACAGGGGCTATGGAATGGCAGTAGTTACAGGGGCTATGGAATGGCAGTAATTACAGGGGCTATGGTGTGGCAGTAGTTACAGGGGCTATGGAATGGCAGTAGTTACAGGGACTATGGAATGGCAGTAGTTACAGGGGCTATGGAATGGCAGTAATTAAAGGGGCTATGGAATGGCAGTAGTTAAAGGGGCTATGGAATGGCAGTAATTACAGGGGCTATGGAATGGCAGTAGTTACAGGGGCTATGGAATGGCAGTAATTGCAGGGGCTATGGTGTGGCAGTAGTTACAGGGGCTATGGAATGGCAGTAGTTACAGGGGCTATGGAATGGCAGTAATTGCAGGTGCTATGGCATGGCAGTAATAACAGGGGCTATGGAATGGCAGTAGTTAAAGGGGCTATGGAATGGCAGTAATTACAGGGGCTATGGAATGGCAGTAATTACAGGGGCTATGGAATGGCAGTAATTACAGGGGCTATGGTATGGCAGTAATAACAGGGGCTATGGAATGGCAGTAATTACAGGGGCTATGGAATGCAGTAGTTAAAGGGGCTATGGAATGGCAGTAATTAAAGGGGCTATGGAATGGCAGTAATTACAGGGGCTATGGAATGGCAGTAATAACAGGGGCTATGGAATGGCAGTAATTACAGGGGCTATGGAATGGTAGTAATTACAGGGGCTATGGAATGGCAGTAGTTAAAGGGGCTATAGAATCGCAGTAATTAAAGGGGCTATGGAATGGCAGTAGTTAAAGGGGCTATAGAATGGCAGTAATTACAGGGGCTATGGAATGGCAGTAGTTAAAGGGGCTATGGAATGGCAGTAGTTAAAGGGGCTATGGAATGGCAGTAATTACAGGGGCTATGGAATGGCAGTAGTTACAGGGGCTATGGAATGGCAGTAGTTACAGGGGCTATAGTTTCAAATGTTTATCCCACTGAAGCGAGAGATTTTGACGGAATAGATTGTACAGCCCGTACAATCGTACAGTACTGTTGTTCGGAATGCCTCGTTTTGACATTCTCAGGAAAAAATTACTACTTTCACTTTCGCGATCCTGTTCGCGTTAGCTCTATTTGGTTGGACAAAGGGTCGTTCTCGCGTGGCCTGAAGTGGGATGTCATTAGAGCTATGTGTAGCGGTAGCGTGCATTAAGATATGATTTTAATAAGATTTTCATTTGAATAAACATTGATTTTTCATTTGAATAATTTTTAAAACAACATGTCCCAAAGGACATGCTTATTTAAAGCTATTAGCCTGAATTCGTTCAGGAAAAACACCATGCAATAATGTTATTTTTGTGGCTGGCAATTTCTTATTTTTTTACACAGTCTGAAGCATAATTATTGTTTTCAATAGTTTTGGGGGAATTTCTTTTTTCGATAAAATCCCAGCCCCACTTCTCATTTCTAATGAAAAGTTAGGAAAACGTCGACATACATAGACACCTTAACGTATACCTATTTATTCATAATTATTATGTTGTATCTGATTGAGTCTGACTGATTTAGTACGTCGGTGCCCCTTTCAATACTGCTTTAGAGACTGCCAATGATATGAACGTTTTGCCATTCATCTTGGTACAGCTTCCTTCAAAGGATTTTCCTCTCGAAAGGACATGTTGGAATACTTCAGCTTCAACTCTAAACACATTCCCTTTGCTGTTGAGTTTGAGAACGTGGCAATGACAGACACGGTCCTACCCATCAAGCTGCGATGTGCAATACGTCCCACAGTTCAACGTAATTCACAATGGCACACAACAGAGACCTCTCCCTTTGTCAATACTGGCACACCACGAAACAGCTACGATCCGTGTGAGTAGATTCATTCATTCATTCATTCATTCATTCATTCTTTCATTCATTCATTCATTCATTCATTCATTCATTCAAAGTACAAATTGTGAGTAAAAATAAGTATTGATAGTGTAAAAATATTTATGAATTTGAGCCTTTGTTCACCCTTAAAGTGCCAACCAGGTTCAAAAGTCTTCAATTTTGACGTTATGTAGTACTGCATGTTGCATTGTTGCATGTCACTTAACAGTAGTATCTAAACATCTCAGAACTCACTGACGCAACATGGCAGAGCATGACACAACTTGTCATGACATACACAGAAACAATCTGATTCAGTTAAATTTGAGGTTCATGACGTGTACACCATAGACACAGCATGCAGCAAATAACCCGATATATAGCCCAGCAGCAGTATATAACCCGATATATAGCCCATCAGCAGTATATAACCCGATATACAGCCCATCAGCAGTATATAACCCGATATACAGTCTATCAGCAGTATATAACCCGATATACAGCCCATCAGCAGTATATAACCCGATATACAGTCTATCAGCAGTATATAACCCGATATACAGCCCACCAGTAAGTATATAACCCGATATACAGTCTATCAGCAGTATATAACCCGATATACAGCCCACCAGTAAGTATATAACCCGATATACAGTCTATCAGCAGTATATAACCCGATATACAGTCTATCAGCAGTATGTAACCCGATATACAGCCCATCAGCAGTATATAACCCGATATACAGCCCAGCAGCAGTATATAACCCGATACATAGCCCATCAGCAGTATATAACCCGATATACAGTCTATCAGCACTATGAAACCCGATATACAGCCCATCAGCAGTATATAACCCGATATCCAGTCTGTCAGCAGTATATAACCCGATATACAGTCCAGCAGCAGTATATAACCCGACATACAGCCCATCAGCAGTATATAACCCGATATACAGCCCATCAGCAGTATATAACCCGATATACAGCTTGACATTCCATATCACCATGACAATACACGACAAAACGGGATACAATTTAACACAACGTATCGCACATGCAATAGCTGACGACGTGTTAGACATCCTGTTGCACCACATACTGACGTCGAATCACACGCTCATGTCACATCGGACGACTTCTTGTTGATCACACAGAAACATGCACTACTCTGCCATCATAAGACGTCCCGCTACACCACACACTCACCTAGAATTACACACTCATGTCACCATCTGACGACAGAGTGTTGCATCATACACTCACCTAGAATTACACACTCATGTAATCATCTGACCACTTCCTGTTGCACCACACACTCACCTAGAATTACACACTCGTGTAACCATCTGACCACTTTCTGTTGCACCACACACTCACCTAGAATTACACACTCATGTAATCATCTGACCACTTCCTGTTGCACCACCCACTCACCTAGAATTACACACTCATGTAATCATCTGACCACTTCCTGTTGCACCACACACTCACCTAGAATTACACACTCATGTAATCATCTGACCACTTCCTGTTGCACCACACACTCAACCAGAATTACACACTCGTGTAACCATTTGACCACTTCCTGTTGCACCACACGCTCACATAGAATTACACACTCGTGTAACATCTGACGCCAGACTGTTGCACCACACACTCACCTAGAATTACACACTCGTGTAGCCATCTCACGATTTCCTGTTGCACCACACACTCACCTAGAATTACACACTCGTGTCACCATCTGGCGACTTACTTTTGCACCACACACTCACCTAGAATTACACACTCGTGTAACCATCTGGCGACTTACTGTTGCACCACACTCTCACTTAGAATTACACACTCATGTAACCATCTGGCGACTAACTGTTGCACCACACACTCACCTAGAATTACACACTCGTGTAACCATTTGACCAATTCCTGTTGCACCACCCACTCACCTAGAATTAAACACTCGTGTTACCATCTGGCGACTTACTTTTGCACCACACACTCACCTACAATTACACACTCGTGTAACCATTTGACCAATTCCTGTTGCACCACCCACTCACCTAGAATTACACACTCGTGTAACCATCTGGCGACTTACTGTTGCACCACACACTCACTTAGAATTACACACTCGTGTAACCATCTGACGATGTCCTGTTGCACCACACACTCACATAGAATTACACACTCATGTCACCATCTGGCGACTTACTGCTGCACCACACACTCACTAAGAATTACACACTCGTGTCACCATCTGGCGACTTACTTTTGCACCACCCACTCACCTAGAATTACACACTCGTGTAACCATCTGGCGACTTACTGTTGCACCACACACTCACTTAGAATTACACACTCATGTAACCATCTGGCGACTAACTGTTGCACCACACACTCACCTAGAATTACACACTCGTGTCACCATCTGGCGACTTACTTTTGCACCACACACTCACCTACAATTACACACTCGTGTAACATCTGACGACAGACTGTTGCACCACACACTCACTTAGAATAACACACTCGTGTAACTATCTGACGACTTACTGTTGCACCACCCACTCACCTAGAATTACACACTCGTGTAACATCTGACGACAGACTGTTGCACCACACACTCACTTAGAATAACACACTCATGTAACTATCTGACGACTTACTGTTGCACCACCCACTCACCTAGAATTACACACTCGTGTAACATCTGACGACAGACTGTTGCACCACCCACTCACCTAGAATTACACACTCGTGTAACCATCTGGCGACTTACTGTTGCACCACACACTCACCTAGAATTACACACTCGTGTAACCATCTGGCGACTTACTTTTGCACCACACACTCATTTAGAATTACACACTCGTGTAACCATCTGGCGACTTACTGTTGCACCACCCACTCACCTAGAATTACACACTCGTGTAACCATCTGGCGACTTACTATTGCACCACACACTCACTTAGAATAACACACTCGTGTAACCATCTGACGACTTACTGTTGCACCACACACTCACCTAGAATTACACACTCGTGTAACCATCTGACGACTTTCTGTTGCACCACACACTCACCTAGAATTACACACTCGTGTAACTATCTGACGACAGAGTGTTGCACCACACACTCACCTAGAATTACACACTCGTGTAACCATCTGGTGACTTACTATTGCACCACACACTCACCTAGAATTACACACTCGTGTAACCATCTGACGACAGAGTGTTGCACCACACACTCACCTAGAATTACACACTCGTGTAACCATTTGACCAATTCCTGTTGCACCACCCACTCACCTAGAATTACACACTCGTGTAACCATCTGACGACTTACTGTTGCACCACACACTCACCTAGAATTACACACTCGTGTAACCATCTGACGACTTACTGTTGCACCACACACTCACCTAGAATTACACACTCGTGTAACCATCTGGCGACTTTCTGTTGCACCACACACTCACCTAGAATTACACACTCGTGTAACCATCTGGCGACTTACTATTGCACCACACACTCACCTAAAATTACACACTCGTGTAACCATCTGACGACAGAGTGTTGCACCACACACTCACCTAGAATTACACACTCGTGTAACCATCTGACGACTTACTGTTGCACCACACACTCACCTAGAATTACACACTCGTGTAACCATCTGGCGACTTACTATTGCACCACACACTCACCTAGAATTACACACTCGTGTAACCATCTGACGACAGAGTGTTGCACCACACACTCACCTAGAATTACACACTCGTGTAACCATCTGTCGACTTACTATTGCACCACACACTCACCTAGAATTACACACTCGTGTAACTATCTGACGACTTACTATTGCACCACACACTCACCTAGAATTACACACTCGTGTAACTATCTGACGATGTCCTGTTGCACCACACACTCACCTAGAATTACACACTCGTGTAACTATCTGACGACTTACTATTGCACCACACACTCACCTAGAATTACACACTCGTGTAACCATCTGACGACTTACTATTGCACCACACACTCACCTAGAATTACACACTCGTGTAACTATCTGACGATGTCCTGTTGCACCACACACTCACCTAGAATTACACACTCGTGTAACTATCTGACGACTTACTATTGCACCACACACTCACCTAGAATTACACACTCGTGTAACCATCTGGCGACTTTCTGTTGCACCACACACTCACCTAGAATTACACACTCGTGTAACCATCTGGCGACTTACTATTGCACCACAGACTCACTTAGAATTACACACTCGTGTAACCATCTGGCGACTTACTATTGCACCACACACTCACTTAGAATTACACACTCGTGTAACCATCTGACTATGTCCTGTTTCACCACACACTCACCTAGAATTACACACTCGTGTAACAATCTGGCGACTAACTGTTGCACCACACACTCACCTAGAATTACACACTCGTGTAACCATCTGTCGACTTACTATTGCACCACACACTCATTTAGAATTACACACTCGTGTAACCATCTGACTATGTCCTGTTGCACCACCCACTCACCTAGAACTACACACTCGTGTAACAATCTGGCGACTAACTGTTGCACCACACACTCACCTAGAATTACACACTCGTGTAACCATCTGACTATGTCCTGTTTCATCACACACTCACCTAGAATTACACACTCGTGTAACCATCTGACGACTTACTGTTGCACCACACACTCACTTAGAATTACACACTCGTTTAACCATCTGACGACTTACTATTGCACCACACACTCACCTAGAATTACACACTCATGTCACATCTGACGACTTACTATTGCACCACCCACTCACCTAGAATTACACACTCGTGTAACCATCTGACGACTTACTATTGCACCACACACTCACCTAGAATTACACACTCGTGTAACCATCTGTCGACTTACTATTGCACCACACACTCACCTAGAATTACACACTCGTGTAACCATCTGACGACTTTCTGTTGCACCACACACTCACTTAGAATTACACGCTCGTGTAACCATCTGACGACTTACTATTGCACCACACACTCACCTAGAATTACACACTCGTGTAACCATCTGGCGACTTTCTGTTGCACCACACACTCACCTAGAATTACACACTCGTGTAACCATCTGACGACTTTCTGTTGCACCACACACTCACCTAGAATTACACGCTCGTGTAACCATCTGACGACTTTCTGTTGCACCACACACTCACCTAGAATTACACACTCGTGTGACCATCTGGCGACTTACTGTTGCACCACACACTCACCTAGAATTACACACTCGTGTAACCATCTGGCGACTTTCTGTTGCACCACACACTCACCTAGAATTACACACTCGTGTAACCATCTGGCGACTTACTATTGCACCAAACACTCACCTAGAATTACACACTCGTGTAACCATCTGGCGACTTACTGTTGCACCACACACTCACCTAGAATTACACACTCGTGTAACCATCTGACGACTTACTGTTGCACCACACACTCACCTAGAATTACACACTCGTGTAACCATTTGACGACTTACTATTGCACCACACACTCACCTAGAATTACACACTCGTGTAACCATCTGACGACAGAGTGTTGCACCGCACACTCACCTAGAATTACACACTCGTGTAACCATCTGACGACTTACTATTGCACCACACACTCACCTAGAATTACACACTCGTGTAACCATCTGACGACAGAGTGTTGCACCACCCACTCACCTAGAATTACACACTCATGTAACATCTGACGACTTACTATTGCACCACACACTCACCTGTAATTACACACTCTTGTAACATCTGGCGATTTCCTGTTGCACACGTGCAAACTGTCATACTTCAACCTCTGTTTTCAGCCTATGAGAAGTTTTTGATACTTCAACGCCTTGTATATGAGGCCGTCATCACATATATTAGTCCAAACGCAACTGATATAGTCAATGAACTGAAGATTCAAATGCTGCGAATGCCATACCCGCCCTACATCATTGACGCCATAAACGTGCTGCTGCAGTACATGTTTCCGGTGTTACTGATGCTGAGTTTCATGCTGATGGCCATCCAGACAACGAAGGGGGTTGTTTACGAGAAGGAAAGAAAACTGAAAGTTAGTTCCTGTCTCTTTTTTAGAGCGATATCAAAGATTAAAACGAGAAAGCTATTAGAACGATGGTTACCGTCGCAATAGCTTAAATGCTGCAGTGACACAATGTCTCTGATTTAAGGGAATCAATAGAAAAATGACATTTCCCATTTATCATCGTGATTGGTTCGATGGTGTCGTCGCCATTTAATCATAAGAGATGCTTAATCACGTAGGTTCCGGTATTTTTCCATCACGACAAACCTGAGTTCATGGTCTGATATGGTTTTTAAACAATCAAAATCAGGACATGTGACAAAAGCGTTTCAGACTCGAACGCTTCAAAAAGATACCTTTAACACTGACAAGGTAGTGCGCGATTTCAAAGTCAGCGGATCGAGAGCCTGTCCTGTCTCGTCCTGTCCAACTTGTTGAGAGATGGACTGTAAAGTCACTGGCACTGGTTTTATGATCTTTCACGCGTTTATCATAATTCGAACATTAAGACTTCATAATATCACTTTATGTCTACCCAGGAATATAAGAAGCTGATGGGTCTTCAACCATTAGACTGGCCTACCGCCTATTTGTAAGTTAAGACTTGATCTATTTCTTACTCCGCAGGAGTCCATGAAGCTGATGGGTCTGAGTGCTGCAGCTCACTGGACGTCTTGGTTTCTGACCAGCTTTATATATGTGTTGGTAATCATGGTCCTGTACACTATGCTGTGTGGAATTGATGCAAGTGGAAATGGAGCTGTCCTGGCCAAATCAGATCCCTCCCTGTTCTTTGTGTTCCTCCTCTGTTACGGCGTCTCCATCATCTCCTACTGCTTCATGATCAGCGTCTTCACTCAACGAGGTAAATATGTGACAATAATTACAGGTTGTAGCCACGTCATGGCACATTACCCGAACCCGTCTATCAATTATTCTCCATCCGGAGAGCGGAAGGTCCGGGGTTCGATCCCCGGCCGCGTCATACCAAAAGACGTTAAAAGATGGTTCTTGTTGTTACCCTGTCTGGCGCTCGGCATTAAAGGGCTAAGACAAGGACTGGTTGGCCCGGAGTCAGTATTCTGTGTCTGAGTGGGGTATCCATGTTAAACTGCGGCATGATATCTCAGTGTGCTAGCACTATAAATCGGCATCAGTCCGGACTAGTACAAGCAGCCAAACACACACGTGCATGCACGTCGCTATATAAGCGCAATAATCTTGGACGCGACGTTAAACCCAATTTCACCTCACCTCACCTATCAATCATTCAAGTAAACATATCGTCTTCGTATAATAGCAGCTGATACATGTTCCTGACATAATAACAGAAAAGAGACAATATGGGCGCCACACAAAGTACGATTGTGAACGACAAATAGTGTCGAAAAATGCTTTATACTTCATAAATAAACGTGTTGGAATCCCTGTTATATGGTCAATTTATTTAAGGTTAAGATCACTAATCATGCAGTAATTTGTAAAACATGTTAACTCCTACATCGTATAACTGTCAAATGATCAAACTTTGCATTTGTGATTACCTTGTATAAATAATGATTGTTTATTATACAAAATATGCCACTCCAAGGAATTAGAAACCTTAGGATTAGTTTTCCCGGGCATTGATACCGAGTGTCCAAAATTTTAGGGCATTCATGTTGCAGATGAGAAAATTCAAGCAATGATAATCCTAACAAAAAATGTCCGCGGCAAGAAATAATGAGAACAATAGCCGACCTGGAATCATAATCCTAGTCGTTATATATATGGATATTGTAAATATACAACCCCAAAGCCTGAGAATATTCATAATCAGTCTCGGTTATCAACTGAAAACGCAAAAACGTGGTGAAGATTATATGAATGAATCACACAAAACTGGTAATGGCACCAGGTGCGTGTGAAAAGAGTAAACATGTCCTACTCTACCACCATAACCCGTCACTTACATCGCCACAGGAAACAATGTCCCAGGTCAATAGTTGCAAGGTTCCTTCATGAGTATGAGTACTTTAACGTCAGTTTAGTCATCTGGCATTGCCGTTTTACTAACTAAGACAACGACGAAAAGTGTGTTAACTTTGCAATACACAAGCCATCTGACGTTTATTAGAATAAAACATAACTTGACTTCAAATAACATACAAGCGTTCTTTCTCTAAATTGTACGTTCAAAACGTAAACTTTGAAATATTTGATTTACCAACAATTGCAACATTATGTTTCAAAAGAACACGTTTGTAAAAGGTGGCAAGCACTATGTCCAGTACTTTCTTTATATTTCAAGGGGGCAAGGGTGGCCGAGTCGTCCAAGGCACCGCAATTCGCTGTGCAGAAACCTATGATTATGTTTCTAGGTTTGTCAGCACCATACCCGTGCTCGTGGGTTTCACCGAAGTGGTAAACGTCTGAGACCTGCATCACTTCGGGCTTTCCTCCCACATTAAGCTGACACGCCGTGATATAACTGGAATAATGTTAAAGCGGCGTTAAACCCAACTCACTCACTCACTTTCTTTATATTTCAGCAAACGTCGGAGCAGCAGTCAGCGGGATCGTGTTCTTCATATCCTACTGCCCGTACTTCTACCTGCAGATCTTGTACCACAGAATGTCAAGATCAGCCAAACTAGCTTCCTGTCTCTTGTTTAATGTGGGAATGGCATTTGGTGCCAATGTCATATCACTCTATGAAGGAGCTGGTACTATATATATATCGTTTTACTCAAGTTATAGTAACAATCTATTGCTATAACATACCTATTTGGAGTTAAACATCCACAAATATGTATTAATAAAGTACATTTGTGTTTGTACAGGGGAACACCGTACATGCCTCTGTATGTGTTTGTGACAGGTGACCCCTTTTTCACCCAAACCCGGTATCATTACTGTTTGATAGTGATTAATAAACACATGCTCATGATATAGTTCGAATCGTAAAACAAACTCTGCGTTTAGCAGGTATTTCTTATGGATATGTTTGTCACGCTTATTTATTGAATATCTACTATCTATTGAAATATGAGAATGGGAAAGGCCCTGTTGATGTTATCTTGTCACATCTTATAGGTTCTGGCGTGCAGTGGTCTAATTTTCACGAGCCTGCTACTATTGATGACAACTTCTCCCTGCTGGACTCCATGTTGATGTTGCTAGGCGACACGGCAATCCATCTCCTCATCACTTGGTATTTGGACAATGTCTGGCCAGGGGAGTTTGGTGTGCCGAAACCATTCTATTTCCCCTTCACTGTGAGTGTACATCTAGTTCATGTCTGTGTCAGGTCGTCCTTAGTCATGTTACATACGTACATGTAATTGGTTATTCATTTTTACTTTCCAAAATATATGATTCATCTCTTGTGCACACATAGCTACATTCCTTCTTCTACATCGGTAAACTGTCACACAGTGTTCATGTAACACGTTTCTTGATATAATTAAATAAATAAATAACTTATGTAATTAATTAATTAATTAATTAATTGTCTTAGAAAAACCCTGAAAAAGATCATTTATGCTTTAGACTAGAAAGAAAGATATTGTCAGTCACAAAAATACATTGTTGCAAGATGGGTTTTTTTTCAAAGAAATATTAAGGCTCATAGTTTTAATAGAAGAATATAATTGGTTTGGCATATCTAATCATCATACAACATCTCCCCCTCCCACACCCTTCTTCCCTCCCCCTGAGGTGGAAGACAGAAAACGAAGTTAGACTTATTCTATTTCATTCGTAAATATCTGGAGAATAGAGTCTTACATCATCAATTCGAGATACAACTTTTCGGCAGTTCGAACGGGGAACATAAGAAATTTGGGTCTGAGCCAATCAAAATATGACATTCAAATAAGACGTTTCAAAACAACGTGTGAGATAGTTCTTTGTGAATTCACAAGTGTCAGCACATGATGGCCCCTGCGGAAATGAATAATATTTTGTAACGTATATCCTGGGGATCGTTTTCATTTATGATTTTCAATGACATCATACTGTTAAGTGGAACTACTTTTTTACTCTTTCTTCAACAGAGGGATTACTGGTGTGGCACCAAACAGACAAAAATGGATTATGTACGCGTTCAACAGTGTGATGAGAGGCACTTTGAGGTGGAGCCAAGTGGCATGACAACCGGGATATCTATCCAAAATCTGAAAAAGGTATATTTAGGACAAACCTCAGCTAATGTAGGTGAGTTGCGAGTGATGCTTGTGGGACAATCAGCATGACCGCCCGCCAGTAATGTTTTCGTTTTCGTTTCATATTAAAATTACGATCAAACTTTCGTCGAAAATACGCATCAGGCATGTCATCTTAGTGGTAAAAGTCGAGCATTTTGCAATGCGGGAGTTTCTGATTTCTTACATGTTGGCATATTCATGGAGTCAAATAGGGCGTAACCAAGAGCTGAAAGTTTTGGTTAAAGACAACTGTTTTAACATGAGCATTTTTTCTGTATAAGGAAGAGACGAAAAACAAACAAAAATCAGGCCAGGAATATTGTCTAGCGAACAATATATTTGGGGGTTACTGTTGACAAGTAGATATTTTTGTCTCGAAGGTTTTCGGCTCCGGGTCTAAGAAGAAGGTAGCTGTGGATGGGATGAGTCTCAACATGTTCGAAGGTCAGATCTCTGTTCTCCTGGGTCACAACGGTGCAGGAAAAACTACAACTATGTCTGTTCTTACGGGTAAATATAAAACGTTAATGCAAAAGTATAACCAATCTGGATTAACCGCCGAAACAGATTCCAGTTTGCTTGAAAATAAGTTAAACATTGATCGATATATATCATTCTATCCTATCAATATTGAGTAATCTTTAAACTTAATTCTATTCATCTGGGGGGCGGTCGGGTAGCCTAGTGGTTAAAGCGTTCGCTCGTCACGCCGAAGACCCGGGTACAATGTGTGAAGCCCATTTCTGGTGTCCCCCGCCGTGATATTGCTGGAATATTGCTAAAAGCGGCGTAAAACCATACTCAATCACTCACTCACTATTCATCTGGTCTTAGATCCTTTAGTATTTATAAGGCAACGAACAAACACTCACGTTTTACGCAAACCGTGTGAGTGGCGGGTACTGCCAGGGAGTTTCAGTGACCCATTCATATGATCTTCATCACTATTTTGCCTTTTACGCGCAGTGGAATCTGTTTCGGCAGATGGTCGAGACTCGTTGTTCTCTGGCGTTACAGTAACTGATCATAGCTTTCGTATTATTTATGAAGACCAATATTGTAACATCCTGGTTGGTCAACAGTAACAGTAACTCTCTGGTTTACTCTAACAAACAATGGCATTGGACTTTCCCACTTTGATCCGTATATGATGGTTTTTTTATCAACCCTAACCATTACCATGTGGTATTCACCTTCGATGTTAAGCACAATCACATGGTGCATCCTTGTTTCATTTTTTTTTACGAGACGGGGGGCGGTCGGGTAGCCTAGTGGTTAAAGCGTTCGCTCGTCACGCCGAAGACCCGGGTTCGATTCCCGACATGGGTACAATGTGTGAAGCCCATTTCTGGTGTCCCCCGCCGTGATATTGCTGGAATATTGCTAAAAGCGGCGTAAAAGCATACTCACTCACTCACTCATTACGAGACGGAGAAACAGTGAGAGCCTTTGGTTGAATTTTCAAGGTTTCATCCCTGCATCTGGAGGGACCGCCATTGTGAACGGTTACGACATCAACAACGACATCCAGAGTGTCCGGCAGAGTCTTGGTCTCTGTCCTCAACACAACATCCTGTTTGACAGCTTGACTGTCCATGAACATCTGGAGTTCTTTGCGAGAGTAAGTATCCTTTCTGTATATTGAGCTACATCCTGAACTTGATGTGTAGACATTGGTGGTTTCATTTATAATGTATGAATACATGCATTATTTTAGTTGAACAAAAGATACTCAGCTATTCCTGTACGGTTTTGAATTGGAAAACAATAGGCCAACATGTTTCCTTGATTTCCTTAAGTTTTCTTGTCTCAATACTGGACAAAATTCTAAATTGGAGAATACCACAAATACATTTATTCCCACATTACTTAGAAGACACGGTGGTGAAAGGAAGATAAGTTCTGAGTCATTGATTCAAAATTATCCTTACATTTAGGATCTATAAAAATGTAGTCTTGACTAATTTTTGTCTTATGTACCAATTGAATTGCTTCAGAATGAAATATTTCTCATAGCTGAAAGGTTGTCCAAGCAACAGTGTCGAATCTGAAGTTACCACCACAATTAATGAAGTTGGCTTGAGTCTAAAGAGATTAACCCAGTCTCAGCATCTATCAGGAGGACAGAAGAGGAAGCTTTCTGTAGGCATTGCTTTGATTGGAGGCTCGAAGGTATGAGGTCAATATATATGTCATTTCATACAAAGGTGATGTCCAAAGAAAAATGTGGTTATATTTAACACTTTAGTACTATACCATGATAGATTTATGATAAACATAGTACTATGTCTGATCAAAAAACACATTGCAGATCGTTATCCTGGACGAACCAACTTCCGGCATGGATCCTGCGGCCAGGAGACAGACATGGGACATCCTTCAGAGGAACAGACAGGGCCGGACCATGCTGCTGACCACTCACTTCATGGACGAAGCTGACGTTCTGGGTGACCGCATCGCCATCATGACAGAAGGGGTGGTCAAGTGCTGTGGAACATCGTACTTCCTGAAGAAACTCTATGGCATGTGTTGTTCCAAATAAGTCATACATATATTGAGCACAACATTGTCCACGTATTCATCACAGCTAATGCAGAATGTAGAAAACAATCTGAAAATGTGTCAGTATTTAAAAAGCAACTGCTGCACAGGTTATTTATTAAGTCAAAGTTCTTCTCACTTTTGAATGATGTACATTTTTCCCCATGCCTGCGTAAAAGGCCGATATCTCCAACGTTAAGTCAATCGTTTCAGGAGCTGGCTACCACCTTGTGGTGGTGAAGGAACCCACCTGTCAGGTGGCATCAGTGACGGCAGTTGTCCAGCAATACGTCCCTACAGCAGTCATGGAGAGTGAGATCAATGCTGAACTCTCCTACCTGCTGCCTGATGACCAGTCAGCCAACTTTGCTGCTCTCTTCACGGAGATTGAAACTCAGAGGGAGAAGCTTGGCATATCAAGTTTTGGCGCAAGTGCAACCACCATGGAGGAGGTATTCCTCAAGTAAGATGCGTCACTAACAATTTCAGTGTAAAAGTCAAGCTATAGAAAGGTACATGTGATTACAGTCTCTACTAATCGACAGATGGCATATGACACATTCCTTAATGCGTCCAATTTAAACAACAAACTTAAACTAGTTCCGATAAACTTAAAGTTTGTTTGTTTCTTGTTTAACGCCGCACTCAGCAATATTTCAGCTATATGACGGCGGCTATAAAATTAAAGATTATGCTCAGTTAGATTACACAAATCAGTTTTGTTAAATATAACTATTTGTTCTAATTATGTTTTGTTTAGGGCGGGTAAAGATGTGAACGATGACGCGCATGATTGCAACCAAACTGGATCTTTGGACAATTTGGCACCTGCTGGAACAAGTGTATGGAGAAACAGCAGCTACGAACTGCAGGACAGAGAAACCCCTAATATATTAGGTTCATACCTGCCTGTTTTTTGCATGTTATCCCTACCTATGTATTGTGCAACTCATCAATTCATGTTGAAGACTTATAAATTTAGAGGTTATGTCAGAAGGACAAGTTTTGTGGTGTCTTCTTCAATCTGCATGCAAAGTTAACCTTTCAAAAGCGAATAAAACATACGCTCGTTGAAGGTGGCAGAAAACACTTCTCAATAAGACAAATAGAGACAAATTTCATCATGTTCCTGAATTACACCAAACTTTTATATTTCCAGCATTCAATCAGGGTTTCACCAAAAATACAGGTCTAGGTTTGGAACTGTCTCGCTTTACTGGACTATTTGTAAAGAAGGCTCTTCACACTTGGAGAAACAAAACAATCACCATTGTGCAGCTTCTGTTACCAGTGGCTTTTACCATTGCTTCTCTGGCTATCAGCCTGGTAGAACCAGGGAAGGTGGCTCTTGAGGGCCCACTGACTTTTGACTTGGCACCCTTCAAAGGAACATTTGTAACTAACATAGATGGAGGTGGCCCCGGACAGCTACCAGAAGCATTTGCCTTTTCATACAGTGCACAGTTTACAGGAACTGTTAACAAAGTTGAGAGAGTGGATTTGTTGCGGTATCATAATGTATCCAACTTTTTCTTGTCAAGAGCAAAAGATCTTGGTGTTGGTGGATACAACAGGAAAATGATCATTGGAGCACAGTTCAAGTCTAGCAAAGAAGCAGTTGGCATTTATAATGGACAACCATACCACAGTGAGCCCATATCTTTGTCTTTCATGATGAATGCAATCCTCAAACATTTTACATCTCAGGACCATTCCATTACCACAATCAACAACCCGCTTCCATATCAGGGGAAAACGTCAAAGGGACACTCGGTATTCTCCATACTATTCCTTGGCTTTTCTGTGGCGTTTTGTCTCCTGTTTGGCATGGCTTTCCTTACTTCATCCTTTGTGTTCTTCCTCATCAAGGAGAGGCAGGTGGGCGCCAAACATCTTCAGACTGTCAGTGGAGTTGGACCATTTGTCTTCTGGTTGTCCACCCTGGCCTGGGACTACATCAACTACCTGATTCCATCCCTGTTGCTGCTGGTTGTGTTTGCAGGATTCCAGTCGCCAGCTTATACAGAAGATGGGAGATCAGGCATCGTGTTCCTCATCCTGCTTGTGTATGGTTTGGCAGTTCTGCCCTTCATGTATGCTCTCCAGTATATGTTCAAGTCCCCTCCTACCGGGATGGTTGTCATCATCATCTTGAATATTATCACAGGTAACGTATTTTCAAATGTACTGAACTGACAAATGTTGAGAAATGATATTTACCCTATTTTGTGATTTTGAAAAGGTTTGTAGTGTTAAGTTAAAGATGATGGTTGTCATCGTCATCCTAACTATTATTTCAGGTGCAGTATTTAAGTCTTGGACATCCTGATTATCATCGGACCCGTGAAGATACGGGGTAGAATAGGTCTTCAGCAACCCATGCTTGCCGTAAAGGGCGACCATGCTTGTCGTAAGAGGCGACTAACGGGATCGAGTGGTCAGGCTCGCTGATTTGGCTGATGCATGCCATCGTTTCCCGATTGCGTGCGTCGATGGTCCTGATGGTAATCACTGAATTGTCTGGTCCAGACTCGATTATTTACATATCGCCATCATATAGCAGGAATATTGCGGCGTTAAACAACGCACAAATCATTATCATCCGCGCGGTAGCCCGGTGGTTAAAGTGTTCGCCTTTCATGCGGAAGGCCTCGTTTTGATTTACCACATGTGTATAGTGTGTGTAAAACCCATTTCTGTGAAATTGCTGCAATTTTGCCAAAAGCGCTGTAAGACCCAACTCACTCACTCACTTATTATCATCACTGGTGCAGTAGTGTAGATTTCAGAGGTACACACGAATTTCATTACGATCAATATTCCTCTTTAAGGTTAAACTATTGTAAACTGATTTTGATTCCGTTCTATAAGCCTTAATTGCATGTGTATTTTTAGGGAAGAGGTTATCTTGTAATTACAAAAATGCTCTTTTTTCCCAAAAAGGAATGATAAGTATCTTGACTGTGTTCATGCTGACCGCAACTGGAGAGGAAAGAGAGGCTGAGATCACAGACTGGGTGTTTTTGCTTGTTTTCCCCCACTACAACTTCGGCAAGTCATTCATGAACATGCACAGCAATTATTTGTACCTTGACAAGTGTCGTCAGCTAAACTACACTTCACATTGTGCAAGATCTTCAAGCAACCCATGCTGTAAAGGTTGGTTTCATTTGTTTTATTTTTGTTGTACCCGGTATTGTCTTATTTTTGTTTCTTAACGCCGCACTCAGCAATATCCCTGCTATATGACGGCGGTCTGTAAATAATCGAGTCTGAACCAGACAATACAGTGATTGACATCATGAGCATCGTTCCACGAAATTGGGAGACGATGACATGCATCAACAAAGTCGGTGAGCCTGACCACAAGATCCCTCTTACCACAAAACATAGTCGCCATTTACGGCAAACTTGGGTCTCTGAAGACCTATACTAACTAGAATCTTCACGGGTGGTTTCATTTGTGGATCCGGTGAAATAATAGCATGAATTCGGAATGTCGAAGGGAATGAGCGAGCTTCTGCCCTTTTAGTAATATTGCAAGCCGTGGATATGTACTGAATTCGCCATCTCTCATGATCAATATTTCATTCCTAATATAGTACGTATAGGGTTAATGTTCTTCTCTAATGACCTATATTTCGAAGCACATTTTCATTTATCTGAATACGTTTGGTTTTACTCATGATCAGACCTCTGATAAAAACTAAAAACTGTATAAAATATTTATTCAACAAAGCGTCCTGCTATTATGCATTCGTGACCAACTCGTGTTATTCCGGGACAAGCCGAATAGCGACTCGTGCTCCTCTCGTGTCCATTTTCACGATTGGGTTCCGTCAAAGCGCAAGCGGGCACAGGTATAATTGCTAACTCGTTGCGTTATGATTCACGTATATTTCCCCCATATATAACGGTATTCCATATGTTATTTATAACACATCGGGATTTATCACTGTATCCTTGATATAGTTTTACATGCAAGACATTTGCAAAATAAACAATTATTATTGAGGGATTCTTTGACCGAGGTACTTGAAGTCATACGCGCATTCCGATTGGTTTGTTGTATTTTCGCACATAACATTCATCGATAGGGGGACGAAACGGAAAACGGGACATGTTACGGAAAAGGGCGAGTGGTGACGAATGGCTATTTTGCAGTGAAATTTCGATCGTCTGGACCACTTTATTCCGGAAATCCCGTTTTCCCGATGTCTTTGTTGGAAGCGTCTATGCATGGTTCTATGATTGAAGTGACATCACACTTACCAATATTCGTTGATTCAGAAATGAATTGTTACAGGTGATGTTGTAACTTACAAGGTTTCACTATTTATAATACATGCTCGTTTTGCTTGGCTGCAGATACATGTGGACGTTACTGTTTCCCATTTAAAGAAAATTTCCTGGATTGGGACTTTCCTGGAGTGGGTCGCCATTTGTTCTTTATGCTGTTCCAAGCCGTGTTGTACATGTCTGTGACACTGTTCATTGAGTACCAGGTGCCACAGCGAATTTGGTATGCCTTCAGACCACAGGAAGCAGAAGTACCACAACCTGTTGTCGTCGATGGAGATGTGTTAGCTGAAAGACAACGTATACAGGCATTCGCCAAAGATCTGGATAACACAGACGCACTTGTCCTCAAGGAGCTATATAAGCGTTACGGAGATTTCGTTGCTGTTGATCATCTGAGTGTGGGCATACCTGAGAAGGAGTGTTTTGGTCTCCTTGGTCAAAACGGTGCAGGAAAGACAACAACTTTTAAAATGATAACTGGCGATGTGATGCTGACACGTGGAAATGTTTTCTTGCAGTCTTATGACATCAAGAATCACACGCAAAAGGTATGTGTCAACGTCTTTGCACAGTGCATTTAATATTGAAAACAGTTTTTTAGGCGATTTGGGTTTAACTCTACTTTGAACAGTATTTCAGTTGTATCACAGCGTGTCAGCATAATGCAAGCAAGTGATGCAGGTCACAGACGTTTACGGCGAGTATCGCTATGGTTATCATCATGGCGAACATGGAATACGATCTACAATCATAGGGTCCTGCAACACATAAGGGACGTAACTCTGCACTCTTAGGCAAAGGGTGATAAAGATACTACTGAGGCTTCACGTTCATTACTCTCAACTTACTATGAACTAGTTTCATTTATTCTGAGGGACGGTCGGGTAGCCCAGTGGTCAAAGCGTTCGCTCGTCACGCCGAAGACCCGGGTTCGATTCCCGACATGGGTACAATGCGTGGAGCCCATTTCTGGTGTCCTCCGCCGTGATATTGCTGGAATATTGCTAAATGCGGCGTTAAACCATACTCACCCATTTATTCTGTAACACTGATGCAAGCTATGTAAGAGGACCTGTACTGCTAATACAAAGGGTATTCCTCTTCGTGAGTGTTGCATTATGTCCCCTAGTTTTGCAGAAACAATGAAGTGATAGAAAGGCCAACATTGCGCATACGATATTGTTAGTTTAATACATATTGAATATGAACAGGCCTCTGTTGACATAATCATTAGTGAAATTAATCACCACAGGTGCAGGAGAACATGGGCTACTGTCCCCAGTTCGATGCTCTGATTGACCAGATGACAGGACGGGAGACTCTCACCATGTACGCCAGACTCAAGGGAGTGCCGGAGAGCTGCATCAAAGGAGTCTGTGACAACCTGCTGGATATCATGATGCTCAGGCAGTATTCAGACAAGCCAACATCGGACTACAGGTGAGGAATTTTCACACGTGTTATTTAAGAATTGACTTCAATATGTTTTGCTTTTATGGAGGTGCAAACGTAAAAGGAGGTGTGCTTACTGATATATAGTTGGATTGTCTCTATTTCCTCCAGTATTGAAGATATATGATATAAGACAGATACATGAATATAAATGAAAATTGGCAATAGTTACATGTCATAGTGAAGGGGGTATGAACAAATGCTGCCACTTGTTAACATAAACGGAAACATGAACGGCCATTCAATGTGGGTCGTGCATTTGGGGTACCCAAGATTCATCCAGTCGTCACCACTCGCCCTTTTCCGTTACCTGCAAGAAGACTCGTCCCCCTCATTCGACACCACTCGCCCGTTTCCGTTACCTGCAAGAAGACTCGCCCCCCTCATTCGACACCACTCGCCCGTTTCCGTTACCTGCAAGAAGACTCGTCCCCCTCATTCGACACCACTCGCCCGTTTCCGTTACCTGCAAGAAGACTCGTCCCCCTCATTCGACACCACTCGCCCGTTTCCGTTACCTGCAAGAAGTCTCGTCCCCCTCATTCGACACCACTCGCCCCTTTCCGTAACCTGCAAGAAGACTCGTCCCCCTATCGATGAATGTTACGTATGTGCGAATATACGACAAACCAATCAGAATGCGCGTATGATTTCAGGTTCTTCGTCAAAGAATCCCTCAGAAATAATTTTTGATTTTACATATGTCTTGCATCTTATATTGCATCTGATAATATCTGATAATATCAAAATATATAATATATGGGAAAATAATATGTGAACCATTACGCAACGAGTTGACAATTGTTTTAGGTATGCCCGTTTGCGCTAAGACGGAACCCGGTCGCAAAAATGGCCATGAGAGGGGCACGAGTCGCTATGCAATATGTCCCGGAATGAGTTGATCACGATTGAAGATTCATCCTGCATCAGTGCAGTACAAAATCGCATCGTGCGATTTTATTTGGGCCTTCGGATATTTACACCAAATATGGCTGTTAATTGTGATATGGCGTGGATCTCTCCAATAGTCCGTCACTGGGGAACTGTTGTTTGAAGTTATAAACGTTTTTTGTAATCTAACCCAAGATCGAATCATCCGTAAAATCTTTGATTGGATTAACAACTGGGCAACAAGACGAAAACGGAATTTAATTTCAAAATACGTAATAAGCTCAGAGATCTTGGTTTAGAGCATTTTATCCCCCCCTAAAAAATCTCTCATTTACACGATGGCAGATTCCACCAAAGGAGGATAAAACGCCTTTGCAAGAGAATATGTTGCTGCTAGCTGCAATTACTGTTGTTGTTGTTGTGCACCGTGTATCGATGACAATATTCATAATCATGATAATATGTCAAATGTTTATTTAACAATTGACTTCAATATTTCTTTGCGTTTATGAACGTAAAACCCGTTGTGAATACTTAGCATGCTGATGCCACAATTGGCTGTGCAGAGTAGCGTCCCTTAGGTATGGCAAAGGCGACGAACCACGAGGCCAACATGTGTTCAGCTTGGGTCAACACCAACAGAGTGCAGGTTGACCTGGTGAAACTCCAGGCAGGTTCCTAGTTACCATCGGATTATGGCAAAAAGGGGTTACTGTCGGGGACCATTTCAAGATTCTGTTTTACTTTTTTTCAAAATTGCCTGTAAAGTAATTTTAATAGTATAATATAAAATCTCAATCGATATCATTATAAAGTGTACAACTGATTAAACATATGCGAACATAAAATCTCACCCTCGTGTCTTTTGATATCAAATATATCAACACACGTTGATAAAACTCGTGTTGATATATTTGTTATCAAAAGACTCTCGGGTATATATATATTAGAAAGTTATACGTTTACATGCTAATAACAATTTATACACGCGAATGTAATCAAAGTCACTAACACGATCTGGTTGCAGGTGGTAGTTCAATTTACGCCCGCATGAACGATTGTCTCCCCTTATTTACACGTCAATAAAGCACAGTAAAGTTCCAATCTCATTAAAATCAGATCTTAGTTCTCGCTACCGCTAAACAAAGATCTGAGGACATCCCATTACGGGTCATGTAAGAACGACCTTTCATCCGACCAATCAGAGCGTCGCGGTAGCGAGAACTAAGATCTGATTTTAATGAGATTGAGTAAAGTTCTTACTCTCAGGCACATTGTAGTAATAATTAAATAAGTGGAGTAAGATTGAACACAGTTTTAATTGGCTAGCGCTTTTTGAAACAAGGTAGGTTCGTGATCAAAATTTAGCTTATAGGGCGGGTTGCCGCTTCCACATGTATCTAAATGATCACTGAGTTGAATCGTGCGGTTGTGTGGCTGCTTTATTTGTGAACGGTGAAGATTCATTCTTCTTTTTAATTGAAGTTCTGTCTTTCCGATATACTTTTCATGTCATGCACTACAAACAATCAAGTAAATAACATTTCTGGTATCAAAAGTCATATTTTGTTTTACAGTAAATTTGGTGTCCTTTGTAATTTGGACTGAACAGCCTTCAATTATATTGCTGTAAGTAAGGCAACCTTTGTCACCGCACCTAGAAACCTGTGGAGTGATGACAACAGAATCAAATTTAGAACTTGTCAAAATCTTTCTAAGATTTGTTGGTTGTCTTTGGCTGTTGATAATTCACGGACCTACATTGTTTCAAAAAGAGCAACATTTCATTTAAGAATTGACCTTCACTCTGTGTGAGTTCATTGGAGTATGAACCTTCATAGAGTGAGGGCCAAACTGTATGAACGTCGGAGCTTGCGACGACGTTCATACAATGTTTGGCCCTCTCTCTATGAAGGTTCTTCTCCAATAAACTCACACAAAGTGAAAGTCAATTCTTATAATTTTTTATCACAATTTCTTACCTCAATGGATGTAAGCCAAGATCTAAACCCAATTTTATTTAGTACGTGTGACTTCATGTTTACACTGACAGCCAAACAACAACCAGCTATATCGCGGAATAAAATAGTTCCCCCAAAAGAGAGGTGACATGAGCGTATGGATGCACAACTTGCTCTTTAGAAACATCTTACGCAACACATGTGTTCATATAATATCCCCATTAGATGAGAAATGTCTGTAATGAACTACCTCAGTAAGTCAGCCACAATGACAGCGCGTCGTAATACATTTACATCAAGAACAAGACGTCAAAATGGCCGACACGATAAACCTGACGGGAGGATTTCCGAAGTTGTTAATGAACCTGTGGCGGTTACATGTGTTAGTCATCATTGATCAACTGACCGATTACTGAAAGGTGATTAAAGGTGCGTCAAACAGACACCAAGGTAAATTCGTAGATTGCTGGAGACGGTCACTGTCAGCCTAGACACAGATCGAGTCGATACTGACGATAGTTTGGATGTGCATTTCTTTGTTTGTTCATTAGGATGGGCCGTAGCGAGGAAATTCGTGAACAATCATGCAGTCATGCTCTCTTACGTTTCTCAATGTATACTGAAATGCTGAGACCAAGATTAAAGGTTCTAAATGATCAGAAATAATGTTTAAGTATGTTTTCGTGCTAGGGAATTTCCAGGGGTTTCCCCAGGAATGTGGAAGTAGTCCGTCAGTGTTTACGTCATTTCAAGAACACGGTCTCGTGAAAAACGTATGAACGTCAAATTGTGTCGTTCATACACTTATGAACGTCAATTTCGCGGTCATGTGACCGACCTCTCGTCAAATGGAAAAGCCGTATGTCGTGTAAACGTCAAATTAAAAAATTATTCATAAATACACGCCTAAGTTTAATGTAAAGGCGTAAGTTATTTGTCCATTGTCACCTTGGTATTGTGACGTCATAGTTCTCTAAATGTTATGACGTCACGTAACTATATGTTACTACTTCATGTCCGTTATTCAGTTAAGCCCTGATGAGACTTGTACGTGGTACGAGTTGAAAGCGCTAGCCAATTATATAGAGAATCTCACCCGAGTGTCTTTTGATATCAAATATATCAACACGAGTTGAGAAAAGTGGAAAAATTCCGAGGCTTGCCGAGGATCTTTGCCACTTTTATCAACGAGTGTTGATATATTTGATGTCAAAAGACACGAGGGTGAGATTTAATTATATACATATGAATGAAATACTGGAATTTATCAGTGACGATAAAAAAGTTATATCAGTCACTAGTGACTGATATAAACAAGGTTCCGGAACTACTTTCTCCTGAATCAAAACATTAAAGAGTTATCCCCCTTTGTTTACGTCAGATGCCGACTGTACTATCTCAACCGCAGGTGCACAACTTCTCTTCAAATGACCACAGGAATTTTTTGACGAGTCTGATGTCTGGAAAAAAACATCTATGGCAATGTTAATATCACTCTTGCGCCGGACATGCTTCGCCAGACATTAGGCACAACTGGCGGCAGCGAGACGTACCGCCGAGGCGAGAAGCGCCCGCTTAAATTTTCCGAGAATTGAACTTTCCTAATTTAATTCATGACAGCAAGCAACAATGTTTCAGTTAAAATGTTCGGGGTTCTATAAATGTGTTTATGTCAACTTTCATACTTATCTGTGAGAAGATTTGATCAAATTTGGCGGATTTTGTAAGCCTGGAGAGCGCTCAGCTGATCGTTAGACATGGTCACAGTACTAACTGTTTATGTATTCCTACGTCAATAAAATAATCGCTGTTTGAAAATGATTTCTGTTTTCATTTTTAAACAGGAATGTTTAATTATGACAAACAAAAAAACAAAAATGTCCACGGAACTTAATACTCGATATGAAATAATATATTTCGCATAACATATATTAACAAGGCTAGTTTTATTCAGAAACTATATTCTTTTCGCAAACCTCCTTGATACGGCGGTGGTAAAGGGGCGACAGGGAGAATTTAGTAATTTATCAGACACTGTTTTCGAAAAAATATATAAATTGCAAGTAATAAAAATAAAACATGTATATAATAAATAGAAAATTCAATGTGTTTTCTCAAATACCACTTTCATCTCATCGAGTGAAGTGGGGAGAGTCTAATATTTTCACGAGTGACGCAGTCACGAGTGAAAATATTAGACTCTCCCCACTTCACGAGACGTCATGGTAACCAGTGATGTCACAATGGTTTGCAAAGCATTGTGATGTAATTTCATTGCAGCGATATCTACAGTGTAGATATCGCTTGATCTCATCCAAGCGATATCTCCTGTGGGAGCCAGTTTTGGATGATAAATCTGTGTTCAATCTTACTCCACTTATCTAGTATAGTATAGTATAGTTTAGTATAGTATAGTATAGTATAGTATAGTATAGTATAGTATAGTATAGTACATTACATTAATGAAATCTATGTATATGAATATTGAGTTATATGTTACAGTCTCTCTCCATATAGAGTGGCCCTACCTGCTTTATGTTGTATATGTATATTATTGTATTTTATTGGGGTGAAACTTTAATAAATTATCTGTCTGTCTAAATACACAAAGAATCGCTTGGTTAGCAAATGAAATGCCACGGAATCACTTGCATATTATATACATCTGCACTCCCTGATCTGAGGGAATCGTGTAAACACGTGTCATGCTGAATTTGGATTTTGTTACCCGTCGCCGTTAATGCCTTGTATGTCATGAATAATTTGTGAATAATTTAAGGTCTTGAAATGACTACTAGCATCTCCGCTTAAACAACCCCACTGGCATTCATTCGATACCAACAATGAAGTCATTAAAACTGTGTACCAAATGCAGATGGTGTTAAGCCAGGCTTGTTATATAAATTGATTAAACTTGATAGATGTGTGTATTTGTGAATATAATTGTTGTATGTGACACCGCGCGGCTTCAAACCAGGCATATTTTTTTTATGTGAAAGGTGATGCCGAACAATTTAATATTTTTTTCAGGACAGCCAGACTGAGGGCAAATTATATTTATCGGGAACAGACGTGTTTTTCAAAATATCTAATATCCCTACCATATTCCATGTATGTGAACTGCCGACATGGCGGTATATATAATGTACTGAATGTACACATTAGGTTACACAGCATAACACCATGTTACACTATGCTATGCACTGTCTTCACTAAAAATAGGGTCGGAAATTATTACTGATGGCAAGACCTCGCTCGCCATGTTAAGTACCTGGGTTCGATTCTCCCAACGGATAAAATGTGTGAAACCTATTCGTTGTGTTACCGCTATTGTTTGAATACTAAGACACCTTATATCACTGTCTCACTCTTTGAAAATGCAGGATGTTTCCTATCGACAATTGCTTGGATGATGCCACATTGAAGCCAGTAATTAAAGCCATTTCGATGGTCTAATGCCAATCGTGGCATCTCTTTTGTCGCGATAAGGTAAATGTGAAATCATTAAAACGCTTTTCGCGTTAATGATTGAATATGTCAACTGTTGGGCTTGCAACAAATTCATGCGCGTCAACTAGCTTGATGACTTCACTTCTCACTTCTCATATTAAGTATTTATTTACAAATTGTGGGGTTATTTTCACAGTGGAGGTAACAAGCGTAAGCTGAGCACTGCCATCGCTCTGGTTGGAGACCCGGCCTTCATCATGCTGGATGAGCCGTCCACAGGGATGGACCCCAAGGCCAGGAGGCAGCTCTGGAACGTCCTGTCAAAGGTCCGGGAGTGCGGCAGGACCCTCGTGCTCACGTCTCACAGGTTCGTATAACTCTTACAGATTGGTGATGGATTTCGAGGTTCATTATACAGTGCAATCAATCCTAAACACAAAATCAAAATCAAAGAACCTACAAGCAACTTGGTTCTTGTTCTTTCAGCATGGAAGAATGTGACGCTCTTTGTACAAGAATTGCCATCATGGTAAATGGGAGATTTGTGTGTCTTGGAACACCACAACATTTGAAGACCAAATTCGGCCAGGGCTACACACTGATAGCTCGGATGAAAACAGTTGAAACTCAACCAGGAGCATCAGATGAAAGAGCTCCTGCCCCAACAGAACCGCTGGTGAACTTCATCACAACATCCTATCCCAACACCCACGTGTTCGACGACCATCAGGGCTATGTTCACTTCCAAGTTCCTTACAGCGCCGTCAGTCTCGCCCAGGTCTTCACACTGATGGAACAATCCAAGGTGCAGTTCTCTGTCGAGGACTATTCAGTTCACCAAACAACCCTTGAACAAGTGTTCCTCTCATTTACACGATGGCAGATTCCACCAAAGGAGGATAAAACAAGCCTTTGCAAGAGAATATGTTGCTGCTAGCTGCAATTACTGTTGTTGTGCACCGTGCATCGATGACAAGATTCATAATCAAGATAATATGTCAAATGTTTATTTAACAATTGACTTCAATATTTCTTTGCGTTTATGAACGTAAAACCCGTTATGCATACTGAGCCATGCTGATGCCACAATTGGCTGTGCAGAGTAGCGTCGCTTAGGTATGCCAAAGGCGACGAACCACGAGGCCAACATGCGTTCAGCTTGGGTCAACACCAACAGAGTGCAGGTCGACCTGGTGAAACTCCAGGCAGGTTCCTAGTTACCATCGGATTATGGCAAAAAGGGGTTACTGTCGGGGACAATTTCAAGATTTTTTTTACCTTTTTCAAAATTGCCTGTAAAGTAATCTTAAAAGTAAAATAAAAAATATAAAATCTCAATCGATATCATTATAACGTGTTCAACTGATTAAACATATACCAAGATGAAAGTCAGTGCAGTAATAAACACATGTTTGTTGACCTGGGATCTGTTGAAGAACCGGCGTCTGTTAGAGACAAAGCCAGTATATTTCTTCACAAAGGGTCGGCTCTATTCGTTATATGGTTTCACTAGGTAAGCAAATGGGCGTCTGAATACATACGGGGTCGCCACCAAAAGGTGAGAAAATAGAGAAGTAAGGATAAGAATTTATGGATGAACACCTTCTTTATTACAATTAAGAGCGACGTTTCGGTGTAGGCTCGAACACCGTTAACAAATAGAGGAGACCTATAATTTCCTTTCGGATTTCACAAGAACGTTTGACAATATTATCTCTTTCTCGGAAAATTGAATTTGATGTAGTTTTTTGGGGAATATTCCATGTCTTATAAATCAATTGTACAAATATGTTGTAGGTTAGGTCTCTTGAAAATGTTCAACGCAAACATCAGATATATGATCATTAAGCTGAATTTATATTCAGGGTTCGATTTAAGACATGTTTTCACCAGCCAGTTGAACGGATATTATGATCAATAATGATCAGTAATGCTACATGTGTCAACTTTAACATCAGGGTATCAGTGTCATCTGTGTCGACTGTAACATCGGAAACTCAGGTTTCTAGCGAATGATAATGATATATGTATTGCCTGAATTGAAATAAACACGCGTTTCCCAATATGACTAAACATGACATGCATACTGTCTCCACGCCCCCTGGTGGGTGACACACGACGTCATCAAGCACGCCTCAAATGGAGCCCTTTTCCTAACAATCAATAATGGGCGTTAATTATGTACTAGTATTACTAATGTGCTTAAGGAAACGTGGTATACCGCAGAATATATGACCCGATATATACTACTCAAAAGAGGTTAAGGATCACCTGATTCTTTCATATTACTATAGTTAATCTCTCATGTCATGACAGATTAACTTTACCATTATGAAAGAATCGGGTGATCCTTAACTTCTTTTGAGTATTATATATGTTATATGCCAATAACAATTTATGCACGCGAATGTAATCAAAGTCACTGACACTGGGTGGGGGTTCAATTAACGCTCGCATGAACGATTGTCCCCTTATTTACACGTCATTTCTTACTCACAAATATATTGTGCAATGGGGGGTAGTCAACATCTGCTTCCTCGGTGGGTGGGTGAACGAGTGAGTTTAGCGCTTCTTTTAACAGTATTGCGGTCATTTTCAGCTTGATGTGAGAGGAAAGTCAGAGGTGATGCAGTGAAAACCACTAACTGTGCGAGCATATGGTTTCAGACAAAACAAACAGATTACGGTAACAGGCTACCGGCCTATAATACATCATTAGAGCGTATTAAATCACGCAGGCTGGAGTAAATTATGTAACAATTTCATTTATGAAACACAGGGATTAGGTGTTTCTTAATTTGGAGACTTTTGCTAGGAACTAAACACAAACATATTATGAAGGACAGGATTATCACCTGTTTGTATCAGCTGTGTGATTTTAGAGATGGATACTCAGTGTAATATGTGGAGAGATACTACATGGCATTCATCTGCAATATGTTTACAGTTGTGGGACAAACTGAAATCGCAGAATCGTTCACTGTCACCCATGTTCCACATTAAACGGAAATTATTACACAATTAATTTTTTAGATGTAATAAAATAAGTCACTTGTCACAGTATTCAACGTCCTGTCAAATTTCCAATCTATTTTAATTAAAGACATTACAATAGTTGGTTTTTTCTGAACCGACATTGTCCTAAAACGTACTAGACTGTGGGAAAACATTTAATCATAATTTTATATAATTGTACGCGATATGGCTGCAATATTGTCGATGGGATGTAATATTTTAAGTCACTCACTCCGTAAGCACGAGTTTCCCTGGGGTCTAAGACGCCGCACCTCCATGTGCATAGTTGCGTCCCTTTGTAGTTCCAGAATGTGCTAATAGTGAGTTGAATCACAGTGTGTGATAATCGTCTATACAAACTACGTCACTTTCCTCCAACAATAACAGATACGTCGTGATATAACTGAACTAAAGCTCAAACTGGCGTTAAACCACACATAGAACTCAAACACGCAGAGACCAAGGAACATAATCCGGGGAGTTTGGGATTCGAACCGATCTGATCAGCAGTTTATGATATGCGAAGTTTTGCTGCATATATATATTCTTGCTCATTAAAATGGCACTTACATAATATATAGTATTTCAAGAATATTGGATTAAAACTACAAATCACGCCTCCAATGCCATTCCACCACAAACTGAATATCGCTAATACGAAAAAATAATGTATGTATGTATGTATGTATAGATTTTAATATATATATATATGAAAATTATACTAAGGCCGTGGTATACCTCAGTAAATATGACCCATCATTATCGTTTACATGCTAATAACAATTTATACACGCGAATGTAATCAAAGTCACTGACACGAGCTGGTTGTAGGTGGTGGTTCAATTTACGCCCGCATGAACGATTGTCTCCCCTTATTAACACGTCAATTCTCACTCACAAACACATGTACATGAAACAATGGAGGGTTGGCCAACATCTGCTTTCTCTATGGGTGGGGGAACGAGTGAATGTAACGCTTTTTTAACAGTATTGCAGTCACATCACGGTGTGTCAGCTTCATATCGGAGGAAAGCCAGAAGTGATGTGGTTAAAAACACAAACTGTGCGATCATACGTTTCAGACAAAACAAACATTTTAGTAACAGGCTACCGGCCTATAATACATTAATATAGCATGATAAATCACGCACGATGGAGTAAAATATGTAACAATTTCATTTATGAAACACAGGGATTAGGTGTTTCTTAATTTGGAGATTGTTGCTAGGTACTAAACACACTCATATTATGAAGGACAGGATTATCACCTGTTTGTATCAGCTGTGTGATTTTCATAAGAGATGGATACTCAGTGTAATATGTCGAGAGATACTTTCTTCTTATTGAGGCATATCGTTCGCCTATAAACACTACATGGTATTAATCTGCAATATGTTTACAGTTTGGGGACAAGCAGAAATCGCAGAATCGTTCATTATGGCGTGTAACTATCATCCATGTTCCACATTAAACGTAAATTATTACATTTATTTTTTAGATATATATTTTAATGTGAAGTGGAATGTCACTTGTTAAAATAACGTCCTGTGTTCAACAAAAAATTGAACTGAACATAGTAATTACATGTCGAAGATAATTCCATTAAAAATTGCAAGTTTTGATAAGATTACCTGATACTCTTTGCTGAAATTCATTAAGAAATATTATGACATCGCCGATTTCTTGTTGTATCCATGCCATCACAAACCCTGAACTGAAACAAAATGTGTTTAATCAGGGCTAATCCGGCATTTGAAACCTATGAACTCAAACATGAGACCAGAGAACATAATCAAGGGAGTCGCACCAATGTGATCAGCGGTTCTTGATGTGGCAAAGGGGCGTAACTCTACCCGGATACTACCCAGAAAAGCGTCCGGCTCAATGAAACATGGATATGCACTTATATCAGCTTGTGTACATGTAGACGTCCCTAGCAGGTACTGTCGGAAGTAGGGGGTTCGGTCTAACGAGGTCTTGCTGCATATATAACCTTGCAGGAAAATAGATGTGCTCGTTAAAATGTAACTTAGATTATATGTTTTTTAAAGAATATTGGATTAAACCTAAAAAAAAACGCATCAAAAGCCATTCTACTTCAAGCTGCATATCGCCAATACTAAAAAAATATTTATTTTAAAATATATCAATAAATATATTACGGCCTATATTCTGTCCAGCTAAAAAAAGCATACGTTTAATTTGAAGCCAAAATTATAAAGTAATAAAGTTTCCGTATGAGCGTCAAGAAAATAGCAATGAACACACATCAGTGTTTTCGCTGGCATACTTCTCTCATACAATGTTGAATTATAAATCAATATGCGTTGGTGTTCGTATGTGTATGTCACACCAGGTTCAACGAACCCTGCAACCTTGCATAAGTCATTAGTATGTTGGCAGATAGCTGACTCTCTCGGTTTCAATTATTCCGATACAAAGAAACGTAATAACACATTACCCAACTGTGAATAGAATTCTTTTGTTTTAGTTTCTGTATTCTGTTCCTAATTACCAGCTGTTGTTAGCCATATTACCTGAGCCGTAAGAATAATCGATATGATGAGAACGCTTCACCTCGGTTGGTTCATTCCATCAATAAGTGAAGCCGTCCTCGTTCTGGTCGCGGAATCGGTAGAGATGTAGGTGAGGCCTCAGCTGCATTGATGATAGGGCGTTGCTGGCGAGCCAGTCGGAGGTACGGGTACTGACAGCGGTGTATACGGGGCGGATTTCTGTCCTGCTGGGTGCCTGGACAACAAAACCTGGGTGATATTACTTTAGACAACGATATTTACCTTTCGTGGAGTCGAAACATGACAATTTGATATGTAGAATTGAACATATACGCGTGGATACAAGTGGCACTTGTTTTATAAGGGAGGAAGTCGAGGAACAGGACATGGCGACCTTGTTGTCTTGGGGTGTATGATGAGAGGAGGGGTATGGTAACACGGAACTAGCAACACGAGCCATAAAACTATAACTATAAGGAAAGTATTTTTATGATAACAACAACAACAACAGGTCGGCCTCCGGAAGGGCGTTAACGTTGCTGCTCCATTTCCTCGTGTCATTCGGAACAATCAGAGACAACCGCTGGAGAGGTGGGGATTTATACTTGTTGTGAAGAGGATCTGGTGGCATCAAAGCCATCATTATCATCATCCTGACCCAATATGGGCTTCTTTCGACAACTCGGGCTGCTCATGTGGAAAAACTTCCTGCTACAAAGGAGGAAAATATGTGTTACAATATTTGAGGTGATCTTGCCTCTGCTGTTCGCTGTTGTATTTCTGTCGCTTAGATTCGTCGTTCAAGTTCAACGTGTGGATAATTCCACGCAATATGATTCTTTCCCTGTGGTTGTGCCACGCAGTGGCTCCTCGAGGGGGATGACAGGGAAGATCCTGTACACTCCAAACATTGCGATTACAGACGGCTTGATGGCTGGTGTGCAAAGCGCTCTGAACACGTCTACACGAGGTAAGATTAATTTACATCATACAGTAAACTACGGTTATAACGAACACGCTTATAACGAACTGACGGATATAACGAACTTACTTTTTGGTCCCGACTATTTGCTGTAGTTATACTGTGTATATGCTTTTAACGAACTACGGTTATAACGAACTAAAATAAGTAGTCCCTTTGAGTTCGTTATAACCGTACTTTACTGTATATACAACTATATGTATTTCACACACACACACACACACACACACACACACACACACACACACACACACACACACACACCAGCGCACACACACACACATACATATGCAGACACAAAGACGCAGACATAAAGTTTCTTTGTTTGTTGTTAAACGCCACACTCAGCAATATTCCAGCTATATGACGTCTGTCTGTAAATAATCAAATCTGGTCCAGACTATCCAGTGATTAATTTCATGAACATCGATCCACGCAACTGGGATACGAAGACATGCATCAGCCTATTAGCGAGCCTGACTACCCGATCCCGTTAGTCGCCTCTTACGACAAACATAGCCACCTTTTATGGCAAGCATGGGTTGCTGAAAACCTATTCTACCCCGGATCTTCACGGGGCAGACACACAGACATACTAGCAATCATGAACAGACATATACAGACACACAGACACATACATGTACAGACACACAGACATGTACAGACACACAGACATATACTTACACACAGACACTCATATGTAAAGACACACATATATGTACAGACATATACCGACACAGGCAAACAGACACAGTTGTTTACAAAGACACATACATATATAGGCACACAGACGCATGCGCACTCGGAGGGGGGGTCACTCATTCAGCCCAGACAGACATAATGCTATATAAGACAATGGAACGATGTCCCGAACTATATAAAATTATAGACAAGATTCCAACATTCACAAAGATACAGATTAGTCTTAATGTTTTAATGTGCCAAATGCACAATCAACACTGCGCAAAAACAAACGCAAAAGTGATTTTAGATGTATATTTCATAGATCATATAAATAATCAACATATGGTAATCGATTGTTCAAAATTGGCCCACATCAGTGCCATTTGACAGTCTTGTAATGGTGCTTGGTGCTACGTGGAAACACCTAGCTATAGCTGACGAGGATTTTCCTGTTTGCAGTCGGCAGATAGCGTGTTTTCGCTGTTTCATACCATGCAGATATCATGATATTGCGCGTCATTTCCAAAGCATCAACATGTCTTTGTTATGAAATATGATCAAATTACGACATGTGTTCTTTGTTACCTTGACAACATATTAATGTGACGCTATAAACATAAATGCATTAGCCACAGCCTACACCTTCCACTGTCTTCGCCTGGAATTGATCAATACGGAAACGTGCTAGGCTGCAATAGTACACGATAATGAATACTACCTGCATATATGTATTCTTGATGATTGTGAAGATAGGAAAATGTACTGGCAAAACTTCATCATATTACATCTTGTAGGAACGGTCACCTTCATTGAATTGATCCATGTTTTAGTTTGCTTTTACATGTTTTTACCCACTCGTTCACGCATTATTTACTAGCTGCTGAATCATCAGTCTAACATTTGCTTTCGTCCATTTGCTTGTTCATGTAATGATTTATCGATCTGTCCAGGGGTTTGATCTGTATGTGGATTTGTTCTGGGATGAATAGGTCTTCAGCAACCTACACTCATCGAAATTAGAAACGCACGGGTAGATTTGAAGTAAATATATTGTACCAAATATAGTCGATATATTTAATATCATAGATACAACTATAAAATTTTGGAGCTCGATAGTCACATGTTGTCGTTGTACAAAGGCATTGAAAACTGTTCATTATCATGTCACATAAGGCCACAAGGTTGCTCTAAACTCAATATCTCGTGTGACCGCCCCGGGCAGCAATCATGGCTCTGCATCTCCTCGGCACTGACTGGATAAGTGTACGAATTCTGCCCTGCGGAATCCTGCGCCATTCTGCTTGTAACGCGTTGGCCAGTTGTAGGAGTGTCTGCGGCGCTTTCTGACGTTGACGTACACATCGATCGAGTTCATCCCACAGGTGTTCGATTGGGTTGAGATCTCGACGGCCACTCCGTTATTGAAGAGTGTATGCTTGTCGTAAATGGCGACTATGCTTGTCGTAAGATCGGGATCGGATGGTCAGGCTCACTGACTTGGTTGATGCATGTCATCGTATCCCAACTGCATGGATGTCAATCATTGGATTGTTTGGTCCTGACTTGATTATTTACAGACTGACGTAATATAGCTGGAATATTGCTGGGTGTGGCGTTAAACAACAAACAAACCAGACTTATGTATTTGCAGGACGTTGTTGTAAGTCTTGTGTAGCAGTGAGTGAGTATGGTTTTAAGCTTCTTTTAGCAATATTCCAATGCATTTAAGCGATGTGAACATTGTTTCTCTGTGTTTCTTATAAATGGGGTATCTAATACATAATGAAGGGCATTAATTCGATTTTGATATTTAGGTCCCTCATTGGTTACCATGGGCTTCTTGTCCCAGGAGAAACTACTGGACTACTACAGACTAAACTCTGCTGACGTCTCGATGGCACTGGAGTTTGACGTCAAGACCACCGACACAACTCTCCCCAAGGCTCTCCGCTATTCCATCCGACCCCCTCTCCAACAATCGTCTGACAGATGGAGAACTACGGAAACATTTCCGTTCAGACAAACAGGAGTTCCTAGAATTGATTTTTCTCCACGTAAGTTAGTATCGTTATATATAGGTCTGGTTGATATAGATCACTGTAAGAACAGTTTTCTAAGTTTAATCCTCCTTAAAACACCATTTCACAATTATATTCGCACAATTATCCCGTGATTCTTTAATATACCCCGCCACGTAGTGGTGCGGAGGATATAGGAACGGAATTCGTCCGTCCGTCAGTCCGTACGTCGTTTTCTACATGCTTTTCAACTTAGGGGGGGTTGGGGGTGGGGTGGTAGAAATAACACTGTTTTCGTATTTAATTTCATTTAATTTGTCATTTTAGAAATGTGAAAGGCAATAAGTTGTTGCCGTTGTTTTTATTTTGACATGTTTGTTCACTGTCGAAACTGATTTCACTTAACCATCTGTCGGTATCTGTATTTAGTAGCAGAGATACTAAGGATATTTTCAAGCGAATTGAAAGGGTAAAACATGACTGATGTCAGACATACATTGAATTGTCCCATTCTTAAATCCTAAAGTTTCAATAAGTATTCAGTATGATCCCAGCTAATTTACGTTAAGGGCGGTTGAAAAGCCATTTAGAGTGAGTGAGTGAGTTGGGTTTAACGCCGCTTTTAACAGCATTCCAGTTATATCATGGCGCGTCAGCTTAATGTGGGAGGAAAGCCCGAAGTGATGCAGGTCTCAATCGATTACCACTTCGGTGAAACCCACGAGCACGGGAATGGTGCTGACAAACCTAGAAACATAATCGGGGCGAACCGGGATTCGAACCCACAATCATGGGTTTCTGGCGTGCCCAAAGGACGTAACTCTGCACAGGAAATCGCGGCGCCTTAGACAACTGGGCCACCCGTGTCCACAGCTTCAATGTTCCTTGTTAACAGAGAGAATCTAAATGTCATTCATGGTGCAACGGAAAGCAAATTTATTTATTTATACAACGATTAATTATTTTCTTTGCATTAATACTAACCAGTTTCATACAGGTTATAAGGACAGTGGCTTCCTGGTAGTCCAACGACTGGTAAACCAGGAAATCATCAACTACTGGAACGCGAGAGCAGGCAATACCACCAGTGACCTTGACATTCGTCTACAGCGCATGCCCTACCCACCCTACATTATCGACCCAATGATGATTGTACTTCAAGTGATGCTGCCAATTCTACTGATGCTGAGCTTTATTCTCATGGCGATACAAACAACTAAAGGGGTGGTTTATGAAAAAGAGAGGAAATTAAAGGTGAATACACATTCATTTCAGAATTGATTTTAATGCTTTTTTTCAATCAGGAAACAGCAGTCGTTAGATGGCGTGGTGTGTCTTATGGAAACATAAACACACAAAAAACTTTGTTTTGTAAGCCAATCAAATCATTTGCCACGAAATAACTTGCAGTATATTTAATCCTGTAGGGATATGCAGTCAAACAGAGACTCGGGTCAATCTGCACTCAGGAACAAAAGAAGCTATACCCCTCTGTTGCTTTTATCATATGTTTGATTTTCAATAAAAACTATCTTCAGTTAGCGACATTATGTTTTTGAATTGTACTGGCGCTTCGTCAGCTCACAAAGAATAATTCTACATGGTTCTAGGTCTTTAAAATATGATTTGGACCGCGTCCGTGTTTTAGTGGTAGAGCGTCCGCCCGGAGAGCGGAAGGTCCGGGGTTCGATCCCCGACCGCGTCATACCAAAAGACGTTAAAAGATGGTACTTGTTGTTACCTTGTCTGGCGCTCGACATTAAGGGGCTAAAACAAGGACTGGTCGGCTCGGAGTCAGTATACTGTGTCTGAGTGAGTTATTCATGTTAAACTGCGGCATGGTATCTCAGTGAGCTAGCACTATAAATCGGCATCAGTCCGGACTACAAGCAGCCACACAAACACACACACGTACATGCACGTCACTATATAAGTGCAATAATCTTGGACGCGACGTCAAACCCCATTTCACCTCACCTAAATATGATTTGCTTTTAAAAAATTTAAACTTTAAAGAGAAAAACTGCTGATGAGTAGCTTAGACATCTTATCTTTGAAACAGAATAAATTTGCTCTTTTCGGCAGGAGTCATGTTGATGCCCCGAAATCTTAACATTGGAAACCTCCAGATAACGCTGTCGATTCCAAATGAATTTTCAGGCCTTCGGGTACTCAATAAAACCTGCAAATCTGAAAATACAGATGTTTATCTCCTAAAGCAACTACCGAAAATCCATCACACCTACCACACATTCCCTCCCCAATCACCCCCATTCGCATTGCTGACAGTATGACTGTAGTGTCACACACGATAAAGCGACGACCTTCAACTATGTATGCCTCAGCCATTACAGATAAGCACAGTATTGTCACCGGGTGTTTTTTTTACAATTTAGGAATCCATGAAGCTAATGGGACTCAGCGCCACAGCAAACTGGATGTCTTGGTTTCTGACCTCCTCTATATACGTGGTGATCATCATGGCTTTCTACGCTTTGTTCTGTGGACTTGATGCAAGTGGGAACGGGGCGGCGTTGAGCAATGGTGATCCTTTCCTCTTCTTCCTGTTCCTCCTCTGTTACGGCGTCTCCATCATCTCCTACTGCTTCATGATCAGCGTCTTCACACACAAAGGTAAATATATACAGACATGGGTTTGCAAAGCGACACGAGGTCGTGGACACAACACAAGGTATGCGACCGGGGTGCATATTGTTTGGTGCTCGCATTCCATTCCTGGCATTTCCTGATTGATGTTTGATTTAAAGGAATACGCTCAGAAGTTGACAAAACTAACCATCAAACTCCTTAATCATCAATGCGATGGTAAATATAGATACAATGTGTTGGTACCCTTGATGATCCGGTTTGGATTTGTTTGTTTGTTTGTTGTTTAACGCCGCACACGCTGACTTGGTTTATGCATGTCATCGTATCCCAATTGCGTAAATCGATGCTCACGATGTCAATCACTGGACTGTCTGGTCCAGACTCAATTGTTCACAGTCCGCCGTTATATAGCTGAATTATTGCTGAGAGCGGCGTTAAACAACAAACAAACATTTTTTTTACATATTTGTTTTACATAGTTTCACCACAGCAAACTCATTAATTCCTATGCTTACCACTTACCCGTGGAGACTAAAATAGGTCTTCAGCAACCCATGTTTCCTTAAAAGGCGACTATGCTTGTCGTGAGAGGCGACTTACGAGATTGGGTAGTCAGGCTCGCTGACTTGGTTGGTGCATGTCATCGTATCCCATTTGCCTAGATCGATGTTCATGATGTCATTCACAGGATTGTCTGGTCCAGACTCGGTTTTTTACAGACCGCCCTCAAATAGCTGGAATATTGCTGAGAGCGGCGTTAAACAATAAACAAACAAAACAAAACTTTATTTATTTGTTATTTGAGCGATGTGATGAGTGGCATGCCGTTTTTCTAAGGTCACCTTCTATTCCATTGTTCCAGCTAATATAGGAGCAGCGATCAGTGGAATTGTATTCTTCGTGTCCTACTGTCCTTACTTCTATCTTGAGAGTCAGTATGAAACGATGAGCAGATCGGCCAAGTTGGGATCATGTCTGGTATTCAATCTCGGCATGGCATTTGGCTCCAAGGTGATTGGACTCTATGAAGGAACGGGTATGTCAAAACGTTAGACAGGAATAGAATCACTTTTATGGCCAGGATCTTGTAAAAATATTCATGACATGGTCATCAAAACCAAACGTTGTGCAAGTACTCACCCTCAAAGTTGCGACTTAAACGGTCGCCAATGCGACCTAAATTTCAGTTTGTCTACTGTCTAAAATTCAGAGGTAGCCAAATGACTACCTAGAAAAAATATCTTGTGGCTACTAAATTCTATTGCTACACATATGTAGTCACAAAAATAAATAACAGCTGAAAACACATCTGCTAATAATTGTACTCGCAAATAATTCCTTCTTAAGTCGACAATGAACCAAAATATATGATAATTAATGTAATTAGTACTTTATTGTAGTTGACAATGCTCATTGGATAAGCGAGGATATACCTATATAATCTAGTAACATAAATTGCATCATTGTTCAAGTCACAACTAACAAAATTCAATTACAGTTCCCATTAAGATACAATTTCTGTAACTTGTACATATCATAATAGTTATTTGATAAAGATAATTTCAAATGCTTTTGGCTACCTACAATACTGGCTTGACTTCTTGATTTTACCACTGGCTACCTTTAAAAAAATACTTGTAGCGATATGGCTACTTTGTAAAAATTAAAACTTTGAGGCCTGCAGTACTATGAACTCACCTAGACTTTCGTTCCTATTGTCGCTTTCATTTAGACTTTTACCACTTTGGCGAAATCCACGACAACGCATATATCATAAAAAACAAGGACCAAGGCGGTATATGATCAGAAGACCCTTGCAATGCTAAGGGAGGCAACTCTGCACAGTGAATTATGGATAACCTAATAGTTTCATTTGAAAGTAATTTCAATATTTGAATAAAGATTCAAAAACCTTTAAAATGAATGCATGGACGTTATTATACAGTTTGTATTTATTTCTCACAGGTTCTGGTATTCAGTGGTCTAACTTCGACCAGCCTGCATCAGTTGATGACAACCTGTCTCTGCTGGATGTCATGCTGATGTTACTCGTAGACTCGGCCATCCACTTGCTCATCACGTGGTATGTGGACAACGTCTGGCCGGGGGAGTTCGGGGTGCCCAAACCATGGTACTTCTCCTTCACTGTGAGTACTGACAGGTGTATGAGTACACCATCAACTGCATCATCTGTATGACGAATATCAGTAGTCTACAATGGGTTTATTTATAGTTGACCGTGTTCGCCAGTTTGACTTCTGAGAGTTTCTTGGCCTTCGCTCCCGTCCCATACTGAAGCACGTATAACATATGTGGTGTCTCAAGGATATATGGTGTCATGTACGCTGTGTGTGAGCCAATGTTCCCCGAGCCAAGGTATGCATGTTATCTAGGATGTTCCGATTGATTACCCTAAAACATGAGCGGCCTACATGAGCGGGCTTCAGGGAAGATAATTGCCCGCGCCTTTACCAACCTGAAGCTAGTATTTTAATGTAAGGTAAGATAAGTGACTATGATCGAAATATGCTCCTAAACCAACCTGAAGCTAGTATTTCAATGTAAGGTAAGATGCAACTGTTCTCTCAGTAGTGAATGGGTACCAGGTAGGATGAGATGGTAATGTGACTGTTAACCCAGCAGTGAATGGGTACCTGGTAGGATGAGATGGTGATGTGACTGTTAACCCAGCAGTGAATGGGTACCAGGTAGGATGAGATGGTAATGTGACTGTTAACCCAGTAGTGAATGGGTACCTGGTAGGATGAGATGGTAATGTGACTGTTAACCCATCAGTGAATGGGTACCAGGTAGGATGAGATGGTGATGTGACTGTTAACCCAGCAGTGAATGGGTACCAGGTAGGATGAGATGGTAATGTGACTGTTAACCCAGCAGTGAATGGGTACCTGGTAGGATGAGATGGTAATGTGACTGTTAACCCAGCAGTGAATGGGTACCTGGTAGGATGAGATGGTAATGTGACTGTTAACCCAGCAGTGAATGGGTACCAGGTAGGATGAGATGGTGATGTGACTGTTTGACCGTGTAGCGCCTGTATACTCACCCTGAGGGCACACTCATCCAGGACCGGGGTAATATAAATGTAGCGCCATGAGTATTCTCTTGTTAATTATTATAATGTGTACATATTTCTATAAGCTTCCATAAAACAGTGCCATAGCCATATTTACATTCTCAGCTCAATTCAGATATTATACATCAAAGCATAAAATTATTAATAGTTCTTCCCTTTAATGTCCGTAATCGGTCATCTTGTCCAACAATTAAGTGCTTCTTTGCGGATACCTCCAGGGACGATGCCAAAACGTTGCAGTTTTGTAATGTTTCTAAGTGTTCTCATAGCGAGACCCTACTGCGCCTAATTGGAAACATGAACAAAACACCAGATGTTTCCCGCAATAACAAAGACAAAGTGTCCTACATTTATAACACAGATATCAGTTGATTTTATTTTGCTGTTCACTAGCTACTGCTATCCTAATTCTAATTATGTATCTCGAGGTACAAATCCCTTTGCCCTGGCATAAATAGCCATATTAATTATCCCGTATACGTGCCCTGGTGCAAACAGCTGAAAAGAGACCACTATTGATTTAGCATCCAATATTATGTTTTTCCTTCAGTACTATTGCCTTAAGTTCTTTCTCAGCGATGAACGTTAACTTACTAAATATATGTAAGGAAGTGTGTGTTGGCAAGTTGTTTTCAATGCAAGACAATAACTAGCCTAGATTATCCGCGGAAACAGATTCATATTGAATGTTTCCCAACAGATCGCGTACTGGTGTGGTAGTTCGGTGCGTGTAGAGCCAATCCAAGATATTGCCACAAAACAAAATGAAACCTACTTCGAGAAGGAGCCTAATGGAATGGATATCGGGATATCCATCAAGAACCTACAGAAGGTATGACTATCATGTGATACAGCACCATCACAGTGTGGCTGATGCTTTATAACACAGTACAATATTCAATATCTTGTTTAGGTAAGACTGACTGACTGAGTATGGTTTTACGCCGCTTTTAGCAATATTCCAGCAATATCACGGCGGGGGACACCAGAAATGGGCTTCACATATTGTACCCATGTCGGGAATCGAACCCGGGTCTTCGGCGTGACGAGCAAACGCTTTAACCACTAGGCTACCCGACCGCCCCGATTAGGTAAGAAATTACCTGGTCTGTTGGTTTGTTGTTTAACGCCGCACTCACCAATATATGACGGCGGTCTGTAAATAATCGAGTGATTAATATCATGAACATCGATCCACGCAATTGGGATCGATGACATGTATCAATCAAGTCAGCGAGCCTGACCACCCGATCCCGTTAGTCGCCTTTTACGACAAGCATAGTCGCCTTTTACGGCAAGTATGGGTCATATACAAATTAAATGAAAAGCTGATCGTGAAGAACAAATAACAGCAAATGTTTGCAGAATGTTTGAGGAGAATACAGATGAAATAATTATTTGTTTTGATGAAAGGTTGAAAAGACTCTGAAAAAGTATTTTTTTATCATTTCTTTTAGGTAAGGTTGAGGAAATAATATAGAACAATAACCAGAAAATCGATCTTTCCCTTTATCGAGTATTGAGTACTAACATCTACATGTACATACTGGTGTAGGTATTTGGCAAAGGAGCCAAGAAGAAGGTAGCTGTGGACGGAATGAGTCTCAACATGTTCGAGGGTCAGATCTCTGTTCTTCTGGGTCACAACGGCGCTGGAAAAACTACAACTATGTCCATCCTAACAGGTGGGTTAAAGTTAGCAATTACAAAGATAGGCTGTGACGTCATTACACATTACGTAATCATTGGCCTTTGTAATATATCAAGACTGTTTATTTTGTTTGGTTTGGTTGAATTCTTTTTGTATAACGCCGCAGTATTCCAACCTTATGACTACGGTCTGTAAATAATCAAGTCTGGACCAGACAATCCAGTAACTGATAATGCGAGAAACAATTGTGGTCGCACGGAGTTGCGTCCCTTAGTCGTGTCATGATTTGGTGATCATTGGTTTGCACTGTTAGATTCGTCCTGGCTATGATCATTCGTATATCAGCAACATCATCGGTGCTCGGGGTTCAGCACACTGGTAAACTTTGCGATAACTTATACTTTGGACTTTCATGCTAACATGCTGAGGTGTGTGTGACATAATGTTGAAAGCCTTTTAATTGAGTAAGAATGGTTTACGCCGCGTTTAGCAAAATTCCAGCAATATCACGGCGGGGAACACAAGAAATGGGCTTCACACATTGTATCAACGCCGGGAATCGAACCCAGGTCTTCGACGTGACGAGCGAATGCTTTAACCACCAGGCTACCTGACCGCCCCCTTATGCGAATGATAACAGGTTAATGCTACTAAAACATGTCATGAAACATTGAAGTGATTGATGTACCGTAAGTAAGGATAAGTTAGGAAACATGCTCGGTTGGGCCATAATTGTCAATGGATGACATTGACGCATGGCCTAGGCCAATTTCAAGCTTATGTCTTACCATTGTTATTGGTACCAGGTGTGAAACTGCCAGGTTAAAATAGCAACCGCCCCTAAAGCCTTTTAAACTCAACTCACTCACTTGATGTGTATCATTCATAGGTTTCATCCCTGCCACTGGAGGTGCCGCTATAGTGAATGGCTTTGACATACGGACAGACATCCGAGGTGTCCGGCAGAGCCTGGGGCTGTGTCCACAGCATGACATTCTGTTTGATACCATGACAGTGACAGAACATCTTGACTTCTTCGCCAACGTAAGTACCTGTGTCCAGTTTTTGATCAATTAAGTATTTGCTTACATATTACTCACATTGGGTATTTACAGTTTTTGTAGAGTATTCAGTATATGTGTTCTCCCGTGGGTCCAGTCTGCGTATTAAACAATAATAACCACTTTTAAAATTAAATCTGCTTAAAATGGTGTTTCAGGGGACATGTTGTGTAATATTCACTACTGCAGAATTCCTGTTGATGTGATGCCTGTATTTAGTGGGCAAATAGCATCTGTAAAGAAAAATGTGCACGCAAATGAAATTCTGTTGCTGCACCATGGAGTATATTACATTATTCATAGGTGTTCACAATCAACTCAAAACGTATTGGATGATGCCGATAAATGCTTGTTTTGCATATCCTATCTAGAGTGCTGCAGTCCTGGGTGTCGGATTTAGTGTTGAGCCAATAGACATGTACTATCGTCCTAAAGTTATATTACTGCAATGTCTAAGAACATCCCTTATTTATCAAAGATGGCAGGATGTTTAATGTGGCATGAACACGACACTGAACTATTCATTTAATGGTTTCTGCCTCACTAAAACAGAATATGAACATAATTTATAGAGGTATATAGGTTATCTATCCAATTGTACAAAATACATCTAAAATACCTCCTACTACATGATGAAAGACATTATCTATATTTCATTTCTTCGGTTGTAAGGACCAGTGAGCTGTTTTGCCTTCATATCCTACCTGCCAATTATTAATGGAGATCTGTACTGCAAATGTGCAATTTGTACTGACAATACTCTTATTTATCAATCCATTTAGCTGAAAGGCTGTCCAAAGAAACACGTGAACTCGGAGGTGGAAAAGTATATCTACGAGATTGGGCTGGATCACAAAAGAAATGTCATGTCTCAGAATCTTTCTGGCGGCCAGAAGCGGAAACTCTCTGTTGGCATCGCCCTTATTGGAGGTTCCAAGGTACGTGCGGTCACTGTATATAACAACGTGTTACCGTTAAGTGTGTTTAAAATACATGGCCGACATGGGTATATTACTACTGAGAAACTAACACAGAAATATTTTTTCTGACGTTTTGCTATTCAGATCGTTATCCTGGATGAGCCGACTTCCGGTATGGATCCTGCAGCCAGGAGACAGACATGGGACATCCTTCAGAGAAACAGACAGGGCCGGACAATGCTGCTGACCACTCACTTCATGGACGAAGCTGACCTTCTGGGTGACCGCATCGCCATCATGGCAGAAGGGGTGGTCAAGTGCTGCGGGACATCATACTTCCTGAAGAAGCTGTACGGTAAGTTGGCGGGAGGGGTAGGGTCATCTTTTATCTGTGATGTTCACTTTATGCTGAGCCAGCATGCATATTTAGTATGCACCAGTACTCTTATTGTGCCTCCCTCTGCTGATCCGTCTCTTTCTGCATAGAGTCTGCTGAGATTGGCAAACCCAAAACACGAGAGTTTGGCAAAGAAACCTAACTTAAGCTTTAGGTATATCGATGATCTGATATCGTTCAATAATGGTTGGACAGCCACTGATTTACCCACCGAAAAGAGACCAGTGAAAGTGACTCATCTGTTTCATATTTAGATCTGTGCATAAAGATTCAGATTGACATAAACTATACACAAGACTGTATGACAAGAAGGATGACTTCAACGTTTCAAGAGTCAACTTTCCCGTTATGTCGAGCAATACCCCAGCAGCCCCCGGCAGGTGTCCACATTTCGCATTTTGTTAGATACAATTGTGCATGCCCTTTCAAGGAGGGTTTAACAAAGTGATATGATCGACATATTTAAAAATTTGACGCATCAGTAACCAAAATTATGTCTAATGCCAAATGTTCAGGTGAACAGTTGACTTGCCTTTTCGTGTGTTTGTGAGGGGTGCCATTTGGGTGGCAGGATACGTTAACCTTTTCGCGAACACCTGGTATCATCACTTCATGATAGTAATTCATAAACATGTGCGTTTGATATAGTAGGAATCATACAATGGACTCTGATTTTAACAGATATTTCTTATGATTGTGGAGTCTTAGACCTACATCACTTCGGGCTTTCCTCCCACATTAAACTGACATGCCGTGATATAACTTGAATACTGTCAAAAGCGGTGTTAAACCCAACTCACTCACTCACTCACTATGATTGTGGAAAGAGTTCTGTCCCTTTTATTTGTTATCATGCAATTCGGAACAATGTATCTTCATAAAAAAAACAAGGGAGGGATGACAGTTCATCAAATTTTAGTGTAGCTTCATAATAAGGTAACCAAACGTATTTGCCAACAGGAGCTGGCTACCACCTGGTGATGGTGAAGGAACCCACCTGTCAGGTGGCATCAGTGACGAAAGTTGTCCAGCAATACGTCCCTTCAGCAGTCATGGAGAGTGAGATCAATGCTGAACTCTCCTACTTGCTGCCTGATGACCAGTCAGCCAACTTTGCTGCTCTCTTCACGGAGATTGAAAACAAGGGGAAGGAACTCGGTATATGTAGCTTTGGAACTACCGCCACCACCATGGAGGAAGTGTTTCTGAGGTAAGCCTATATGTGTGAATTCATCAGTTGTGTTCCGGCTTACGTACATGTATGTGTTGTTGATTGTTTGAGATTACAAAAAAAGATACATTTGTGGGGGGTTTCTTTTAAATGTTTAGATTTGACTGATCCCAATCTTAAAAAGGGACAGGGCTAGCAAATGTGATTCAAATCCTACTTTGATATGTCTGCTTCCTCAAATCGTATGCTATTTCAACCTGTCAGTTTCACACCTTACCAACGGTAGGACATGAGCTTGAAATTGGCCCAGGCCATTCGTCAATGTCACCCATTGACAATTTTTGGCCCAACCGAGCATGTTTCCTAACTTACTTATGGTACATCAATCACTTCCATGTTTCATGGCATGTTTTAGTAGCATTAACCTGTTATCAATCGCATAAGGGGGCGGTCGGGTAGCCTAGTGGTTAAAGCGTTCGCTCATCACGTCAAAGACCCATGTTCGATTCCCGACATGGGTACAAAGTGTGAAGCCCATTTCTCGTGTCCCCCGCCGTGATATTGCGGGAATATTGCTAAAAGCGGCGTAAAACCACACTCACTTACTCACTCAATCACATAAGAACAAGACGAAATGTTGCATCAAGTTTATCTATTTCAAATATTTCAGGGTTGAGAAATCCCAAGAACAAGAACAAGAACAAGAACAAGAACAGGGTGGTTCAGCTGGCCTGAAGTCCTATGTTAATCCTGTCATGGCGATGGAAATGAAACAAAGTTCCAGTTGTAGTTATAGACTTCAAAACGTCCAGGCCAACCAGGCAAATGGTGACATTCTGGGTACGTTTATCATGTCTTAACATAATGACCTGTATTAGAAACTCCAAGCTAGTCCCAACTGTATTTGTTGAACCAAAAACGTTTTCCCGTGCTATCACGTCCTCATCCTATAACTTACAGAAGACAGATGTTGCATCGTCTTCACATGTTTGTACATTTTCTTCTATAATCAGGTATTAACAAGAAAATTATTCATACGCACTATTATTCACACGTCGACATTTCGAGTTCCGAATACCATTATTTTAGGACATTAATAACACATTCGCTTCAATATACAATATTTTAAGCAATGCTCGTTTTTATACTTATCTACTTATCTACAGGAATGTATAGGCATTAATACATTTGACGTATCTCATGCAGCATTCAACCAGGGATACAAGAGAGCCACGGGTCTGATGCTGGAATTGTCAAGATTCAGAGGAATGTTTGTGAAGAAAGTTCTCCACACTTGGAGGAACAGGACAATCGCCTTGGTACAACTCCTCCTGCCTGTCTTATTCGCAATAGCTGCCCTAGCGGTGAGCGAGGTTGAGCCTACGTTACCCGGCGAAGCACCTCTCACCTTAGACCTCGCACCCTTTGGGGGAAGCTTTGTGCCCTACAACGACGGCACCCCGGCAGTTGCTCTGACAGAGGCTCTGGGCACTGCGTATTCTGACCAGTTCGTGGGAACCGCAGACACTACTGAGAAGATGAACCTATCAAACTCAGATGCTAATGCTTACTTCCTAGCCAGAGCTAATAATCTTGGAATTGGTCAGTACAATAAGAAAATGATGATTGCTGCCGAGTATGCGTCCAACACCGTTGCTAAAGGCTACTACAATGGACAGTCATTTCACGCAATTTCAATTTCCTTGTCATACATGATGAATGCTATGCTGAAACACTTCACATCTCGAGATCATTCAATAATAACTGTCAACAACCCCCTGCCTTTTGATGAAAATGAATCATCCTCTCGGATTGCAGGAGCTGGGTTAGGAATTGGGTTCACTGTTGCCTTTTGTCTCCTGTTTGGCATGGCTTTCCTAACTTCATCCTTCGTGTACTTCCTCATCAAGGAGAGGCAGGTGGGCGCCAAACATCTTCAGAGTGTCAGTGGAGTTGGACCATTTGTCTTCTGGTTGTCCAACCTGGCCTGGGACTACATCAACTACCTGATTCCATCCCTTGTGCTGCTGGTTGTGTTTGCAGCGTTCCAGTCGCCAGCCTACAGCGACGATGGGAGGCTGGGAATCGTGTTCTTGGTTCTACTTGTATATGGACTGGCGGTGTTACCTTTCATGTACGTCCTGCAATATGTGTTCAAGTCCCCTGCTACTGGCATGGTCGTCATCATCATCCTGAATATTATAACAGGTACCAGTACTACATTAGCGTTTGTCTAATATAATATTAGTTTTTAGTTAATCTTTAGTATTTGGTGTCATATTAGGTTGGAAGAAAAATATTGGGCGAGGCGTCAGCTTTTCTACTAACGTAATATGACACCGAAAACTAAAGACACCACAACGAATCATGTCAAAACTTACAACCGTTGACGTTGAGGGTCAAAGGGTTATTACTTGTTGAAATTTGTAACTATAATCTTTATCAATAAAGACACGAACGTGACTTTGTTTCAAATTAATGTCCTTGCACATCAACATTGATGATATAAAAACACAAAACAGTGTCGATTAACGAACTTCTGTACCAGAATTTTCGTGTGAAATATGCGAGGTGGGTGTTGGTGTCTCAATTAGGTCAGTAACAACCATCTTGCATTTGTTTTGACCTTATAAGGGCTCATATGAGTTTCTGTTCTGATTGGTCAATCTTACTTTGGGGCATAATGATACTTAAAACACTGTTAAGGATCACCATATTCTTCCTTATTACCATAGTTAATCTGTCATGATTAAAATAATTTCAGTTAAACGAATCTTTGTCCTTTGTGTATTTAAGTTTCTAGTAGTGATTAATAGGGTTTCGTTGTATTAGTCATTCTTAAATTCTATGGGTGAGGCGATTACAATTTTCTTTTCAATTCATTTAAACAATGTATTTTGTATATCAGGTCTCGCCACCCTCCTCACGACATTCATGCTCAGACTTCTTGAGGAAACGGATCTGGCGATTGCTCTGGACTGGGTCTTCTTGGTGCTGTTCCCCCACTACAACTTTGGCAAGTCCATCAATGACATGTTCGTTAACTACAGCAACTTGGACTACTGCTTCGGTTCCAACTCAACCAATCTCTGTGTTGAGAAGCCTTCATGCTGTAAAGGTCAGTCTTTAAGAAAATGCAATATAACATTTCGTTTTGTGTTTCCTGATTGGCTAATAATAGAATGGGCGGAGCTTGTGTTTCCTTATTGCGTTGAACCATGTCATTGCTTTCGTATTGTCTACAGATATTTTTGTGTTAATCATTACAATTCTGAATTAATTATTCTAATTTAATTCTCTTCTCAGATTCATGTGGTGACAACTGCTTGGACTTTGCCGAGGATTACCTGGACTGGATGTACCCAGGAGTTGGCCGTTTTGTAGTCTTCATGGTGATCCAAGGTGCCGTCTATCTGCTTGTCACTCTGTTCATCGAATACAGAATCCCACAACGCATCATCTACCTTCTAGGACGCAAGGAATCTGACTCTGAGGCGTTCTCCAGAATTGAAAGCACCATGTCTAAGGACGCTGACGTCGCTGAGGAGCAACTACGTGTTAGTCGTATCTCGGCTGGAGAGCATGGGTCAGATGCGCTCATCCTTAAAGATTTATACAAGCGGTATGGTAACTTCGTTGCAGTGGACCATCTCAGCATTGGGATTCCGGAGAAGGAGTGTTTTGGTCTCCTGGGTCAGAATGGTGCCGGGAAGACTACCACGTTCAAGATGATGACGGGAGATGTAATGCTGACAAGCGGGAACGCTTTTCTGTGGTCATACGACATCAAGAATAATACCCAAAAGGTACTTGATCATTGTTCTAGAACGTTGAATTTCATCTTTGAATAGGTTTTGCAATAAGAGAAACATATAGTCTTTGATAGTCATTTAGAAGTTGGAACAACATGAATACATGATATTCTTTTATGGATCACAACTTATTTATTCTTCATTCTATTTGAAACGTTGTTACAAAGGATAAAGGAGTTCTTATCCATAAAAAAGGTGTCATGTATGTATTATTATCATAGATTATTGAGCAGCACATCATTTACTACAGGTGCAGGAGAACATGGGCTACTGTCCCCAGTTTGATGCTCTGATTGACCAGATGACAGGACGGGAGACTCTCACCATGTACGCCAGACTCAAGGGAGTCCCGGAGAGCCGCATCAAAGGCGTGTGTGACAACCTGCTGGATATCATGTTGCTTGCACAGTACGGAGACAAACCTGCCGGAACATATAGGTACTCACTACACCCAAAATGTCAATGAGAAGCTGTTGTTGTTGTTTTTTATGCCATTAGCAACATTTATTAATCCATCTGCGGTCGTATGTGGTAATATTCGATAATGATTGTTGGCTGCCCTTGGTTAGGGAGGATTACAATGCATTCGTACAACCAAAGCTGTTTGACGTCAGCAGCCTGGAGGACGAGTCAAAAGAGGATTTTGTAAGGAGACACCGTAGGGCTTCCAGTCCATATCAATATAGGAGTTATATATAAGTACATATTTTTTACATATTTGTTTTACATATTCGGATAAATCTTAATAACAGTTCGTTTCTAAGAGAAATATCATTTTGGGCATATAAAGCCTGTTGTAACTTGACATCGACATTTTTTGAAGAGAGAAAAGTAATAAAAGGCAAAGCGTTCTGGTATCAACTCTTTTCTAAGATCACAATAATGAGGACATAGAAAAGTAAAGTGAAATTAAAGTTTACTTTTCTTTAACTGAATGACATAATGGGCATAGTCCCTTCCATTTGTCGGTAGGCTAGTTGATTCCCCCTCACATTAAAACCAAAATTCTTTCAGAGCGGCCATAAACCAATTTTACACTCCCTTTCTTGTTTATAACTATCCAGGATAACAGTGACTAGACATATTAGATTTCTGCGTTAAGAGTGTTCATGCATCAACTATTGAACTACCACTTACTTTTCTTGAAAGATCTCGAATAAAGTAACATTGGTACTGAAATATTCCATCAATAGTTTACATGGTATCTTTATAGTGGTGGTAACAAGCGTAAGCTGAGCACTGCCATCGCTCTGGTTGGAGACCCGGCCTTCATCATGCTGGATGAGCCGTCCACAGGGATGGACCCCAAGGCCAGGAGGCAGCTCTGGAACGTCCTGTCAAAAGTCCGGGAGTGCGGCAGGACCCTGGTGCTCACGTCTCACAGGTAATCACAAAAAACTTGTTTTAAGTAAACCGATCGATCTGCTTTGATTTTCGGTGGCAGATTTAGGATAGAACAGGGCTCCAGAATCACATGCTTGTTGAAAGAGACTATTGACAAAGATAGAATGGTAGCAGAGTTGCCTGACTACTTGTGTGACACAGGTTTGCCAAGGCAGATTCGACTGTAACCTTTTCGGACAGCTTGTCATAGTATGAACATTGCTAACTGCGATGTAAACAAACATTCACTTACTTCTATTCCATAGTGTTTCTTCAGCAAAATACCAGCAAAAAGATTTCTTGCTTGTCGTTAGAGGCAACTACCCGGATCGGGTGGTCAGGCTCGCTGACTCAGACTCGATTATTAACAGACCGCCCTCATATAGCTGAAATATTGCCTAGTGTGGCGTTAAACAAAAATAAAATCATAAGCTAAAGTAATTATGATTAAATGATTAAGAGAGGATACCTCCTTCTATATTCCATTCATTAATTTCAGCATGGAGGAATGTGATGCCCTGTGTACGAGACTCGCCATCATGGTTAATGGGCAATTTGTCTGCTTGGGAACGCCACAGCATCTGAAGAACAAGTTTGGCCAGGGGTACACACTCATCGCCAAGATGGGAAATGTCACGGTGCAATTAGAAGCTTCAGAAGAAACTTCACCAGCGCCTACACAACCCCTGATAGATTTCCTGGTGTCTACATTTCCTAACACAAAAGTGTTTGACGACCACCAGGGCTACGCCCACTTCCAGGTGCCCGACACCTCCGTGAGTCTGGCCCAGGTGTTCACGTCCATGGAACAGGCTAAGGGGCAGTTTTTTGTTGAGGACTATTCCGTCCATCAGACAACACTGGAGCAAGTGTTTCTTACCTTTACTCGAAGTCAGAACCCACCGAAAGATGACAACACGAGCCTCTGTAAAGGGATATGCTGTTGCTGAATGAGATTGGATTATAAAGTTTGAAATAGGCGTAGCAGTGTTTGTAAGAAGTGTAGGAGTTTGAAAGAGGGTTGGGTTATGATTGTGTTAGGACGCTTGAAAGGGATAGGAAAATTTTAACGATAGAGATAAGACGTTAAATGGGGCGTACAGGAGTATTAAAAAGGATAGTGAAGTTTGAAAGAACGATAGTGAAGTCTGGAAGGCAGCAAAGGGAGGGACTGCTTCAGTCTAATTCAATTTTAATCCAGCTTACTTTGCATTTTTCATCGACACAGTTTATGAAATGGTTTGTATTTGAAGCCTCGGTGAACAACAGGCTATTTTCTTTGATTCTGTGGTTTTGTTTTGGTATGATGGTCTTCAGCACTGGAAGATGATGTTGCCTTAGAGAAATAACAGTTTACATTCAATATTTCGTCAATGTATGAGGTAGCCATTGTTGTGCAAATATTCAACACCGTGGTCTATTTTTTATTATATTTCTTGTCCTGAACGGTGAATTGGTGGAGTGGTACTGTTACACTGTCAGCACTGTGAGTCACGTTTAGAATGTGATTATAAATGAATGGATCAAATAATATATATTTTTCAAATTTCTTTTGTCTCGTTACACAGGTAAATCAATATTTTGGCTGTCTGGACAGTGGTCACGGCTGTCTGGGCAATGGTCACGGCTGTCTGGACAGTGGTCACGGCTGTCTGGACAGTGGTCACGGCTGTCTGGGCACTGGTCACGGCTGTCTTGACAGTGGTCACGGCTGTCTGGACAGTGGTCACGGCTGTCTGGACAGTGGTCACGGCTGTCTGGGCAGTGGTCACGGCTGTCTGGGCAGTGGTCACGGCTGTCTGGACAGTGGTCACGGCTGTCTGGACAGTGGTCACGGCTGTCTGGGGCCTGTTACGGAGATTGGTGACACGGATCCACCAGTTCTGTGCTGGTGACGTCACACAGACGTCCTGAACGGGGACAGTCTTGACGAGGTTGTTGTCTTGGACTCGTCACATCGGCGATGAAGTGGTATTTCTGAGGCAATGGAAGCAGTCGGCCACCTCGCGGTACGACGTTCCACCTTGCAATATTCCAATGACCTGATAGCGTTCGGCAGTTTAATCGTGCCGTGACGTGTTTCTCCTGAGACGTTTCATGTGCTGAACGATGGAATGTCCAAAGGCTGTCCTTTTAACCGGGAACTGGTGGCCCGGATGAACTGTATGAGCTGGTGCATGCTCAACAGCGGTTTCCTGTGCTCGTGCTGTTGTCCGTGACGTCACACAAGATGGCCTGTTGCATTCTTATTGGATTAATCTTACACTCTGGGGTTTACGTCTCTCGTCATTACATATTTCTATCTGACATTTAATTTATATATTTGATATGAACAGTTTTGGGTGCTAGTATATATTTTACGAATATGATGTCAGCGCAAAGGTTCAGCTGTCGGGGTCATTGGCGACAAGGTACAACAGAAATGTACCCCAGGTAACTTTCTGCATACACAGAGGTACCCAAAATCCGAGTACAAAATGTACAAGATAGAGTTCAAGGGGGTTATGGAAAATAGCACACTTGACTTTATAAAGGGTACGTGACATTTTTCGAGCATTGTGAAAATAGGCATTGGGTACAAATATTCCCAAGCTTGGGTGCATTTATGTATACAGAAAATTACATGGGATACAATTCTTTGGTAACTGTGTCGACAACGACATCGTGTGTAATGTAAATAATCCAACCTTCTCCTTGTTCTTAAACAACTACAATGTATATTGTGATTCCCATGGCATTTTCGCATCAAGCGAACAAAACTTAGGCCACACCCACTTGTGGACTACTGCTTCCTGATTGGCTTACTATTGGGTGGGCGGGGTTAGGGTTACATTATTGAGCCGAACGGTGTCACTATTGCTGTCTACAGATGTGTGTTAAAATAAGTCTGTGAAGTTAATATAGTGGACTTATTATTTATTTATAGGAATTGACTTCAATATGTTTTAGAGTTTGAAGTAAATTCTCAAATATTTCGTTATTATTAGTCTGCTGCAAAATACTCAATACAGTAAAACACACAATCATTAAATATGTGAATTATTGTTATCGAAGTCCCAAACGATTTTGTCCTTATTCTTAGTGTGTGAAGTAATTTTAAGCTGTCTGTGATATGATCTGAATGGTAATGTTATACCGTAACTTAGATGTGAATCTGTAATTCTAAATTCTTTGTTATTGAATAAATAATAAACAATGAATCTTTGTATCATTAGATATGATTATCCTGGTTTTCAATAATTACGCAAGTAGAAGACAATGAACTCTTCCTACGGAGGCCTTGAGTGGACAAGTAAGTGAGTTATGTTGTACCTTGCTGTCAGCTAAATGGTACACATGTGGAGGGCATTTCCACTTTGACGTATCAGTGACAAAATTTAGGTCCGATGCATTTCTCTATTTTGAGTCGGAACGTATGTTCCTGTGTTAATCAGGTGAACAATTAACTTGCCTCTGCGTGTGTTTGTGGTGGGCAGGATACGCTAATATTTTCGAGGATGCCTGGTATCATCACTTTTTGATGGTGATTCATGAACACATGCTCATGATATAGTCGGAATCTACAATCGTCTGCTTTTAGCAGAAATATTAATAAATATTGACGATTGATGCTCGAACGGACACAAGACTGCTTGTAGTCTTTGGTGTGTTCTTGTAAATACGATTTCAGACTCCGGGAACACTTTCATTGTTACATTTATCAAAATTTATCCATATCATAATAAATATCGGCTAAGAGCAGATTTCATTGTACGATTCTGCCTTTTTGAGGAACATGTGTTCATGAAACACGATTAAATGTTAAATAAGTGTTGACGAAAAGGTGAGTGTATCCTGCCCAATCGGTGGCACCCTTCACATGCAAAGGCAAATCAATTGTTCACCTGAAGAAACACGGGAACATAGGGTACAAGACAAAATAGGGAGTTGCATCGGACATCATGTTCATAACTGATGCGTCACAAATGGAAATGTCCTCCATATGTCCCCCATAAAACTTTTTGAACGCTTTACCTAGGATTTCACCTACCGAGCGCCAGACGGGGTAAAGGGCATACGTATTAATATCTTACGTCTCCATGTACAAACTGTTGTCTTTATTCTCCTTGTTGATATGTATGGTTCAGTCCTTAATGTCTCAAAAATGTATCTTTAGTCAGTGTTCTATGCTTGCCTGAGCCGAAGGTTGCTTTGTGCCGGAGGCGCAAGGGCAATCGTTGCGCTACCACTGTTAGCTCGTGGTAAAGTATGGGAGTCTTGTGGAACCAGGCCCTGGTCTTCTGTTTGACAAGCGTGCTCTATAACCAGTTGGAAATGTAGATGCATTCATCTTACCAATACTTCAATAATAACATCAGACCAACTCTGGAGATGTAATATTGGATAATACAAGAAACAGTAATTACAAATAATTCATGGGTAATGTTCCTTCTCATCATGTCTTATTTTCATCTTTTCCTACTCCTATCCAATGTGAGTTGGGTTTGACCAGGCTCTGATAAGTATTTGTATCATAGTGTGTCAGCTCAATATGAGAGAATGTCAAATGCTGCAGGTCTTTGGTGAAAGCCACAGGTAGGGTGCTGACACACCACAAGGATCATTATCAGGAAGGATCAGAGATTGGAACCCATGCTCCTGACCCAGCTACATACTGTAACCACCAAATCCCCTTCAGTTAGCTTTTAAGGCAATCATGGGGCATTGGCGAACCATTCGCCCCCACAATGCCTGTCATGGTGAATGGTTGATGACCCATTTAAGCTCCTGAGGTACGTTGGCACATAGGTCACAACAGGGAGTTAGTCAACTGTGCTGCACAGTAGCCACATGGTGCCTATTTAAGATAAAAAATCAGAAACTAGCAAGGGACCTTAGCAATATCACGGCGGGGGACACCAGAAATGGGCTTCACACATTGTACCCATGTCGGGAATTGAACCCGGGGCTTCAGGGTGACAAGCGACCGCTTTAACCACTAGGGTACCCAACTGCCCCTAAATCAGAAACTAAGATCTTCAAGCAATGATTCCAGACGAAAAATGAATGGAGACAAGATATTGATAATGTTTCATAACTGTGCATTTATTTTTTTCACTATTCAACAAATATTTTTGTGAACTGCTAATTACATATGTATCTGTCCAAGTCCCTTTAAAATTGCTAAATACCAATATCCTCATATTCTTGAAGTTCTGCAAAGCAAGTCAGAAAGTAAGACCTATCATTAATGATATATTTGCAAAAGGTTAACAAACCTAATGTTAAGAACACAGCAGAAGCAAGGAAACGCTGAAGAATTCATATAATGCCTGTTAAGTCATTTCAAATAGTTATTGAGAACGTTCGTAGTAAAAAGTGATCACATAATATTTTGACATTGTTTCTTTTGATTACAGTTCCAAATACAACATGAGAACATTTTCATGTCTTTGAAACAGATGTGCCCTTTGATTATTTTTATTATGGCAACAACAAATCTGTTTGCACATTAGACTGGGTGAGTGAGTATGGTTTTATGTCGCTTTTAGCAATATTCCAGAAATATCACAGCAGTGAGTGAGTATGGTTCTACGCTGCTTTTGGCAATATTCCAGCAACATAACAGCATTGGACATCAGTAATGGGCTACACACAGTGTACCCATGGCGAGGAATCGAACCCGAGTTTTCCTCATGAGTGAACGCTCAAACCACTAGGCTACCCAAGCTCCCCTTGCACATTAGCTAAGCCACCAGTAATCTATTCTACACATTTCAAACGTTTGTGGTTGTCAAATACGTTGTAATTTACTACCCTTTAAAGTTTAAACTCAGTAAGTTAACCAAAACATAAGTCTCTTTAACACAAGAAAAACAAATTTCATTAGCATCGACATGGATTGCATTTCAAAGGCTCAGTCCCAGAGTATTGTTTCACAAAGCGATCAAAGTGCAATGACTGCCTTAAATCTATGTTAAAATATGGGAGTTACGATTGTCTTTGCACTAAGACCACTTTGTGGAATGGGGCCCTGGAGTTGACCAATGTCTTTCAGCACCTAACTCATGTGGTGTACTTGGTGTAATCAAAACATCGTTCCTCATAATTTTACATATACCCGGTACTCATTTCCTTCAAAAGATGGATAACAAAGATGATTAATTACATGTGTAAGTAAATCCTTGTTATTAACACCCACTTACAGTTTTACCAATGTACTTTGTCAAGCAATGTTGCATACAGGATTAACACCAACGAGGTTTTGCAAGTTCTTTTATGAAAACTTAAAGCTTACACATTTAAGACTGCAAAAAGAGATGGCCAAACTAAGCCCATCCGCATTCATTATCAACATGCTTCACTGTCCTTGTCGCTGATTCATGTCATTTACAAGTGCATTGGGGCACATGCAAGAACTTTCAGTACAACTTTATGGGAACTTTTTCGACCAAAATCGTGATGAGACAGTGAAACTGTGATCATTAAATTTCATGGTGGGTACAGTGAAACTGTGATCATTAAATTTCATGGTAGGAACCATTTTGGACATTTGGTACTATTGCTTTGAAATAAGTAATGTTGACAGTATGGTTAAAACTTAGTTGATGATGCACATAGAAACAACATTTGGCTCATGTGCACAACATTAGTTTATAACACTTAAACATAACATTAGGCAATAAATTTCATAAAACTGTATAGTTTTGTTTGCAAAAGAGATAAATTGTGTAAACCGGTTTCACTATCAAAATTGCTTAAATCAAAACAAATCATAATGTAAAGTAGATGATAAATTGGCTGCAACAAAAAATAACAGAAATAAAGTGTTTTGGTATGGTTTAGGTCACTTTCTTCAATATTCCAGCCACTGCAAGGAAACACCGGGAACGGGGTACACAATGTAGCCATGAGGAGAACAAAACCCAAGTCGTAGGAACTACAAGCAATCCTAAAGCTACCCATTGCACTAATTCAAACCAAGAAGGGTATATAATATCAAACAACTTTAATACTGACATGGACCTAAAGAAATGGACAGACCGCTTCAGATCTACCAATAACAAACATGTCAGAAATCAGCAGGAAACAGCCATGCAATAACAAAGGCAACTGCTCATCAACAACTGTAAGTAACATAATTATTCACGTAAATAATGAATGTCAGATATAGTAAAGTATTTTTCTACTTTACCACCAGCATAACCATTCCTTTTAAAAAATCATTTTGATAACATCTCATTTCCAATGTGAATGTAATAAAGTTCCTAAACTTATTGACTAGCCACGAGACCTGAGCATATTTATTCAAGACTACTGGTATTAGTCCTCAGCAGTTAATGAAATCTTGACTCTCCACATTTTCAGGCTGCCCTTGTCCCCTGATGCATTATTTTTATTATGAATTCTACTGACGAAATCACATCTACAGTCTCAATTCTGAATGTATTACACATTATCATCTGTACCTAGGGGGCACGGGGGGCCCAGTCGTCTAAGGCGCCGCGATTCACTGTGCAGAGTTGCGTCCCTTGTTCATGCCAGAAACCTATGATTGTGGGTTCGAATCCCGGTTCGCCCCGATTATGTTTCTAGGTTTGTCAGCACCATACCTGTGCTCTTGGGTTTCACTGAAGAGGTAAACGTCTGAGACCTGCATCACTTCAGGCTTTCCTCCCACATTAAGCTGACACGCTGTGATATAACTGGAATACTGTTAAAAGCGGTGCTAAACCCAACTCACTCACTCACTCATCTGTACCTGCATATAAGCCAATATTATTCATTACAAGGATAACATATATAATCATTTAAATAAATAATAAATTACTAACTGGGAAAAATTGTTACATGTATTTTTTTGGGGGGGTGGGGGAAACAAAGCCTGGTGCCCTCAAAGTTTCACAAGAAGCTTCTTATGAGAAACACTGTTTTCATTTTTTATGGACTAACGAACTTTCAAGCCTTACTTCTACATTATAACCAAGATATTCAATATTCACAAACATATTCATTCTTTGTAACAAATTCAAAATATTTTGAGCCAATATGCTCAAAACAATTTCAGCGAGATATTTTCAGATTCCCACAAAATAACCCAGTCTACTGCTAGAATAGCTGCAACAGTGCAGCTTTTAAACAAGAAGTTGTTATATCCTTAATATTCTTAAAAACCCATAGAAATGATCAAGAGGACAAACATGAGTGATACAATATCTGTTGATTTATACCATTTATATAAGTTGGTATTGTTATGGCAGTTAGAAGACTTGTCATAAGCACCAGACATAATGAAATATATAAATGCACAGTTTGATTTGCATACAACTTTCTCAATTGAATATCAGCCAGATTCACATTATGCAACAGAAGCAATTGCTATTCACATTCTATTCTCACGCCTATTCACAGACGTGCTAGTGAAGTTTAAATAAGTTTACAAAAATAGTTTCTACAACAAGGTACAGTGGCCTGCTTGACAACTCAGAGCACCATTTAAAAACCATGTAAAACAGTTTATGCGTAGTCTCACAAAGTAACATGATCGATGGAAAACAAGACATGAAGCTGACCCAAACAAGAGAACTTCAGCTGAAAGAATAAATTTTTCAGTGAGTGATTCACACTAATTGTTACGTACAGGCATAAAATACCTCCACGTAACAGTTAAAATTACCAAGTGTTTGTTGTACAAACTGGGTTAAAATATAAAAATATTCAATTAAAATTAGTTCAACTATTCTTGCCTCATTTATAACAGTTCATTTTTCTTTGTTTGTTATGAAATGGCATGATTATTCAATAATTCTTACACTTCTTTGTCTGTTATCACTATAGTTTAGTGAAAATATCGATTGACAGGTCAGGTCAGTTCATTTTAGGAAAGTTTAGTTTATCCAAGACAAACCCTATTTAGCATGTTAAGATTGTGATGGTATGTAAAATGTGACTGCTAACATTTCCTATCTCTTGTTACTTTCATTAATATGGCAGTCAATTGTAGAGAACTGAAACTTTATAAATTCATCATCACTCTCAGAAATATTCATGTCATTTAAAAGTAAGATAGAAATTGGTAGATTACAGTCCTAATCTGACACTGGCATGTAATAAGATTGAATGTATTACCTCGATATTTCCGATTGAAGCTCATAATCGAGAAAAGTGTTTCTACTTTACATACTTAAAAAGGCTATCGTGTTTTACAATTTTTAAAACCTTTTTCCCAAATGCCAATAAATAATGTCACTGATAATATATTACAAACAAGTATAGATAAAATCCTATCATGATAAAAACATTAGAATCAGTATTGAAGGAGAATCTGAAAACTGACTTTCTCTGTCTGGCTATCAATATGCATGTGTCAACAATCTGAATACTTGATGAGTGGTGATGGGGTTGACGATATTTCCCATTAATCATTTCAAATACACGAAAGAAGACAACTTTTTTTACAATCAATGATTGACAATTCCAAGAAAATATTATCTCCCTTGAAGTAATTTTTCTGGTAAGTTTAAACCTTCTAAAATAAACTTTGACTGGGTTAAAGAAATAATCAGAAGTTTCAATTATTGATACGCTCATAACTATCAAATTAGATTCTTTCAACTTTACTCCACATAAATTAAAATAGTGAAATGACCTACACTTGCTTCAGCATCACCAAACATCTCGAGTTACTTCAATTTGAAAAATTATGCATCAAGAACAATACTGGATTTCATAATTACTTGACTGAGAACCAAGTTTTCATATCCTTAAAGCTGTCTTGGTCAATTCATTCCTTACAGGCCCCGCCCAGTCAGTATTACAATGTCAGGAATATCACACTGTGTGTGCATCCTAGTGTCACTTATATGGAACCAAAGTCTAAGACAACCCAAAGTACACAGCCCTTGTAAAAGTTGCACCTAATGCCATATAATCACAAAAGTGTATACCAGTAACTAAACATGAATGGCTTCCTTACTTGGACTTGATTAGAAAACATACTAGTTTTTCCATTAAGTAACAAAATGAATGGTTTCCCTGGTATTTTTGTCCAAGATTACCTCACAATGCAGTTGTGGTGTTTCTTGTCATTTGTCGTTACTCCAACATTAAAGAATGTTTGACTGTTCTGTGCATTAAGCTGTATTAAAATATTACTTTAATAACATTTTATTTCTTATTAGATGATTTGCTCTGAAGACATTGGTTAAGAACTAAGAATGTATTATTTGAAAAAAAACCTAACAAACTGTTTTGAATATGAGACAAATTAAAAAAACTTTTTGTCTCCAAGTAGACAACATGAACCAAAAACCTTCCAGGGTAATTTTTTTGCCAAATATGGCGCTAACGATTTGCTAGTATGATTCTCCTAATATCATCTGAATGTTACTGTGTTCACGTTAAAAGTTTCAAGAACATTTTCACAAGGGTTCCTATATAAGTAACCCAAACTGCCCTATTTAGCTTGGTACTTTGACAATGCCGCTATGAGATTAGATAGGGTAGGAATAACAAAGTCTAGTTGTGAACTCGTTTGTAGAAAAGAATATAAGCATTCTCGCGTAGTTCTCTAGTTGTCAGCTCATATTCCATGTTCACTTCCGCGACATTCTCGTCATCAAACCGATACCACTTGTCATCCACCAAACAGTAACTGATGTAATGGCCATGGTTTGTGCTCTCAGCTCCAAGGTGGACGCAGACGCTGAAGAGGTTGTACGAGTGGTTGAGGTCGATAGCTGTGAGATCTTCTCTTCGCGTCACTGTGTCATAGATGATGTTGGTCAGGTTGAGATCTTTGATACGAATGCTAACAGGCGCTTTAATCTTCCTGGACCTACCAGTGCGCTGGTTGTAGGTAAATCTCATTAGCTGAATAGCCAGGCACTCAGGTAACTGTCTTAAAAGGCACCGTCGTTGCACGTCTCGAATATGCTGCCGAGTTTGGTTCCCAATCCCCTGACAAGCCTCAATGATGGGAGTGGAGGTTTTGAAGATATTGTCATGGAAACCACTATCATTAATAACGTCCCTCTGCCCGACGATGGGGGACATGAAGGCTGGAGGGGGAGCTGGGCTTTGAACTGCCGAGTCAATGCTCATGTTCCGTGTCACACTTCTAGTCCGTGGCGTGCTAGACATATACACATCATTCACTGCGTTCTTCTTCACCTTCTTCTTGCCCTTATTGGCATCTGCTCTACAAAATGTGCAGTCCATTTCATCTGGCCCCATCAGATGCTCTATATGGCAGAAACTAGTGAAACAGTCTTCTAGATACACCACCCCTGAGACTTCCCGTGGTGCTGCGATGGGGACAGGGAGGATGTTGAAAGCTTGAAGGTTCACAGATATGTGGTTGTCTGTTAGACAGTGATAGGCCTCTACAAGCTGCCCAGTGAAGAGATCATCTATGATAGATTCATTTTCCTGCTTGTGCTGAAGCCACTCCAAGTCAGAAAGACGCTGTATTGGCTCAGCATAAGAGTCGTTCTCAAGTCCATTGGCAAGCTCAATCTAGAAATTAATTCAAATAAACAGTAAGTAATTTTGTGTGATGAGATCAAATTTGATGTGCATATTTTTGGACAAAAGAGATTTTCATATTATTAAGTGTAAAGGTCGGAGTGAAATATAGCATACCCGGTAATGGATGAGAAGAAGGTTCTCAGGAGTATTCTATTTTACTGTTATACAGGAATATATCTTATAAATTGTGGTAACAAAAATGAATATGATTGATGCAACTTAAAGTTTTCCCCTTTTTCATTCTAGTGCGAGACTAAATTTCACATTAGGTGAGTTGAAAAGGGGCATGTGTGTGTGTGGCTGCTTGGACAAGTCAGTGCAGGCCACTGAGACACTATGCTGCATGTATACCCCACTCTGACCCAGCATACTGACAGTCATTGTTTTATCCCCTTAATGGCAAGCACCAGGCAGGGTAACAACAAGTACCAAATATTAACATATTTTGGTATTATGCGGCCAGAGGATCAAATCACCAACCTTCTGCTCTCATGGCAGACATGCTATCCACTACCCCACTGGCTGTTAACCAAGACAATTAATGTATATCAGATGAAAATGTAACCCCTATAGCAGGGTTAGAATTTAATTGAAAAGCTTTACTAGCCCGGGTAAAGATAAAATGCCCTTGTAATGTTAAAACAATGGGGAAATTGGGCAACTGTACTAGCCTGCTGGAATTTGTACTAGCCCCTGCTGTAGACACAGAAACAGATAGTGGTCATCATAGTGACATCACCCGTGACAGAAGGGGCGTGTCAAGCTCACTCAAGCTCTCAACATGTTTCAGAAGCATAAACCTGATTAAATTGGGCTCTAACAATACATTTGATACCATACATATCTTGATAGTAAGGTCATAGAATGATAACATATGATACATGAAAACTGTACACTTGACATATGAAGGTAACATTTTGATCATCAAAGAAAACAAATAGTAGAAAACAAATAGTAGCAACAAACTATATATTTGGGTCAATTACTAAAATTACATAAGTGTGTCACATGTCGCATGAGGGCTTTTGTGCATTATTCACTGCAGTTGAGTACAGGAATAGGTGATGCCTGCATTTGATTAGTAAATAAAGATGTGTAAAGATATTTAGGTGTGCAAGCCTGCATTTGATTAGTAAACATGGTAAACAAAGAAGATGTGTAAAGATATTCTGGTGTGCAAGCCTGCATTTGATTAGTAAACAAAGAAGATGTGTAAAGATATTAGCGCATGTGTAAATATATCAGCGCAAACTTTGACCGACCAATGGAATGACAAATCAGAAGGCAGCTTTCTCGTGCTTTACGGCACTAATTTCAAATTGGCGACTACGCTTCGAAACATATTTTGACAAATTCTCGATTACAAATTTGAAACCTGAACAAAAGAACATTCTGGAATGGCTAAGAGATGGTCTGGATTGTATGGATTCGGTCTTAAAACCTGTAACTATCGTTTTGAGTTAAAGTTTTCCAGGTTGCATGATCAGAAATCCCATTCTGACTGTCACTTTCATAATCTGGTAAGCGATGCTCTGATTGGTCAGATGAAAGGTCGTTTTGATGTGACCCCTAATGGGATGTCCTCAGATCTTTGTATAGCGGTAGCGAGAACTGAGGTCTGATTTTAATGAGATTGCTTCTAAAGAGACAATTACCTCTCGTCTACACGCATCCTTAAGGTCAAGTATTGTCCGAGAGTTGAGGTCACCGTAGATGAACTTTAGCACTGCCAATGTTGGGCTTGAAAACCGCTCCTCACCCCTCCGTGAGCCATTGGTCTTGTCTGAAACAGGGGAGTACACACTGCATGGAATCCAACACTAGCATCCATCATCGCATTGACTCTCGGAACACAAAGCATGATCCAGCATTCTTTCAAAACTAAATATTGCATATTTCAAAAGATTTATTGCTTGTTTAATAGTACTGCATGATAAATCAGTGTGGATCAAATTTCCCATTATTTCCATCCTACCAGGGTCAACATGATCAATGTATTTGTGTTCATGCATTCCTGTATAAAAGAATTGAATTCGGCAAGAAACAAAACTACTCAAAGATATGTAGCTCACAAGGTGTTCAAAGAGCAAATAGACAAAATTCTCAATTATCTAAAGTAAAATCATACAGGTCAATAAAGGTTCAAAATACAATAATAAACGCCGCAGGTTAAATAACAGTGTAGGTGAAAAAATGGTAAATAATAGGAAATGATCCAAAAAGACATTTTCAAAATATGATTTGTGTATGTTTTAATCAGATTCAAATTCTGTCTACAAGTATTTATGTATTATTTAGAAACACCTTTGCCTGCAAGTTTCAACATAAGCATTATGATTTCAGGGGGCATGTTAAGTTTCAAGGTTGTTACAAAGACTGATGAAGAACACTTCATCATGACAGAGGCCACATGACCCTTTGATTCAGGTCAGCTGAAAAAGTATCTGTAAATTTCCATAATGATCATACTGAACATGCTGGAATTATTCTATGGTTTGATTAAAGTTGATGACACATTCTCTGGGACACCATAACAACCACCATTATTAATATCTTAACTTACATTTACAGACATAAAAGACAAATAAGAAAAACTATAACCTAATATGCTACAATCTAACAGAAACAGTAGCAAGCATGCTCTCCACAGTGTACTTGACATGCAACAACTGACAATCAATACATGATCGGGGCAAGAGAGTGCAGTTCCAAACCAATGACTGTTAAGTTGATCAGTATTGATCGAGTGAGTCAGTGAGGAAGGAGGGTATACAGTTAATGCTGGAGCTATGAAAAGGTTGTGATATTTAAATCTTGCTCACACAAAAATGTTAAAAAAACTGCATGCTAGCAAAGTCAACCATGAAATACATTTTGTCAATGAGGAAGTGAAAATGTAGTTTACTGTGAGAACATTGAATGTTTTTGTTGACACTGGCTAACAGTAATTTCTATCTCAGTGTACATGGTGTATAACCTTATTTGTTTGTTTGTTTGTTGCTTACAGACACATTCTTTCTGCCAGCTACTTTTCCAGATTGAAGACAAACCTATGACGCCTTTATTCACTGGATATGAGTAAATGAAAAAAGCAAATAAATTTTGTTGAAAATTGAAAACAGGTTGGTCATCTAGGTTGCAGGAATCTGTTCAGTTTTGACAAGTTTGACATATATATTCTTTAAGGCATTTTTACCATATAAGAAGATGTAAAAATAAGTCTAATTTGTGCGATCTTGAATAACATGTGATGCATCAGAGGGTGACTGTCAGTGTTACAGCTGTATCATCCAAGGCCTGTACAGTTATGGATTCTAGGACTTTGACTTTGAGCAATGACCACAACTATCAGGATACAATGTCGATCAGGTATTTGTCAAATTTGTCAAGTGGTCTAACCCAGTAAACTACAATTTTATTTCTCTTTGACAAATTAACCTGAGAAATGATTCATAGTGTGTGCAAAGGCTGTATCAATTCACTTTGTTGCAATACAATATTATCTCAATGTGACCATTAGGTGCTGTGATATGATACAATTACAATGTATGCAAACACGACACTTTTCATGTTAAAGACACTATTAACTGCTGCATTGCAAAATGCAACTCAAAGCAATATTTACTTATTCATTAGAGTCAAGAAATATTTACTCATTCATTAGTCAAGCAATATTTACTCAGTCAATACTTATAGTCAAGCAATACTTACTCATTCATTATAGTCAAGCAATATTTACTCACTCATTCATTATAATCAATCAATATTTACTCATTCATTATAGTCAAGCATTTTTTACTCATTCATTATAGTCAAGCATTTTTTACTTATTCATTATAGTCAAGCATTTTTTACTCACTCATTCATTATAGTCAAGCATTTTTTATTCATTCATTATAGTCAAGCATTTTTTACTCATTCATTATAGTCAAGCATTTTTTACTTATTCATTATAGTCAAGCATTTTTTACTCACTCATTCATTATAGTCAAGCATTTTTTATTCATTCATTATAGTCAAGCAATATTTACTCATTCATTATAGTCAAGCAATATCTACTCACTCGTTCATTATAGTCAAACAATATTTACTCATTCATTATAGTCAAGCAATCATACATTGCGTAAGATGCATTCACAATTTGAGTCATATTCAGAAAGACTGGAGAACGATTTACATACCATTCATCATCCTCAATTATCCAAGTAACTACACCAGTGTATTAAATCTGTTATAATCTACTCTTAGCTAGAAAATCCTGAGCCCTGTTCCACAAAACGATCCAAGTGCTGCAACTGTTAGAAGTCTATGCTAAAATATGGGAGTTTTGATTATCAGAACACAGATGCATGTCCTTATCAGCGTATGCTCACAATATCAGCTGTAGTTGAGGGCGTACACAAGCCAAGTACTGGTAACATCAACAATCATTTCAATCATGATAGAACATTGTCACGGCTAACACCTGGACCCACTTGCACAAAGCAATCTTACTTCTTAGCGCTAAGACTATCGTAAGCCTATGTCAAAGTATGGGAGTTCCAGTCATCTTTGCACTAAGATCACTTTGTGCAAGTGGGCCCAGGGCATGATTTAAGGAACTTGATTTCACTTGCCCCAGATGCATGTTGACATGAAAGCCTAGTTGCACCAAACAAAACCAGGTTGCACCCTGGTCCTATACATTTATGAAATTGATGTACTAACTGTCTAAATAATTACAATTTCAGATATCTGATGAATGTGTTGTGACGTTCTATACAATTAGTACTTACAACTGTCATGTGATTTATTATCAGCAGCTGAACTGCTTGTGGTAATGGTCTAAAATGTCTTTATTGACTTTTGCTTCATGCTTGTCATGATTTTCAATCATAACGTCGAAGAAAGATTAAGGAACAACACTAGCTTGTGCTGGACATCTAGGCTGATAAATCATATAAATTAATGACTTATTGCTGTAAAACGCAATGCACATAATCTTGTAGTACCCACGGTTTGATGACGTCAAGCCAATAAAAGCATGACAAATTAAATATAAAACAGGGATTAATCAATACTCATGTAGTATTGTAAATAAAGCTTAGAGGTATTGAGTGTGTTCAAAGATCGATGTGTGAACATGGTGAACAAGTAAGGGTTAGACACAAAAATTAAAATATTTGACAAAGATATTAGGTTGCATTTTCCAATAATATGTTGTATTGGTGCATGTTTTATAGCTAAATCGAGCCTTGAACACTGTCATTCTCTAGTCTTGCGCCATGACTGTGGAATTTATACATATAGAGACATTATTTTTACTAAAAGCCTAGGCATGTCTCGATCAAATTAAACCAAGTCTAGTTTCCTTATGCTGTATATATGAAAACAGCAGCATGAAGAAAAAAATTACAAATATTTTAAAGAAATGTTTTCATAAACTAAGTGTTCGTCTAACTGTCATTCATACCTGGTTTAAAATGGGGCTACAGTAGCAGCTTTAGAAATTTGCTCTAGTGTAATAGTCCTTGCCAAGTTGGTCAATAGTTAAGGTATCATAAGGACAAGTAGAAATTTTCCCTTTTCAAGAGTTTTGCTATATGTTATCATTATAAGGACTAGTGAACTAAAACTGTTACTTTCTCTCGCTGAGTAGCGAATGGGGCCACGGTGTATTTCACAATAGAATGATTTGTTTGTTGTTTAACACTGCAATCAGCAATATTCCCGCTACTTGACTGCAGCCTGTAAATAATCAAGTGGACCAACCCATCCAGTGATTCGTATCATGAACAATGATCCATGCCATTGGGGTTCAATGACACGTATTCTGTCTCCCAGACCCTTGAGAATTATTATTTAAAAGGAGTCTTACGACTAGCTTAGGTTGCTGGGAACAGGTTCTACCAGAATCCCCACAGGGGGTCATAATGGAATAAGAGATAATAATGTACTATATATATACAAGGATGTAAAAAAAAATGTACGACACCAGTTCAAACTCAGTCTTAACAAGTATCACTTAGACAAGCATGCAAACTTTCATTCATGTAACTTTAGTAGTTTGAGAGAGGATTTGTCCCCATTGCATACACTATGCACTATATTGAAAAGCATGGGGCAAGGTCAATACCTGTGTAAAAAATTAATTCAAGACACCAATTTGCAAACCCATTTAAGATCATGACTAGTGATATCAGTGTAATGTAAAATTACATTTCTCTAATTTAAATACTTTTTAAGAAAATCTGTCCCCTTTGAGAAGCAGACGGACGGACGTACGGACAAACTCTGTTCCTCTATCCACACAGCCCCACTCCGTGGCTTGGGGATAATAATACTAAAAGAATTGTCAAGAAAAAATTAATAATATAGCTGATGCCATAGTATAATAATTTCTTTACTCTAGTCATACATACTTAACTGTATTGTTTTGTTCAAGATACAAGTGGAGGCATCAGATCTACCTCACATGAACTGAAACAAGCACTGTGTACTGTGAGTCATGCATCACGCTTCCTATTTCCCCTCGCTACACTTGTACAGGTAAGTATACTGTACACATGCTGCAAGTACTTATAAGCATAAAAAATATAAATATATTTGAAAAGGAGATACACTTGCTGGAGTTGTCACATGAAAGGTAATATAGACAGACCAAAAAATAGACAATTAAAACTGTATACTAATGTCAGTCCCACAGATCATTAGGTCAGTGACCAATTGAGCGAGAAAGCGTCTTGTGTGCAGTGTTAAACAGATGTCAAATCATGTAAGTTGCAGTAGGATATGTGGATTCACTTCCAGATAGTATATAAAGCAAGATTTATAAATTCTGAAATACAGTGTATGCAGGTCTGAGATGGAGAGTCTTCTGCTCGTTTGTGTATTGTAAAAGTGTTTTCCTTCTCATGCTTACCATGCTAATTGGTATCGCATCTTTACAAATATATTTACAATTAAAATCATGAATGAAAATGAAAGACCTTGATGCTGAATACTTGCCACTAGTCCAAAGTCTAGGTCAAGTAAACTTCTGTTCGATCATGTATGCCCAGCTAATACAGCTGTAGAAACTAACACTTTTAGTCTACTGGTCCTTATCATGATAACATGTAGCAAAACCCTTTAAAATGGCAAATTTCTACTAGTCCTTATGATACCTTAAATATTTGGCAGTTTGGCAAGGACTACAGGACTAGTGCCAATTTCTAACGCTGTGATAATAGTCCACACTAAAATCTACTGAAAATGATGCTAAGGGCCAAGTTTTGGCAAGTAGGCGTTAATGTGAGAAACATGTAAACAATCAAAGGTAATTTTAAAACTGAAAAATGGAAATATGTTAACTATTGCACAAAAAGCATTCATTGATAAAACATGAAAATTTCACCAACAAAATCCAACACCCATGAAATCCACAAGATTACAAGCGCAAGCCATTAGATATGGTGGGCAGATTATTTAGGGGGGGTGGGGGGGGGTGGGGGCTGAGGGGTTTGGAGATCGGGAGGACATTCCGCATGCAATCCAATTAATGACGAACGTGTGACAAGCAATAAGATGAGGTAGACAAGTAGTGAGCAATCAGTACCAGCCTGCAGAGCCTTCCGGTTCTTATTGAGAATGTTATGCACTGACTCCAACAACCACATAAGAAACTCAGCTGCGTCCTGCTGGACTTGACCTTGACCTGGTGGAGCCATCAGGCCGCTGTTGAGGGCCGACACAGACTGTCTGAAGGTAGTGTGGTCAAGGACACTAACATCGTTGCTTCCGACTGGGAGACTGCACTGTTGGAGGAGTTCTACAAAGGTTGTGAGGAGGAGTGACTCGGCCACTCCACACTCCAGTTCTTTGGCAGCATCTACTGAGAGGTAGGTGACAAGGTGAGGACTTCGAGCTAGAGACTGCACAATGGAGTTCATAAAACACAGATTCTGACCATTGTTTTTCAACCCTGGGGGTTTGGGGGATTGACTGTTCAGTCCAAAAGCTGACATAAATTTAGTTCTGATTGTTGATGTTCCCGAATATGCCCCTGCAGCTAAAGACGACCCTGCAATAGGCTTGGGGAGAAGTGTTGAACCTTCTGGGCGGAGTGGACGGCGACGCAGTTCTTTCCCATCAAACCAGGCCACTTTCTGGGGTAGATTGTCTTCCAGTTTGCGTCCTACCATTGGGACACCCTGTCTGGATGTCACCGGACTCTCCCTAGAAACTACAGGGTCAGGGACAGGCTGTGGGCCTCTCTGTCTTAGGCTTAGCCATTTGGAGGGTCTAGACCAAAACCAACTATGAGGTTCTTTTTGACTATGTCCCTGTTTCTGACTTACTAGATGGGCACTGTGGTCGGTCCCTGCTGCACTGTACGGCCCCACTCCTCCAGGGGGCACCTGCTGGTAGTATGGAGGGAATGGCATTGTGGTATTGGGCTGGACAGGGTGGCGCTGGCGAGACAGTTGCTCGCGCATGTGTTCCATGCTCTCCTCGTGCTGCTGGTACTCCTCCCATCGTGTTTTCAGGAGGTTCCACCAGTATCGGAAGTCTATGCGGCCATACAGCTGAGTATATATGAATGTGACAGTGGTCAGCAGAAGCAGGAGGTAGGGCACATGGTCAAACAGGTAGATGCCGACTGACACAGCAGACAAGATGAGTGATTCATACAACCAAATTGTCCTCTTCTCATCATCATTCCTGGAGAAATAAAAACATAATAGATATCATAATCACCCTTAATAAAAAATTCAAATTACGAGGACATGCAAGAGGACCTGAGAGAAATTCATGATGGACAGTTAAATTTTAACAAAGGGTATTTTGCCAATATTAATCATGTTAATGAGGTAGTGACATTAGTGATGATTACAGAGGGGTGAGGGTGCAAAAATGCACTTCTTTAGGATGGCAGCCTGTAAATAATCAAATCTGGACAAGACAATCCAGTGTTTCATATTGTGAGCAGTGAGCATTGGGGTATGTTGACAAGTAATCAACCAAGGCACTGGGCCTGACTACCCGTTTCCAAAGTACCAAAGCGGTTTAATCTACAACTACAAGATATATCTTTCAATTTCAGCATATCAAAGGTAGTGACAAGTGAATATTTAACTTTAAAAGGGACTTAATACCATTCTTAACATCATATAATTTCCATTTGGAAAAGAGCATGTTAAGCATGTTAAGCATGTTAAGAACGTGAGCAAGTGTTATAACCATAACATTGTTAAAACATATGAATTTGTTGCAATGATTGGTAATGCTCTAATTTACATTTTGAAACAATAAGTTTATAGAACTAAGAATACATATGTCAATGTACACCACTCAATTGATTATCTGACAATGTTTTATCATCTTGATGACATCTTATAGCTTAAGCTTCATAATTTATCCCAAAGTTTAGAATAAATAAGTTATCAATTTGAAATGGATCAAACGTACAAACACATGAACATGGTAAACATGTCAAAAGCCATACAATAAACACTGAGAAATAAATCCCCTATATCATGCTGATCCTGTTTAATAATCATGAATATAGTACCTTTTTATGTGTGTCTGTTTAACGCCTCACTCAGCAATATTCAAGCCATATGATGGCGGTTAGTACATAATCAGATCTGGACCAGACAATCCAGTGATTGACATCATTTGCATCGATCTACACAATTGGGATATGATGACATGTATCAACCAAGTCACTGAGCCTAACCATCCGATCCCATTAGTCGCCTCTTATGACAAGCATGGGTTGCTGAAGACCTATTCTAAACTGGAATCTTCATGGGACATAATATACAACATACTGCAGCACATGAATGATGAATAGCATGTAAAGTGTTTTCCATTTGACAATGACACTAGATTCTGCATGCTCTCAGCTGTTTTGGCATCAGAAGAAACATATATTATAAAATGATAATTATTTAGTTATTAATCATCATCATTATTATAAACATCTATGATTAGGAAGTGAAATCCCCAATATTTTTAGCTGTTCCATTACAGGGGGAATGTAGTTCAAGTCCGAGAGGCCGTCCTATTCAAGCCAGTGTAAGGGTGTGTAAGGAACATGTTTGCTTGGCTACTCTTGTACAAATAGATCACCCGCATTCACTGTTACACTCATGTATGGAGAGCTCACTCTAGACCTATTTTTATAATAGCAGGAATGTTTTTTAAACCAAGAGCATGAATGACCCAGCAATGCACACAGTAATTTGAATAGAGCGAAGATTCATGTAATTTTAAATATGTTAGTCGCCAGGACATGCTACTACGCCACAAGGCTGTTAGTGTGACAAAGAGCTTTTCTGAAACAGAATAGATTGAGTTTATAAACAAGTAGTTATATAGACATATTCCATGAACAGATCATGCTCAAGTATTCAGTACATATGCTCATACTTATAAAGCTTCAAATCATGGTAATAGTAGTTCAAATAAGTGAGCTAAAGCATGAGTCTACATTTTGCAGTGATTAAAAGATTATCATTTTAAAGAAATCACAATGGATTAACAAATGATTAGCAAATAACTTAAATGCCTAACAAACTTTTGGCATGTTATTGTTAGTTTGATTGGATTTTAGGTGTGTTGTTAATATCATGATATACATGATATATGCATTTGCTTACCCTCAACATGTTCCAGTAAGTTTAACTTATAACATTTTTAAATGAATAATTTAAGTTTACTTTACCATGATGATAACATTCCTAAAATGAGTGATACAACTAGGCCTGACAATCCCAAAATAAAGTTATAAATCATTACAACAAGAACAGTTGATATGAGCCCAAATCGTTATCAGAATTCTCATTCATTTCACTACACGAACAAAACATTAAATCGTGAATATGATGAAGTGTAGTACCTTTGACTTTGATGTGTAAAATGTAAAAGCACTTGATCATGTTGATAGAGGACATACATAAAAAAAGATAAATTCTGCCAGTGTGAATGAATCGGTCAAAATCAGTTGACATGGATGGTTTAGATGTGAGGTGAAACATTGACAACTTGGCCTAATCATTCATAGATGCTGATAGTTCAAGATTCCAGTGCTTAACGAGTATGTAAGGTTCAAGGCATTGCTTAATTATTACAATGCATACCGAGTTTATCTTCATTATTTATTTACACTATTCTGAGTGATTTATGTATCGACTTGGTAGCATGTCAGAGACATTGTCAAGAAAACTAACAACGAAAAAGCAATAAACAATGTTTTGTCCGAAACTAGAATTGTCCTGACATTCAGTTGATTGATTACACAGTGACAATCTTAACACTAAAACATGGTGCCGACACGATACTTGTCATAGTATAATGGCTATAATAGGCCTAATGTTAAACATAAATTGAAACACCGTAACATTTAAACAGGTGTGCTGAGAGTAGAAGACTTGCAGAAAACTGAGAACCAGAATAGAGAATCAATGAGCTCAAGAACACAACCAGAACACTACACGACATAGCGTGAAGACGGTACCGGTTATGTAATGTAGCAAGCACCTGTAACACACAAAAAAACCACTCACGTTGCTTCTCGCAAAGGTGTCTTTGCCACAACATCAACCAAAATGAAAAACACAAAATCCAGCAGGGAATTATACATGAAAGAGTAGATCGTCGATAAAATCCACCACATGATGATTCGATCTCGATACGATCTACTCGTCAGACACTGTCATTATCACATTTGTGCTATGGATCCAGTTATCCCACAATTTTTTGCGGCCCGAGTACACAACGGTTTAAATTTCGGCACAAAAATGGCGGCTTCCTCTAACGCATGCGTAGCGGAAGTTATTTGGGCTTTGTGGGAATTCCGAAAAGTATCATACTATTTACGTTACAACTTACAACTATAATGTCATTCTTTAATCCGCTCGTGCGTGTTATCAAAATATTAGCAAACGCGATTTTGTCAAATATTTGAATCGTCGTTATCTTTTAATTGCGCCTATCACGTCTTATGTAGAGCAAACAGTTTTGTTCCTTTCATCTGAGAACTCGAAACACCATGTATATACAACATTATTGCGCACCTATCTCAATATTTATGCCGGGATATCACACTCGAATAGGATCATGGTCATGGTTTAGTTTGCTCATTTTAATGTTGAGAAACCAGATGATCATAACAATTTGTATACAATCAAAATTGAATTGTTTTCAATAAATGATTGAAGAAGGTGGATGCTTGTGCAACTGCTTATTGACCGAAAAATCATGTTTAACTCATCGTGATAGTGAGATGTATAAGGACAGTTGTCTGAATAACAACGTACTTTTTATGGTACTGTTGACAATTTAATTTTGCCTTTAGGGTCTACTCCATGAGAAAAAGTAACCGCGGGAACCGCATAAGTAAACTTAAGCACAAAAGCAAAAAAATACTTCTCATTATTCTCGGGTACACCCATGTTTGATTGTTGATTGATTTCCACGCACACAGAATGACACTGACGGTTTCTAAAAAAAAAAAATATGGCCGTCTACCGTCGTTTAGAAAAGGTCTTAAAGAATGTAAAACAAATCGTTTATATCACTGTTTGATTGACATTCTCGAAGTTGGTGAGCAACTTATGAACACTTGCATCTATATTGGCCAAGACCCGCTGATCGTGGGTTCGAATACTAGTTTCACGGAGATCATTATCCGATCCCCTACCCGTGATCGTGGCTTTTTACAAAAGTGGTACGCAATCATTTATTCGCTTTTCTACCACACGCCGCAATCTGAAATGGCGTTTAAAGCGGCGCTAAACTCACCTCACTCACTCTAAAAATAGACCCGTGAAGATCCGTGTTAGAATTGGTCTTCAGCAACCCATGCAGGCTTGTCGTAAAAGATGACTGTGTTTGCCGTAAGAAGCGACTAACGGGATCGGGTGCTCAGGCTCGCTGACTGTCATCGTATCCCAATTGCGAGGATCGATGTCCATGATGTCAATCACTGGATTGTCAGGTCTAGACTCGATTATTTACAGATCGCCGTCATATAGCTGGAATATTGCTGTGTGCGGCGTTAAACAAGAAACAACAACACTCTAAAACTAAGAGATAATTATAGACGTCTATTTGTGAGATAAACGTACTGTGTTTTCAATGTAAAGCTGCGCTTTCGGGTCTAAATCCAGTTTAGCGATGTCACATCTGAAGGGCAACCCAGCTTTCCATTGAAAACTCAGTTTGTATATCGCCATTCTCTCATGGCAAAACTAGACGCGAACTCTTTGGTGTTTGGAAAGGTATCGAGTGAAGCGGCATTAGAATAGTTTAATCATTTAGAATGGATTGTCGGTGTGAATAAGAAGACGTCGATACCAGCCTTTGTAGCGCTGTATATGCTGAGAAATTGTTTCTTTACATCATTATATTTCACTCGCATATATCAGGCAATATTGTAGATGTTGATTGTTTTTTTAACGACGCACTCAGCAATATTCCAGCTCTATGACGGCGGTCTGTAAGTAATCGAGAGTGGACCAGACATTCCAGGGATTGACATATAATGAGCATGGATTTTCGCATTTGGGATACTTTATACGATGATATGCATCAACCTCAGCGAGCCTGACTACCCGATCCCGTTAGTCGCCTCTTACGACAACCATTATTATAGTGTTTGTTGAGCCCAATGGGAAAATTCCATGCAGTGCTGACTTCTTTTCAAGCATTGGCAACCTTGCCATGGTCTAGTAATCTACATAATGATTGTATACTGGATATAGTTAAATGGGCCACACGTCAAAATGGTCACAATCACATTGGTCAAAACGGCCACAAAAATCAAAAGGGTCACAAACCCATAGTTAAAAGGGCCACACCGAAAGGTCAAAATGGCCACACCATAAGGTTAAAAGGGCCACACCGAAAGGTCAAAATGGCCACACCATAAGGATAAAAGGGCCACACCGAAAGGTCAAAAGGGACACAGACCAAAAGTGGCGACATTATAAAACATAAAAGTATGCAGTTTGCATGTTTTGCATCTTTATTCATTTCACAACAAATATATTTAACAGTAGGCATGCATCAACATCACAAAGCACGTCTTCTTTTGAGCAGCACAATCCGAGTTCTTAACCTGGGGTATTCTTATACTTGTCCATGCAGCACATATATAGGTACAGATTCACCCGAGCGTGGTGACTGGTAAGGCAAGATGACATTAAGGGGGCATCTCACATGTGAAACAAACAATTGGTGAAGGTCTCCCAAAATAAAATGACACAACCAATTGGTGAACTATATTCATATACACTGTACAGAGTGAAAACCCTTTTCAATATATGCACCTGGGAATTTTTTAAGCCACTCCCATTTTTCGACCATATATGTCCAGCAACATGGTAGCACTCGCGTCCAGTCTGATATGTGATCGCACTACATGTATCTCTTTGGGATGAAAAAAGGCCATCAATTAGAAGGAACTAAAAAATTCATCAATTTTCCATGCCATGATTAGGTGTACACAAATTACCAGACAAATACTGGACAGCTTACCTTGATCCTGGTGACTTCGCAGTATCTATTATAAAAGCATAGTAATGACATGGACCTAATTAGTATACAACACACAGGTTTCACTACTGATCAAAGTTTACTGTAAATCATTTGGATTAATGAAATATACTGAGCAAATTAATAGAAAGTTATATATACTCTAACACTATTTATGCTCTATACTTTTTTCATGTTGCCCTTTTTAAGTTTAACTGAGGCCCTTTTGACTATTTGGTGTGGACCTTTTGATCTGTGATCTTGTGTATATACTGGGAACACGTGCCAAGCAATATATTTAATATGTGTAAGATATTTCGTAGCTTGTATAGAGTTTTACGGCGTAAATAAAACAAGTCGACTGATTGGACATGCACTACTGAGATTCGTAACATATTGATATTGCCTAGCGCTAAAGTGAAGACGGTAAGTCGTCCGAAATGTTTCATATGTTTGCATTATTTGTTAACTTGTCACATGGAAGAAGAGGGCAAGGCCGTAGTTAACTTTTTTGACAGGGCTGGCTACGGCACTGGAGGGGCTGTCAATATATGTGAGCTTGGCTGATTTCCGAGGCAGGAGAGTTTGATAAACACAGCTGGTATTTTGTCAGAGACCGAAAATATCTGTATGGTTTTTCGATCACTGCTTCAAGATATACATTCTTTCCTCTGAAAGAAGTGGACGAACTGGGGCTTTGACGGGTAACTCGGGTACCGGGTCGGGTGGGTACTGGGTAGGACCCGAGTACCCACAGGTCTAGCCGGACCCGTGGTTAGTCACGTGATATATTAATGAATTAATATCTTATGACTAAAATTATCTGGAACTCTATGGTTACGCTACAAGTCATTAATGTTTGCTTTCCTTTCTGACTATGCACCCATTCCTTCTGACTTTTCATATGGTTGAATAAACATAAAACTTAATTCAGCTTCAGTGTATGCATGACCAGATTGTTTAATACATGTATCCAAATATGTTTTGCCAGGGTTATGCTAAAATTGTTGGGGGGGGGGGGGTAAATTTGGACTCTTCCCAGCCCTAAGACGAACATTTATATTTTTATCAAGACATCATGCAAACAATAAAAACAACCTTTAAAATCTGAAAGTATTTTCTCGAGCATTTCATTTTAAAACATCCACCCTTCTACCAGTACATCAAATGGCCGGTCCTTTAAAGCATGGTTTGTTATCAGAAACAAACTTATAATCCAGCTGTCTTTGTCCGAACGTGGAACCTGCCCGGGCGTTTATATGTTCATGTAATTATCAATACCATTTAAGACGTGGATTATAATAGACTTTGTTGTACCATACATAATCCGATTAGATATTCAGCGTCACATATACTACATGTTGTTGCTTGTTGGTAACCGACATTGACTGATTCATATGCAGTCGTTTCACGTTGGATTTGTAATATCAGTGAGGAGTTGTCAAGAAAACCGTATCTTGGCAAAACTTCCCAAGATGGCAGCTTTCGTTGAGCTTCTTCAAACTTTCGGAAAATTTTAGTTTGGTAAGACATTATCTTTGTTGTTTATATCGAAACTTCAATGCGTATCGTCTATATTTATGTCCGTTGTGCAGTTGTGTCGGTTTTAATTGAAAACGTGTTGTGTTATGACGAAATTCCATCAGTAATTGGCAGATGCTGCGATGACGTTTCGGGTCTGCGAGAACGCAGTTCATATTCGTTTACTCTCGGAATGTTAGTGTCCGACGATCTAACATTGGCATATATCTCGCCTATAGTTCAAAGAAACATCACATGCATATCCTCAAACCTCTATTTAATCACTTTTGAGCATATGCTTTCGCTGGCGCAGAAGCCACTCCCTTTTTTCACCCCTCCTACCTGCAGGCTTCCTCAGGGTTTTGGAATGCTGCCACGAGATGTTGTAATGGCATCGCAATTTTCACTGTTAGCATAGGAACATAGACTTTGATACCGAGGGTTTGTTGATGCCAGACTGCTATTAAATTGACAAGGCTGAGTTTCTCTCAATGGCTAATGTCATTCACTGACAGATAAATCGCTTGAAAATGTTGTACTCTTAATATTTTTGACAGTAGGCACAACACCACAAGGAACAACACACGTCATAATGTTTATCCTCCTATTGAAATTAAATGGAACATACACCAAAACTTTACTAACTATAACCAAATCATGAATGAGGTATAGTACACTTTAGATCTCTAGCAACAGACTGAATTAATTTTGTTAGTTCTCAAAATTGTAATTGGGTTTTGTAGAAGAGAAACACAACCTATTACAACATAACATTTCAATTTGTATTAATTCTTTTACAATGGCAGATTGAAACGAGATAAATTTTGTTGCAGTATTATTTGCCATTATTAAGGGTTTTAGTATATGTTATCATAATAAGCATGATCATGATAAGCACTAGTGGACTAAAACTGTTAGTTTCTAATGCTGTACTTGCAAATCAATAGGCATGAAAGTTAAAAATAAACATTGTTTATTGAAATTGAAGGAAAACACATCCAACAAAGTAGAATCATTTGTGCTTATTATCACTAAGCATAATAAAGTAGGCCGTGGCACCAAGGTGGGTAGATAAAATAAGTGATTAACTACAAACATCAGGAGCAGTACTGTAATATTTTTAATCCACTCAGGATAAAGAAGATTAAAGCTTCTTGAACATGTTAAATGCTGCATTAATTATGTGTAAATAGATTTTATTAATGCAGTATTAATACCAAAGTTAGAAAATTCAAAATCTGTTGGTTCTATACATTTAAGCAATTGGGTACATTGTGCTTCACAAGCCCATGCATGGTATTGTTCATAATTAACTTGAATGGCAATGCATGCTTCTAAAGTGCTCTCTCCACTATTTGGGTCAGAAGCAGGGTACAGGAAGTTTCAGCTTGATCAATACACCAGAGACGTGTCACTTTCTGAAAATCTTGATGACCTACTGTGACAGCGAGGTTTTCCACATGACTGCTTCTACATACCACACATACCAGAACAGTAACTGAATGAGTGTTCACACAGTGTTTATATGTTACCTGACTCTGCATTGTTGGGGGCACCTGGCTGTCTATACCTGCCTTGTTTACTGATTTCATCAAAACATGGTAACTTCATGCAGTTGTATTAGTTCTTATATTGTTTTCCTACTAGATCTTGTTGAAACACACATGTAAGGACTTAGAGCTATGTGGAAGAGATAGTGCTTTGACATGTTATACATCATTGTACATCACAGAGGTTGTATGGATTTTGTCTTGCCTGTTGTATTTGTCCTCCAGTTATTTTATACTCATTTTGGCATGTGGAGTGTGTTTCAATGATTCAGACCCCTTGCAATATCTGAAGCACTGCTTATAAAACATACCTGTTAGTTTTTACTCAGAAAAAGAGTTGTAGCTTTGTTAGCCATGTAGAGTGTCAGTGAAAACTGTGACAAGATGTACACGTGAAAGGAAATCTCATAATAATTGCAAATGGATTAATGTAAATGGTATATTGGAGAGGTGGTTTTGCAGAATTGTACTGGTTTTAATTTTTTATTGTTTATAAGTATGCTTCAGCAGTGTTCAGTATTGTGCATGAAAGTCAAGGGGTCCTTGTCATAGACCTAATGTTAAAGATCATGACTTAAACATGGGAGCAAACCTAAGGACTGCAGGACTCCCCTTAATTTTGAACATAATAGCTGCTTTAATCACATTCTACTTATATTATACATATATATTATATGAAGCATATGTTTTTTAATATGTAACCATAGCAACAATGCGTTTGTAAGTTTGAGATGAACATTCCCCGACTGATAAAACCATGGAAGTACACACGATAGTTAGTTGTACCAGATGTCTCCCAGCTGTTCAGGGCAGTTTTGGATTCCAATTACATCACATTCTCATTCAAATCACCAACCCACATTATTGGTTATTTTGCCTCAACACTTACAGAACTGCACATGTGAAAAGAATTATTCATGGAGATTTGCAGAAAGCAAACTGAAAACATGGATCTATTTAGACCTGGTCAGAGACCAAATCTGCACCAAATCAAGAAGTAATATCCGTAAATATTGGAAGTAAACATTTCCCAATTCATGTTAACATGATTAATGTAGTTATGACTGTTAAGGCTTGTAAGGCTCAATAAAAAAGAGGAGGATGCTTTCATGATTAGGTTTACATTATTGCACTGAATCCCAGTGTTGAAATAAGTATGAGTACCTCTGAATTTATGCTAATAACAACTTTAAGAACATCTCAATTTTGAACAAAATAACAATTATAATCCCCCAATTTGCTTGCCAAAGGCAGTTTGTTTAGAATACCAGATGAATCCCTGTAAAAAGCCAATAGTCTTTCTATTGTATGAAATAATATTTTTGATAGGACGTAGACTGTGAAATAAGAAAGCATGTGATCCCATTTAATATGTGCAAGAGAAGCATTTTTTCAACTATTTCGTCGAACCTTGGAAAATATTCAGCCAATCCAACATTTGATTGTGATTTCATGGGTAGAACATCAGTCGATAGTAAGCTTGGCAAGCTGGTGTCACTCTGCTGCTGCTGGTACCCTAAGGGCTTGTAGATAATGATGCTGTTTCGTGTGTTTTCCCAATGTGTTGACAGTATGTAGACCAGGTGTCACCTTAATGCCAGAGTTCTGTTGATTAAGTCCAGACCTGTGCAGTGGCTTAAAAAATGTAGGTAATAACTTTCCTTTCACATAAAAAACAGATATATTGTATATTAATAATTTGTACATTCATTGTACATTAGCAATGTATTGCCACCTGTGTGTTAAAACATTATATTACCATGATATAAATACATGATATAGTACTAGTAGTAGTGATGAATATATAACAGATATTCTATATTTATTATCATCTGCAGTGTTCTATGATCTGTCCACATTTGGGTTACAATTAAGACCCAACTTCCAGTCGTAATTTCAAACTATGATTTGTCATGTGTATCCGGGTAGATAATTGTGTACCGACGTTGCTCTTTGGATGAATATTTTGTCCTGTAATCTTTTCAACATCACCCTCACTCCATAGTATTTGTGACAATGCCATTCAGGCAAGCCAACACGTAACCTTTTCTAATGACAGGAGAACAATTCCCAACATATGATTCAGCATGGTATGTTAATAGTCAGTGATTGTGACTAAGGCTAGTTGTTTGAATTTGAAACTTTTAGAGTGGGCTTCACATATTGGTAATGTTAAGATGAGGTTACGGTTGTCCTACTTGTTCAGAGTTTTGAATAGATAAGTTGGGGTATCTAATCAGTAATATTATCCATTGGAAATATAGAATATGGTAAGCAACCTTAGTAACATGTAACCAACAACCAACTAACAGTAACAACTTGTATTCATGGTAATGATTTTCAGAAGAGTTCTTCGGTTTGTGATCATTTCCTCGGTTCATTTTCTAGGACATTCACTGTTTGTTATCCATGATAGTGATGCCAGGATCTGCTCTGTAAGGTTGTAGTAATTCCAGACTCTCCCTGATTTTAAAATCCTTGTCAGCACCATACCTTTACTCATGGGATGGTAAACATCCGAGACATCACCATGATCACCTCATTCTATCCCAATTATGACCCTGTGGGGAATCTTGGTAAGAATAGGTCCCCGCCCTATTCTGATCTTAAGAGGTGACTAAATGGATCAGGGTACCATTGTACAAAGTGATCTTTGCGCTAAGGTGATCGTAACTCCCATATCTTAACATAAACTTACGACAGTCAAAGCAGTAAGGTTGTTTTGTATAATGGCAGCCTGGTGGTCAGACTCAGTGACTTGAATGATTGCGTCATTGTGACCTGATGGCATGGTTCGTTTCTCACAGTATCGGCCACTGGATTGTCTGTTCCAAACTAAATTATTTACAGGCTGCCTTCATTCAGGTGGAATTTTACTGAGTGTGGCATTGGACAAAATACGAACAACCTCCCACTAAGATATACCTGAAATACTGTTCGAAGTGGTGTGAAACCCTCACTCACTCGGTGACTTCAACAGTGATCTTGATTGTCTCCCTTAAATCATAATGAAAGTTACAATGTCACCCAAATTTGGTGTCCCCACTGCAGTTATATTGCTGGAATGTTCCTAAAAGCAATGTAAAACCATACAAACTAATAACTACTGCATTATGATGCTGACAGGTGTTACCAAGCAGCCTAGTTTGTCTTTGTACCCATGTTGAATGTGTGGCAAAAACACAGCAGGTGTAACTCGATGCCTTGGCAAAACATGAGCATACCTTGGTACAGTGTATTTTGACTGTTTACAGTGCGGTGAACTAAGATGGATACTGTGTTCGGACAGGTTTGTTCAATGATGCATGTAATAAATAGTTGTTAAGCAGGTACTTGGTCTTCTGGAGGGTAAAAAGTACTAAATATCTGTCATAGCTGATACGCACTTCAACAAGGTAAACATTTACTGTTCATGCGCGTGTCGTATGAATGTTCATTTCCCATGGTGGAACAGCTCGTGAATTATGTTTAATTGCTGTGCGGTTTTGTTTCTACATAGAGACACTACTTTGTTATTTAGAAAAAAATATTTCTTGACCTTTGATTATAGTTTGGTATTTGATTGATGTCTGTTTGCAAGTTTTGACACAGTTGAAATTATTCCAGTGTATGATAATGTAAGGTATACCATGGTATAAATCTGATCATTCTAATTGTAAGCTGTAACCATTAATTGTTTTTGAGTACATAAGTAATCAGCTGTAGCAAATAATCTATGGAGGCTTAATATGTTGGTTAAGTATTGAAGTAAAGTAGCATTTGAACACAGGGGTTTATCTAAACCTGATCAGCAGTTGATATTTGGAATTAATAATTTCCCAATTCATGTTAATGTGGTTATAACTAATGTTATGGCTTTGTAGGGGTAACTTGTATGTGTCCAATAATAGGCACGATAAAGCCTTTAATACTTAGTGTTACATTGTTGCCCTAATTGCACTGTTAAATACCCCAGAATTTAGGAAAATAAGAACTTTAAAAACATCCCTATGTTTTTTTCCCAATTTGCCTGCCAAAGGTACTTAGTTTAGAATCCTGGATAAATCCCTGGTACATTATTAAGGAGGGATTAGTATTGTTAATGTGGATAATTTGTTCATTCCCAGTTAAGGTAGATTAATCCATTTGTAACACCTGTGAAATCTGGTCAACATGGTCAGGGTTTATGGTCACGCTTTATGGAGGCCACTCTTGATGGAGGCCACTCTGAAGGTGGGCCTAACCAAAGTAGTCACATATAAACACACATGCAACATGTGCAAAGAAGGAAAGCATATCTCTGAATGTTATGAAGACTGAAGTTTCTTTTTCCTGTATATTTTCATAATGTAATGTGGAAATGCTGGAGAATTCATTTTTTCAGCCATTCGAAATGATAATCATGATGACTGCATTAACAAAGTTTGAGAAAAGCATGACAAGTGACTAATTAAAAAATATGATAATTAGTTTAAATATGGAATATTTTTTAATGTTATTCTTGAAGCATACAATTGTCTATGGTGCTGCAATTCACTGTGCAGGGTTGCATCATTTGGGTATGTCAGAAACCTAGGATCATGGGTTCGAATCCAGGTTTGCCCCAATTATGTTTTTAGGTTTGTCAGCACAATACCCATGCTCGTGGGTTTCACCCAGGTGTAGCATCCCCCAAATCAAGCTGACATGGCGTGATGTAACTGAAATACTGTTCTAAGAAATGTTAAACACAATTCACTCTCAACCTGTCCTTAACCTTAATATTCACTACTGGCCAGTATATATTTCCTTATGTCAAGTTTTACATGAATGTCCTTGCTTTGTTGTTGTGTTTCAGTTTTGAAATGTTATGATAATTTCCTGCTGTTTTAGTTTCATTTCATTGGTTACCATGTACTGTGACTCCAGTAAGGAAGCACTCTTTTCATCATTCTCCTCATCAAACACATGTCAAATGAATGTCAATCGGTGACAATGTAAGTAATTGTGTCCATACCTAGGTACTAATATCTAACTCATTTCTTTTTCTTCTTTCAGATTTGAAAACTAAATTTTTCGAAGAGGCTAACTTTTAAGTTCAGATTCGTCGTTTCTGTATTTCGAAAAGATGGCTGATGATCCGGGTCACAAGGTGATGCTGTACTTCCTGGAAACGCTGATGTACAGCACGGTGCCCCTGACCATCAGTCAACTCGCAGGGCGCTTTGGCAGCCGCAATTTTACGCCAGAAATGCGACAAGCTGCTGGGGGTAATGAATCTGGGCTGAAAAAGTTTCTGTTGAAGTATCCATCCCTGTTTACTGTCAACGGAAACCTTGTAAGCTTGAACGATGGCACTGCCTCTCTTGGGGGTAATTTTCGAGAAAGTAGTCCGGCATCATCTTCCGGCCAGAGTCTTCCTGACGTCTCAATTGAAACCGAGGCTGTTCAGTACTTTCGAAGCAAGATGATGCGGAAAGGAGAGACCATGATGCCAGTCGCTAGTCTGGCTGGCCACCTTTCTCAAGCGTCTGTGGAAATAAGAGAATGTGTTGGGCCACAGAACAAGTTCACAGAATGGATACTGAAGCATCCTCTCATCTTTGATGTGAAGGATGATATTGTTAGTCTCAAGGACAATGTTACATACAGTGCTGTGAACCCTAATGCTGAGCCTATAGAAGATCTGAAGTTGACATCATCAATCGGAGCTCTTGATCCTTTGGTTCTGCCTTCTCAACACACTCCCAGATTGAAACGGCGACCAAAATCATTGGATGTTGCAGAGATGAAACCACCGACTGCTTCGCCCAAAACACCAACAACAGGGTCAAAACCTGGTCCTGTAACTATGACAGCCAATGAGTACAAAGCTGTTATGTTTATTAAAGGAATAATTGAGAAGAAAGGTGACATGAAGATCAACAGTCTTTCTGGTAACTTCAACCAAGCACCAGAAAGTCTACGCAATACAATTGGCTGGGGAAAGCAAGAACTGGAAAAGTTCATCCGTACCCATTCCAACATCTTCACGATTTCAGAGGATGGAATGGTTTCAGTCATCAAGAATACTCGACTAAATGTAATCATCACGGGTAGCAGACCTCAAGTCCAAGCCAAACCTACAGTCACTAGTAGGAAAGGAAAGGTCTACCACGTTGCCAAACTTTGGGGTATCATTGACCTTGGCAAACATGAACATGTTTTTATAGATCGGACAATATTTGGCAAGCACATTGATGATCTTAATAAACTGCTGAGGATTGGTGAAACCGTCTGCTTTGATGCAATACCTGCATCCAAAGGAAGCAGAGCACGCTGGCGGGCTACGAAAGTGTGGAAGGAACATGAATCTATAGAAGACCTTATTGAAAAGGTTGCCGCCAAGCTTGACTTGCAGCTTGATGGCACACCCAAAGATGTAGTTACTCCAGTTAGCAATATTGAGGAAGAAATGCGAAAGGCTATTCCTGATATGAACGACAGTACTGAAGTCACAACACCATTAACAATAGGTGGAATTAAATATGCATTTTCTGATGCAGCTCCTAGCGGTGCTGGAGTCATACCTGTGTGGAATTTCAAACCAAATGAAGTTGATGGGTTGAAAGGTGTTGAGGAAATTTACTTCAGTGACGAGGAGGAAGAAAGCCCACAGTTGACAATGGTTGCCGAGCGATATTACATGAACAAGTCAGTGGTCAGTGACAGCCCCAGAGAAGTCCCTGAAAAGAAAGAAGAAAAAATGACAAATGGCACAGAAAAAGGGGAGAGTCCACGACACAAAACACAGGTGCCTGAGAAGAAAACAGCTGAAATTGCATGCCAGACAATAGTCACTGGCGACATTTTGGCAACTCAGCTGTACCATGAAAATATTTGAACATTTTTTTAGTTTCGACAATCTTTCGTGATATTTTTTAAAGAAATGTGTAAGATTTCGCACACTTGTAAAATCAAGGTGAAATATCATGATGCAGTGGCACTTTGTAACATTCAAATTTTGTGTGCAATTTTTCACTGGAATTTGTTTTTTGATCTGTAGATTTTTGCTTGAGTTGACATTTTTTGACTGAAATTGTTCATCAGCTTGTGCCCCCTCCACTTTACAAGGAACTCCATCACAGTGTAAGGGTCTTCCTTGCAAAGTATTATAAAAATACATTTAAAAAATGCAATGATGCTTATACTCTACTTTGTCCAAGTGTTGTTGCAAGGCATGTTAATTAAAGTGACATTTTTTGAAGTGATATGATATGATGCCCTTTAATGAAATAGTCTGAATGAATGGCGACATTGACACTATATCATAAGATGGCTCTTATTGTCACTAAATTATATACACCTTGGACATGTTCGAAGTAATGATTGGGACATACATGGATAATCGGATATTTGTACTGAAACAAAATATTATCTCGAATAATGGTAGCTCAAGGAAGTACAAACTATTGTAGTATTTCTTTTGGAATGTGTACTTTTAAATCCAAAGGACCACGGTTCTGTTTGGTGAATTCAAACCCAGGTTGATTTTTTAAATACCTTGAGTATTTTTGCTGTAAAATATGAACTGTAAAAAGACTGACTAAACCTTTATACATATTTGTGATGATTTGTATCCACACTAATGTATTGTTAAGTAATGTAATCTATATTTGAAGGAAAGGTGTATATGCATTATTAGAATTTTTAGATTTATGTCCAATAATCATTACTTTTGTTTGTTTGTACTTGTAAACACAAAATGAGTTTTCCCGATAAAGGGAGGTCATTAACCCATTATTGTACAAAATGCAAAAGCATGTAAAATACAACCATGTTAAAAAACATGAAGTGAGAGTTATTCTCATCTGTTTATCCAAGTAAACTAACTTATTATGACACATCTTTAGACCATGTTTATGTTGACAAGTTACACCAATTGATCAGATCTTAACATTATTTATCAGGTTTAAATCAGCATGATACAAATTGCAAAAGCAACTCTTGTCTTTCTTTATGGTGTATGTCATTATATTTTGGTTTGTAATAAGATGTCAGTATCGATTTGTTTTGTTACAGAATCTTTTATGATTTGGATTTGGAAGAGAGTTCTGTAAATCATGCCAACCTTAAACTAGGGGGTGCAATATTTATGCCAGAAAAGCCCTAATGATTCAGTGATTCATAATGATTCATAATGATTCAAAATGTCTGCTTTGTTAATGTTTTTTTTATGTATTTTAGACATTTTAGACATTTTAAACAGTGGGAATCATCTTTTTTCTATATTATATAGATCTTCTTGTAAGTGTCACAAGAGTCAGTGGTAAATGTCCATCAGCTGACATAAATATGCTGATCAAGATGGCTTTGAAATCTAAATTGCTCACACTTTCCAAATATATTTCTTGAAGAAAGTGACTTAAGAAGTTATATCATCGGAGGAAACATGGAAATAAGTGTTCGTCCAAATGGCCAAATATTGCTCCCCTGAAAGATTTCTATACTCATAAGTGCCAAATATTGTGATCTGCAAGGCCAGTATTTCTTTATTGATTGGATTATGGTTAGTATCATTAGTATCACCACTCACATAAACAAGTCCATCAAAATTGCAGGCATTTGAACACAGTTTTTCACTTTATTCCCCATACTATGATTAACTTCATCTGATTATTTGTACATGAACATTCTTAAACCTTTTGTTGGCATAATCCAATTAATGAATAATGTTGGCTCTGTTGTTTGTTTGACAGATCATGCAACCAAGGCTGTTAGCTATGACTACTATGCTTAAACCACAGCTGTTATTTTTTTTACAAAACATGGGAATGTATTTTGATAGATTATTTAATCAGGCTATTTTCATCACTCTGAAAATGAATCTTAATTTAGAAGCTGAGTTGGATTCAGTATTTTGAAGTGACTTGGCCGGATGTGCTGTAAATATGTAAAGTGTCTAAAAGGTGGGGTTAGTGGAGTGCACCCTGCACCCCTCTTGGATCCACCAGTGTAGAAAGTATCAACATTTGGTACTAAATGGTTAGTGAGTTGGACAGATATGTTGATCAAGTGGGGATATGGCTATGTTCACTTAAACCATCCACAGGTCAAAATACGTCTTCCTTGTTTGGGTAGTTTTGCAAGTGGAAACAGATATGAAATACATTTCCATGTTGAATATAACATGCAGTTTTGTTCAAGTTGTTTTCATATTGCTTTCCTAAAAACTGATTTGCTAATTTATCAAAAAAAGGAATACTTGTCATGAAAGGAAATGAAGTGCAACTTGAACATTTTTATTCAGTTTCCTCACATTTCGACCACATTTCGATAAGGGTGCTTAGTTTTTTTTGTGAAGGAACTTTATTAGTTTTGCTTGGGCTATCTACCTCATTAACTATGTTTTGGACGTGTTTTGCTTTCAATTTATGCATTACTTTTGCCAGTGAATTTCAGGAGAGATCTTGTTGTGATCACATCCAGCTCATACACCGGTAATGGCATTTAGATAGAGACTTCAGATTTTTTATGGATGGCAGTCTTTAGATTTCCAGGGATTATTCCAGGGTTTCAAAGTAAGTGCTCTTGGCAGGCAATTTTGGAAAAAAAAGTTGCTCCATGAAATACTCGTCACCTGTAGAAAGCAATAAGATTAATTTTTACTATATGACATGAATTGGGAAATTGGAATATTTATTGACATTTGCCTCTGAGAATGTCTAGATAAACCCCTGATTTCAGCTGGTTATCAATAGTGTTAAGGCCATCCTCTAAATATGTTGGTTTGCTCATAAGCAATTTGCAGTGCAGGGTTTGTAGGTAAGCATAGTGTGAAGCCCTTTGTTTTGTCCCCCATACTAGAAACAGCCTACCGGTATGTAAAAGACCATGGTTGATGTAGGCACTATTTGGTAAGATAGTTGGTTTGGCCATCAGAATACCAGAACAGGAAGAACATGAGATCAGAAGAAAAGTTACCTCTTACAACAGGTTGCGTAAATGAACCCTAATAATTTTTCTTGGTCTTCCTAAGAGATCAATGGCTTTTGGACAATATGTTGTAAACTTCTAAAGTACAAGATGCCATTCAAGACAACATTGGTAATCATGTTGTATTTTCTTGATAAATAATATTTTTGTGAAATATGAAATATTTAATTTGGTTCTAACAACAGAAAATATGGAGGAAATTGTTTACTTTAACACTATAAATGTTTATCAGAATCAGCATGAAAATCTTCATTTGTGCTCTACCAATGCAATCAGATACATGTAAAGTTGTGCAATTTGGCCAGGTTGCTTTCAGTGCCACTTACAACTGACTGCTTGCATTTTGTGCCTTCATATTCTGAAATGGTTGATGTTTTAGTCAATCTCATTAAAATCAGATCTCAGTTCTCACTTCCGCTTATCAAACTTTTGTTTATCAGTAGCGAGAACTAAGATCTTGTTTTAATGAAATTGTGTTTTGATTTGATACCATTAGATTTTCATAAACAGTGAATTCTTGTAACATTGGATTTGTAATGTCATGTTGGTAAAGAGAATTTTCTAGGAAAGAAAAATGGCTTGTTAAAAAATACATCACAAAATCCATGTTGCTTTTTTATATTTCAGAATGTCCAAATTGGTTATTGTTTCATCTTGCATCTGCTTCACAACAGTATTGTCTGCATGTGGGGAATATTATTTTAATAAATATACCATATTTTTGTACAAATATGTAACTATGCTAAGCACAGGTATAATGCTGACAGTTACCCAATATGTTTGCTAACAGAATGTTACCTTAGGCGTGTTATATGCATAATACTTTGTAAAGTGTTCAGGTAATATATTGGTATTGTACTGTGAATTACTGGTCTTGTTGTGTTGAATGCATGGGAGAAATAATTTTTTTGGCTCAGTTGGTCCATAGTTGGTTGATGCCTGGATGTAAAGAGAATTAAAAGTTCCTGACTACACAGCTCTAAAACTTAGTGTCTTTCAGTCAGTGACTTTTCACATGTATATTTATCGGTCAACTTTAAGTTAAAATGGAGTATGTTATGTACATTGTCTTTGACAAGGTCAACACAATTTTGGTGGTCCAAGCACTGAGTGAGGTGGTCAGAATCACGTAATTGTCATGCCTTGAGGTGCAGTAACCAAAACATGTCAGGATAGAGTTCAATTTTAACCTGTTTAGAAGATTAACTATTATGGATTTCCTTCCATGGTTACCTTTTAACATCCGATGATGATGTAGTAGATGTGGAAACACTTGTAAAAAATTTTTTATTAGAGATATGTTTTTCCACTTGCGGTTTAGTGCTAATTTTAGATATATGTCATGATAGTTTGTTTCGTAGCGTTTTCTGTGTTTAAGTTATAATGTCTCCACAGATATGGAACGAATCCGTCTTTCGTAGTCTGAGTCAGGTTGCTGGTTGATTATAACTAATCAATGCTATCTAAATACAAGGTAAAACTGAATAATTGCTGGCTGATTATTTCACTTGTCTTCCACTTTTGAGATATATTATGCAATATTTGCCCATAATGTGTTTTCAATTTTGGCATTGTCTTTGAACATTCATCAGCAAATGTTTACACTTGTTACAAAGTGTGTTTCAACACTTTGGATACAAATCTGAACATGATCTATAGAAAGTTTGGAATGTTTTCTCAATGTCGTTTAATGATTATAATCCCTCATGCAACAAATACAAGCCTATTGTATCACTGGTCATAGGTATTTCTCATGTCGATGTATTATTTATTTCTTGATGTTCATGTTTTGACAAATGTACCTTTTTCTCAAATTTGAGCAAATAATAATACCTGATTTATGGAGTATTTTCAAAGCTATTACCTTTGCAGTAACACCCACTATCTCATATAGGTCTAATTTATGTTCTGTTTCATTGAAGCTTATTTGAGAGTTTGTATGGTGTTGTTCACCTCTGAAGAGCATGGAAATGAAACCATTAACTTTCATTCTTTGCTCTTATTTGACAAAAAAAACACATTTGACATGTTTGTTTCTTGTGGAATGAAAGTTGTGTATACCTGTTTGCAGTATTACAGGCTAGTGATAATGTATGGAGCACACTTTGGACAAAAGAGGGACAAGGCAATACTGGAGTTCTAGTGCAGACAGTCCTAAACATTTTCTTTGCCAAGTTAGCTGAAACTCACTTCAAGTTCTCTCAAACAGTTTGGTAAATGAATTATTGAAAATATCTGTCACTACATGCATTTAACAGATTAACAGAAATCATTTCTTGTACATATGCAATGGGATAAAATGTGTGACAAGATTTGTTTATTGGTTTTCCCTTTATGAAGCATGATTGTTTACTGGATTTCTTTCAGAACACTGTGCATAATCAGTCAGTTAGTCATGAAAAAATATTTAATACACTTACTTAAAAGCAAATTGTGTGAGTGGCAGGGAAGGACATGCTTACCTTTAACACAAACACCTAGTGTCATCACTGATTTTCAGTGATCCATCCATATGATTTTCACCGCTATTTTGCCTTTTACTCCCTATGAAATCTGTTTCACCAGATAATTGAGACTTTATTCTCCGGTGTTGAGGTTGTATTAACAAAGGGGGATAATCTTTGTTGTGAATTATTTCCCTTTTCTTCAAAACTGCTGATGCAAGTTACACCCTTTGTTTTTATGGCTGATTTGATTAAGCTATTTCCAAATGCAACACGAAATTGATAGATGTTTTTCTTTTCTTGTTTTTAATTCAACCAATCAAGACAATATGCATCTAGAATTTGAAAAAAAATATTGTTTTTAGTTGAATTGTAAATAGTTCCAAATTGTGTGTTATGTGTTTAGAATTGCATGGCTGAGTGTGTCCCGATGGGAAGTTGTGATGTTTTATTGATATTTGTTGCTGTTTTGTGTTTAAGATTAAAGAGAAATTTTACAAATAATATCAGTACAGGTGATGAAATACATCCTGAATATGTAAATTATACATGTAAATTATATTATGTATTACTTTCAGCATGATAGATGATGTTTGTAGCTATTTATTCAAGCTGATATTGCATGATGACCCTTGAAACAATCTATAACCATGTATGTTAACAGCAATATAATTCATGTCTAATTTGTAATGTGTAATTTATGAAAATGTTTTTATGAACATATTTATGATTAGAACAGGATTCTGTTTCAGTTTCAAGAGATCTTTGATGGAATCATATTTCTGTCACCATATGCATTTATAAAGTTTGTTAAAGATGAGACCAAAATGCCTAGAAATAGCTTTGGAAGAACCATGGGGTACATGATTAAACTTGATTCATGTCCCTCTTGTGTACCATCAAAACACCAAACATATTATCTTGTGGTTATGAATCTTCATGTGTATTGTTAATATGATGTTCAAATGCACAAATAACTTTTATGACAGTTTTAAATAGTTGTAGCAATCCCCCTCCTGTATAAAAAGAGACGTCACTATGTTTTATTGTTTGAATGAGTGGCCAATAAGTGTATACAAGTGATACTTCGCAAACTTGGAATAAAATCTATACCTAATGTTTTGCCTATACTATTTTGTTACTTTACGCTTCAATGTTTTGCTTTCATAATGAAAGTTTCATTATGGAAGGGACATGACTAGCCTACTGTTCCAAGAAGGGCTTGCGCTTTAAAACCGGCATATAGACCTTAAACCCCCTGTCACCACCACCACCACCACCAATTATGTTCCTTGATTTGTCAGCACCCAACTGTGCTCATGTGTATCTACAAAGTTTTAAGGTTCTATGACCTGGATCCCTAAGGACTTTCCTCATCATTAAGTTGACAGGCTGTGATATGACTGACCTACTACTTTGATTGTCAGTTGTGTTTAACCCATCTCAGTCATTGACACATATGTAAATACATTTGTCTGCCTGTAACAAATTACCACACCTTACTTGTTAGGTTTAGGGAAGAAAAACAGACTTCATTCATCATTTAACTCCGCTTAAAGGATTTGGTGTAGACAGGGATCAACCCCATGGGTATTCCAGGTCTGAGTAGGTAGGCCTCAAGCACACCCTGCTGGTCGCAAGAGCCAAACACAATGAGGATCCAGTGGTAATATGTGTGATGTGTCACTTTTGTCATTGTACCCTGATAGGGCTGATATATAGTTGCCTTCGGTTAACCACTGCTTTACCTTTGTTTGTTGTTTGTTGCTGCAATATTCCAGCTGTATGACGGCAATCTATAAATAATCTAATCTGGACAAGAGAAACCAGTGATTGACAACATGAGCTCCGATCCACACAATTGTGATACGATGACATGCATCCACCTCTAACTACAACAAGAGTTGTCTTCCCTGGGCACACTAGAACCCTATGATTGTGGGTTCAATTCACAATAATGGTTTTTCTAGGTTTGTCAGCATCATACCTGTGTTCAGATGTTTCACCAAAGTAATTAATTGCAAGTAGGTGACTGTGACGGACTGTCCACACACACACACACACACACACATTAGATAAAGGGACGCTTGCCATAATTTGTTTGTATGTGGGTATTTTATGACATGGGAAGGGTGGGGTGGGTTTGGTAGGTGGGGTAATTCATGCCGCCTTCTGCCTCACAATCATCTCGTTCCTATATCGCATCATAGAGGAAAAACGTGGCAGAGTGATCCTCATAGTATAAGGGAGAAAACTCCTACGTTCTCGTTTCTCTCGCATATCAGTAAAGACAGAGTTGCACCCCTTTGAAATGAGACCCGTGCCTGTCTGCCGATTAAGATGCTGATAAACCAGCCAATGAGACCCGTGCATGCCTGTATAAACAATATCTGCATTTACCGAATCGGTGTGTGAGTGAGTGAGTGTGTGTTTGTGTTTGTATAGGCGCTTAATCGCTTAATTAAACCTTACTGGGACAGACCTCCGGCGTGACGAGCGAGGGCTTTAACCACTAGACTACCCCGACGCGCCCACACAACAATGACATACTGTGTGTCAAACATGGTTGCTCCATGCATGCCCCTAGGTCACCTTAATATCTAGCCCGAAGATGAGGGAATGTCTCAAATACATGTATATCATATTGTTTATAAAAACACCTTCCGAATAGAACATCAGATGCGCAGTCGCAGATATGTCATCGTAGTATTTATATCAATAACGATAGGTAGAATGACATCTCTCAATGCCCGCTTGTCAAAACTGTCTGGCTTTTCTTTCTTTGGGATGGTGTCCTTTGGTTCATCTGCAGTTTTTAACGCTTATCAAGGGAGATAATTCGGAATAAAGTCCTTCGAGATATGCTAAATGCATGCAATGTTCTCTTTGTGAAACAACGAATAGATATCAACGGTGTTTCTCTTTTTTATTCACGTTTAAGAAAATAATACGAATATCACGTTGTCCTCGGACAATATATATCCACTTTACACAAGATACAACCAGATGTGTAGGGTGACCTTGGGTCATGCATGCAGCAACCATGTTTGACACACATATGTCATTGTTGTAAGACGTTAAATCGTCTGTGCCGGTTTTATAGTGCAAGCCATACGGGGTCATGTCGATGGTCACACAAATTACCCAATGACAATGAAGAAAATATATAATTATGTATTCGGACATGAAATATCAGAAAATTGGTTTTAATAGTCAGGTCAGTGATTATTATAAGGTTCGTTATTTCGGGTTAAAGGAGTTCGGATAAACGATGTTTCACTGTCTTTACACTGACTACTGTGCAAAGACAAAAGGAAAGAGTTATACCGATATGTGGGATCAGGCTTCCAGACGACCTCAGCTGACACTACAACTGCCTTTCTACGGTAACTGGGGTATCATTGGGTGTGGACAGCACCCGCAACTCATTCCTACACTTCACCATGAATGCGGAAGGTTATACTTTCCCCACTACTCGGAACATTCTGACCAGCAAAATACACCCCTATATCTACTGATCACATTCTTCACAGGGAAGTCCAGCATAACATAGCTTTCTCGGAATGGAGCCCACATGACCACGGACAGTTGTAGTGTGTAACCCATGTCCAGGCACCTCGGTCGTCCAGGTATAACCTACAAGGGTAAAAGGACAATCGAAATCATCGGGACTACTGAAAATATATCGAGTTAAGGTAGTGCCGATTTTAGTCTTTAGTTTTATTTCCTACGAGGGCAAACATATCGGGGTTCATACAATCATATGTGCCCTAGGGTCATATCATGTCACAAGACAAAAGTCTATTGTTTCTCTCATCCGGACGGCATAGTTGACGTCATTAGAATCTTATTGTGACGTGAAGGGAGAATGAAACGACGTCATAGCTAAAGATTGTTGACGTCATTCGACAAATTGTGGTTCCGCTGCTGTTGCGACTTGCTGTCCTTATAAGTAAACACTAAAATTCGTCTCTGCTCTCGCTCGACAAAGACCGGAATTTAGACACTCGTGTCGTAAACCTAGTATGACATGAATACTCATATAATATCTTCAATTTATTAATACCTACAGGGTAAGAAATAACTGAGTTAATAAAAACCGCATGAGCACTTGTGCAAATATCACTTCTCGCTTACGTGTGTATTGTTTCCGTCATCCGTACGGCATTGTTAACGTCATTCGAATCTTATTGTGACGTTAGGTCGGAATGACGTTAAATGGATTGATCAGAGCATATTTTATTGTAAATAAACAAACGGACTAGTCATACCATTTGAACTGACCACATTGAGGTCTTATAACACATCAGTGTATGAGTAAATTACGCACGACACAATTATGTAATAGAAGAACTAACGTCCTTTGGCATGGGACAAAAAGATCATCCATTACATTCATACAAGTGGACAAGGCCTTATATCTCATATACCACTATCGCATAAATGAAGGTGTTAAATGGTGATTTCATCGGGTGTGTACTAATTACACCGGAATCGATTAAACACAATACATATTTCATTATCTTCATTGCCAAAAACAATTGTAGAGAGATCATGATTTCCGTAAAAAAATAAATATAATACATTTCTGTAAATTCATAATAGGTTGCCGTGAAAGGCGACTATGCTTGTGGTAAGAGGTGACTAACGGGATCGGCTGGTGAGGCTCGTTGACATGGTTGATATATGTCACCGTATCCCTAATGTGTGGATCGATGCTCATTGTCATTACTGGTCAAGACTCGATTATTTACAGACCGCCGTCATACAGCTGGAATATTGCTGGGTGCAGCGTTAAACAACAAACAAACATCATAATAGGTATTTTGTTTGAAAGTATAAAAACGCTGTCTCGCATTATGAACTTCAAGAGCAGGAGAATGTGTTTTCGAAATTATCTGAATATTTCTGCGTGAATTTGCAAGTCTCATTTATCACAACAATTCCTACCAGTGCAGAACCATCAATTAGATCAATCAGGTATAAGATATAGCTCAGGTCTGATGTTTTCCTTGGTTACCTGTAAGACGCTCTCAACGACCGACAGTGCTATGTCTATCACCTGCTTTTTAATGCTGACATCCTGACCAGCCCAGAGGTTATCCCGGATGCCTGGAATTCCAATTCTTTCACCTGCTTCCAAATTGATTCAAAGCTACGGTTGCATCGTCAACAGAGATGTGACAGCGTCTGTGGGGAGATTGGTTGATGCACTGAATGTCACCCTGTAGCCGATGTAGCGGGTTTACAGGTATAGAACTCATCTACAGCAGACTTCCGAAACAAACAGCTCGTGAGACAGACAACCAAACATACGACGGGTGGCCACAAAGTTCTACATGTGCCTACTCATACTATTCTTGCTTACACATGCATTGTAACCAAATACACAACCTGGCAGGATATTTCAGCAGGCATCAGAGTGACTAGGTATTCTCGGTTGATGAAAATGGACAATATTGCCAGTATTGGGTACCGCTCTGTTCCGAAATATCTTCAACTGAAAGAGCTCACTCCAACAGTCGTCCATGCGGGCTAAAGAAAATGTTTCAAACACATTATATGATAGCTAGCGACCAGTAATCGCCGAGGACCAATTATCGCCAACTCCCCGTTATAGCGCACACGTGATCGCATCTCGCTCTACTTTTGCTTGGTCTCGTTAGAAGAGAAACATATTTATCCAAAAATGAAGAAATGAAGAAATATTTAAAAACACACCATAACATCACCTTGCTCAAATACAACTTTAGAAGAGACATGCAGGCGGTGTCACGTGACTAATTCCCGCGTGAACAAAATTCTAGCAACACGATGATGCACATTCAGTTCTGTCATAGCTTACTATATGTCTGTCATTTCTTCCCCAAGTTACCTAAAACCTATTTCAGCAAATTTTCCAAAAATCCATAACCCTGTATGTATCGCGAAATCCATAGTGCATTATCTAGAGGATAAGAATGTGCAAATCGAATTTGAGGAATATGGTGTACGTCGGTTTGCAGACGACACATTGGTAAATGCATTTCTTATTAATTGTAATAAATATTAAATAGAAAAATGTAATTTGTATCACTAAAGCGGTGTGCGTGATATGTGGTACATGCAGTTTAGATGATGGCGATAACTGGTACAAGTGGTCGACGGAAAATTTCTATTTCCACTGTTTTGATTCCCTGTCGTCGCGTTATAACTAAAATCTACCGATTTTTTTCCCACGGACAGAAATACGCGCATTTGCACATAGTTTCACACAAATCAAAGTTATTTACACAGTTAACGTTTTACACGGAATATTTCAGAAATAACATGAAAAAATGGCGATAACTGGTCGGTGACCAATATGGATGGTTGTCGACTACCACACGTCACATAGCAAATACAGTAGGTATCTATCATGAGAGAGTTGAGAATACTATGAGTAATGAACTGGGCATGACAAAGGTTTCAGGTTTTATTATGTACACTGTACATATATCAATACAATACTAAGATAGGGATGCCACACTCTATGATACATATTAACCATGCGTAGCCCTATTCCATTTTCAAAGGGATGTCAGTAGACCTACATCTACCAACTGAGTTCACACTTGTGTACATGCAAACATGTCCTTCACGCATAATAATGTGTACTGTTTTGTATATATTATTACATCACGATACGACACTCATTGTCCATTGTGAGACAAAGTATCGCGATAAACCAATATTTGGGTGCTTCGTTACAAGAAAACAAGAAAACTCGAGCGTACTGTTGAAAGTGGCATTAAACTCACACACCAAATATACTCCTAAATGTATTGGGTTGAGGAAATAGCGATTATTTTATATGTTATATTGGTTGTTTGTTTACATATTCTTGCACTTACCTTATGGTTATTTTCAGCGCACACTCAACAGGACAAGAATCACGCTGAAAAAACGTTTCACAAATCAATATTTCCACAAAAGATCGTTCATTGCAGCTCGTAACATTAAAAATAGGTTTCTAAGTTCATGTTCATCTAGGCTATAAATGAAATCTCACCAGCTTGTTGGAATTTGTCTGACACAGGGGTGCAGTTCTTGAATATACGCCACGTCTGCTTCCATTCATTGAGTGTGAATTAACGCGCATCAAAAACTCGTGCATCGGAAGTGTGTCCTGATTGGTTAAACTCGTAACTATGAAACCACGTGACAATGCTGGTGAACACCTGCGGTGACATATACAACGATTCAAATCTGAAATGACATTTGTTTGTATTTAATAGTCTAAAAAGACGAAGCCAACATTTTTAAAAAAACTGGGCACTAGGACGGTGGCGTTGTAGTGTAGTAGATAGTACCTTTGCTTGTTGAGCGAAGATAAGAGTTCGATTCTTCATATAGTTACAATGCGTGAAGCTAAATGATTTTATATTTTTGTAGAATAACAAAATTTCTTTTTTTTTCATCAGTCTGAAGCATAATTGTTTTGCAAGAATATTCTGGGACAATTTACCTTTTTCCGATAACATCCCCATTGTCTCTAAATATGACATGTAAAAGTGCTATGCATAAACGAATTAAAGTTGTATTACCTGTGTGTTTGGTTATATGTTTATTGTAAAATGTCTTTTCTGTTCTGAAGTGTTTGTTTAATATATGTTTGCAGCCTGGAATTGTCCTCGACATGAAATTACATTTCACTCCACACAGATAACACAATTCTCATAATATAATTCAAACATTAGATGCCCGATATATTTTATTTGCCTCTATTAGAATTAAGCGTTACATTGTATTGAAATATATATTTGTTTACAACAAAGAAAACAAAAATGATTTCTTAAAGCAAAACAGCCACATGACTGCCAAGAAGTCTTGACACCCATTAGCTTTTATGTGTTATGTCAGTCGAGAATAAATATATTTCATATGATTCTAAATATAGAAACCAGAAATGTGTCGGGATCGGGATCGGGTGGTCAGGCTCGCTGATTTGGTTGATATATGTCACCGTATCAAAATTTCGTGGGTCGATGTTCATGATATCAATCACTGGATTGTCTGGTCCAGACTCGATGATTTACAGACCGCCGTCATATAGCTGGAATACTGCTGAGTGCGGCGTTTAACAATAAACAACAACTCTCCATACAATTAACAAGACATTCCGTGAATATGATTGAAATTACTAATACACTTCTGCTCACGCACACATTCTTTATAGGGACGAGGGGCGGTCGGGTAGCCTAGTGGTTAAAGCGTTCGCTCGTCACGCCGAAGACCCGGGTTCGATTCCCGACATGGGTACAATGTGTGAAGCCCATTTCTGGTGTCCCCCGCCGTGATATTGCTGGAATATTGCTAAAAGCGGCGTAAAACCATACTCACTCACTCACTCACTTATAGGGACGATTATTAATTGCTATTTATGTCCAAATATATGACAGGCTAACATTCACATCACGTGTTTTCTCTGATGAACGGGCACTGGACGGAATACAAACAATGTTTTGATACAATAATGGATATAGATATTTGACGAATTCAACCATTCTTTCCAATGTCAGTTGTCGAATTGTAACCAACATTACAGTCCAAATATTGTTAAACTATCAGAGACCAAGTAATTGCTATTTTTATATGTTATACGGTATGATGTCAAAAAGTGATATTATCTATGGATTCATTTTATCATCTCTTAGTACCGGGAATGCGTCACGTCTAATCACCGAGCCGGAACTATGGCCGCAAAAGCTACACTTAAATTTACATATACAGTAAACTACGGTTATAACGAACACGCTTATAACGAACTGACGGATATAACGAACTTACTTTTTGGTCCCGACTCTTTGCTGTAGTTATGCTGGATATATGCTTATAACGAACTACGGCTATAACGAACTAAAATTAGTAGTCCCTTTGAGTTCGTTATAACCGTAGTTTACTGTATTTTAGAATTTGGCTATTTCAGTCCATAACCGGCAACGGTGCGATAAGAAATGTCATTAAACTAAAGTAGATCATAAACAGAAATTAATGTCGTTCGTGAAGGAATCAAACAGGATAGATATATTTTTACATTGCAATACCCCGAACATTACACACTTTTGTGATATATTTGGTTGTTGCATTCCAATAATGTCTCTATCTTTTTATAGATATTGACCCGTGATTGAAATATAGATCTATAATTCCTACTTAACCATAACTGTATCAACGGGGATATTCTGATAACATTAATTGAACTAATATTTACATCAGTAAACACCCCTGTCATCATATATATAAACACTTGTTAATTTCATTATTTTAATCAGAACTTTAGATAGGACTATATAGAGTTGTGTTTCAAGTAGTAGTAAAATAAATCATTGATTTAGCATTTTACAGCCTATTGGATACTTATTATATCTTATTTAGCTACTATACGCGTTCTAATAGATGCTGTGTGTTTCGTTTTATTAAAGAAACATCCACACGTTTATCTTTGTTAGCGGCATTACGATACACATGTGTATAAGAGATCTTCCCCTTTGATTCATGAATTTTTGTAAAATCACGTGGCCAGTCATGTGACCTACCTACCGTAAACAAAATGGCGAGTGACACTGTGGTTGGAAATGTCAGCGTGGCGGTTAATCCCGATCTGCAGAAAGAGCGTGATACTGGGACATTCGATGTCCGGGAACTGAGTCAACTACTTCACGGAGGACCGGAAAAATTAATGCGGAAAAGGGAACTAGGTATGAAAGTGAATATATTCGCCAAAGATTAGGCTGACAGACGTGCAGACGAAATGATCATTGATTAAAAGAAAGAAATACCATGGTCTCTGAAAGAAAAGATCAACAAAGTGAAATGTGTCAGTGCATTCATCGAGATGTGTTGTTTTTATCAGCTTTACTTATCAGTCTTGTATAACATAGTAAGTACTTCACATTATACTACCCCGACAGGATATTATCGGAGACGTACAGGCCCCTAGACAATCTTTTTAGTGTGTATACTCAAATTTTGTCATTGACATTAGGTATTTGGGAGTCTTTCTTTGGGTATTGAATATATTTTACTCCCTTGGATCCTCTGTTGGGTATTTTTAAACCAACGAGTCCACTTCTTTTTTATTTTTTTAAATAATTATGGTTAAAATACTTTTTAGGTAACTTCTAATTTTCTTCTGTTCAGGTGCTGCACCAAATGTGTCATATGTCACAAAATCCCACAACAGCAATAAATGTGTTAGTTGCAGAAAGCGAGACATATCGCTTTCATGCATTATTTACACACTACCATTCACATATAGACGATGCCTGCATTCAATCAGTAAATAAAAAAGAGTAAAGATATTTCGTTAGGCAAGCTGAATAGGCTACATTTGGACTTTGTACTTAAGAACTACATCAAGCATAGCTAACGGTGTTAAAGGTATATAGCCACTCATAGTGTTACTTATTATTTTTTAATGTTTAAGACTGGTTACTATATTTATTTATATACACTACTCAAACAGACTTACAAATGATTAAATTTAGCATATTACTAGGCTGATCATTAAAAATTTCACTGTAAATGAGAACCTCATCATGATCAGCCATGAATATGAATTCTTGTTATTACTAAATACTATATGAATAAAGAAAATGTTATTACAGACAAAGGATATGAAACAATTAGATTTTCAAATTGAAAATGTGAACATGGTTAAATTAATCAGAAAAAATTAATACACTCTTAATTCTATCTGGTTGGGTAAAAAACATTACCAAACATAAGGGTAACACAATCATGTTTCTATTCCTCACAGACCATTAAGCTTCATTCAGCCTTGCCTATAGCAAATGTTTGTTTCTTGTCATGTGAATTGTGATATGTATGTTTGTTCTTGTGTGTTTATGTTTGAATGTAACATGTAAATATATTTGTTTTTTAAACATTACTAACATTACTAATACTGTGACATGCTTGTATGAACTTTTGACACCACCCCAAAACACAATTTCTTAAACCATTTTAGTCCAGGTAATTACATTTAACCAAACCTAAACAAAGAGACAATAAAAATCATGTAATCAAATGCTATCAACTCTGTGTAATATTTTATTAAAATGATTCAAGTATAAAAGCAAGCCAAACGATGGTAAGCTAAATAATGAAAATAACAACATCAGGTATAATTTTAAGAGTCAATTTTAGTTAGATTTGTGAATATATATATATTTTCTATTCTAATCCTTAAAAGAGAATTTGGCAAATAAAACTAAAACTTTATGTTATTTATTTTCTGATTGTAGCTTTTCATTTTGGTCATTGATCTGTAAACAGTTTCTGACTCATTGACTGACATGTTATCTGGTATGAGTCTACGTACATGTATGACTTCAGGACGTCTGGGGCGATAGGTCTCAGCATGATGTATGTTTATCAGCTGTTACACAAACATATTACTGTAGTGAATCTGTGTACCGGTACACAGGGGTGTGTATCTACCTTGACCAGTACACATCGCCCAGTGATACACATTCTGAACCCGAGACATGTTAACGTCACAACATCAGATTTCTAATTTATTTTCTGTCTCTTCATGTCATGTTTGAAAAGTAGTCCAAGGATGTTGCATTCATTTAACTACATGTATTTCTCTTCACTCTTAAAAGTTATCAGATGTAAAACAAACTTGTTAAATAATTTAGGGGTTTCATGATTGGAAAGTTAAGTATCGATATGTTAACTAAAGGATATCATAATATATTGATTAATAACTAAATTAGTTATTCTGTGTGTGTATAGGTTACATTTTCCTATCTAGTCGTGCTATTTATCAACTTAATGCTGACTATGAACTTGTCTGATCTATCAAATGTTTAAATTGAATTTTCTACCTTCTTATTGTCCATCCCATCCATGGTAGTCTTAACACATGTAAACAATTCTGTGGCAGTGAATTATACTCAAAGATGTAAAAAATGGTACTTGTTGTTACTGTGCCTGGTTACGATTTACAAAGCATGCAATTTGATTCCCTCTTTCAGAACATCTACTGTTCAGTGATCCAGTGTTCCAGGATGCAGAGAGGGCGTTCAAGTCGAAGGAAGAGATTTATGAACTGGCTGTTCAAAAATCAGTCAAACTGTTTGAATGGAAGCGGCGGTACCAGTGGACGGAGGAGGACTTTGAGACAGCTGTGGAGTAAGTGATTGTCGGAAACAGAATGCTTTTTTTAAGAATGCCAAAATTGTGTTTGATGAAGCCAAATTAAGACAACAAAAATCCTTAATGAGTGAGTGAGTGAGTGAGTATGGTTTTACGCCGCTTTTAGCAATATTCCAGCAATATCACGGCGGGGGACACCAGAAATGGGCTTCACACATTGTACCCATGTCGGGAATCGAACCCGGGTCTTCGGCGTGACGAGCGAACGCTTTAACCACTAGGCTACCCGACCGCCCCTAAATCCTTAATGAAAAAGGCATGCAAATAACCTTGATGGTGGAATGGAGCCAGTTGCCATTTAGATTCATCATATCAAATTAAATCAACTGATACACTTTCTATATATAATATTGGACTATTTTTAGCTAAAGCTTTTACAATGGGGGCGGTCGGGTAGCCTAGTTGTTAAAGCGTTCCCTCGTCACGCCGAAGACCAGGGTTCAATTCCTGACATGGGTTCAATGTGTGAAGCCCATTTCTGGTGTCCCCCGCCACGTTATTGCTGGAATATTGCTAAAAGCGGCGTAAAACCATACTACAATGACAAATGAGAAATACTAGTGTGCAGGATATTACCTTCTGAATTGTATTGAATTGTGGGCCAATGGCCTTTATTTAAGAAATATACGATGCGTGGTAGTTGTTTATTGTATGATAAACAATGACCAAGAGTCGTTTATTTCTAATATGAGATATCAATATAATGTACAGCTTCTATATGGATGATGATAAAATGTACAAGCTTAATAAATATTTACCCGTATTTGAATAATGATGACTCCCTGAATAGAATCCAACCTTGGCAATGTCGGACAAGTCCATTTATGAACAAGGGTTTGTTATTGGTATTTCCCAATTATTCTCCCAATCCTCACGTTGATTATCTGTACTTTTTCTCAATACCGGTTTTAGTAAACAAGCACTTTCTCCATCGTGTCATCTGCAAAGTGACAATATTAGTACCTTGTAGGTATAGAAAGAGTGATTCAGAAATACAGGGATAGAATTGTTACTTGTTCAAGTGTACTACAGAGCACTCATTTAGATAGAAAATTATTCATAAAATGGGTGGAGGTGGGGGGGTGTCAACAAAATATGTAACTTTAGTCCAATCCTACTGGCAGATCCCCACCTATATTTAAGTGCAAGTCTCTAATACACATATGCTACCCAAAAGTTAACAAACCTGATTCCTTCATTTGACCAATAAATTTTGAGTTGCTTGCATACAAATACCCATACAAAATTTAATAAACCCAATAATATTACAACACAGGAATTACCCAATGACGTATTCTTTTCAACTTAACTGTTTATCTGGCAATCTAGGAGTTGGTGAGTAAACAAGAAAACGTACAACTTTATGTACAACAACTTCTGGTTTATTGCATATAGCAACGTTTTGATTTTTGGTTGTTGTCACTCCAGCTTGATAACGGTGTAAGAATCTACATCGAAACATCACTTTTTGCAATAAGTTGTTATCCATAAGGTTGTATGTTTTCTCACTTAGATCTTTATTTACTTATCGAATGCAGGCATAACACATAACAGTCAAGTCTCGTTAATCTGACACTCATTAATCCGACAATCGGCTTTATCCGACACTAATGATGGGAACTTATTAAATCAGTGCTATTTAGACCCGTTAATCCGACAGTCTCACACTCCGACTCCGACACCCCTATTTTGCAACGAATGACTGAAATCACTCATTAATCAGTCTCGTTAATCCGACACAGTGATCAGCGTACTCCATGGTCATCTGCCCGCGAGTACACAGCCCGTATTTTGATGCGAGACAAGTCGGCTGGTAGCTGCATATTACAAAGGCTGCAGAGATAAACTTGCTTAATAATAAACAATTAATGCTTTAAATAAAGAAAACAGGATTAATCACATGCTTAGATTATCTCAATCTCATTAAAATCAGATACAAGTTGAACTAAAGTATGAACTAAACTGCCGTGAACAAACCATGAAAAAGAAGCTAATATTCACATATTGTTACTTAGACCAGTATATGGCGCTGCTGTGAGTTTATGTGACCGGTTACACGCCTGGGGCAGCACATGAACAGACACAAATTAGAAGTCACCAGAAACAGGATTTCAAGCAGAGTTGTTATTAAAACAATGTCTACTCATTGGTGTCAAATACCCAACAGACCGGCCCCATGTGAGGAATATATATTGAATACCCAAAGAACACTATCAATACCCAATGTGAATGATAACATGTGAGTAAATTCTCAATTGCTAACAACACATCTGGGACCCTGTTGACAGTTGGTCCTCAACTCCAGGTTAGGCCACACATTTTATATTTTTCATTTCACCCGGTCTGCCGACCCTTCTGAAAAGCAGCCAGTCCCAGAAATAAATTAAACATAAAATATTTATTTGTATTATGTCTTTCGATGGTAATATGGACCCTCTTATTCAATACAAAATGATACATATAAATTCCATGTCTACATGACTATCAGTGATTCAAGGAGGCAGCTGCAGTTTTAACTCCGCAGCAGAATGACTTTCATATAAATGATTGACATAGCTATTTACTTTTATTATTTCGACCGACATTGTGTGGAAAGGTTATGCCTCATGGAGACATGAACCCTGCCAAGAATTTACAGATGCAATGTTAAAGCATATACACTCTATCACACCCAAGAAATTATAAACACTGGCATATGTTTACAATGCTGCCTCGCCTGCAAGCATGGCATTGTATAATTTAGAGTGATTTCCCCTTTGATTACTAAGTGAAGAACTAAATATTTTATGTGTGATTCAAGTAATATTGTGAATTGTATTTGTTTTTATAAATAATCATAATATACATTATACTTTACACTAAAATATTTCAGTCAAATATTTTTTTAAATAATTCTATATATGGAAATGTTTATTGCATTTGTTGTGTTATTGGTCATGGTTTATGTTTTGATAATTAAATACCATACAATTATGAAAAGAAACTGTTGATATTTCCAACCTGTCTAACCAATTTTGTGTTGTATTTTTTAGAAATGATAATACTGTTAATTTTCACTAAATCATATGCATATCCATTTGTTTATAAATTAGGAATGAAATGTGCAAATATGCTGTTTTGACATTACACTGAAATGTCTGCCAGATAAGCTATTCAGAGGGAAATCACTCCCATTTAAACAAAGTCCTTACTTACGATTCATTGATAGGCAGTACTGATAGTGGATCCTTGAGTTAGCTAGATGTACATGTTGTAGATAGTGATGGCACTCCACTCCACTCAAGAGTTGGGAAAGTCACACTTCTGGGGATCACGTTGCGATGTACTTTACATCATGTGGAGGTTTCAATGCAAAACTTGAAGTTTTTTTAATGGGACTCCTGCATTTTATCAGGCTTGTTTTGTTTAATGACCATTTTGGGGTACCCCCACAGGGCTTGATTTAACTACATAAAACTTGCACCAAGATTTAACTATCCAAAACTCTTATTGAAAAGGCAACCTAATATTTATGTCCACACGCACCACGTTCATGTTAATAAAATTCAAATTTCTGTTGGACTAGGCCTTACTTATCCACACAATAACCTGGTTTATCTGATGCAACTAAGTTTTCATATCAACATGCACCTTATCAAGTTAATTAAATCGTGCCCTGCCCCAAACCTCCATTAAGCCAATCCCTGTTAATGTATGGTGTCATAAAGTTTTTGATACAACCGATTCAAATGACACACTAATTAATGGATGTTGACATTCAGCTCCCTAGTAGCATTCGCTGTTAATTTTATTGTTAAAAACTGGTTGTGACAGGATTTAATGCAAGCCTATTTCAATCTTCCAGAGGCAAGGGAGTTAACTGACTATAAAAGTCCAGTTTCCAACCTTGCCGAACTAGGCTGGTATTATGGAGTTACATTTTGGCTGGACTAACAAGTCTATGCATAGTCCAATCAAAATCGCACAACGAAATCCAAATCCGGTTCATAAACTGTCATGCAGATTTCGGTCAATTGCAGGGTTTGCAAAGCATGCGCACCGCCAACTTGTTGTCAACAGATATTTTCCAAACCTTTTCATGTTTTTAATCAAGGTGCTCATGTGCTTTGATGCATTTCGCGATGTAAGACCCTTTACATTACAATATAGATCTTGATTATCAAGCAGAACGTCTAGATTGGGCGCCACCATTTTGTTTGAAACAAATGCAAGTGATGGAGTCTGATTGGTCGATAGGAGCGGCTTAGAAGGGACATAACTCGTAATAGCCACTGGTGGCACTACGTTCGAGCCCAGGAATTCCAGCCAAGTTCGACAAGGGTGGAAACTGGACTTTTGAAGACAGTTATCTCTCTTGCCTCGGGAAGATGGCCTATTTCAGGCTTGGTAGCCTTTGTAGTTAAAGCGTTCGCTTGTCACATTGAATATTGCTAAAACCGGTGTAAAACTCAACTCACTCACTCTCTGTTTCAGTCTAGCGTGCCATGACTTGGCTCTTAGCCTACATCATTCGATGTTCATCCCAGGGATTGAACGACTAGCCACAGATGAACAGAAGGCAGAATGGCTTCCATTAGCGCTCAACTTTAAAATCATAGGCACTTACGCACAGACAGAACTTGGCCATGGTGAGACCACTAAAGGAATCAGATTTAGTATCTTTGCTTTCTGTTAACAGAAAACAATAAACTGAATAATGCTCAAAATTATATTTATAGTATATTATTTAAAGTAATATTAAGGAAATAAACCTATACTGTTTACATTTTGAAGTGGTTCATTGTTGATTAAAAAATGCAAAATTTAACATACAGCAGTGTTTAGTCAATGATCCACCACTTCTAAATTTAAATGGAGAATAAGTTTATCTCCATTCTACCATGACTAAGATGTGTTCCTTAAAACACTCTTTTTCTTGTGCACATGTTCATTACAGTGATGTGGTTTGAAATGGTTATCGCTTATTAACCACTTCAAATCTAGCAAAATTAGCCAATGAAATTTCATCATCCATCAATGATATGGGCTTTATCATGCTTCTAACAATAATCTTAAAGACACGACAAGCTCTGTCCTATACTATCTTTAACATTATGAAATCCTTAGGAAGCAGTTACAATTTTTTGCCTATTATTTTAGTTATACCATATAAGTTAAATCAGGGGCTAGTGCAAATTACTGCAGACAAGTAAAAATTTCCCCATTGTTTTAGCAATACATGGGCATTTAATGTATATGTTTACCTGGGATAGTAAAGCTTTCGAGTTTAGTTCTAACCTTGTGACAATTTATTATTTTAATGATATTTAGAAGTGATACACATAAGGCAGAGAGTAAGTTTATGGATGTCAACGTCAACTTACTGCTTTGACTTAACTGTCTGTGCTGTTAATCCAGCTGACTTCCATTTGTCCGTTGCTATTAGGGCTGGGACGAGTCCAAATTTACTACCCTACCCGGGTACTCACTCTAGGTCTCAGGAGATGTCTCAAAATGGCCGATTGGGAAAATTTTAGCATAGCCCTGGCAAAACGTATTTAGATACATGTATTAAACAATCTGGTCATACACACACTGGAGCTGAATTAAGTTATATCTTTATTCAACCATATGAAAAATCAGAAGGAATGGGTGCTTATTCAGAAAGAAATGCAAACATTAGTGACTTTTAGACATAGAGTTCTAGATAATTTTGTCATTAAACAATATATCACGTGACTAACCACGAGTACAGGTAGTTCTGTGGGTACCTGGGTCCTACTCAATACCCAGCGGACCCGGGTACCTGAGTTACCCGTCCCACCCCAAGTTGTTATAGGCCTTGCAGTTTGTGACAGAAATTCTGTCCAAACACTATCTTTATATATATATATATGAATGTTAATGATATATGATATGGTTTGTTTATTTCAAAAGGTTTTTAAAAGTGAATTGTTTAAAAATAATTCCAAAATTTAGAATTGACATTTTATGATACATTTGGGAATAAGATTGTTTCACAAAGAATTACTTTGAGTACATTTGCACTCACAGTCATTGTCTTTTCCATTTCAGGAACCAACTTATTAGCATTGGAGACAACAGCGACCTTTGACCCCAAGGCTGATGAGTTTGTGATGAACACACCAAAGATCACATCGATGAAATGGTGGCCAGGAGGATGTGAGTAGTTCATCTCGCTGAGCATGCTTAGTGTGGAGTTACTGCTGTGTGCCGCACTCAGCCATATTCAGCTATATGATGGCGGCCTAGATAATCAGGTCTGTACCTGACAAAACAGTGATTGATATTATGAGCAGTACTTGATACCGTCATGGTATGATACCACACAAATCAAGCAAGTCACCAAGCCTCATCAAACATTCAATTAAAGTCTTAAGACCAGCATAGGTTGCTGTGGATCTATTCTCACCCTGAATCCCCATTTGGAGGGTGGAGATGTTTCATTTTTGTTCCTGCTTTTACAGCCCCAACATTGATCAAATTCTTTTTTGTCTTTATGTATTTTTGTGGTGTCTCTTCCTAAGGTAACACTTTCTTCACTGATTTTTTACAAGAAAATATCTGAAGGCAGTTTCCTCTTTCGCTACAAGTTGACTGGTAGAAAAAAAGAGCCTTATGTTTCTACACGAAACTCTTGTTTGTTTGTTACCAAACAGAAATGTCCCCTGTTTATGTAATTTCTAGTCTCATGAAAAATTATGCATGTCAAAATCCTTTTGACTTTGTGTTCACTGTGTCCTGTGTCTTCAGTGTTCACTGCGTCCTGTGTTGACTGTGTTCACAGTATGTTCACTGTGTTTACTGTGTGTTCACTGTGTCCTGTGTTCACAGTGTGTTCACTGTGTCCTGTGTTTACTGTGTACAGTGTTCACTGTGTTTACTGTGTGTTCACTGTGTCCTGTGTGTACTGTGTTCACAGTGTGTTCACTGTGTCCTGTGTTAACTTGTACTGTGTTCACTGTGTTTACTGTGTGTTTACTGTGTCCTGTGTGTACTGTGTTCACAGTGTGTTCACTGTGTCCTGTGTTTACTGTGTACAGTGTGTTCACTGTGTCCTGTGTGTACTGTGTTCACAGTGTGTTCACTGTGTCCTGTGTTTACTTGTACTGTGTTCACTGTGTTTACTGTGTGTTCACTGTGTCCTGTGTGTACTGTGTTCACAGTGTGTTCACTGTGTCCTGTGTTTACTTGTACTGTGTTCACTGTGTTTACTGTGTGTTCACTGTGTACTGTGTTCACAGTGTTCACTGTGTCCTGTGTGTACTGTGTTCACAGTGTGTTCACTGTGTCCTGTGTGTACTGTGTTCACTGTGTCCTGTGTGTACTGTGTTCACAGTGTGTTCACTGTGTCCTGTGTTTACTTGTACTGTGTTCACAGTGTTCACTGTGTCCTGTGTTTACTGTGTACAGTGTTCACTGTGTTTACTGTGTGTTCACTGTGTACTGTGTTCACAGTGTTCACTGTGTCCTGTGTGTACTGTGTTCACAGTGTGTTCACTGTGTCCTGTGTTTACTTGTACTGTGTTCACAGTGTTCACTGTGTCCTGTGTTTACTATTCACTGTGTGTTTACTGGGTTCACAGTGTGATGTGTTAACTGTGTTCACAATGAACTTTGTACTTTGTTAACTGTGTGTTCACAATGTGTTCACTGTGTCCTGTGTTTACTGTGTTTTACTTCGTCCTTGTTTACTTGTGTTCACAGTGTGTTCACTGTTTACTGTGTTCACTGTCCTGTGTTTACTGTGTGTTCACTCTGTCCTGTGTTTACTGTGTCCTGTGTGTACTGTGTTCACTGTGTCTTCACAGTGTCCTGTGTGTTCACAGTGTGTTTACTGTGTCCTTTGTTTAGTGTGTTCACTGTGTCCTGTTTACTGTGTGTTCACGGTGTTTACAGCATCCTTTGTTTAATGTGTTCACAGTGTGTTCACTGTCCATTGTGTCTTGTGTGTTCACTGTTTACTGTCTTGTGTGTTCACTGTTTACTGTGTCTTGTGTGTTCACTGTTTACTGTGTATGTTCAGTGGGGCTAGCCCCCATCCATTTAAATTACAGATTAAGAATAAATGAGGATGATGTCCTTTTCCATTTATACTACTCAAAAAACGTTAAAGAACACTATTGTCATGCCATGACAGATTAACTGTAGTCATATTGAAAAACCAAGTGTTCTTTAACTTCTTTTGAGTAGTATATATGCAGTCCAATCACGTCTAGACTTTATCCCAGTAATCTCAAAGCTTTATGACGGCCATTATTAGGAATGTCATCATATATCACAATATTGATATATCAGTACATTTTTAATGTTTATACTGTTTTGACTCAAATTGATGAATATGAACACCAACTTGATAATTCACTGCCACAGAAACATCTACATTTATAAACATTACCATTGTTATTGGACAATGAGAAGGCCGAAAATTAAATTTTCATCATTATTATTATCATTAGAGTGTAGCCCCTGGATTAACTATTATAGAGGTACAGCATCAGGAATTATACAGCCCAAAGATCTTTAACATCTATTAATTAACTCATTTCTATGTCAGTGTTGCAAGAATTCTCTGATTCTTTGTTTCAGTAGGAAAATCCAGCACTCATGCAATTGTTTTGGCTCAGCTTGTTCTTCGAGGAAAGAATTATGGGATGCACCCGTTCATTGTACAACTTCGAAGTTTAGAGGACCACACACCGATGCCAGGTGAGCTTCAACATGATGATTATACACCTAGACTAGTGAAAGTTGAGCCATTCATTGACTGTCTTTTTCACTCTCTCATCTCGTCATGCATCCACTCGTACATTCATTCACTCCAACACTTGTTCTCACTCTCCTGGGGTACATGGGCTCAGTCTGTCAGGGAGATGCAGTCCTGTGCAGAGTTGTGTCCCTTTGGCTAGCCATAATCCTGTGATCATTCGTTTGAATCTCAGATTTGCCCTGATTGTGTTTCTTTGCCTAATAATATATTTGATTAATGGAAAATTGAATTGATGTTCTTTGCATAAATAGTACAACAGTGTAGTTATTCTTCTAAAACAATAATGAATTCCTCTGTGTAGGGTAATACTGTGGTACAGACAATGGTTTGTTAGGCCAAATGGTCAAAGTGAGTTGTTTCATGTCCCGCATAAAGGGATCACTATCCAGTTATTCGCAGCCTCAGTGGGCTTTTGATGCTTTTGACAAAAGGAAATGTATTATGTTTGAAGGAATATTATTCAACCTTAAATATACTCTACCTCATAATTTCATGAGACCCATGAAGATCTGGTTTAGAATTGGTCTTCAGCAACCCATGCTTGCTGTAAGAGGTGACTTTGCTTGTCGAAAGAGGCGACTAATGGGATAGGGCGGTCAGGCTCACTGACTTGGTTGATGCATGTCATTGTATCTCAGTTGCATAGATCAATGCTCATGTTGTCAATCACTGGATTGTCTGGTCCAGATTATTTACAGATCGACGTCATATAGTTGGAATATAGCTGAGTCCAGCGTTCAACCACAAACGAACAATGTTTTCATGATGCAGGCATTTTGAAAAAATAAACAGTTCAAATGACATGTCAAATGTTTAAACATTTCTTTCAAATTGATAACAACATGGGATAAAATGATAAAAAAGTTATATTTTTATTTGTAACAATCCTGTTGTTTTACTGCCACATAGATTCATGTTTTTATATTCTACATATTGGGGTTGGTGAGTTAGCCCAATGGCTACTGCGTTCACTCATCATACTGAATATCAAGTTCTATTCCCACCATGGACAAAGTATTTGAAGTCCATACTCGGTGTCATCTGCTGAGTCATTGGTAGAATATTGTTTAAAGTAATGTAAAATCCTACTCACTCACTACCCATGACTGTTACAAGTGTTTGAAGTGCATTAAAATCACAATCACCAATACATTTGGTGTTTTTTGCATAAATATTTTGTGATATTCGGTTTTCTTGAATGTATTAAAATTTATTATTTTTTAAGTATCTGTATTGTGTTATTTATTAACGCCTTACCAGTACAAGAGTAACATTATGTTAATGTTTGGGTAAATTACTGTTTGTAAATCCTGCAATCTTCTGAAAACAAAATCTTCAATTTAGCTCAAAATGTTAAATTCTTTTTGTATAATGTCATTCAATATACCACAAATATTATATGTATATTGTCTTTAGATGTATGGTTCTCAAATGTCAAACATTGAAATATTTGAATTAAAACATTAAATTATGTGTAATATTTTAATGTAAGGAGCTTGTGCATTGTATGATAAGAGAAAATAGACTTCCTTTTAGATACGCCACATCCAGCGTTCGAATCCCACTCCCCCCTACCACCCCATACCTCTTTGGGTATGGGAGCCCTGGCCATAAGCGTTCGCTGGTTTGGGGGGTACAAAGGTCATTACCTTTACACCTAGGGGGGGAATGTTTGAAGAGCTGAGGAAGACCTCGGCTGAAAATTAACAATCAAAATTAGTAGTCTTAGTTGTAGAAAGGGATGTTTTACATGTAACTATGTTCATATAGCAGCTTTTGTGTTGTTTGTTATGACAGGTCAAAGGTCAATTAATTATTAATCAAATTTTTCTCCATTTTTTTTCTCCAAATTTTAACTGCTTTTATTGCTAAATTTTCCCGGTAGTTGCATATTGCTACCATTGCAAATGTACAATTTTGTACAATATTTTTTAATGTATATTATGTTTTTAAAGACCACTATTTTATCATGTTATAAATGTTATATTAAACCCATTATGTAAAAACTGACCAAAATTTCACATCTATGTGTTATACTGATTTTTTATATGTAAAACCATCATTTGATATTTACTTTTGGTGCATCTATCATCTTCACTCAATTGATTTCTTTGTGCCCTGGTTGATCAAGGAAGGAGCGTTACAAACAAGTGTGGACTTGCTATCTGAATGGCCTTTGTGTTCCCTGTGCTAAAAGTAGGTCAAATATGGCTTGCACTCCACTGAAATGAACAGCTGTTTATCAAACTGGCATACTTCATTATGTATCTGTTTCCTCAAATTCATTTTGAAACAGTTTCAATATCCGAAAGTATTTTGTTTCTTTTGTGTTCTTGTGCATTTTTATGTTTTTATTTGTGTTTAGATAATTATTAACTTTTATACCTTTTTTCTCTTTTTTTGGTTACATTTCTTGTTTTACTTTTATTTAAGTCTCTGTTTGTCTTGTTTGAGTTGATAAGATGTAAATTTCATCATATTTTAGTTTTAATTAAATGCTTTTTTTACTTATTTTAATAACAGTAAGTTGAAAGTTATGATTAGTTTCAATAATCATACAGTCAATCCTTCTTGCAACTTGGATCACAGAGCTGCCTGCTTAAAATTGACCAAAAATGTTTTTACCATTTAGCTTTTTTCATGTTTCTGATAAACTTATCAGTGTGTCTTTTTTTAAGTAAGGCCCTGAGAAACAAGGTAATGTTATCGCTAAGATGATCAATTACAAAGATAGTTTTATATGCATACAAATTGAGGAAGCAAACAATTTACATTGCTAGTCCTATTAGACACAAGAGAATGTCTGTTTGAAATATAAATAAGTTGTAGATTGCATATAACAGTTGAGTGACATTTCTATTCAGATATGAAAGTTCTGGGTGTCACCGGTTGATTTTACTCAATCTAAAATTAGAATCGATACAATAGGCTTTGTGCTTGCCATCATTTGCAAGAGGGTCCTGATGGTTTTAATGCTTAACGTAAAACACCCTTCAAACACTATCGTAAACGTAAAAGTCATCTTTTTTTATCCTAAATGCTTATCTTAAAATACCCAAAAATAACTGCTTAACGTAAATAAATAATTTACTGCTTATCGTAAAATGATTAAAATGGTCAAAATCAGTCTGTCTTCAAGACCCAAATGCTTCGCCACAGAAAGCAGGCTGCGCAACTGAATGTTAAGCGATTTGAGATTTTACCCGGTATTAAAAATATGAATTGTCAGGATGAAACAAAAGCAGAATTAAAAGTCCCATGTCCTGCCATGGCTGATTTAGGAATTTTTCACGACGATTTTATTGAAAAAGAAGAAAATTACTGCTTAATGAAAAAGTACCCTAAATTTTACTGCTTACTGCTTATGGGACCCACCCATCAGGACCCTCTTGCAATGACATCAATGACATTGTTGGAAACCAAGTGAAGCATGTCAGATGTTTCTAGCCGGGGGGGCTCTCAAGTTCATGCCTTCGACACTCCAAAATTATAACAGGGAGTTCCCTGAACTTGAAAAGAAGTACACCCAGGCAAATCTCTGGTGTTAGTTGCAAAGTTTCTTTTGAATGGCACAAGGTTCAACAGATATGCTAGTCCCCTAGATAAATGCTAGATAATATTAACCAGGAATATCAATAGAGGTGGTCCAGCTGGCTAGTGAAATTACATCAGTCTCCATATTTTGTTTAGGTGACCAAAAAAATAATTATTCAACAGATATGCTAGTCCACTAGATAAATGCTAGATAATATTAACCAGGACTATCAATAGAGGTGGTCTAGCTGGCTAGTGAAATTACATCAGTCTCCATATTTTGTTTAGGTGACCAAAAAAATAATAATTCAATTTTCATTCACTTTTTTAAATGTGAGGCAGAATGATGTGATGTCCTTAATTATTTTTTTAAACAAACTGATGAAGGCATCGCTGTGTTGAGCTTAAGGTTTGAATTGAATTGAATCTAACTTGATAGGACTGCAAATGGACTTGAGTCCTAACTGTTATGTAAATGACACAGAGACTGGCTGTTCGGGAGCGGGTTTTACAGGGTCTGTCTATCTACGAGTCCAGGTGGTCAAAACATTGTGATGGGGTCCCACTAGACTGACATTAGGTCCCAGAAATTAAGTTTTTTTACATGTATTTAAATATATATCTACTAAATAGAAATTTAGATCAAATGGAGCCCAGAACAATGCTTTATATCAGGAGCTGAGGCAATCTAGACTTGCAAAAGCATTCAAGACTTGAGTTGGATTGATCTTTTAATTTGCTTGCTTGAATCTGGGAGACAGACTAGGATCCCACATACGTCATACTCAATGCTAATTAGCCTTTGGAAATATATATTCATTTAGACAATGGTTGTTTCAAATTGTTCGCTATGATACTTCACTTGATTTCCAAGACATTTACTGATTGGTCATGTTGAGAAGCCTTTGGCCTGTTATAAATTTCATTGTAAGACCCGTGAAGATCTGGGGTAGAATAGGCCTTCAGCCACCCATGCTTGTCGTAAAAGGCGACTATGCTTGTTTAAGGGGATCGGGTGGTCAGGCTCGCTGACTTGGTTGATGCATGTCATCGATCCCAATTGCTTGGTTCGATGCTTATGATATTAATTACTGGATTGTCTGGTCCCGACTGGATTATTGCTGAGTGCGGCATTAAAAATCAAACGAAACCAAACCTTTGTTAGATTAACATGCAATCAGCAAGTGTGAGGAGTTTCATCAGTCAAACGTATTTGTGTTCACCAAGACTCACAAAGAAAATTATTCACATAACCATTCCCAGTTTGTATGCGTGCGTATTGGACCAAATATTTTGCGTTTTGTCAGTAGGACTAAATATTAGGGCTGGGACGATACACCAACTGTGAGATGAGATATGTATCACGATACCTTACTCATGATCCGATTTGTATCACGATACTTGCATGTGCTCTTATCTGTGGTGCATAAGCCATCTTTTTCATAGACAGGATGACCAAATAACTGGCACACTGACGATTTACAGTTGGCAGTGTCAAGTATGGCACAACAAATGAAAATATTTATGTTTTCACTATTAACTTTCACTACTGATTAGTGTTTAGTGGAACAGTTATTAAAGCAAACATTTAAGGTCAGAATCAATATATTTTACTTAGTGTGCGACCGTTATTGATACTTGTATCGAGAAGTAAAAAAAAGTGATCCACTGATGCATCGGTGTATCGTCTTGCCACAACTAACTATGGTGTGTTAAATCAAGCAAAGTAAGAAGAGAACACCAATGTCTCTTCATCTGTAGATATGTGGTACAAGAGAGTGAGTGTGGCTCAACGCCGCTTTTAGCAATACAGAGCTCCAGATAACCTTTTGGTGTTGTGGGTATTTTACCCATGCATTTTAGAATCATTGGGTATCAGTAATTCTATCTGCGTATTTGATACGCTTGGATTTTATTTGACTACGTATTTCTGCATTTTTTATGCATATTTTACGCAGATACGCAGCTTATCTGGAGCTCTGGTAATATTCCAGCAATATCATAGCAGGGGATACCGGAAAAGGGCTTCTCACATTGTACCTATGTTGGGAATCGAACCCAGGTCTTCGGCGTGACGAGCGAACGCTTTAACCACTGGGCTACCCCACGGTGGACAGAGGTGAAAATCAAATAATTTATTTATCATGGCCTTAATAGAATAATATGATTTTATGAAATATTTGTGACTTAAACTATTATGATGAAGTCATGCTATTGTTGTTGCAGTTGATTCTGAGCCAGGAAATCACTGGCCTTTCTGAATGTGCATTTGTGCAAGTACAACTGACGCAAGTGTAGGTCATTTCATGCCAAATTATACAGAAATTATATATCAACCACAACAAGGTTTAGGTCGGAGACATCACTCCAATCTGTTAATTCCAAAAGTAGAATCAACAAATTCTCCCGATTTCTCCATTACATGTAAGTGTGAGAAGGTGTTGAGTGTGGGACCAGTGATGTTTCTGTAGCATCGGTCGATCTGTAAGGGTCAACTCCTGAAAACAATTACAAGTTGTCCAAGACCAAGAACTTTATCTGAGGTAACACTGTGTTGGTTTGTAGTATTTGTTTTCCAAGGCAATGAAATACCATAAACATAAACATTGAGTGAAGATAACATGTTATGAGTTTACTGCAGTGTCTGTGATGCAGGACCATGGTTGTTTTGCCATTTCTAGGATTTGAAAATAATTTGCTCCAAATAATTGGTAACAGCTGGTAAAACAATATTAATAAATCTTTTTGGCTCCCTGAAAAATGTATTTCAGAAAAATTATGCTGCTGACACATATCTAATTTGAAGTGATTTGTCGAGAGTTTAAATGTAAGTGTGTTGGTCGAACTACAGTCGTGATAAAACTCCAAAATGTCACAAAATCATTAACTATTTGCCATTAAATTTCTTTTCTTTTTCTTTTTCTATCACAAAATGAAAACATTATGTGAAAGATGTTTTGGGCAAGAAACTGAATGTATGGCATATCTACCATGTCAGACCAAACCATTAGTTGTATCATAATAATGATTATGATGAATAAACATTGACCCAAATCATTGACCAAAAATGTTTGCAGTATAGAGCTAAGGAATTAAAAATATTTAAATTTTCTATTCCATGCATCTAAAAAAAAGAAGAGCTTTTTAAGAGCATTTAGAACATTCCCTGGGGAGCCTTTGGTACCGTCGTGTGGTAAATATGAAGAAGATATGCATTCCTGTATTATTCCCCTTCTATTTTGACTGTCTCCATGGTCTAGTGGTAGAGCGTCCGCCCGGAGATGCTAAAAGATTCTACTTGTTGTTACCCTGTCTAACCCTCGGCATTAAGGGGCTAAAACCAGACTGGTTGGCCCGGTGTCAGTACACTGTGTCTGAGTGGGGTTTTCATGTTAAACTGCGGCATGGTATCTCAGTGGGCTAGCACTATAAATCGGCATCAGTCCGGACTAGTACAAGCAGCCACACACACACACATGTGCATGCACGTCGCTATATAAGTTCAGTCATCTTGGATGCGATGTTAAACCCCATTTCACCTTTCACCTATTATGTAAACACGAACCCCTTCGCTACCAGCTTCGTTTTGAAATCGGCAAGAATAACACCATGGTAAACATAGCCCATTTCACCTCACCTTCCCCTTCTATTTCAGGTATCACGGTGGGAGACATAGGTCCCAAGCTGGCCCTACAGAACATTGATAATGGCTTCCTAATGATGAACAATGTTCGCATTCCTCGGACCAACATGCTGATGAGAAATGCCAAGGTATGACACACAGAGCACTTATGCACAGTGAATGCTGCGCTATACAAATGCATAAATTTTTTTTTTTTTGGTTATTATTATTATTATGACATCTTATTGCACACCTGAATAACAATGCCATGCTTCCGTGACGACAGCCAAATTATATAACTTTAATGAGCTGACTTCAAAGCTTTAGAAAATCTACATATGTGCTAAATAAAAAAATGTCAGATTAACATTCAAAATATTGTTTTGTCAATCATGTTGATTATTTTGTTTCCCTCAACAAACTCTTGAATCAAATGCTAAAACAAAACTTCTAACATATAGATCATGGAGATGTGTTAAACAAACCTACTTTCAAATAATATCACATATTGTTTTCTCTTCTTAATTATCTGAGCTTCAACTTGTGCTCTCCGTGAATAGATTGCTAATGTGCAATTAAGCAATAATCACTTCCTCACTGTTGCTTGTATGAACACCCGTGAAGATCTTGGTTAGAATTGATCTTCAGCAACCCATGCTTGTTGTGAGAAGCGACTAACGGGATCGGGTGGTCAGATTCAGTGACTTGGTCAATGCATTTCATCATATCCCAATTGCGTGGATCGATGCTCATGATGTCAGTCACTGGATTTACAGGTCCGGACCTTATTATTTACAGACTGCCATCATATAGCTGGAAAATTGCTGAGTGTGGCATTAAACAGCAAACAGAACATAACTTCTTGTGTAAATATATACTGTATGGTTGTCTGATCCGTAAAACTAGATGATCACAGAGCTCCAGATAAGCTTTTGGTGTAGAGGGTATTTTACCCATGCATTTTAAAATCATTGGGTATCAGTAATTCTATCTGGGTATTCACATTTCTGTTACCCACTAGTTTTTACACATGTGGGTATTTAAGTTAAATATTTAAAAACACTATTCATCTAGTCCCTGCAAACTGGTGTTGTGTGGGTTCAAGAGCTTTATAGGACTCAAAAATACCACGATACTTCCACAAGAAAGTGTGATGGCATATGATCATGATGTAACTGTCATCGTTGAGTTTGGCAAGGTTGACGGAATGCCCGTTTATAATTTCAAAACAAGTTGCTGATTTGCTAAACGAATACACAGGGTTTTATTTTGGATTTTATTTTACTGAGTATTTCTGCATTTCTGATGTGTATTTTACGCAGCCAAGCAGCTTATCTGGAGCTCTGTGACCACCTGGCTGAACCACCAATCAACCGATGTCTGGGCAGGCGCTCTACTCACTTGACCAAGGAGGCAGTCTCAGCCTTAAAACGGAATGTTCTTCGATGTGACATATTAAATCACAGAAGCATGTTAAGATTTAGAGCCGTGTCATCTGTGTCATGTCATGTCATGTCAGTTCATTTATTTTTGGTGTTCATGCAGGTGTCAAGAGATGGCCATTTCAGCACATCAGGGTCAAGCAAGGCCAACTATGCCACAATGATTCTGATTCGTGTGAAAATACTTTCATGGGCGAGTAGTTTACTGGTGCAAGGAGCGACCACTTCTATACGATACAGTGCCGTGCGCAGACAGTCACAGCTTAAACCAGGGTACGACATTATTGATATCCTCTTATAGTATAACCCATGGGGACCCCGGGTCAGAATTGTTTATGTATAGGATGCCATCATATTGCTGAAATATTACTGAGTGCGGTGTAAGACAAAAAGGGAACCTTCTGATAAAGGTCTCCATACCTTGTGTTTGTTGTGCAGGGCAATTAAGATAATGCAGTAAAACTAGCATCTAGATGTGGATACTTCTACAAAGTGATCATAGCGCTAAGCAGACAGTAACTCCTGTCCTCTAACATAGAGTTACGACAGTCGTAGCACTGAAATGACAGTAACTCACGTTCTCTAACATAGAGTTACGACAGTCGTAGCACTGAGATGACAGTAACTCCTGTAATCTAACATAGAGTTACGACAGTCGTAGTGCTAAGATGACAGTAACTCCTGTCCTCTAACATAGAGTTACGACAGTCGTAGTGCTAAGATGACAGTAACTCCTGTCCTCTAACATAGAGTTACGACAGTCGTAGTGCTAAGATGACAGTAACTCCCGTGCTCTAACATAGAGTTACGACAGTCGTAGCACTGAAATGACAGTAACTCACGTTCTCTAACATAGAGTTACGACAGTCGTAGTGCTAAGATGACAGTAACTCCTGTAATCTAACATAGAGTTACGACAGTCGTAGTGCTAAGATGACAGTAACTCCCGTGCTCTAACATAGAGTTACGACAGTCGTAGCACTGAAATGACAGTAACTCACGTTCTCTAACATAGAGTTACGACAGTCGTAGCACTGAGATGACAGTAACTCCTGTAATCTAACATAGAGTTACGACAGTCGTAGTGCTAAGATGACAGTAACTCCTGTAATCTAACATAGAGTTACGACAGTCGTAGTGCTAAGATGACAGTAACTCCTGTAATCTAACATAGAGTTACGACAGTCGTAGTGCTAAGATGACAGTAACTCCTGTAATCTAACATAGAGTTACGACAGTCGTAGTGCTAAGATGACAGTAACTCCTGTCCTCTAACATAAAGTTACGACAGTCGTAGTGCTAAGATGACAGTAACTCCTGTCCTCTAACATAGAGTTACGACAGTCGTAGTGCTAAGATGACAGTAACTCCTGTCCTCTAACATAGACTTACGACAGTTGTAGCTCTGAGATAACAGTAACTCCCATGCTCCAACATAGACTTACGACAGTCGTAGCACTGAAATGACAGTAACTCCTGTAATCTAACATAGAGTTACGACAGTCGTAGCGCTGAGACGACAGTAACTCTCGTCTTCTAACATAGACTTACCACTTGGTTTTATCCTGCGGATGCACGTTTTAAATACAATAAAAACCCTCGGACGTGCTTTATCCTACACATACAACAGCAACTGACACGTGTAAGGCCTAGTATAAAACGCTATGTCTATTTACAGTGGTGAGGAGATGCAGATCCTCAGCTACCAGTCCCAGCAATACAAGCTGTTCCCTTTATCCAACACATACAACAGCAACTGACACGTGTAAGGCCTAGTATAAAACGCTATGTCTATTTACAGTGGTGAGGAGATGCAGATCCTCAGCTACCAGTCCCAGCAATACAAGCTGTTCCCCGCCCTGGCGGCGACCTTTGCTTTCCACTTTGTAACAAGAACCATGACTGCTGTGTACGAGAAAGCTTATGAAGAAATCATTGGTGGGAACAACCGCCTATTGGCAGAGGTCAGTCCATATGTTACCATGGCTACTGGTATAATAATACATAGATGTTAAACTGTGGCTTTAAACAACAAACAAAGAAACGTACCACCACACACCAGGGATTTTTCTAGAGCTGCTTAGCAAATATTAGGCCCCAAGTCTGCAGCAAATGTCAGTAAAAATTCCCAAATTGGAATTAAACGTTTCCCAATTCATGTTATATTGTAATAAGTAACCTCTTATCATATTAGTACAATATGTTTATGTTTTCCTGTCAGCTTCACAGTCAGTCGTCCTGCTTGAAAGCACTACTGTCGGAGGAGACGTGTGTGTTCTTGGAGACCCAACGCCGCTCTATGGGAGGACATGGCTACATGCTGATGGCCGGCGGTGGAGCATACTTGTTGGCTGCCAAGACTCTGCCCACAGTGGAGGGAGAGAACACAGTGTTGTACCAGCAGACAGCTAGGTGAGTGAGTCAGTGTTGTGTAATGATGGCCGGTGGTGGAGGGTACTTGTTGGGTGCCATGACTCTGCCCACAGTGGAGGGAGAGAACACAGTGTTGTACCAGCAGACAGCTAGGTGAGTGAGTCAGTGTTGTGTAATGATGGCCGGTGGTGGAGGGTACTTGTTGGGTGCCATGACTCTGCCCACAGTGGAGGGAGAGAACACAGTGCTGTACCAGCAGACAGCTAGGTGAGTGAGTCAGTGTTGTGTAATGATGGCCGGTGGTGGAGGGTACTTGTTGGGTGCCATGACTCTGCCCACAGTGGAGGGAGAGAACACAGTGTTGTACCAGCAGACAGCTAGGTGAGTGAGTCAGTGTTGTGTAATGATGGCCGGTGGTGGAGGGTACTTGTTGATTGCCTGACCTCTGACCAATGCTTTCTGGTCAAGTGTTGATGTCATGTAGTTAGGTAAATATTTCAACAAATAGCCATCAAGGGTTACTTACCCTATGCTGAGGACCCTCAGTTCTTGTGAAAATACACATTCTTTGTGCGTGTTTGTTGTTTAACTCAGCACTCAGCAATATTCCAGCTATATGACAGCGATCTGTAAATAATCGAGTCTGGAACAGACAATCCAGTGATTGACATCATGGGCATCGATCCACGCAATTGGGATGCGATGACATGCACCAACCAAGTCATCGAGCCTGACCACCCAATCCCGTTAGTTGCCTCTTACGAAAAGCATAGTTGCCTTTTACGGCAAGTATGGGTTGCTGAAGAACTATACTACCCCAGATCTTCATGGGTCACACATGCTTTGTGAACGTTATCTTCGACATCGGTTGTGTGTGGAGTAATATCAGGTACTCTCTTCAGGTTTTCACATCCAGCGGACTATTGTTGCAGGTACCTGATGAAGCAAGTGGCCAATGCCCTGTCTGGTCAGCAGCTGCAGGGGTCATCGTCCTATCTGGCTGCTGACCCTGAGTATGTGTGTCCCATCCAGGAGGTCAACGACTGCAGGAACACTCGGATACTACTGGACATCTACAGGAACAGAGCTTATGGGTAAACATTCTGAGGTTCTATCAACCTATCTGTTAAGGGTTTACTACAATGGTAAATGTTCAAACTAAGAGGTACCATTTGCACAAAGTCTTCACACAGCACAGGGTAATTGTGTCATATCTTAGGAATAGGTTTTTCCACATCAGATCGAATTCGTAGACATTAGAGCTGTTACGATTCACTTGTGTTTTCGGCGAATCTAACCGTATCCATTCATGATTTGAATTCGTTATTCGTGACCACTAGAATCTAATATTTATGAATATGTAAGCATGTGCCTTTACATTAAAATATCCATAAGAACATATTATATTCATAGATTTCTTCAAAAGACAACACTCTTATACTATATAATCTGACAGTAGTGTGGTCACTAGTCATTGTCACATTTGAGCAGATACTAGTACCTGGATAAGAGCATTATATAAATGTATAATATATTAATAATTAGCAAAACATGTCAAATAATGTATGTTGTTATTACTACACAGCATATAACAAATAATCCATCAGCTGCTGACTTGTTATTGTATTCGAGAATTAATATTCAGATTTGTTACCCTATATTCGTGATACGAATCGTATTCGCCTCATAGTGTATTCCTTGCAGCCCTAGTAGAGATTATATATGTGAACACTTACTTGAATGTTATGAAAATAACTTTTGTGTGACTTTATCTTCATGTGACACAAACAACAACCCTTTCGACACCTGAATTAGTCTTTGCGAGGTCAATGGACCCAAACCATATACTGAGACACTCTGAAAACGCAATAGTTTTCAATAGTTGACAAAATGTCCACAATAATCAAATTAAGTTGTTCTGTATATTGAGGTAGGAGATAATCCAACACAACAATGTCACTGTACAGGTTCAAATCTCATTTGATGTGTGGACATGAGCACAAAAACAAATCTTTTCTGTTAAAGTTGATTATGCGTTTTCGTTTGTTTCAGTATAGTTTTCAGTCGTTGAGAATACTTTTTGTCATGGGAGATAACCCCTCATACTTGATTTGCACATTTTCTTTACCAAACCACAAGAAGTGTAATAAAATCTCCCTCATGGCCACATTCTAAGGCAGGATTCGAGGGAGATTCTGTGAGTCAACTAAATACAGCATTATGTTTTGTATTACTTGGTTTAAGGACCTCCAGACCCTAAAAATCAGTCGCATGGAAAATAATAAAAGTACCAGTTACAAGCATGTGCTATTAACACTGACCCCGACAATCCCACCTGTATAGCCTGTGGTATGTGCTCAATGCACGTACATGTTTGCTCAAATACTATTCATAGATTAAGGAAGAGAATTTATGGATGTCAACTTCCCTATTATGAGGAACACAACGTTTGGAGTATTTGCTTTCTCCTTTATCAGGTGATGAAGGAGAAAGCATATATATAGGAGTATATATCGGAGTAAGCATATACTATGAAACGTGGTGTTCCTCATATTATAGAAGTTGACATCCATAAATTCTCTTCCTTATGTGTATCACTTCAAAATGCCTCTAAAGACTTTATTCATAGATTCACCAGTATGTCAAACAGTGTGGCTTTGTTCCCCTGTAAATGCTAGAAACTGTCACATTATTAGAAATGTCAAATGGATAATAGAGAATTTAAAACTTTGTTTCTTATCCTACCGCCCCCATTTTCTTATAAAACACGCAAAAATATAATTGAAGAGTCTATTTATATATATATATTTCTCTGAAGACGAAGGGATTTAATTTTGTCAAATTCCATATATCAAGTTTAAGGGACATAACTCTGAGGTTTATTCTGCAAGGGATTTTGCTACGACTGAAATGAATGAAACACTCATATGTCAGACACGTTATCAGTTAGCTTGCCTTGGTTTCAGGTAAAGCACCAGTACATGATCACTTGAGTGTTCAAATAATAAAAATGACCTTAAGTAAGTACCCCAGATACACTGTGTTGCAGAAATCTACAGGTAGAGAAATGGTTGTTTGAAATAGAAAACATTAATATGATTGTCAGGATTGGCAGACAAACAGAGTGATAGGAACTGCTGTTAACCATATAAAGGGAGGTAACTCATGTTACTTGTATGTTCAGGATTGTGACCGGCACAGCCCGCAAGCTTCACGCAGACATGACGAGCGGGATGGAACAACATGTAGCTTGGAACAACAACATGATCAGACTGGTCAGGGCAGGGAAGGTAAGTAGATAATTCATTGGATGATAATTAAGTGTTCACACATTTCAAAATACAAATATTCAATTACTCAAACAGTCTCTCTGTAATGAGAATTTTTCTCATATACTTGAACTATACACAAGAATCAAGAGTCAATTTATTGAAATAAGACTTTCTGAAAGCTTAGTATTTCACAAAATAACAGAATAGGTTTTCAGAAACCCATGCTTGGCGTAAGAGGTGACTGACAGGATCGGGTGGTCAGGCTTGCTGACTTGGTTGAAGTATGTCATCTTATCCCAGTTGCATAGATTGATGCTCATGATGTCAAACACTGGATTATCTGATCCAGACTTGATTATTTACAGACCGCCGTCATGTAGCGTTGAACATCAAACAAACCACAAATTATTCAAGGCTGATTATTCTCAAGGGTTGACGTTGGAACTTTAGGAATCATCAATTTATAATCTTGGGGAGATGTGCTGGGTGTTTATTTATTGTCAGAATAATATGTAGGTCACTGCTTCAAGATATACAGTAATTTCATACAATCTGTCCCTTCGCAGTGAAGCTTATACCGGACTGTTGTGATATATGACGCTCAAGTCAATAACATTATCATCTTCCAAATGCATTATCATTTGCATGAAGGTATAGCTGGAATATTGCAGAGTGCTGCTTTAAACAACAACCAAACACAAACTGACAGTATGTCTTATCATTATATCATCCCCGTAGTGATTCTGGGTTAGTGTTGGTCCCCAACCTATGGTCGTTGTAAAAGGGCGATTCATTGGATTGGGTGGTCGGTGACTTGGTTGATAGGGTGTCCTCGTACCTTGATGACGTGGATCGCTGCTCACAATATCAATCACTGGATTGTCTGATCCAGACTTGATTATTTACAAACTGGAAAGATGTATCACTGGACAACTATTCAGGACTGTACATTCAAATCAGGATATTATAATGTATTGTATTGTATTGTATCTTAGTCCATTGTATCTGTGGCAGGTTCACAGCCAGTACTATGCCGTTGAATGTTTTGTGGAGGGAGTGGAGACTGCCAATGTCAGACCTGAACTGAGGACTGTTCTCCACAAGCTGTGCTGTCTGTATGCCCTGTATGGCATCTCAAGCAACAGCGGGGACTTCCTGGAGGTAGGTGTGATACTGGCTATACATTGTGCGTGTTGTGCTGAATCTGTTTCTGTACTTTGCCTCCCAGATACTTGAAAGATGCAGGCCCACGGGTGGTCCATTTGTCTAAATGGCCACAATACGCTGTTCAGAGTTGCATACCTCGGGCATGCCAGAAACCTATCATTCTTACGAATCCTCTTCCTCTATCACATCATTGGCAGATTCCTGTAGTTTGGCTGCAGTGACACTATTACTAAATCTTCAGATTTTCAACTATACATCACTACTTGTTCCTGTAATTTCCGGGTTGTAACTTGAAAACCATTCAACATTTATCTTCGAAACTGCACAAATGCATTGGTCATCAGTTAAACTGGTGCTTTTTGCTATTTTAAAATTTTCACAATGTTATTTTTTTGGTTTGATTTTGACTCACCCATAGGTGTATAAGAATCTTGTATTGTGTGCTTGCCTCTCCTACCAGTTTCTGTAAGGCAAGCATATTTTTCAAAAGGGTTCTTTTTTATTGGGGTAGGTGAGACTGGCTTGACTGTATACATGTAACACATTTTTATGACTGCCCCTCCCTATGATAAATGAGCAGACCCTATTAAAGTATGGTAATGTTCAAATATAAAGACAACATAGATTTGAAAAAATAGGAGTCACATGACACCAACAAACCTCCAACCCCTGTTTACAGTTGTGAGAAATTTTGGCGACCCCCACTCTTTCGCTGTCATTTTTGCATGACAACAACCCCCCCCCCCCCCCCCCCACACACACACACACACACACACAAACACACAAACACACGCAAAAAAGTCTCACCGCTGCCCCCCTTCCCTATAATAAATGACCAGTCCCTTTGTTTATATGTGTTCAATTCTTGGTTGTCATGTATTTTTCAGACAGAATCTGTGACTGTTGCCCAGATGGAGATGCTGAGAATGGTGGAGTATCAGTTGCTGGCTGAGATTAGGTGAGCTAATGAGGGGCTGTGCAGTGTGTGCAGAAGTATAACTATTGCAGGTGCACTCTCAAAAACAATGACACTCTTCAGATATGACTATTGCATAGACACACTCTCAAAGCCCATGGCAGATGCACACTTCAAGTGCCTCCATGGTCAAGTGGATGGGGCATCTGCGCAGAGAACAGTGTCAGAACCTTCTCTGAAAATTTGCTCCTAGTTGTAATAAAGAAGTTGTTCATCCATATAACTTGTCCTTACTTAGTTCTCCAACTTCTAAATGCCTCTCAAAGAAGGAAGGTCGATGATTCAATCTTCTGGCCGCATTATTCTAACAGATGTTACAGACGTTACAATACACTCACTTCACCTAAAAGCGCAGGACATATACCGCCTTGCACAGGTATTGTTATTGCACAGGTGGAGGCAGGGAAATAAGTTCCTCATCCTAGGAAAAGTATTTTACCTATGTCCTAAGGTGATCGTAAGTCCCATACTTTAACATAGGTTTACGATCATCGTAGCGCTAAGATTGCTTTGAGGAATGGGGCCCAGATCAGTAGTTTGTATGAGCCATAGTGAATTTAGGCAACAGAGATTACAGGAATTAACTCTTTAAGATTTTCTTCTAGGTGGTATTAAATGATTCTAGACATTGCATTCGGTGTATTTCAGACCTGATGCTGTTTCCCTGGTGGATGCATTTGACATGCACGACATCACCCTCCATTCTGCATTGGGATGTTACGATGGCAACGTGTACGAGCGACTTTACCAGTCGGCCCTCAAGGAACCAATGAACAGAACTCAGGTTGGATTTGGTTACTTTGAAGGATGCTGCATTACTTACAATGTTTACATTTTGGAGTTTTATTATCTTTCATTGATTTGAGTTTTGTTTTTTTATCTCTTTATCTTATTATGCTTTGTGATTTTACACACTTGACCAGGGGCGGTCGGGTAGCCTAGTGGTTAAAGCGTTCGCTCGTCTTGCCGAAGACCCGGGTTCGATTCCCGACATGGGTACAAAGTGTGAAGCCCATTTCTGGTGTCCCCCGCCGTGATATTGCTGAAATATTGCTAAAAGCGGCGTAGAACCATACACACCCACACACCCACTCACAGTTGACCTAATGATATTAAAATCTATAAATAAAGATATAACACTATGTAGTCAAATGTTTGTAAAGAATTAGTGAATAATAGTTATACGTAAGAATGTACTGATTCTTTTTTTGCATAAAATGTCATATGACTGAAGGTGAGCTTCTGTACCTGTGACCCTGTGGCTGGGGGACAATGTTGTAACTGTTGTATCTGCTGGCAGGTCCATCCTGTCTACTACAAGCACCTCAGAGGGCTGCTGAAAGGATCAACCCTGTCCAAGCTGTAGAGTCTCAGGCAGCCCCAGGTATTCATGACCATCATCCTGGAGTACTGGATAGGTGTTCGAAGGACAAATATGTAGTTATGGATTTTTACCTTATGTGTTCTGTGGGGAAGAACTTGACGACAGAACTATATGTGGTTATTGATCTTTACTTGTGTGTTCTGTGGGGAAGAACTTGACGACAGAGCAATATGATGTTATGGATCTTTAACTAATGTTTTCTACAGGGAAGAACTTGATGATAGAACAATATGTTGTTATAGATCTTTAACTTATAGTTTTCTACAGGGAAGAACTTGATGATAGAACAATATGTTGTTATGGATCTTTACTTGTGTGTTCTGTGGGGAAGAACTTGACGACAGAACTATATGTAGTTATTGATCTTTACTTGTGTGTTCTGTGGGGAAGAACTTGACGACAGAACTATATGTAGTTATTGATCTTTACTTGTGTGTTCTGTGGGGAAGAACTTGATGATAGAACAATATGTTGTTATAGATCTTTTACCAAACAAAACACTGCTTAGTTGCCACATTCTTTTATTCTTAATCACATTTTTAACATATGATAGTTTTTAATATATTTTCTGATTTTAAGATGATCTGTCATATTTTTTAGCTTACATTTAAAAGTCATCATCAAACTCTACCTCAAGACTTCTATACCTATTATTTTCAGAATTGAGTCACTTACTTCCACATAGTTATATCTTGTAGCAGGCATCAGAATTTCTGTTGATACCCTGTAAACTAGATAAGACAAGTCAGTCAATTACGACGCCTCCACAGTGTCAACATCACACAGGGGCAGTCGGGTAGCCTAGTGGTTAAAGCGTTTGCTCGTCACGCCGAACACCCGGGTTCGATTCCCGACATGGGTACAATGTGTGAAGCCCATTTCTGGTGTCCCAAGCCGTGATCTTGCTGGAATATTGCTAAAAGCGGCGTAAAACCATACTTACCCACTCACTCAACATGACACAAATTTGTATGCTGGTGTTCTATTTCACACAGATTCCACATTGATTACTTGTGAAATAACTTCAGTTGCATCAGTACTCTAATATAGCAAGTAATATCTTAATGAAAGAAATATGTAGAAGTTATCTCACAAATGTGGTTTTGGATGGTAAATATCCTGTTTTAGGAATAAACTTTATGTATGGTTGTTTGTTTACAAAACATGTTCTTTGTACACTTTGTGATTGGGTTTTAGAAGTATATTATGACTCTATATAATCACAGGTTCTATATTATCGCTGTATCGTAAGTCTCGTAATCCACACCCCTAGTCGACTGTTTACCTATGCGAAACTGAACACGATATTTCATCGCTTGATCGAATACAGGACTCATCGCGGTATGTCACGGCTACCCGTAAGTATACAAGGTAACACTTTTATGATAGTTTCTGGAATGTTTTTGAAGTTAAATTACCCTACCTCCATTCAAAATTGATTAGAAAAGAACCCATTTGTTTGGACGAAGTCCCTTGACCCAACCTAGGTTGTATGCATACTGATTATGCATAATTCAAAACAGGAAGTGATGTAGACAACATAATCCCCAGGTATCATGCCACAAAATAGCCATACTGCGATAATATAGAGTTGCCCGCCCTTGAATTACTGACAGGTACTTTGTTTACAGAACTCAGTAAAGAAAATCAGCATCGATCAATCCTAATTGATGAGTCATAAAAGTTGAACAAAGAACAAGAAACATTTTGCGTATGACATATTTAACAGGTTAGTAAGCGTGCACCATTACGATCCATTATAGATTAACTACCACGATTATATAGCGTACCATCCTACTTGTCTTGCCCAGTTTTATTGGAAATAATGTGTTAACAATTCCGTAAATAAGTTATATTTGACATTATTATACACTGAGATTTAACCACATTCCTAACAAGTTTTACATATAACTAAAACAATACATGTAGGTAATACTCTACTCCTTTTAACAAAAGTATCTTTTTTGTTTTATCAATTTTACAATGTATTTTTAAGTGATATGATTGGATTAAACACTATTTTACTTTGGCTTGTACCTCATTTCCTGGAGAACTAATTAAGTGTACTGATGATATATACAAATATGATCTTATACCTTAAATGTGTTGTTTGATTGCAAGTTCAGTACATGCATTCAGTTATTATTAGTTTCAATTTGGTGTTGTAATTTCTTCTGGCATTTTGGTTGTTTTATTTGACATGTGTTCATGCCGTTTTATATTCATAACGGTGACATTATTACTGTGTCAGGATGACTCACACATGTGTTGCACGTTCAATTTACATTGTCATGAAATGTTTGTACAGATCTTTGAAAGGTGAATGAGTATGGAAGGACACTGCATTTTTCCTACAATATCATAGCAGGGGATAATAATCATTATAATCATAATAATCATAATGATAATAACAACAACAACGACAATAATAATGTGTATATTTATGATGCACCAAATCCACACCCTAAAACATGCTCAACACACTACAGTATTACCCCGGTCAGTGGATCAGTGTTGACTCGAATTTCATTCTCAGCTCCCTGGGGAGTATACAACCCAAGCTGCCTTATGAGCACTATCACATTTAACGGTCACATTACCATCTAACCCTACCGGGTACCCATGAACAGAGGCATATGTCCATGTATCCTTAGCACAGTGCACACCTGTTGTGAGATGGACGTAGCTGAGGAGCAAACACTTTTGCCACTCTATGTCTGTCATAATATATGGATAATATTATAAGTCATTTTGTAACTTGACCGGAGTTGATTTTGATGTTTCTTAACAATGGATATGCCTCAAGTGAAACACGACCACTGTTGGTGTGGTGGCAATTCTAATCCATTCCTATTTCTGTACCCTGATCTTGTATCTTGCGATACATATGTGACATAAATGTTGCTTTCTCAATTTGGAAGAATATATATTTCGATCTAATACATATCTTGCCAGGTAATAATTTATGGAATTTGTTTTAAAGCCAGATGAACTGTTTCTTTTTTTATGAAATGTGCAATCCAATCCCAAATTTTGAAGACGTTGCTTGATGTATTTTGAACGAGTTCTAGTTCAAACTTTTTTTGTCACAAGTTTCTTTAGGAAACTTAACTCAAATCACCCCGAATAATGTTAAGTAGGTTTATTTCCAGTCGTAAGGGCTTTACTTTTTGACATGTTGATATAGTATTAATTAGTCTAGTGGTCAGTATTGCAGTGTTATGCTCTTCAGTGTTTCTGACGTCCATTTGGCAAGACTTTTGTTCCAGTTTATGAATTTTTTGCCCAATATTTCAGGTTGGTAGTTTGATAAAACATTGAAAAAACAAATAAAAAAGAATTCATCAAAATATTAAGTAGGAAGAAAAAAGAAAGTTAGGACAGGGAAAGAAACAAGTTTAGAGTTACCTCCCTTCAATTAGAGACAGGGATGTGTGGCAATCTGTCATAATTGGTTGTGTTTTGAGGTTAAATTTTCAGTAAGTTTTAATTATAGTCTTTTGAATATTTTATTTTTATTGATTGTGACAGTAAATGAGGATTTTTAACATTCCACTTACAATCTCATTAAAATCAGACCTTAGTTCTCGCTACCGCTAAACAATGATCTGAGGACATCCCATTAGGGGTCTTATCAGAACGACCTTTCGTCCGACCAATCAGTGTGTCGCTTACCAGATTATGAAAATGACAGTCAGAATGTGATTTCTAATCATGCAATCTTGAAAACTTTAACATGGGGTATTCCGAACGATAGTAACGGGTTTAACGACTGAATCCTTACAATCTAGACCATCTATTAGCCATTCCAGAATGCTTTTTGTTTAGGTTTCAAATTTGTAATTGAGAATTTGACAAAATATGTTTCGAAGCATAGTCGCCAATTTGAAATTTGTGCCGTAAAGCACAAGAAAGCTGCCTTCTGATTGGTCATTCCATTGGTCGGTCAAAGTTCTTGCAAGGTCGGTCTGACGTGACCCGTAATGGGATGTCCTCAGATCTTTGTTTAGCGGTAGCGAGAACTAAGATCTGATTTTAATGAGATTGTTCAACTTATTTCTGGTTGATTAATAAGAAAATGCTGCTTTTCATTTGTTTTTGTATTTTTACATTTCAATTTTGGGGAGTTGGTGGATTTGTGAACCAAGTTTTCACAAAAGCCTGGTCTTACCACAACGCAAGAATTTATTTCATTATTGAAGTCAGAGTATTTTAGTCAGCACTTTTAATTGTTTTATGCCCCAACTCTGATCTTTTATCAGCATATGTGATTAAATTTTACAATGACATCTCTTGTGTAGATGTTTTGAAATTGAGTATAAATGTCGTACAATTGATGATTGCACCGATGTTTTGTGCAAATGTATGAAAATTGTGTAAATGTATTGAAATTGTGTGTAAATGTATTGAAACTGAGTGAAATCGTACTGATATTTGGTGTAAATGTATTGAAATATCACAGTGAAGTGATGAAGAATAAAGGTGACCTGATTCTGTCATTATTGTGTTATTCATCATTGCTGAATCTAAGAGCCTGTCACTATGGTGACTAAGCTGTGGATTGGGTGGTCAAAATGCCTGTACATTGTGAGCTTCCTGGATGAGCTTGGTGAGATCATACATAACGACAAACACTTGCATAGTATTTCATGACATTAGGTGGGTTTTTCAGGCTTTGATCTTTCAACAATTCCCATGTATCATTGCACTACAGTAGGATAGTTGTATGCTATTGCCCCATGATACATGTATCTTTGGTTATTGCTTACAACTATCCTACTGTAGTGTTGTCACAGGATAAAGGCATTAGCTTGTGGGTTTCGCCAAAGTGGTAAATGTCTGAGACTTGCATCACTTCAGGCTTCAGGCTTTCCTGCCTCTGACACACCCTGTGAACACTGTGAAAAGTGGCCTTAAACCCAACTCACTCACTGTAATATAAAGTCATGTGGCTTATGTACATGAAATTACATTCATAATGTTTACAAAGTGGCACTTTATACACCTTTGTGAATTCCTTTCATTTTCAATCTTACCTTTCTTTTGTAAACATGCATTGTTTATCAACTTAGCACAGTTATTCAACATTATTGTACTAATCTAGAGAAGCAATTATTTCTGGACAGCAACACTTACGCAATAAGAGCGTGAGAGATATTTTATTCTCAGATAATGGTTAAAAGGGAAATATATTTTCTGTGACATGTAAATCACATACGCGACCTAGACATTGCTTACTGTGGACTATGCCGATATACGCCTCCTGGTCAAGTGGATAGAGCACCTGCGCGGAGGGTCGGTGGTTCGATTCCCCTCCACGTCTTACCAAAGGACGTTGAGAGATGGTACTTGTTACCTTCATGGCGCTCGGCATTTAATGCTAAAACAAGGACTGATTGGCTCGGAGTCTGTGTACTGTGTCAGAGTGGGGTATTCGTGTCAAACTGTAGCATGGTATCTGACACCAGCACTATAAAACCGGCATTAAACCCGGACAAGTACAAGCAGACACACACACACGTGCATGCACATGGCACTATAAATGCAACAATATTGAACACAACCTGAAACCAATTCCCCCTCACCTCACTAAAATATAACCATGGTATATAAATCTGAGGTTTTAATTCAATATTTGTTTTAAAAAAAGAAAGATGAATTGAGCAACAGGCAAAATGCTTATTTAAGACCTCAACTTACCTTAAGATTGCAAATATATTTAGAACATTAGCAAGTACAACACTATGTTGGTAGATCAAATGTATGCATGTTTTAAAGGAAAATTGGAAATCTGACATAACATATTGACCCAGATATTGTTTCAAATATGATCAAATCGTTTACTGCAAGTAATTATCCAAATGTTAAATGCTATATATGCACTCAGCAATATTCCAGCTATATTACGGCGGTCTGTAAATAATCGAGTCTGGGCCAGACAATCCAGTGATTGACATCATGAGCATTGATCCACGCAACTGGGATACAATGACATGCATCAACCAAGTCAGCGAGCCTGACCACCCGATCCTGTTTGTCGCCTCTTACGCCAAGCATAGGTTGCTGAAAATATATTCTAACTGTTATTTTGTGAAATACTAAGCTTTAAGAAAGCTTTATGTCAATAAATTGACTCTTGATTCTTGTGTATGGTTCAAGAATGTGTGAGAAATTCTCATTTTGGGCCCTGTTTGAAGTGTTTCGGTGACTGTTTTAAGACTAGTAACGTTTGATAACGTTTGTAATTATTTGGTCAATCCAATTTTCAAGTGAGTACTTTCTTTTTCTCAGCAGTTTAGTACACAAAACATGAAATTGATGTACAGCAGTCGAAACATATGCAGTACAAGGGCCTCGTTCACACACTACATAAAAGACACTGTATATTTAAGTATTCAAAACTTCATATTAAAAACTGTCAGATTTTCAGTTAAGTAAATGAATTGTTTAATATAAACTGCAAATATATTTATTATATATACACATCTGGCTTGGCATGTGCAATTTATTTGTTACATCTTACCTTCACTGATGTATTTATTGTATCTTGTCTTATGTGTAATGGAGCGGTATTAACATTAGCGCTTCGCTTGTTTACCAATCCATTTTCACATTTTTGTGGAAAACAAATATGTTTAAATCATATATAAGTAAGATATAAAACAAATAAGTGACACATGTGTTATATAAATTGTATTACATAATTAGGTTAACTTACCTGATGTATGAATCTAGTTACATACCTGGATGAAGCAGTCATCATGTCACTCTGCATCCCAGGTGTGGGAGGGGAAACCACCTGTACGACTGCTACCACAGATGTGAACATACATTGTCAAACTCGAGTATTTTGCATTAGGTACTTAGTCAATGTGACAAATCCCATCTCTAATGAAGAGGGATCGGTACGTTGATAAGTGCCACAATGCCGTGTATGGCGTAGGTACACCGGGTGTCTGTGGGTTATTGAATTCAAATGCCCATTAACGATAAGGGGGGTCTTGAAATAACATTATTATATGGTATTAAAGTATTCCTAAAACAAACACGTAATGAAGATTCGCACAGGCAACAGAAACGCCATTAGCGCATGTGTATTGTGACGTTTATTAGATAGTTGCACATTAATAAACACTCTTTTGCAAAGTGATCCTAATATCCCTCCACTTGGTGTACATTTACATATTTTCCAATAATGTTTCACGGATGAGAAACTGGTTAAGAGGCAAAAATACTGACTTTAATACATTTCTACAGGGACAGTTAACACGAGCACTACGCCTCGAAAACTTCAATAGATATGTTATTTGTACCCGAAAACAAACAACTTGACCTCATGTTTTACTCTCTATCTCCGCCACCCGCCTACCCCCTCCCCAAATTATTTTTTTCAAAATTCACGGGACATTCTGCATGTCCTCAAAAAATAATGTGTCGAGAAAAATTGTTCAGCTACTATCACAGAAAATTTGCGTTTTGATGTGGTGGTTGAAAAAATACCCTTCTCTAACAAAATTCAAGCCTCGAAAACACTTGCAATTTATTTATATATTAAGCTTTACCGCAATCTCCTCTGCATGCATTCGTTTGCTGAAAGACAATACAACCACACACAGTGAGTGTGCTGATATTTAACGCCATTGTGTAGGACATGTCGAGTACAAATTATAGGATTAAAAAAAAACATGTCATAAATAAACTGCCGGTCAAAAGAATGTACACACTTGAAAATTGGATATCACCAAAAAGAATACCCAAAGCGTTACTTGGCCGAAAACAGTCGCCGAACACCGGGTACACCCGGACCCAAAACACATCCATGACATCCGTATCAAATTCATCAACATCGAAAAACCATTTCTTTTTTGTTTCATATTTAGCCACTATCAAACATGGGTCTATACTTTCTTTTGCCCTACAGTATAATACTATAACAGCAGTTTGTCAAACATAGCATAGCATAGCATAAACATTAAAACTGGTCAAAATTACGGTGATAAACTTCTGTTTATTTATTGTTTATTGTTTCGTTAAAAGCTTAATATGATACAATTCTATGCAACGTACGATTAAAACACACGCACTCTATAAGTACCGTAATACTCATATTATAAATGAGAAAAAATATTTTATCGTTTGAGTTTTGCGAAAATTTCTTCCTTTTTATACATAAAACTCGTATGTACATGTGTATACCATTATCATGTACGTTGATTGGATTTGACTGTTTGTCTTTCTGGTGAGATTTCAACATAAGTCGTAAGCCAATCCATCCGTTTTTGTTTTAAATAAATATATTTACAACACTTATATCTGACAAAAATATCACTTTTAATTTTGAATAATCAGTATCGCTGGACAGGACACAAAAAAATAAGAAGAGCATGACCTACCAGTTTTTGATATGAAGTTTTGAATAGCATCTGATATAGAATCAAGATTCTCAAGTAAGAAAACGAGTTGATTAATATAAACTGCAAATATGTTTATTGTATATACACATCTAGGTTAGCTTTTTTAATATTTTTGTGAAAATAGATATGTTTAAATCGACAGCGAACAACCTAAGGAAATCTGAATTTATTGTTTTATGTACAGTTTACTCTAGTTAATTGTTAAATGTCCTTGTAGGGATTGTCTGTTCACCAACCGCATTTTTAGAAATAAATATTGTTTAAATCACAATATTCCATTCTCCTATTCTTTGTGTATTAATGGTACAGGTAACAATTAAGTTTTAAATTCTAAAGCACGTGAATCAATTTAATTCATCCAAATAAAACAGTAAACATCTCCAGATTAAGTATATTTGGCAAATTCTATGGACTGGCTATGTGATTATGTGTTAAAAAATGGTTTCACGTGTAATTGGCGGTATTATTTGAAGATTGGCTTGCTCTCCAAGCATATGTTTTCCTGGTGTCTATCAAAACACTGGCATCAAACAGCGAGCCGCGCGGGAGAAGCCAACGCGTTAATGATTGACTGTGATCAATTTCAGAAATAAACAACCATTTTGTGATAAGTTGACGTGTTTTCATAACACTATCAACACAGCAGTGATGTTTTGACTACACTTCATGGAAGGTCAAAGGGTGTTTGCATAGTTAACGTTGTAGGGGAGGGGCTTGATTGGCACACGAGCTTTGATCAGCTTCAAACAAAAGACGCCGATAATACTGATAACAAAAAACTGTGAAATCTCTGGTTTTGTTTTAATCGTCTTTTTGATGGCTCTACTCAGGGTCTTTAATCGCACGTGTCGGGTATATATTGGGGTGAGCGGTGGTCACCATCAGTTCTCTTTCCGACTTCGTCACTTAAATAACCCGTGGATAATACACTGCTGACTCATTTGGATATATACAAGATGGCGTTTACGGTGGCATCTATCCTTGGAATGAACAAAGGTTTGTCAATCATTAATATCCTTGCCTGAATCGTTATGTGACGAGTGTTAAATCAATCAAGACAGTAGTTCAAGAAAATGTTATACCTCAAGGTAATTCAAGAACTTACTCACGTTTCTTTCTCTGTTTAAATATATATTTATGTTTTTCAGGTACTGATGGAAACGTATCTCCCGACAAGCCGTCCCTGAGCCCATCCAACAGCCTTCCTCGTAGTCGTCAACGTCGTAGTCGCACCATCTTCAGCGACGTCGCCATAGACCGTCTGGAGGCAGTATTTGGAGAAAACCCTTACCCCGACATCAACCTTCGCGAACAGCTGGCAGAAGCGGCGGGCGTTACGGAGGCCAGAATACAGGTAGGCCAAAACAAAATAATCATAAAATAATTGTCATATAAAAGGTCTTATATTCAGTACATAATAAATGTAATGACAACTCATTAAAAACGTATAATAATAAGGCTATTTCTGATTTCCTTCCAGGTGTGGTTCCAGAACCGTCGTTCACGAAGTCGTCGCACCAAGACCAAGCCCGCCAACGCCGCCCGGCGTGATTCCGGTTTTGTCTCGGCCTCACCCTCACCACAGAAGCTGACCCCACCCAAGAAACCCGAGTTCGTCGTGCCCACACCGTCAGTGACGTCACCGTTCCGTCACGGCTACCCGTTCTCCTACCCCTATCTGTTCGGGTGTTCACCCCTCATGTCTCCAGCCATGTACCCGATGTTGACCGGCTACACTGACGTCCCATCCATGCTGCCCACGTCGCCAATGTTCTCCCCCGGTGCAAGTCCAACCTATCAGCGTCTGTTCGACTTTCCAGCCAGTCACATCCCAGGATCTCCACTGACGAGCCCCACCACCCAGAGCCCCGTCCTCACATCCACCCGACCTGGAATGGTCCCCTCTTCATCCAGACTTCCCAAGCCACACCCTATCCGCCTCCCTCAGATGTCGTCTGCTGATTCCAGCCCTGTCGTCTGCAAGTTGGAGCCATCTTCCACTTCCGGTCTGGAGAGAAGCATCAGTCCCGTGCTTTCAGAAGAGGAGATTGACGTCACTTCCAGTGCATAATCCCAGAAACAGGACATTTATATAAATAGTATGCCAACAACTGTGAACACAAATACCTGTACTTGAATATCGAATGTGTTAGCCGAACGGAGCCGATTCCGTTAACTGTCAAGGTGCGCTCCTGAAAAAAACCCGACAGTTGAATGACCCTTTTTTTCATTTGTACATATAAAATAGTGCTGATGTGTTTTCAATCACAATTTTATTATCATTATCATGTCAACAACTAACCTCAATATTTTCATATACTCATTACTAGTGCTAATTTATCAATGTACATATTGTCACATGTATGTATTAAGGTAGTGCTGTGCCCGACTTCATTGTAAATGTTCATTTCCGACGTGAAATTAAATTAAAATATTACTCATTAATGGCTGTGCTTGTTTTCTGTGTAGAACATGTGAGGACGTGTAATAACTCGACGAGTGCATGTATCGACCATGTACATTTTGGGGAAAAGGGGTGTTGCGTTTTATGAATATGGTAATAACCTGAGTTGTCTTGTAATAGTATTGAAATCATCACCAGAAGAGGTTGTAGTGTACATGTATACACTAAGGATCGCCTATAAAATGTCCGCATGTAAAACTGTTTAGCATGCCTGACCCCATAAAGGTCCGCGTATGTTGAATAACGTTGAATGGAGATACACTGGATCCACGCTCAAATGCATTTCAAAATGCATGTTTTAACGTACTGCAACATTATTACTAGGTCATTTGGAGATGCTATTATTTCAACAAAATATATGTAACACGACTGCCAAGCGGAATACACCCCCTTTCCCCCAAAGCTGCATCCGTGCGAGTGGTTTTCCGTTGGTAACCAATATTCTAGCCACATCACGGTGGCGTTTTAGAAACACGTTGAAACGCTAACATCGCCAACAACGACATGTTGTAACGCAGACGACCTCAGTATCATGGGTGGCCAAGTCTATCGTGTGCCGCTATTCCTTGTGCAGATTTGCGTTCCTTAGACGTGTCAATAACCTATTATCGTAGGTTTAAATCCCAGATTCGCACTGGTTATATTTAGGTTTGTCAGCACCGTGAACTCTTTTATTTGTACCGGGGACGATCTACAGCAAACATCAAAGCTTTTTTTTGACCAAAACTAATGATGAACAAGTAACGTTCAAACATCAGCCTGGTTCTGTCTATGCCACTAGAAGGCAGCATGGGTGGCCCACTCGTCTAAGGCGCCGCGATCCACTGTGCAGAGTTGCGTCCCTTCGGCATGCCAGAAACCTATGATTGTGTGTTCGAATCCCGGTTCGCCCCGATTATGTTTCTAGGTTTGTCAGCACCAAAGCCGTGCTCGTGGGTTTCACCGAAGTGGTAAACGTCTGAGACCTGCATCACTTCGGGCTTTCCTCCCACATTAAGCTGACACGCCGCGATATAACTGGTATACTGTTAAAAGCGGCGTTAAACCCAACACACTCACTCACAATACTATTAGAGTGTTGTCATCATCTAACTGTTTGGTTCAGTGACAAGTCACGATTTATGCTGCATCAAGGGGAGGGGAGGGAAAACGTCGCCATTTGCGCCTAGCAGCCACCTGCAAACGGGAGATAGCCACACCACAGGGAACCACAGCTCCGAGACGATCCGGGGTAGAATAGGTCTTCAGCAACCCATGCTTGCCGTAAAAGGCGACTTTGCTTGTCGTTAGAGGCGACTTTGCTTGTCGTTAGAGGCGACTTTGCTTGTCGTTAGAGGCGACTAATGGGACCGGGTGGTCAGACTCGCGGAGTGCCCATGGAAGAGTATAAGATGACACTTTGGGGACTGTCAGACCACTCACCTGTGGAGCTCGTAAAAGCTGTTGGATTACGCGATTTAGAGGATAACGGGAGGTCCTGTATATTGTGGTCCCCATTGTTTGTTTGTTGTTTAACGCCGCACCCAGCAATATACCAGCTATATGACGGCGGTCTGTAAATATCGTGCCTGGACAAGACAATCCAGTGATTGACATGATGAGCATCGATTTACGCAAATACGCAATTGGGATACGATGACATGCCTCAACCAAGTCAGAGAGTCTGACCACCCGATCCCGTTTGTCGCCTTTTTATGACAAGCATAGTCGCCTTTCACGGCATGCATGGGTTGCTGTAGACCTATTCTAACCCGGATATTCACGGGTTGTTTCCAATATGAAGATATTACACGGACAATTCACAAAAGTCAAGGTCATGAGAATTGAATATGTCTTGTGTCCAGCATTAGCGTCAAATGTAACCTCTGCTTGGCACCTGCGCATGGAGAAGTAGATATATCACGCGTTGTAGAATATCAGAACACTCGGCTTGCAGACCACGTGCAAGCTGTTGCAGTGTCTGTGGTTCAGGATGATGTTGTCGTACGCAGCGATCCAACTCATCCCACATGTTTTCTGTCAGGCTCATAAATGGCGTTTTTTAGGGCCACGGGAGGATCTGTACATTGGGGTTCCGAAGCATTGCTGCTAATACGTCCCGTTTGCAGGTGGCGGTAAAACATTCATGGCGACGTCGGTCCACTGTGGCTCCCAGACCAGCATGAAACAGGAATTATCTTGACTCGTCATTGGACCAAACGGTTCTCTATCTCGGGTTAGGTCATGCTCTGCTTCACACCATTGACGTCGCAGTTGACGATGTTGTTGTCTCTGACAGACCGTCTGGTTCCGCATTGTCTGATCAGATATTATTCCCAATCCTGGAATTGCTTTTGTAGAAGATGCCAGAAATGACGCAGCCGTATGAAGAGCTCCTGGATTTCGTTGTAACACGGGATGGGCCATATTCCCGAACCAAGGGAGTTAAGTGGCTGTAAAAGTCCAGTTTCCACAGAACTTGTATAGTCAGTTAACTCCCTTGCCTCGGGAAGATGGGGTCACGTGACCTACCATAATGTTGACACCGATACCAAAGTCTAGATTGGTTGGTTTGTTGTTTAACGCCGCACTCAGCAATATTCCTTACTATATGACGGCGGTCTGTAAATAATCGAGTCTGGACCAGACAATCAAGTGATTGATATCATGAGCATCGATCCACGCAATTGGGATCGATGACATGCACCAACCAAGTCAGCGATTCTGACCACCCGAACCCGTTAGTCACCCTTTACGACAAGCATGGGTTGCTGAAGACCTATTCTACCCCGGAAAATAAGAGAAGGGGCTCCAAAACACACTGGCTCCTGGTTTCCCACGACGTCGCTCCTGTGTTTTGTTTGTTTGTTAGTGTGTTGTTTAACGACTACTTGCAAATACCGAGTCTTGGGCCAGACAATCCCGCAATAATTGATATTATGAACAACGATCCCCGTCGCCGAGGTACGTTGCCATGCCATTAACCACGTCGCCGAATCTGACCACTAGATCTATTTTGTCGTCATTAACGACCTGCATAGGTTGCCAGGAACGCGGGACACCATATTTGAACCCACACATCCCCTTTTTACATGTCTGTTCGTTATCGTTTCCATGGTTTTCATGTTGCGCAACTGTGTATTGGTACGTCAGGGTTATGTCGTTGCTCCGCTTTGTTGATTCCAACAATGAATGTATTAATTTAATTCCAAATAACACCATATCCATGTATTTATGTATTGATGCTTCAGATATCGTTTGTGTGCTAATGTCTTTCATATACTAGTATACACTGCTACCCAAATGAAGTTAAGGGCCACCGATTCTTTAAAATTTTAATTTATACCACTGCCATGTGTCCTCAGCGCAACCATTGAAGGGTCACGTTTATTTTGTCTCGTACCGAGGTTGTCATCGTTTTGAATCATTTTCCTTGGATACACGTTAAGGTAATGTTGGAAAAACATATATTTAAAAACATTATTTCTTCAAACCAAATAAAAATCATTCGAGATAATACTATACAAGTTATACTGATGCATGTCATCGTATCCCAATTGCGTGGATCGACGCTCATGATGTCAATCACTGGATTGTCTGGTCCAGACTCGATTATTTACAGACCGCCGTCATATATATTGCTGGGTGCGGCGTTAAACAACAAACAAGCAAATTTACGATAGATCGAAATGAAGCCAGTTTAGAAGCCACGAATGGTAATATCCGTGCCCATGTTAAATAGCGGCGGAAAAGAAACACATTCTGTACATATATCGACGTTCATATACAGAATGAACAAGTTACCACCCGCTGGACATCTCAGTGGTTGAATCAACAGAGAAAATGAGTGATTGTAAACAATGTAAAATGTTTATTTACAGCACTAAAATACACACAAAATCATGCAATATTTGAAATGTACATATACATGTAAATGAAGCACTAGATACATGGATGAATATATACATCGAGAGAACAGCACTAAATTCCTCTGCCACAGGACCGGTAAACAGTAGGATCACACAATGTCAATACAATATGTTTAACAATATTTACAGCAAATGTTTATGATTTACACGGAACAATCGTTGGAAGTGACGTCAATCTCCAGACCGGAAGTGGAAGATGACTCCAACTTGCAGACGACAGGGCTGGAATCACCAGACGACACCCGAGGGAGGCGGATAGGGTGTGACTTGGGGGGTCTGGGTGAAGAGGGGACAAGTCCAGGTCGGGTGGATGTGAGGACGGGACTCTGGGTGGTGGGGCTCGTCAGTGGAGATCCCGGGATGTGACTGGCTGGAAAGTCGAACAGACGCTGATAGGTTGGACTGGCACCGGGGGAGAACATTGGCGACGTGGGCAGCATGGATGGGACGTCAGTGTAGCCGGTCAACATCGGGTACATAGCTGGAGACATGAGGGGTGAACACCCGAACAGATAGGGGTAGGAGAACGGGTAGCCGTGACGGAACGGTGACGTCACTGACGGTGTGGGCACGACGAACTCGGGTTTCTTGGGTGGGGTCAGCTTCTGTGGTGAGGGTGAGGCCGAGACAAACCCGGAATCACGACGGGCGGCGTTGGCGGGCTTGGTCTTGGTGCGACGACTTCGTGAACGACGGTTCTGGAACCACACCTGGAAAGAAGGAAATCAGGAATATACTCACATATATACTCTCGATATATCTTTAATGGTCAATTTTGTATGATGAATGTTCCGAATATATTTCCTTATATATACAAGGGAAAATTTTATTTTTGTTTTGGCCTACCTGTATTCTGGCCTCCGTAACGCCCGCCTCTTCTGCCAGCTGTTCGCGAAGGTTGATGTCGGGGTAAGGGTTTTCTCCAAATACTGCCTCCAGGCGGTCGATGGCGGCGTCGCTGAAGATGGTGCGACTACGACGTTGACGACTACGAGGGGCGTTGCTCGGGGGGCTCTGGGACGGCTTGTCGGGAGATTCACCTCGAGCTGAAACTTCCCAAATATTCCACCATGAATCAACCATCCACACTTAATTATCCTCAATAATGTAATTATCGACAGCACACGATATATATATATATATATATATATAAAATGTTAGCTTGTCTTTTTTTACTGACGCAAGTAAATTTTACGTATAACTTCCTGGTCATTCTTGTAGTAAGCATACAGACCCAGAACATTTTACTATAACTCCCTAGTATACAGACCCAGAACATTTTACTATAACTCCCTAGTATACAGACCCAGAACATTTTACTATAAGTCCCTAGTATACAGACCCAGAACATTTTACTATAAGTCCCTAGTATACAGACCCAGAACATTTTACGTATAACTCCCTAATAATCATAGTAAGGTCAAACAGAAATGTACGCCAACCCGTTGATCAAACACGTACCTGCGAGTATATTTGCGATGCTGAAAGCCATGCTGTCTGTTTTCGGTTGGATGTTTAGGACTATCTGAAGCTGTGACTCCTTTCAATTTCGTCTGTATTTTATATACCCGAATTGAAGCCACTAATTGGTCTTGAGTAAAGGGATTAGATGGGATATAGGACACTGTAAGATCCCAGAAACACTGTCTGCTTTTTGACCAATCACAGACGTTAATTGCTTTGTGATTTCGGGAGACAATGAAAAGGAAACCATGTTGGACGAACCGTTTAATGACGAAGTCAGTTTGTTGTTAAAACAACACGGCTGGTATTGGCGTGGCTATCGTTACTGGCTTCGTTGTCTGTGTTGTTGTGATGTTGTTTTAAGAATGTTGTGTTTGTAATTGTTAATGTTTTCAGAAAAGTAAAGAGGTTTCTAATCAGATTACAATTAGCTTGGTATCTACTTGTGTTTATTTTGACGGTGTAGTTTTTAAGATCTACAGTGATAACATTTACCCCATGGTGTGGTTTAGACTAAAATATGAAATATGGATTTAACAAAAGTCAGTTTGCCGACCCGAAACCGTTCCAAAATGCCGGGCAAAAGACAATATACATTAACGTTTTATGATGGCTAAAATGAAACAAACGGAGAAATGATTATTCAATGTGGATGTATTTCATACGGGTATGATAGTTGTGTTTTAGACCTTTAAATTTGCAGTGCTTCGACAACTGTTCAGCACCCGTAACGTTTGGTACAAATCCAATTTTCAAGTGAGTACTTTCTTGTGCCCGGCAATTTATTACAAATATGTCGGACAATTTGAAGTATAACACTCGTAGTTTGAATATACACGATGGCGTCAGGGTTATTAGCAAATGGATGGTGTCAGTGTTTAAAGTAATGCCTAAGACCAAAATCACCGCCCTAGTAATATCTGCACCAAACTCTTACAACATGGGCAGTTGAGATGTTAGCATTTTACACAGGAGACAAAGGCATTCATGTAGCATATTAAACAGCTTCCAATCTTTTCTAATATGTACAAAATATAACATAGGCGTTTTTTCGCAACTTTGAAAGAAGAAGGTGAAGCCGATTTGAACGTTTCGCAATGATTAACACTTTATTAACAATCAACTTATGACTTTGTACTTCTTCAATAACAGTTCTCTCCATGTATAAATTTGGTCTAATACCAGAATCGACTTGACTTGATAATGACGTCCGACCAAGGCCGACAACTGCAGCAGAACTGGTGTCAGCCATTCCTCAGAGTGTGGACTCAAGTGCCTATGGCCTTCATCAACCGCCCCTCCATTCCATGTATCGACGGTGCACGGCAGTCATCAATGCATATGGCGGACACACGAGATACTGACTTGTGATGCCATTTTCTCAGAGACTAGTGTTGTGTTTCACTTTAAGAACATTTGACAATTTAATTTCAACCTTGATGACCAGTTTTGCCAAGTTTCATCTTTTTAATATGTCTCAAAGTATGTTTACAGTGTTTGGACAAATAAGGTTTCTCATATATCTATCCATGGTGACGTTTCTTTTCCGGTTCAGTATATTTAACTAGTGTTTCAACACGATTTAAAAAACAACAGCACCACTTGAAGATACATAAAATCACTCTCTGTGGTCATTGACGGTTCACATCACACCGTAACTGTCCACCAAGGAATATCTTGCGTAAGTATCATGTATACAACTTGACTTTCTTCTGTTACTTGATTTATATATAGGAAGGGGTATTAAAATAAGCGTTGTCGGGTTTATCGATCCCAATTTTCAGTCGAAATAAAAAGAATATTTAAACCATACACGGCGTGTGGCATGGCGCAAGCACAAAGTGCGAGATGCACGCTTTTCTCGTGACGTACAATACATAGGCATGGCTAAAAACGGTTGATAACAGTTTGGTTGGTTTGTTTATTTCATTACGTTACTGATGCATACCACATGCCATCGTGACATTACTCATGCCTAGCAGTACTGATGCCTAATAAAGAAACGTGTCACAACGGTTCATACCAGTCGCCATACGTGTCATTACTGATGCCTAATAAACAAAAGTGTCATGACGGTTCATACCAGTCGCCATACGTGTCATTACTGATGCCTAATAAACAAACGTGTCATGACGGTTCATACCAGTCGCCATACATGTCATTTCTGATGCCTAATAAACAAACCTGTCATGACGGTTCATACCAGTCGACATACATGTCATTACTGATGCCTAATAAACAAACGTGTCATGACGGTTCATACCAGTCGACATACATGTCATTACTAATGTCTAATAAACAAACGTGTTATGACGGTTCATACCAGTCGCCATACGTGTCATTACTGATGCCTAATAAACAAACGTGTCACAACGGTTCATACCAGTCGCCATACGTGTCATTACTGATGCCTAATAAACAAACCTGTCATGACGGTTCATACCAGTCGCCATACATGTCATTTCTGATGCCTAATAAACAAACCTGTCATGACGGTTCATACCAGTCGACATACATGTCATTACTGATGCCTAATAAACAAACCTGTCATGACGGTTCATACCAGTCGACATACATGTCATTACTGATGCCTAATAAACAAACGTGTTATGACGGTTCATACCAGTCGCCATACGTGTCATTACTGATGCCTAATAAACAAACCTGTCATGACGGTTCATACCAGTCGCCATACGTGTCATTACTGATGCATGCCTAATAAACAAACGTGTCATGACGGTTCATACCAGTCGCCATACATGTCATTACTGATGCCTAATAAACAAACGTGTCATAACGGTTCATACCAGTCGCCATACGTGTCAGGACAGGGCAGTGTTTGCTGACAAGTCCACAATTATCTCTATAAAGTCGTCTTAACTAGGTCTATCGACCAGTAGCGTAATTGAAGATTTCGGACTCGATGTGATCTTGTGCATTAGAATCACTTGAAGATAATTACTACACCGACCATCCCAATTGTCGTCATTAAGGAGTCAGTGTGACCATGACAGTTGACGTTTGAGATGCCCCCTGTCCAAAGTCTCGCCAACCTTCGCACAGGAGCTGTCTGTCATTTGATTGACATTACATATAATTATGTCTAAGAAGAGTGAATAACTGATTTGTTTTCTATATTTCAATAGTAATAAAAAAGTCGAACATCATTAATAATCGCTTGCCATATTAGGCATGAACGGGAGTAGATACATGGTTGAGTCTCACACTGAGAGACGTTGAAGGATGGGGCCTGTTGTTACCCTGCCTGGTAACGGTATACTGTGTCGGTGTAATAATAATAATAAGAAGAAGAAGAAGAAAAGACGAATAGGCGATTTATATTGCGCATATTTCCACACCACACATGGGATTGCCCAAAGCGCTATTAATACCCCAGTCACTGGATCAGTGTACACTAAACAAACATTCTCAGCTCCCTGGGGAGTATACAACCGAAGCTGCCCGTTGGGTGCTTGAAGGTTAACAACCACATTGCCAGGTCATGTCTGAGTGGGGTATCCATGTTAAACTGCGGCATGGGAAACACACGCGCGTACGCACGCACAGACGCACACACACACCTCAACTCTCCTCACCAATCCATATAGTTATGTTGTCTTTGAAATGTCTCATCATGGCAGGCTCTTTGTTATCTTGTTTCATCACACAAGTCATCAGTAGAGTGAATCCACGCACGACTCTTTCAATATCAGCTTTATTTACTCACCGTAAAGTTCACTGAAAACTTCTTATAACCCTTACAAGAACCATTGTACGCCTTAACGGATAAATGAATATGCCATCCCGAAAGAAATATCATTTGTAGAATTACTGCTGCCTCAAGCCTATAGAAGCACGCTCGATCCCATTCCACTGATGGCATCCTAATCATGAAATACAACAAGCTGGAATTTAAACCCACAATCTGTCACTTTAAGCAAATAATGACATTTCTAAACATAACAAAAGCGATTTGCACAATCCAAACATGCTTTACTGAAATCCGAAATCCATACACAGGCTGCGTCTCCGGTAGAACAAGTCATCTATTCGATATTTCATTTAGTTCTAAGCCAAATTCCATCAGTGTAACCCAAACTAGTCGATACAAGCATGCGAGGCGCCCGTTGACAAAATACCACCTCATCTGCCCATCCACAACTCAACACATGCCGAAAGTTTCAAAACTCAATCACAGAGATCGAATTTCGCTGATCGATCTGACCCGTGTTCTTTTCCCCTTGCGTGGGACTCCAAGCAGGTGCTTTGGTTGCTATGGAAACCTAGAACGCCGAGGCGGGTGTTGAATCATTTAAAGCTCTCAAGGTGAAGTTGAGGCGGGATGTACGTTCAGTGGTGACACTAGACATCGTCTCATTGTTGTAGTCGGTATTACAGGATAACTCCTACAGATATACTGCTTCACGGGAACACTAGGGACAGTGACCCCGCGGCGGGAAATAACAACATCTTCTATGTAATCACATAAGGTAAGAAACAATTATTACAAAGACTTTTTTTGTATTTTGTTGTCAATAACACACAGTGCGTGATGCCCCCGTTAAGATCCGGGTTAGAATATTTCTTCAGCAACCAACGCTTCTCGTAAGAAGCGACTAATGGGATCGGGTGGTCTGACTCGTTGACATGGTTGATGCATGTCATCGTATCCCATTTGAGTAGATCGATGCTCATGGCACCAATCAATGGCTTTTCTGGTCCAGACTCGAGTATTTACCTACCGATCAGATAGCTGGAATATTGAGCAGCGTTAAACAACAAACAAACAAACAAACAAACAAACAAACATTGCATGGTGTCGATATGTCCAGGTTAAGTAAAGAGGTGTCGATGTGCCACCCTCGGCCATACCATTTTTACCTTCATGGTTGATAATGTTTATACTGTAACCGTTTTAGGTGAAAATGGGCTGGGTGAGGATATCGTGTCACGAATATACTGTTTTCGTAACGTGAAACGTTGTGGGTCGATCGGTTTCATAAATAAATTATATTCTTAATATTTTTGTTTTGAATAATGGGCGTTTACCTTCATTACAAAGTAGGTGCGGGTGGTATAATCGTTTCCCTTATCTGTCTAGATCCGATAACCGGGGGTTCGAATCCCAGTTTCCCTTGTTTTGACCCTTCGAATAAAAGGCTTCCGCACCATACCCGTGCTCGTGGGTTTCACTCAAGTGGTTATGAAACGTCTGAGACCTGCATTACTTCAGGCTTTCCTCCTACATTAATATTTCGCTCCGTGATACGTTTATGACCGAAATACTGTTCAAATTAGAGCCGCCTTCTATAATTAAAGTGTTCTGTTATTCATTCCATCTCTCACATGCTAAATGTCTGCATATGTTGTTCTAAGTTTAAGAACGGGTTAATCTACAGTTCCATCATATTTCTCATATGGTCCTAGGAAAATTAGCATAATACATACAAATTTAAGACATGATAGCGAATTAAAAAAAATACATTTTTAGAAAAAGTTTAAACGAGGATCCGATGTGGCAGCCCATGTGAAAAATCATATAGTTTTTTCATTGAATGCCCTTTTTTTAAATCAGCTAGAAAGGAATTGATGCACTCACTATTGATGTAAATATTGACCTGATGCAAGTTGGCAATGCAATTTTACCTAATCATGTGAACGAAAACATTTTTATACATGTACATACATATATAAAGAAAACAAAAGGTTGGAGTGAGCAACGTGAATGTACATACGTTTCTCTATTTCTTTTCTTTCGTTTCTGTCATTTAATGTATTAATTGTAAAGAAACACACATGTAAATCTATGAGAGAGGGTGTTCTAAGTTCATGAGAATAAAATATGTTTAAACTAAGCTTAGAGAGTAATCATTTGATATTCAGGGTGGTGGGTCACTTTAATATATTCTTCTGTACAGGGTGCCAGGTCACATTGTGTTTTTTACTAAAATGCGATGTATGTGTAAAACAAACCAGTAAAACGGGTCGATTATGGTTTCCGGATAAATCTCCCCAAACACATTCCACACTCTACCCCACACCCCACCACACCACACTCAACACCCCACCACACCACACCACACACACAAATTAATCCTCAATAAACACATATATGAAATGTGCTAAACGAACATTGATAAGATTTTTTTCATGAGAGAAATCGAGGAACCAAAATTCAATGTTTTCCCTTTACTAGTGTATCAATTTGCTTGATAACATTACGATTTCGATTTAGATTTGTCAGGCATGTAAATTCACGATCAATAGCCAGTAGCTTTCAGTTTATACCATATGTCAACGCTTTCACTTAGCGAGTTGAGTGCGAGTTGGTGTTTATTAGCGCGAAGGGGCCACCCTGGCATGATACAGCTTCAAAGTGAGTAAGGGAGTGAGTTGGGTTCAACGCCGCTTTTAACATTATTCCAGTCATATAACGGCGTGTCAGCTTAATGTGGGAGGAAAGCCCGAAGTGATGCAGGTCTCAGACGTTTACCACTTTGGTGAAACCCACGAGCACGGGTATGGTGCTGACAAACCTAGAACCATAATTGGGGCGAACCGGGATTCGAACCCACAATCATAGGTGTCTGGCGTGCCCAAGGGACGCAACTCTGCAAAGCGAATCGCGGCGCCTTAGACGACTTGGCCACCCGTGCCCCCTACAGCTTCAAAGCATGTAAAACAGTTATCTTACAGAGCGCACCGATGGGGTTGCAGTCTAATATAATCCAGCATGGTGACAACCACAATAATTTAACAATAATATAAAATATATTAAAGTATACAGCACAGATCACAAAGAAATTAAGATATTGCTTCGAATACTTTAAATCCTTGAAATAATTATCTCTCTTTTTTTAGCTAAGAATAAATACTTTACAAGATATTTTAGTTAAGGGGAGTTACAACAACTGTCTGAATTTCTCATGGCTAGGAAATTCCCAATAATATAATGGAAGGATATTATTATGTCTAAAAGGTCAGAATAAAAGGGGCATTCTAAACAAAGTGGTATTCAGTTTCTATTTGTGTTACTTACACACTTAGAAGAACAGATGTATACATGTTAAAACTGTTCCTTCATAATTGAGCGTTTTATTCAAAGAAAACATTTTAGTGAAATACTGTAAGATCAACGTTACAAGGTCCATAGGCAATTCATGTTGTGGAATGAATGTTTTGTAATAATCTTTCTATTGATGTATGATAACATTATTCATACCTTAATCACGACTCAGTGAGAGGCGTTTTAAGGTAATTGTCAAGATATGGCATGATGAAATATAAAGTTAACGATCCCGCCAGGACAAGAAACTGCAATGTATGAAACACTGCATTCGTTATTACTGGTGATACACTTGATAAATGTATGCTGGACTTTGAGTAAAAGAAGATAATGTTTCTCTGTGTTTGTTTAAAGTATTATTTGCACTATATATTCCCGTGGCCATGTCCCAAGGTATTCGTGTTGTCACATTTCAGAACGAGCGTAATGTGTGTGTACAGGTGTAGCACGTGCAGCACGAGCATATCCACATGAGCTGTTGCTGTTCTGGTTTGAACACCTGCCATATCACAAGAGGTTGTATGAAGGCCGGCATTGTTCCTGGTTTTTGATGTTCCAATCGCGCGAACTTCCTTTTTGTAAATTTAAGTCAACGTAGACTTCGATGCCATACGGGTCGATTGAGAAAAATATAGGCTATGTTTATGTTTGGTGTCATATGCTGTGAAAATATATGCCCGGGTATTGGGCAAAATAGGCTGTGTAATTCAAGATCGGAAACATTCTCATATCGGTTTTGGTTCCGTCTCACGATTTTGTTGAATAATCAATATCACAGTAAGAAAGTTGACTTAAAGACAAATGTCACGAAATGTTTTAAAGCACTAGCGATATGAATTATTTATGTTTGATATATAATCGACACGTGTACAACATGAATATTACTGATAATAATTCGACCTGAAAAATATTAAATTCTCTGCTCCACTTTTGAATAAAATGAGAACGGCAGACGAATATACTGTAGAGATAATTATTGTCGTCAAAGAAAACATCGACATTCCTGGTTTGCGGGATCTTTGTGAAAAGTTGCTTCCCTTAATCGTGTCATGATCCTCTGATCGTGTGTTCGAATCCCAGATTCGCCCGTATAATGATACCTGGATTGTCAGCACCATATATATATATAAGGGTGGTCAGGACCTCGTGGACGTCCCGGGGTATTATTTAAAATGTGTATATCGTTATGGTAGGACTATAACAGGCCTAAGGTATGTCTGAGAAATGTCTGAGACTTCATAGGTATGACTAACACAAATGTACGTTTATTTTTTAATTGAAGCTCCATATTTTACAGGGCGAAGGCTGTCTCCGCGCAGCTCCGTTCTAAACAATTCAAGTCCCCCGTTTTACTGAAAATAAATTACATATGCCTCGCATCGTATCCCAATTTCGTGGATCGATGCTGAGGATGTCAATCACTGGATTGTCTGGTCCAGACTCGATTATTTACAGACCGCCGTCATATAGCTGGAATATTGCTGAGTGCGGCGTTAAACAACAAACATATGCCTCGCAGTGTGAGTAACATTGTTTCCATTTCTTGCAGGTGTGTATTGAATTTTCGATAAATTATGTTTTTTGTGTGTAAAAAATGATAATTCAGCACTTACTTATTTTTGAAAAAGTAATAGATATTCTAAACATTTCCTTGAAAAAATAATTGATATCCTAAACAGATATCAACAGTTGAAAGCCTGCCCGCCTTGTGAACTAGTTTATATCTCAACCCTTTCGCCGTTTAGATTCCTGATAGAATAACATTAATTTCATTGTTTGTAAATATGACCCGAATGTTAATTATTTCTCATATTGTATGAATGGCTTTAACTGATTATTTACTCAATATAATCATTGGATCGATCAAGTGTTCCAATTTTATAGGGAGTAGAGTGGTGAGTGAATGGGTATGGTTTAACGTTGCTTAGAACAGTAACTTGACTTACAGTGAATTCTGTCTGAACCGGATATCTTTGGGGCCGTAATTAAAGTCCGGTTAGAGCAGAGGTCCGGATTATTGCGATTATAGCGCGAGATACAGATATAGAAACAAAGACGAGGTTGAAGGAAATACATGTATTATTATTTATTAAATTATTTTCGGGACCAGGTGTTCGCGAAAAGGTGAGCGTATCTTGCCCCACCGGTTGCACCCATAACAAACACATGCAAAGGCAAGTCAATTGTTCACCTCAAATAAACACGGGATCAAATATTACAGATTTGAAAATGGGAATTGTATTGGACATATATTTTCTGCGTATATGTGTTACTGACTGACTGAGTATGGTTTTACGCCGCTTTTAGCAATATTCCAGCAATATCACGGCGGGGGACACCAGAAATGGGCTTCACACATTGTACCCATGTCTTCGGCGTGACGAGCGAACGCTTTAACCACTAGACTACCCGACCGCCCCGTATATGTGCTACATTCAGGACGCCTAGGCCGACCATTTAACAGAAGAGTTTGTTGTGGTCTGTTGTGCTTACAAATCAATATATCTCAACTTATCTGTAGAATCAAGGAGAAGTATCGACATAAGCTGATTGATTGGTATCGGAAAGGAAATGTGCTTCGATATAATTATTTTTGTGCGCACGCAATGGAACATACATTCCCGTTGTTTAAGGTGGGTTACATTCACTGAGCTAGTGTTATTCACCAGCATACAATGGCTACTACTGGTTGGGACAAGCGATTGTGTGTATGCCACGACAAGAGCGTCACCGAAAGAAACAATTAACTCTTGTACGACATCGGGCCGGAACTATGCTTCTGTAGTAATTACGTCTGAGCCGAGCCTCTAGACAGCCTGTTAAAGACTTGTAGAATTCCTATTTCCAATATCTGTGTAAAGTCTACATCAGAAAACGATGGTGTTTGCAAGAGTCGTGTGGCGTTAGACTGTACCAGAGTTGGTGAGTGTTGTTATACGCAGCCATCAGCAATATTTCAGTTAATGAAAACTGCTCAAAACAAATTAAAGAACACCTACAATTTGAAAGTTGTGTGTTGCAATACCCACGAGGGTGCCGTTGTACAAAACAACCTTAGCACTACGGCTGTCGTTAGTGAGTGTGTGAGTATGGTTTTACGCCGCTTTTAGCAATATTACAGTAATATCACGGCGGGGGACACCAGAAATGGGCTTCACACATTGTACCCATGTCGTGAATCGAACCCGGGTCTTTGGTGTGACGAGCAAACGCTTAAACTACTAGGCTACCCGACCGCCCCCTGTCGTTAGTCTTTGTTAGGGTATAGGAGTTACGATCACCCACCTTGACAGATTAACTGAAGTCATATGAATATAGCGGGTGTTCTTTAACTTCTTTCAGTATTATATATCACGACCGTCTATACATAATCAAGTATGGGCCAGGGGACCCAGTGGTTGATATCACGAGAAATATTTCATGACGTCGGGTAACGATACCTAATCAGGCAGGTCAAATAATGTGACCATCTGGGTGTCCTTGTACAAAGCGATCTCAGCGCTGAGGTGATCATAGCTCCATTACCTTAACGTAGAGTTAAGACATTCGCAGTGCTGAGGTTGTTTTTGTACAACGACACCCTGGTCCAGTTTAAGTCGACTCTCACCACAAGCATGGGTTTGTTTGTTTGTTGTTGAACACTCACCAATCTCGCACACCGTCAGGGTATGACATGCCCCCACCCGATTCATTTATTTGCCACTCACGAAATTTCCGTAGAGTTCATTCTTGTATTTTGTAGACTGACAGACATAGTTTATTAAAGTGGCACATGGCATGGAACAATTAGAATACATCATATTAAATTTATCATACCATCCAGCCTAGCTAGGCTTATGAGACACTATTTTAAAACAGATATACACTAGTAAGTTCATACCTAATAGAAAAATAAAATAGATTAAAATGTATTAAAATATACAGATATCAATCGACTAAGACATATATTATGTAAAACGCTGTCTGCTGTTAAACATTTCATTAATAGTTGATACTAAAAGTTTGATTAACGAGGCGTCAGAGCTTGACATGACGTCAGTTAACACAGTAAAAGTCTTATCAGTTAATATAGTAAAAGTCTTATCAGATGATTTAAGATTTATCTGTATTTTGTATTACGGGTGTACGACAGTACGTGAATGTTTATGTGGGTAATAAGGAGTTCATCTTCCCGAGGCAAGAGAGTTAACTGACTTTTAAAGTCCAGTTTCCACCCTTGCCGAGCTAGGCTCGAATTACTGGGCTCGATCGTAGCGCCAGCTATTACGGGTTATGTCCTTTCTATGCCTCTCCTATTGACCAATCAGATTCAACCTCTCGTATCACTTGCATTTGTTTCAAACAAAACGGTGGCGCCCAGTCAAGACGATCTGATCGATAAACAAGATCTATATTGTGATAAAACGAGTCTTACATCGCGAAGTGCATCAAATCACGTGAGCACCTTGATTAAAAACATGAAAAGATTTAGAAAATATCTGTTGACAACGAGTTAGCGGTGCACATGCTTTGCAAATCCTGCAGTCGACCGAAATCTGCATGACAGTTTACGAACCGGATTTCGATTTCGGTGCGCGATTTTGATTGGACTATGCATAGACTCGTTAGTCCAGCCAAAATGTAACTCCATAATACCAGCCTACTTCGGCAAGGTTGGAAACTGGACTTTTATAGTCAGTTAACTCCCTTGCCTCGGGAAGATGTAAGGAGTTACGGTTCTCGGATCCCGCACTTCTGGACTTGGAGAACCTCTCACAGCCAGGCGTGCTACAGGGTAGCGTCTCAGACTCACTCTGGGACACGGAAGGCAATACTCAGATAGCTGCTGAGTGACCCCTTGGAATCCTTAAAGCTTGTGGCACCATGAGATGATGGGGATCTATTCTACGACGGACTCCCCACAGGGTACAAACACGGGTACTGGGGACACACTGTGTCCCCGGTTATAAACCTATCACTGCGTTACCCTATATTGCATTAGGTTCCTGACAACGTCGGGTAAACCTAGTAACCAGCTCGTCTTCCATACCTAGGTTTTGAAATGGTTCACTTCTAAACCTGCGTTTGAGGTTTTACATCTCAACTGTAATACCTAGATTTTACAATTGACTTTGCGTAAACTTGCGTCTTGATATGAACACAGTGTTCATTCACACGTATCGTATCACAGTTTTGTAATCCACTGTTTTCCCACTGAGCCACAGCGGCAGGTGATGAAAACTTGTTCAATTTTACATGTCATGACTAAAATTGGTCCATGCTGCACGTGTTTATTCTCTCGCACATTGCTCGAATTCCTTCGTGACACGCTGTATTGTTTCACTATGGGGTATCTCTGGTATTTCTTGCATCAAGACGGTTTATAAGTTGGATAAAACACGCCTCCTCGGTTTTGGTTGAAATTGTAAAACCTTGAACTCGGGAAAAGCCCTCAGACTTTTCCCTCGCTCGCGGTTTTACATTTTCAACCCAAACCTCAGATGCGTGTTTTATCCTGTACTTAATGGTACAGTGTTCAAGCATATATCCTTCATCAACGTAAAGCTGACATCCTCACCCAATCACAGTGTTTTTTTGACAATGGAATGAAAGTGTTTGTGTTCGAGGCTGATCATGGCACTAAGAGTATTATGTTAGGGTCCCACCAGTTCATATTCCGTTCCCGTAAATGTTGGGAAAACATGTGTCCTCATGTTTTACACAGAAATCTACCTTTTCACTGGACATGCTAGATGTTCTGTAAAACATAGTCAGTCGATACAGTTAAACTGTTATTTCTGTCAAGGGGTGGAGGCGCTACGCTTCAAACACTTGCATGAAAATGTGTCATGTATCAAGCCGCATTCATGATTATATGATGACGGTAATTGTATCCTTCAATCATAATTCATCCTTTCCAGAAGAATGTTATTCATTAACGTCAACTACAACTTACAATAAGAGTAGTGTTGTGTGAGGCAGGACAGTTCGCAGTTTCGAGTCTTAGGCGTACCAGAAACCTATTATTGAGAATTCCCTGATTCGCCACGTGCTCGTGTTTGTTTATTTGTTTGTGGTTTAACACAACATTCAGCAGTATTCCAGCTATATGACGGCGGTCTGTAAATAATCGAGTCAGGGCCAGATAATCCAGTGATTGACATCATGAGCATCGATCCACTTAATTGGGATACGATGACATGCATCAACCAAGTCAGCGAGCCTGATCACCGATCCCGTTAGTCGCCTCTTACGACAAGCATGGGTTGCTGAAGACCGATTCTAACCCGGATCATTACGGGTCACGTGCTCGTGGGTTTCACCAAAATGGTAACCGTCTCTCACCCCCATTCCAGAGCTGACACCCCACTTAAAGACCTGACACGACACCTGATATGACTAAACTACATGAATAACTAAAACTATACTCACTCCCACATTTGGGGCGGTCGGGTAGCCTAGTGGTTAAAGCGTTCGCTCGTCACGCCGAAGACCCGGGTTCGATTCCCGACATGGGTACAATGTGTGAAGCCCATTTCTGGTGTCCCCCGCCGTGATATTGCTGTTATATTGCTAAAAGCGGCGTAAAACCATACTCACTCACTCACTCACTCCCACATGTATGCATTTGTCTGTGAAGGTTTACAATGAAGATTTACCTAAAAAATCTTTCAATCCAATCCCTCTAGCTTTTCAATATACTATCCCATACACACCCCTTGCTAGGTAGGTCTCAAACCATCCCTCACAAATTAAGCGAGCGGACGATCGATTTCACGATAAATCTCTGGAGGTAAACAGAGCAGATGAACTACAACTACAAAACACTTTCCTCCTGCCCCAACCTGCACGCGATATTGATGATGGTCGTGTGGAATTGCTCGCACCTGTTCTCATTACATACTCCAGGCTCCGGCTGCTGATAACCGTGGCTGGTCGTTCAGGGGACGAAGAAACAACATGGAGGAATGCAGTGAAGCCAGTCTGTATTCCAACGAGGAGGAAGTGAATTGCCCCGGGCCTTTGTTTAGGTAGGTCATTTTAATCATTCCTTTTCAAAGAATTCCATTTTTGTGTATGTCATATGATCTTTGTTGTGTCAAATAAATATTGTGTCAAAACCAAGACCCTAACTACGTTTAGCTGGTAAACACAATCCTAAACATGTTAAGACCTAAACATGTCAATGTTATGGGACAAGGAACGTGTTTTAAGTTTGTTTTTAGGATCTAAACACAATCCTAAACATGTTAAGACCTAAACATGTCAATGTTATGGGACAAGGAACGTGTTTTAAGTTTGTTTTTAGGATCTAAACACAATCCTAAACATGTTAAGACCTAAACATGTCAATGTTATGGGACAAGGAACGTGTTTTAAGTTTGTTTTTAGGATCTAAACACAATCCTAAACATGTTAAGACCTAAACATGTCAATGTTATGGGACAAGGAACGTGTTTTAAGTTTGTTTTTAGGATCTAAACACAATCCTAAACATGTTAAGACCTAAACATGTCAATGTTATGGGACAAGGAACGTGTTTTAAGTTTGTTTTTAGGTTCTAGACACATTTTTGCAGTGTATAGATTATTATACGAGCATGTGTGATACTGATTTTACGAAATGAGTGTCAGAATTCTTGTATTGCCCGAGCGAGAGGGAGGGTAATTCTTTAATTCTTACACGAGTTTTTACCTATTTTTTCTCAATCGTTTTGAGCTCCCCATTAAAACAATGCTCTGGTCATTGCCGCTGTTTTGGGGGTATTCACACGGTACAACTAGTTGTATACAATTTGCTGCATGGATGCGACGTGTAAACCACAATTGATGCTTCAGCTATGACGTCGTTTCTAGTGTGACGTCAATCCGACCTTACGTCACAATAAATTTGAATGACGTCAACAAATAATATTATGGTCCGCGTGAAGTGACATTTGCACTGGATCACATACGCTTTTTATGTATTCGGTTATTTTTAACCCTATAGGTAATAATTGTTATTACCCAGTCTGGCGCTCGACATACACGTCGCTATATAAGTGCAATAATGTTGGACCCGACGTTAAACTCCATTTCACCTCACGTCATGGCATATTCACATTCTCAAAACGTACCACACGCAATGCTTCCCAGCAGGCCTCTTTGGCTGCAGTTTTGCTTCCCGTTTCTTTTATCATTACTTTCGTTTCAAATTCCAGCTGTTACGATAGTCTGTGTCGATTAAGGCCTAGCTTCACTTGAAACAGACAGACAATGCTCGTACCACAGGGACAGAGGGGACTGGTTGATTATAGTCTGGATGTGCTCAGACTCACGGCAGGTCATCCAGCCACACGTCGTGAAATGACGCACGTCGGTCGGCAAAACTGAACCAAAATTGACCCGAGACGTTACTGTAGAAGTACCGCCATGATCTTTATGTTCGACATTCGACCTTTTATCTTTTATCTGTGTGTTTTATATCTCCCCGAGGAGAATGCGGATATATTACAACACTCCAGGACTGTCAGAGCCGAATAAAATATGATCCAGTGGGTCGAGGCCAGGTTTGTTTTATTGTTTTTGTCTCAAAAAAATAAAATAAATAAATTAATTTAAAAAAATAATAAAATAAATTAATAAACAAATAAAAATATTTATGTTTTTTTATCAAAATGTTAAAGAGGTAGAAAATAAGTTGGAGCGGGGGGACAAGGGAATGAAACATTTAAAGTTACCTCCCTTCCGTAACCTTCGCGGATCTGTCGCGTTTCGTCATGATTTGTAGTGCTCTGAATTTAAAAAAAAAATGTTTTCAAAAAGTTTTAATCATAGTATTTTAATAACTTATTTATATTGATAGCGACTGAAAATTAGTTCTTATCTTATCATATCATTTGTTTTTAAATTATTTACCATATGCATACACACTATCAGTAAAATTAATTGTCTTTAATGATGTATGTCTTAAAGATAATAATGCCAAAGAAGAAAGAAATGTATATTGTTTTCGTTTTTTAACACTTTAGACTACTTCAATCAAAATATATATTTTTACTTTACAGATGTAATGATGGGTAAATACATTACCAAATGTTTATTTTTCATAATGTTTGAGTACAGTATGTCGGAGGGGAGGCGCAGGGTTAATGTAACGGTGTTGTGGCACATTTACTCAGTACCCCACTTTGCAAATATGGTGGCAACTGTAATCACATTTTATTTCCCAAGCCAACCAAACCATTAGCCATTTACAGCATATTTCAATAAATACAAATATTGTTCTTTAATATTTTGGTGTTGCCATTGTGTTCACGAAATGAGTATACAATATTGGTATAGTTAATTGGCCTCAATGAAGTATGTCTTAAAGATATGCCGAATAAGAAAGAAATGAATATATTGTTCACACTTTAGATTACCTAAATCATGATAAATAGTCTATTATGATAAATTTATTTACTTTACAGATGTAGTGTTGGGTACATACATCCCAAAATGTGCATTTTTCATTTGATATTTAGGTTGTGGGTCATGTTCACATGAGATGTACTAAAATTCCATTCCTCCATGGCGGCCATAGTGGGTTTTTTGGGTGACCCCATATCTGAAAATATTTAGAATGTCAATACAGTAAATTACGGTTATAACGAACACGCTTATAACGAACTGACGGATATAACGAACTTAATTTTTAGTCCCGACTATTTGCTGAAGTTATGCTTTATATATGCTTATAACGAACTACGGCTATAACGAACTAAAAATAGTAGTCCCTTTGAGTTCGTTATAACCGTAGTTTCCTACCTACAACTGTGCCAAGTTTCATGCTTTTATCACAAAGTACACAACTGTTCTATACCTGTCACGATACGGCTCCATAATATACCATGTTGGTGAAACCAACGAGGACCGGTATGGTGCTGACATACATAGTAAACATTCGGGGGAACCGACATTTGAACCCATGTTTTTAAAGAAACACATGATACTGCATAGTGCTGACTGGGGGAGATGAAATATTTAAAAAAGACTCAGTTTATCATCTGAAACTTGATCAAGTCCAGACTAATGCCGATTTTATAGTGGTAGCCCACTTAGATACCATGCCGCAGATTAACATGAGTACCCCACTCAGTCACAGTATACTGATCCCGAGTCGGCCAGTCCTTGTTTTAGCCCCTTAAAGACGAATGTATCATCTTTGAACGTCTTTTGGTAGGACGCGGCCGGGTATCGAACCCCGGACCTTTCACTCTCTGGGCAGACGCTCTATCGTTAGACCACGGAGGGCCACACACACACACCCATGAAACAATCAAATGTACCAGACACTCGTTGTTTGAACGAATAAAAGCCTTTACATTACTGTAGATGAATTGCATAATTTTACACATTTTAGCACCATGTTTGTGCAATATCTTCCATAGAAGCTGACGCTAAATGGAGTCGAAGGATTTAGAAAAATCAATAAAATCTCAAAAAGTTCGGATCAGGTGATTGGAGAATCTAATATGTCAGTTGTCAGTTCTTGCACATCACCTGGAAATGGCTCTTTGTCCTCCAACTCACCAGGATCTTTCTGTTCAGAATACAGTGACGAGAAATATACTCCCCCTATCCGTCCCCACTAACGTTTAGAGTCGAACACTGCATTTTCTAAGCCTCCTTATACAGTGTGTATGTATGCTGATCCTGCTGGATTGTGCCATTAAGTACCCGAGCAACTGAGAAATGTGGACGCCATAAGCTGGAGCTGATGGTATATTGCTCGATATAAAGGGGTAATTCACGACTGGAAAATCGAAATCATCCATCTTGTCATACAACATGACACAGGGGTTGCCACATTTGAATTTCTGTACATAGTTCTGATGGGACACTGACTATTGTTTCTCAGTTTCTCAGTTGTTTCTTTGATCTCGGGTGGATCGATGACGACATTTATCTCGAAATTGTTGAAAGAAATGAGGTCACACACCCACTCCCCCCCCCCCCCTCTCTCTCTCTCTCACACACACACACACACACACACGCACCTACGCACGCACACACACACACTCACCCCTCTCTCTCTCACACACACATAGGCACGCACACACACACGCACTAATATTATGTCTTTCACACATCGATATAGAGGTATTCCTGGTGCTAGTGAACTCTCTTGATACATTTTTGCAACATTATCATATGTCTCAGATTTATTTGGGTTTATTTAAACAGATGTGTAATGGCAATAGTTCTATCTGGACCATTATCTGCTTGACACTGAGCTTCTTTACCAACACGTATCAGGGGATTGACTCAGATCAATCAATGTCAATAGCATCTGAAAACGGCAACACGCACCTGCTTCACAGCCTCGCCACGATAAGTCTGGGATTGTTTGAGTGCTTCAAGACATAAACTATTTCCCGGGAAAAAGGCGAGGTGCACAGTAGATTCATCACACGTTTTTAAAATGTAACATTTTGCCGTATAGAGAGAGAGTATGGTTCTACGCAGCTTTTAGCAATGTTCCATCAATAACACAACAGAGTTCGCAAAATGGGCTTCACAACACGAAGGTGACATTCTATTTTCAGTTTGTAAGCAGTAATGATCAGTGTCGCGAGTGTAGCTGAACAGCCTTCGGGAGATATCCCTTGATTTACCCAAGCGACATCTCCTGTAATCACAGTGGGAAAATAAAATAGTGGCATAGATAACTTGAATATTAATTCCTTTCCAAAATATTTTTAGTCTATTATATATGCGATTCTGTTATTGTTTCTTCAGAGTGAAGATGTTTGTTATGGGCGATGTTGGCTGCGGCAAGACAAGCCTGGTCCAGTCCCTCATCGGCCCGACCCCCAAACTTAACGACAACCCCACCGACGGCGTCAAGGTAGAGCTATGGTACCCCTTTAAGACATCCAAACACAATGGTACGTACACACTAGATGGACATTCATTTTACAGTCTTTATTACCCCTGGTTTTATCGGAGTCTCTGAGAGACTTTTTCTATTGCACCCCCCCCCCCCCCCCCCCCCCCCCCTGGTTTTAAACAAGACAAAGCTTTAATGGAAGCGGTATATGTTAATTCTTTGATTGGCATAGTATAAGTTGGAAAAAGTAACAAGCAATGTTGTGGATTGCAACTTCTTTATTTACACTAATTCGACATGCAGTCAAACAAAGTTGTGTCGAAGTTGAAGGGTCCTACATAAATACTTCGAGTTAGCCGAGGTTCGACACAACCGAAACCGATGACTAAAGAAGGAAGATGCAATGACCAAGCTTTTACTTCGAGACAACAGTAAGTTCGACACAACAGTGTTTGACTGTATCGATGTAGATGCTTGCACGTTTATCTATTATTTTGCCCGGAGAACGGAAGGTATGTGGTTCGATCCCTCCCACGTCATGCCAATAGTGAAAAGACGGTACTTGTTGTTACTCGGAATTAAGGGGATAAAACAAGGACTCTTCGGCTCGGAGTCCTTACAGTCTGTGTCTGGGTGGGGTATTCATGTTAAACTGCGGCAGTGGGCTAGCACTATAAAAACAGCATCATTCCGGGCTAGTACAAGCAGACACGCAAGCACGCAAGCACGCAAGCAAGCAAGAAAGGAACGCACGGACACACAGAGTTGTATAATCTTGAACGCGACGTTAAATCCCATTTCACCTTACCTTATCAAGCCTGTGAAGTGTAAGCAGGATTCACAAACCACTATCGTGTCTTCATCAGATTCTAATTGATATACGCAGGATTAGAATAAGCACTGAAACGTCATAACAGTGGAAACACAGACGCTGCCATTAATACAATTGCTTGTTATTAAAGACAGTGTGAAACACTAGATGCATACTGCATTAACAAAAATACATCATGAAAACACAATGAATATGACATGAGCTAGTACATCAGGAGCCCATGTGTTTTAAAAGGAGAAATGTCAATCTGGTTATACGTCTTTGTCAACAGAATTATGATCAGAACCTTTTTCTTTTTTTATATGTCATTCGTAAAAGCGTCGAACGGCTCATGTTGGGATTTTTAAAATGGTTCCAGAAAACTTGCTCGACAGGAAGCTGAGTGGGGAGGAGCATCACCTCATCATAGAGATTTGGGATATGACAGGGAGGCAGGTAAGTGAGTGAGTGAGTGAGTGAGTTTGGTTTTACGCCGCGTTTAGCAATATTCCAGCAATATCACGGCGTGGGCATCACACATTGTATCCATGTCGGGAATCGAACCCGGGCCTTCGGCGTGACGAGCGAACACTTCAACCACTAGGCTACCCGACCGCCCCGAGCCAGATAAGTCATAGATGTATCTATGTATTATTGTCGGTCAATACACTGGGTATCCCAGTGTGGTGTAGAATATGATCTCTATCGGACCGCCGCTATGGTCCTTGTGGATAGAGCGTCCGCCCGGAGAGCGAAAGGTCGGTGGTTTGATCCCATATGATAACTATGGTACTTGTTGTTACGCTGCCTGGCGCGTTACTCGTATAAGGGGACATAACAAGAACTTGGCGCCTCGGACTCAGTATACAGTGCCCGAGTCGGGTATCCACGTTAAACTGCGGAATGGTATCTCACTGGTCTAGAACCGGCATTAGCACGTCCCTCTATATACATCCATTAATCTTGAACGCGACGTTAATCCCCATTTCACCTCACCTCACCTCAACTCACTTCACCTCTGATATTAATCACATTTCGTTCACATTGTGTTAGATTTGTTACGACACTTATTAAAATAATGAACGTGGTGATAGCGGCTGCAATCAGGGTTTACAACGTTAATGTTCCCATTGTTGTACACCATTCTGAACAATGCTGTCCGTGCTGTAGGTGTGTCAACACGCCCATCAGATGTACCTGACCCGGGAGTCCATCTTCCTTCTTCTCTACAACAGAGTGGACCACACCAGCTGCGACAGTGTCCTCCCCATCTACACCAGCATCCAGGAGGCCGTGAGTTGCCCTCCACTACTACTACTACCACTACTACTACTACAAGTGTTTGTTTGTTGTTTAACGCCAAACATGCATGAACCAAGTCAGCGAGTCTGACCACCTGATCCCGTTAGTCACCTCTTACGACAAGCATAGTCACCTCTTACGACAAGCATAGTCACCTCTTACGGCAAGCATGACTACTACTACTACCTCCACTATCACTACTACTACTACCACCACTACTACTACTACTTCTGCTGCTTCTACTGTTACTACTACTACTACTACTACTACTACTACCTCAAAACACATCTTTTCAAAATAATGTACTGTAAATAAAATGTTGTGTAGTACTGTGAGCAACTACCTAGTAGATGAGCGCATGACAAATGGACTATTATTATTATAATTATTATTATTACGATGCTTCCACCATGAAGCCTCCGCTTCTGCTGCTACAAATCAGACTTCGGCTTTGCCAAACACTTTCCCCCTGGAGATTACAAGAAAACAATGCAATAATTACACATCACCGTACCGATTATCGTTGCTCTTCCTTTAAAACAACTGTTCTGCCATGCCCAACGCGTGCTATAGCTAATATAGCTAACTGCGGCGTTAAACAATATTCACCTCCTCACTCTTCAAAACCCAGATTCGCCGTGGTCAAATAATTCTAGGTTTGTCAGCACCATAACTCACTCGCCACGCCGTGATATATCGGAAATACTGTTCAAAGCGGCGTTAAACCAAAATAACTAACTCACTCTCCAAGCCTTGATTTTGCTGGAGTACTGTTCAAAGCGACGTTAAACCCAACTCACTCACTCCGAAAAACTAAAGTACCCGGAGACTTATGCACGCTCTTGAAACAATTCTACCCTTAAAATCCTGGCAGGGGACCAAACACTATTACTATAACAGCACAACAACAACTATCACACTCATATTGATCATCATGTTCCCCTCGCCCATCATGATATTCAGCGTATAAGTATGTCTACCATTGATTATACCGTGTCACAGACACCATCATCCTACAAACAACTTCCTTCAACAAACCCTGCATTTCTAGATCATCCTGACACCGAAGCTGCTGATGTGGAATCTCCATCCGTGTTTAAGTAGCTCCGTATTCTCATTCTTGATTTATCTGAGGTGTAATGGTTTGTGCTGATTGGTGCGAATGTGTGTGAACGGTACAAGGGCGGTAATGGTTTTGAAATTGGTTTTGAAATGGGACATTGGATCTCACTCTAGGAGCCTTTACGATTCCAATAATGGATTTCACAGGTCCGGGTTGTTTATGGTCATTGATTGGGAATGTGTTGGCTGTGATGGGCCGGTGCTTATTACCATAGTTTCAGGGGAATGTGTTGAGAAATGTTTAAACTTTGCAATAGTTTATTATTATTATCGACACTGTCTGAGTGGTAATTACTCGTTTGGCATTGAGACAACAACTGCGTATAAACTGAATGAGGGTACCATGGCCGTGGTTATTTGTAACTTTCTACGAGGGCTGGTCAAAAAGTTCTAAGCCAAGTAAACAAAAACCAACAATTGTGAAAGTGTTTTTAATTTTATTCTTCAACATAATCTCCCTGCTTTTCAATACACTTCTCATATCGATAGTGAAGCTTTATAATTTCAGTCAGGAAGACGTTTTCTGAAGCCACCCTGAAAAACCCATTCAGGGCAGCTTTGAGGTCATCGTTGTCGTCATAGCGATTTCCACGAAGGTGTTTTTTAAGTTTAGGAAACAGGTGGAAATCACTTGGTGCCAGGTCTGGCGAGTATGGAGGATGAGGAAGCTCTTCGAACCCACATTGTTGCACAGCAGCCTTTGTAAGTCGAGAGTTGTGAGAAGAGGCATTGTCATGAAATAGAACTCCAGTAGTCAGCGTTCCTCTTTTTGAATCACTCAGGCGATGAAGCAAATCAGCATAGTAGGCACCGGTAATCGTCTTTTGACTTATAAGTAATCAACTAGGATCACACCATTTGCACCCCAGAATACAGTGGCCATAACTTTCTTCACTGATCTTGAAGACTTGAATTTCTTTGTTCCCGGAGAAGTGGAATGGTGCCATTCCATGGATTGACGTTTTGACGTTGGGATCATAGTGCTAGACCCATGTGTCATCATCCGTTACTAATCTCTTTTTTAATTTGAGGAAATCCTCCTCAACTAGCTCTAGATTTTCATCTGGAAATGTCAGTTCTTTATTCCTTAAGATTACAATTTAGAACTTTGGGACCCAACGAGCAGATATCGTATTCATCTGTAAATGTTCATGAATACTAGTTTCAATGGATCCATGGCTTAGACCTGTGTCTTCCTCAAGTTCAGCAATGGTAATACGTCTCTCTAATCTCCTTGATTGAATCTTCATTGATGGAAGTAGAGGGACGTCCAGACCTAGGGTCATCATCAAGGCTTGTTCTCCCAACCTTAGACATAACTGCCCAACGTTTAACAGTGGAATAGCGAGGGCACCTATCCCCATACACTTGTGACATGCGGTCATGAATTTATTGGGGAGTGCATTTCTCTGAAACCAAAAACTTAATGACTGCTCGGTACTTAAACAATGTAATACATTGACTAGTTCACTTTGTTATGGCCCATAGTTGAAAGTTTGTCAGGCTTAGAACTTTTTTACCAGCCCTCATAAAAGACAAAATAATAGTTGACTATGTGTTTCAGTGAGTGAGTGAGTGAGTGAGTATGGTTTTAAGACGCGTTAAGCAATATTCCAGCAATATCACGGTGGGGGACACCAGAAATGGGCTTCACGCTTTGTACCTATGTGGGGAATCGAACCAGGGCCCCAGGCGTGACAGGTAAACGCTTTAACCACTAGACTACCCCACCGCCCCTTATGGATTTCAACTTCTATATTATTTCAATGCGACGTTTCGGTGCAGATGCTAGAACCTCTATAATTAACGATTGGTTGGTAGCCTTGTCTACATTGCCACCACAGCTTCTAAAATAACACTTAAAGAAACTGCAGTGATGTTAATCTAGACTTGTCTCAGATTAACTACGGGGGTACGGGTGGCCCAGTCGTTCAAGGCGCCGCGATTCGCTGTGCTGGGTTGCGTCCCTTGGGAACGCCAGAAATGTATGATTGTGGGTTCGAATCCCGGTTCGCCCCGATTATGTTTCTAGGTTTGTCAGCACCATACCCGTGCTCGTGGGTTTCACCGAAGTGGTAAACGTCTAAGACCTGCACCACTTCGGGCTTTCCTCCCACAATAAGCTGACACGCCGTGATATAACTGGAATACTGTTAAAAGCGGCGTTAAACCCAACTCACTCACTCACTCACTCAGATGAACAACCAGTACTTCATCAAATGCAGCGTCAGTATTTCACCGGCCTGTATAAACCATGTTCCTCAATTACCCGTGATCAAAACACGTCTGTGACGTCATTCTATTGTTTAACCGCTCCATTATGTTTCAGAAATGGACAGTTGTTTGTCAATCATACATTATCTTAAACCAACATTGCAAATAATACGTGGAATAGACGGAACTGTTTTATGAACTATTGAATGATTTCAAGTTTTGTTGGAAAACGTGTCGCTAGCGGGGTTCGAACCCACATCGTCTGATTTCGAGGGCGTCCAATTGTCGACCCCAGCTACTGCGACACATGACGGTTCGGTGTGAATTTAACTTTTACATTTTTTCAAATATTTGCATTATACCTCAAAAGCTAAAAGAATAATATGTATATAATGTTGTATTACAGCAGGTTAACTATAACGATGTTCATATTTAAACCAATTAGATTAACCTTTGATGTTAAAAACATCAAAACTGTTTGCTCCAGTCTAGATTATTTGCAGACAGACGTCATATGTAAGAAAAACATTCAACTTTGTGGATAACAACTTCAGGTTTATTTCATATAGCGAAGTTTTGATGTAGATTCGTACACCGTTATCAAGCTGGAGCGGCAACAACCAAGTGATGAGAGGTATATATACATGATATGTTGTTATAGGCAGCAGATTAACATTGATAAACATACAACAGAAAGACAATGGCCGAATGCCAGTCATTGAACAAACCTCAATGTCTGTGCCTACACTGGAAATAGGCAAATAACCACGTGCATAGTCCCCCTTGATCATTGTATGTGTTTTTCCATCATATTTTTCACAGTTTCTCAACCGACTTTTCCATCATATTTTTCAGTTTCTCAACCGACTTCTATTACGACTTTAGCAATTCATAATCATAACACATAACCCCCCTCCCCCCCCCCCCCCCCCCCCCCCCCCCCCAACCCCCCACCCCCAATTCATTCATGGTATGATTACTTCTCACCCGAATCGCTTTTTAATAAAAAAAATCAGCAGGAATATGCATTACGTGATTCGCGGTGACTTTGCGTGTTCCGGACGAAAGATCATAAAACATGTTGATCTTCAACTTGTGATTATGACTTTGTACATATGTAACACGTTTTGGATACTTCCCAGCTGTTTTCCAGTGCATCAAAACCACTGGTCGATAGTGTGAGCGCCGAATTATGCATTTGGGACACGATGACGAACTAGTTCAGGTCATGTAGTATTTAACTGGTTGTCGTGATGTGGCGGTGATTATGCAGATGCAGCTGTGATATAATTGTGATATCGCTGATATCATATTGTGATATATCGCTGACATACATCTGTGAGATCGCTTTGATAATGCTGTAATATCGTTGTCATATAGCCGTGATATCGCTGACAGTTGCGTCAAGGAATCGCCCATCACACTACAATACTGGCTGTCAATTATGATCCTTAGGATCCCCTAAGACTGTAGAAAGAGCTATAAAGATTTTGGCAGAATTTCTGCAAGATTATACCTTTCAGTTTATGTTCAATCAATATGAAGTGATTGTTCAACAGGCTCCGGGAAGCACGGTAATCATTGCCAGCACAAAGGCGGACAAATCCCCGCCTGATGGGAACCGGGCCACACTGCCGTCGGGGGAGCAGATCCTGGACTCCCTGAGGAAGAGCCTGGACAACTGGAGGTTCTACGTCCTGAAGGAGATGGACGAGCTCAAGTGAGAGCAGATTGTGTGAAATAACGTTTCCGGGTAACACAAGTGAGACCAGCTAATGTGAAATAACCTAAGTCAGTTATTCCAGTGTAAGTAATGTGAAATAACTTTAGTGAGTTACTCCAGGGAAAGTAGATATTGTGAACTAATTTTACTGAGTAACTCCAGTTAAACTAGATTTTGTGATATAACTTTACTGAGTAACTCGGAGATCAGATTATGTGAAATAAGTATTGGTAAACTCAAGTGAGACCAGGCCGTTCTGAAAAGATCATGCAAAACGTTAGGGTACGGCTGTAGGTGCTAATATATCGATGCCTTGATGTTCTCGCTACTGGGATATTCTGTGCTTAGTTTGGTTGGCATCAAATACGTCCAAAATATATGGTATCTAACTAACAATAGTAGCTTAGATATGTAGAATAAATGTTTACTGTCGGGACCGCGGGCGCGCGTCTATACGTCTTGGCACCGCAACTCACTGTTCAAAGCGGCGTGAAACCAACTCACTCAGGCACTCACTAAATTTACCATCTGAACTATGGGGTGTCTTAGTAATGATGCCAGGAGTGAAGAGTAAGTCTGACCGTCTTCTTGAAGGTTGTTGTCCAGGGAAACACACGCCAAACATCCAGAGTCAGCCAACAAGAGCAAGAAGAACGACTCGCGACACCGACACAGCGAGACCAACCCTGCCCTGAAATCTCAGATGGAGGCTTGTGAATCTATCCTCGTGAAGGTCAAGGATGTTCCTAGCAAAGTCTACGACGTGAGCTCATTAGACGGGCAGGTAATAAAAACAGGAAGCTATTAAACTATCCAAATTCTTTCGAAACATGATTACAGACCTTTGTTGCAGATAGGACACGGGTAGCCCAGTGGTTTAAGTATCCACTGAACGTTGCTTTGGATCGGGGTTTCATACTGATTTTGACCCTTATTTTGTCAGGGCCGGTACCATACCTGCTCATCGCAGTGGTAAACGTCAGTGTAGACTTTCATAAAGTTTAATTAAGCTGACTCACTGTCATGTTTCTAAGGCAAAATATAGTTCAAAGCGACGTTAAACTGAAACATATAATTCATCTTATGGTCATGTTGACACCTAAACTTCAAAGGGGTAGTGGTCAGTAAGATCTTCTATAAGAAAGAGTTCGGGAAGGAACAGAGATACATCGGATCTTAAATATAGATTCTACTATGAAATTGAAAAAATAAACTCCATTCTGATTCTGGTCCATTCAGGTCAACGAGACTGATAGAAACTGCTGATTTGACGGCCGCATCACCGCGGGAGCTAACTTTTGAAGATAACAACTTCTTTGGCAATCATTGCCGGTCGGCACTTAAAAAATACTCATTCTGAATGGTCAACCAGAGGTATCAAATCACAATAACCACGTCTGATATAAACAACTTGTTTGACTGTCGCATCACCATGGAAACTAATAAAAAAAAATATTATTTTTTAAACATTAACGGTAGGCAATTTGGAATAATGATATATCCTTTGCGTCACAATTAATTGACCGTTTGGGGTAGAACCAAACTTTGCAAGGCTTGCTTCATTTTCTTTATGGAGTGCACACTTTGGGTGTCCTATTTATGATATATACAAAAATAGTCAATTTCTTCACTGACGCCAAGATTTCGCGTTTGGCTATGCTGCGCTTTCGGTTCCAAATCCAGTTTATTGTGGTTAAATTTACAGGTAACCAAGCTCAACACTGAAATGGCAACGTGTGCATCTCCTAATTTTTAACATATTTTTATTTTTAATATATGACATGTGAAAACACACTCTAATAATGATCTCGAGCTCTTTGTCATGTAAGGTCAGTCTGAAATAAACAAGGTTTAAGACATAACTTCATTTCTTTATTGAACTTCGTGTAGGAATACGACGCCTGAGTGAACCGTCCCCTGTATTATATAGTGCCAACTGAATTATACCAACGTTAGGTTACATAACCTCCAACACATCGGGATACCTCTATCGGGACATTTCAGGACGGCTATGCAATGGTTTCTGGGCAAACAGGCACGCATCGAAGAATGGATTTCATTGAAAGTAGTCCTGCTATATGACACCATTTGCATATATATCGGATTGTGATATCAAGTTATCGGATTGGTATATCGCATCCAGAACTTGACCCATCGTTTGATAAACTAATATTTTCCCCACCAAAAAGATCCCCAGCATTCTATTAAATTTCGTTTTTGTGTGAACCAGGAGAAAATTGAGTGCATATACGTACGTGTAGCATCGTTAGTAAAATACGTTTCATGTAATTTTAAAGCTCGTTGCTAGGTTTTCAGTGAGGATTTCGCGTTAAACTAAATTTGCCGACTAAACCAAGGTATATGTGGTCACAATGGTGCCCTGACTGGTCTTGTGTTAACGTACCAACAACGTGCGTCGTTGTTCTTGCTAGCAAGCGCTTAATGTAGAACTCGTTCTAATTCACATTTAGGGTCTCGATGAGCTGAAAACGGTCATCTTCCGGGCTGCCCTGGACCCCGTGAAGTTCCCTCACCTTGACCGGACCATCAAACCCAGCACGATCTCGTTGTATGACGAGATTTTAAAGCTGCGAGAACGAGATTTAGTTCTGTTGACATGGGGTCAATTTTGTGATATAGCCAATCAGCTAAGCCCAGATGGAGATGACACTCTGGAGGAAGATACTGCATTCCTTCAAACAATTGTGAGTTATTTTTCATAAATGTTTTGTATGTTAAGTTTTCTAAATATATATTCAAATAAGAGTATTACATGGACTTGCAAATAAGGAGAAAAACTTGTCGATATAAATATTTTAAATGATATTTCAACATTTATTAGACATATGAAACACTCAATTAAAATAAATTTCTTTACATGAAACACGACACGTGAAGATCCGGCTTAGAATAGGTCTTCAGCAACCTATGCTTGTCATAAGAAGCGACTAACGGGATCGGGTGGTCAGGCGGGCTGACTTGTTTGATGCATGGCATCGTATCTCAATTGCGTAGATCGATGCTCCTGATGTCAATCACTGAATTGTCTTGTCCGGACTCGATTATTTACAGACCGCCGTCATGTAGCTGGAATATTTCTGAGTGCGGCGTTAAACAAACATATGACACAGTTTTATGAAGTCATATCATCAATCATTTATTTGCTTCACCGAAAGGCCATGGGCCTATCTATACATGACTTTTCAAGGGCGGTGGTTAATGATTATATATATTACATTATGTTCTGTTTAACATTCCTGGTGGACAAATGTAATTTCTGTTAACATTCACTGTATGTTTATACTTGTTCGGGTTTCATAAAGAAGTTGCTGGATATATTTACTGTTGTATATGGGGAAAATACGAGTGCTGTGTACCATTTTGCTTGAAATATTTACAGAAAGAAAAAGAATGTGTGTAATTCTCACAGGCTTACAGAAAACCTCAAATTTCTAAAACTATGATGATAAACCGTTTGCTTTATTCTTTAACGATAATATCATTGGGTAGATTGTGATATTAGAATTCTCCCGTTGGCGACTGGCGTTAATGGTAAAAATAGCCTTCAAGTTTAGACTACGAATACTTACATAACCGTCCAAAAAACACCTATAAACGAGTATTTAAGACAAATGGTACTTTAAGTCGTGTGTAAAATACCGTACTGTCACCATTTTCATTACCAACTACTTTTTTATGCAAATTGGGTGAGTGGTGGTTGATAGCGGTAGGGTAGAACACGCAACCTTTTTCGCGAACACCTGGTGTCATCACTGATTTTTAGTGATCCACCCATATACTTTTCACCGCTATTTTGCCTTTTACGCCCAGTGAAATCTGTTTTGGCAGAGAATCGAGACTGGTTATTCTCTGGCGTTGAAGTTTTATATTTATATGAACGACTTTGACTTGTGGAGTTTATAGAGCCACTTTCTGAAAGCTGTCAAATTGTTTGTGTTCATGACTGTTTCCAGTATGTACACGTAGAGCATCGTAAACTGGGTTTCGATGAAGATGCTCGTCATGTCTGAGCTTGTCCTCGTCAATTTCGACTTCCCGAGGCAAGGGCGTTAACTGACTATAAAAGTCCGACTGGACTTTTCAAGTCAGTTAACACCCCTGCCTCCGGGGGATGCACCAATGTATGAGTATATATGAACTGCGTATGGCTTTCTCCTACAAACAACAGTCTGCATTGAAACTTAAAGTACCACGAACTGTAATGGCTCATTTCGATGTATATTTTCTCATCGTTACAGGGAGGTCTCCTCGATTTCAAAATGACCCCATCTATCTCGAACACTCCTGACAACCCCCCTTCCAACATCCCCGCCGCCGGGACAGGCCGGTTCATCTGTATCCACCCCAGCGTCTTTGCCAACGCCGTGTGCTGCTGTCTGGTGGATGATGACAAGAAAGCCTTCCGGTTCGAGTCGTGCAGGTTCTGGCCCAAAGATTCCGGGTTCAAGCGCCCAGACCCTCAAGTGTTGTGCAAGGTGCTAGAGTCGATACCTCACGAAGGACTGATCAGAGAGTCCTTGCTTCCATTGTTGTGGCAGGTGAGCTATGTCTGATCGAGGCGAACGCTTGTATAATCAGCAGGTGTGAGTGATCCCTGAATGGATTGCAACATTTCATTAGCAGCTTCTGTCATTAGCTCCACTATCCTTTCTATATATGTAAACATGTTACCAGGAACATTATGTAATCACTTAACATGGTGAATACTGGGGAGATAAGGCTGCATAATGGGTAGGGAGGGATGTAGTCCTTTTTAAAAATATTGAATGCAAAGTGATGGAACATTTTTTTCTCTCCACCTACACCAACAAACACAACTGAGCACAGCGGAAAACGTTTGTTTTTCTTTCATGGATCCTGCTATTACAAACAGGATTGATTGGGCCTAATAGACGTTTAATTGAATAAAGACTTAGAAAGTCGATTTTGTTTGGCCTGCTATGCTTCGAAATGTTTTAACGTCAGACAAAGGGTCGTGCACTATTTTGACGTACCTTCTAGAATACGTTAATCCCGTGCTCGGTGTCTCCGATCGAGATATGCTAAATATTGCAAGAGTTTTTTTATAAGCAATACTCTTGCAATATTTACCATCCCTCGATCGGAGACATTGACACTGTCTGACAGCCCCTGCCTCGTGTTGAAGGAGAGTAACCTGTACGAGGACCAGATACTGCACCTGGTGCGAGTGTTCACCTACCTGGGGCTGTTCATCCGCTACTGCACCTGCAAGGCAAACTGTGAGGGACTGGCCCTCCCCTACTACCCCCACCTGTCTGTACAGCGCTGTCTGTACGCCGTGCTCCTGGACCTTCTGCCCAACAACAGACCCGTGAGTACTGACTAATACACGTGACCCCTCATGTGGACCTAGTTTTCAGACTGACCAACACACTGGACCCCTCGTGTGGACCTAGTTTTCAGACTGACCAACACACTTGACCCCACGTGTGGACCTAATTTACAGACTGACCAAGACACTGGACCCCTCGCGTGGACCTAGTTTTTAGACTGACCAACACACCTGACCCCTCATGTGGACCTAGTTTTCAAACTTACAAACACACTGGACCCCTCATGTGGACTCAGTTTGTGGACTGACCAACACTTCACCCCACATCTGGAAATAGTTTCAGACTATCACACAATTGCAGTCATTGGTTATTTCTGAAACGAATGCGTTTTCTCTCAATGTTATTTATAGTATTGGTGAAGCCTGGGTTGACGTAGGGTCTGTTAATAATCGAGTCTGGACCAGACAATCCGGTGATTGGCATCATGAGCATCGATCCACGCAATTGGGATACGATGACATGCATCAACCAAGTCACCGAGCCTGACCTCTGATCCCGTTAGTCGCCACTTGCGATAAGCATTGTCACTCTTGGGACAAGCATGGGTTGCTGAAGACCTATTCTAACCCGGATCTTCACAGATTTACATTTTGGTACAGATGCTTGACAAAGGTACTAGCATCTGTACTGAAATATCGCTGTAAAAGAATAAAGAAGTTAAAATCAATAAGTTAAATTGATATTGCAGCTTCTAAAATGCTTCTTTAAGATATTCTGGCAGTATGGAGAGGAATCATTGAGGGAGATATAGTTTGTGGGTGCAAGAAAAGGTTGCAACAGCAAGAGTGTAAATGTTTTTGTCTGAATAATATTTATTGGTAATCTTCTTCAAGCCTGACACATGTGTATTGAATTGATGTCCCAAATCCCAAGTCCCAAATACCACAGTTCCTCCGTAAGTTCCTAATGGGGATCGGGTGGCTAAAATGTGCGATTGTAGGTCATCGTCCACAACGGCCTGGATCGTTCCTCCGTCAACTGCAGCTTGTCTGTTCCAGACTGCCATTTACAGACCACCGATAGCTGGAATAGTGCTGACTTTGTAATAAATACCACGCATATTTACTCTTCAAACCTGCTCAATAAAAATGTTGTCGGGAGAGGTATGTCATAATGCACACCCTTAAAAACCAAAAACATGCGTTTTTATAGCGAGGGTGAGGTAGCCTAGTGGTTAAAGCGTTCGCTCGTCTCGCTAAAGGCCTGAGATCTATCCCTCACATGGGTACAAAGTGAGAAAACCCATTTTTGGTGTCCCCCGCCATGATATTTCTGGAATATACCTTAAAGACTTACTTTTGACTACAATAGTATGTAATTTAGCAATCGGTTTAATGTCACGAATAACATGTCGTCTTAATGTTCCTCAGCAACTAAACTGGACTCCAAAGCCTTTCAAGGGAGATTTGCAAATCACCATCGGCTACATATTCGCGACCGGTCTCCCTGTGGGCGTGGCCAAACAGCTGCTGGCACACTGCCAGTACGTGGGGCAGGACACCAGCTCCTACAGACACATGTGGAAGTACGGGGTCCTGCAGAGGGTGGGGGAGGTACGTTCTACAAGGTCCGTGGTTTTAGGCGGGGTTGGACTTTCGAGAAACCCATTCCTTTAAACCCCTCGTGATTTGAATGTAGTAAGGATAATAAGTAAATACAGCGGCGAAAAAAACACGAACTCGCCAGAGTCGGTGGAAACACATTTTACTTTCAATCAATGCCAGTTGATGACAGATATTAAATCTAGAGATGCTTAATATTTCCTTTTCTGAATATATTACATGTCAACTGAGGTCCAGATTTTGAGTTGCCATAATATGCATTTGAATAGCGCAGCATTCACTGTGCATAAGTGCTCTGTGATAGTCATGTTTGTCGGGCAGTCTGTCTATGATATTTATTTAATTGTTGAAACTTATTTTAGGGAATTGGTCCCAACTCTGTTGTACCAGAAAGTTAAAATAAAATGAGAAATCTTATTTAGTAGTTTATTATATATCTCTTTTACATGATGTATATTTAATATTGGGTATTATAGTACACTGACGTAAGGACCCTGTTATTGTAGGCTATAGTTTGTGCAGAACACGACAACACCCAGTTCAACATCAGCTGCCGGGTGAACGCTGACGAGCCGGGTCAGGAAGACTCTGCCGTGCAGCTGCTCTGGGTGTCGCTGTCGCAGTTCCTCTTGTCCCTCAACAAGTTCCTCAAATTCTGGCCCGGGCTCTTCTATAAGGTGACGTTGTCTTTTCTTCATTTCAAGGGGGCATGGTTGTCTAAGGCGACGAAATTCGCCGTGTCGAGTTGCGTCCCTTAGGCGTGCCAAACCCACTAAGACCTGCATCACTTTGATATTTCCTCCGACACCAAGCTGATGCCGTGATATTACTGGACCACTGTTCAAACTCGTGTTAGTCCTATCTCACAAAGGCAATTTCGTTGTTTGTGTGTTGTTTAATGCCGCATTCTGTAAGGTTAATGTACATGAAGGTGAATTTCTTGATGAATTTAGTCCCGTGAAGAACCGGGTTAGAAGTGTCTTCAGCAACCCATGCTTGTCGTAGTGACAGGCGACTATGCTTGTCGTAAGAGGGAACTAACAGGGTCGGATGATCAGGCTCGCTGACTTGGTGGATGCATCTCATCGTATCCCAATTGCGTGGATCGATGCTCATGATGTCAATCACTGATTTGTCTGGTCCAGACTCGATTTTTTACAGACCAGCGTCATATAGGTAGAATATTGCTGAGTGCGGCGTTAAACAACAAACAAACTAATGATTAACTCCAATCACAACGCATCTACCCCTCAGATGGTCATCATGCCCTTGGGCTATCAGTTCTACCACGAGGAGAAGGTGGAGCATGAGCAGATGGTTTCCCTGCTGAGGTGCCTGTCCTACTGGCTGGCAGACAAGAAGTACAGCTTTAAGGATGGGGAGGTGGAGAGGGAAATCCACCTGGAGCTGCTCTTCCCCTTCAGAGGTGAGGCTACAGCTCTCTCGTCTTCAATACGGACCCCCGTCCTACGCAGGAGTACTGTGGGGTGTCACGCAACAAACACTAGCTTTTGTATGCGAATTAACTGTGTGAGTGACGTGTGTTAAAGCTAGGACGTGACAGGCTTACCCTTTTCGAGAACACCTTGTGTCATCACTGATTATTAGTGATGTGACATAATCGAGAATGATTATTCTCAGGCGTTAACGTTATATATTCATATTATATACAGACCCGTGATGATCCGGTGTAGAATAGGTCTTCAGCAACCCATGCTTGCCGTAAATGGCGACTATGCTTGTCGTAAGAGGCGATCAACTAACGGGATGGGGTGGTCTGGTTCGCTGACTTGGTTGATGCATGTCATCGTATCCCAATTGCGTGAATCGATGCTCATGATGTCAATCACTGGGTTGTCTGGTTCAGACGCGATTATTTACAGACCTCCGTCATATAGCTCGAATATTGGTGTGTTAAACAACAAACAAACACTACTTTCCTAAATCAACCGTCGGGTTTGCAAGGTAGGATAGTGGCGTGTGTCTATTGTAGGCTACGTCAGGTTATTGAGATAAGGCCTTGTTTCACTCGAGTTTAAATGAGCTCTATTCCGTGCATGATGTTTGTGCGAACCCCCAGTTGCCTGATATTGACACGATGTATTGAGCAGATGACAGCAAGGATGTGACACATGTTGCGCTACGAACGGCTAAATATTGCCGTTACTGCGATGTAATCTGAGCGCTCATTGGTCAGAGTACTGGCTGGTGTCCGTCTTGAAGATACCAGTGTTAGTTCGGTACAAAAAGCGACTATATATACACAGAAAACAGATTTATTGGAATCATGAAAGTACAAGTTGGGGACAAGTGATACTTGTACAAATATTTGCCCCAACCCCTGTCAAAAATAGTTAACTACGGCCTTGTACACAGCAATGCAAATCATTCGTGACCAACTCGTGTTATTCCGGGACAAGCCGAATAGCGACTCGTGCCCCTCTCATGGCCATTTTTGCGACCGGGCTCCGCCTTAGCGCAAACGGGCATACCTAAAACAATTGTCAACTCGTTGCGTGATGGTTGACATATATTTCCCCATATATTATATATATTTCAGATGCAATTTAAAGCACATTGGGACGTGCGGAATTATACAGAATGATTGAACACATTTAACTGTGTCTTGGGTATATTTTTAGATGCAAGACATATGTAAAATCAAAAATTATTTCTGAGGGATTCTTTGACGAAGTACTTGAAATCATACGCGCATTCTGATTGGTTTGTCGTATTTTCGCACATAACATTCATCGACGGGGGACGAGTCTTCTTGCAGGTTACGGAAAGGGGCGAGTGGTGACGAATGCAATGCAAATATGTATTTACGGATGACGGGGGAACGAAGTGTATACAAAAATAGCTAAATCAGGTTTCAGAACTGTATTTTGGGGAAGAAATGACAGACAGACGGTGAGCAATGACAGAACCAAAATTTCTGTTTAGCCTGGAAGTCACGTTACACCACCTGCGTGTTTTTTAATAAGTTGCATTTGAGCAAGGTGCTTATATGGTGTATTGTTTTTAATATTTCGTGACAAGTATCAGTTTTGTTTATCATTTTAGGATAAATATTTCTCTCTTCTAAAGAAAACGAACAAAAGTAAAACGATATGTGATCACATGGGCGCTATAACGTGGGGTTGGCGGTAATTGGTCCTCCACCGTAACTGGTCGCTGGTCAGTATACCAATAAAAAAATCATTTGTCCTTGATCATGCCTTCAACAAATCCGGATTTTCGTGTACTATTGAACCAGACGGGCAAAGAGGCAAATGAAAATAACTCGCAAATAAGTTCTTACGTGTTTGTAAAATGTAAACACTTTCCAAATACGGACAGACCGCCTCCGTGGTCTAGTGGTAGAGCGTCCGCCCAGAGAGCGGAAAGGCCGGGGTTCGATTCCCGGCCGCGTCAACCAAAAGACGTTTAAAGATGGTACTTGTCGTTAACCTGTCTAGCGCTCAACATTAAGGGGCTATAACAAGGACTGGTCGGCTCGGAGCCAGTGTACTGTGTCTGAGTGGGGTATTCATGTGAAACTGGGGCATGGTATCTCAGTGGGCTAGCACTATAAATCGGCATCAGACTAGTACAAGCAGCCACATACACACACGACCTGTGAAGATCCGGGGTAGGATAGATCTTCAGCAACCCATGCTTGCCATAAAAGGCGATAATGCTTGTCGTAAGAGGCGACTAACGGGATCGGGTGGTAAGGCTCGCTGACTTGGTTGAAGTATGTCATCGTATCCCAATAACGTGGATCGATGCTCATGATGTCAATGACTTGATTGTCTGGTCCAGACTCGATTATTTACAGACCACCGTCATATAGCTGGAATAGTGCGGCGTTAAACAACAAATAAACAAACAAACAAAACATACACACACGTGCATGCACGTCGCTATATAAGTGCAATAATCTTGGAAGCGACGTTAAACCCCATTTCACCTCAACTCACCAAATACGGACAATTTTCGACAGGTGAGCTACGGATCTATTTATTTTCTAATATCAGAGATCAATCAATGAAACAAGGCGCAACGTGATATTGTAAGATGATTTGAGAGTCAACTCCTCTAATTACCCCAATACTCTATTCTGTCCTGAAGTGACATTAATAAGCTGGTCACTCCTCATTATCACTCAACAGCTGGTCAAGCAGAGTCTTGTGACACAAGCCTGACACCCTCTTTCAGAATTCACTAATCACGTTTCCTGCTGGCTTGTATTGATTTCTTCTATATACACCTGTCAGTGGTCGTTTTCCACTGACCACACCATAGAAAGGTCTTAACAGTAGCTGAAGGAAGCACACGCCTCACGTCAGGGTAAGTGATATCCTTCAGAGAGTATTACAGTTCTGTCCAAGAGAGTATGGTAGTAATGACCTATTGGTGGAAGACTGCTTGTTTGGCAGACAGGCTGCAAGGATGAGTGATGTAGGATATGTCCTGTTTGACATTTGGTTGACTGATGACACCTGTAAAGCTCAATAACTGATGAAGCGGAAACTTGTATATACCACTGAAAAAAGGTTAAGCATCCCCCGCTTCCTTCATCTTAATACAGTTGATCTGTCATGGCATGGCAGATTAAATATAGTAAACTACGTTTATAACGAACACGCATATAGCGAACTGACGGATATAACGAAATGTGTTTTGATCCCGTCCATTTGCTGTATATTTGCTGTTTATTGCTGTATCTATGCTTATAACGAACTATGGTTATAACAAACTAAAACTAGTGGTCCCTGTGAGTTCGTTATAACCGTAGTTTACTGTACTATGAAAGAATTGGGTGATCGTCAACTTTTGTCAGCGAGTCTGACCACCTGATCCCGTTAATCGCCTCTTACGACAAGTTTCGTCGCCTTTTATGGCAAGCATGGGTTGTCTACCCAGGATCGTCAAGGGGCTCACTGGGGTTACCGGCCAAAACTTTATCAATTACCTTCCTAGACTACTGTTGACAGCAACGTAAAATAACATGCATTCATTCACTAATCATATTTCAACACATGATTATGACAGTGCAGAAGAGGCCCAAGTACCTATTGCATGTCGATTGAGCCGATTCTTGGTTGGTGATTGCTATATTCCAGCTATATGACAGTGGCCTGTAAGTAATCAAGTCTTTGCAGTCACATGATGTGATGAGCAGCTATCCATGCGATAGGGTTACAATATCAACCAAGTCCCCGAGTCTGACCACCCGATCCATCACGCCGCCTCTTACAACCAGCATGGGATGCTGGTAGGGCTGATACGGGTAATTCGGGTACTCGGGTCGGGTGGGTCCTGAGTAGGACTCGGGTACCCACAGGACTACCCGGACCGGTGGTTAGTCACGCGCTATATTGTTTAATGACAAAAATTATCTATAACTCTGTTACACTACAAGTCACTAATGTTCCCATTTCTTTCTGACAATGCACCTTTCTGACTTGTATATGTTTGAATGAAGATAATCTACAGTCAACTTCAGTGGATGCATGACCAGATCGTTTTATACGTGTATCTAAATACATTTGGTCCAGGGCTATGGTCAAACTATTCACCAATCGGATATTTTGTACCTATCTCTTGAGACCTACAGCGGGTACCCGGGTAGGGTCGGGTAATAGAGGGGTGGGTACCCGGGTAGTAAATTTGGACTCGTCCCAGCCCTAGATGCTGGGTCCTATTCCAACTCGGAATCTTCACGTGATGAAAAAGGCCACTTATCTTATTGACTGGTGATAGCGGGGTGCATCACTGTTCGCCAAAGACACTGATTAGTAGTCATGCTATCAACCACTGGTTCACTTCTATGTTTATAGGTGGCCTTAATATGGCTGTAATATACTACTCACAAGAAGTTAAAGAACACCCGATTCTTTCATGTTACTATAGATAACCTGTCATGCGAAGGCTGTTCAACTGTAGAAATATGATATAACCGGGTGTTCTTTTACTTCTTTTGAGTAGTATACATCGTCAGTACTTTACTGACCCATGAAGATCTTCAGCAACCCATTCTTGCAGTAAAAGACGACTATGTTTGTCGTAAGAGGCGACTAGCGGGATCGGGTGGTCAGGCTCGCTGACTTGGTTGATGCATGTCATCGTATCTCAATTGCGTGGATCGATGCTCATGATGTGAATCACTGGATTGTCTGGTCCAGACTCGATTATTTACAGACCGCCGTCATATAGCTGGAATATTACTGAGAGTGGCGTTAAACAACAAACAAACAAACAAAAAATACTTCAAGGTAGACACAATTTTATGGATAAAAACTTCTTTAATTCTTCTAAAAATAAAAAAAATAAACTACTTCACCGCGATCCTCGATCAGAATGCTTTAGTTGAGGGCACCTGTCTATCATGGCAATGTTCACAACTTGTTTATTGCAGACTGCCCGACTCTGCATTGTGTCGATGACTGGTTGACGTTTGTTTTGACCAAGAAGCACCTTGTGTTCCCGTCTGAGGAGAGCAACACAATTATGGAGCCCAACGCAGACACAAAGACTGCCCTGAAGATCAACCCATTGCTTCTACTCAGCAAGGGATCCATGAAGCTCAAAAGCAGGAAGAAGAAGGTTGGTTGATTTTTGTGAGTGAGTGAGTGAGTTGGGGTTAACGTCGCTTTTAACAGTATTTCAGTTATATCGCGGCGTGTCAGCTTAATGTGGGAGGAAACCCCGAAGTGATGCAGGTCTCAGACGTTTACCACTTCGGTGAAACCCGCGAACACGGGTATGGTGCTGACAAACCTAGAAACATAATCGGGGCGAACCGGGATTCGAACCCACAATCATAGATATCTGGCGTGCAACCCGTTCCCCCGCCTTTTTGTGACTGTAGGTAATAACAATGAGTGAGTTAGTGAGTATGACCGTTTTTAGCAATATTCCAGCAATATCACGGTGGGAGACACCAGAATTGGGCTTCACACATTGTACCCATATGGGAATCGAACCAGCGTCGGCTTGACAAGAGGGTGCTTTAATCACTAGTGCTGGGACATACACCGATGCATTTTTTCACGATACAAGTATCGATCACAGTCGCACACTATGTAAAAAATATAGATTCATACCTTAAATGGTTACTTTAGTGGCTGTTACACCAAACACTGATTAGTAGTGAAAATTAGTGTTGAAAACGTAAATATTTTTATCCATTGTGCCATACTTGACACTGCCAACTGTAAATCGTTAGTGTGCCAGGTATTTTGTATTCTGTCTTTGACAAAGGTGTAGAATAGGTCTTCAGCAACCCATGCTTGTCGTACAAGGCGACTATGCTTGTCGTAAAAGGGGACTAACGGGATCGGGTGGTCAGGCTCGCTGACTTGGTTCATGCATGTCATCGATCCCAATTTCGTGGATCGATGTTCATGATGTCAATCACTGGATTGGGTTGTCTGGTCCAGACTCGATTATTTACAGACCGCCGTCATATAGTTATAATATTGTTGAGTGCGGCGTAAACAACAAACCAACCAACCACTGCTGGGCAGTGCCGATAAGCACGGATATTGGTTGTTTGCATCACATTGTTTGGTATGAAATCCGGTAACACCATTTGAAGCTGACAGCTTGAAACAGTTCTTTGAATCAGAATAATATGTATTGATATATACTACTCAAAATAAGTTAAAGAACGCCCAATAGTTTTATGTTATGTCATGACAGATTAACTACAGTTATATGAAGAAATCGGGTGTTCTTTAGCCATTTTTGAGTAGTATATGTCCGGCCATGTAGACAGGGTGGAATATTGCATAATTCCTGTTGGTCAACAAAATGACACCGTTTGATTTATTTTTATTCATTTTATAGTTCACAAGTAGCAGCATTCTGCTGCTATAGGAGATCCATGTATATATACTCAAGGCAAAACAACTGTTGTGCTATATTTATCACATTGAGATTTCACCAGAAACACGTAACTCGTCTTACTCTGAAGTGTTTTAGGTATATAGGTGTCTAATGGGCTTTAAGGGGCGGTCGGGTAGCCTGGTGGTTAAAGCGTTCGCTCGTCACGCCGAAGACCCGGGTTCGATTCCCGACATGGGTACAATGTGTGAAGCCCATTTCTGGTGTCCCCCGCCGTGATATTGCTGGAATATTGCTAAATGCGGCGTTAAACCATACTCACTCACTCACTCTAATGGGCTTTGAAGTTGCCCCCCTTTTCATTATATTTATATATTATCTATCAAAATTCAAAAGTAAAAACAATTTCAAAATTTCAAATTGCTTTTCCACAAATTATTGTTTTGTTTGTGCAAGTGATGGAGAAATGTTGAAATTTCACATTTATAAGGTCTTTACAGCAATGAGAAGGGAAATTATTTTTAAGTGTGTACTTATTTTTGGCCAAATATGCATTAAACAAGCTACCCTGGTCTGTCCAGAAATGTTGTTTGTTGTGTACACAGTTACAAGACTGGGTGTCCCGTGAAGATTCCGGGGTAGAATTGGTCTTCAGCAGCCCATGCTTGTCGTGAGAGGCAACTAGCGGGATCGGGTGGTCGGGCTCGCTGACTTGGTTGATGCATGTCATCGTATCCCAATTGCGTAGATCGTCTCATGATGTCAATCACTGGATTGTGTGGTCAAGGATCGATTATTTACAGACCACCGTCATATAGCTGGAATATTGCTGAGTGCAACGTTAAACAACAAACAAACAAAAACTACAAGAATGGGTAGTCTGTAAAACAATATACAGTAAACTACGGTTATAACGAACAAGATTAAAACGAACTGACTGATATAACGAACTTATTTTTTAGTCCCGGCCATTTGTTGTATATATGCTGTATATATGCTTATAACGAACTACGGTTATAACGAACTAAAATAAGTGGTCCTTTTGAGTTCGTTATAACCGTAGTTTACTGTAGTTATATATTCATATGATTAGTCACTTTGAGTATATATTAATTAACCCGAGGTAGAGTGTCATTAGAATTTGAAAAAAATGTGAGACTGAATATAGGTGTCCTTGTTTTAATAGAGTGTAGAAGTTAAGTGGAAGCTGGACCCACTAGGTGACAAAACACCTCCACCTCAACCCATGACTGGAACTTCTTCAACTAATACTACACACAAGCCTGATGCTAATCAGAAAACAGAAGACAACAAGGAGGAGACAACTCCGTTTGCACAAAACACCACCCCTGTTGTCAGTGGTACAGAGGAGAGTAATTCCATCCCACCTGTGACTGGCGTGGCATTGCCATGTGGGAAGGGCGTGGTCATGAAGGCGTGGTCGGAGGAGGAGGAGGTGAAAGAAGCAACACGGATTGCGTCCGGGTTTGTGGCAGCCATCATGGCTAGCGCTGTGGCGGAGTTCATCTCATCCGAGTGTGAGAGCAGCCAGATGTACAAGGAGGTCGTGTCAGCAGCTCAGGTGAGTCCGACATGGACTGATTGACATACAGGTGTGTCAGACAATGGACTGATTGACAAACAGGTGTGTCAGACAATGGACTTATTAACAAACAGGTATGTCTGACAATTGACTGATTGACAAACAGATGTGTCAGACAATGGACTGATTGACAAACAGGGGAGCCCGACATGGACTGATTGACATACATGTGTGTCAGACAATGGACTGATTGATTGATAGACAAACAGGTCAGTCAGACAAAAGACAGCTTGACTGATAGACAAACAGGTCAGGCAATAGACTGCTTGATTGATAGACATACAGGTGTGTCAGACAATGGACTGATTGACATACAGATGAGTCAGACAATGGACTAATTGACATACAGGTGTGTCAGCCAATGGACCGACTGATTGATTGACATACAGATGAGTCAGACAATGGACTGATTGATTGACATACAGGTGTGTGAGACAATGGACTGATTGATTGATTGACATACAGATGAGTCAGACAATGGACTGATTGATATATTTACATACAGGTCAATCGGACATTGGACTGATTGACATACAGGTCAGTCGGACAATGGACTGATCGACTGACTGATTGACATACAGGTTTAGATATAGACATTACTGGGAGTAATTGACAAAGGGCAGAGAGACAGAGAGACACTGGACTAGGTGTAATAAGCAACTGACCAACACAGGCTAGAGAAATACTAATGTTGAGAAACACAATGTTGCATCTGATGTTTCAATAAACTTCCTGTGCCACATGACTCCACACTGGTCCCCCGATATACCCTGTACTGTCTCATCTAGGTGGCTGCAGCCAGGGTGACGGCCGAGGCGGCGCGGGCAGCGCAGACAGGAGACATCGACGGTGCAGCCAAGGCAGTGTTGCAGGCTGTGAAGGCCGTGGAGATAGCCATGGGCAAGTCAAGCACCTCCAGCGGGCAGGGACCCATTAGAAGCAGACTGTGTGTAATACTCTGAGGAGGAGCTTGTGACAGTCTTGTGTTTACATTGTGTACGGACATCATGACCAAACAGCTGGCGAGCCAAGGGGATGGGGAATTTATGATTCATCTCGTTCTGATATTTATATGGATGATAAAAACAATTTGTCAGAGAGCGTGACAATGTCACTGGGCAACAGACAGTTGTGCAGCACATCTGATTGGCTTAGGGCTCAACTGTCTGATGGGTACATGACACATGTATCAACAGAGGCAATATCTCATAGCAGGTCACTAGTGCACCGACACAGGAACATTATATGGATATATGTTTTAAAGAGGAAGGAATAGTGTGAAAAGTGTGATTAATACGTTTCTTTTGTTAGATGAATGGCAATCTTGTCTGGTGCCTCTTCATATCTGATAAACAGGTTTCAGCGGATTCAGAAGAGTGCTGTGCAGATAGTGTTCCTGTCACAAGTACAATCACATTACCCATGTACTCTCCAGCTCATACTGGCTTTCTGTGTGCTACAGAATCACTTCCAAACTACTCTGCCTTACCTACCAGTGCTTGTCAGGTGATGCTCCACTCTACTGTGAGCTACTGAAGCACGTACAGCACATTACCCCAAGTCTAAATGTCACCATCTCCTCTGTGTAAAAGAAGACTCATGATTCGGCCATTGCTCCTTTTCCTTCGCCATGGGAACTGTTTGTTTGTTGTTCAATCAGCAATATCCCAGCTGTATAACGGCAGTCTGTAAATAATCGAGTCTGGACCAGACAATCCAGTGGTTGACATCATGAGCATCAATCCACGCAATTGGGATACATTGACATGCATCAACCATGTCAGCTAGCCTAACCACCCGATCCCATTAGTCACCTCTTACGACAAGCATAGCATACAATATAAATATATAACGTTACGCCTGAGAACATTTGTCACCACTCGCCCCTTTCCATAACCTGCAAGAAGACTTGTCCCCCTATCGATGAATGTTATGTGCGAAAATACGACAAACCAATCAAAATGTATGTATGATTTCAAATTCTTCGTCAAAGGATACCCCAGAAATAATTTTTGATTTTACATGTCTTGCATCTCAAAATATACCCAAGACACAGTTAAAAGTGCTTAATCATACTGTATAATTTCGCATGTCCAGATTTGCTTTAAATTGCATCTGAAATATATATAATATATGGGGAAATATATGTGAACCATTACGCAACGAGTTGACAATTGTTTTAGGTATGCCCGTTTGCACTAATACGGAACCCGGTCGCTAAAATGGCCATGAGAGGGGCACGAGTCACTATTCAGCTTGTCCCAGAATAACAAGGGTTGGTCACGAATGGCGTGAGAACAATCAGTCTCGATTTTATGTCGGAACACTAATAATCAGTGATGACACCAGGTGTTCACGAAACGGGTAAGTCTGACCTCCTGATCCTGTTAATCTGTTCTTTCGACAAGCATAGTCGCCTGTTACGGCGAGCATGGGTTGCTGAAGACCTATTCCAGCCTGGATCTTCACTGGTTCCATGGCAACTGAGTGGAACAGTCTCCCACTTGAACTCAAGAATTCTTCAACTTTCTTTGAGCACCAACTAAAGATCTTTTCAAACTCACCTTCATTGACGGAACTGAAACCTTTCTTGTGCTCTTCGAGCATACCTTGCTTGTGGAGTTATGCACTCCCTAAAAGGAGTATCACTATCATTATAATAAAGACAACTGTAAAAATGGTTGAAGTATTTTATTTCATAATTTGTAAATTGATGTAAAATATAATGTAAGGCTATGAGGTTACAAACAGGATATATTATGTCAACAGAATGTACAGAGACAACACGTCATAATGTGTACTGACTGAACAGTTATCTTCGCATAACTGTAAAACAAATCTTAAAATAACACAGGAACATCCCAATTCAAATGAACCTTGATCAACACAGCTTGAGCAAGACAAGAATGACTTTATCTTTAAGTCAGCGCAATAAATAAAAAGCTGTTCATTTAAATACCAAAAATCTTAATTATACTGAAGAAAGAAAGTTAGCATGAATATTGTTTTGTAACGAAGACAATTTCATAAAAATATCCCCCAAAACATTCAAGATCCCTAACTAATTTTGTTCAGCATATGTTCTGTGATCTGTATTGGAAGTTTATTCCTTTAGTTAGGAACTTGAACAAAATTAAGGAATAATTTCCTAATGCATAATCAAGAATTCACTGAATCGGTCTTACAACAGTAAATAGTGTATATCACATCACCCAGTAATAATAAATTCATAAAATAATTCATATCTGATTACATGATTACGAACAGCACCTTTCTCTTTGTATAAGTCATTTCACCGACCAATGAATACAAGAGTGAAGAGTAACTATAGCAATACTAATACTAATAAGCAATACAGTAGCCACATACTGTTCATTGTAAGTGCCAGCTCCTGATTCATCTTCAACTCATTGGGGTGGACTTCTTGCTGCTGTTATCAATATTGCAGCATAGATATTGCTAAAAATCAGTTGACTTTAGTTCAAGCACAAACCTAATCCTAATCCAAAGCGCATCATAAGTAAGAGCATCTGTTACTATCATAAAACAAGCATTGATATAGCTTTTTGGAAAAGTAGGGGTGTAGTTTTTGGCAATATGCATTCTGAAACCTCATTATTTGATGAAAATTACTACTCAAAAGAAGTCAAAGAACACCCAATTCCTTCATGTTAGTAATTACCATAGTCAATCTATCATGCCATGACAGATTGACTATAGCAATATGAAAAAAATTGGATGTTTTTTTTAAAGATATTATACATCCAAAAATGACTTTAAATGAGTCAGTCAGTGTTTTTATACGTTTATTTTTAGTACCTGATCAAGTGACTTAATTTCCGAAAAGGCGGGATGTGCACCCCTGCTCTCCCCTTCCCTCCCCCAAGATATGTGGTGTTAAATATCTAGCAGGTACCAAGAATATTGATAAGGTCTAAGAACATACCAACATGATACAATCACATGTTTACATAAAATGAATAGCGGGCATGATACTACAGACTACAGAAGGACATGAAAGGTTTTTTAATACCAAGGTCATTGCGAGCTGTCCTTTATTAAGGCAGACTGATTACCACACTCGTCCTTCCATGATCCAGGAATATTTTATGCAGCTCAAGTCAAAATTTGAGCAATCAGACAGATCCCATCAAAAGCATGTTTTACCAAGCTGGAGTACATGATGCACATCAATTGGGCTGTCATGGTGAGTGAGTGTTGTTTTACGCACTTAGCCACAAGACTACCACCAACCCAGATGATGCAATCATAAGGATGTGATACTGGTACTAGGTCTTCGGCATCTTGAACAACGCCTTCGCCACAAGACTACCACCAACCCTGATGATGCAATCATAAGGATGTGATACTGGTACTAGGTCTTCGGCATCTTGAACAACGCCTTCGCCACAAGACTGCCACCAACCCAGATGATGCAATCATAAGGATGTAATACGGGTACTAGGTCTTTGGCATCTTGACCAACAGCTTGGCCACAAGACTTCCACCAACCCAGATGATGCAATCATAAGGATGTGATACTGGTACTAGGTCTTTTGCATCTTGAACAAAGCCTTAGCCACAAGACTACCACCAACCCAGATGATGCAATCATAAGGATGTGATACTGGTACTAGGTCTTTGGCATCTTGAACAACGCCTTCGCCACAAGACTGCCACCAACCCAGATGATGCAATCATAAGGATGTAATACGGGTACTAGGTCTTTGGCATCTTGACCAACAGCTTGGTCACAAGACTTCCACCAACCCAGATGATGCAATCATAAGGATGTGATACTGGTACTAGGTCTTTGGCATCTTGAACAACGCCTTAGCCACAAGACTACCACCAACCCAGATGATGCAATCATAAGGATGTGATACTGGTACTAGGTCTTTGGCATCTTGAACAACGCCTTGGCTACAAGACTACCCCCAACCCAGATGATGCAATCATAAGGATGTGATACTGGTACTAGGTCTTTGGCATCTTGACCAATGCCTTGGCCTCAAGACTACCACCAACCCAGATGATGCAATCATAAGGATGTGATACTGGTACTAGGTCTTCGGCATCTTGAACAATGCCTTAGCCACAAGACTACCACCAACCCAGATGATGCAATCATAAGGATGTGATACTGGTACTAGGTCTTTGGCATCTTGAACAACGCCTTAGCCACAAGACTACCACCAACCAAGATGATGCAATCATAAGGATGTGATACTAGTACTAGGTCTTCGGCATCTTGACCAATGCCGTGGCCACAAGACTACCACAAACCCAGATGATGCAATCATAAGGATGTGATACGGGTACTAGGTCTTTGGCATCTTGACCAACAGCTTGGCCACAAGACTTCCACCAACCCAGATGATGCAATCATAAGGATGTGATACTGGTACTAGGTCTTTTGCATCTTGACCAACAGCTTGGCCACAAGACTTCCGCCAACCCAGAAGATGCAATCATAAGGAAGTGATAAGGTAGTAAGTGGACGTCAACATGCAGATTGTTTGGGCATAACGAATGTTGTGCACACAACATGATTACAGATACAACTGGTAACCAGAAGAGACCTGCACTGTGACCACAATCAATATGAATGAGTGGCACTGTCCAATTTCTTGCAGGGGTGAAAGCGGCACCGGCACCGGCACTGTCACCGGCACCAGAATCAAGCCTGTGTCTGCCAGCTGTTTAATATGGCGGACATGCTCTGTGTGGCAAACTACCTGTCAAACACATTGGCACTGTTCCTAGTATGGGCCAAGCCCTCATTATACAAATGCAGTTCTGTGCATCTTGAACCCATCTGTGTTTACAGGACACTTTGTTTACAAGATGCCTCTGTGTTTCCATGGCAACATTTGACCAGTGTGGCTATCAAACCTTCTGAAATAAAGGACATAGTTGTGTGGAGAAAGAATAATATACATGTAATGTTTTCAGTGAAACTGCTGGGATCACTCATGCATTTCAGTCATTAGATTTTGATTACATATGGGACAACTGGGTTGGACTAACAGCAAACACCAATCATAAATCGTCATAATCCAATGAACGACAAAATTCAGATCCAAGCAAGCATTAAGTGTAGAGACGCTACACAATGATTAAGCATATAATCAAATGTAGATACTTTAGTTCCGTTCAAAGGAAAGCTGATATATACATACGGTACATATATTGATTTGTAATATTGGCATGACATGTGACTGACAATCAATATAACATTTAACCATTAAATATTATTCCGAGAGTAGACTTTTGGAATGAAGGCAACAGTTCAGTCAACTCTCACTGAAGTATAGCCACAAGGTTTTCAGTAGCCAAGTTTACTTCTCAAGGAGTCCTGCTTGTGGCAAGAGCCAACTACAAGAGTGAGTGAGTGAGTGAGTTGGGTTTAACGCCGCTTTTAACATTATTCCAGTTATATCACGGCGTGTCAGCTTAATGTGGGAGGAAAGCCCAAAGTGATGCAGGTCTCGGACGTTTACCACTTCGGTGAAACCCACGGGCACGGGTATGGTGCTGAAAGCCAACTACAAGAGGATTTGGTGGTCACAATGTATGACCTGGCTCCTTGTGTGAAGTGCCCTGGTGGTTTGAACAGTTCTTCTAGCTATCAATCACTGGTTTCTTACAGATGGTCGTGAATATGTCTGACTGCGTTCAAGTTCAAGTTGAATCTGCATATGGAGAGTTGGCTTCATGTCCTATCATTTCCTTATCATGTTTATGTAACCTGTCATTACTTTCATCATACATAGTCAGTCTTATAGACTTATAGATGGGGTGTCATTAAGGGACCGACCATTTGATATTCTGGGGGGTAGGGGCCTAGGAATTGGTATGGAGACTCGCCCTTTCTTCAGGTGCAAAACGAGATCTATGAGGTGTTCTTGACTAAACATGTTTCACTATGAGTCAAAATAGATCTATATTGAAACAGTATTTAGCAATAATTTCTTTTATGTCGCAGACAATATCTGTTCTACATATTTGTCTGCCTGGGACAATGTAAATTTTTTTATAACACACACACACACACACACACTACACAGACACACACACACACAGAATATCAAATGGTCAGTTCCTATTGTAGATTTTACGGTGTTGGGGATCGTATTCATCATAGACGTCAGTTCTACACACACACACACACACACACACACACACACACACAGAATATCAAATGGTCAGTTCCTATTGTAGATTTTACGGTGTTGGGGATCATATTCATCATAGACGTCAGTTCTAGAACTTGATGAACAAACATAATCCTTTTTGGTATTGCCGGTATCAGCAAATATAATGCTTCACTAACTGCAGAAAAAAAACACTGACCTATGTGCCTAGAATACAAGACATGCCATTCTGTGTTACAGGTTATCAAAAGTGTTCACATTTCCATACATGAAAAGGTCCAAATTGGATAGATAAAAATATGTGCCCTACACACAAAGTCTTCATATAACCAGAGCAGCACAAAAACAGTGTTCACTTACCCTAAACTTGCACTACACACAGTGTTTATTTAACCAGAGCAGCAAAAAACAGTGTTCACTTACACTAAACTAGCACTACAAACAAAGTTCATTTAACCAGAGCAGCACTAAAACAGTGTTCACTTACACTAGATACACCAGCAGCACTACACAAAGTGTTCACCTACACTAGGGCAGCACTACATATAGAGTTAACCTGCACTACAGTCTTCACAACCAGTTCCCTTGGTGCTGACACAAACATGCAATCAACAAAAGAGTTCCACTGTAGATTGGTACTAGTCTTGGCAAGACACATGTTTGGAGTGTTTTAATTGCATAAACTCATGATTCTCAACTCCAATAATCTCACAATCATACAAACAAAGTGCTTCAATTAAGGATGGCCTTGGCTAATATTATTTCAGCAAAACAAAGCAGTAACCAGCGCCTGTACACCAACATAGGACCAAACAAAGTGATGTGGTCCAAATTACCCAACTACCCTTAACCCTTATTCATGTTGCCAACCCTAATGGGTTTTTTCAGGGGTAAAAATATGTGATGAAAATATCAACCAAACTCTAAAATAGGTCTCCAACAACAGATGATGCTTTTTATTTTTTTTAAAAGAAAGAAAAACCTACTTACCCTATTTTGAATTACGTTTGAACCAGAACCAGGTTGACAGAAATAAAGTTAATGAAAAATTTCCATTATTAACCTAAAACTGCAGGACATCATTTAAAAAAATAAAAATCATAAACAATATTGAAAAGCAGGGGATTGAAGTTAGTATTTCTTAAAACGAACACAACATTGTCAATTTTATAAAATATTGATACAATTCTAGACTCATAGCAAGACATGAATCCCATCGGTATGGCCCAGCAACACCGAACACCTGCTATATGTTGAAAGCAAATGTTCATAGTCTACCACCATGCACTATAGTTAGAAAACTCTGCATAGAAATTGTATATAGTCCCAAGAATGCATAAATAACAGGAACCTTGTAAAAGGTGACAAAAAATGGAGATTGCATGAACAAAACACTGGATCTATGCTATGACTGCCATACAGTTGGGAGAGTCAAGTACCCTTCGAGACATACCTAGCCTGGTCGGTACACCTGCAAGAATGCTAACTCAGCAAATTATGTTGACTAACTCTGTTGATTCAGAGGGGACTGGCTTGCTATTGTAAACTGTTAATTGTACTAAAATCACATGGCAAGTTTTTCAAAGCACCTTTCCTATACCCAAATCTATGGACTAGTCAAAACAGGGAAGGCTTCCAACCACACTGTCTACATGATTTGTTATCAATAAAGATAAAAAACAGCCTCAGATGCTACACTAAAATGGTGTATTATTGAAATGAAATGAACAAACTTCTTATTTTAAAAGACATATGGACTTGTCATTCTTTCAAAACTAAATAACCATCCACTAAGTATGCCATTAACAAAAGAAAACCTAACAGGATATTTCAAACAGTCTTACAGCTCTAACACAGAGCTTCCTGAAATAATCCCAATAGCACCAGGCCTGAGCAAAACTTGGTTTCCAGTGCCCGCAGTCCCATTAAAACAATCTCAGATATCTCTAGACTTCTCATTTGTTAGATGCTCCACTGATTTGGAACATATATGCAATCAAAGTTGTCAAGAAACTGCAACCTCATACTATGGCTTTCACTCTTCAAACAAAGCCTTGTGTGTCTTAGAGCTGTGTCATATTTGACAAGCACCCAGAAAAAAAATCTCTCGCATCACTAACTGATATTTAAAACAATCGGCCTTTCTGTCTGAGAATACTACTCATCAATGACGGCCTTGTTGCAGCTTCTAACAAGTCAACAACCAAACTGAAACCATGTCAAAGACAGCCAACTGCTTTGTCCATGGAGTAAAACAACTGTGTATGTACTATGTACTTTTTGATGGTATGGAAGACAACACAATGTTACAACCAAGAGCAATGGACAATCCGATCATGAATAAATCTAAATCTAAATTAGGAATAAGAATTAATGATTAACTCAAGTTCATGAAAATATATTTGGATAAACAATTACCGTATTTGACGTAATAAGCGCCCCGCTCTAATAAGCGCCCACGGCGATATTTTCTAATATATTGGCAAGTGAACAATCCCAATTAGCACCCTTTTCTATTGATCAATGTACACAAGACTTATCTATTCGTGTATAATACGCATGCATGTGTTATATACACCCTTAATTATGGGCAATTAAATTCAGGAAAAATATATCTGTCGTATATAAACAGTTCAGGCCTAATAAGAGCCACCTTTTTCTTATTTTGAGAGCGCCCTGGGTGCTCATTACATCGAATACGGTACATGATTATGATGAACTAAGTGTATGTACTATAAGCTACACAGGGATAACATGGACTTTAAGCGTACATGTATCTGGAAACCTACTTCGTACAACTTCTTGGATCAGTTACTTAAGATTTATCGTCCACCACAATTCATCTATCTATACATGTAAGCCATCCACTCATATATTCATATACCGATTCATTTCCAGGAACACAAAATTCAAAATAATTCAGTACATCATAGATGGGATGTAAAATTTTAACTCACTCAATACATCATAGGATATAATACATTTGAAGACAAATCAGTATCAAGATTAACAAGATATTACTTCAATTCACTGTTTTGCAAGAGCAAATAATTCAACATATGATCACAGTATCATTGGGATGGTATCATTCTCAGAGAATTTGTCTTGATTACCGAATCATCGGTACTAAGTTTTGTCCCCTTGTATTTTGTAGCCATCCCCAACAGTAGGTGCCTAGACTGGGTTCCTGGACAAGCAGGTCAAAACAAAACTGATTTTCACTGCACCGGATTTATACCTGTCAAACATCATCCTTGATAATCCAGGGTGTTACATACCTGTCAAGCATCATCCTTGATAATCCAGGGTGTTATATACCTGTCAAGCATCATCCTTGATAATCCAGGGTGTTATATACCTGTCAAGCATCATCCTTGATAATCCAGGGTGTTATATACCTGCCAAGCATCATCCTTGATAATCCAGGGTATTATATACCTGTCAAGCATCATCCTCGATAATCCAGGATGCTATATTGCCATTCTATCATGATAAATATCCTTGACTGATTCTCCACCAAAGCTTCATATTGAGCCCAAATAACTCGGTGCGAAATGACCTGACATCATCAATTCAAATTACTAGGGATGCCTTGTGGCATAAGGGCTGTTTCCCTGCTTAAATACTTGTGGAAACAACTTTTTAAGGAAAAAAATCACTTACCATGCTTATTGCAGTATCCTGATTTAACTGAACATAATATTATCAAGGACTCACTCGTACCAGACAGTGAATTTGAAATTCTGGGCAAAGTTAGTGATAGGAGAGAGTAAGAAGATGTTACTTCAAAATCAAAGCTGAGGTGGCAAATGTGTCCATGGCACATATCAATACAGAAATGCATTATAACACACAAGATACTCGAGGACGATAAAGCATCCAGTTGGGTGTATATGATATGCAGTTTAAGATATGCAGGTTATACAACACAATCTTTACAAGCTATTGGGTTAACATTCATAACGGAATGTAAGGAATGGAAACAGTCGGAACACAACTGTAGACGAGGAACACATAGCTGCTTCAGGGACGGCATTCAATGTGTCACTTATTTTTCATGCCTATTTTCAACACATAAGCCCAAATGCAAATTTGTGACTTCAATTCTTGAACAAGTAATTTTACAGTTTCAAATAATAATTACTAATAGCTGTCATGGCTCCTGAAGAAAATGGTTCCTGGGTTTGAAGTGAGACAAGTAGGATGACAATCTGATGCCACATTAATGGGTCTGTGTAGAATGAGAGTTGTAGGTGTGTCGTATGAGAGTTGTAGCTGTGTCGTATGAGAGTTGTAGCTGTGTCGTATGAGAGTTGTAGCTGTGTAGAATGAGAGTTGTAGGTGTGTCGTATGAGAGTTGTAGCTGTGTAGAATGAGAGTTGTAGCTGTGTCGTATGAGAGTTGTAGGTGTGTCGTATGAGAGTTGTAGGTGTGTCGTTTGTGAGTTGTAGCTGTGTCGTATGAGAGTTGTAGGTGTGTCGTATGAGAGTTGTAGGTGTGTCCTATGAGAGTTGTAGGTGTGTCGTATGAGAGTTGTAGCTGTGTCGTATGAGAGTTGTAGGTGTGTCCTATGAGAGTTGTAGGTGTGTCCTATGAGAGTTGTAACTGTGTAGAATGAGAGTTGTAGCTGTGTCACATGAGAGTTGTAGGTGTGTCGTATGAGAGTTGTAGGTGTGTCATATGAGAGTTGTAGGTGTGTCCTATGAGAGTTGTAGGTGTGTCGTATGAGAGTTGTAGGTGTGTCGTATGAGAGTTGTAGGTGTGTCGTATGAGAGTTGTAGCTGTGTCGTATGAGAGTTGTAGGTGTGTCCTATGAGAGTTGTAGGTTTGTCGTATGAGAGTTGTAGGTGTGTCCTATGAGAGTTGTAGGTGTGTCCTATGAGAGTTGTAGGTGTGTCGTATGAGAGTTGTAGGTGTGTCCTATGAGAGTTGTAGGTGTGTCCTATGAGAGTTGTAGCTGTGTAGAATGAGAGTTGTAGCTGTGTCACATGAGAGTTGTAGGTGTATCGTATGAGAGTTGTAGCTGTGTCGTATGAGAGTTGTAGGTGTGTCGTATGAGAGTTGTAGGTGTGTCGTATGAGAGTTGTAGCAGCCATTTTTTGATGTTCTGTCGTAAGATCGACCCTCACATGAGTACTTGGGATTCATGCAGGTCAGGATAGTTACATTTAAGAGCAGAATACTGAGGAATGTAGCAGCCAGGGATAACAGGACTTCCAACAGAATTGGAATTCAAGACAGTAACTTCTGGAATGGTTCCCTTTGCTTGGCTATTTCAGAACGACATCCTTCATTTCCTAACCTACATGGGATAAACATTTACTATCTAACCTCAACTCATAACAGCATGGTAGGGGCTTTCTGAAAGTGACTTACAGACTGATAGTTTCTTCATCAGGACTTACCGTAGTCGACGTAATAAGCTCCCCGCTCTAATTAGCGCCCATGGCTATATTTGCTAATATATTGGCTAGGGAACAATCCCAATTAGCACCCCTTCTGATTGATCAATGTACACAAGACTTATTTATTCATGAATAATACTCACTTGCGTGTTTATATGAACCCTTAATTGTGGACAATTACATACTGGAAAAATATATCTGTCGTACATTAACATTTCAGGCTGTCAGTATAAACCACGAAATTTACAATCTTTCAACTCTGTTTTTTAACCAAAATAATATTCTAATAAGAGCCCCCTATTTCTAATTTTGAGAGTGCCCTGGGCGCTTATTACGTAGAATACAGTATTAATCAGCAAATCTTGGTCAAAGACTGCAACAGTGACGATGGTTGTGTTCAAGAAAGAGACTAATGCCACAATGATTTAATTCCTAAATCTTAAGCCATTGTTCTTTTAGACATAGTTTGCAGGTCTGAGACATTTTGTTTTTAATTTTCTTGAAAGAATCATTCTAGGGAAAAGAAATCTCATACAGGAATGAGAATGGATATTTTCCTTTTCAGCTGAAACTTATTAGCAATGGAGCGTGGTCCATAAATTGGGCTGTTTATGAAGGAAGCCATCAGATTTTAACAAATTTGTGGTCACTAAATTGTAGAAATTCCCGGATCCGCGGAAGATTCTTACCCCTGCTTAGAAGTTTCAAAAAGAGGCAGTTTGTTGTGACAAATTATCATATGTTAGTTGAAAGTTGCCCATCATAATTATCACGTTATTAATTCATTATGGCCCAGTTAGATATTAAAAAATAACTTAGAACAGGAGTTCGGTCACATCATCTTCACACATCTCAAGTCTGTAGATTCAACTACATGTTCAACAACCTCCACTACCTGCAAGTGACATAGCAGTTAGGGCTGAGACGGGTAACTCGGGTACCCGGATCGGGTGGGTACTGAGTAGGACCCGGGTACCCACAGGCCTACCCGGACCCGTGGTTAGTCACGTGATATATTGTTTAATGACAAAAATTATCTAGAACTCTATGGTTACACTACAAGTCACTAATATTCGCATTTCTTTCTGACTATGCACCCATACCTTCTGACTTTTCATATGGTTGAATAAAGATACATGTACAACTATGTGTAACTTAAGTCATCTTCAGTGTATGCATGACCAGATTGTTTAATACATGTATCTAAATACATTTTGCAAGTGCTGTGGTAAAAAAATTCCAAACAGATATTTAGTATCTCTTGAGACCTACAGTGGGCACCCGGGTAGGGTTGGGTAATTGGAGGGTGGGTACCCGGGTAGTAAATTTGGACTCGTCCCAGCCCTAATAGCAGTGCAATGGACTCTTAATACACAATCTTCATCAACAATACTGACTTCACTCGTCCTGCAAAAACTAGTAGTGGAACGATACACCAATGCATCGGTGGATCGCGATATTTTAATTCTCGATACAAGTATCGATGACAATCGCACACAAAGGAAAAAGTATTGATTTTTACCTTAAAGTATTCTTATTAAATGTTACACCAAACACTAATTACTAGTGAAATTGAGTAGTGAAAACGTAAATATTTTCATCCACTGCGCCATACTTGACACTGCCAACTGTAAGATTGATAGTGTGCCAGGAATTTGGCCATCCTGTCTATGAAAACCAGGGCTCACGCAGAAAAGAGCACATGCAAGTATCGTGATACGTTTCAGTTTGCATAGTTGGTGTATCATCCCAGCCCTAGCAAAAACACTATATTAAGTCTTCAAAAAACAATACTTGTCAGTGACATTCCTTTCCAATTTAGGAATATATTTGGTATCATGTCAACCAGAATCATATGAATATTACTGGTTGTTCGGTGGCTGCAACACATGATCACGCCTGAGGATTCTTTGAGAGGATGTCAGTGGCTGCCGCGTCACCTCTTGTTCACCACTTCATTGTAGCAGGTTTCACAGACTCTCACCGGCTTCTTGGAGGCTGCCACAGTGGCCGTCCTCTGGGAGCATTCATTGCAGTAGATGTTGCCACAGTTCCTACAGTGGTGCTAGAATGGGGAAATTATTGTTGTGAAACATGACTTTGGGGAAATTACAATTATAGAGTTTATAATAGAGCGGGTATTTTTTCAAATGAATGATTTTACGTGAATTTAGGCTTTTATTGAAAAAAATTAATGTACAACTTTGTTGATTGCAAAAAGGTTCACCTTATTAATAGATTTTCTAAACATATCATACATATTGTTAATGTAGACACAATTTATGGATAACAACTTCTTTAATATACTATAACAGCGACATTTCGGTATAGGTCCTTATAACAATGTCAATCAAGACAGTCTTGACTGACAACATTAATGTAACAAGGATCTTTACTGAAACATTGCCCTGAAAGTATGCTAGGAGGTTGTCATCCATCAACTGTGTCTACCTTGTCATCCAGCAACTACTAAGAAACGGCTATCAAACAATCCATATTGTTAAGAACTACATGTCAATTATATGTATTTTCTATTCACAGTAATCAAAAGGGGATTACAAAATTTTGCAAAAACATCCTCCAGAATTAAGGTAAATAAAACTGAATATGGTCATGACACGACACTATCAATCCTTAAACATCTTGTACCTCCAGGGGGGGGGGGGGGGGGAGAATGCAGTTTGAATGCACACTGATCCTGTAATTGCAAATATGTCAGGCACTTACGTCTGCAACTGAAGCCGATAGTCCGAAGCCCAAGAACAGCAATCTTCTGTTAGGTCTAGTAAGCTCAGGTAATAAAACATTAGAGTGAGTGAGTGAGTGAGTGAGTGAGTGAGTGAGTGAGTGAGTGAGTGAGTGAGTGAGTGAGTGAGTGAGTGAGTGAGTGAGTGAGTGAGTGAGTGAGTGAGTGAGTGAGTGAGTGAGTGAGTGAGTGAGTGAGTGAGTGAGTGAGTGAGTGAGTGAGTGAGTGAGTGAGTGAGTGAGTGAGTGAGTGAGTGAGTGAGTGAGTGAGTGAGTGAGTGAGTGAGTGAGTGAGTGAGTGAGTGAGTGAGTGAGTGAGTGAGTGAGTGAGTGAGTGAGTGAGTGAGTGAGTGAGTGAGTGAGTGAGTGAGTGAGTGAGTGAGTGAGTGAGTGAGTGAGTGAGTGAGTGAGTGAGTGAGTGAGTGAGTGAGTGAGTGAGTGAGTGAGTGAGTGAGTGAGTGAGTGAGTGAGTGAGTGAGTGAGTGAGTGAGTGAGTGAGTGAGTGAGTGAGTGAGTGAGTGAGTGAGTGAGTGAGTGAGTGAGTGAGTGAGTGAGTGAGTGAGTGAGTGAGTGAGTTTGGTTTAACGCCGCTTTTAGCAATATTCCAGCAATATCACACTGGGGGACACCAGAAATGGGCTTCACACATTGTACCCATGTCGGGAATCGAACCCGGGTCTTTGGCATGACGAGTAAACGCTTTAACCACTAGGCTACCCGACCGCCCCAATAAAACATTGTAACACTAAACTCAAAATAATGCAAAGAGCCAAACTTGGCTCGTAGTCTCAAAAACTTTTGGCACAGACTGCTTTAGGGAATGTGATGTGGATACTTTTCAGTGGTAAGTGGTCTAATGTTATTTTCAGTAGGGCGGTGGGGTAGCCTAGTGGTTAAAGCCTTCGCTCGTCACGCTGAAGACCTGGGTTGGATTCCCCAAATGGGCACAATGTGTGAAGCTCATTTCTGGTGTCCCCTGCCGTGCTATTGCTGGAATATTGTTATGAGCGGCATAAAACCAAACTCACTCAATTATTTTCAGAGTACACTTGCCTTTACATACCTAGTTTTGTGAATTTCCCACGTACAGTACAGATACTATGAGCGTTAGTGTCGTGGTGAGCTACATACCTTGCGCACAGTCATGGAGAAGGCCTTGTTACACCCCATGCACTCCATCACCTGGCTGTCATCCGCCCACTTCCTGTTCTGTACCTTTGTGCTCACGATCTGAAACAAGGCACAGTTTCCATTCACAGAATTTGTGACAGAAAGCCAATGTGGAAATAGATGTGACTACATGATTGATTCATTCATTAGTTCGGTGGCGTGAGGGAGGAAGTTGGTTTTTGAGTGGGTAGATGTAGCAATTTGAATGGAGAAGAGCAGAGCAGAGCAGAGCAGAGCAGAGCTGAGCGGAGGGAGAGATGTTTAATGCTGCCGTCAGTAAGTATTGCAGCAATATCATGAGAGCTTGTACCTTATCAAACCAGGACAAGGATAACTGGTGGCTAGAAGCATGAGCAATGATCCACACAATCAGGCTGAGATGACACGCAGTCAGACAAGTCCAGGAGCTTGACCACAAGATACCCATTTTTGTCAGCTCTTACGACAAGCATGAGCTTCTGGGCAACAGCAGGGCCACAATTTGGGACACACAGCTAGGCAGACTTTGATTCCCGTCACCAAAATGCAGTACTGTGTCTGTCAACACACCTGTGTGATACCATGGCTGTCAGCAAGCTCAAACAGAATAGTCGTAGTCTGTACCTGTAGGGACTGGTTCTCTCTGCCCAGTTCAGACTACCCGTCCCTTAACCACTATGCTACCCCTCAACCCTTGAACTACATGGCTGTCAGCAAGCTCAAACAGAATAGTCGTAGTCTGTGCCTGTAGGGACTGGTTCTACTAGCCTTTAACCCTTTACCCGCCCCTTTAACCACTAGGCTAACCCCCCCACCCCTTTAACTACATGGCTGTCAGCAAGCTCAAACAGAATAGTCGTAGTCTGTGCCTGTAGGGACTGGTTCTACTAGCCTTTAACCCTTTACCCGCCCCTTTAACCACTAGGCTAACCCCCCCACCCCTTTAACTACATGGCTGTCAGCAAGCTCAAACAGAACAGTCGTAGTCTGCACCTGTAGAGGGGGCACGGGCGGCCCAATAATCTAAGGCGTCGCAATTCAGAGTCGTGTCCCTTAGGCACACCAGAAACCTATGATTGTGGGTTCAAATCCTGGGTCCCCCAATATTGTTTCCAGGACTGCCGGCACCATACCCAAGCTCATGGCTTTCACGAAAGAGGTAAACATTTGAGACCTGCATCACTTCAGGCCTCCCTCTCACATCAAACTGTTACGCCATGATACAACTGGTATACTACTACTAATGGCATTAAACCCAACTGACTGACTGACTCACTGTACCTGGAGTGACTGGTTCTCTCGGCCTAGTTCATGCAGGGCAGCCTGGGTATCATCTAACTTCCGTCGCGTTTCCGTCACTTTCTCCCTCAACTTCTCGCACTCCTTCTCACTGGTCAAGCACCTGCAAACACAGAGCATAATCATATTCATAATATTTATGCCAGGTTTGATTCCCCACATGGGTTAAATGTGTGAAGATCATTTGTGGTGTCCCCCGCTGTGATATTGCTGGAATATTGCAAAAAGCAGCGTAAAACAATACTCACTCACTCACTCAAGCAGTACACCTGGGTAGAATCATACTGTGTGAAGCTCATTCCATGCTGTCCTCATTCAGATTCTGTGCATGCATTAGCACAATTCTACAGTACTTCAGGGTCGGCAATGTACTCGATGAAGTCCTGTTTGACTAAACAGCTTGGATTGAACGGATGGGTTTTGGTTCTTATTTAATCTTCCACATATCAAAGTCCTTTTGGGGCGGTCGGGTAGCCTAGTGGTTAAAGAGTTCGCTCGTCACGCCGAAGACCCGGGTTCGATTCCCGACATGGGTACAATGTGTGAAGCCCATTTCTGGTGTCTCCCGCCGTGATATTGCTGGAATATTGCTAAAAGCGGCGTAAAACCATACTCACTCACTCACTCAAAGTCCTTTTACACGCGCTTCAGTGACTTTGCCCACGCACGCGAAAAACCGGGTCCTGCAGTAGGAATTGAAAATCCACATCCCAAAGAGGCCACCCTGACTGATATATCCTATCAGTAAGCCTGTTTTCACCTCCCTGGTTATAACGCCACCTGGTTATAATGCCATATATCCCGCTAGACAAAGGGTGGCATTATACAGGGAGGACTGTACATAGATAGCTTGGACACCACACCACACCACAGGCAATGCATGCAAAATAAAAACTGACCTGTCAACAAGCATCCTTCTTTCTTCATTATTGTTTTCCAGTTTGGCTTCCAGTTCTGAAACAGAAAGGTAATGTAACGTGAGTCTGTCATTTCTAACATGCACGTGAGACAGATACTGGCTGACTTGCAAAACTAAAGGTGGCCTTGACACATAGTGTTATGTTCCACCGCTAAATTAATAAATAACTTGACAGGAAACTATCCCGGAGTTGAGGGCATGACGAACTTGGCCGGGGGGCACTTTACAACTGATTTATTCGGGGAACAAGTCTTGCGACATCTGCAATATCTCAGCAGACTTCATAGCAATATGGGGAGCGTCTCCAAAACAATACACTCAATAAGTGTTAACACAACGATAAGTGTTGATACACAACATATAGGATGACAAAAGAATCTATGGATATGTTCAGGGAGCGTTACAGGATCACACAGAAGAAGGATCTCTCTGACATATTGCTAATGCCTATATATGAAATCAAAAATAATCTGACATCATTCAACTTAAATGATCTATCAGTAGTACTTTCATAAGAAATTATATGACCGATTGAGTCACAATATCATGCTATTGAAAAGCTGTTGGTGAGTGCACATGCATTATGATCGTAGAAGTTAACTTTCTTTAAATCTAAATTCTGTCAGCATCTAGATCTGACACATGGCTCCCACACCACAATGGACTAAAATATGAATTTCAGTTCTCTAGAATTGTTCAAGGCTTTGAAGATGTTCTGTAGTGTTTGACATGTTCTGCAAGTACTTCAAAACAAAACTGATTATAAAGAAGTGAGAATTGTCTGGCCTATTTATTCTAAATTCCTAGACTATTAATTAACGATAACTTATTCTAAATTCCTGGACTAATTGTTAACTCCTGGTATAAGTTATTTTAACTTCCTAGACTAATTGTTAATTCCTGGTATAAGTTATGTAAATTCCTAGATTTTTTGTAAAACACCCGCTATTAGTTATTCTAAATTCCTAGACTATTCATTAACTATATGTCATTCTAAATTCCTAGACTATTCGCTAACCACTGGTATAAGATACTTTAAATTCCTAGACTATTTGTTAACCCCGGTATAATTTGTTCTAAGGATGCCACGAACCTAGCTTCTCCCCCCTCAGCTCGTCGTTGATCCTGGTGAGGTCCTCCACATTCTGCTGGTTGACCGTCAGGTCTGACCGGACAGTGGTCAAGTTTTCGTTGAGCACAGACAGCTGCATCTCATACCGAGCCTCATCCTCATCCTTCTGCTTCTGCAACGTCTCTCGTCCTTGTTGCTCAGTAGCCTATGACACAGGTATGGTTAGTTAGTGTCTGTTGATATTCATTATTGGTTGTGTTAAGTCATTCATTAATTTGTTTAATCCAACAATGTGACACTTGAATCAGGGAAAGTACATACAGTTGCCTTGATGAATCAACAAAACTTGAAAGCATTTTGGGGTGGTCGGGTCGTCATGCAGAAACCCGGGTTCGATTTCCAAAATGGGTACAATGTGTGAAGCCCATTTCTGGTGTCCCCTGCCGTGATATTTCTTGGAATATTGCTAAAATCTGCGTAAAACCATACTCACTCACTCACTCGTTGACACCATTTTATTTCTACTTTTGGAAAATATTATCTTAAACTCTCAGGCAATCTCATTAAAATCAGATCTTAATTTTCGCCTTTCGACCTTTCGCGAATTTTGACTGACCAATGAAATGACTGACAAGATATCGACATTGGCCAATCAGATGGCAGCTTTCTGGAGCTTTACGACACTAGTTTCAAAACATATTTTGACGTATTCTCGTCTTAAAACTTTAAAACTGATATGAAGAACATTCTGGAATGGCTTATAGATGTCCTAGATTGTATGGATATAATCATAAAATCCATAACTGTCGTTCGGAATACCCCGTGTTAAATATATCGTGGTTGCATGATTAGAAAAAACTCATTCCGACTGTCACTTTCATGATGTGTTAAGCGACGCTCTGATTGGTTGGATGAAAGGTCGTTCTGACATGACCCGTAATGGGATGTCCTCAGATCTTTGTTTAGCGATAGCGAGAACTAAGATCTGATCTAATGAGATTGACTCTCAGGCTACAACTCTTTTGTGCCATTCTGCACATTTTTACTGTTTTCAGTTTTCTTATATCCCCTGGTAATCAGCTGAATTCAATGAACAGAAAGTGTGCCACAAACCAGTTTTGTCTGAAGACTTGAGTTTTCCTCTCTCAGCATTTGCTGAATATTGGTGGATTCGGACTTCACATTCTCAGTTTCATTCTTCGTCTGAGGAGAGAGGAGAAACATTTAACACAGTCTTACATGACACTTCTTACAAAGATGACACAGTGATGTCTGTATGCTGATCACATCAGTCCTATATTACTTTAGGACCTACAATGGGAGCATTATGGTACAGGTTGTTGTGCTAAGCCAATACATTCCTTACAACCAACCTGTGCAAGCAGCTCCTCGAAGGAATCCAGTTTGCCCTGAATCTCCAGCTTCTGGTTGATGAGGATCTGCTTGGCTTCCTCCAGACTTGACACCTCCTGCAACAGTGCGCATCGGTAATGAGGATGGGGTTCCTTGTCACAACTCAAATGTTTTACAGGCAAGAAAAGTATGACTAGCCATTTGCCTAACTGTATGCTGTAGGCAGGTAAAGTACCACCAGCTATTTGCCTAACTGTATGCCACAAACAAGTAAAGTACAAGCTATTTGCCTAACTATATGCTAGTCGAGGTCACCAGCCATTTGCCTAAAGCTATGCTACAGACAAGTGGTTTACCACTAGCTATTTGCCTAACTGTATGCTACAGACAAGTAGAGCATTACCAGCTATTTGCCTAACTCTATGCTACAGACAAGTGGTGTACCACTAGCTACTTGCCTAACTGTATGCTACAGACAAGGAGGTACCACTAGCTATTTGCCTAACTCTATGCTACAGACAAGTGGTGTACCACTAGCTATTTGCCTAAATCTATGCTACAGACAAGTGGTTTACCACTAGCTATTTGCCTAACTCTATGCTACAGACAAGTGGTGTACCACTAGCTATTTGCCTAAATCTATGCTACAGACAAGTGGTTTACCACTAGCTATTTGCCTAACTCTATGCTACAGACAAGTGGTTTACCACTAGCTATTTGCCTAACTCTATGCTACAGACAAGTGGTTTACCACTAGCTATTTGCCTAACTGTATGCTACAGACAAGGAGGTACCACTAGCTATTTGCCTAACTGTATGCTACAGACAAGTGAGGTACCACTAGCTATTTGCCTAACTGTATGCTACAGACAAGTGAGGTACCACTAGCTATTTGCCTAACTGTATGCTACAGACAAGTGAGGTACCACTAGCTATTTGCCTAACTGTATGCTACAGACAAGGAGGTACCACTAGCTATTTGCCTAACTCTATGCTACAGACAAGTGAGGTACCACTAGCTATTTGCCTAACTGTATGCTACAGACAAGGAGGTACCACTAGCTATTTGCCTAACTGTATGCTACAGACAAGTGAGGTACCACTAGCTATTTGCCTAACTGTATGCTACAGACAAGTGAGGTACCACTAGCTATTTGCCTAACTGTATGCTACATATAAGTGAGGTACTACTTGCTATTTGCCTTACTGTATGCTACAGACAAGGAGGTACCACTAGCTATTTGCCTAACTGTATGCCACAAACAAGTAAAGTGCCACTAGCTATTTGCCTAACTCTATGCTACAGACAAGTGAGGTACCACTAGCTATTTGCCTAACTGTATGCTACAGACAAGTAGAGTGCCTGAGGAGTCAACCTGTTTCTTCTGTTCCTGTTCTGTCTGTAACTGTTCCCTCATGGACTCTCGGTCCTTCTTGTATGACACACATGCTTCCTTCGTCTCCTCGAACGCCTTCTTCAGGGCAGACAACTCTTCCTCGAGGGAGTCCTGGAGACAATATTATGCCAATTATTGCATATATGTTTCATCAACACAATCAATTTACATTTTTTACAAACCCATGAAGATCCGGGGTAGAATAGGTCCTCAGCAAACCATACTTGCCATAAGAGGCGACTAACGGGATCAGGTGGTCAGGCTCGCTGACTTGGTAGATGAATGTCATCGTATCCCAATTGTGTAGATCAATGCTCATGATGTCAATCAGTGGATTGTCTGGTTCAGAATCGATTATTTACAGACCGCCGTCATATAACTGGAATATTGCTGAGTGCGGTGTTAAACAACAAACAAACATTTTTTTTACAAAACACACTCCTATTCATGCATGCCACAAATCTTGACATCATAGTTTAGTGTGTACACAGATCACCATGAACTCATCATATCAATACCTCGTTCACAAAAAATATGTCTTTAAAATAAGTCAACAATAACTTCACAGACTACATACTTAATCATTAACACATGTAGACAACGATATGAAATCAGTGCCATCACTCAGCACAGTAATTCAACACAAGCCCTGCCCACCAGTCAAAAAAGTTAAGTCCGCAAGTGTGCATGGCCTTTTTTTGTTTATGGAAATATAAATGAAAAAAAGATACTGCTTGTTTAGCCAATCATCCCATGAAATCCCACAATTTATTCATTTCTAAAATGACTTTAGTCTTCCACATTTTAGGAATCCTATGCATGGGCGGATACAGCTTTTTTTTAAAAGCGGGGTGCACAATTAAGATCTATTTATTGTCTTTGGTGGTAATTTATACAGATATAAAGACTTTTTTCGAAATAAAAACGGGGGATGCGCACCCCCGCACCCCCCTCTGTATCCGCCCATGCTATGGGTCTCTGTTCTGGACGAGAGTCGACCTGCCACTTCCCCCAACTCACCTTCCGCTTCTGCAGCTGGTCTCTGACGGCTGTTGTCTCCTTCAGCTCTGTGTCCAACTTCAGCATTTGACCATTCATGGCCGTCCGCACCTGGGGGGAGCAGCACACATTAACATCACTACAAACATGGAGCTTAGCATGCTCCATCCATGCGTAGCTGCCTCTGTATGAGATCACTGACATAAACACATCATGCCCTGTACGTAGTGAGTGATTAGTGCTTAATGCCGCATCAAACAAATGTTGCCATTTAAAAACAAATCAGAACCCCATTCTCATCACTTTCATAAAACAATCAAAATAACAAATTATCAAGTTAAAGATGATCTGCGATGTCAATATTTCACAGGTTTGTATCCACAAGTTCCTTCATCGCCCATGAATCCATATGACCACTTTGCTGTATTGATGATGTATTCACAGGTGAAGGAGGAATGTAGTGTATACAAACCTGTATTGATGATGTATTCACAGGTGAAGGAGGAACGTAGTGTATACAAACCTGTGCTGATGATCTATTCACAGGTGAATGAGGAATGTAGTGTATACAAACCTGTATTGATGATGTATTCACAGGTGAAGTGAGAACGTAGTGTATACAAACCTGTACTGATGATGTATTCACAGGTGAAGGAGGAATGTAGTGTAAACAAACCTGTATTGATGATGTATTCACAGGTGAAGGAGGAACGTAGTGTATACAAACCTGTACTGATGATGTATTCACAGGTGAAGGAGGAATGTAGTGTAAACAAACCTGTATTGATGATGTATTCACAGGTGAAGGAGGAACGTAGTGTATACAAACCTGTGCTGATGATGTATTCACAGGTGAAGGAGGAATGTAGTGTATTCAAACCTGTATTGATGATGTATTCACAGGTGAAGTGAGAACGTAGTGTATACAAACCTGTACTGATGATGTATTCACAGGTGAAGGAGGAATGTAGTGTAAACAAACCTGTATTGATGATGTATTCACAGGTGAAGTGAGAACGTAGCCTATACAAACCTGTACTGATGATGTATTCACAGGTGAAGGAGGAATGTAGTGTATACGAGTGAGTGAGTATGACCGTTTTTAGCAATATTCCAGCCATTTCACGGTGGGAAACACCAGAAATTGGCTTCACACATTCGAGTGTACACAAACCTGTATTGACGATGGACACGAGGAGATAACAGAATTCCACACACAGTCACGGTTTCAACAGAGACAAAGACAACAATTTCTAACAGCTTATTTGTTTGGCACTTACCTCGCTAAGTTCCTCGAAGGAGTTGTTGAGCTCCTTCTCCCTGTCCCTGGCCTTGGCTATCTCCTCCTGCAGTTGCTTCTGCTTCTCCTCCCCCTCACGCAGCGACGTCCGCAACTCCTCCACACTCTTCTCCAGGGCCCCAGACTTGCCGGTCAGGGTCTGTAGGCAGAGGGCGTTCATACTCAGTCACTGGCATTCATACTCAGTCACTGGCGTTCATACTCAGCCACTGGCATTCATAGTCTGTCACTGGTGTTCATAGTCAGTCACTGGCATTCATACTCAGTCACTGGCGTACATAGTCAGTCACTGGCATTCATACTCAGTCACTGGCGTTCATAGTCAGTCACTGGCATTCATACTCAGTCACTGGCGTTCACAGTCAGTCACTGGCATTCATACTCAGTCACTGGCGTTCATAGTCAGTCACTGGCATTCATACTCAGTCACTGGCATTCATACTCAGTCACTGGCGTTCATAGTCAGTCACTGACATTCATAGTCAGTCACTGGCATTTATAGTCTGTCACTGGTTTTCAGAGTCTGTGACTGATGTTCATAGTCTCTCATAGATGTTACTAGTCTGTCAGTGGTGTTCATAGTCTGTCAGTGGTGTTCATAGTCTGTCACTGGCGTTCATAGTCAGTCACTGATGTTCATAGTCTGTCTTAGATGTTCAGTCTGTCAGTGGTGTTCATAGTCTGTCACTGGTGTTCATAGTCTGTCATTGGTGTTCATAGTCTGTCAGTGGTGTTCATAGTCTGTCACTGGTGTTCATAGTCTGTCAGTGGTGTTCATAGTCTGTCACTGGTGTTCATAGTCTGTCACTGGCGTTCATCGTCAGTCACTGATGTTCATAGTCTGTCTTAGATGTTCAGTCTGTCAGTGGTGTTCATAGTCTGTCACTGGTGTTCATAGTCTGTCATTGGTGTTCATAGTCTGTCAGTGGTGTTCATAGTCTGTCACTGGTGTTCATAGTCTGTCAGTGGTGTTCATAGTCTGTCACTGGTGTTCATAGTCTGTCATTGGTGTTCACAGTCTGTCAGTGGTGTTCATAGTCTGTCAGTGGTGTGCATAGTCACAGTGGTTTGCATAGTCTGTCACTGGTGTTCATAGTCTGTCAGTGGTGTTCATAGTCTGTCAGTGGTGTGCATAGTCTGTCACTGGTGTTCATAGTCTGTCACTGGTGTTCATAGTCTGTCACTGGTGTTCATAGTCTGTCACTGGTGTGCATTGTCTGTCACTGGTGTTCATAGTCTGTCACTGGTGTTCATAGTCTGTCAGTGGTGTTCATAGTCTGTCAGTGGTGTTCATAGTCTGTCAGTGGTGTTCATAGTCTGTCACAGGCATTCACTGTCTCTCACAGGTGTTCATGTAGTCTCGCATATTATCATTTACTATGGAAACAGGAACTTATACAGGTCTCCATTTACACCAGCTGCCTCATGTTTTTGAAAAGCTATCAAGTGGCAGGACACAAATATGCATGCACATTCTAACCAGCACACATTCTTCAGCCAATTCATCCACAGCACCTATGACAGCCCTGAGTCTACACTATGACTGTAGTTCCTCCCACCTGTACTTGTGTCTGCAGGTCGGTGTTCTCCCTCTCCTTGCTGGCCACACTCTCCTGCATGTCCTTCTGTACACTGGTCTTCTCAGTAATCTGAACACACAAACACAGGTCAACATGTCGGTATACAACCAACACAGGTCAACATGCCGGAGTACAACCAACACAGGTCAACAGGATGGAATACAACCAACAAAGGTCAACATTTCGGAATACAACCAACACAGGTCAACATGTCGGTATACAACCAACACAAGTCAACATGTTGGAATACAACCAACACAGGTCAACATGACAGAATACAACCAACACAGGTCAACAGGTCAGAATACAACCAACACAGGTCAACATGTCAGAATACAACCAACACAGGTCAACAGGTCGGAATACAACCAACACAAGTCAACATGTCAGAATACAACCAACACAGGTCAACAGGTCGGAATACAACCAACACAGGTCAACATGTCGGAATATAACCAACACAGGTCAACATGTCGGAATACAACCAACACAGGTCAACATGTCGGTATACAACCAACACAGGTCAACAGGTTGGAATACAACCAACACAGGTCAACATGTCGGTATACAACCAACACAGGTCAACATGTCGGAATACAACCAACACAGGTCAAGAGGTCGGAATACAACCAACACAGGTCAACAGGTTGGAATACAACCAACACAGGTCAACATGTCGGAATACAACCAACACAGGTCAACAGGTCGGAATACAACCAACACAGGTCAACATGTCGGAATACAACCAACACAGGTCAACATTTCGGAATACAACCAACACAGGTCAACATGTCGGTATACAACCAACACAGGTCAACAGGTCAGAATACAACCAACACAGGTCAACAGGTCGGAATACAACCAACACAAATCAACATTTCGGAATACAACCAACACAGGTCAACATTTCGGAATACAACCAACACAGGTCAACATGTCAGAATACAACCAACACAGGTCAACATGTCGGAATGCAACCAACACAGGTCAACATGTCAGAATACAACCAACACAGGTCAACATGTCAGAATACAACCAACACAGGTCAACATGTCGGAATACAACCAACACAGGTCAACATGTCGGAATACAACCAACACAGGTCAAAATGTCCGAATACAACCAACACAGGTAAAAAAGTCAGAATACAAACAACACAGGTCATCATAGATATAGACCAATGCATGTAACACTGACAAGTGAATAGACCAATACATGTAACACTGACAAGTGAATAGACTATACTAGACTAAACTTTGAATTTTAACTATTTTTAAAACAATTAAATTTAGTTTGTTTGATGTGGGAGATCTTGTTATGTGTATGTGTGTGTTTATTGTGCTCGCCCACTGAGATATCATGCTGCAGTTTAACATGGATACCCTACATTTAAATGACTCCGAGCTGACCAGTCCTTATTTTATCCCCTTAAAAAAAACGAGTGAAAGGCAGAGTAACTAGAAGTATCATTTCTTTTGGAATGATGTGTTCAGGGATCGAACCACCAAACTTCTGCTCTCCGGGCAGACGCTCTATCCAATAGACCACGGTGGCAGTGCATTTCTCTTTAAGTATATTGTCCTGTATGTCTCTGCAACGCTTTATCACAGAACTTGTTTCAAGGTCATTCTATTCATCATGGTCTTTCGCAATTAATAGTTGTACATTAATTTTTGGATTCAAAAAGTCAGATGATTACCATCACTTGGGCACAGATGCCGATAACTTGGTCTGACCTGTACAGCAATAAGTGTCTCACCTATAGAACAATGAGGTCTGACCTATGGAACAATGATTTTCTCACCTATAGAACAATGAGGTCTGACCTGTGGAACAATGAGTGTCTCACCTATAGACAATGAGGTCTGACCTGTGGAACAATGAGTGTCTCACCTATAGACAATGAGGTCTGACCTGTGGAACAATGAGGTCTGACCTTTGGAACAATGATTTTCTCACCTATAGAACAATTAGGTCTGACCTGTGGAACAATGAGTTCCTCACCTACAGAACAATGAGTGTCTGACCGGTAGAACAATGAGGTCTGACCTGTGGAACAATGAGTGTCTCACCTATAGAACAATGAGGTCTGACCTTTGGAACAATGATTTTCTCACCTATAGATTAATTAGGTCTGACCTGTGGAACAATGAGTTCCTCATCTATAGAACAATGAGTGTCTGACCGGTAGAACAATGAGGTCTGACCTTTGGAACAATGAGTGTCTCATCTATAGAACAATGAGTGTCTGACCTGTGGAACAATGAGTGTCTCATCTATAGAACAATGAGGTCTGACCTGTGGAACAATGAGTGTCTCACCTATAGAACAATGAGGTCTGACCTGTGGAACAATGAGTGTCTCACCTATAGACAATGAGGTCTGACCTGTGGAACAATGAGGTCTGACCTTTGGAACAATGATTTTCTCACCTATAGAACAATTAGGTCTGACCTGTGGAACAATGAGTTCCTCACCTACAGAACAATGAGTGTCTGACCGGTAGAACAATGAGGTCTGACCTGTGGAACAATGAGTGTCTCACCTATAGAACAATGAGGTCTGACCTTTGGAACAATGATTTTCTCACCTATAGATTAATTAGGTCTGACCTGTGGAACAATGAGTTCCTCACCTATAGAACAATGAGTGTCTGACCGGTAGAACAATGAGGTCTGACCTGTGGAACAATGAGTGTCTCATCTATAGAACAATGAGTGTCTGACCTGTGGAACAATGAGTGTCTCATCTATAGAACAATGAGGTCTGACCTGTGGAACAATGAGTGTCTCATCTATAGAACAATGAGGTCTGACCTGTGGAACAATGAGTGTCTCACCTATAGAACAATGAGGTCTGACCTGTGGAACAATGAGTGTCTCACCTATAGAACAATGAGGTCTGACCTGTGGAACAATGAGTGTCTCACCTATAGAACAATGAGGTCTGACCTGTGGAACAATGAGTGTCTGACCTATAGAACAATGAGGTCTGACCTGTGGAACAATGAGGTCTGACCTATAGAACAATGAGTTCCTCACCTATAGAACAATGAGGTCTGACCTGTTGAACAATGAGTGTCTGACCTGTATGTTGAGCTGGTTCTTTAGTTCAGTCAGCTGCCTCTGGAGATCTGTCTTCACACCATCAAGCTCTGTGCAACTACTGTCCAGATCACTGATCTATAAAATGGAAAGCAAATTTGAGAAAAACAGTGACATTTCCTATGCAAAAATATAACAATTAGGAAATATTTTAATCTTTTCAAAAATGACAAGGCAGGGAATTTATTTTGAATATTTTTCTCGCCACTCTGCAACAAGCCATGAAAGTTACAGACATAAGCATGTGGTGCTAGCCATACCACATGGCCAGGATGACAGGCTCAGGCAAAACGAGAATAAAAATCTTTCAGTTTTATGATCATCATTAATTGATCATCAAATGTTTTTTGTAACAAATGATTCATTTTGTTATGTAAACCAATTTCCCAAACTACTCAATAGGGTTAGTTTGGTTCTTGAAACTACTTCTTGTCTACACAAATGCTCCAATATATGAGCACAAGATGATTCACTATAAATAAACTAGAAAAAAACAGTTACCTTCTTGTTCAAATCTACAATCTCAGATGTTTTTGCTTTCACAGATTCCTGAAAAGACAATAAGAAACCATCTAATACAACTTTTCAACTGTTTCCAAAAGACGCTAGTGGAGCACAGCCATGAGAAGGAATGGACTGACTGACTCAGGCTTAAGTCCACATCAGTAGCAATGATACACAGCATCCAGGAGCATCATCAGTGGGTGTCACAGACTGCAGCCAGCAGCTCCAGGAATAGACTGCAGCCAGGAACACCAGGAATGGGTGTCGCAGACTGCAGCCAGGAGCACCAGGAATGGGGGTCACAGACTGCAGCCAGCAGCTCCAGGAATGGGTGTCGCAGACTGCAGCCAGGAGCACTAGGAATGGGTGTCGCAGACTGCAGCCAGGAGCACCAGGAATGGGTGTTGCAGACTGCAGCCAGCAGCTCCAGGAATGGGTGTTGCAGACTGCAGCCAGGAGCACCAGGAATGGGTGTCGCAGACTGCAGCCAGGAGCACCAGGAATGGGTGTTGCAGACTGCAGCCAGCAGCTCCAGGAATGGGTGTCGCAGACTGCAGCCAGGAACACCAGGAATGGGTGTTGCAGACTGCAGCCAGCAGCTCCAGGAATGGGTGTCGCAGACTGCAGCCAGGAGCACCAGGAATGGGTGTTGCAGACTGCAGCCAGCAGCTCCAGGAATGGGTGTCGCAGACTGCAGCCAGGAGCTCCAGGAATGGGTGTTGCAGACTGCAGCCAGCAGCTCCAGGAATGAGTCTCGCAGACTGCAGCCAGCAGCTCCAGGAATGGGTGTCGCAGACTGCAGCCAGGAGCTCCAGGAATGGGTGTCGCAGACTGCAGCCAGGAGCACTAGGAATGGGTGTCGCAGACTGCAGCCAGGAGCACCAGGAATGGGTGTCGCAGACTGCAGCCAGGAGCACCAGGAATGGGTGTTGCAGACTGCAGCCAGGAGCACCAGGAATGGGTGTCGCAGACTGCAGCCAGGAGCACCAGGAATGGGTGTCGCAGACTGCAGCCAGGAACACCAGGAATGGGGGTCGCAGTCTACAGCCAGGAACACCAGGAATGTGTGTCGCAGACTGCAGCCAGCAGCTCCAGGAATGGGTGTCGCAGTCTACAGCCAGGAACAACAGGAATGGGTGTCGCAGTCTACAGCCAGGAACACCAGGAATGGGGGTCGCAGTCTACAGCCAGGAACACCAGGAATGGGTCTCGCAGACTGCAGCCAGAAGCACTAGGAATTGGTGTCGCAGACTGCAGCCAGGAGCACCAGGAATGGGTGTTGCAGACTGCAGCCAGAAGCACCAGGAATGGGTCTGGCAGACTGCAGCCAGAAGCACCAGGAATGGGTCTGGCAGACTGCAGCCAGGAGCACCAGGAATGGGTCTGGCAGACTGCAGCCAGAAGCACCAGGAATGGGTCTGGCAGACTGCAGCCAGAAGCACCAGGAATGGGTCTGGCAGACTGCAGCCAGAAGCACTAGGAATTGGTGTCGCAGACTGCAGCCAGGAGCACCAGGAATGGGTGTTGCAGACTGCAGCCAGCAGCTCCAGGAATGAGTCTCGCAGACTGCAGCCAGCAGCTCCAGGAATGGGTGTCGCAGACTGCAGCCAGGAGCACTAGGAATGGGTGTTGCAGACTGCAGCCAGCAGCTCCAGGAATGGGTGTCGCAGACTGCAGCCAGGAGCACTAGGAATGGGTGTTGCAGACTGCAGCCAGGAGCACCAGGAATGGGTGTCGCAGACTGCAGCCAGGAGCACCAGGAATGGGTGTTGCAGACTGCAGCCAGGAGCACCAGGAATGGGTGTCGCAGACTGCAGCCAGGAGCACCAGGAATGGGTGTCGCAGACTGCAGCCAGGAACACCAGGAATGGGGGTCGCAGTCTACAGCCAGGAACACCAGGAATGTGTGTCGCAGACTGCAGCCAGCAGCTCCAGGAATGGGTGTCGCAGTCTACAGCCAGGAACAACAGGAATGGGTGTCGCAGTCTACAGCCAGGAACACCAGGAATGGGGGTCGCAGTCTACAGCCAGGAACACCAGGAATGGGTCTCGCAGACTGCAGCCAGAAGCACTAGGAATTGGTGTCGCAGACTGCAGCCAGGAGCACCAGGAATGGGTGTTGCAGACTGCAGCCAGAAGCACCAGGAATGGGTCTGGCAGACTGCAGCCAGAAGCACCAGGAATGGGTCTGGCAGACTGCAGCCAGGAGCACCAGGAATGGGTGTTGCAGACTGCAGCCAGGAGCACCAGGAATGGGTGTCGCAGACTGCAGCCAGGAACACCAGGAATGTGTGTCACAGACTGCAGCCAGAAGCACCAGGAATGAGTGTTGCAGACTGCAGCCAGGAGCTCCAGGAATGGGTGTCGCAGACTGCAGCCAGAAGCACTAGGAATTGGTGTCGCAGACTGCAGCCAGAAGCACCAGGAATGGGTCTCGCAGACTGCAGCCAGGAACACCAGGAATGTGTGTCACAGACTGCAGCCAGAAGCACCAGGAATGTGTGTCACAGACTGCAGCCAGAAGCACCAGGAATGTGTCTCGCAGACTGCAGCCAGAAGCACCAGGAATGGGTGTCGCAGACTGCAGCCAGAAGCACTAGGAATGGGTCTCGCAGACTGCAGCCAGGAACACCAGGAATGTGTGTCACAGACTGCAGCCAGAAGCACTAGGAATGGGTGTCGCAGACTGCAGCCAGGAGCTCAAGGAATGGGTGTCACAGACTGCACCCACGTGCAGCAATGTGGGAATCAAACCTGGGTCTTGAGCAAACAGTTCAACCACAGTAACACTGAACAGTCAAAAACAAAAAAGATTTTATGCCACCACAGACATATCATAAAAAATAGACCCAATTTCAATAGCTCCAAAAATTATAAGTAAGAACGGTTTTACGTCGCTTTAGCAATATTCCAGCAAATATCACAGTGGAGAAACCAGAAATTGGCTTTGTACCTTTGTGGGAATCAAACCTGGGCCTTCAAATGCTTTAACCACTAGGCTACCCCAATGCCCCGATAAAATTTATGAACATTTATTTCAAGTTTATTTCCAATTTGTATCATGCCCCACCTGCTCCACTCCCAGCAGTTCCTCCATGGTGGACAGTTTCAGCTTGAACTCTTCAGCTTTTTGTTGATTTTCTGTCTTCAAACTGCCAACATCTGCCTCTTTCTGTGCCTGAAAACATTAATAGTTTAGTGATGTATTCCCCATCAAACAGCTTTGTCTTTCTGAGGCAATTGCTTAAAGCTCTCAACGCTACTGTCGAACCAGTTCGACAGAGTCTGTCACTACCTGTGTTGCTACTGTCGAACCAGTTCGACAGGCGAATAGCATAAGGACACCCACAAACAAAACTCGCCATATCTATTTACCAAGAAGGCTTTGCGTTACATTTAAATTACGTATGGCATGCATAAATGCTCAGCTTGCTCAGTATCAAAACTTTCAGTAGTGTATTTACCTCAAAAAGAAAATATCACGAGTTTAAAAAGTTTCAGCCAAACATAGTAATGTGTATTTTTCTATCAGGAATAAATGTGCAAAATATTTCTTCAATTGGCCCTTGTATAATGAAGCACCAACTGTTTGAAATCACCCACCCTCTTTACAGCGCCTTATGCTAAAATTAATCCAGCAGGCATGGCTAAGAAGTGTGAAAACAATTCAGTAGGCTAAAGGTTAAGGACTTAGAAACATAGTTTAGGCACTTTGGGCAGTAAGCTTCTTTTCGCTTTCACAACGAAGAACGCTTTAGGATTTCATTTTTCTCCAAGAACTAGGAGCTGTTGACATGGGTAGTGGCTGAGAATCACACCTAATTTTTGTACTTATAAGACAGGGGAAATATTACACGCTTGTGCACATGCCTGAAGACAATTTTTGAAAGTTGGCAGTATGTTATCATTACTCTTTTGTAACCATAGGTGTCTGCATGGTCTGTAGTGTCAAAATTAATGATAATGCATGCTTTTATACTGTGAATGAACAGTAAAATATTCCACACAAAAAACGACAAAAATACCAAGTGATTACTTTTCTGAGAAAAATTTCCCATAGAATATCCTGAGAAACTATCCAAATTTAGGACCAGAAATGACAAAAACAATTCTGTCAAAAAAGAATTGGCACATTTTTTAGTTGGACTGTCCGTTCATCTTGATTTGTGAGTGCGTGTATGTGGCTTTACACTGCTTTAAGCAATATTCCAGCAATATCACAGCAGGGTAACATCAGAAATGGGCTTCACCAATTGTACCCATGCGGGCAATTGAACCCAGGCCTTCGGCGTGACGAGTGAACACTTTAACCACAAGGCTACCCCTCTGCCACTGACCCACGCTTGCTGTAAAAAGCAATCCCGTTTGTCGTAAGAGGTGACTAACGGGATCGGGTGGTCAGGCTCGCTGACTTGGTTGATGCATGTCATTGATCCCAATTGCGTGGATTGATGCTCAGGATGTCAATCACTGGATTGTCTGGTCCAGACTTGATTATTTACAGACCGCCGCTCTCTGCCACTGTTTGCGAGAGGAGTGACAAAGTAACTGACTACACTGCTCACCTTGAGAGTCTCCAGATTCTGCCTAAGGGCAGATAACTCCTGCTCCTTTGTCTTCAGCTGGCCGAGATGATCTGCTAGCTCGGTGGAAACGTCAATCTTTTCTTCTCTTACTTTGTTCCTCTCCTCGGTCAGAGCAGTTACCTAGCAACAGCATGATGAGTGAATGAGTGGATATGGTTTTATGGCATTTTTAGCAATATTCCAGCACTATCAAGGCAGGGGGATTACAGGAATGGGCTTCACACAACAGTACCCATGTGGGGAAGCCAACTCTGGCCTTCAGTGCAACAAGCGAATACTTTAACCACTACGCTACTCCACTGCCCTTTTAGAGTCATAGAGGTGAGGTGAGGTGAAATGGGGTTTAACATTGCATTGAAGATTATTGCACTTATATAGCAACGTGCATGCATGTGTGTGTGTGTGTGTGGCTGCTTGTACTAGCCCGGACTAATGCCGATTTATAGTGCTAGCTCACTGAGATACATACCATGCCGCAGTTTAACATGAATACCCCACTCAGACACAGTATACTGACTCCGAGCCGACCAGTCCTTGTTTTAGCCCCTTAATACCGAGCGCCAGACGGGGTAACAACAAGTACCATCTTTTAACGTTTTTTGGAATGATGCGGCCGGGGATCGAACCCCGGACCTTCCGCTCTCCGGGAGGAGGCTCTACCACTAGACCACGAAGGCTGTCTAGAGTCACAGAGAATCCTCACACTGCGACATAACAAGAAAGTCACAAAGGAGTCCCCTGTGGTCACAACTCCAGATGACATTGGAGACAACAGTATTTCAATACAGAGCAACACGGAAATACAACTGAGGGTTGGAAACTACTCCTGGAGATTCAGTTAATCTGTTTTTCACATTTTATTTTTTCAATTTTCATTTTTATACGTTCAACTAACAGACAACTGGCCACATGTTAAGCCATCATTAGCACAGTACCTGCTTCTGCAAGTCCTCTCTAGACTTGTTAGAACTAGCAGAGTCTTTCTCCATCTTCTTTTGAAGTTTAGATACTTCTTTGCTGTGAGCTGCTTTTGCCTGTAAAAGGAAAGGTTCAGATCTTAAATGCAACAGGCAACAGAGTAAGTTGTTAAAACATTTGTTTAATAAAAATCAGCCAAGTCATATCCAATGACAACAAAAGAATGAAATTCTGATAAGATCCCTTGATAACTGCCTCATTTTCCTATTGTTTACCAAAACATTTTCTTCCTGTAGAATGCTCAGTGTTCAAAAGGAGATGCTCATTTCTGGTTTATGTGGAACACAATCAATCGAATCATTGCAATGCAGTGTTGATGCAAACTACAGGGCTCCAGGTCATGTTGTAGCCGTTTACTCCCATGTTATCACTGGTCTCCCTTGAGTCCAGTCTATTGGGTATTTAACTCCCTAATGAGTTGACACATACATGTATTTGAATAATTCTGACAAAGTAGAGACAATTTATGGATAAAAACTTCGTGATTTACTGTAAAAGCCATGTTTCGGTATAGCTCCTATACCCTTGTCAAGCAAATAATACTGCTCATGTGCTGCCCTAGGTGTGCAACATGTCATATAATCTCACAAATGCGACATACCGTATTCGACGTAATAAGCGCCCCGCTCTAATAAGCGCCCACGGCGATATTTGCTGATATATTGGCTAGTAAACAATCCTACTTAGCACCCCTTCCGATTGATCAATGTACACAAGACTTTTTTATTCGCGCATATGCACACTCGTGTGTTATATGCACCTTTAATTATGGGCAATTAAATTCTGGAAAAATATATCTGTCGTACATAAACATTTCAGGCTGTCACCATAAACCACGAAATTTATCTTTCAACTCTCTCTTTTTCCACCAAAATAATATTCTAATAAGAGCCCCCTATTTCTAATTTTGAGAGCGCCCTGGGCGCTTATTACGTCGAATACGGTAATTGTCTGCAGGTCATCGGAAACAAAATATATGTAAAGAAAAATAGGTACACACAAGTTGGATAGGTTACATGGGGTAATTACACTGTTCCTATACTACTGGATTATTGACAATCTCCATGCACATTCATACACAGGCAACTCAACATTAATTGGGTGATTGTGACATATTTTGCAGATTTTACGCGATATGCCGCTTACCTGGAGCTCTGAAAATGGCCCATGTAAAAAGATACTTGAAGAATAATTTACAGATTGTGATCACCTCATCATACAGTGCCCACCCCCCCATCATGTAATCCTGACTAGAAAAAAAAATCACCCTTGATGTATTGCATGTCATGTATGTTTGTTTGTTTAATGCCACACTCAGCAATAATCCAGCTGGATGACCACAGCCCATAAATAATCCACAGACAAATCAGTGATTGATATTAGGAAGAAACAATCCACACCATCGGGATATGATGACAAGCTATCAAGTCACTGAGTCTGACTATCCACTCCATTTAATCACCTCCTACAACTAACCCAGGAATATTTGCCGAGCTCACAGGATCGGGTGGTCAGGCTTGCTGACTTGGTTGATGCATATCATTGTATCCCAATTGCATGGATCGATGCTCATGATGTCAATCACTGGATTGTCTGGTCTAGACTCGATTATTTACAGACCGCCGTTACATAGCTGGAACATTGCTGAGTGCGGCGTTAAACAACAAACAAACAAACAAACCTTACAGTTTCAAGGTCTTTTTCTGTCTGTAGTTTCTGGCTTGTGACCTCCTCCAGCGACTTCTTTGTCTTGGCCAGGCTGTCCTCCACTCCCTTCTTATCCTTCAGTAAACCAGCCAGGAAGTCTTTCTGCAAGGAAATGCTGGGACATTCCAACATGCTATAGGACTGTGCAGGTCTCCCTAATCTGCTGGTGTGACAGTAAGAACACCACGCCTATGGGCGTCCAAGGAACAAGGGTGCGTGAGTGAGTGAGTTGGGTTTAACACCACTTTTAACATTATTCAGTTATATCAGGGCGTGTCAGCTTATTCTGGGAGGAAAGCTCGAAGTGAAGCAGGTCTCAGACGTTTACCATTTCGGTGAAACCCAAGTGCTGACAAACCTAGAAACATAATCGAGGCGAACCGGGATTCGAACCCACAATCCCGAACCCACAGTCATAGGTTTCTGGCATGTCTAAGGGATGCAACTCTGCACAGCGAATCGCAGATCCACCCGTGCCCCCAGGCACAAGGAACTTGAGGCCTGTGTGTGTTGCGGATGAAGCCAATTTAGGGTTTTGTTAAATCAATAAATATGAAACATTACCAGTGATTGACCCGTCATACTGTTAATATCTTATGAAATCAAACTACAGTGGAATAGAAAGAAAAGTGACAATTGATAAAATAACTACATGAACTTGAGATTATGTTTCAGATTTCACATGTATTTGATCATGTCGACAACAGCTAATTACACCATTAGACCCTAACATGTAGGTCAGCATTTTTTCTTCTTAAAAGTGGGAAACTCACTGAGGTTTGTGTTTTGTGTTGCTCTTAATGACAATGTATTCCTTTCACAGCAGGATTAGAAAAAATTATAAACACTCATAAAACTCTTGGTAGATCAATAAATCACATATCACCGAGATCAATAAATCTCAAATCACCAAGGGAGATCAATAAATCTCAAATCACCAAGGGAGATCAATAAAACTCATATCACCAAGGGAGATCAATAAATCTCAAATCACCAAGGAGATCAATGAATCTCAAATCACCAAGGGAGAACAATAAATCTCAAATCACCAAGGGAGATCTATAAATCTCAAATCACCAAGGGAGATCAATACATCTCAAATCATCAAGGGAGATCAATAAATCTCAAATCACCAAGGGAGATCAATAAATCTCAAATCACCAAGGGAGATCAATAAATCTCAAATCACCAAGGGAGATCAATAAATCTCATATCACCAAGGGTGATCAATAAATCTCAAATCACCAAGGGAGATCAATAAATCTCAAATCACCAAGGGAGATCAATAAATCTCATATCACCAAGGGTGATCAATAAATCTCAAATCACCAAGGGAGATCAATAAATCTCAAATCACCGAGGGAGATCCATAAATCTCTAATAATGAGATTTAAAGATCTCATTTGGTGAGATGAGATTTATTGATCTCACTTAATTACATGAGATTTATTAATCTACCAAGAGATATATGAGTGTGCAAGGAGTATGTTGTCATAATACAGATCTGGCCATTACGCCCCCTGTGATATGGATGTCTCCAAGTCTCCAAGATGTCTCTATCGCACATGCAATATTCCTCATTTCACTGACAGGTATATGATAAATTGAAATAGCAACATGTCCCTCCTATCAGCAAATCCCTCCTATCAGCAATTCCTATGGACAATAAGAAATGATTTAATTGTGGCCCTCCGATAACTTGTGCCCATGACCCACCTTCTCCTTGAGCTCCCTCTCCAGGGCGTTGTTAGTTTTGTTGCTGTGGGTCAGTTTCTCCCCTTCCTCCTTCAGGTGCCCCTCCTGCTCCACGATCTTGTCCTTCTTCGCTGACAACTCCGCCTGAGTCTGCAAATAGTCAGTCACACATCTGTCACAACACGGAAGACTCACGGGTGGCACAATTGGTTGTGTTGCTTCCCTTAGCCATGCCAGAATTGTATGATTGTGGGTTTTAATCCCCAACTCCTCGGATCGCATTTCTCGGTTGATCAGCACCATAGGCGTGCTCATTGCTTTCACTAAAGTAGTTAAGACCTGTATCACCTTGGGCTGACACTTCAAGTTGACATGCCGTGATGTAACTGAATACAGTTCAAAGTTGGGATAAACTAAACTCTCTCACTCATAGATTGGTCAGATCAGTCAAATGAACTGTGTTGTAGCTTTGAGTTTAGTCTGAGTTTTACTCCCCTGATAATGTCTGTGATTCACCTAAACTTCCAGGAAAGTTAAAAGTACATGTAAATATAATGCCGTTTGATTTTCAAGCCCTGGTAGCGAGATATAGGAGGACTACATGCAAACAAACTACAATTAGTTAGATGTGCAACTCAAACAAAACGACTACCAAACTCAAATTGCTTTTGGTTTACAAAATGCACCTGTCCTTTCTTAAAGAGCTGTATCCTTGCTTGAGCAATATCATGGCAGGCTGTTACTGAGAGAAACCAGTGGTAGATGGCATGAGCATCCATACAATGATGAAGATTAGAAATTGCAACAATGTAATTCCCATATCAGTAGATTCATATGACCAAGAAAGGTGTACTAAGTAATTAATGTGTAGAAGATGAATTAACCCATTAATCTCCATATCACAATCACTATATACAGGATAGACACAGCTTGTATCTAATCAGTCATGAATTACATCCACCCATCACTTTGTGTTACAGTTTCTGTGTGTATGATCCCGACCTACCTGTTCCAGTGTGTTCCGTAGCGTGGCCAGCTCTGTGTTACAGTGTCTGTGTGTATGATCCCGACCTACCTGTTCCAGTGTGTTCCGTAGCGTGGCGAGCTCTGTGTTACAGTTTCTGTGTGTATGATCCAGACCTACCTGTTCCAGCGTGTTCCGTAGCGTGGCGAACTCTGTGTTACAGTGTCTGTGTGTATGATCCCGACCTACCTGTTCCAGCGTGTTCCGTAGAGTGGCCAGCTCTGTGTTACAGTGTCTGTGTGTATGATCCCGACCTACCTGTTCCAGTGTGTTCCGTAGCGTGGCCAGCTCTGTGTTACAGTGTCTGTGTGTATGATCCCGACCTACCTGTTCCAGTGTGTTCCGCAGCGTGGCGAACTCTGTGTTACAGTGTCTGTGTGTATGATCCCGACCTACCTGTTCCAGCGTGTTCTGTAGGGAGGCGAGCTCTGTGTTACAGTGTCTGTGTGTATGATCCCGACCTACCTGATCCAGTGTGTTCCGTAGCGTGGCGAGCTCTGTGTTACAGTGTCTGTGTGTATGATCCCGACCTACCTGATCCAGCGTGTTCCGTAGAGAGGCGAGCTCTGTGTTACAGTGTCTGTGTGTATGATCCCGACCGACCTGTTCCAGTGTGTTCCGTAGAGAGGCGAACTCTGTGTTACAGTTTCTGTGTGTATGATCCCGACCTACCTGTTCCAGTGTGTTCCGTAGAGAGGCGAACTCTGTGTTACAGTGTCTGTGTGTATGATCCCGACCTACCTGTTCCAGCGTGTTCCGTAGCGTGGCGAGCTCTGTGTTACAGTGTCTGTGTGTATGATCCCGACCTACCTGTTCTAGCGTGTTCCGTAGTGTGGCGAGCTCTGTGTTCCGTTCCTCCACAACATTCTGGGCAGTCTTGATGTGGTTCTCAAGGTCGGTCCTCTGACTCGTCTTGGCGGCCTCTGCAGCCAACAGCAGCTCATTCTACAACACAACAAAACCAAAAGTAGCTCAATATACATAAAAAACAGAACTGTCTCCAACTCTATAGAGAATACTAAATTCATTCTCATTCGATACTATTCATTCTCGTTTGGGGTCAACCTTGTACGACGCCTGTGACGTACAGATCTAGTATCTTACCACCTGTATCTTCACCATGTGGGTAATAAAAGAGGTTAGTTTCCCCTAGTGTGAGTCTATCAGTTTCCCCTAGAGTGATTCTATCAGTTTCCCATCATGTAAGGCTATCAGTACCCATAGTGTGAGTCTATCAGTACCCCTAGTGTGAGTCTATCAGTACCCCTAGTGTGAGTCTATCAGTACCCATAATGTGAGTCTATCAGTACCCCTAGTGTGAGTCTATCAGTTTCCCATCATGTAAGGCTATCAGTACCAATAGTGTAAGTCTATCAGGACCCCTAGTGTAAGTCTATCAGTACCCCTAGTGTAAGTCTATCAGTACCCCTAGAGTGAATCTATCAGTACCCCTAGTGTAAGTCTATCAGTACCCCTAGTGTGAGTCTATCAGTACCCATAATGTGAATCTATCAGTACCCCTAGTGTGAGTCTATCAGTACCCCTAGTGTAAGTCTATCAGTACCCATAGTGTGAGTCTATCAGTACCCTTAGTGTGAGTCTATCAGTACCCCTAGTGTAAGTCTATCAGTACCCCTAGTGTAAGTCTATCAGTACCCCTAGTGTGAGTCTATCAGTACCCCTAGTGTAAGTCTATCAGTACCCATAATGTGAGTCTATCAGTACCCCTAGTGTGAGTCTATCAGTACCCCTAGTGTGAGTCTATCAGTACCCCTAGTGTGAGTCTATCAGTACCCATAATGTGAGTCTATCCCTACCCCTAGCGTGAGTCTATCAGTACCCCTAGTGTAAGTCTATCAGTACCCCTAGTGTAAGTCTATCAGTACCCCTAGTGTAAGTCTATCAGTACCCCTAGTGTGAGTCTATCAGTACCCCTAGTGTAAGTCTATCAGTACCCCTAGTGTAAGTCTATCAGTACCCCTAGTGTGAGTCTATCAGTACCCCTAGTGTAAGTCTATCAGTACCCCTAGTGTGAGTCTATCAGTTCCCCTAGTGTGGGTCTATCAGTTCCCCTAGTGTGAATCTATCAGTACCCATAGTGTGAGTCTATCAGTACCCATAGTGTAAGTCTATCAGTGCCCCTAGTGTGAGTCTATCAGTACCCCTAATGTGAGTCTATCAGTACCCCTAGTGTGAGTCTATCAGTACCCCTAGTGTGAGTCTATCAGTACCCCTAGTGTAAGTCTATCAGTACCCCTAGTGTGAATCTATCAGTACCAATAGTGTAAGTCTATGAGTACCCATAGTGTGAGTCTATCAGTACCCCTAGTTTGAGTCTATCAGTACCCATAGTGTAAGTCTATCAGTACCCCTAGTGTGAGTCTATCAGTACCCATAGTGTGAATCTATCAGTACCCATAGTGTGAATCTATCAGTACCAATAGTGTGAGTCTATGAGTACCCCTAGTGTGAATCTATCAGTACCCATAGTGTGAGTCTATCAGTACCCATAGTGTGAATCTATCAGTACCCATAGTGTGAGTCTATCAGTACCCATAGTGTGAATCTATCAGTACCCCTAGTGTGAGTCTATCAGTACCCATAGTGTGAATCTATCAGTACCCATAGTGTGAATGTATCAGTACCCATAGTGTGAGTCTATCAGTACCCATAGTGTGAATCTATCAGTACCCATAGTGTGAGTCTATCAGTACCCATAGTGTGAATCTATGAGTACCCCTAGTGTGAATATATCAGTACCCATAGTGTCAGTCTATCAGTACCCATAGTGTGAGTCTATCAGTACCCCTAGTGTGAGTCTATCAGTACCCCTACTGTGAGTCTATCAGTACCCATAGTGTGAATCTATCAGTACCCCTAGTGTCAGTCTATCAGTACCCCTAGTGTCAGTCTATCAGTACCCCTAGTGTCAGTCTATCAGTACCCCTAGTGTCAGTCTATCAGTACCCCTAGTGTCAGTCTATCAGTACCCCTAGTGTCAGTCTATCAGTACCCCTAGTCCCAACATGAAATGGCCGGCCCTAGTCCCACACAGATCCCCACCTTGGTCTTGAGATCAGCCTCTGTTTGCTGCAGCTTCTGCTGAGACGCATTCATCCTCTCCGTCCTCTCATCCACCGTCAACTGTAGCTTCTGACATTTGTCCTGCTCTGTCTGAAGCTGACCTTTCAACTCTGTCATTTGCTTATGAAGTGCTTCCTGTTTGCTTGAACTCTCCCCTGTTTGAGATTGCAGGTTTTCTTGGAGTTCTTTGATCTTCTCTTGCAGACTTGCCTTTATGATACAATTAAATACAAACACATATACAACATGTACAATATGCAGGGAAAATCAAACAATTCTAATTTGTTCACACTTTTCATTCTTACGCCTTCTCTACAGTCTTCATAAATAGCTGAGTGGAAGGTCTGGGGTTCAATCCTCGGCCGCGTCATACTAAAAGACGTTAAAAGATGGTACTTGTTGTTACCCTGTCTGGCGTTCGGTATCAAGGGGCTTAAACAAGGACTGGTTGGCTCGGAGTCAGAATACTGTGTCTGAGCGGGTTACTCAAGGTAAACTGTGGCATGGTATCTCAATTGGCAGTCTCAGTCCAGGCTAGTACAAGCAGCCACACACACACACACACACACGCATGCACGTCGCTATGTAAGTGCAATAATCTTGGACGCGACGTTAAACCCCATTTCACCTTATCTCACCTTAATAAACAGCTGATGCTGAGGCGGAGGAACACTTGTAATAACAACCATAAATATTCCATAGTAGTGGGGTGGTTAAGGCTAAAATTGTGCACTTTGGGTTAAAAGCACCAAACTTGGCACACTTATAGATTGAACCATTCCGAACATTTTTGGATATGGATCCACCTAAGCAGAGCCCCCTGGTGGTAGAAAATCCAAGATGGCCTTTTAATAGTAAAAGAAAGCAGAACCACTTTATCAGGCAAAAACATCAATATTGTAGAAACTAATATTTAACTAAAAATATAGTACACTGTATAAGAATTTTGTTGTTATTTTTTTGTTTAAGGCGATGTTCAGCAATATTCCAGCTATATGACGACAGCCTGTAAAAAAAAGAGTCTGGATCAGACAATCCAGTGACTGATATTATGAGCAAGAATACAGACTGTCCGGTACAATGACATGCGGTAACCAAGTCACCAAGCCTGACCCCTCCATCCATTTGGTCGCCTCTGATGACCAGCATAGGTTGCTAGGGACAAATTTAAGCCGGAATCCCCTCAGAATCCTAACAACTATGTCACCCATGGCTGTCCACTACTCACGTTTTCCTGCTTCAGCTGGTTCATGGCTTCACTCACTCCCTCACCAGCCTCAATCTGACAAAACCAGCAAGAACGACAAAACAATCATTAAAAACTCAATCGCTGACAGAATGACAAAATTAGGCCTTCCCTAATAGGCCATAACACTACAATATGGCATCAATTTGTGTAGATTTTCTCCCCAATAATTGCCTACGTAGCATAATTTCTTATCTCTTCATCTTTACAACATCCATTATGTACCAACCATTTGATATTCTGGGGGGTGGGGGGTGGGGGAGGGTTGACACGGCGGGAGAGAGATTGGGATATATAAAATTATATAATAATCAAACTATCGTTCCAGAAATTACTTTTATATTAAATTTATTGCTAGATACAACACATGGCCTGAAAAGAATGTGTTGTAAGAAATCGATAAAGAATGTTCTACTTCCCTGTATCGCCTTGAAGCAGTGACGAAAATGAAAAAAGTACCAAGCCTGCTCCCTACAGGGGTTACTTATTCCCAGCTGGAAATACTGGCAAAACCTCCATTGTTGACGGTTGAATAAGAATGAGTGGCAAGGTCCCATTTCATTACAGGGGGGAAGGGAATGGATTGGGAACAGGAAAATAATAAATAACACATGAACAATATGCACAGTAATGATACTCGTTGCACAGCTACTGACACACGCATGTTGCCCACAAAAAGCTTATACTCTGCATGAATAGTAAAAAATAAACTGGAAACCTCAGTTAACTTGTCCACAGCACGTACTGCTCCTGTGAGTTGAAACTGTGGATGTGCCAGAAACTTATTACCCTTTAACATGGTGCTACAATATTCTAGCTATATGACGGCCACCTGTAAATAATCAAATCTGAACCTGTCAATCCAGTGTTTGATATTACATGTATGAGCAACGATCCATGCTGTCAGGGTACATTGACATGCCATCAACCTAGTCACAGAGCCAGACCACCAAATCCATCAAGTCACATCCTACGACGACCACAGGTTGCTAGGGACCAATGGATTCAGTACCTGGTGGAACATGTTGATGTAAGGTGACAGTGGCTGACGTAACTGACCTTGGCAAAGAGGTCTCCCCTCTCCGTCTCGAGTCTCTGTACTCCCTCCTTCAGCTGCTGTAGCTGACCCTCAAGCTCCGCACACTGACTCTCTCTGAATGGTTAGCAGATTCATTTTCATAAACATTTGCTATCTTGACAATAACGTGCAGTCAAAAACTACATCAGGTGAACAAACAGGAGACAACACAATTAATCTATGAAAACAGTAAATTTTGTGACAAAAGAATTACTCGACATTATGACTTACAATTTCACTTTTATTTCCTGATACGGAAGACATTTTGTCATACACAAAGATCAACATCATTGCATGTAAATGTCTTACAAAATAAACCAGAAATAGCAATCAGCTGTACATTCATTTCAGATGTACAAGTGATTCAGTAAGAGATGCCCCGTATAACAACTCACAAGAATTCAAATGAAATGACAAAGAAATGTAAAACTATTATTGTACCAGGAATAAAATAACCTACTATCTTGTTATTTTAATAGCTGAATTTACCAGTGCAAGGTATTTTACAAAAAATATTTTTAGATGATATTTCCATGATTACATCAAGACTCTCACATGACAGATATCTAATGTAGTTTGGGACTAAACGTTCAATACGGCTCACATTTACAAAGAAACTAAATTTATCTCATTGAAATATTCCTGAACATAGGTCAATACTTGAATAAACCAAATGTTATGGTAATTGAATGCATGTCCGCAGTAGAAACTAACATTTTTTGTCCACTAGTCCTTATAATGATAACTTAGCAAACCCCTTATAAAGGGCAACTAGTCCTTATGATACCTTAACTATTGGGTAGTTTGATAAGGACTATAGGACTAGTGCATGTTGAGTTATCTAAAATCCATATCCTGTTTACAGACACTGAACCACAGTACTGATAATTATTTTTCCAGAACCATAAACTTACTGAGGTGAGGTGAGGTGAAATGGGGTTTAACGTCGCGTCCAAGATTATTGCACTTATATAGCGACGTGCATGCACGTGTGTGTGTGTGTGTGGCTGCTTGTACTAGTCCGGACTGATGCCGATTTATAGTGCTAGCACACTGAGATACCATGCCGCAGTTTAACATGAATACCCCACTCAGACACAGTATACTGACTCTGAGCCGACCAGTCCTTGTTTTAGCCCCTTAATGTCGAGCGCCAGACAGGGTAACAACAAGTACCATCTTTTAATGTCTTTTGGTATGACGCGGCCGGGGATCGAACCCCGGACCTTCTGCTCTCCGGGCGGACACTCTCCCACTAGACCACGGAGGCGGTCTAAACTTACTGTGATATCATCTTATAAGACATATGATTTGTTCTATTTGTTTGTAGATTATGGTGCTACATGATCGGGGCCTGTAAGTATTTGATTCTGGATTAGACGATCCAATGATTATCATTATGAGCAACGATCCAAGCTGTCTGGGTACGATAACAGTCAATCAACCAAGTCACTGAGTCTGACCCCACGATACATTAGTCGCCTCTTATGCCCAACAAAGGATGCTGAGGAACAATTTTAACCAGGAATCCACACTGGGAATAAACATATTTAATAAACTAAAGATAACAATGTACAGGTGGCCTACCTGGACTCTCCCCTCCTTGATTCCTCCTCCAGTTTAGCCTGGGTGTCTCTCAGCTCCCCCCGCATTTCGTCACACACATGCACCTGGGGGAGACAGACAGGGTCACATAAACATAGTGAGGGTTGTCATGTACTGTTCACAGTTTACTGTTACTGAGTGTCATCTGTGGCCCACTAGCAATCGTATTGTCACACAAAAATATTCACTTGAATATTAATCCTTGTACCTGGCAGTGAGTAATCCTGTATTTCTAAGGTTTTAAAAAACAAAAGAACTGGTTCTCAGGCAATGGCTTTTGAAAATATAGTGCGGGCGGGAGGTAGTTTTGGTGGTTTTTTTGCTTGTTCATACTAGTATGTAACCAAACAAACAGTTGTGTACCATCACCATGGAAACAACAACATAAACAAGCATACAAACTCCTATTGACGCATGACCATAACACGAAATGCGCAGTTAAGGGAAGTAACTGTGTGCTTTATTGGATCACATTGTTTTCAAGTATTAGGATTTTATTTTTTTTAAATATGGAAATAAAAACAAAAGATGCGGCAAACATTATGATGATGCGGGCAGTGCCTGAGAACCAAGACTATTATTTTTTTCAGCCTAAGATGTGTCATAACTGGGTGTGCACATGTATATCCACCCACAACCTCCAGGATTCATTCCAAGGTGAAAAAGATCTTGTAAAACTCCATACCTGCTGCTACCATGACCATTGACACATGTAATGCAATAGCCAACACCAAACAAAACCAGTGGTCAATATTGTGAGTACACCATCAGTGTCATGTTCCCAAAGCAAGAGTGACCACTAGCCTATATCAAAGTCTAGTTTTCACCATTGCCACTTTCAGCCTACTTTCCTTGGCTTGATCAGGGCGCCACCCTGTGTGGAACAAGAGTTGTGCGCCTTGTGTTCTTATTTCAAATGGCTTTACAATGACGACTTTCATAGCAGCCGATCTGGTCGATCTGTTTGTTTGTTGTTAAACGCCGCACTCAGCAACATTTCAGCCCACGTAATGGTAGTGACCGATTCCAACCTTGAATACGGACAGATGCCCCATTTATATGACAAGTACTGAATATAAAGCCAAACAGGCCTACCTCATCCTCGTACTGTTTGTGTACATGTGTTAGCTGCTGGTTGAGGTCGTTGATCTCCGACACCTTAGTCTCCACAGCTGCCTCCATCTGTAACACAGATGCTGCATATAGCCCAGACTTTCATGTAGAGGCTCCTCTATAACTAGCTATGATTGGGGGCACGGGTGGCCCAGTCGTCTAAGGCGCCGCAATTCGCTAGTGCAGAGTTGCGTCCCTTGGGCATGCCAGAAACCTATGATTGTGGGTTCGAATCCCGGTTCGCCCCGATTATGTTTCTAGTTTTGTCAGGACCATACCCGTGCTCATGGGTTTCACCGAAGTGGTCAACGTCTGAGACCTTCATCACTTCGGGCTTTCCTGCCACATTAACCTGACACGCCGCGATATAACTGGAATACTGTTAAAAGCGGCGTTAAACTCACTCACTCACTAGCTATGATTAACACACTGATGTACCCAGTGCAGGTATTAAGATTTATGCATTGAATGTCCATTACCCCCAGAGAATTAGAGGAGGATAATGTTTATAGAATAAATCAGAATAAAACAAGATAAATCTTTCAAAGTTCATCACCATCACAAAGGATATTGCCTCCAGGGAAACCTTTATGTGGAGGCTTGCTCAAAACATTTATTCTTCATTCTAAAACTAGAAATATTCTTTTGTAGTTTTACTTGAAAACTATGGTATGATGATTGGCAATATATATGGTAGGAATATACCTACATTTTACGTACGTCCCAGTGTAGGTGTGTCTTGGTTATCTTTATGGTCTCTGCAACATCCTTGTATTGATAAATTGCTTCTACTGACGGTTGATAAGTCATTAGAGGAAAGAGAGTAGTCAAGGGGAGGTAACTGTACCTTCTCCAGGTTGAGTTTGAGGTCGTTGACCAGCTGCTCCTTCTGGTGGAGCTGGTCTTGGAAGTCGGACTTGGACTCGGACAGCTGCTTCTGGAGATCTGCCAAGGCCTTCTCCTTCTCCTGCACAACCTTGCGAGTCTGACAACAGACAGCATTGTGCTATGGTGTGTACAGACCAGCTATAACGGAAGAGTAACTGACCACGCCCATATTGGACGAGGACCTGTTCACATCCAACATTACCTCAAATTACTACAAATGAAACTTCCCTGTTCCATAACTCATTCTAAAGAGATTCCCAGTGCCAAAACTTCACCTTGATAAGATCCTCCCCAACCTCAGAAAGCTTCCCAGTCCTCATCTGGTTCTCCTGCTCTGATTGGCTAATCTTAGCCTCTCTCTCATCCAGGGCAGACTGCAGCTCAGACAGCTGACTGGTTCTTTCTGTCAGCTGCAGCTGCACCTCTTCCAGCTTGCCATGCAGCTGCAACAATGAAACAGACACATCAGTACACTGGGAGGGGGGGACTACTTTACACAGACACATCAGTACACTGGTGGACTACTTTACACAGACACATCAGTACACTGGGGGACTACTTTACACAGACACATCGGTACACTGAGGGACTACTTTACACAGACACATCAGTACACTGGGGGACTACTTTACACAGACACATTAGTACACTGGGGTCTATTTTACACAGACACATCAGTACACTGGGGGTCTACATAGACACATCGGTACACTGAGGGACTACTTTACACAGACACATCAGTACACTGGGGGACTACTTTACACAGACACATTAGTACACTGGGGTCTTTTTCACACAGACACATCAGTACACTGAGGGACTACTTTACACATCAATGCTTCAATGCACCTCCGAACCATACAACCAGTGTACCAAAGGACAATTACACAAATGGTTTCTTACCTATTAGGATATTTTCTCAATGACAGTTAACCATTTCATGACACATGTAGACTATTCAAAAACAAAATCTATACAGAACTTATGTAATTTGTTGAATGGACTGTGTAAGATGTGACGAATCATCACATCTCGTGTACTAGGTTGACTGCAAGGAACTCTTGGTGGGAAAGTGTCATGTTGAGTCTTGTAGCCAAGATTTTTCAACATTTCCTCCTGAATGCATGCACCATATTATAACAGACATACTCATTACCTTATCAAGATCCTGTCCGAGTTCTGCGATGTTGGCCTCGGTGGTGCGCAGTTTGTTTTCCAGGTTGCGCTTCTCCTCCTCCAGACTGGTGTAGTCGTCCTGCATCTTGCTGATGGCTGTCTGCTGGTCCCCCGATGCCAGTCTCACATCCTCAAGCTGCTGGGTCAGCTATAAGGAAGACATCATCCACAGTCATACAGGTCCATGTGATAGATATCACCCAAGATAGAGCCATACAGGTCCATGTGACAGATACCACCCAAGATAGAGCCATACAGGTCCATGTGACAGATATCACCCAAGATAGAGCCATGCAGGTCCATGTGACAGATACCACCCAAGATAGAGCCATGCAGGTCCATGTGACAGATATCACCCAAGATAGAGCCATACAGGTCCAGGTGATAGATATCACCCAAGATAGAGCCATACAGGTCCAGGTGATAGATATCACCCAAGATAGAGCCATACAGGTCCATGTGACAGATATCACCCAAGATAGAGCCATACAGGTCCAGGTGATAGATACCACCCAAGATAGAGCCATACAGGTCCATGTGACAGATACCACCCAAGATAGAGCCATACAGGTCCAGGTGATAGATATCACCCAAGATAGAGCCATACAGGTCCAGGTGATAGATATCACCCAAGATAGAGCCATACAGGTCCAGGTGATAGATATCACCCAAGATAGAGCCATACAGGTTCATGTGTAGATATCACCCAAGATAGAGCCATGCAGGTCCATGTGATAGATATCACCCAAGATAGAGCCATACAGGTTCATGTGTAGATATCACCCAAGATAGAGCCATACAGGTCCAGGTGATAGATACCACCCAAGATAGAGCCATACAGGTTCATGTGATAGATACCACTCAAGATAGAGTCATACAGGTCCATGTGATAGATGCCACCCAATATAGAGTCATACAGGTTCATGTGATAGATACCACTCAAGATAGAGTCATACAGGTCCATGTGATAGATGCCACCCAATATAGAGTCATACAGGTTCATGTGATAGATACCACTCTATATAGAGCCATACAGGTTCATGTGATAGACACCACCCAATATAGAGTCATACAGGTTCATGTGATAGATACCACTCTATATAGAGCCATACAGGTTCATGTGATAGACACCACCCAATATAGAGTCATACAGGTTCATGTGATAGATACCACTCTATATAGAGCCATACAGGTTCATGTGAAAGATACCAACATTCGTGTTGATGACTGATGTTGAAGAACAGAATAAAACATCTGACTTTTATCTGATTTTATGCTTTCCATACTAAGGGACCTTTATCCTATGTGGATTATGTACAGTTGGGGTGTTATCCTATGGGGCTTTTATCTACAGGGGCTTTTATCCACAAGGGGCCTTTGTCTGGTCCCTGTTTAGATGCTTCTTCCAATTGTGAGGCCTCATATTTGACAAAATAAAATATTCTGTGTTCCTCAGCACTGCATATATGAGTAAAATGTGACAGGATTGTATTTCTACTTTAATGAATACACATCTGTACATGTATAGATTACCTTCGCCTTGTGCTCAATGAGGTCTCTGATCTCGGATTCCTTTTGCTGCAGACTGGAGGTCAGGTGCTGAGATCCTGAGTCTCGCTCACTCAGAGCAGTCTGAAGGCTGAAATAAGTTTCATTTAAACAGATTCTGAAATAAGATTCACATAAAGGAGCATTGGGCTCCACTGTTTAAGTCAAGTGCCTAGTGTAGAGTCCCTCTGTGATCAGCAGGTTCAGGTGTGTGTTGGTCCCTCCCCATGACAACTACCCTTGATATTTTGTATCATGAGAAGGGGGCAAAAGAAGTAGGCTCGGTACACAACTCTTATACACATCTTTATTGTAAAAGAAATAGTTGAATACATGATATAAAGAGTCCTACAGCATTAATACAGGATCATTCTAACCGAAACTGTGACTTAGCATACAGGTAAAGTGTTGTTGGAATGACATTAACCACTCTTGCCTGAGCCTATCACAAAGCAATCATAGCGCTAAGACAATCGAACTCCCATTCTTGACACTGAAAAGTCATAGCGCTAAGGCTATATTAAACTCCCCTTCTTGAACTCTGAACAATCATAGCACTAAGACAATCAAACTCTCATTGTTTAAAGCCCCACCTTGACGTAAATCCTAGTTGTCAAACGGCCCACGTGGGTGGGTATTACATGTCATCACCCATTTACGCATTAACCAATGAAATTTGTGTGTTGTCATGACGTCATATTGACCTGTCAGATCACTCATACAAGCTCCGCCCACTGAGAGTGGGGTAGATCCTACAGCAAATTCCATCATTGTGCTAAAACAATCAAACTCCCATTCTTTAACACTGAACAATCATAGCACTAAGATCGCCTCTTCCACAAAGCTATGATTGGTGTAAGTCTAAGTTAAAGAATGGGAGTTACAATCAACTTAGCGATAAGATTGCTTTGTGGAACATGGCCCCGAAATGCAAATTTTCCAAACCTGCTCTCAGTTTATAAGACAACAATTTATTTAACGTGACAGAACCTAAACATAAGAAACCAGGAACAAGTTTACCCCGATGGTCGGCAGCGTAGACACTACGAGGTACTTACTGTGCCACCTCCTCCAGTTTGGGCGCCTTCTCCAGCTCAACTTTCAGCTCCTTCATCTTCACATCAGATCTGCAGAAGACAGAAAATGCTGTAATAACTCTTTGTTTGTTTGTTTGTTTGTTTGTGGTTTAACGCCACTCTCAGCAATATTCCAGCTATATGACAGCAGTTTGTAAATAATCGAGTCTGGACCAGACAATCCAGTGATTGGCAGCATGAGCATCGATCTACAGCATTAGGAAATATGACATGAACTAACAAAGTCCACGAGCCTGACCAACAATCCTGTTAATCGCCTCTGACGACAAATACAGTCACCTCTTGTAGCAAGCATGGATGACCTACCCTGGATCTTCACGGGTCTCTAATGACTATTGACATATAATCAGTTGATGTGAGGTGAGGTGAAATGGGGTTAAACATCACGTTCAAGCTTATAGCACATATACAGCCACCTGCATGTATGTGTGTGTGGCTGCTTGTACTAGTCCAGTCATGCCAGTGTAACAGTGCTAGTCTACTGAGATACCCTGTCGCAGTTTAACATGGATCTAACCAGCCCATGTTTAATCCTCTTGATGCTGAGCACCAGTTGGGTAACAACATTCTTTTAACATCTTTTGGTACAACGGCCAGGGAATCTACTGTCAAACCAATCTCATTGAAATAAGATCTTAGTTCTTGCTACCACTAAACAAAGAGGACATCCCATTACGGGTCATGTCAGACCGACCTTGCGCGAACTTTGACCGACCAATGGAATGACCAATCAGAAAGCAGCTTTCTCGTGCTTTACGGCACTAATTTCAAATTGACGACTATGCTTCGAAACATATTTTGAAACCTGAACAAAAGAACATTCTGGAATGGCTACTAGATGGTCTAGATTGTATGAATACAGTCGTTAAACCCGTAACTATCGTTCGGAGTTAAAGTTTTCGAGGCAGCATGATCAGAAATCACATTCTGACTGCCACTTTCATAATCTTGTAAGCGATGCTCTGATTGGTCGGATGAAAGGTCGTTCTAACGTGAACTGTAATGGGATGTACTCAGATCTTTGTTTAGCGGTAGCAAGAACTGAGGTCAGGTTTTAATGAGATTGCTGTCAAACTCACAGTTGAGTGAATTAGATACGTTTAAGTAGCCATAGTCTCATATATCATGGTGACACCTAAACATGTATACAAAGGCTACATTCCCAGATTACCATACAATTACTGACAGAGAATGAGAGTTAAGAAGTGTGCAGACAGGTTGCAAGGTCTCTAGCCGGATAGTGTGTCCTCATGTGATTAACACAGACAGAATCACGGAAGATCTCACAGACTATTTGTCTGCCAAGGACACAGAGCTTGGCCTCCTAGATGAAGCCCTGAGACAGGTCCAGTCCTGGGGCTCTACTTACTCCTGGTACTTCTCCTTCAGGGCCTTGTAGTCCCGCTCCAGGTCATCCTTCTCCTTCTCCCTCTCCAGAGTCATCTTGTCCATCAGAGTCTGAACACTGATGAGTTCCTGCTTCAGCACCAGAACATCATCAGCCCCGGGCCTGCAAACAGAAACCCCTTCTTCCGTTAACCTCGTCTACATCCAGTGTTAGAGTGGAGTGAGTGAGTGGAGTGAGTGAGTGGAATGAGTGAGTGAGTGTTGTCTTGTATTGCAGTCAACAATATTCAAGCCATATCATAGCAGCCTGTAACCAATAATGTCTGGATCAGGCAAACAGTAGCTAAAACATCAGCTTTGATTCAGGCCACAACAATATTCCAGCTATATGACATAAAAAATCAAGTCTGGAACAGACAATCTAGTGATTGACATCAGAAGGCATGGCAAAAGGGTGCAACTCTCCCAATGTTTCGCGACACTTAGACCAGTGGGAGGAGGGACACTAGATTGCTAACTAGACTTTGGAAACATGGAAGGAGCATCACCTCTGGGACAACTGGGACTCCACACTTCTAACATAGCTATCCTTCTCATCCAGCTGAACCTGCAACACAGACATCAGAGCAAGTCTATAGATGCTATAACAACCACTCTCCTCTACAGTGCATGTACACAGGGTGTAGCACTTGGTGGTATCACAAAACACAGTCATGGTGAGATCCACAACTTCAGGGTGGGGAAAAAAAAAAAGAGGTGCAAAGTTGGATATAATCTTTTCCCACTCTTAAAATGTTTTGCAGGGATTTTAAACCTAATACATAAAATCTGAGCGAATGTTGTTTAATGTCACACTCAGCAATATTCCAGCAGTATCACAGCAGCCTATAAATGATTGAGTCTGGACCAGACAATCCAGTGATTGACATCATGAGCATCGATCTACGCAATTGGGATACGATGACATGCATCAAAAAAGCCTCCAAGCCTGACCACCCATAGATGAGGTATTAACATAGGGCTTGGGTGGATGGTCAACCACAAGTCAACATTCCACCAATATCACTATGGCCTGTAAATAATGGAGTCTGGCCCAGGCAAACCAGTGGTTGACAGCATGAGCAAAGGTCCATGCTGCCAGGGTATGATGACACAGAATCACAAATCACGTTATTCCATTCCAGCCGACTTTTACGACTAGCATGGGACCTCATCCAGGGGAGAGTGAGTGAGTGAGTTGGGTTTAATGTCACTTTTAACAGTATTCCAGTTATATCGCAGCCTGTCAGCTTAGTTTGGGCGGAAAGCCCGAAGTGATGCAGGTCTCAGACTTTTACCACTTCGGTGAAACCCACGAGCACGGGTATGGTGCTGACAAACCTAGAAACATAATCGGGGCGAACCGGGATTCGAACCCACAATCATAGGTTTCTGGCGTGCCCAAGGTGCGCAACTCTGCACAGCGAATCGCGGGGCCTTAGACGACTGGGCCACCCGTGCCCCCTATCCAAGGGAGATGCTTGGTAGTGTAAGTGTGAAGAGTCTGCCCTCACCTTCAGTGTCCGGATGTGGTCCTCCAGCGCTGCCCTCTGACCTTCGCTCTCATCAGCCTTGGCCTTCACACTCACCATTTCACCAGCCTAGAAAGGTTCAATGACGTATTACATTGTGCACCTTGCTGTTGGGTTGCTCATTGCATGCATTTATCATATACACAGCAGAACAAGCTGATTATTATCAGACTATTGAACAAACAGAGAATCTCACCTGAGTGTCTTTTGATATCAAATATATCAACAAGTGATGATATATTTGATATCAAAAGACACTCGGATGAGATTTTTATTTATCATCCAACATCATTCTTCAAACTTTTTCAGTTTGTAGACAGTAATAAGCAGTGTTCTAAGTGTAAAAATCTCTGCTAACAGCTTCAGTAACAGAGCCATTAGTGATGTCATTTGATTGTGACATCATGGTAACCAATGACATCACAATGGTCTGCAAAGCAACTCTCCTCTGTCATTCGTCATGCAGATATATTTTTTCTATTAACAGACTCAGACCTGCTTTTTTTGGTATCGTGTCACATTAGTCAAATTGGTTGTTTTTGTTTTTTATTTAATGCCACACTTAGCAATATTCCAGCAATATGACGGCAGTCTTTAAGTTTTCGAGTCTGGGCCATTCACTGACTGGTATTATCAGCAATGATCCACATCATACATTGACATTCAATCAACCACGTCATGAAGCCTGACCATCCGATCCATTAGTCACCTCTTACGACCAACAAAGGTAACTGGGGACCAATTCTAACCCAGCATCTCTACAAGGAGTCACCCCAGAGAAGAACCAGACAGTAACGACTGCCTATGACTACTGACCAGATGCGCTGTCTTCTGTTCAATCCTCCCCTTCTCCTCCTTCACAGCCGTCAGTTGACCTGTGACCTCTGACATCTGTGCCTGGAGGTGGTGCACCTCGGAACTCACTACAACACATGGGGGTGAGTGACATAAAGTCATTTGAGTTGCATTAAACATAAACTAGCATCACTGCTTCAAAGGGATACTTGCTGTAATAATGATATTATTTTCTTGAAAAAATGTTTCATATTAATAATAATAATCATAATCATAATAATGTGGTTATTTAAAATACGCTAAGCCGACACTCTAAAGCATAATTATGATAATCCAAGCGCTATTATTAGCATTGTGTCATCGTGTCAATGTGCCATTGTCTCATTCGAAGAGGGCTCAAGACGAAGCAATGGCGCCAAATGGGAGTGAGTGAGTGAGTGAGTATGGTTTTACGCCGCTGTTAGCAATATTCCAGCAATATCACACCGGGGGACACCAGAAATGGGCTTTACACATTATACCCATGTTGGGAGTCGAACCCGGGTCTTCTGAATGACAAGCGAACGCTTTAACCACTGGGCTACCTGACCATCGGCGCCAAATGGGTCCAGTGAGATATGATAGACTGGAAGATGGAGGACATTGACGGCAGAAGTATATCCTATAACAGGAACTCACAGAGGGTTCTACTCTCTTCTGAGCCTTTCAGCTGCATCCGCAACAATTCCAGCTCATTCTTTGTCTGAAACGGAAATATCCCTCATCAAATAATGTGAATGACAGAAAGATAATAAACTGTTTGTCGCACACTGAACAATAACTTAATCAAATTTTCACACAATTTTCTTCAAAAGTGAGCCTGGAGGTACCCTGGGGTACAGACAGGACACAGTCTAGTGAGTTCCCCGGAGTAAAGACAGGACACAGTCTAGAGAGATCCCCAGGGTACAGACAGGACACAGTCTAGTGAGTTCCCCGGAGTACAGACAGGACACAGTCTAGTGAGTTCCCCGGGGTACAGACAGGACACAGTCTAGAGAGTTCCCCAGGGTACAGACAGGACACAGTCTAGTGAGTTCCCCGGGGTACAGACAGGACACAGTCTAGAGAGTTCCCCGGGGTACAGACAGGACACAGTCTAGAGAGTTCCCCGGAGTACAGACAGGACACAGTCTAGAGGGTTCCCCGGGGTACAGACAGGACACAGTCTAGTGAGTTCCCCGGGGTACAGACAGGACACAGTCTAGAGAGTTCCCCAGGGTACAGACAGGACACAGTCTAGTGAGTTCCCCGAGGTACAGACAGGACACAGTCCATGTGAGTTCTCTGGGGTACAGACAGGACACAGTCCATGTGAGTTCCCCGAGGTACAGACAGGACACAGTCCATGTGAGTTCCCTGGGGTACAGACAGGACACAGTCCATGTGAGTTCCCCGAGGTACAGACAGGCCACAGTCCATGTGAGTTCCCTGGGGTACAGACAGGACACAGTCCATGTGAGTTCCCCGGGGTACAGACAGGACACAGTCTAGTGAGCTTCCCGGGGTAAAGACAGGACACAGTCTAGAGAGATCCCCAGGGTACAGACAGGACACAGTCTAGTGAGTTCCCCGGAGTACAGACAGGACACAGTCTAGAGAGTTCCCCGGAGTACAGACAGGACACAGTCTAGTGAGTTCCCCGGAGTACAGACAGGATACAGTCTAGAGAGTTCCCCGGGGTACAGACAGGACACAGTCTAGTGAGTTCTCCGGAGTACAGACAGGACACAGTCTAGAGGGTTCCCCGGGGTACAGACAGGACACAGTCTAGTGAGTTCCCCGGAGTACAGACAGGATACAGTCTAGAGAGTTCCCTGGGGTACAGACAGGACACAGTCTAGTGAGTTCCCCGGGGTACAGACAGGACACAGTCTAGAGAGTTCCCAGGGGTACAGACAGGACACAGTCTAGAGAGTTCCCTGGGTACAGACAGGACACAGTCTAGTGAGTTCCCCGGGGTACCGACAGGACACAGTCTAGAGAGTTCCCGGGGGTACAGACAGGACACAGTCTAGTGAGTTCCCCGGGGTACCGACAGGACACAGTCTAGAGAGTTCCCCGGGGTACCGACAGGACACAGTCTAGTGAGTTCCCCGGGGTACCGACAGGACACAGTCTAGAGAGTTCCCGGGGGTACAGACAGGACACAGTCTAGAGAGTTCCCCGGGGTACCGACAGGACACAGTCTAGAGAGTTCCCCGGGGTACCGACAGGACACAGTCTAGTGAGTTCCCCGGGGTACCGACAGGACACAGTCTAGAGAGTTCCCGGGGGTACAGACAGGACACAGTCTAGTGAGTTCCCCGGGGTACCGACAGGACACAGTCTAGAGAGTTCCCGGGGGTACAGACAGGACACAGTCTAGTGAGTTCCCCGGGGTACCGACAGGACACAGTCTAGTGAGTTCCCCGGGGTACCGACAGGACACAGTCTAGAGAGTTCCCCGGGGTACAGACAGGACACAGTCTAGAGAGATCCCCAGGGTACAGACAGGACACAGTCTAGAGAGTTCCCCGGGGTACCGACAGGACACAGTCTAGTGAGTTCCCCGGGGTACCGACAGGACACAGTCTAGTGAGTTCCCCGGGGTACCGACAGGACACAGTCTAGAGAGTTGTCCGGGGTACCGACAGGACACAGTCTAGTGAGTTCCCCGGGGTACCGACAGGACACAGTCTAGAGAGTTGTCCGGGATACAGACAGGACACAGTCTAGAGAGTTCCCCGGGGTACCGACAGGACACAGTCTAGAGAGTTCCCGGGGGTACAGACAGGACACAGTCTAGTGAGTTCCCCGGGGTACCGACAGGACACAGTCTAGAGAGTTCCCCGGGGTACAGACAGGACACAGTCTAGTGAGTTCCCCGGAGTACAGACAGGACACAGTCTAGAGAGTTCCCCGGGGTACCGACAGGACACAGTCTAGAGAGTTCCCGGGGGTACAGACAGGACACAGTCTAGAGAGTTCCCCGGGGTACCGACAGGACACAGTCTAGAGAGTTCCCCGGGGTACCGACAGGACACAGTCTAGTGAGTTCCCCGGGGTACCGACAGGACACAGTCTAGTGAGTTCCCCGGGGTACCGACAGGACACAGTCTAGAGAGTTCCCCGGGGTACAGACAGGACACAGTCTAGAGAGATCCCCAGGGTACAGACAGGACACAGTCTAGAGAGTTCCCCGGGGTACCGACAGGACACAGTCTAGTGAGTTCCCCGGGGTACCGACAGGACACAGTCTAGAGAGTTGTCCGGGGTACCGACAGGACACAGTCTAGAGAGTTCCCCGGGGTACCGACAGGACACAGTCTAGAGAGTTGTCCGGGGTACCGACAGGACACAGTCTAGAGAGTTCCCCGGGGTACCGACAGGACACAGTCTAGAGAGTTGTCCGGGGTACCGACAGGACACAGTCTAGAGAGTTCCCCGGGGTACCGACAGGACACAGTCTAGAGAGTTGTCCGGGGTACCGACAGGACACAGTCTAGAGAGTTGTCCGGGGTACCGACAGGACACAGTCTAGAGAGTTGTCCGGGATACAGACAGGACACAGTCTAGAGAGTTGTCCAGGGGGAAAAGCAGGACACAGTCTAGAGAGTTCCCCGGGGTACAGACCTCGGCAGACAGGGCATCAGGAACCTCTCCGTTCTGCTGCTGCTTCTCCAGCTCCCTCTTGAGTTCATCAGTGTACCACTTCTCCTCCTTCAGGGACGCCCTCAGGTCCTCGATCTCCTGTCTCAGGGCCAACACATCACCATCTCTATGGAAACCACAAGTGCCACGGTCTTACAAATGTCCTTGACATCTTCATCATAGCAGTAAATACCATACACATGATGACAATGATAGAAAGCTGTCTGAAGTTATTTTACATTTAACAGGTACAATGAGGTTGGTGATCAACATGATCAAGAATTATGACATTCTGGGATATTAGCTGGACATTTAATAAGTACCTCTATATTGTATTGATTCAAACTATAACAAATACTTTTTAACAATCCAGATTTAGGACCACCGAACTGATATGAATAAGTGAGTGAATGAATGTTGTTTTACGACAGTCCAGCTATGTCACAATGACCTGCAAATAATCAGTCTGGGCAAACCAGTGGTTGATAGCATCAACAACAACACTTGGAGTACAAAGACATACACTTAGCCAGGTCACACATTGTAACCCTCCGATCCTCATCCAAGTCAACTCTTACCAGAAGCATGATATAGTAACTAGGGCATGATACCAGATGTTGATCAGGGCTTTGATTAACTCAAATTGACCTCCGAATACAATGTTAATCTGTTTATTCTGATTCAGGTAGGTGCTAGGCTGGGTACTGGTTGGTTGGTTGGTTGGTTGGTTGGTTGGTTGGTTGGTTGGTTGGTTGGTTGGTTGGTTGGTTGGATTGTTGTTTAACGCCGCACTCAGCAATATTCCAGCTATATGACGGCGGTCTGTAAATAATCGAGTCTGGTCCAGATAATCCAGTGATGAATATCATGAGCATCGATCCACGCAATTGGGATCAATGACATGCATCAACCAAGTCAGCGAGCCTGACCACCCGATGACGTTAGTCGCCTTTTACAACAAGCATAGTCACCTTTTACGGCAAGCATGGGTTGCTGAAGACCTATTCTACCCTGGAATCTTCACGGGTCACTGGGTACTGGTATTACTATCAGTATAATAAGATAGACTTTCGTCCCAGTTAGCATGGTTAGTTGAAAATTAGTACTAAACAGCTTTATTGTATTGTGGCACTATGACATTATGCATTTTCCAGCATTGTCCAATTTCTATCATGTTGCACAGTTTCTGTGTCACCAAAGCTGTTGACTTCATTGTAAAGAACAAATACTCCAATGAATCGATTTGATTCTCTGATTTCAATATCTAAACAACTACACTTGACATGTGATATACAAGGGTTGACTGATAAGGTCTGTGCCTCACATAGAAGGAATAGCATAATAGGAGAATCTTTACAAGATGTCATAATGATACATCTACAAAAACCTGAATCATTTGATCAAATTGTTTTGCTGTGACAAGTCAGTCAAATACGCAGGGATCTGGGACCTTTGGAAAATGGGCAAACTTGAGGAATGTGCAGTAACTTATCAACCCTCGCACTTGTTATGATCTAAATTATCAACATGATACCACGAACTGAAATACCAGTAATTCCATGAAAGAACACTCCTCTTTACATCAATGTTTGAAAATAAGTGACATCACATAAATTTGAAAAATATTCCCTAAATGTCTAGTGTAATGAACATTTTAAGAATGCCTACTAATTTGATTTGATAAAATTGAAATTCTGAAACTTAATTTGTTATACATGTAAAAAATCATGGTGACACCTATCTATCATGAACTATAACATGGCTTTAAAATAGTATTCAAGTGTTCAAAAACATGTGTCATGAGGATTTACGAGTGAGTGAGTGGGGTGTTAATGCCACTAACAGTCGGAGAAAACCACAAAGTGACACAGGTCACTTTCCACTTTGGGAAAACCCAGAGGTAGGTGCTGACAAACCAGTGATCATTTGGGGTGATTCAGGGATTCAAACTCACAGCAGCAGATCCTCACACCAAAAGGGACACAACTCTAACAGCAATGTGGTGCCTTACCCCCTCAGCTAGCCAGGCCCCATATTTGATCAAACATTTTTTAGTTATGTGTGTATTAGAATGTGAACTGATTATACAGTTAATATCATAGACACTAATAAAGGCATATAAGGCTATAAAAAATAATAGTCTTGGTTCTCAGGCACTGCCCACATTATCATAAGGTTCATTGCACGTTTTGGTTTTTTTCTCCATTTTAAATATTTTTTGTGTATTGTGTTTAAGTATTTATATTTTTATATTTTTTTGAAAATGGAAATAAAAACAAAAAGTGCGGCATACTTTATGCTGATGCGGGTGGTGCCTGAGAACCAAGACTATTATTTTTTTAGCCTTAGTAACTCTGTGAAGGGAGAGTGGAGTAATATACTGTGAGTAATGACGGCTTTCATACAAACATATTTCAACTGAAATAGAAGCAATTAGAAGAAACTAATCAGAATAGACGAGAACAGAAATCTTCAAGCCAAGGAGTAGTCAGGACGTTGTAAGGGTGACAGTGACTGCAGAGAGACAGATAGGAAAGCCTGACCACCTAAAACATCATACCTACCTCCTGTTTCTGTGGGGACAAAGAAAGAAGTTTTGAGTTTTTTAACTTTCAAGAAAATGCTTAACAGAAAGCATTACAAGCGCAACATCAGATATATTTATATATCTTTCTATGGCCCTTGTGGTTTGTTTATTTTTTTCTGCACATTATTTGGTCCACAAACATCATCCTTTAAGCATTATAAATGCAGTTTACCAGCAAATATTTTATTTAATTCAACACTGATCAAACATGCCCTCGTCCTTGAGGTCCCCATTTGTTTGTAACATCATCCCTTTTAGTGGCCACCAGCTCATGAAAACCAAGTTGCACCAAACAAAACCAGGTTGCACCCTGGTCCTATAAATGAATCAAAGTTGAAACATGGTCCGGTCTGCGGCCAGTGTCACATAGGTAAACCACATTTGGTGTAAACCGTAATAGTAACATGTGCACATCATATTAAAGTACCACAAGTTAGACAACGAAAAGATAAGGGTTTGTGTGCGAAATACGCATCAGTCGGAAAGCACATGTTAAATCTCCAAAGTAACTTACTAACTTGTGATGTCCGTGTGCGAAATACGCTACAGTCGGAAAGCGCATGTTAAATCTTCTATAACAGTCAGACTTGTGATGTGTTTCATTCCCGGTCGCCTTATACACGGAGTATAGGATTTTGGGTTGATTTTTAAGGCGTGTACAGGGGGGTCGTCTTATACGTGGGGTCGCCTTATACACAGCGATATACGGTAGTCAGAAACAAATTGGAAATTTTTCTTTTACATGCACTTGCTGCATGTAGATATGAACATTAAGTTGCATTTTTCAATAAGAGGTTGCACTGGTGCATGTTATAGCTAACCATGACCAATGATAGCTCTCTGAAATGCATCGATGTGGTTATGCATTTGTCTGCCGCACATGTTTAATGGAACAAACAAACACTTCTCAAAACATCTCCACAATACTGATAAGCATGATAAGTACTTATAATTATATCCATTCACAAAAATACAGGGTTAGTAAAACATCAATATGCCTTTTGAATAAAAAGTCTAATATAAACCCATGTTTTAGGGTACAAGCGTAAATAAAATATGCAGGATTCATGTACAAGCAACACCTTGTGTGACATGGAAATCGCGAGAACGTGAAAGTATTATTCCATCACAGCTGTCTCTGGGGACACAGTACTGAGCTGAACATCATGGAAATAAGGATGTCCACTAGTCTGTATTAACACATGATTGAGAGTGTTCAACTTTTTCTGAGAAAGAATTTCTAAACTATGATTTAATATAACTGCCCCAATGAAAAATGAAAGGGGTAATGCAAGCCACAGATGTCAACTATCACGCCAAATTCTCACCATGGTATCATACCATGCAATTACCATGCAATGACATCCTCAATAGAGGATGTAGAGACTAGTCCCTCATTATGCGTAGTGGTACGCATGATGACCTGGGAGAGGGTCACTTGCACGCGTGACTTCCTGTCAATGAACCAGAGATTCTGCTTGATCCACAAAACGTTTCCACAAGTGTTATTGATAAAAAAAATTGGACACAGTTTTTGATAATACCAATTATGGAATAGCAAGATAAAAATGTACAAACAAAATAAACGTCAAAGTCAAATTATAAATAAATAAATGGTGAAAGTTTAAAGATTGTGGCGGCACCAGTCCTACTTACTTTGGCTGTAATTAATATGTTCAGCATGTTAAGTGGTTAATTTGGAATTAATTGGCATTTTGTTAAAAATATAATGCTGTACCATTAACGATTTGACTTAAATCACTGTTTAAATTCATACCAGTAGATTTATTTGCATTAAGATGTTAGAACACTCCCATAGACGACAGTCTACAATTCATACCAGTAGATTTATTTGCATTAAGATGTTAGAACACTCCCATAGACGACAGTCTACAATTCATACCAGTAGATTTATTTGCATTAAGATGTTAGAACACTCCCATAGACGACAGTCTACAATTCCTACCAGTAGATTTATTTGCATTAAGATGTTAGAACACTCCCATAGACGACAGTCTACAATTCATGCCAGTAGATTTATTTGCATTAAGATGTTAGAACACTCCCATAGACGACAGTCTACAATTCCTACCAGTAGATTTATTTGCATTAAGATGTTAGAACACTCCCATAGATGACAGTCTACAATTCATGCCAGTAGATTTATTTGCATTAAGATGCTAGAACACTCCCATAGACGACAGTCTACAATTCATGCCAGTAGATTTATTTGCATTAAGATGTTAGAACACTCCCATAGACGACAGTCTACAATTCATACCAGTAGATTTATTTGCATTAAGATGTTAGAACACTCCCATAGACGACAGTCTACAATTCCTACCAGTAGATTTATTTGCATTAAGATGTTAGAACACTCCCATAGATGACAGTCTACAATTCATGCCAGTAGATTTATTTGCATTAAGATGCTAGAACACTCCCATAGACGACAGTCTACAATTCATGCCAGTAGATTTATTTGCATTAAGATGTTAGAACACTCCCATAGACGACAGTCTACAATTCATACCAGAAGATTTATTTGCATTAAGATGTTAGAACACTCCCATAGACGACAGTCTACAATTCATACCAGTAGATTTATTTGCATTAAGATGTTAGAACATTCCCATAGATGACAGTCTACAATTCATACCAGTAGATTTATTTGCATTAAGATGTTAGAACACTCCCACAGATGACAGTCTACAATTCATACCAGTAGATTTATTTGCATTAAGATGTTAGAACACTCCCATAGACGACAGTCTACAATTCCTACCAGTAGATTTATTTGCATTAAGATGCTAGAACACTCCCACTGACAGTATATAATTTATACCAGCAGACGTCCTTAAGCCCAACAATCACCCCAAGCATTTGGTGAAAAAGATCATATGTAAAAGCTGTTGTGCATGAGTACAAGTACTGTCCTACCTATTCTCTGTGGGTCCCCCCGGGCTCTCGTGGATTGACTGGTAGTGTTCCGTCAGTTCCTCGGGGGAGGACAACGACTTCTTGCAGATCGGGCAGAGGAAGCCCTCCTGATACAAACACATCACATCATGTTCTTTGTAATTGATTTATACATGCATCAACAAAAATATAACTAGCAAATATATTGGCTAGTGAACAATCCAAATTAGCACCCCTTCCGATTGATCAATGTACACAAGACTTATTTATTCGCGTATAATACGCACACTTGTGTAATATGCACCTTTAATTATGGGAAATTAAATTCTTGAAAATATATCTGTCGTACATAAACATTTCAGGCTGTCAGCATAATCCACAAAATTTATCTTTCAACTCTGTTTTTTTCACCAAAATAATATTCTAACAAGAGTCCCCTATTTCTAATTTGGAGAGCTCCCTGGGTGCTTATTATGTCGAATACGCTAGTCAAAAAAGAAATTATGAACATCCTTTCATGACTATCAGTTTTCACTTAAACACAACAACAAATATGACTTGATACACATTGGCTTTTGAAATGTTTAAACAATATGTTCTAAAATCCAATAATAGTGTTGAACAAGGGGGTCTGTCTTCATATTCAAAATGCTCAAAAGCATCAGTAGAAACATGACATGAAACACCACTGAGTGAAATATTTAATTCCTACTCGCTCGTTCACAAATATTTGAAGAGTCATTGAGAGAAACCAGTATACCAGTCTTGGAACAACACAACCACATATATAATATATCTCAGAGCTCCAGATAATTTTTTGAACAATTGAGTTTTTACTATTAGGTTTCTATCTTAATTGGGTTTTTACATTTTTCATTGGGTAACCAATATTTTTTCACTCATTTATTCATCACTCTATTGGGTATTTCCCCAAAAGAGTGAACATTTTAAGATTTGAAAAAAAGGAAATAATGTTTTAGATGCACATAACCATGATAACTGTTCTTAATATATAGGCTTGACTCGGAAAGTAAATTAGCTCGTAATTGTGTTCCGAAATTAGCTCCTTTGTACGCATGCTGAAAAAGCTTCACTGGGTATTTACACATGCTGTTATTACACATTTGAGTTTTTCATTCAATGCAAGCGTGTTTGTACGCAAGTAAATTGAAAGTAATTGGGTTTTGAATATTTTTTGGAGGTATTTTACGCAAATACGCTGCTTATCTGTAGCTCTGTTATCTTAATCAAAACTGTGAAGAATCACAAAGATGATAAAATGCATGCATAAAGATGATAAAATGCATGCATCTGCCTTACTCCCTGGTCCTTGAGTTGATCCGTCTCGCCGTGCTCTATGTCAAAGTGCATCTGCAACGCCTCAGCTGACCTGAGCGACTGCATACACATGGGACACAGAAAGCCCTGTAGGGGAAGATTCAGGTCATAGCAGGTAAGATGGGTAGAAGGAGGTGTATATGGTGTCATGGATGTGGTTGGTGGGATGAACATTACCAATCAAAATCCAATTATGACAGCATTATACTGCTTACTGCTACGTATCCTATGGTTATCTTTAGTGATTTTTCAAATACATGTAGATCAATAATCATAATGCTTAAATCACTTATTATGTCTGTCTAATAATATGTTACCAATGCATTTCAGTACCTATACATGCTGTAAACATTGTAAACCTATGTGAAAATACATTTCATTCTGAACTGCTGCCATTCTTGTGTCACACTGTCAGCAAAAAGATTAAAAAGTAAAACAGTAATAACACAAGTTTGGTGTAAGCTAACAAACTTGCAACTTTCGAACAAATCATTCTTGACCAGGTCTTCCTTATTCATCTACATACCCCCTTTCCGTGCAGGTCAGATACATTTATGTTGGCAAACCTTATTAGCCACAATACCAGGACAGTGTTCCAGTTTACCAGTATTTACCAGTTTTTTACCGGTAAAATTAGGCTTGAACAAAACACTGGTGATATTCAAATAAGTGTATTTTTTATCGAAGTCAGCTTGTCTTTTACCATGGTTACCATAAGGGTTTCTCGTTGTCCATTTTTAGTACAAGGAAATAACATTTCACTTTGGTTTGAGGTTAAGTATATATTTGTAGCGACATCGTCCAGAAATATTTTTAAAAAAAGAAGAGTAAATTGTGACTGAACTTTGTGTGAATGACGAGTAGATCTAACTAAGTTACTTCAGAGATGACGTCTTTGCAATCGAACATGATGTTGAAAGAATTAAAGCCAGTATATATTTGTGGAAAGTTGGGACAGACAAAAATTAGGGGGACTGGTTATTTTTAGTGTTGCCAGTCCACTAGAACTGGCAGTTTCAAAAGCCAGCGGGAACACTGCCAGGATGTAGACCTTGGTTTCAAGATAATGAAAGTTATCATTCTTGCGTAACATACAATATGCTTTAGTGTATAAAACGAACATAGAAAATACAGCTATTTGTCCGACGTGACCATAACATGATGCAATGCAATTACTAATGTCAAGACAATAGCTGAAATAAGGCTATTGACTGTTAACAGAGACTGAAAATTGAAAATACAAACCTTACATGCAAAATGTTGCGAGGTTGGTTAGATCTACATGCATTTACTTTATATCCCAAACTGTAACCATGGTAATGGAATGTAACCACCTCTCCCCAATAGCTATGAGCATGATAACTTTAATTTTAACACATAGTCATCATGTAGGGCTGAGACGGATAACTCGGGTACTCAAGTCAAGTGGGTACTGAGAACGACCTGGGTACCTACATAACTATCCAGATTTGTGGTTAGTCATGTGATATATTGTTGATGACAACAATTACCTTTCTATGGTTACACCATGTACACTATGTCACTAATATTCACATTTCTTTCTGACTATACACACATCCCTTTTTACTTCCATATGTTTGAATGATGATAAAGCTTCAGTCAACTTCAGTACATGCATGACCAGATTGTTTTATACATGTATGTAAACACTTTTTTACCAGGGTTCCGGTCAAGCAATTCCCAACTGTACATTTTGTACCCATCTCTTGAGACCCCAAACTAGTACCCAAGTAGGGTCAGGTAATAGGAGTGGGGAACCAGAGTAGTAAATTTGGATTTGTCCCAACCCTATTATCATGGTTGTCATGGTAATGATGAGTAACTTCAGTGAGGGTCATGGGATACCTGTGCTTCATCGATGCTGGGAGATTCTGCTTCAACGGGCTGGGATTGTGACTGTGTGCGATTGAAACTGGGGAAGGAAAAGCGGCTGGCAAGGGTTGGGGATGAATCCTACAAGAGAATCAGATGCATGACAATACAAATCGTTAAATGATGTTCAATGCCCTATCAAAGTGTGATGTTAGCTCCATGAAATATAGTGCTTTAAATTAATTGATACTAAACAGTAACATTGTTAGTTCATGCAGTGCAGCTGGACCCATTCCTTTTGCTATGCACATAACACTGCAAGAAACTGAAGAGAAATATTTCTTCTTTTTTTTATCAACATGAAACAAGAATGCAAATGATTTCATCTTACATTTTTACATGCTGAGACTCCATAGATGTCAATTATGGTATATGTATACTACTGTGACAATTGCTAAACAGTTGGTACATTTATTACTCTTAACATCTGTGTGATGGAATGTCTTCTACCCAGCATATTGTATAAATTAACTTTAGTCAAGTTCACTTCAACTCTCACTGGCACAATAACATGCATCAGGGTGCGGCATGAATATCATTCAAAAGAAAAAAGGTAAAAGTTATGTGGACGTGTCATTATGTGCGAAAAGGGGTATTTTTGGACTACATGTCATGTAAAGTAACAAAAGTTATTTTATTTCAGTCTCTGGTGTTGAGGTCAAAACGTCAACTTTCCAAGTTTGAGAGCTGTTAGCACGATTGCATTATCAATGCCATATCATGCAAATCTGATTTCTTTATCAATCAAACATCTTCCACCAATCACCTGCTCAGTGTTAGTGTCCTTCTTTCCGCGAAATCTCTTAAAGACAGACATTTTTGAAGCCGGTGTTTAACACAACTCCGTGTCTGCCCACTTCCTCCCTCAAGCTAACCGGATGTTTTTGTCATTCGCCATCTACCGGCGATTTCTTGGGTACTATTCCCCGAAGAGCATTCTATATAACGTAAAGACAATCTGTTGACCCCATTACTTTGGAACGTACCATGTCTGAAAAAGGAACTTGGCACAATCTGTGTACTCCAAAACTGTGTACGTCCATAAGCACGCCACAACGTTATGACCTTAGTTTGGAATGGAACAGTTTAATATGGAAGAAAATAAATGAATGCGGTGAACTAGCGATGTTGCATTGTTGTTGAATCGGCATTATTAGCGGTTGTATATGACACCTTAAGCACAAGTTTACATATTCATTATATGCCATTTGAATCGTTGCATCTGTTGAAGAGAAGGAATAATTACTGTTGAGTTTAAATCAAATATGTCAGCTTTACTTGAGCATATATCTTCATTAACATTTTTTTACTCCAATGATATACATATTATTAATAACAATATATTACGAAATTGAAACAACAATCAATACAAACATGAAATTTAAAGTATTTCAGTAATTAAATGGACAGTTAATTTTGAAACAACATACTATGCATATTTCATTCTGGTACACCAAGACTGATGGCATGGTATTTTAAAGCTTGTTTCTGAAAATTGGGGTTTTGGGAAGGGTAATGATTTTTACTGGGCCGTTAATTGTGTCTACTTGGACAACCAAGCAAAACAAGTATAAAGTCGATATAATTGAATATTGATTCTGATTTGACTTTTTTTTCATACAACCACCAGTGTTCGAGTTGCTTTCAGGTATGGTTTAGTTTGCCGCAAGTAAAGAATAAATAAACAGGTCCTTCTGTGTCCTGTGCTCACGTGACCCGTGAAGATCCGGAGTAGAATAGGTCTTCAACAACCATGGTTGCCGTAACAAGCGACTATACTTGTCATACGAGGCGACTAACGAGATCAGGTGGTCAGGCTCGCTGACTTGGTTGAAGCTTGTCATCGATCCTAATTGCGTGGGTAGATGCCCATGATATCAATCACTGGATTGCCTGGTCCAGACTCGATTATTTACAGACCGCCGTCATATAGCTGGAATATTGCTGATTGCGGCGTAAAACAATAAACCAACCAACAAACAACCAACCTGTGTTCACGCAGGGGCTTAGACCTACATCACTAAACCGTGATACAACTGAATACTGTTCCACGCAGCATTAAACTAAATCCACTCACTTACTCACGGTAAAAACTGTGTCAAACAGGCTAAGATCAGTAAACAAATATATAGAGAACATTCGACTTTAGTATATTGGCTGCTTGGAAGAGCTTATTTGGTCACGTATCTTTCTTGACTCTAAAAATTAACAAAATTCCCTATGCTGATTTCAGAGCTAGCTTGAGCTGGCTAGACTTGCTTTTGTATGCATTTCTAGATTATTATTTTTTCATAAAATAAATATATTCCACGGTCATGGTGCAGGACTATTCGTATGTATGTGTAGTTAAAACATCACATCGATAAAACCAAACCAAAAACGCAACTGTCACCATGCAAAACGGAACGATGGCCTTGTAAAACAGAAACAGCAGTATTGATATGTTATGTTCATGTTTTGAAATTTGTATTGAAAAAAAAAATGATGCATGCATGTTCATAATGTATATGTGATGTAACTGTAAATAGGTGAGGTGAAATTGGGTTTAACGTCGCGTCCAAGATTATTGCACTTATATAGCGACGTGCATGCACGTGTATGTGTGTGTGTGGCTGCTTGTACTAGTCCGGACTGATGCCGATTTATAGTGCTAGCTCACTGAGATACCATGCCGCAGTTTAACATGAATACCCCACTCAGACACAGTATACTGACTCCGAGCCGACCAGTCCTTGTTTTAGCCCCTTAATGCCGAGCGCCAGACAGGGTAACAACAAGTACAATCTTTTAACGTCTTTTTGTATGACGCGACCCTGGACCTTCCGCTCTCCGGGCGGACGCTCTACCACAAGACCACGGAGGCGGTCGTAACTGTAAATAAATAATACGTGGTGTAATCACTGTCCTCCCAAAGAACCAGTCTAGTGACTAAGTGGGTGAGCGGTTTTACTCCCCCTTTTAGGTTGCACGGGTGGCCCAGTCGTCTAAGGCGCCGCGATTCGCAGTTCAGAGTTGCGTCCCTTGGGCACGCCAGAAACCTATGATTGTGGGTTCGAATCCCGGTTCGCCCCGATTATGCTTCTAGGTTTGTCAGCACCATACCCGTGCTCGTGGGTATCACCGAAGTGGTAAATGTCTGAGACCTGCATCACTTCGGGATTTCCTCCCACATTAAGCTGACACGCCGTGATATAGATGGAATAATGTTAAAAGCGGCGTTAAACCCACACCCTCACTACTCCGCTTTCAGCAATATTCCAGCAATATCACGGCGGTGCACCGGAAATGAAAACCGGTATATGTCTGGGTTATTTGCTTAACGAAAACGAGATTAGCCGATTAGCAATGTTGATTCATGCCCAGTCAGTAGGCTGATTGTTCTTATTAAAATAATTAGTTGTTTATACAGTCCGCGGAGGTGTGCGAAGAGAGATGTAAACGCGACGCGCAATACAGTGTAAAGGATTTAAAAAAAGGGTGTATACATAAGAATTCATCTAGACACTCTGTTAAAATATATTTCGTTGTGGTTTATCCACAATTTTATGTACCAGTGTCACTCGAAAATCCCAAACATAATCATGACGATATTTTAAAACATATGTCGTTAGGAAAAGTGTTTTCGAAAAACCGGAACTTAACTGAGCTTCGCCCTCTAGCGTTCTCTGAACAAACTAAAATTCCAAAGTCATGTTGGCCTCTTCTGTGTCGCGATTTTCGTTACTCTTACGGGTATATTTTGACTCATCGCACTATTCAATCACAACCTGACGATTTCCTTACAGCGAAACAATTAATTCACCTGAATTATAATGTCATTTATTGCGCTTCGGGATTTAATAATGTATAATTTCATCAGTGTCGGCAAACCTTGAAGGACGTGCAATACCGGTATCTGTTCAGGCCAAGTTTGTTTTATCGATAACACCGTGATGATAATGACAACCAAGAAATATTATGTGATCTAACTTCCGATTTTAAATACGAGTGAATCATAACGGTGTTTGTGGGGTGCATGAGTGCAATTCCTGATCAAGGCCTAACTCTGAACATATGAACACCGCAAAGTGATGTCTTTTGTCAGTTTAGATCTATGCCATGTTGTAATCGTAATGGAAAAGAATTTACGAAAAATCAAAATGGTGTTGATGATACTTTGTCAAAACAAATCTGCATCTAATTGTGTACACATGCATTTACCCCTTATGTACCTGGCATGTTTGATGGTGTCGCTATAGCGACACTCGAGTGTCGCTATATCGACACCATTATTATTTGAATAATAGGTAGGTGGACAGGTGTGATTATGTGGAATCTGCAGAAATATGATTGCCACAAAATTAGTATCATACAAAGTAGATACATCTAAAAATGAAGTTAGCATCAGAAAATACATGAACTAGTTGGCAAACATAATCTGCAGCAGCTCCAGTGGACAAAGCTCAAAATGTAGTTAAACCATGAAATTAAAAATGTCAGAGAACAAGGCAACTTGTACACGTCCCTTGCCCAAGTGGCGGAAGGTTTCCACTAAAATGCAATCTTGTTCTATTTGAATCATTTATGTTCACTTCATATTAAACCTTTGTTTTGCAGGGGGGCAATCCCAGCACTACAGGGAGATGTCTTGGTGCTGTCATTTCCAGAAATTATTCCACTGGAGGTAAGATCTGATTTTGTGTTCAGTAATTGCAGTTTTTCAAGAATTTGAAAAAATGAACATATATTAAAAATGTGCATGTTTTAAGATGCAGTTACTGTAGCAATTCTTTATCTCATTATTTTTGTTCAGTCAAGTGCAGATTTTACTTGTTGGCTACTTTTCATCTCCAGAGGAACTTGACCTGGTTGTGGTGGGATCTGGACCGGGAGGGTATGTGGCAGCAGTCAAGGCAGCCCAACTTGGCCTCAAGGTTTGTAGAGGAGTTGATGATGTACTTGTTTCCTCCAGTCTTTGTTCCTGTTCTGTATGGAGAGCTTTCATAAGGATTTTCCCTTCATTACACAACATATATCAAAAGTGATGACGGTTAGCAAGTTTAAAGAACAATACTTCAATGATTTCATTGAACACTTCATGGACTTTCCGACCTGAAGCACCATATGGATATCACAGTGGAATGTCCTCCTGCATACATCACGAAACAACCTATTTGTCTCACGGATAGCTTTTACCCTGCATAGTCGCGCATAAGGCAAGATGGGCTTTTCATAGCCCACAGGATTTCAGTAACAAGATAATTTCGTAAATGTGTATGGGACAAGTGATAAACGTCTGAGGCCTGCATCACTTCAGGTTTTCTTGCCACATTAAAGCTGACATGCCATAACATAACTGGAATACTGTTCAAACCCAACTCACTCACTCACTCACTCACTCACTCACTCACTCACTCACTCACTCACTCACTCACTCACTCACTCACTCACTCACTCACTCACTCACTCACTCACTCACTCACTCACTCACTCACTCACTCACTCACTCACTCACTCACTCACTCACTCACTCACTCACTCACTCACTCACTCACTCACTCACTCACTCACTCACTCACTCACTCACTCACTCACTCACTCACTCACTCACTCACTCACTCACTCACTCACTCACTCACTCACTCACTCACTCACTCACTCACTCACTCACTCACTCACTCACTCACTCACTCACTCACTCACTCACTCACTCACTCACTCACTCACTCACTCACTCACTCACTCACTCACTCACTCACTCACTCACTCACTCACTCACTCACTCACTCACTCACTCACTCACTCACTCACTCACTCACTCACTCACTCACTCACTCACTCACTCACTCACTCACTCACTCACTCACTCACTCACTCACTCACTCACTCACTCACTCACTCACTCACTCACTCACTCACTCACTCACTCACTCACTCACTCACTCACTCACTCACTCACTCACTCACTCACTCACTCACTCACTCACTCACTCATGCTTACAGTCATATGATTCAAGCATATGTACATGCTGTGTCCATAAAATTCATGTTGTGTGCAGTCCAGGTAAGAATATGGGCCCCAACAACATAAACATAAAGAATAAAAGGTATATATATATGGAAACAGTCAAAGGGAGACAATTAGGTTTCAGTGGATTTTCAGTATTTATCTCCCCTTTGTCATTGTTGTGTTATGCTTCATCATTCTTATGTTGTTGTTTCACCTGCATTTGTGATTTTCTGGGGAACCATGATAGTTCTACTTATATTAAAAATATCTATTCTTCTGTCTATATAATGACGTGACTTTCTATGGAGGTGTCCTCAGATAGAGGTATCGTATCAGACTTAAAGATCAAACATCTCAGATCAAGATGGAAGCATTTGTGTTTATATCGTTTTTCCAGCTTGGATATTACTGGTGTAATCAAAGGAGATGGTGGTCTTGGAATAAACATAACGAAACATGCTAGAGTATTCTTGTTGTTTATTGTGATTTCAGACCGGGTGTGTGGAGAAGAACGAGACATATGGAGGCACATGTCTGAATGTTGGCTGTATTCCATCCAAGGCCCTTCTCAACAACTCCCACTTCTACGCCATGGCCAACACCAAGGACCTGGAAGGAAGAGGGATAGAGTGTAGGTTACTAGGTGGTGTCTGTGTGCAGGCTTCTCAGACCACACGTTGTGATTCCATTGTTGGAATAGATCCCTAGCAACCTAGCATGCCCAGAGGTGGCTCACGGTTTGGGTGGTCAGACCTGGTGATTTGGTAGATCGTGTGGCATGGCATCTACTGTTGCTCATGATATCAATCACTGGAGTGTCTGGTGGAGACATGATCATTCACAGGTCTTTTTGATACAGTTGGAATATTGTTTAGTAAAGCATTAAGCACAATAATGTTTTTAACTATTTATTGGTAGTGGAAATAGTTTTGTAGAATGTACCAGTTATTTGGTACTGATCTATATAGAGAGCCTCTTAATACAGGCATCTGCCCGGAGAGAAGAAGGTAGGTGGTTTGATCCCCTGTCCTCGTCATACCAAAAGACCCTATCCTGTCTGGCACTCGGAGATAAAAGTGGAGTCAGTATAGTGTGTCTGATAGGGGTGTCCATGTTTAACTACTGTGTGTATGGTATCTCATAGAAACTGCCATAAGTCCAAGGGGCGGTCGGGTAGCCTAGTGGTTAAAGCGTTCGCTCGTCACGCCGAAGACCCGGGTTCGATTCCCAACATGGGTACAATGTGTGAAGCCCATTTCTGGTGTCCCCCGCCGTGATATTGCTGGAATATTGCTAAAAGCGGCGTAAAACCAAAACTCACTCACTCACTCACTGCCATAAGTCCAGATTAATACAAGCATCCACACATGCATGCAGATTCTTTGGTAAGTGAAATAATCTTGAACACTATGGTAAAACCTCGTCTGACCTCGTCAAAAGAAGACTCAGTGTGTCCTAGTCAAATAAAAGCAAACTGGTTGACAACTTACAAAACAAGGTCAGTCTGCAGTCTGCATTGCCCTTTGACCTGGACTGACAGGATAGCTTGTGGAGTTTGCAGTCTGGTTCTTACGTTGACAAGGTTTGGGGAGTTTTTAAGTGAACATGTTTGGTGCAGATGTAATATCGTCCCTGATACCTAAACTTTCAGTCACACAATATATTGTTTATTGGAGTGCTAACAGTTGTGTAACCATAGTAACATCATACACTCATTAAAACAGGTGATGGAGTCAGACTGAACCTGGAAAAAATGATGTCTGTAAAGTCCAGTGCGGTGAAGGCGCTCACTGGTGGTATAGCTCATCTCTTCAACAAGAACAAGGTGAGGAGGAGTAGTTACACTGATGACGAAACACACAGTTGTGCCACAAGTGATGCTTTATATACAGTGTTGTCACACTTATACTGAAACACTGATCTCCAAACACAGCAAATGAGATTTGAACCTGTACAATGACACTATTGTGTTTGACAGTTGTTACACTGATGATGAAACACACAGTTGTGCCACAAGGGATGCTTTATATACAGTGTTGTCACACTTATACTGAAACACTGATCTCCAAACACAGCAAATGAGATTTGAACCTGTACAATGACACTATTGTGTTTGACAGTTGTTGCACTGATGATGAAACACATAGTTGTGCCACAAGTGATGCTTTATATACAGTGTTGTCACACTTGTACTGAAACACTGAACGTCTCCTGTACAATGACACTTTTGTGTTTGACAACCTCCTGCCGAAATACTCACAACAACTGAGTTTGATTTTTGTGGCCAATGTGCCAAATGTTAAAAAAAATGGAATAGGTGTTTCTCAAAGTGTTTCAGTATATTTTCACTTTATCTTGTCATTTTGAGATAAGAATAAAAGCAAGAGTTTCTATACATACTTATTATTTGTTTATACTTATAATTGCTGTGTACTTGACGTCATAGGTTCCGACCAATGATGACTCTCAATTTGTTCCAGATGCTCAAATCACGGCAGCCATATTAAAAAACCGAATGTTTTACCTTACCTGACACTACACAGTACTTTAGCCTCCCTACCTTAACAAACAGACAGTGCTGGAACAGAGAGACAGTTGAAACAGGCTATAGCCCATGCCCTGATACCCTACTCCCCTACTCCCTCATATTCTTCTCTGTCTGCCTCATAGTGCTCATAGTTAACAGTATCTTACCTTTGTTATTCTCGGTTTTCTTGACGTTTTTGGTGGTGATCATCCATTATATCCATTCCCTGACAATATATTCCACTGCAGTATATTTCTGATTTATGCTGTTTATTTACACAATTTAAGGCGGCCACGTAACTCAGCTGATCTTTGCCCCTTGGTCGCCATGTTGAATATAACAGTTGTGCTTTCTAATGCAATATTTGCTGTAGGTTTTGGAAATATTTGTCAATCTCTCATTTATTTACTTGTAGTTGACCATCTGTTAACATAGTTCTATTATTTAGGTATTTATGGTTTTGTTTCCTGGTTGGCACTCAACACACTGAGGTTGTGTTTGGGTGTGGGGTTCGTCATGTTTTCCAGGAACATGTTATGTTTAGGTCTTTTATGCCGGTAAACTTATATACAGTGTTTAACTTTTTTCCAAATGTATTTCATGTGATGCGATTGAGTAAATGTCCCAAGATGGGGAAAGACTCATCACATTTGCCCATCTTGCCGCCCACCATGTAGTTTTGCAGATTGATGGCCTGTATGCTCTGATTTATCAATTGAGGATGTTACGTTTTACAGAGAGGGTCTTCTTCAGGCCTCTCCTCCACCTTCCGAGTTATTCTCTTCGCCTCCCCCGACGACCTTAGCTTACTGTCTTGATGACCTGGGTGTCGTTGTACAAGACGACCTTAGCGCTACGACTGTCAGTCTATGTTAAGGTTTGGGAGTTACGATCAACTTAGTGCTAAGATTGCTTTATGCAAAAGCACCCTGTCCCTGCTTCAACTTAACACCAGTTTCACCAGCGACTAAAAGTTGCCGGATCAACGTTCACATGCCTTTTCTGAAACATTTTCTTGACGGTCGGCTTGTTCCCTTTCCCATTTGCGATCACCTGATGACCTCCAACACCTCTTGCACATGATCACTAGCGCCAGGACCAATCGCAACGCCTCCTCCACTTCAGGATGACCAGGCGCCTTGGGCCCTCAGTTGCGCTATGCTCTCACAGCGGTCAGCGCCAGGATAGCCTCACCATCTCCTGGGTCTAAGCACATACACTTTTCCACCCAGACTCTCCTCCCCCAGGTCAATCACAAAGCAGCCCAGACCAGGGCCCACTTGCACAAAGCGATCTTAGCGCTACGATGATCGTAACTCCCATACTTTAACATAGGCTTACAATAATCGTAGTGCTAAGATCACTAAGAGTCTGCCATGGCCAGCTAAAGCGTGGTTCCAGCTAGCTGGAGAACCCGTCCTACGCCTACCATCTTATCCAAATCTGCTACTCAGCCCCACACCAGACATCCCAACCCAGACATCTACAATCTTCACGTCTAGCTTGTCTCCAAAGTTCCCTAAGGGCCGAGGGAAAAATACATTTTGGTTTAGTAAACGTTACCGCCTCTAAAAAATGCCTGACAGAGGAAACTAAACATTGGTATGCATGTTTCTTCTTAAAATGACATCATATTCAAATGTTAGAATTTTAGTGTGTTTTATTGAAGTTATTTAAGAAATATTGGCTGTCTTTGTTGACTGCATATTCAGGTGAGCTACAGTGCTGTGGCACAATTTGGGTTATGTTTGATTGATCAAGTTCAGTTGTGACCAGTGATGGATATTGATTTTGCACTGATTTTGCAAGGAACATTATTACTGAGTCAGCAAGGAATAATAGTCCTGTATCTACGTTTTTCAGGTGACCCAGTTTCGTGGTTTTGGCAAGGTGACAGGACCAAATGAGGTGACAGTTGTGAAGAGTGATGGCACAGAGGAGAGAGTTGCCACCAAGAATATTCTCATTGCCACTGGGTCAGAGGTCACACCATTCCCAGGCATAGAGGTCAGTAACTAGTAGTTGTGGGATGATACACCGATGCATGGGTGGATCGCGATTATATACTTCTCGATACAAGTATCGATCACAGTCGCACACTAAGGCAAAAATATCGATTCTGACCTTAAATGTTTGCTTTAATAACTGTTCCACTAAACACTAATCAGTAGTGCAATTATTAGTGAAAACATAAATATTTTCATTTGTTGTGCCATACTTGACACTGCCAACTGTAAATCGTCAGTGTGCCAGGTATTTGGCCATCCTGCCTTTGAAAAAGATTGCTCACGCACCACAGATAAGAGCATGTGCAAGTATCGTGATACATATCGGATCATGAGTAAGGTATCGGGATAAGTATCGGATCTCACAGTTGGTGTATCGTCCCAGCCCTAGTAACTAGGCAAAATATAAATAACACGTTTATGCAATGTCAGGATATTATATGGAAAGTGTGTTATGGAAAGCATTCAGAGCTTGCTCTCTGACTGTATATTATAAATGTTGATAATAAGAGATTATCAGAGCTTCATTTGAAAATATTGCAGAGGAAAAGTAAGTTTAATGTTAACATGATGAATTTAAGAGCAACAGGTTCAAGAGAGAAGAGTTTGTATTTGTTTAATGCCACACTTGGCAATAATCCAGCTCTATGATAGCAGTCTGTAAATAAGTGAGTAGTTAGTTGCTGGGGACCTATTCTAACCTGGAATCCCCATGGTAAATTACACCAGCGTAGGTTGATGTGGACCTATTCTAACCTGGAATCACCATGGTACAACCAGCGTAGGTTGATGGGGTCCTATTCTAACCTGGAATCTCCATGGTACTACCAGCACAGGTTGCTGGAGACCTATTCTAACCTGGAATCCCCATGGTACTACCAGTATAGGTTGCTAGGGACCTATTCTAACCTGGAATCCCCATGGTACAACCAGCACATGTTGCTGGGGACCTATTCTAACCTGGAATATCCATGGTACTACCAGCATAGGTTGCTAGGGACCTATTCTAACCTGGAATCCCCACTGTACAACCAGCATATGTTGCTAGGGACCTATTCTAACCTGGAATATCCATGGTACTACCAGCACATGTTGCTGGGGACCTATTCTAACCTGGAATCCCCACTGTACAACCAGCATAGGTTGCTGGGGACCTATTCTAACCTGGAATCCCCATGGTACAACCAGCACATGTTGCTGGAGATCTTTTCTAACCTGGAATCCCCATGGTACAACCAGCACATGTTGCTGGAGATCTTTTCTAACCTGAAGTCCCCATGGTACACCCAGCATATGTTGCTGGGGACCTATTCTAACCTGGAATCCCCATGGTACAACCAGCATATGTTGCTGGAGATCTTTTCTAACCTGGAATCCCCACTGTACAACCAGCATAGGTTGATGGAGACCTATTCTAACCTGAAATCCCCATGGTACACCCAGCATATGTTGCTGGGGACCTATTCTAACCTGGAATCCCCATGGTACAACCAGCACATGTTGCTGGAGGTCTTTTCTAACCTGGAATCCCCATGGTACAACCAGCACAGGTTGCTGGAGACCTATTCTAACCTGAAATCCCCATGGTACACCCAGCATATGTTGCTGGAGATCTTTTCTAACCTGGAATCCCCACTGTACAACCAGCACATGTTGCTGGAGATCTTTTCTAACCTGGAATCCCCATGGTACAACCAGCACATGTTGCTGGAGATCTTTTCTAACCTGGAATCCCCATGGTACAACCAGCACATGTTGCTGGAGATCTTTTCTAACCTGGAATCCCCATGGTACAACCAGCACATGTTGCTGGAGATCTTTTCTAACCTGGAATCCCCATGGTACAACCAGCACAGGTTGCTGGGGACCTATTCTAACCTGGAATCCCCATGGTACACCCAGCATATGTTGCTGGAGATCTTTTCTAACCTGGAATCCCCACTGTACAACCAGCACAGGTTGCTGGGGACCTATTCTAACCCGGAATCCCCACTGTACAACCAGCATAGGTTACTGGGGACCTATTCTAACCCGGAATCCCCACTGTACAACCAGCATAGGTTGCTGGGGACCTATTCTAACCTTGAATCCCCACTGTACAACCAGCACAGGTTGCTGGGGACCTATTCTAACCTTGAATCCCCACTGTACAACCAGCATAGGTTTCTGGGGACCTATTCTAACCTGAAATCCCCACTGTACAACCAGCATAGGTTGCTGGGGACCTATTCTAACCTGAAATCCCCACTGTACAACCAGCATAGGTTGCTAGGGACCTATTCTTACCTGGAATCCCCACTGTACAACCAGCATAGGTTGCTGGGGACCTATTCTAACCTGGAATTCCCACTGTACAACCAGCATAGGTTGCTAGGGACCTATTCTTACCTGGAATCCCCATGGTACAACCAGCACATGTTGCTGGGGACCAATTCTAACCTGGAATCCCCATGGTACAACCAGCATAGGTTGCTAGGGACCTATTCTAACCTGGAATCCCCACTTTACAACCAGCATAGGTTGCTAGGGACCTATTCTTACCTGGAATCCCCACTGTACAACCAGCATAGGTTGCTGGGGACCTATTCTAACCTGGAATCCCCACTGTACAACCAGCATAGGTTGCTAGGGACCTATTCTTACCTGGAATCCCCATGGTACACCCAGCACATGTTGCTGGGGACCTATTCTAACCTGGAATCCCCATGGTACAACCAGCATAGGTTGCTAGGGACCTATTCTAACCTGGAATCCCCATGGTACAACCAGCACAGGTTGCTGGGGACCTATTCTAACCCGGAATCCCCATGGTACAACCAGCATAGGTTGATGGGGACCTATTCTTACCTGGAATCCCCATGGTACAACCAGCACAGGTTGCTGGGGACCTATTCTAACCTGGAATATCCATGGTACTACCAGTATAGGTTGCTAGGGACCTATCATAAACCAGAATCCCCATGGTGAGACCAGCATAGGTCAGTGGAGACCTATTCTAACCTGGAATCCCCATGGTACAACCAGCAGAGGTTGTTGGGGACCTATTCTAACCTGGAATCCCCATGGTACAACCAGCACATGTTGCTGGGGACCTATCATAAACCAGAATCCCCATGGAGAGACCAGCATAGGTCAGTGGGGACCTATTCTAACCTGGAATCCCCATGGTACAACCAGCACAGGTTGCTGGGGACCTATTCTTACCTCGAATCCCCATGGTACAACCAGCATAGGTCAGTGGGGACCTATCCTAAACCAGAACCCCAATGGAGAGACCAGCATAGGTCAGTGGGTACCCATCCTAAACCAGAATCCCCATGGTGAGACCAGCATAGGTCAGTGGGTACCCATCCTAAACCAGAATCCCCATGGAGAGACCAGCATAGGTCAGTGGGTACCATCCTAAACCAGAATCCCCATGGAGAGACCAGCATAGGTCAGTGGGTACCTATCCTAAACCAGAATCCCCATGGTGAGACCAACATAGGTCAGTGGGTACCTATCCTCAACCAGAATCCCCATGGAGAGACCAGCATAGGTCAGTGGGTACCTATCCTAAACCAGAATCCCCATGGTGAGACCAACATAGGTTGCTGGGGACCTATTATAAACCAGAATCCCCATGGTGAAACCAGCGTAGGTCAGTGGGTACCTATCCTAAACCAGAATCCCCATGGAAAGACCAGCATAGGTCAGTAGGTACCCATCCTAAACCAGAATCCCCATGGAGAGACCAGCATACGTCAGTGGGTACCTATCCTAAACCAGAATCCCATGGTGAGACCAACATATGTCAGTGGGTACCTATCCTAAACCAGAATCCTCATGGTGAGACCAACATAGGTCAGTGGGTACCTATCCTAAACCAGAATCCCCATGGTGAGACCAGCAAGGTCAGAGGGCACTTATCCTAAACCTGAATCCCCATGGTGAGACCAGCATAGGTCAGTGGGTACCTATCCTAAACCAGAATCCCCATGGAGAGACCAGCATAGGTCAGTGGGTACCTATCCTAAACCAGAATCCCCATGGTGAGACCAGCATAGGTCAGTGGGTACCTATCCTAAACCAGAATCCCCATGGAGAGACCAACATAGGTCAGTGGGTACCTATCCTGAACTAGAATCCCCATGGAGAGACCAGCATAGGTCAGTGGGTACCTATCCTTAACCAGAATCCCCATGGAGAGACCAACATAGGTCAGTGGGTACCTATCCTAAACCAGAATCCCCATGGTGAGACCAACATAGGTCAGTGGGGACCTATCCTAAACCAGAATCCCCATGGTGAGACCAACATAGGTCAGTGGGTACCTATCCTAAACCAGAATCCCAATGGAGAGACCAGCATAGCTCAGTAAGTACCTATCCTAAACCAGAATCCCCATGGTGAGACCAGCATAGGTCAGTGGGTACCTATCCTAAACCAGAATCCCCATGGTGCTACCAGCATAGGTCAGTGGGTACCTATCCTAAACCAGAATCCCCATGGTGAGACCAGCATAGGTCAGTGGATACCTATCCTAAACCAGAATCCCCATGGTGAGACCAGCATAGGTCAATGGGGACCTATCCTAAACCAGAATCCCCATGGTGCTACCAGCATAGGTCAGTGGGTACCTATCCTAAACCAGAATCCCCATGGTGAGACCAGCATAGGTCAGTGGGTACCTATCCTAAACCAGAATCCCCATGGTGAGACCAGCATAGGTCAGTGGATACCTATCCTAAACCAGAATCCCCATGGTGAGACCAGCATAGGTCAATGGGGACCTATCCTAAACCAGAATCCCCATGGTGAGACCAGCATAGGTCAGTGGGTACCTATCCTAAACCAGAATCCCCATGGTGAGACCAGCATAGGTCAATGGGGACCTATCCTAAACCAGAATCCCCATGGTGGGACCAGCATAGGTCAGTGAGTACCTATCCTAAACCAGAATCCCCATGGTGAGACCAGCATAGGTCAGTGGATACCTATCCTGAACCAGAATCCCCATGGTGAGACCAGCATAGGTCAGTGGGTACCTATCCTAAACCAGAATCCCCATGGTGAGACCAGCATAAGTCAGTGGGGACCTATCCTAAACCAGAATCCCCATGGTGAGACCAGCATAGGTCAGTGGGTACCTATCCTTAACCAGAATCCCCATGGAGAGACCAACATAGGTCAGTGGGTACCTATCCTGAACCAGAATCCCCATGGAGAGACCAGCATAGGTCAGTGGGTAACTATCCTTAACCAGAATCCCCATGGAGAGACCAACATAGGTCAGTGGGTACCTATCCTAAACCAGAATCCCCATGGTGAGACCAACATAGGTCAGTGGGTACCTATCCTAAACCAGAATCCCCATGGTGAGACCAGCATAGGTCAGTGGGTACCTATCCTAAACCAGAATCCCCATGGAGAGACCAGCATAGGTCAATGGGTACCTATCCTAAACCAGAATCCCCATGGTGCTACCAGCATAGGTCAGTGGGTACCTATCCTAAACCAGAATCCCCATGGTGAGACCAGCATAGGTCAGTGGGTACCTATCCTAAGCCAGAATCCCCATGGTGAGACCAGCATAGGTCAGTGGATACCTATCCTAAACCAGAATCCCCATGGTGAGACCAGCATAGGTCAATGGGGACCTATCCTAAACCAGAATCCCCATGGTGCTACCAGCATAGGTCAGTGGGTACCTATCCTAAACCAGAATCCCCATGGAGACCAGCATACGTCAGTGGGTACCTATCCTGAACCAGAATCCCCATGGTGAGACCAGCATAGGTCAGTGGGTACCTATCCTAAACCAGAATCCCCATGGTGAGACCAGCATAGGTCAGTGGATACCTATCCTAAACCAGAATCCCCATGGTGAGACCAGCATAGGTCAATGGGGACCTATCCTAAACCAGAATCCCCATGGTGGGACCAGCATAAGTCAGTGGGTACCTTTCCTAAACCAGAATCCCCATGGTGAGACCAGCATAGGTCAGTGGGTATCTATCCTTACCAGAATCCCCATGGAGAGACCAGCATAGGTCAGTGGGTACCTATCCTAAACCAGAATCCCCATGGAGAGACCAGCATAGGTCAGTGGGTACCTATCCTAAACCAGAATCCCCATAGAGAGACCAACATAGGTCAGTGGGTACCTATCCTAAACCAGAATCCCCATGGAGAGACCAGCATAGGTCAATGGGTACCTATCCTAAACCAGAATCCCCATGTTGAGACCAGCATAGGTCAATGGGTACCTATCCTAAACCAGAATCCCCATAGAGAGACCAACATAGGTCAGTGGGTACCTATCCTTAACCAGAATCCCCATGGTGAGACCAGCATAGGTCAGTAAGTACCTGTCCTAAACCAGAATCCCTCTAGGGGAAACCGAGAAAACAAACATATAATTGATAATGTTTAGAGGAAGTTCATTTTGGAACACATCCAGAAATATATTTTCTTCTCTTCTGAAACCAAATTTCATCATGTCCTGTTATTTATTCCCGGCCTTAAAAGGACATGATTAGTTAATTAAAGATGGTACATTATCAATCAGATTCAAGTCAAGTGTTAGCGTTAACAAGGTCTAAGGAATATGAGGTGCGCAAGTTGTGTGTGCTACTGTGAGGAATCTATGTGCAAAGGATGATTTAATGAAGATAATATCCTCGTGCAGTAATCTTCCTGGTGTCAGCCTGTAGGCATGTGATCTGTGCATCTTGTTTGGGAACAATGCATATTTGTATATTTGTTGTAAATAAGGAAATAAAACCTTCATTTTCCTTACTGCTTTACACCAGGTTTAGATACAAAGTATATCAGCTTCTATTTGATTATTGCTGTAGTGTTTCCAAACACAAGGAAATTGGCATGGATTGGTGTTGGAGATATTGGTTTGAACTTGTGGGCATATATTTGAACTTGTGGACACAATAGAAAGTCCACCTCTTTCAAGTTTCAGGTTTATGTTCCGGCCAGCAAGTTTTTTGGCATTTACACAATTATGATGGAATGATGTTTTAGTTTCCTCCTCTGTAACGAGAACAGCTGCTTGTAACGTGAATAGCTGCTTGTAACGTGAACAGCTGCTTGTAACGTGAACAGCTGCTTGTAACGTGAACAGCTGCGTGAACAGCTGCTTGTAACATGAACAGCTGCTTGTAACATGAACAGTTGCTTGTAACATGAACAGCTGCTTGTAACGTGAACAGATGCTTGTTACCTAAACAGCTGCTTGTAATGTGAACAGCTGCTTGTAACCTAAACCGCTGCTTGTAACATGAACAGCTGCTTGTAACATGAACACCTGTAATGTGAACAGCTGCTTGTAATGTGAACAGCTGCTTGTAAAGTGAACAGCTGCTTGTAACGTGAATAGCTGCTTGTAACGTGAACAGCTGCTTGTAACATGAACAGCTGCTTGTAACATACACACCTGTAATGTGAACAGCTGCTTGTAACATGAACACCTGTAATGTGAACAGCTGCTTGTAACGTGAACAGCTGCTTGTAACGTGAACAGCTGCTTGTAACATGAACAGCTCTTATATGAACAGCTACTTGTAATGTGAACAGCTGCTTGTAACGTGAACAGCTGCTTGTAACATGAACAGCTGCTTGTAACGTGAACACCTGTAACGTAAACAGCTGCTTGTAATGTGAAAAGCTGCTTGTAACGTGAAAAGCTGCTTGTAACGTGAATAGCTGCTTGTAACGTGAACATCTGCTTGTAACGTGAACAGCTGCTTGTAACATGAACAGCTGCTTGTAACATGAACACCTGTAACGTGAACAGCTGCTTGTAACGTGAACAGCTGCTTGTAATGTGAACACCTGTAATGTGAACAGCTGCTTGTAACATGAACAGCTGCTTGTAATGTGAACACCTGCTTGTAACATGAACACCTGTAATGTGAACAGCTGCTTGTAGCGTGAACAGCTGCTTGTAATGTGAACAGCTGCTTGTAACGTGAACAGCTGCTTGTAATGTGAACAGCTGCTTGTAATGTGAATAGCTGCCAGTACGTGAACAGCTCCTTGTAACGTGAATAGTTGCTTGTAACGTGAACACCTGTAATGTGAACAGCTGCTTGTAACATGAACATCTGCTTGTAACGTGAACAGCTGCTTGTAATGTGAACACCTGTAATGTGAACAGCTGCTTGTAACGTGAACAGCTGCTTGTAACGTAAACAGCTGCTTGTAACGTAAACAGCTGCTTGTATACTACATGGTTATTATGGGTGGCCCAGTTGTGTAAGGTGCTGCAATCCGCCATGCAGAGTTGCATCCCTAGAGCACGCCAGAAGCCTATGATCATGAGTTCAAATCCTGGTTTGCTCCGATTTTTATTCCAAGGTTGTCAGCACCATATCCATGGACCTGGGTTTCACCAAAGTGGTAAACTTCCGAGACCTGCATCACTTCAGGTATTCCTTCCACATTAAGCTGACATGCAGTGATATGACTGGAATGCTGTTCAAAGCGGCATTGAACCTACCACTCACTCACTCACTCACTCTTTGTATCAACAATTTCTCTTTGCATTCTACAAACTTAGCAACTGTATGATTATTATGTTATTGTAGATCGATGAGGAGCAGATTGTGTCATCAACAGGTGCCCTTTCACTTAAGAAAGTACCTGAGAAACTCGTCCTCATTGGAGCTGGTGTAATCGGAGTTGAACTGGTAAGAGAGACGACATCTTGAAACATTTATAAGTAATACATTCTAATGCTTTGAAAGCAGGCATGTTTCAAAGTGGACACTGCCTTTTTCTTGTTTTAAGTTGTTAATAATTGAAGTTTGATGTGTTCAAGTTTGGATAGTGGTGTGGGTGTGAACAGAGCACTTGTAAATAGTCTATTTGACACAGCGTTAAACTGAAATTAAACTGTATACCACAGTTCCATCACGTCATCATGATTCACTTATTGGGTTGTTGGGTAGCTAGGGGCTGAAATATCCTATACTTGATACCACAGTTCAATCACGTCGTCATGATTCACATATTGGAAGTCTTATTGTGTATCACAGTCCCATTACATCATCATGATTCACATATCAGGTTGCTGCATAGCAAGGCCCTGAAATAAGCCTTATCGTATACCACAGTCCCATTACATCATCATGATTCACATATCAGGTTGCTGCATAGCAAGGCCCTGAAATAAGCCTTATTGTATACCACAGTCCCATTACATCATCATGATTCACATATCAGGTTGCTGCATAGCAAGGCCCTGAAATAAGCCTTATTGTATACCACAGTCCCATTACATCATCATGATTCACATATCAGGTTGCTGCATAGCAAGGCCCTGAAATAAGCCTTATTGTATACCACAGCCCCATTACGTCATCATGATTCACATATCAGGTTGCTGCATAGCAAGGCCCTGAAATAAACCTTATTGTATACAACAGTCCCATTACATCATCATGATTCACATATCAGGTTGTTGCATAGCAAGGCCCTGAAATAAGCCTTTTTGTATACCACAGTCCCATTACGTCGTCATGATTCACATATCAGGTTGCTGCATAGCAAGGCCCTGAAATAAGCCTTATTGTATACCACAGTCCCATTACATCATCATGATTCACATATCAGGTTGCTGCATAGCAAGGCCCTGAAATAAGCCTTTTTGTATACCACAGTCCCATTACATCATCATGATTCACATATCAGGTTGCTGCATAGCAAGGCCTTGAAATAAGCCTTTTTGTATACCACAGCCCAATTACGTCGTCATGATTCACATAGTGGGTTGTTTGGTAGCACAACAAGCATACACACTCACAACACACAGTATCCTGGATTGGTTGTATTCAGCCTTCGAAATACCTGCCTGCCCGACCGTCCGAGACGGGTTGATTTCAACTCGGGCTGAGAGATTTTCAAATCCCCCTGCCCGACGGTCGGGTTATATATCATAGGTGAAAATATTCTAAATATTTCCTGATGATAAGCATTAATTCAGATGTAAAGATGAATGATAAAATGTAACCAAAAAGAAACCCCATTAGCTTTTAGACAACCTAACATTTAGCGATGCGCTTATGCTATCAGTTTTCATATTTTTAATTAAATTATCCTGAGAAACATATGATTATAGTGGGCAGGCAGGTTTTGGTCAGGGCTGGCAAGTATTTCAGCTAGCCAGTCCTGTGGTCTGGCTGAAATTTTTGGGAGTTTCATACCCTGTTGTATTGCAGGGCTCTGTGTGGCAGCGACTGGGAGCACAGGTGACCTGTGTGGAGTTCCTGGGGCATGTCGGTGGTCTGGGTATCGACATGGAGATCTCGAAGAACTTCCAGAGAATCCTCACCAAGCAAGGCATGAAGTTCATGCTGAACACCAAGGTCACCGGTGCCACCAAGTCAGGCGGAAACGTCATTGTCAGTGTCGAGGGAGCCAAGGATGGCAAGACACAAGAGGTAGGTTTAGGATGCAGATTGAACAGTAACCATGGTAACAATAACTCATGCACATTACTGCCAATACTGTTGCGATGGCAAATGTTCTTAAGGATTGACTTTGTATTATTTTCGGTTTATTGAGGCATGAATCGAAAAACCGATGAGCCAACTGTATGAATCGGCATAGTAACCGCCAGATTCAAACATTACTTCCCTGAAAACAGGAAAACACAGCTGGAAAAATGCTAGTTAGAAATGAAACCCGAAGATATGAAAGTTGAACCGAGGCGAGCAGGAAAATAACAGGCGAGCGAGCCTGGACGTTTGCTGTTTCATTCATTCGTGGCCTTCAGTTTCAGTGGGTGGTTTGGACAATGAGTATGCATGAATGTCGCTAAATGTCCTGTGCATGGCGAAACATGCGAGCAGAAAGGGAATTCCCTGGACTGTAATATTGGGATTCCCCGACTTTCCGTAGTAACAAAAGTAGTGCGCCTCGGTAGGCGTGGCTTAATTTTTTACATTCATCGGGAAATGAATGCAGTAACACGTGACAAATTCAGCTTATCAGAATGCAGGAATTTCAATGAACACAACGAAAATTGAATTATTTGTTTGTGAATGCAACAGATCTGCACCATGGTGACAACTGTATTTCCTTGTGTATATAGTGTGGTCTTTTTCCCCAAATGTACAGCTGTTTACAAGGCTGTGCATTAGACCCGTGAAGATCAATGGTAGAATAGATCATCAGCAACCCATGCTTGCCTTAAAACGCGACTATGCTTGTCGTAAAAGGTGACTAACGGGATCAGGTGGTCAGGCTCGCTGACTTGGTTGATGCATGTCATCGATCCCACATTGGGAGGATCGATGCTCATGATATCAATCACTGGATTGTCTGGTCCAGACTCTATTATTTACAGACTGCCGTCATATAGATGGAATATTGCTGAGTGCAGCGTTAAACAACAAACCAACCAACAAACCATTACACACACAGACAATGAGTTTTGATTACTTTGTTAATACTGGCAAAATCGTTTGTGAACTGAACACACCATCTCACAGTTATTTACAGCAGATATGATCAGATTACATCTATTGACCCCTTGAAACTATCTTTAGCTGTCAGAGAATGGATACAGATAACATACATGCCATACTTTGACTTGTAATCATAGTTGTTATTGGACTGTTATATGTCAACATATTGTTTTCATGATCAAAATAGCAAGCCTGTTTGAAGCCTCAAACGCTGATTAGACGAACTGTTCCATTTGTGAAGAATATTCGGCAATATGCCAAAGTGCTATGCTTATGATTATTTTATTTATACATATTTAGTAAAAGCGGCTACTAAAATAACAAGATATTAGCGTATATCCTTCCTGGTAAAAAAATGATTTCGGATACAATTATATTCCGATCATTGCATTAAAGTAATTTTGGTTGTAATATTGGGTGTTTTTCAAATGAATCCCCAGTAGTTCTGTGAGAAATGAGTGTACAGCTGATTGCTGTTTCTGGGCTTATTTTATGAGACAATTACACACAGTAATCTTAATCTTTGCATATGAAACAATGCCTAGCATAACAGGAAATACAACTGAAAAGTATAGACTGCATGTTTCATTCACATCTGTCCAGACCCAACGCTCGCTCGCTCATTCACTCACTCAATCACTCACTCACTCACTCACTCACTCACTCACTCACTACTTGCAGCTGGAGTGTGACACGCTGTTGGTCTGCATTGGGCGACGCCCCTACACACAGGGTCTTGGGCTGGACAATCTGGGTATCCAATTGGACAGTCGGGGCCGTGTTCCGGTCAACTCCCGCTTCCAGACCTCCGTGCCGAGCATCTACGCCATCGGAGACTGTATACATGGACCTATGCTGGCTCACAAGGCAGAGGATGAGGGTAGGGTTCTCTGTGTTTGTGTAATGACAGTATTCATGGTATTGTGTGATATCCACATATATGTTATACCTGTGGTGGAAAAAAAGTTGCATTCTGATGAATTCATGTGTATTTGAGTAGGTTTTTGTGTGTAGGTCAATAGGGTAGTGTCTCTTCTAAGTATGGGGAACAGAGTGTTTGACACTTACTAAAATTTGTCAGTGGTCCAAAGGAAATCTACTGTTCCTGTTGGATCTCTACTGGACATAAATGTGCTGATTAAGAAAGGTTTTAAATCACAGATACTTTATCATGCTCACACAACAAGTGAGTGAGTGTAATTGAATGAGAAAGCAGACAAGAAGGTAGCCACTGTACCACACAGGGTTGTTTAGGCTGCTTTTTGGCTGAGTTCAGAGTCAATCTGTCGCTGAATTCAAAAGTTGTTCAAACTTAGATTACTTTGTTTGTCCCAAAAAGAATAACACAAGACCACCGGACCAACATTTATTTAAAATTTACTGGTCCGGAAATATACTAGACTTGGTACAGCCAACCAGTGTTAATGGGGGGTATAAGGATGTGTATCATATTTTGTTACAAGTTGTATCAGGACAAACTGTTTTGCTACTGCCCACAAGGTCAATCCAAATGAATCTAGGCATGATCCCATTGTTACCACTGCTTCAGGTATTATCTGTGTGGAGGGTATCTTGGGTGGAGCTGTCCACATAGACTATAACTGTGTCCCATCCGTCATATACACACACCCTGAGGTGGCTTGGGTTGGCAAGACGGAGGAACAGCTCAAGGAAGAGGTAAGTATCTAGTATACACACCCTAATGTCATGTACACACACACCCTGGGGTGGCCTGGGTTGGCAAGACGGAGGAACAGCTCAAGGAAGAGGTAAGTATCTCGTATACACACCCTAATGTCACGTACACACACACCCTGGGGTGGCCTGGGTTGGCAAGACGGAGGAACAGCTCAAGGAAGAGGTAAGTATCTTGTATACACACCCTAATGGCATGTACACACACACCCTGAGGTGGCCTGGATCATATACACAACCTCAGGTGGTCTGGATCATATACACAACCTCAGGTGGTCTGGATCATATACACAACCTCAGGTGGTCTGGATCATATACACAACCTCAGGTGGTCTGGATCATATACACAACCTCAGGTGGCCTGGATCATATACACAACCTCAGGTGGCCTGGATCATATACACAACCTCAGGTGGTCTGGATCATATACACAACCTCAGGTGGCCTGGATCATATACACAACCTCAGGTGGTCTGGATCATATACACAACCTCAGGAGGCCTGGATCATATACACAACCTCAGGTGATCTGGATCATATACACATACACGTTGACTAATCGTAGAGATAACATGTGATGTCACTTGGTAAAGGTGATCAAGTGAAATTAACAGTACTGATTAACAACTACTCATTTATATATGTTTTCAGCAAAAATTAACTGATGAAAATTTGAATGTTCATGATTAAATGCTTGAACAGCAATGAAACTACAAATACACAGATGAAGATTTGGAGTAAGCGGAGGAAGGTGTGACGAGTTGATTTCCTCATAGGTATCCAATCGCACTTGTCAGGTAGATAAAATACATCTAAGGTTGAAAAGTCCCCAAATCGCCCTCTAGATACAGCTAGAACTGTCCGTCCAGAAACTTCTCGAATGATCAGCCTGCCAAGTGCATGTGCACAACTAGGGGCAGACAACTCTAATTGTTATTGAAAGTCATTTTGGAAAGTTCTAGTCACTGCTGTCTACTGCTGTTCAATTTCAGCCAAGACAACACATAATATTGTTTCACTACGGCAGTTCCATCATTTGATGCCACTGACAGTTACGACAAACAAATTTACCACAGTTTCTTCTGCCTCTAATATCACTGACAAATACCAATGATTGTTGCAGGGTGTTGAGTACAAGATCGGCTCCTTCCCTCTGATCGCCAACAGTCGGGCCAAGTGTAACCAGGACACTGATGGGCTGGTGAAGGTTCTGGCAGATAAAAACACAGACAGACTACTAGGAGTTCACTTCATCGGCTCGGTGAGTACTAGGCCTGTTACGATTCACTCGTGTATTCGCTGAATCGAACCGTATTCATTTTGAATTGAATTCGTTATTCGTAGCCACTAGAATCGAATATTTATGAATATCAATCATGTGCATTTACATAACCTGTACCTAAAAATATCCATAAAAACATATTATATGCATAGATTTCTTAAAAAAAAACACTCTTATAATATTTAATTTGACAGTATTGTGGTCACTGGTCATTGTCGCATTTGAGCAGATACTTGTAACTGGATAAGTGCAGTATATTAATGTTTAATATATTAATAATTAACAAACAATGTCAAATGATTTATGTTATTGTTTCACTGAATAGAACAAATAATACATCAACTGCTGACTTATAATTGTATTGTGAATTAATATTCATATTCGTTACCCTTTGTTCGTGATACAAATCGTATTCGCCTCATAGTGTAATTGTTACAGCCCTAGTGAGTACACAGTTGTCTGCCCATATGTCTCATCTCACTTCTGTTAGAAATGACTCCTGTCAGATCACTGTTGGTCACTGCTGAGTGAATTTATTGTTGGTTATAAAGTGTTTACATATTTATGAGCTGGTCTGTAATCTAACTGGCGGACAGACACAAGTCCTACTGATTCTATATGTAACAAAATCCTTGGCAAGTTCTTTCCTTAGGCTTAAAAAAGAAAGAATTGGTTCTCAGGCAATGGCTTTTGAAAATATAGTGCGGGTGGGCGGGTTCCTTTTTTTCTTCTATTTTCTTTGGTTCAAACTAGTATGTAACCAAATAAAGAGTTGTACAACCAAATAAACAGTACAATCAACCTGGGAAAGACCTACAAAGTATGCCTTAATGAGTGAAATACTGGAATACAGTATTTGACAACCCTTGGACTTGGAATATTTAAGGATTTTCTTTTTTTAAAAAAAATGGAAATAAAACAGAAACATGCGGCAAACTTTATGATGATGATGCGGGCAGTGCCTGAGAACCAAGACTATTGTTTTTTTAGCCTTAATGTGTGACATGTACTAACCCATTCTCAATGTATATTTATATCAACCATCTCCGCAACATGCCCTTGCCCTTGGTGCAATTTCTATGTGCAATATTTTATATTACCTTACCTCCAATCCATGTCAGAATGCTAAGAACTGATTGGTTCCCGTGATAAAATACTACGTATCCAACCTAGATAGTAGTGAGGGTTAAACGTGTGTGTTCCGTTTTTCGCGGTATTATAAGTTTTGCCTTTTGTCCATGCTCCTAAATTCTCTCAAAATGCATTCCCACACACTATAAACACCATCCCCTCAAAACTACTGGACCAGTGAAACTTCACATGATTGTTTTCACCAATGATGTCACCTGAATTTGTTATGTATTTTTTAATCTAATTTCAATATGGCCACCACAGCAGCCATATTGAAAAATCTATTTATGCCCACTACTTGGCCTTGTTGGAACCAAAGTAATTAAATGTGTTTTATTAATTGTGGGACTCAACATATGTTTTGTGCAATATTGTATGTTTTTACGTTGTTATTACCTTGGTTTGTGAATTAAGTTCAGATCCTCGCTTTGTTGACAGTTTTAACTGTTTACTACATATCCAGGTGAGCTACGTGCTGTGGCACTGATATTAAGATTGAAGCTACAGCCACAATGTGTGTTTTAAATGTTTGTGTTTTTGTTTTTTTGCAGGTTGCAGGGGAGTTGATTAATGAGGCAGCATTTGCAATGGAATACGGTGCATCATGTGAAGATATAGCTAGAGTTTGTCATGCACATCCGGTGAGTAATATCATTTAGGGTGATACGAAAATTTAGGTGCTCCAATTTTCATACTGATATTAACAATATGTCACATTGTTTTATTCTTTAAGAGATGAGGCCGCCTCCGTGGTCTTGTGGTAGAGCGTCCGCCCGGAGAGCGGAAGGTCCGGGGTTCGATCCCCGGCCGCGTCATACCAAAAGACGTTAAAAGATGGTACTTGTTGTTACCCTGTCTGGCGCTCGACATTAAGGGGCTAAAACAAGGACTGGTCGGCTCGGAGTCAGTATACTGTGTCTGAGTGGGGTATTCATGTTAAACTGTGGCATGGTATCTCAGTGAGCTAGCACTATAAATCGGCATCAGTCCGGACTAGTACAAGCAGCCACACACACACATACACGTGCATGCACGTCGCTATATAAGTGCAATAATCTTGGACGCGACGTAAAACCCAATTTCACCTCACCACCTTTAAGAGATGAAAATGTTGAATAGTAATTTTTCTTGGAGAAAGATGACTACATTTAGTTGAATTTAGTTTTATTCATATCATGGCTGTGATTGTGGGTTCGAATCCCGGTTCGCCCCGATTATGTTTCTAGGTTTGTCAGCACCATACCCCTGCTCATGGGTTTCACCGAAGTGGTAAACATCTAAAACCTGCATCACTTCGGGCTTTCCTCCCACATTAAGCTGACATGCCACTGATATAACTGAATAATGTTAAAAGCGGCGTTAAACCTAACTGACTCACTAATGGATAGAGCATCTGCCCAGATAGCAGAAGGCCGTTGGATTAATTCCCGGTCACTTCATACCAAAAGTCATTAAAACAGGTACTTATTGTTACTCTGCCTGGGGCTCAGCTTTAAGGGGATAAAACAAGGATATGGCGTCTCAGTGGGCTGGCACTATAAAACCAATTTTAGTCGAGATAGTATGTCACTATATAAGTGCAATAATCTTGATTGCAACTTTAAGCCCCATTTCACCTCACCTCTGATACTGATATTCTGCTAATTGTTTTTGTTTTAAACATGCCATCTCTTGGATCTTACTTTGTGTCAGGTTAGATGAGTAAAATAAGGATTAATTGTAACATGAGGATTAAAAGGTCAGTAATAGCTTATTTCATAGATATTTTGTCTTGTTCGCAAAGTAACAAGAAGCAGCATGACATCATGGCTGATAACACGTTGTTGGCATCATATACTGACAATGTATAACTCACACCATCATCTCATTAACTGATTGCTAACATACTGTTGACATCAACTTCCTGACATCTCGCTAACATGTTGCTGACATCACACGAACATATTGCTGACATCATCTTGGTAACAAATTGCTGACATCACACGAACATATTGCTGACATCTTCTTGGTAACATATTGCTGACATTACACTAACATATTGCTGACATCACACTAACATATTGCTAACATCACACTACATATTGCTGACATCACACTACATGTTGCTGACATCACACTACATATTGCTAACATCACATTACATATTGCTGATGTGTGTTTTTGTGTTACAGACTGTTGCCGAGGCATTCAGGGAGGCCAACTTGGCAGCGTATTGTGGAAAACCGATCAACTTTTGATAACAAAGACAGTATGTGTATAAAGTGCATTTGACAGAGTATGTGTGTCTTCAGTGAATAATATGTGAAAGTTGTGCAGGAGTGCTGCATTTGTTTCAATGTGGTAATGGAATCTCACGGCTAGAATGACCATAGGCAACATCTCGCATCAACTGCAGCTGTCAATAAGGTGTCAAGAATTTTCAAGTCAAATGTCATCTGGTTAGGAATTGAGTTTCATATTTTAAATGCAAGGCAACATTTTTTCAACTGCTTTGGAATTGTTCCTCCATGGACCAGAAAATGTATTTTCAGCAGCTTGGGTCAGAACATGTATATTCAGCAGCTTGGACCTGAAAATGTATATTCTGTAGCCTTGGACCTGAACATATTATTCTCTAGCCTTGGACCTGAACATATGTTTTTTGCTGCCTTGAACCAGGACACATGTTCGCAGCAACCTTGGACATGGAGCTATAGAAGATCTCACAGATGTTAATGTGAAAGGGATAACATCCAGTTGAGCTGCCGACAGAGAGTATTGTTAGGGTGTTCCATGTTATCTGTGACAAACAGCCTAGTATCAGTGTAGGAAAGTGCTATCTATCAGGTTTTACACATTCTGCTGCAATATGCGGAAATTCACTTGTACAAATTGTAAAAATAATTATGTGAAAAATTAAAAATATTTAACAAGGTTTGTTTGTGATGTTGTTTATCTGATGACCGAAATTTTGACTACGTGTGATTTGCCATTTCTTTGAAGTTTATGGGTTTACATGCGAAGCAAGAGACTTGGTATATTGACTGACCATTAGGCTCCATCTGTCCGTGCATACATATGTTCATACATAATGAGTAAGATACCCTTGTTCATGAGCTTCACCAAATTAAGTTCCTTTTCATCAGTGTTTGTTTGGGGCGATGGGGTAGCCTTGTGGTTAAAGCGTTTGCTCGTTTCGCCGAAGACCTGGGTTCGGTTCCTGGGTTCCAAACATGGGTACAATGTGCAAAGCCCATTTCTAGTGTGCCCCGCCGTGATATGGTTTTATGCTGCTTTTAGCAATATTCCAGCAATACTCACTCACTCACTAGTGTTTGATATGTACTTATCCAATCAGAGTCGTGTAAGGTTCAGTGTGCAGAGTTGTCTCCCTTGACCGCAGCAGAAACCTGTGATTTTAGGTTCGAATCCTGATTCGGCCTGATAATGTTTCTCAGTTTGTCAGCACCATACTCGGGCTCATGGGATTCACCAAAATGGTCAACATCTGAGTCCTGCGTCACTTGGGGCTTTCCAGTTAAGCTGACACACTGGGATATAGCTGAATACTGTTAAAAGTGGTATTAAGCCCAGCTCACTCACTCACTACAAAACAAAAACCTTTGGAAAAAAAATGGAGCTTGTTATTTATACCTGAGGATAGTTACTTTGCTCTAGTGTCATTTCTCATCCAAACAAAAATACCATTACCAGTTTTCTTAAGAATGTGCCATCCAAATGAGAATAGGATTAAACATTCCAGACCAGTTTTGTGTTTCAATATGACAACCAGATGTTTACCTACTCCACAAGTTTTCATCCCAAATCAGGTTAGATCAAATGATCTTTTCATTTATAAAAAGGACTAGTAGAAAGTAGTAAAGGTGGAATACTTTCCATCTTCCCAAAGTATGTTGTCCTTCAGGCCTCAAAGTTGCGACTGGTAGCCAATGCAACCTAAATTTCAGGTTGTCTACTGTCTAAAATTCAGAGGTAGCCAAATGACTACCTGTAAAAATATCTTGTGTGGACTAAATTCTATTGCTACACATCTGTAGACACAAAAATATATAACAGCTGATATTGGAAAACATGTCTGCTTATAATTGTACTCGCAAATAACTCCTTCTAAAGTCGACAATGAACCAATGTACATAAAAATTAATGTAATTCATACTTCATTTTAGTTGACAATGCTCATTGGATAAGCGAGGATAAACCTATATAATCTAGTAACATAAACTGCATCATTGTTCAAGTCACATGTAACAAAATTCAAGGACAGTTTCCATTAAGACACAATTTCAAGACTTGTGCTGTAACTTGTACATGGTATAATAGTTATTTGATAAAGATAATTTCAAATGCTTTTGGCTACCTACAATATTGGCTTGACACCTTGATTTTACCACTGGCTATCTGGAAAAAAATACTTGAAGCCATATGGCTACTTGGTAAAAATTTAAACTTTGAGGCCTGTCCTTTGTATGCATTGCAGCCAAGGCGACAACATACTTGTGCAAAGGGGCGCTGGTGGAACAACACTTGAGTGAGTTTCCCAAGGTATTTAACCTTGATATCCTCAGCAGATTAGCATAATATTGGCCATTAATGTGATGTGGCATTTTTAGGAGGTAGCCCACCAGCAGGGTTCCTTTGGAACCCATGGCCTTGAAAATGAGAGTAGTGCTCATATCTGGACCAGAACCCTTGAATGTTTTTTGATCCATCAGTCGAGTGCGAACTGGCGCCTTTTGATGATTTTGGATTATTTTTTTAAAAAACTGAACAGCATCATGTTTTTCTTCACTGAACTGTAGGTATCCAATGGCAATGAACCAACAGTGGGGTACAGGTAGCCAAACTCCATTTCCTTGTTGCACCAGACGGGGATATCTCATCTGATGACTCTGGTTGAAGCAAACAGCATGATTGATACAATGGTGTAACCTTTTTCCAGTCCAAAAAGACTGAAATAGAAATGTAGGTAGTCATTCCACTGAAACCCGAAATAGAGTGGGTTACTTAATGTTTGGTAGGGAGTATCCATGTGGGGTCTGAATGTGAGGATTGCTCAGATATGTTATCAGACCATTAGTATTCAATATTGCCATGGAACCGAAGCAGGTGCAGCTTCATCTGATAGTGATTAAACACAAGTACACAGTTACATATGTTGTAATGTCAGGTCACAGTATTAAATATGTCAGTGTCCCTATCAAATGTTGGGTAGTATAACTAATAAACAAATGGTTGAACAAAAACATGACTAAAGGACTTGGCACAGTGTAAACATATTCCAGAAGTGTTTTGTAGTATGGGTAATGTCTAAAGGCAGAAAACACCGGATGTAAATACCGGAAGTAACTTTGTGGAGGGCAGGAGTCTGGACAAATTTGAAGTCAACAGATCTGATCATTGGTTGGAAGTGACAGCCAATGAACGTTTTCCATCGCTGACGATAGAAAAAGCATTAATTTACAGCCTCTGTATCGATCATACAAATAATATTAAGGTGACGTGAAATATGTGTGTGTGTATGTGTGTGTGTGTGTGTGTGTGTGTGTGTGTGTGCGCGCGCGTGTGTGTGTGGCTGCTTGTACAAGTCGGGAATGATGCCGATTTAAAGTGCTAGCCCACTAAAATATCATACGGCGGTGTAACATAAATAACTCTCTCAGACACAGTATACTGACTCCGAGCCGGCCAGTCCTTGCTTTAGTCCATAGTAACAACAAGTATCATATTTTAACTTCTTTTGGTATGTCAGGGATCGAACCAGACGCTCTATACTAGGCCACGGAGGCGGCCTCCAAAAATAACTGTCTTACCAAAACCCTCTTTATATGATAACTTGCTACATTCAGCAAACATCACATCGCAGAAGATAATGCAACAGGCCTTAAAGTGTATGTGTTCAAACATGTTTATGCTTTCTATACTCAAGTTCATCTACCTCAAAAACTAGGAATAAGAAATTTTATATAATTCGCAAAAAATGGTCATTGATAATACTCATGAATTGAAATAAATCTACTCACAACTCGACTTATGAACATGTTTAAAATATATACAGTATTAGCCAGGTGTGTTTCCGTATCGTAAATATGTTAGGAACAAAACTGTTTTTATTCCTAATATTTACTATTAATCGAAGTTAAGGGCTGATTATTTCATATGAACGGGGAAGATCCGGGGTAGAATAGGTCTTCAGCAACCGATGCTTGCTGTAAAAGGCGACTATGCTTGTCGTAAGAGGCGACTAACGGGATCGGGTGGTCAGGCTCGCTGACTTGGTTGATGCATGTCATCGATCCCAATTGCTCGAATCGATGCTCATGATATCAAACACTGGATTGTCTGGTCCAGACTCGATTACTGACAGACCGCCGTCATATAGAGCTCTGGAATATTGCTGAGTGCGGCGTTAAACAATAAACCAACCAACCAATCATATTACTATAGTTGATCTGTCACGAAATTAACTACAACAGTAATGTGAAAGAATGAGTGTGGCCTTAAACAACAAACAAACAGGGAAACACTTATCTAATCTAACTGGGAACATCAGACAATGATTTATTGAACATTCTATCGATGTATGGGGCTTAAAAGTAGTTCTGGCAGGTGACGCCGTTAGCATTCAATGTATAGATCGTGATACCAAGTCTATGGGAGATCTGTTTATTGCATATATAACGCAATCCATTGTGATTTACGGTAATTCCTACTTCCCAGGAATGATCTTTTACAGCCTGTTGTACAATAATCGCCCATGTGGGGTGCTTCCTTCTTACCTGCATGGAGGTTATTGAAAGCCAGGTGTGTGTTGAACAGCACTGCCGTATCCAATGCTGTGGAGTGTCCATTCATCGCCGTTTACATGCAATACCTCAATTGATAACGACATTGAACGAGGAATATATGTATATGTATACAGTAACTGTTGTCAAGACACTCTTGCTTTGTTTGCTTACACAATGTAATGGAACATATAGGTATTAGTTCTCAAAGATCTTTTGATAGTTTTGTTGTTTGGAAATAGGAAGTAGACAAGCCGCACTGGAGTTGCTTTGACTGTGGATTATCTGTCCACAGCTCAGGTTTGGGATTTTGAGGAATCCTTTTGAAGCGTTGTTACTCTGTAATTCTTACAGAACAAAGTGTGTAGTTTACTAGTAATTCGAGGTGAAATGGAGTTTAAAGTCGCACTCAAGAATACACACGTGCGCGCGCTCGTGTGTGCGTGCGTGCGTGCGTGCGTGCGTGCGCGAGCAAGTCCTGAATAATTCCGGTTTTATAGTTGCAGCACACTGAGATACCATACGCATTTTAACATGAATACCCCACTCAGACACAGTATACTGACTTCGAGCCGACCAGTCCTTGTTTTAGCCCCTTAATGCCGAGTGCCAGGCAGGGTAACAATTACCACGTTGGTATGGCGCGGTCGGGGTTCGAACCACAGGCCTCCGGAGAGGCTCTATCAACTGGACCAAGGGTCAGTCCACTTAACCAATGAGGGTCGCTTGGATCACGACACTTGAAACATCGGTTCTCCTTAAAGGTTCATGTGAAAAAGAGACTCTAAATCTAATCTGTAAGAAGCCATTATACTTCCATTATTAAAGCCACATCACCCTTGTTTTTTCGCTTACCTAACTGAAGATACAATTTATTGGGACTAACACCTTAAAGTAATCCCTAAATTTAAGATCTAATCCTGGAGCACTCAGCAATATTCCAGCTATATGACGGCAGTCTGTAAATAATCGAGTCTGGACCATACAATCAAGTGATTGACATCATAAGCATCGACCAACGCAATTGGGATACGATGACATGCATCAACCAGGTCAGCGAGCCTAACCGCCCAATCCCGTTAGTCGCCTCTTACGACAAGTATAGTCGCCTTTTACGGCAAGCATGGGTTGC